AACGACATTGGTTTTGTTTGGTACACTACTCATAAACAGATTGGTTTTCGCTACTCATATCTTCCCCAGTTTATTCTTCCTTTCCCCTCCACCGGCATGACCGCCGACAAAATCCGCGACTTTTACTGCTGCTATCTGCTGCGGTCAGTGTCTAAGCCGCGGTCATTTTATGTCGGGTCAACACCCGACCCGGTGAGGAGGCTACGGCAGCACAACGGAGACCTCAAGAGAGGAGGAGCTTACCGTACAAAGAAAGTAGGCTACAGGCCATGGAGAGTGGCGATGTTGGTATACGGGTTTCCGTCTCTGGTTACGGCTCTACAGTTTGAGCACGCATGGCAGCATGCGTATCAAACGCGTCACATACCCCGAGAAAATCGGATCAGCCTTCACAAGACCAGTGGCTCTGGACGTGATCTCCATGCAAAAACTGCCAACTGTAAGCTGTTGCTGATGGCACCTGGTTTCTCCCGGCTTGGACTCCGTGTTCACGTGTTTGATAACGATGTGTATGACGCATGGTGTTTGAGCAAGCACGGTGTGCTGTTTCCAGACCACGTGAGAGTGGACAGGGATGTCCAGAAAGACTCGCAGCCTTACCCCACAGGGAACTACGAGGAGCTCCAGAAGTTCAGAGATGTTGTGCGCGAAGATGAAAATGCTCTGCTGGAGAGATCATTATCGACTTTGGCGGATTCGGATCGCGTATGTTCCATTTGTGAGAAGGCAGTGGAAAGGCCAGAGGCTGTGGCTGTGTGTTTCCACTCGCCGTGCGCGGCAGTGTTCCATTTAAACTGCTTGAATGAAAAGTTTTTGGAAGAAGAAGTTGCAAAAGGCAATGGACTTATACAAGACTCAGAAATCGTCGAAACGACTGAAGACACGGAGGTCAAAGAAAGCACAGAAACTACCAGTCTATCTGCGACCCCGTCAAAAGGAAGATGTTCTAAGTGCAACAAAGTGATGAACTGGCCAGATGTTGCGAAGATTTCTCAACTAATACAAGAGAGGGAACCTAATAATGATAATGATGAATAGATTAGTAAAGGGACCCGGTAAAGCCGCTAGGCCTAAGCAAAACGATAGATCAACAACTTTTATGTACTCTTGACAGAACGCTTAGTAGCCACAGTTTCATTTGCCTCGGCACCGTTTGCCTCTGTAACCTGTTCCTTGACATCCTTGTTTTTGTCGACGTCTTCGGTCTTTGGCGTCTCAATCAGACCTGGAACAGCGTCTCCAACCAGCGAAGCAACGATGAAACCAAAGATCATCATCACGAATGTCAGTCCTGCTAGGAAGTAGCCGACAAAGTAGCAGAGCTCTGGGAACCGCGTGAGAAACGTGTTTAAAGGACTGTCCATGAAGTCAGTAAAATAAAGGTCTGCCTCGTGCACGAAAGTCCAGAACACGTTGATGAGCTGTCCGACCTTTTCGGTGGCATACTCAACAATCACCTCCTTGTAGGCGCTGACAAAAGAAATTGCATCTTCCTTGTATGAAGGAGGGGTTTCTGGCTCGAACGCAGCCTTTGGAGCCTCTTTGGAGGCAGCCTCCTGTTCGATCTCGACCTTAGGTGTGAATGTCGCGTTTCCGATATACTCGGCCTCAGCAACATCATGACCAAGCAAAATGTTGTCAAACAAGATATCCTCACTCATAGTCCAAAGCTCGAAACCGATTCCTCCAATTGGCTCGAGGTCAGCAGGAGTCGCATCCTCGTAGTAGTCTGGGTTGGCGACAAGCCTTGGTGCCCATTCGCCCTGGTATTCGGGGTTGGGGATCAAAGGAGCAACGAACTTGCCCTTGTAGGCAGGATTCTTGATCTGAGGTGGAGACCAAGGGCCGCAACCGTGGTCTTGGCAGGCCGGGTTGGGAATCTCAGGTGCAAGCCATTCTCCATCTTCTTCCTCATCCCAGTCCTCTGGAATGGATGCTTCTGGATCTGGAATGTAGTCTTCAGCATCTTCATCCCAGTCATCAGGCTTCACTGCGTCCACATCATCGATGTAGAAAGGAGCCTCCTCATCCCAGTCAGCAGGCTTCACGGCTGTTGGGTCAGGGATCAGCTCCTCGTCAACCCAGTCAGCTGGTTTGAGATCGTTGGCATCTGCAATCTCCTTTGGAGGGTTGAAAGAAGGAGCAAAAAGAGACTCTTCAAACAAAGAGCCAGCTATGACAACATCGCCGTTGATACGTATCTCAAACTCCTGTTCAGGAGTGATGATCAGAGTGTAGAGGCTGGTAGTCTTCACTACTCGACTCATTGGAGCAGAAACGAGGTGCTTCTCCTCATATTCCCCGGTAATTGGGTTCTTACGCTTCAAGATCAAGTGGACCTTGTTGGTGGCACCACACCTGTCAGGACCAAACATGACCTGGTAAGGCGTCTCGTTGGAGAAATCACCTTCAAGCCCTTCAGCTGAAAGGAGCTTCACGTAGGCACCGCCACAAGTTAGTCCCTTCTGAAGCTTCACCTCATATTGAAGAACCAATGTTTTACCCTTGTTGTCGAAAGGCTCTGGGAGTTGCAGCGAAATTGCATGGTGAGCAGCCTCGGACTTAAGAACAAGGCCCTTGTCACCAGCAAAACCAGGGTTGACAGACGATTCCTCAACATTCCATTTGCCAACGTAAGCAAATTCACCATCACGTTTCGCATGCGAAACGACCCACTTTTTTTCCCAATCTTCGTCGTCGAAAGGCTCGAAAAATGAGTCTTCGTTCAGCTTAGCTATGGGGGAGTAAGTAGGGTGGTCGACAGCCGATTTCTCGGCCACAACCACACCGGGCATGGCCATGTAGGCACACAGAGCAGCAAGGACGCTTAGCTTCATTTGCAGACAAAAATGAGGAAATTTAATGAGAACAATGGAGAACACAGGTTAAAGAACGGAGAAGAACAGGGAAGAACAAAGAAGAACAAGACATCGCATCCAGCGACCGACATGCGCCACGTAGAGCGATGGCCCATGTGTCTTATCTGAGTGCGAAGCACAAATTATCGGATAGAGTTCCAACCTGAGGGCCGAGCTGGTGTCTACGACCAGGAGACTAATTGAGAGCTCAACATATTTGTTTGGCTCATTTAAAAGAATAAGATCGGATAACTGCATTCAAATTAATTCATCAATTAGTTTCATTTTGCGGCTGTTTTCCAGACGCTGACCGAAATGCCATTTTTCACCAGAGTGCTCCAGTCAAATTGGATATTGGTAATTACACGAAACTATCTCACCAACAGCTTCTTGGGATCCTGAGATTTTGACGTTTGCTTGTCTCTAGTCGTACTCTTATACACCACAAATCTGGATTGAAATTACACAAAATGCGGTTTGTCACCATTCCTATGAGGAGTAGTATTCAGGTCGCCAGAAGGACCTTTCACAGCTCCGTCCTACGTGCCAATACCGAGGTGGTGATTAAGGTGGAGCCCATTGCCCGGCCCAACGAGCCAGTGGAAAACAAGAGACGCAGGCTGCTGTATCAGTCGCGCAAGCGTGGAATCTTGGAGTCAGACTTGCTGCTTTCCACCTTTGCTGACAAGTATTTAGCCACCATGACTGCCGAGGAACTTGAAGAGTACGACAAATTGCTGGACGAACCAGACTGGGATATCTACTACTGGGCAACTCGCAACTTTGATGTTACGCCGTTGCCAGATAAATGGCGTGATAGCAAGATTCTTGCGCGACTTCAGGAACTGAGCGAAAACAAGGAGAACAACGTGCTGCGGATGCCTGATTTGTACTGAGTGGTTACAGATGCCAGACTCGTACTGAATGGCTGGTAATGCCTCACTTCAATAGCTGTATATATGGATGAAAACGATGCAATATTAATCACGGTGCTTGAAACCGTTCAATCGACAAGGTCAGCAGTAGAAACCACTTCGTCGTCGAGATCGAGTTCCTCAAGTCTTTCCAGTTGCTTTGCAGGCTGTTCTGTTTCAAACTGGCCCTTGAGCTCGTTGAACTCGTCTTCATTCTCTAGTAGAGCTTGGATAGAAATGACTCCACACTCATCGAATAACTCCAGGATGGCCTCCGCCGCTGGGACCTCCATTGAACCGAAAACTTTGTTGATTTCGTCCAAAGACCCGGTTCTGAGAGCCTCTTGCATTGAAAGCGGAATCTTTTCAAACGCAGCGTATTCGGCTGTTCCCTCTGGAGGAATGCTAACCACAAGCTCTGAGTTTGGATCCATCGACCGCAACTGGATTTGCTCAACACCTTCCTGACCTTCGTTGGCCTCTTCCTCGGCTCGAATTGTCTTGCAGCGGCCTATAATGTGCTCAAAAGTGCGCTTCACATCTTCCATGAAAATCTTGCGGGTCTGATGGTTGGGGTCAATGAGCTTTCCAATAAGCATTCCAACGGCGCGCACTCTGGCATCGCGAGAACCTCTGCTTCCTCCAGACAACTGGTCTGCAAACTGGATCAAAGTCGACTGGTGGACAATCTCATAAGCACGCTTAGAGTCTCCTGCCAGTTCAGCATCAAATGCTGTCATCAACAAAGCATCCTTTTGCTGTTCGCTGATAATGTAGGGGTGTCTCTCTAGGAACCTGCCTGATTCAAGGAAGTTGTCAGTGGAGATATGGGAAAAGGCCTCCGTTTCTTGCAGAACCTCGAGTTCATCAAGCTGATCCAAAGGCTTCGAAGGCCCAGCTTTTGAGCTGGCAACCGGGGTGTTGATAGTAGTAACCACTTTCTCCTCTGACTTCACGGTTTTGGTTGCCGTTGGTTGTGATTTGGGTGGCTCGGCACTTGCTGACTCGTCCTGCTTGTTGATGATTACCCGATTGAATCCATCGTGAATATCTTCACTAGAAATATGATCAGCCTTCTCCTCCAACAACCTGTCCAGCCTAGGCCCATTGTCTCTCAACACCTTGTCGATTCTAGCTCGATGAGACTTTAGCTTTTCCAACACTAAGTCAGGATTCTTTGGATCGTTACCCTCTTTCTTGATGTCTCCTTCAATCTGAGTAAACAAGTCCTCGATCATTTCGTTGTATGTGGGTGAATCGGGGTCATCTTCAAGAGAACACCTATCCGTGGGGTTGAACTTGGCTGCAATAAAAGCGTTTCTCTCGGCTTCATTTCCAAGGGAGCTATGAGGTAAGCCAGAAATAAGAGTGTCCATACGCTCATTTAACACCGTGTACATTTCATTCTGGATGCGGATCGTGTGGATTTCGCGGTTTCTCTGATCTCTCTTCTCGTGTATGTCACGTTGCTTCCACTTAATGAAAGAACGTTTGTCCACATTGGGGTGTACTTCGATATCGCTATCGTCAGACAGCTCAATCTTATCCCACTTTGAGTAGTCTATTGGCATCTCTAACTAGTAAAATACCTTTGTTGTTGGAGACTTTTCAGTAGCGGACTAGAAGGTGGTTCATAGAACGCTAAAGAAGACTGAAGAACGCGTAGTGTGATAATCAATGAAAGATGCCGGGCTGCAAACCACAGAGAACTAATCTGAAGGATATGGTCACCAGGCATTGAAAAGCGGTCATGTTACAATTTTTTGATTTTTTTTATTGATATGAGAATCTTGAATTCTCTGAAACTTTTCGATTAGTTGGTCTCTTGGGCTCAGGTTGGCAGTGTAGAGCGTATCAGCATGTGATATGATACCCGGGTTCGTAACCAAATGTGGTTGGACTCTCTCAAGGGAAGTTATCTTGTGGCTCACGAATTTTATTAAAGTATGAAAGGACGAGTTCATTATTTTAGAGTCCCATATTGTGTGTCACCAAGAATTGAATCATCTAATCGCTTCTCGTATCGGTCCCTCTTTCTAATACAGGCAGGCATGCCAATGGTCGTGACTGTCTCAACTCACCCCAACTCATCCCAAACTCCGAAAGGTTGAAACCCTACACAATCTATCCATCTTTTAACTTTACTCCCCCTCTCTCTCTCTCTCTTTGTCCAAAATGGATTACCTTAATTGGGATGCCGTTGAGAACGGAAACGATGACCAAGGTTTGCTGAATGGAAACCCTATCAAGTCCGAGCTGGGCGGATTTCCGGCGGAGGATGACCAGTTCGGAAGCACCGTTGGCTCGCTACCAGGGGGTGGAGATACAGATTTCCTTAACAGATTCAACTACAATGACCGGAGGCTTTCGCAAAGTCTGAACCCTCCGATGGATCGCAATGTGCGGACTTCTTTGTCAAGGGCGCTTGGCACCGAAAGGCAGCCTTCTAGAGACGAAGAAGGAGAGGATTTTGACAACGATCGGCGTCGATCAAGCCAGACAACTCCGCCTAGCGGTGCGTCATTTGAGCGCAAGAGAAAGGACAACATTAACGACAAAATTCAAGAGCTTTTGACAATAATCCCAAGGCCGTTCTTTGAGGAGTCGAAGGAGAAGTCGACGGGAACCAAGGATGGAAAGCCCAACAAGGGCCAGATCCTCACCAAGTCTGTGGAGTATATCCAACATCTCCAGAACGAGATTGACTCCCGCAATAGAAGAGAAGTGGAGCTTTCTATTAGATTGCGGGCTCTGGAGGTGAAGAAGAACATTCCCCAAGACAAGAGAGTCAACTTTCTACACACCAGTGCCGAGGTTGGACTAGCCAGCATTGGTGTGGGACCTCTTGCTGAGGCTCAGCATCAGGAGGAAGTGAGACACTCGTCTACAACTTCCATGTCGCAATCGCAATCCCCAAATAACGCCCGGACGTCAGTTTCGGCGAGCGCGTCACCGATGGGCAAGACAACGTGACCCAACGATATGTATGACTTTGTAATATAACGGTTTTTTAGTAAAAACTAGCAAAACTAGCTAATTTCACTCCAAACGTTGAGTTCAATCCATTGTCGAAATCTGCCCCGGACTCGGCTAAATTGCACCAGCCGGATTGCACCAGCCATTGTCTCCTGGCACAGCCACATGCGATGAGGTCTATCAAGCCATCCCTTGTAACACATATCATGATAGAACTCATCTACAAAGACTATCTATAAGACGACATTATTTTGAGCATCCTGCTTTACTATGGCTCTAAGATTTCTCAATAGCATACCTGGGGTCAACATTGGTGACGACAACTCTCTGAGCCTACCCACCTCAGTCCCCCAGGTGCCAACTCCAGCCAACGAGGCTGAGGCCTCTTTCAGCCATAGAGTGGCCTCCACGTTCCAACAATTGAACCCGTTCAGCGATTCCAACGGTGCTATTAGTCTCACGAGTGATGAGGTTGTTACGTCGGAACCTGGGCTTCTACATCGTAAGCAATTGTGCGATTCTGATCACTTTTAGACCGATTTTTCACCTACTAACCTTCCACAGTCTCCAAGTTCGAGAGGCTTTCCGTCTTCGCTATCACACTCGCAGGGTCCGCACTCTGTTTCATGCTCTGTTTCTTTCTGACGCCAGTATTCATGGTTAGACCGGCAAAATGGGTTCTTTTGTGGACTCTGGGATCAACCCTATTTCTGGTGTCATTTGGAGTGCTTCAGGGCTTTCGCAAGTACGCAGCCCATCTTTTTAGTGTACAGCGATTGCCTTTCACTGTGACTTATTTTGGCAGTATTGTATTGACCTTGGTGTTCTGTTTGGTTCTGAGGTCCGTTTTTCTGGCTTTCATCGCGTGTCTTGTGCAAATGGTTGCTGCCATATGGTACACTGTGAGTTACTTCCCTATGGGAACACGCGGATTACAGGTGACCACCGCGGTCGCAAGAAGTCAGGTGGAAGGTTGGTTAACTGGTTAGGTTGAAGTGTATATAAGAAAGGGATACTATGCCAGACTAATAAACCCTGAAGGCTTGTATCTTGCTTAAGGCGTATGGATCAACAGCGCTTTCAATGGCCTCAAGCTTGTTCTCCAGGTCGCTCTTGGTTTGCTCTGCAACAAATTCCAGAAGTTTTTGGAGAATTTCCGTTATAGCACAAGCCGTTTCTGGTGTGCTTCTCGAAAGATAATGGTCCACCACCTTGGAAACCAGCTTGGAACTTTCATCCTCACCCGCAAAGGCAGGAAATCTTTTTCCAAGCCCAAGCAAAAGCAGCTTTTTCAGTGGAGCAACAATTGATTCGTCATTAGTAGCAACCAGCTTGAGTTCCAGTAGAAGAGGAGCAATATGAGGGTGTTTGTCGTTGGTCAATTCAGACAGCTTAGAGACGCATCCGTTGGAGACCAGATACTTCTTCTGGATCTGGAAGATTTTGAAACCTAACAGATTTGTGCAGATGAGCTCCTTGTCAATCTTGTCATAATAAGGCACCAGCAAATCGACTCCATTTTTGTCCTTGTAAAGCGATTCAATGTAGTTCAGTCCAATGGCATCATTATCCTCAGAGTATGGAGCCGTCTTGGTGATAACTTCCTCGCGTCTCTTAGCGTTTTGCGATTTGGCTTTCTTGGTCCTCTTGCTTGAAGGAAGCATTGGAGCGGTTTCGAACCCAAACGGTCTGCCCTCTTTGATGTCTCGGTCAACATCAAGATGTATCTTGGCCAGGCCCATGATAGCTCTCACATACATTGGGCTTCCATACAATCTGTCCTCCCACTTGATGGTGTCGATGTAAGCTCTTGGGGTACCTCTTCTCATACAATAAGAGTGGAAGTCCATCTGATCGCTGAAAAACTCATCGTAAATCTTGGTGATTGCAATGAACCGTTTAGCAGAAAGAGCCTTGAATTCGGAAATCTCATCTTCGAGAACGTTTCTTGTAATGATGGTTTCTTCATCATCAGCATCCGCTGATCTGTTAAATTCCTCTAGTTCTGCCAGTTTGGCAAGGAATAGTCTGTAATAGGCTTCTCCATTCTCGGTGATGAACCAGATACTCTGCATCACATGTAGGTCCTTGATTCCGTTAACAGCACCCTCATCGTTCTTGGTGAACAGAGAGATCGTCTTGACAGCACTGTCTATCAAGTTGGCACGTAGATAGTATTTGGTGGCTTTGGAGTTGATGAAACGGTCCTGTAGATCCAAAGATCTGCCGGAGTCCATCACCTCAGCAGCCTCTTGCAATTTGTTGAAATGCTTCAGAATTCTGGCTTTCGCAACATAAAGCTCCACCAATGTGGGTGTGTGATCAATGGCAAGATTGATATACTCTAAAGCCTTGGAAAGATTTTTGACGTGGAGATGGTGTAATGCCAGGTAGTATGCAGTCCAGCACCAAGTCAAAGGGGACACTTTCGCGGCCTCGTTCTCGAAAAATTTGGTAACAATCTCCAAAAATACTGGGACGTTGGCCTTCTTTCTATAGAGTGGTTTCACGTTCACGAAAGCAGAAGGAACACCTCTTTTGAGCTGGGAAAGGATGTAAGACTCAGCAGCCTGCTTGAAATCATCACCAGTAAGAAATGTCAGAGGAATGAACTTCACCGGCTCTGACTTCGGGTAGAAACGACCAAGCTTCTCGTAAAGAGCCTTTCTGACAGCAACTGGCTTGGTGGTGGTTCCCAAAGTCTCTTCCAGCTTGAGGTAGTAATCCTGGTTGTCTGGGTTTCTTTGGAGTAACTCTCTGTAAACAACAGAGGCCTCCTTATTTCTTCCAAGAGATGTCAGATAAAATGCCTTAGACTCCAAAACAGCCACGCCATCCCTGGCCCAGTCCTTGATCCTTTCAAGATCATCAAGAGCTCTCTGGTGATCTCCTGTCTCGCCAATGATCCGATTCAAATACAAAGTGCACTCGGACTGCTCGTAAAGGTCCGCCTCGGAGTAATTGCCCTTAACCATGTTCTCAAACTTGGTCAGAACTCTCTCAGCAGCAGCATGATCCTTGTTCAGATGATAAGCAGTTGCCAGGGCGGTCCAGTTGGCCCTGTAAGCTGGTTGGTCTTCAAGATATGCCAACCGCGACTTGACTAATCCCTTGTAATCCCTGATCTGTGACTGGACAGACGAAAGATCTCTGAGAATGTTCTTGTTGGAGCTTCCATGCTCAACGGCACCGGAAAACCATTTTGCCGCCTCCTTCAGGTTGTTCACAGCACGGTAGTAGATGCCCGAGATATGGTTGACGATCACATTGTTGTCGTCTTTGGCGATTCCCTTCAAGATGTAGGATTCGGCCTCTGTTAACTCGTTCAGGTTGTACAAGAGAAGTCCCTTGAGCGAAAAAGCTTCGGCGCTAGGAGATTTTTTCAGCAGCACGTCCAAAATCTTCAGAGCCTTACGGTACTGCTTTGACTCGTAAAGTTTCAGCGCCTCGCGGAACTGCGCATCTTCCTTGTTCGTCTCGAGAACTTTGCCCAAACGTTTCTTAGGAGGCATTGTAGAGTGGCTCTAGGGGTTTTTCAGACAAAAAAGTAAAAAAAACGGCTGGGTGAGCATAGAGATATCCATTTTCTTGTCTGGGGTTTCGAGGCTCGACGAGAGAAGAAGAGTAGACTGGCACGTGATCTTTCAAGTCACGTGATTGTTTTTCCATATCAAGAAGACACTCTGGATCTCACCTAACGCACTATCGTGTTTAACAGTACCAAATGACTTATCCAATCAGCTACGATTCCACCACTAAAAAGGTGACGCTGGATGACGATGTTTCCGCGTCGCAATACAAAGATCTCCAGGTGGAGCTGTCGCAGCTCAACACACTGACGTCAGAGCTGGTGTCCAACGGAGGAGACGTGCCTCCTGCACCCTCTAAAGAATCCTACAATAAGTCCCTCTCGGCTATGACTAAGAAAATGCATGAGGCAGCGGTTTCCTCGATGAAGACACAGAAATTTGCCGATGCAGCCAAGCAGTTTGGTCTTGCGCTGGAGATGGCCAGTCGCCGCGCCAAATTTGAGTCGTTTCAGCTGACGATCCCGGAGGTGGCTGTGTGTCTGAACGGACGCTGCGATGCCAACTTGATGGCAGGAAACTTTTTGGATGCATATAACGACGCCGAGATTCTGACGAACATCATGCCCAACGTGCCAGACCACTTCCTACGAAAGGGTGTGGCTGCACGGAATCTTGGCCGCCTTGTGGACGCCAAAGCCGAATTCGAGCGTGGGCTTTGCTTTAATGAGTCTCACCCAAAGCTCCAGGCAGAGTTACAGAACATCGTGGTGAAAATAGCAGAAGAAAACGGTGAATAATAGCTAGGTAGTTTAAAGAAGTGTATGACACAAATACCAACCGAACGTGTACCCTTCAACTTTTTGGCGCGGATGCGGCAAGTACAACAGTAGAAAGAGCCTTGCGCGCTGATACTTTGCCTCTTTCACTAGTTCAGATAGCTTAACTCTCGTCTAGGATACTTGTGGTTCTCCACTATGGATGCGATTGCCGCACGTGACGTTGTGGACCTCGACGACACGGATTACAGCGATGAGGCTAACGCTCCGGTAGATCGCTACGAGGGACGTTCTTTGGGAGATGTCTCAACTTTGCCACAAGATCGCCTGAGCAGCTTATATAACTCCAGGGGGGCTGTTGGTACTAGTTCTAATACGTCTGTTCAAAGCGTGGAATGGAAGCCCGTGGTAGCAGGTGATGGTGATGAAGTTGGTGCCTCGCTACGTGAAGTCTTAGAACCCGAGCCAAAGAGGCAAAAGCCAGAGATAATCGACCTGACGGAGCTAGACTCTGATGATGACACTGGTTTTACGCCATTGAATACTTCTCGGATTGATTCCAGGTTGCCACCACAGATACGACCACAGCCACCATCCTCATTGTTTGGATGGACCGCGCCTCAATCCACACAAACGAGAGAGATATACCCCAGTAAACACACAGAAGACTCTGACGACGAGATAGAGATTCTTTCCGAGACCAGAGTCTCGGGCCCTATGCAGGAGTCGCCTCAGCTGGTCTGGGAGAAGGTTTCAAGGGCCTATGAGCAGAAGGTAGAGGAATGGAAGATGGTCCACGAGAGCATGAGGAATCTGGGCAAGGCGATGGACTTCATGCGCACAATGGCGAACGAGGTAATTGGAGATGCTCAGCTATCCGCTGCTCACGAGGCCCAGGTCAGGAGCTATACGCAGCAAAGAGTTGATCTGGCTGCGAAGGATCGTGAGATCGCACGAGAAATTGGTGTCCTGAAAGAGATACGCGGCAAGGCGCATGCGGCCTTTATGAACTGGGCTAGCGAGAACATGCCATCATTTAGAGATCAATATTCTGATGCTCTGGCCCAAAGTTCGCGTGTCAACGACCATCGTGGTTTCACCAGCAATGTCTACACGCAGTTGCATCAGACAGAGTCCCAGAACATTGAGAATTTGCTGAAGATTGTCCAAGAGGATGAGAAGGAGGGGATGGCTTTGACACCACCAGAGTTGACAGTTCAATTGCTTCCTCACCAGCGTATTGGTTTGTCATGGTTGCAAAGGATGGAGAAGTCAATCAATAAGGGTGGTATTCTGTCCGATGATATGGGTCTTGGTAAGACGGTCCAGGCGATCGCCTTGATGATAGCTAACAGATCGGTGATTCCACGTTGTCAGACCAATCTTGTGGTGGCGCCGGTGGCCCTTTTGCGCCAATGGCAGGCTGAAATCATGACCAAAATCAGCGAGGAGTACGAGCTCAAGGTGCTGATCTATCACCAATCTGACAAAGTGTCAAATTTCTCTCAGTTGCAGAAATACGACGTCGTGCTGATCTCCTATGGAACTCTGAGTTCTGAGATGAAAAAACACTATGGTAAATCCTTGGAGGCGGCTGGAATTTCTAAGAGTGCCAACTTTTTGCCAGATATCGATGTGGAAACCGATACGCCGTCACCTTTTTTCGGCAGTTCTAATGCCTTTTATAGGGTGATATTAGATGAGGCGCATCTCATCAAAAACAAATTGACTCTTGCATCTAAGTCAGTGGCCCTTTTGAGCTCTACCTATCGTTGGTGCCTCAGCGGAACTCCCATGCAAAACAGTATCGATGAACTTTATCCTTTGATGCGGTTTCTGCGGATTTCACCCTATTCGGAGGAACGCAGATTTAAGCATGATATCTCGGTTCCGATGAAGAAGGGCAATAGGGATGTTGACGATGCACTGGTGAGCAAGAGAGCCATCCAGAAGCTCCAAGTTTTGCTGAAGGCCACTTTGTTGAGACGAACGAAAGACTCTAAAATTGACGGTAAGCCTATCCTCACTCTTCCACCAAAGGTTATTGAAGAATGCATCATTGAAATGTATCCTTCCGAGCGCATGTTCTACCAAGAACTTGAAAACTCGAGTGCGGCTATAGCAGAAAAGATGCTAAACAAAGAGGCCAATATCAGCTACAGTAACATTTTGGCTTTGCTCTTGCGATTGCGGCAATCGTGCTGTCATAATTACATGGTTCGAGCAGCCGAGCCGGATCCTACCGCCAGTTACGCCAAAGAGAATTGGAAACACATCTACAGTTCTGCGGCGCAATTCAACAGATCCGTGGTGACCAGAATCAACAGTGAGGCTGAAAGTGGGGTCACCTGTCCGTTCTGCTACGAGGAAGTGACTAATGACGGAGTCTACTTTTTCGGCGGATGTGGGCATCCGATCTGCGCCGATTGTATGCCGATGTACTTTGAGAAGTTCCAGGAAGGTCAAACCGAGGAACAGGCTGGAAAGAGGTCGGCCAAGTGTCCAACTTGTCGTTTAGTCACGAAAGAGGACGCAGCCGTAGACTATGATGCTTTTGATGCCATTTGCAATAAACGGATGGATCTTGCAGAATTCAAAAAACACATAGACAAGCGTGTGACTGTGACTTTGAATGAAAGACAGGAACGTGTCCATCAATTGATGGACAGAAACGGAGGTGAACTCGAGCATTCGGCAAAAGTGGATGCTGCTGCGGACCTCGTTCGGAAGATCTTTGTGGATTATCCCGACGAAAAGATTATCATCTTCTCGCAGTTCACGTTTCTCTTCGATATCATGCAAATGGTACTAGATGCCGATGGAATCTCGTGGTTACGATACGATGGAACCATGCGTTCAGATCAACGTAATGACTGTGTAACTCGCTTCTACAGCGAGCCTGAGAAGAAGGTGATGTTGATCTCACTAAAGGCTGGTAATGTTGGTTTGACTTTAACTTGTGCTTCGCATGTCATCATGATGGACCCGTTCTGGAATCCGTATGTTGAAGACCAGGCTACTGATAGAGCTCATCGGATTGGCCAGAATACAGAAGTTCACGTATATAGGCTTCTTGTGAAGGATTCTGTTGAGGATCGTATTCTCAAACTTCAGGAGAAGAAGAGGGAGCTTGTTGGTGGAGCTCTTGACGAGGAAGGCATGAAGGCGGTGAGCCGTCTTGGTAGGCGTGAAATGGGATTTTTGTTCAATATTCAGGCCTGACCTTGATAAATGGCGCCGGCCGAAAGCTTGGGGGTTTGAAGTTTTCGGCTTTATAATTACGTTTAATGAAATATTGTTGACTACGCAGTTCATGTCCATATGATCGTCCCTCTATTGCAAAGTGGTAAATAACGTATGGAGAATACAACTGTATTGTATGCAACCATGTAACGCACGGAAAGAAGTAAAAAGGAGAAGTAGAAGGGCAAAAGAGGGGCCAGAACCATGGAGGATCTGGCTGAGCAGCATTATTTGCAGTTGCAACGGAAAAACCAGGAACAGGGCAAGCAACAAGAACCCTAAGACCGGAAAGCACAAGATGAGATTCGATATTAGTGCGATGCTAGACAGGCATTGAGAGGGCAAATTGAGTAAAGCAGGTACTGTCCATGTCCAAATGGATTGGCTCATCTCGACTATTTCGATCATAAACCAAACCAGTAGCTAAACTAACCAATCAGGGAACCAGTAGCCAGATATAGATTAGCATAGACTGGCCAAAGTATTTGCTATTTTCAAGCGAATAATCCAACGATATTAGGGTAACAGAGTTATGGATTTGGTCCGAAATCAGAGCTGAAATAGCGAGCAGCAAAGACAAGTAAACACTCTAGTGGGCACTCTAGTGGACGCGCTAGTAAATTGGCAAAGCAGCAAGTACTAAAATACCACCTTCAACCGAGAAAATCAATCTAGTGAGTAGAATGACCGCGATGATACTTGAGACCATTGAGATTCTTATAGCGCTTTCCGCAAACTTCACATCTATAAGGCTTATCCTTCTCCATTCCAACCCCATCAGGATATGGCGTATTGCTTTCTGGATCCAGAATCGAAAAGGTTCCATCGTCATTCTCCTGGAGCGTCTGGTTCTGATGGCCATGCAGACGGTGGTACTTGAGGCCGTTCTGGTTCTTGTAGGTCTTCTCACAACCAATGACAGGACACTTGAAGGGACGATATTCGCCTCTTTCGTTGACATACAGATGGCGGGCCGGATCATCAATACACATTTCGTCATCCTCGTCTTCATCCATGGCAAAATGCTGCTGCGGGGAGTTGTCGATGTCCATGTCGCCGTGTTGGCGGGCATGCGCGAGATGTGAGTGACCATGCTGCTGGGGGTGTTGTTGGTGCAGTTGGTGCTGATGTTGATGCTGTTGCTGTTGTTGTTGCCGCTGTTGCTGTTGTTGCCGCTGTTGTTGCTGCTGTTGTTGCTGGTGGTTCTGGAAGTTCTGCTGCTGCTGGCTGAACATCGTGCGGTTACGCTGCTGCGGCAGTCCATGCGACGCAGTTCCAAACCCAAATCCACCGCTCTGTTGGCCTAGAATGCCTGAGTTAATGTTCTGAAGCGATTGCTGGTTGTTCAGCGAGTGCGTAGGAGCAGGCCCGACACCCAGATCCATTTGGTCAGCACCAGTAGGGGCGAGAAACACCTCATTTGTGGAAACTGTATCCATAGGATGGTTGATGGGGCGCGCGCGAGGAGTCTCTAGTGGTGGAGAGGGCTGGATGTGGGTTTCCTCATAGTGTCTTAGCAGATCGTGAAGTGTCGGCAGCAGTTGGCCACAACAGGAGTAGTCCTTGCAATAGTTTGCCTCCAAATTTGCCAGATATGCAGAATTTCCAAAAGAAGGCGACATTCCCATTCCCGAAGAAGTTCCGAGAAATGATGAAGCGGTCTGGTTCATTGCAGCGGCATGGGGCTGGTTGTGGGCGTTGATGGAAAGAAGGTTGCGCAGACTGTTTTGATTACCCATGGTATTCTGGGGCAATGGCTGAGCGTTACTCTGTGCATTGCCCTGATTATGGTAGTTGCTCAAGAGCATCACCTCCTCCTTGAGCCAGGAGCCGATGGTGACGGAACCCCAAGAGATTCCTCCCATTCCCTGTGAGTGGGCTATGCTCTCCCTGCGCATTCTTGGATTCTGGAAAACGGAACTGTTGTTGCGCTGGTACGCAATGTTGATCGGCTGAGACTCAGTCGAGGCATTGGGAATGGCCATAGCCGACGTCTGCGAAAACATCGAGGCTGAATCTCCCATTAGACAAACTTTAGACTGGTAGGTGCAAGGTGCACTCTGTGGCAAGAGCTGTTGTTGGCCTTTTTTTCTGATTCAAAAAAACCGGGGCACTTCTCTTCACTCGACTCAACGGCTGGTGAGTAGCTTTTGCAATATTTGGCTTCTGGGACTGATGTCGTTCTTGTTAAGCCCTTGCTGGAATTTCTGGCGGCGGGGGGTCTCTGAAAGTGAGCTGTTCGGATAGCTAGCCGGGTTTCTAAGGTACGCGAATCGTTTCAAAGACGGCTGATATCTGGGCGTATACCAGCTAAAATAACTTGATTATCCTGCGTTGCAAGTGAATTACTGGCGCTGTGGAGGATAAATGGTGGCAATGGGTACAGACCAGGCGGCCTGTCTGGCTCTGGCCTCTGCCAGGGTGGTGAAACTTGGTGTAAGCACGATCTCGGCATGGTTCAAGAAAAAGAAATTACAGTCCTGTTACCCGATTGGGTGAGTAGTCCGTGCTGGTTGATGCACTCAAGGGAAATATGTTATGGGCGAGAACAGCAGTTCTGATTGCCAGAACTTGTTTAACCAACATTATTTGTTGTCTATGAAATGCTGGTAGTTTTATTCTTGTTTTCTCCAATACTGGCTACTTTGACTATCCATGTCACTCATGACCAACACCGGCCCTCAATGTCAGCAGCCGGGTAACCCTCAGCGGACGCTGCCGAAAGCGGAAGAGTGCCTTAGGACTGAGGACGGAGGATCAGGACTGCATGTCCAATGGGCAATTAATGAAATGAAAGATCATCCGAAGACCCAATAGATACACCAAGAAGTAACGATTTCAGGATGATGGTATCATTTGAAGTTGTCTATATACTTTCATGAAGACAACTTCTGTTCCTACGCATGGCTTTAGCTTCTTTAGCGTACACTAACGGATCTGCTCTTCACATGTGGCTCAGCTGGCTCAAAAGGGATGAGAAAGCAATTTATTTTTGGTTCTGCGTGCGTTGAGTGAAAAATTGTTGGAAGTTGGGGCAGGCACATTGGCGGATAATTAGACTGGTGGCTTGATCGGAGTGTGTTGGAGTCCTTTGTCTGATATTGGAGTGTGATATTCTTGAATATCGCATTGTAATAAGTGAGAGTACGATTTTGAGGTAAGTGGCTTAAAGTAGACGGTCGTTTGGCTGAAGCTCAGTTTGATGGAATCTGGTGACTTTGGCCAAGCTTGCATGCTGTCCTCGAGGCTGTAATGAGAAAGACACCTTTCTGGTATGTTATTGCTCGTTTTGCAATACTATACAGTATTGCTGTGAGACTCCAGTTATAGCAAGGGGCCGTCAGCAGAACTCAGTGAATACAAGATCTCTACTCAATTGCACATAATAACCTTCCCCGCCCCGAGTTTAATGCACCCCAACATTCAGTGTCAGCAAATATTCAAGATCCATAGTTTCGCGTATCTCGTCTTGTTTGCCCAGTTTTATTTAAACTGCCGAACCGCCTGCTCGAAGAGGCTAAAAGTCATAAGAACCCGCCGCTGAGCCATGCTCACTACGCTAGCATCCGATTTATTCCCACACTATCTCTGTGCATAACGCCTATTCGCGGTATCTCTACTAGCGTACACTCCCTCACTCAGTACTTTATTGTCTATCATCATTTATTTACTTAGCCGTACACACGTATCAGTATTTCTCACGGTATCACGAATTTATCTTGATATCATTAAAAATTTGACGTCTCAGCGAACGATCTATTCCCCCCACTATCCACGCATCGTTATCTATCTAGACTACCTCTTATCTCTACTTCCTCAAGTCTCTTATGGATTTTTACATTGTCTCTACTTCTCCTTCAATATCGCAACTCCACTCATATTCCCATGCTAACCTAGGTTTCGGTCACTCTTTCCCGAAATCTTCGGTGATTGGAATATTCCTTTTCCAGATCCGATTTGCTTTTGTAGTGCTGCAACCACTCTCCGCACGGACGCACGGCATGTCCGCCTCTGTTATCGTCATTGTATGTCACCAGCTGTTGCCACTGTACCCCATTCTAAGCCAATATCGACTCGTTTTACTTGCTTTGTGCCCACTTATCGCAACTCAGTGATCTTGAGCTGATATCCGGGTCTGCTTCTTGGTGAATTTTGGGTGCCTCCATAAGCCCCACGGATTCCCCCCGCTTGCTATCGCCTCCTGCTATCGGCTTAAAGGCTTAATAGATACCTCACAGGGATCAATATTGGCTTCGTAAGAAATGGCTGACAACGAATCTACGGGACTTCTAAATGCCGTATCGAACAGAAATGGCACCATAGACAGGTCACTTGCAGACGACATTATCGAAGAAGCCGCTCTTCATCGCCATGACGTTCATCCGAAGAATCTTACTCGCACGTACTCCGATGCTATTGATGATTCAGACGAGTCAGAGGATCTCCGGTGGTTGAGAGAGCAAAGGGTCAAGAACCTGGACTTACCCTGGTTCAAAAGACCGAGTGTGACACTGTTATCTGCGTTTGCTTTCATTTTTACATTTGCTATGGCATCGGGGTTTTCTGCCCAATTGAATATTTTGTTAAGCAAAATCTGCTTTGCCATCCAAAGCCATGTTGATTCAAACCCTGAAGGCTCAAAGGTATTTTTTATCTCGTTGGAGGTAGACGGTAAGTGCGATCCGGCCAAGGTCCAGAAAGTTGTTTCGATGCTCCAAACAGCTACGCAACTGGTCTCTGGATTCATTCCAACTGTTCTGTCAGGGACTCTAGGAAGACTCTCCGATAGATATGGAAGGCGTCCATTGTTTATCGCTAATGCGTTCTTCTGTTTGGCCAGTAAATTTTTCACGACTTTCACATTGCTGCCCAGCACGCCTTTCATGCCATGGCTGTATGTGTTTGCTCAATCGACTGAATGTATCGGTGGAGGATTGTTTTTTCTGATGGCTCTTTGCAACAGTTATGTAACTGATGTGGTTGAACCCGACCTACGCATCTCGTCAATGGGATCGACTCTGGCGCTGACGTATCTGGGGCTGTCGGCGGGTCCGTTGGTGGGCTCATTCATCTCCAAGGCGTTTGCCGATGGAGGATGGCACCAAATGTACTTTGCAATTTCCATGTCCGTTTTGGTTTTTTGTCTTGCATTGGCAATGCCAGAGTCCCGTTCTAGTATGGCCCGCAGCAAGTCGCGTTCTCAGTCGGTTGTGTCGAATCGCGCTCGTGAGGTCAGACTCGCCATGGCCTCTTCTCATCACGACTACCTCAGGGAACTTCGAAGCTCTGTGGTGGAACTCTTTTCACCTCTGAAGTTGCTATGGATATCTAGACGTCTCCCCGATGGTCGTATCGATCTTGTGGCTCGTGTCAACGTTCTGATCCTTGTCGCTCTCGATTGCATCATCACCCTCTGCTCCGTGGCTTTTACACCTCTCATGATCCTGTACGGCACCTTCAGGTTCAACTGGACCTCTGTGGAGATGGGTTACCTTCTCACGCTTTCTATGGCAGCTAAATCCTTCTCGCTGTTGGCTTTTTCCCCTGCTTGCGTTTCCTATCTCAAACGTCGTTTCGTGGTGGAGGTCCATTCTGTTGACAATCTAGATAGAACCATGATAGTGTGGTTCTTGCTTTTCGAAATTGGTGGGTCCTTGTTGTTGCTACTGGCTGGGTCTTCGTTTGTCTTCATGCTTTCTAGTGGAATTTCCGGCCTTGGATCCGCTGTTACTCCGGCTCTCCATTCGTCGTTGGTCAAACATTGTTCTCAAGAGCGCACTGGTGAGGTTTTTGGTGCAATTGCGTTGTACAAGAGTCTATTGGTGCTGACGATTCCGCCGTTGCTCAACTTTATTTATTATAGAACTGTTGAGACGCATGCTGCTGTTTGTTTCTATATTCAGAGTGTGCTTTTCATAACTGTTTTTGCGATGTCGTTTTTGCTGAGGACTGAGAAGGAGGTGGAGTTCGACGAATAACTAGAGTGTTTTGTGTGAATTCTTGAACTTGAGCTTGGGTAAATATCCAATGATTGGGTCACGAGGAGATCAAGAGTTTACTCGAAAGCTCAACTAATACCTATCATGAAAGTATCTTGCTGAGACGATAGTCTACGAGGAGACCAAAATTGAGGCGAGCCGTGCTTGTCCGCTTCATAGACCACCGAGATCAGCTTTCGTGGTTTGCTTCATGTTTTTAAAAGAGCGAATAATTATGGAATTTTTAAAGTAGCGAATCCAGCTTGCCGGTTGAGTTGAAGCATTTAAAGCCTGAGGTCCCAAAGGTGGATACAGAAACAAAGGTATAATATAGATATGGGGATTCGACTATGGTGTCTAAGGAATTTCCTTCCTAAATTATGATCTCTCTGTCAATATTCCTTTTCACCCCTCCGGATCAAACTGTGCAAGATGCATGTTTGTCTCATCCACATCGGACCAATCAACCTCCACCTTAGGCCTGTATTTCGACAGATCTGTGTTCTTCAAGATTCTGCTCTTTTCGCCCTTCCACGAGCTGGTCATGTCCTCGAATGCCTCATCCCAGGACTTCTGGTATATCTGCCTCAACTTGGCCTCCTGCTTCTGGCGCTCCTCTTCCTGCGCCATCCACTCCATATGCTTAAGATCATCGGACGACGGCTCGTAGATATGCCATATCACATAATGCGGTAGTCCAACCACGTTGAATCCCATCCGCTTACATAGTTTCCCGAACGCCTCTGTTTCCGCGTGCTTTTCAAACGAAAATGCGGGAAAATGAGATCCATCTTTGAACACTTTTGCCCTTGACAAGATTGAAACTCCTCCAATTCCATCGAGACTCATCTCCACCTCGGGGTCGCCGTATGGATCACGGAGGTAAGCAAGATGCGGCCTCCACGTTGCATACTCCACGTAACCTTCAACAATGACAGAATCTTCATCCAGGGTAGATGCTAGCTGGAGTCCACCATCGCTTTCCTGCCATGAGTTGAGATCGTACGGCTGTTGGTTGCCCAGCCAGTCAGGAAGCGGTCTCCAGACATTGGGCACTATCACGTCCTTGTCATGGTGCATGAGGTCTTCTATGATCGTAGGAGGAATCGTCTCAACATCGACGTCTCTCCAGTACACGTATGAATGGTATGGCTTGATGGCTACCGAAGACAACCAGTTACGCGCGCGTGCCATCAATTTTCGACGCGGTCCCTGTGCCGCAAACCCGTGTCTATCTGAGAAACTCTGACCTATAGCTTGGCCAAAGTCCTTCTCAAAAATCTCTATGTCACCAAAATGCATCGACTTGTCCTTGTGAGTCTGTAATTGATGTAATCTCTTCTGCAACACACCCATGGTGTCATCGGAAGAGTCGGAGACAAGGAATGCCAGATCGACGAGACCATGAGGGTACGTCATGTTCTCGAGATGTCCGAAGAACATGGGCAGATGTAAAGCGGCATCTCTCAGCGGCACGCAGAAGAGCACGCGCTCTTCGCGCTGCCATCCATCCTTCGAGCCAACGTAATTTTTGAGGTCGTAGTACTCCACTTTTAAGTCTGTATCAAAGTGTGGAAAGTAAAGGTTGCCAAAGTTGCTGAATGCTAGGGCATAGCCCACCAGGGAAATCAGCGACACCATACCGAATACTATCACACCCTTGAGAGTTGCGGCCATGTTAACTCTTTTATATCCGCTCGCAGACGGTCTGGTGAAAGTTAGTAAAGTTACTGAAGTTCCAAGCTTGGGAGCAAGGAGCGATTGAGCAAATTCATTGACTTTTTGGGTCTTTTGGATATCAAACAATCGCAAAAACATCAGAGACGAAATCGCCAAGTGTTTTTCTTTCCTCCCTCAGTTCCCCAACTTTGAAAATACTCACCTCAACATGTGTGCATCCATAGTGATTATCTCCGTTGACATGCTCCGTCAAACAGTTCTCAATCTTCAAGAAAGTGACCCAAAACAAATAAATATGGCCAAACAAAAAGGACCTGAAGGTCTGGTAAGAGAAACAAAGGAAGTGAACGAACAAAGCAGCTCCTCAAAACAAGCAAAGAGTCTAATTAAACCCGAATTGGATTGAAATTAAACCAATCCGGTCAATGTGGAGAAGTCCAATAGCTTCCTGGCACTCTAAAATGTGGGAAAATGTCTTGGACCCTTGTGTGGATCGCGAGTTTTTGCGGTGTTGCGTTTGTGTGTTTTTGTGTATTTATAGACTGTCGTTCTCCGAATAGCTGAAGAAGCCAGCTCTTGAGCTTGCACTTTAATAGCAAATACAAGCAGCTAGAGAATCAGATCAGCGGCACGTTCTAACGCGCTAAACAATGTAAATAACACTCTGATAACTCGAAAAAAAGTTGCAGATGCCAGCAAAGCTGACTTGGCCTTGTTTGGGCGTCACTAAATCGGAACTGGTGCTGAGGTCGTGTGCGCGCGGGTGTAGGTTCCTGCCTTCTCCAGCACATGCTGATTGAGTGGTATTCGATGGTATATGGCGGTTTCGAGGTATACTGAAAACATTCGGAGTAACTCTTGGCCTAGCATGTTTTAATACTCCTCTTCCAGCTTGAGATCATTGGCAAATCACCAGTCTGACGTTTGCATCTCGTAGCTTGGGTTGCGTGCGGCGCTTAGAAAGTCACGTGCTCTTCTCCGCCATTGCACTTCAAGACTTGCCAAAACCCGCATACTGGCTTCCATTTTTCCCCGAAATCAACATAATGACTGAAGAATCGATATCGGTGGCGTGTCAGGAAGGAAAGTTGCTTACAGTTAAGTCACTGCTGTCACGGGACCCAAGACTGAGTATCAAGCCGGACAGTGATGAACGGTACCCTTTGCACTGGGCAGTGTCCTACCAGAGGGTGGAGATTGTAAAGATGTTACTCGATCCTTTCGTGGTTTCTTCTAAGGAAATATCGGGTGGTGAATCAGCCACGGATTTACGACCCAAAAAGTTTGATATCGATATCGACGACATGGTGGATGGTGGTGGATGGACACCCCTGCATGTCGCCGCCTCTGTTGGCAACATAGAAGTTCTGGAGCTTTTATTGGCGCATACACCCAAGCCTGACGTAAACCAGCAAACTTCAGGTGGCCAAACCCCATTGCACTTTGCTGTGAGCAAAAACCTGCCTCAAATAGCTGAGGTTCTGGTGTGTAAGGCTGGGGCATCTACACGTCTCAAGGACAAATTGGGCCAATATCCGATACATCGAGCCGCTTCTATTGGATCTTTGCGGTTGTTGAAGCTACTGGTGGAGCATGGAAAGTCTCCTGTTGGTGCTAAGGACTCTTATGGCTGGACGCCGATGCACCATGCCATGGCAGAGGGCCACGGCGATTTCGCGGTTGAGCTGGTGAAACTTGGGGCAGACCCGCATGCAGTGGACTCTGAGGGCAAGACTCCAGTTCAAGTGGCAGTTGATGCTAAAGTGGCTCAATTTTTCAGGGAAAATTGTGATGTGTAGTTAGGAAGAAGCAAAGGCGTAAAGAGCACAAATGTTATGTAATCAAGAAATTGTTGCTTACGTAATGAGAGTGCGATGCCTTCCAGCTGCTTCTAGAGGAAATTTGAAAAATATTTCGGACCGTGATGCCCTTAGTAAGCCTCTAACCCTAACTTTCCCAGTGCTTCCCATGAGAAGGTCCGAACTCGAGAATTCAACCGTGAAAAAACAAAAGGTGATGTCGGAAAATAACAAGGAACTATTTTCAACGGTGGGTGCCGCTGCCCAGGAGATTGACGATGAACCAACACAGCAGAGCCAGGGCCAGAATGAAGGGCTTCATCAGACTGGAGCAGCCGATGCTGAGGGCCACCCAGTCCAGGAAATAGAGTCTTTGTGTATGAACTGTCACAAAAACGGAACTACCCGTTTGCTCCTGACCTCCATTCCGTTCTTCAAGGAGATTGTGCTGATGTCTTTTGAGTGCCCCCACTGTGGCTTGAAAAACTCGGAAATCCAGCCAGCCTCAGAGATCCAAGAGAAGGGTTCCAGATACGTGTTGAAGATTGAGGGCAAATCTGATCTCAATAGACAGGTAGTCAAGTCCGAATCTTGTGTTTGTAAGTTTGTGGAGCTGGATCTGGAGATCCCCGCAATGAGAGGTCAGCTTACTACCGTCGAGGGTTTGCTGAGTGAGATGATTGATGATCTTAGTGGTGACCAGGAAGAGAGACGCACCAAGCAGCCAGAGATATATGAGAAGATTGCTCAGTTTATTGCCAAGGTGCGTGCTGTCATTGACTGTGATGCTGGTTCGCTTCCACAGACGCTTTTGCTGGATGATCCAGCTGGTAACTCTTGGATCCAGTTCGTTCCTGGAGAACCTCAACATAAGTGGTCTCATGTGGAATATTCCAGAACTCCAGACCAGAATGTTTCTCTCGGTCTCGTTTCAGCAGACGAAGTTGCACAGCACAGATTGCAAGAGGCGCAAGATGCGCAAGAGGAGCAGCGCAAGGACAGAAACCCAACCTCGACTGGGTTCATCTCTGACGAGACCGAAATCGAGAACTTTGCCAATGAAGTCCAGACATTTAGTGCCACTTGTCCTTCGTGTTATGCTCCCTGTGAGACTCATATGAAGGTGGTGAACATTCCTCATTTCAAGGATGTGATTTTGATGAGCACTGTTTGTGATAGATGTGGATACAAGTCTAACGAGGTGAAGACTGGAGGGGAGATTCCACCTCATGGTCGTCGTATCACTCTCAAAATTGACGATCCAGATGATCTTACAAGGGATATTTTGAAATCTGAAACTTGTGGTTTGGTCATTCCGGAGCTCCACCTTGATTTGACGCCTGGTACCTTGGGAGGTCGTTTCACCACTTTGGAGGGTCTTTTGACCCAGGTCAACGAAGAGCTCTACGGCCGGGTTTTCTCGCAAACCTCAGATTCCATGGATGAGCAAACCAAATCAAGATGGGAATTATTCTTTCAGAGAATGAAAGATGCCATTGACGGAAAGATCAAATTCACCGTTGTGATGGAGGACCCATTGGCCGCCTCGTATATTCAAAACGTTTATGCTCCTGACGATGATCCAAACATGACCATTGAGGAGTTTGAGAGATCTCACCAACAGAACGAAGACCTTGGCTTGTTGGACATGAAGACTGACTAGCTTGTGCGATGACCATAATCATTTTGTAATTCTAATATCTGTTATTGATACCTTTTTAGGTAGAAACAGCCATCTTAAAGCTTCAAATGCGATACCATCGTCTAATAGCATTATGCATAATTCATTATGCAGGTGTCGACGTCACCCAGTTTTTAAAGTTCAAAATATCCTGATTTTTCAGATTTTTCAGAATTATTCCCAAACCCATTTTTCGAAACTACTTGATATTATAAAATGTCCTTCTCCAATTGATGTAAAAAAATATAAAAATGCTAAACCCTCGCCTATCCTGTTATTTTTCTGTTTTCTTCTATCATCCTTAGGTAATGGGGATCCATTTCTAGTGCAAGGAACCTCAATTTTCATAGAGACCCTCTTCACAGAAATGGATTATCAACCCCGGAACTGAACATATAGTCCTTATACTGATTTTGCTCAGAACTGGCCTGCTCAGATTCATCTGCAAATGGATCCGCAAATGGGTCTTCAACCACGAAATTTTCTTCTCTCGTTAACCCAAGCAGCTTGTCATAATCTTTGTTCTTGAACCTGAACCTATCTATCACCATTGTGAGAGTGGCGAATAGCTTGCGTTGCCTCAAATTGTTGTCAATCTTCTCGTGCAACAGATGACGTTTCAAGAAGTTTTCTAAAGTAAGACACGAGGCCTCGTCAAACTTCGAATAGAGTCCAATTTGCAACAGCAGTTTGGTGAATGAGATCATTGGTTCTCCCTCATGCGAAACAACACTCATCAAAGACTCTTCCAAAAACCTGTCGTAGAGCAGCTTACGATGGCGCACTTTTTGCCAATCAATTTCTTTGAATGACTTCGCTAGTTCATTGTGATGCAACTCCAAATCGTATGGATTATGAGATTTCTGGTATGTCCACTTGGCTTTAATGTCTTTGATTCTCTCTCCTGGTGCGTAGACTCTAAAACTGAGCTCACCATCTAGCGACCTCATCAGAGGCTGAAGATCACCGGTGGAGATATAACCATGTCCCTCTGGATCGAACTTGTTCCAGGCTCTTTTGAACTTGCGAATCTCTTCTCTCGTTATAAGAGCGTGAGGTCCGGAACTGTGGTAGACATAACTGAAACTGTTGACCACAAGAGAAATCAAGATATTCAACATGATGTATTGAGAGATGATGTTCCAAGAACCGAACAAAATAATTGCGAATGTCTTGTTGCCACAATCCGAGTAGAATATACTGGAGCCCAATGTGCAAAATGGAGACTCCAGTGTGAAATCATCCATGATGTAGTTCCATCCCTCACCGAAACTGGTCTTAAAAAGCATGATCAAACACTTGGTGACCGTTCTACAGTTGAGGTTTCCACTTCCGTTTGGTCCAATCTTGGAAAGTCCAAATATCTGGTTCAAGGCAATGGCGTATGCGAGGAAAAGTACTAACCAAGTGTACAGAAGGGATGCCAAAGCAGGCAAACTAGCAGAAGCAAATTTCAACAGCTGGGAAAGCCTGTCCGACCTTGGAATGAGGAAAAACAACATTGCAACCAGAAAAAGCTTGTTGATGTTGGCAAAAGACGTATTTCTGCCAACGAAATAAGATGCACAAGACATCAAGAAAGCTCCCAAAATGACACAGAGAGAAAATGCATTCCATTTATTGGTGATAAATGACAGGAATCCCATTGCATAGATCACCATCAAGATGTTCACCATGAATCCTGTAGAGGAAAAAACATAAGCCGCATATCTGACAGCGTTTAGCTTCGAGTTTGCTGGGTAAAACTCACAGAGCAAATCGACCCCGTGTATGAAAAGACACACGTTCAGAAAGGATGCCCAATACTTATTCTTGCCAATTGTCAGGTCATAACAGAACCTTTTTAGCGGAGCCAGGCCTGCCCTGAACCGTTTCTTAGAAGGTTTCACCTGAGACAAGATCTTCCTCACTTCGTTCCACGCTAGTTGTTCTTCTGTCATGAATGCTGTTCCAGTGAGCATGGAGTAGTTATCAATGATCACCGAAACAAACAGGTTCAGAATAAACACGATGGAACAGAAGTTGAACAACACGATAAATAACCCATTGAAAGGAGAGGCAAATGTCGAAGGAGGGGTTCCAAATCCTGTGATATTCATCAGGTTTTCCAAAAGATCAACCCAACCCTCCAAGCTCACAATCTCATACAGGGATGCCAAAGACATTTGAAACGAATCAAAATGTAAGTATGGATCTGTGTAAACGTTAGGACTCAATACGTCCCAATTAAATACTTCTCCCGTGTACTCGTATTTGCAGGTCCATTTTGTAGATTCGCCATCAAGACAATATCCCAACTTCCCATTGAAAATGGTCAGCCCCCATAACGAAAATGGCAACAGCAAACTCATGGAGACCAAAAATGCATCCCCTGCCTTTCTAGCACCGGAAAAGATAGCGTATTGGAAGGTCTGCTTCGAAAGGGTGGTGATTGTAAGCAATCTCAGAGCCCTGATTGCTCTGAGACCGCCAACAACTGTAGATAAATAAGAGTTGTTGTCTAACTCGGCGACAATATCGACCCAAATAGATGCCAACACAACAGCGTCGAGAGCATCCCAGGTCGACCTCAAATAGGCATTATCAGTTCCTATAAATCCGTCAGCAAGAATCTTCACTATCTGCTCGATGGTGAATAGACATGCAAACATAACATCGATGTAAAAACTGCGTCCATGGGAACCCACAAAGTTATGCTCTCTTCTGTACAGTGGAGTCCAGAAACAGGAGAAGAAAACCATGAGAATTGTAGCGACAAACATGACGACCATGAAAGTGTTTTTTGCAATTTTATTAGGAGGCCTCCCATTTATTCTTGGCTTTCGTGGAGGTGCAACCAATGACTGACAGATTGCTCTAACCCTGTTGTTTGGTGCAAATATGAACAAAACTGTATCACTGTCGTTCTCTTTGGCAAAAACCTTTCTGATGAAGCTCAAACACGGACCTATGTGTCTATTCTTTTCAAGCTTCCCCTCGAATTGTTTCCATAGAATCTTGCTTTTATCTTTAAAGAGCCCGCTGAGGTCGTTGTCGTGAACTCTTTCCACCGCAGGGAGCCCGACATCAGCATCCAAATCAACATCTGTTAGCTGACGTAGTCTCGTGATAGTTTGGTCCCTATTGATCCTGGCCCTGACACCTTCATTCTCAACAGTTCTACCTCTCAGAATTTCAAAAACACCTCCTTCATCAGACGACAGAGTCATAATCTTTCTGTAGAACTGTCGGATCTGTTCTGTTCGCTTCAACTTTTCAGGAACACCCAAATTCTGCGTGATGATGGCAATGAAAATGTTCAAGATGAACATGTTGGAGAAAATGAACCACAAGATGAAGTAAGTGGCCGCTATAACCTGTGTGAATGTGGTGTTAGCACTCTGCTGACACAGATACAGTACCGAAGTCCAATTCTCAGTTGATGTGATTGTGTAAAGGGAGATTAAAACGTTTGGAAGATTGTACATGATCAGCATATCGCTATCGAGATACTCGCTGACAGGAACCATTCCTTCAAACAACCGTGACATAACAACACTTGTAAGAAACAATGTCAGTACGAAAAACAAACACAGATCCACTAGGGCTCGCAGATTACCGAGTGCCTTCATCCAAAGGCCGCTCAAGAATGAAATCCCAAGCACCACCCTGTAGCACCTGGCGTACTGGAAGAAAGTCAACCAGGCATAAGCCGTCTCATGTTTCTCGTGGATCACAGGCAAAGCAATCACCAAAGAGCCAATCCCAAAGAACAAATCAACCCAGTTTAACAGTGAATTAAAAAACATCCTCCAATTAGGCAAACAAAGGGCAAATGTTATCATGACCTCAACAAATAAAGCAATACTGGCTCCACAATTGACCTTGTATATCAACTCAACAGTCTCAGTGCTTGAATTCTTCGTTCTAATAGATGAAAAAATCATCCCTATAACTGCAGAAAGAGTGAACAGCTTTCTGAGCTTCTTGAATCTGGCTAACCTTTTGTTTTTCACCAAAAACCGACTGTACGCTTCGGTTCTCTTATTCCACCTCGCAGATCCCCATATGGTGCTATTATCATTTTTCATCTGCTCTTTCAACTGCTCATTCATTGCTGTGAAAGAGTTGATGATGACAGCGACAATCAGATTGACTAGCCATACACTGAGAATAATCATTGCCGCAATAAAAAACAACGACGAAGCCATGGAGTCTGTGTCCATCAAATCGTACATTATATCGGTGAATGTGTTAGCACTTATGATGACAAAAACCATCTCAAAAGAATGGAAGATGTTGTCAAACGATACCGTTCCTCCGTACGGATTCTCCATGGATATGCACTTGGAGTTTATTGGGCACGCGAAACCTTTCGATCTGCCCGACGAACTCCCATCGCTCTCTAGGTAGTCCATCACTGACTTCGTATCTGGATCAAGCCACGATCCACAAAACTGAGACGTTACGTACGTATCAGTGGGATCATCTGGGTTTGTCCAAACACACTGGCGTCTTAGCGAGGATTTGAAGGACTGAACTCCTATGATCGAGAAAAACACCCAGAAACACAAAAGGAAAATGGATACATCAGCCAGTTCCGGCGCAGCTCTTCTCAAAGCATTCAGAACAGTTTGTGTACCGCTCGTGATGTTCCAGAGTCTGTAAATCTTGAGACACATCAGAGACCTGAATACCATCACACCATGATTAATGTTATAGCCGTTCAATGCAATGAACAAAGAGATCCACCAGCTAATCACCGAAGTTGCGTCCACCCAGTTCCATTCGTATCTGAGATACGCCCTGCTGTGTTTAATTTTGGAAGTACTAGGGTCCGCCGAAACACTAACTGCTGCTGGTATCTCGTCAGACAGTTTTTCCTGTTTTAGTTCAATCTTTTTGAAGAAAATCAACTGGTGCTCCCACAATCTGCCCCAAAATGTTCTGTAGTTGTCCTTAGACAGATTCAGCTCATCATACATCTGGGAATCATCCCAAAGACCATGTACAACGATTTTGAAGAAAGACTCCAGCGTGAAGATCACGTATATGGGAACCAGTATCCAATCCATGGCAGTGTAACCCAAATTTTGGTAATAGCCCAAATGAGAAGATTCAGGATTCCATTGCTGGACAGATAGTATAATGGCAGTTGCCAGCACCAAACCAAACATCAAAGGTTCAAACCAACTCGCCGAAATGATTTTGAAACACGTCTTCCTGAATCTGCTATTAGGCCCAAAAACCTTCAAAGAGCGGCCATATAAAGCAGGCTTCTGGAATGAATCATCGGTCTGTTCATTTCCAGAAGAGCTCAAAACATCGTCGAATACTCTGTAGTTCATATCAATCTCCGAATCTTCTAAATTTGGAGTCCTTGGTTCATCTTGGCTGATTCCACTCACTCGTTGTGAAAACTTTCTCACCTGGCTTGCCCAATCCTCTTGGTGAGATATTGCCTTGGATAGCTTCGATCTCGCCGTGTCCATGCTATGTCTTGTAGGCGACTCATCCATGTGATAGACCGATTCCCTGAAGCTAGCGTTCGAACTCAGATTGTCTAAATGTATTCCATGTTGATCAGGCTCGTCCAGACTTAAATATTGAACGTCTGTTCGTATTCTTGGTCGCTGGCTCTGAGTATCAACACCATCTTCACTCACATTGTCAAGCAATCCGACTGTATCGCTATCTCCTCTTAGTGGCAGCCAGGCACCTTTGCTTTGATTGGTGCCCAACGCGAAATTCAAGCCTTCATCCACGTCTTCGATGTGTAAATCTGGCAAATTCAGATCCGACGCGTTGCGGTCCTCATTCACCGATCCGCCGAGGTGGATTCTCGAATCGCTGAGATCACTATCATAATCGTAACTGCGACTGTTGGTGGAGACCGATCGGGATCGCCTGGAAATGCCATCACCAAAAGGGTGTCGGTCGCCCGAGGAACCTTCCTGAGGTTCCACTATCTCAGGAATGTGCAACCTAGACATCGTCCTTTTCAGCCTGGAAATGGTGGAGTAAAGATAACAGGGGACCTAATATAGTTGAAAGGCTTAGTAGGATTTTCTGAGAGTCGTGTCAAAGTCACGTTTTACAACACATCGCGATGTTGCACATAGGATACTGCAGATTTAACGAGGCTGAATACTATTAATGAACCAAAAATTATTTAAAAAAGGTCAGAAGCAATAGCACTACTGCAAATAGAAATATAAAAGAGAAGTGGGACCATACTGGAAAGAGTTTTTCTCAACACGAATCATTGCTGTTGCGTCAATAATCACTGGCCTCACTGACAACACTTCCCTTCCTATTGAAATCATTTTGGTCTAGGCGTTTCAAATCGTCCAGATCGTTAGAGATCTTTCCAGGTCCAACATCATTCTCCACCTGCTTCAGAATGTCTGTAACATCCACCTTGCCATTGGCAGCAGGCTTCACAGTTCCCTTGGCCACCTGCTTATAGTAGGCAACTGGAGTGTTCAAAAGGTTGGGCGACGTCTTCACATCCTCTACCACATACTCAACACCCGCTCCTGTTGATTTCGTTGATAATCTTCTTGTGGAATATGTTGCACCTGTGTTGACCATGTTCGAGCCTGTGTGGTGGCCCTGTTGAGTGCGGCTAAGCCAGCGGTCTAAGAAGGACATGATAACGATGCTTGTGAATATAAATCTGAGACTTCAAAATTAGTTTGAAAGAGCTAAAGAAGCGCAAGATAAAAATTTCTCATTAAAAATTTCTCTTGTGATCCGCCAGAAACACATATATTTGTATGTTTTCGCAAAGAGGGGTTGTCACTCCACGCGAGGCCACAGCGCCACATTAGCACTTAACATTGCGTTGCGATGCGCGGTTGATGAAAGAAACCCTTCTGCAAGTCACGTTGCTACAAACATGCCGATATCCGGAAGATAATGCGATTATGTACAAATAGGAAACTTGGGTGGCGGTTTGGCGAAGACCTGGCCAAATACTGGCCCATTTGGTCTAGCAAGCGGCTTGACCGATGACGTCGAAGAGGGGAGTGTGCTATCTTTCTGGACTGTTTCTCCGCAATTATCTTCTGTCATGTGATGTCATTTTGTTGTTTTTGGGGTAATTGAATCGGTTTAACTAGATTCCTTGAGTTTCTCCATCTTCCTCTGGATGTAAAGATCTCTCTGTTCGTCCACATACTTGCTCTGCTGTCTGTCCAGTATACAATTCTTCATGGCGGTGCTCTCTTTTCTGCACATTATCCACACGCCATAGCCTTCCCTTTTGCCGCATTCAGCAAATGCTAGTTTCTTGTTAGTCTTTTGGCCCATGTATTTGAGATGTTTGGTTCGCGGAATCCGTTTCTATCACTTACCCTTGACATAGGAGTCGCAGTACTTCCACGTCTCCGTCTTCCATGCGTCAAATACCTCCTTTTCCTCCTTCGGAGTTAACATCCAGACAGGCAATCCGTCTACCCTTTTTCTGTCCATTCTAGTGTTTTGCAAATTGGAAAATCGAGTTGAATATCCTGTAAATGAATCCTCTAATCGTGTTAAAGGTCACTTATCGCCATCGAAGGATGGCTCCATTTTTCATCAAGGTAGTGTACCAACGATTTGGGTAAGCCACTAAAAAAGGCCTGCCTTTTGTTTACGTTTCTACGTGTACGGTTTGGGCTTTTTGAACCCACTTGAACCCACTTGAACCCACTACGGCTTCGACTTTCTTATCAAGTCGGCCAAGAGATTACTTCCACCTCCAGATATTTGAAATGACGTCGATAGATGCTAAATATGATTTACTCAGGCACACCATGGCCTCAGAGCTCAACGAGATCTCCACCTCGAGCACGGTGAGGAACATGAATCTAACGGAGTCGATAAATCTGCTAAAATCCAAGAATCACAAGGAACTCAAGTCGGAGATAGAGACGAAGATTGTCACATTTTTGGCCAATTTTGAGAAACTGATTCAACGTGAACAGTCTACATTGGAATACCTAAAGTCGGAACTTGAGCATTTCGAGAAGGATCTCGAGAAGGATATTGCGCAAGTTACGAAGGCCGACCATCTTTCTGGCGAGATTGAGAACCTGGACAAAGTGCAGTTTGAGCTTGTGTCAGAAATCAATAAACAGGAAACAGAAACGACGAAACAGGCGAACCTGTTGGATCTCAAACTAGCAAAACTACAGGCTTTGAAGGACCAAGTCTCCGGATTTGAAGATCAAGAATTGGAGAACTCAAGGCTACACTCCCAGGAAATGAAGTTGAGACTGTTTCAGAGCATGGGAGTTATTGTTTCAGAACCAGAACTGAAGACCGAGAAGGTATTGGTGCAGAAGCCACGGGGACTCGAAACCCACGTCTTGGAAACTAGCGGATACTCCAACTTCTTCATATCGAACTTCATCTGGGACAGATTGTGAGCAAGAAGTCTGGAGAAATGCCCTTATTTGCCCACATTCCCACCTTTCACTTCTGCATCGCTGTATTTCTACAATCCTTTCTACGCCCTCTCGCTTAATTCATAACTTTTGTTCTATATACAGTAGAAAGTCTTAAACATAAACCTGAAACCCACGTGTAATACCAAAATACTAGAAGTACTTTGGGTTTTCTCTGAGAGAGAGCTTAGTCCATTTGGGCACCAAATGAACTCCCTTTCTGTACTTCTGGGAGCTCTTGTTGAAAACTGTGTATTTGTCACGAGGCTTCATCTCGCTCTCTTTGGGGAAATTCGCCATCAAATTCTCAACCTTCTTGACCTGCAAGTCCTGACTTTTCAAGCCCTCATAGAGAGCCTCGATGTTGGAGTCCACCTGTCTCATTCTCTCTCTGAGTCTGTACTTCTGAAACTTGGACATCCTCCATGGTCTTTTCCACAGGAGACCTCCCATGGCCACCAGTGTGGATCTGAATGGGCCGCTAAACATTTGAGTGTAGAGTGGAGTTGTGGATAGATTCAGACGTTTAGGCGAAAACTCACCCTGGTGAAGTTGGACAACTTTTCACGCTCTCTACCCGTTCATCAATTTTGGTTAAAGCACACTAATTTGATTACTTACAAAATCGAGACTCTCGCCTGAGCATTATTACACGCATCTGAACCAGCATTAATATTTTCAGAAGTCCCTCAAATTAGTTTATTTGTACCTGCAAACATTAATCGAAGCTTTAAAACCAATCCGTCCCCAAACCCGTCCGCAGGGCTACAGTTGGAGCCAGACATGTCACCAAAATCGCCTTTCCGCGCGACACGAATAACTAAAACGCAAAACATAAGCTGAAGTTTACGATGAATCAAACAACTTCTGATCCCCCTTCGTCTTCCGGTGCAACAAACCTTGGCTGTGGATCCACAGACTTCATGGTTTCCACCTCAAAAATGGAATGAGCAGCCATGAAGCTTGAATTGTGATTAGTACATAAAACAATGACACATACGAAGACGCGAAATCAAAATGCAGTGAAAGAGTACTTACAAACTGGCTTGTTTCAAAGCCAATCTGTTGAAAGAGTTCAGTTGTGTAGACGTCGTACGCACCAAGTTGCTGAAGTCTTGGAGACTGGTCCTGAGTTCGTCTGCCTGCTCACACAGCTCTTTATGCTGTTGGAGTGACATCGTTTTCAATTGCTCAACTTCAGATCAGATATGAAGCGTCTATTCAAAGAGATGTGGAGACTAAAAAAAGTGTATCAGCCTCCAAACGCGTTTGTTTGTGGTGTGTGCAGACCAAATAGGGAGCACACTACTAGAATTGCGGGATAGGCGGGCTTACGTGAATCTGGGGAAACCGCAAGTTTCATCAATTTTGCCAAATACAAACTGATAGAAGCCGCGAAGTACTGCCGGTAAAGTAAACTGTATGCGATAAAGACGTTTGACAAATGGGAAAGGAGAAGGGCATACCCGAGACATTCCTCATGATCCCAACCCAAGGCCCTAGACAGCACTGAAGAATCACAGCAACTTCTTGAAACTGATTCTCCACATTGAGGCTATAAATACCATCCGGTCAAGCCTGAAGATCGCAGTTTGGTAGCAAATCCTCTATGCCTTCGATCTTTCGAATTTGCCTGATTTCCTGAAAGCACTCGGATAAATTTCGGAATTAACATAGCAAATCATACGGACCCGATTCTGGATTACCATACGGTTTGCACACTACCTCGGGTGATTACGGGTGCCGGGTCCTCCTGTTGCCGTATTTTTCAAGGACTCAAGACTTCATGAACTTGGAATGAAGGCACCCGATTTGCCCTTATCAACAAACTGAAACTCTCCTTTGATCAGTCAATTTTTCATTTGCTAGGTGCTACAGTCCACTTGGTGATCTGCCCCGCATTTTTTTAGTCCGCGTCTTCATATCCCGCATCACTAAACACATATGCGTTGCAATGTCTGCTAAAGAACAAGACCAGATACAGATCCTACCGAAGCCGCAAGCCCGCGACAAGCCGGCCAAGGCACTGAAACCAGCGAAGAAGAGGTTTATTCCATCCTCGAATATCCTCAACAGCATTATATCGTCCAATGAAAATAGCCATCAGCTGCTGACGATCAACTCCAATATCCACTCCAACATCAACATCAAGACAAACAACTCGTTCGACCTAAAGCTGCAGTTGCAGAATGCCACAAAAGAGAATGAGAACTTGAAAAAGATTTTGAACAAACTCAACAAGGAGATTGAGAATTTGAAGATATTGAAGCTGGAGAGCGACAGTGCGAAGAACGATTCGACGCTGTTCAACGCGGAGTTCTCGCTTAATGCGAAGAAACTCAAGCTGGACGATTCGCTGAGCGATTCCGGAATCTCCAACTATACAGACATGTGCGGGTTTTGCTCAAGCGGAACACCGTGTTTCTGCTATACCGATTCGAGCGCTTCTCTTTGGTATGGCAAGGAAGGTGAAAGAGGATGAAAGAGGTCCCTGGTTTGAGGCTCATAAGCCTAACAAAAGGCTTGAAATCGTTTGAAAAGGCTTAAATCCGGCCTCAACAGCGTTCCTCCGCTTAAAGGCTCATTCGAACCTAGTGTATTCTATAGAAGATCATGGCTTGATGATGTTTATTGGTTAGATTATTTTGTCAGTTTTTTGCTTACTCTCACGCTTTATGATAATGAATTTGTTTGTTTCTTCGTATCTTGTGATATAACTATATGGTCCCTCCCGTGTGTTTCGTCATATAAGCTTCTTTAGATGAAGGTCAAATACGCTCCAACCACCAGCGAGAGACCGGTCACCACGTAACCAGTACGGTAGACACCCTTGATGGTGAGCTCTTTACCCGCATCCCAGATCAAATGTCTGATACCGTTGAAGGCGTGGAAGGCAAAGGGGAAGGCTAAGATTCCCTTGGCGGCCAACTTGGCAACGAAAGGAAGGGCGGCAAACGTGGAAGCCAAAGCTGCGGAATAGTCTGCAACGCCCAAAAGAGAGCTCAGAGCGTAAGTGCAGGTGATACCGTAGAAAGTACCAGCGAGCACGACACCAGTGATTCTGTGGAACGAAGACATTATCATAGGCAACTCAAACTTGTAAATCTCTAGATGTGGCGATGTTGGTCTGTTCAATCTCTGGGCTTTGAGGATTGCATCCTCAGCGTTTTCCGTCGCATCAGACTTGACGGTTGTGAAGGGTCTGGCAACCAGGAGTCTTGGGACGACTGGCCAAGTGTTAGTACAGTTGCTTTATGAAGGTCGCACTAGATAACTGGGCGTGACCCTTGGAAATTCACATACCTCTGGCAGTTGATCTGATACCAATAGAGCGGATAGCCAACATTTTGAAATCTGGAATAGGTTGGTTGGTTGGATATCTCCTGGGAAGCTGGTTCACGGTCTTGTGGAGGAGGATGTGGATATTTGAGATTCCGAGTCGGCCATTGGCCCACTGTTTTGAGCAGTACACGCAGAATATAATATGTGCGGCGACATGCATGAAATTTACACTACTATTATGAGCTTGAGCTTTATTCTTTGTGGTTCTTGACCTAAATTTTGTTTGGTTTTTTAGTTGAAAGATATCCAAACTACCCTGTATACGAGGATTCATTGCTTTGAGCATACAGTCTTTTGATCAACCAGGCAGTGGTATTAGAGCTAAAGAATGGTTCTTGATGATACGATTACAGAACCTTTCTGCTTTATTTTAAATATCAATAGGTTGAAGGTAATCAAGAATTTCTTCAGAACTACAAAATAAAGATGCTGATGTTTGAAATGGAGCTGAAAATAAAAGTCGATAGTATAAAGATGTCTAAGGACGCAGAAACTTATTTTAACACCAGACATGCCATAATCTGTAGTAGAATGGCTTGGAGGCAATGAACGCTTTCTCCTCGGCAATTTCTTGCTTGAGTAGCTCGATGTCAACCTCTCTTCTTCCGGTGTCAACGTCTATGTCTTTTGCACGAATAAACCAGGACCAGTTTCTTTTCCACAACTTGTGGAAAACGTAGAAGGCTATCAGGACGGGAACAGTCAGATAACTCTCGAAGAAATCGGCAGCGTTTGGAGATCCTCCAATAGGAAAGAGAGCAACCCAAAATTGAGCAATCAAAATCAAAACGTTTAAGATGATACCGAACCAAGAACCAATGATACCACACTGAGAGGTGAAAGCCAGTTCGTCAACACCTCTTCCCTTGACAGTAAGAGCTCTTCTGAAACGAAGATGACAGGCGCAGATGGAAGCCCAAGTGAACAAAGAGGAGAGACCTGAAAGAGCCAACAACCAGTTGAAAACAGTTCCTTCTTTGGGAGAGGCTGCAATGAAACAGAGCAATCCAAAAATACAAGAGATGAGAATTCCCGCAAGAGGTCTTCCTTGTCTGTCGATATAACCGACCCATTTAGGGGCAAAACCCTGAATAGCCAAAGAAGCCAAAGTTCTAGAGCATCCAAAGACAGAGGAGTTTCCGACGGAAAGAACGGCAATCATAATCACCACGTTCATCACAGAAGGAAGACCACCAATTCCAGCGTTCGTAATGGCAATCACGAAAGGAGAAGCCGAGGCATCGACAGAGTTTTTGCTGATGAGCTTGGGGTCGTCCCATGGAACCAAAAGTCCAACCAGGGTCAAAGAGACAATGTAGAATAGAGTGATTCGCCAGAATACCTGTTTAGTAGCCTTTGGAAGCGACTTCTTAGGGTTGGCAGTCTCAGCTGCAGCCAAACCACAAAGTTCGGTCCCTCCAAAAGAGAAGGCAGCGGTCACAAAGACATTGCAGACACCCTTGAAGCCAGCAGCAAAAGCTCCTGGATTTTGCCAGTAAGTGCCACCTAGATATCCACCTTTAGGCCCACCTCCGCAGACAAGGACGACACCGAGGATGATGAATCCGATCACGGCAATCACCTTGATGATAGAGAACACAAATTCGGCCTCACCATAGCCTCTAACGCCGAAAAAGTTAATGGAAACAATTAGCACATAAAATATTGCTACCCATGCAACCGTATTAATGGAAGAATTCCAAAACTGAATGGTCAAAGAGGCAGCTACCAGTTCCAAAGGCAGAATCACCAGCCATTGCATGGCGTAGTTCCAGGCCATGGTGAAACCCCAGGAAGCGTCGATAAAACGAGTGTTGTATGTGACAAATGCTCCAGAAACAGGGAAAGCGACTGCCAATTCTCCCAAAGCATGAACAGTACTGTACATCATGATTCCCACCAGGATCCAGCCAATCAGAACGGCAGCTGGGCCTCCAGAAGAAAGCGCCCCACCCGAACCAACAAAGAGACCAGTACCAATGGCTCCACCAATGGCAATCATCTGGAGATGTCTATTCTTTAGACTTCTGTTCAACGGCGATCTGGCCGTGGCAATGGCGGCTTTCTCGACCTCAGAAAGGTTCGGATCGATATCATCATCAAACTCCATACGCTTGAACGAATCGAAGAACCGTTGAGGTGCGCTTCTGTGTGCATCAGATACATTCACAGAGATCACCTCTGGTGTGTGGAGTGACTTAGCAGACTCGATATCTTTTTTTTCGGACATTATGTTGAGATTAGACGGCTCCGTTTACCAGAACAGGTTGGAAGATACATCATTGGAACAGCAGATGGTACTTATAACAGAGCAAACTGTCAATACTTCAAACGAGATAAGAACGTCTATCAGAAAACTACGGCGCTAAGACGCATTATCTGGTGTCACAATCTCTTCAACCTGTCCACAAGCCTGACTTAACAGGAAGAAGGAAGAGATCGACTTGCGCAATCCGAGTTGTCGACGAATCATCTGACGTGGTTGCGAGCGAACCAGCAAGTGCCCGTTCAAACGGGACATTGTCAATGGCCACATTTGTATTTTTTAAACGTTATCGCGAGATTTGGACAAAAAACTATACGGCGTCAAAACATCGTGTTGCCGATAAGCCGGCGCCAGGCATCTGTCCCGATTGGCGATTTCTCAATTTGGTGACAGCGATACTTGGACCAAAGTTGTCGGAGAACTTGTTCGGGCAGTTCAATTTATTGCATTGACCGTACTGTTTGTGTTACCAGAGTAAAGTCCATTATTTACGGTTTTGACGACAAGTGCCTGTATTTACAGATATTGGCTATCAACAATATACGCTGCGGCTAAGGTTTCGATATGCACTGCACCGCGCACACCACCGCTGCAGGCCCGCTTTCAGGCATTAGTCTGGGTTAGCAGCCGTTTCCAGTTTTTGGGAGATGGCGAGTTCGGGCTGATCAAAGAGTTTTACTGGTTTAAATCATTTTACAACTCTTCTCAGCTTGTTTCTCTGTATGTTTCTGGTAAGTGGTGCTCATATTATGATGCTCTCACTGAAACCGTCCCAGGGTCCTTGCATATGAAGACGTCGGGCAGTCCCTGCACGATCAGACGGCTTCCGGCGCGACACTTCCCTCCTACCAGGAAACGGACGGAATATCTGGCAGTACAGCCCGGTTTTCTAGCAGGGGGTCTCCCACCTGGGCCTCTATCACGATCTAATGCATATGTTATTGTAGGGCATTAAAGATTAGTATGGCACTAATAAGGCATTAATTTGGTGTCAGGTGGTCAATTGGACCCTGCCAGCAGCATCTGAGCATTGATGCATAATCAAAGCAATTTTTTGACTCCTCCACACGGCTCTTGCATTATTATAGTAATATAATGAACCCAAACATGGTTCGACTATGTATATTTTGTAAGTCCTCAGCATTGACAATGGGATTACTTTGATCTTAGTACTGGCTCTGTCATTCCTAATCCCTATTCATGCAGACATCCTATTTTTGACCTAGGCTTTGGGTTCGGTTTGCAGGCCGGGTGTGAAATATCGGCTCTACAAAATTGCTGAGCCGATCGGACTTGCTTATGAGCGTAAGCATTAGCCTTCAGTCCTGACAAACGGTCTTAGACATTGAACTTCTCACTCAGACATGAGGCAGTGAGAATTTGTTTATTTATCTTCAGTCCCTTCTGGCTCCATTCCCTCCATGGCCTTCTCAACATCAATCTCATAATTGCCCTCAACATTACTCTCAGTAATCACCTTCTGAGAATACAACTTCGCAAACAGATCCTGGGGAATCCAGCCTTGGGTCAAAGCAAATGGTTTGACCATGTCCTGCTCCTTCTGTTGAAGTTCTTGTGTATTTCTCTCCACCTCTGATGGCGAGAATTTCACTGGGCACTCAGCTTCTTTCACAAGTCCGTGTTGAGCATAGCCTTCCCACATCTCGCAAAGATCAATTAGAGATCTCTCTACAGTGAGATAATTCTCGGGGTCCTCAACGGTAGCGACATAGCCAGACTTGATCAATTTGACCGCTGGTGAAATAGCACCAATCAGCTCCTTGCGTCTGTTATTGAGTGCAAGCTCCCATAGAAACTGGTTTCGAGTGCGCTTGAACATGTAATCGTATTGCATCACCATCTCCAAATCGTGGGTCTCCTTTTTAATTTCCTCGAGCTCTTCAACGGTAAAGATCTTTGGTCCGTCGTAGGCCACAAACTTGGGGTACGAATGAAGAATAAAAGGTTTGATAGAGCTCTGTTCGAGATCAAGCAGAGATATAGAATCTTCAGACTTTAACACATTGATAGGGTCAAGATCAGGGATGAACAATCTGGGAGAGAAAAGCTCTTTGAAGTTGGGCAAAATCTTCGAATCAGGGTTGAACAGAACTGGAGCAAGTTTATTCAGCTTGGAATATACTCCCAAAGCCCTCTCGTTGTCTTTAAAAGCCTCCATCAAGTTGGAAGAGTAATCCTCGACAATTTTTAAAGGCTCATCGAGTTTCCAGGGACCAACAGGTGATTCTGTGGCACCAAGATAACTATCGCTTTCAGCGATTGGACCAATCACATAGGGCGATTCCTCCTTGAAAGCGGGAATCCCCTCGGGACAATCGTGCTTGAAATAAACAGATCCAAATCCCTGGAACCCCTCGATGGACAGAGCACCGGCATCATTCAATTCCATGACCTGATCAATCACAGACTTGACCTCCATCTGGTTCTCGCTAAGTGGATTCCATTCACGGATCAAAGAAGTGCCCTTGGTAAACTCCATCAAGATGAAAGGTGACTCAACACAATTGTTGGAATCCGTAGCATATGCCAGCACCTTCGAGGTGGAGATACGCTCCGAAACCAAATCAATCGTGGCGACCTCGCTCTGAATCTTACGTTTGAGACCGAGTTCTGACTGTTCATGTGCAGCATACAATCCGCGATAGGGTAATCTCAAAACAAATTCACGATCAGAGTTTGTCACCACCTTGTAGATTCTGTGGTGTTTTCCCTCGTGAATAGAACTGATCTCTTTTGTGTTGAGGTCTTCGTTGGGGTTCAGACTACCCAAATGGGCCACGGAAACGTTGTGGGTCAGAACATTGATATTAGGGAATTTCAAAAAGTCAAGGCTTTCACAGCTCGAGGCCTTCTTTGTCACAGTCTTGTCAGATTGGATTTCCGTTGATTTGGCATACTCGCCGTGTGACTTGGTATACAGCTCTCTTAGCAGATCGTTGAGCCCTTCAATGGAGAAAGTAGTGCGTCTCTTGAGCTTTTCCTCGGCATCATTGGTTAACCAGGTTCCCCATGTGTATTCAAAAAACGAATTGCGGGCGGGATCAGTGAAGTTTTTTGAGAGAACGGTGGTATGTTTGCTTGGTTCGCTAGAGAGGCCTGAATTGAGCCGGGCCGAAATGACTGGCACAGCAACACGGACCGGCAGGCCACGTGAGCCGGTTCTCAGAATTCTGGCTCTCGATATTCTTGCCAACGACATTATCAGAAGAGTAAGCTAAGTTGTGTCGCTTCGGTAGTTTGCTGGAGTATTCTTGACTCCAGACCTTGAGCCTGGCATCGCTGAAAAATCCTGGGTGTCCGAGTGAATGTTGGCAGAGTATTAGGTGCCCATGTGATAGATGGCAGCTACGTTAGTCAAGAGGGCTACATTGATCGCTGTAACAGCTTTTAAAAAACGCAGGCATAATTCATCAGAAATCATAAAAGGGAATCACACACAGTGAAAGCTTAATAGTGATAATTTAGGCATAAAATGGGATATCCAGAGCATCCAGGACAACCAGGGGGTAAGTTGGGTTAAACCACTGATCCAGCTAGTGCATCACGTCGTTAAAATAGCTGGATGAATCGCTAATACTCCCAGTCATTGTGTCTTCGTCGTCCTTCTGGTAACCTTCGGTTCCCACAACTCCGTGCTTGTACAGATCCATTTTCTCCAGTAGAGTGACAGGGGGAGCACCGGGGACATTGTGCGAGAAGCTGGAACCTCCACCTTGCGCCTGCTCATCTGTTTCGTATTCACCAAGTTTGGGATTTTCGCCGGTACCGGATTCAGTACTTCCTGACTGACTGTCATCATCTACATCGTCCTGATTACTGAAAGAATTCAGCAGATTGCGATTGTAGGAGTTCATGGATGCGATGCCGCTCGCACTGTTCACGCCAGGCATTCCCGCAAATAGGAGATGATGATTGTGGTTTCGGTGAACCCGCCTGCCTTCAATCCCGTCCTTTGTCGCCACTGTAGATACCCCAGAAGCACTAGATGAACGACTAAGAGGTCGTGATAACGACGCAAATGGCGCTTGCAATGTGCCGAAAGCCAACGGCATCGGCACGGATGGCACTACCGATGCCATCGGTGAGCACACATTGCTATTAGTGCTTGCCCATTCGTTTTGGTAGTCGGTATCGGAGGAAGCCACAGAGGCTGTAGTAGAAGAAACTGGGGTACGCAGATAGGCAGGCGTAAGGTCCAATGCAGAGAAGAATGTCTGCGGAACCGACTTCGCAACGCTTTGAGAATCTTCAGACATAGAAATAAATGGCAATTTCAGGCAACTAATGGTTATCTTCAAGAGTATAAAGAACCAAAAAAGCTGTAAAAGGCAATCAAGGCTGTCACCCGATTTTCGGGGTGAACTGTCATTTCGGGGAGTGTCAAATCGGAGCGTACAACATTACGAGTGTTGCGGTTACGCTTCCTCTAAATTCGATATATGATAGTTTTGTTACTTTCTCCATTTTGGTCTTCTTTCCCCAGAAGGGTTTTTCCAAAATGAGAAACGTTGAACACATTGCTTATAAGAATATTACCGCACAGCAAAGCGAGAAACTGGTTCAATCTACACTGTTGGTGTCACTCGGATGTATTGCATATCTGAGAGGCTTGTTCAACGAAAAAGCATTCGAAGACAGACCACTAAGACCAATTGGAGGTCAGGATTTTGAAAATAACAAAAGGTTTATTCCTACGAAGGTACTGGTCCGAGGGATAAATGAAGACATCGATCTTTTACTCGATTGGCTGGAAATTGGAGTTTTTGATGCCATAAACAAGAGATTTCTTAGATGTTTGGCTATAACAATTTGCAGTAATCAGCAAAAACTAGAGGAGCTGTCTGAAACATATCTTTTCTCCTTTGACTATTCAGTTGATAAAAATGTTGCGATGAACATCTCCACCACTGATAGGGTTTCTTCGGAATATCCCGCCCTCGATGTAACAAAACAAGAGGGTTTGGAGCTTATCAAAAGGCTCATTTTATCAACACAGGAACTTCCAGAGCCACCAAAACACAAAAGCCTTTCCATGAGATTACTGTTCAACGAGAGCTGTCCTCCAAGGTACCAGCCACGTTTCTTCATGGATGCATCTGAAAATCCACCAGCTACCATCAAGCTCAAAACCAGCAATGCAGCCAAATCGAATTCCATCGGTAACATCAAAGCAAAATTTCACAACTTTGAGGCTTGGATTTTGCATAGTGTTGGTATTGACGATGCCCGTAGTGGTCAAGCTTCAAACGTGAATATTTTCGACTTCATAGACAGTAATATTCTCAAGCGGAAGCCACAAACACAAATGCCTGTGACCCCAGAAGAGGACTACAATCTGCCCAACTCCAATAATTTGAAGAGGGTCAATTTAGGGAAAAATGTGGGGACTTTCTTCATTAACTCATCAGTTGTATACACGCAAGAAGTTTCAAAATCAAAAACAGCCACTCCAGGACCGAGATGTGAATGCGGTTCCAGGGTATCTCTGTTATATTCAAAGGAATTTCAGTGTTCCAGGTGTCAAAAAGCAGTCCACTCTGTTTGCTACCTTGAAAGTGGTATCCCCTGTGTCTGTTTTTCATGTAGGGCCATTGAAACTGGAGGCAAGGTCCATAACGAGTTGCCGATCCTGATGAATATCAGAAAGACGTACAGTTATCTTAAAATAGCAATACCTCAAAGCCTGGAAGTGCTGATTGAAGCCTTGGGGTACGACATAAACAACGAAAGCGTGGACCTTGTTACGAAGGTCTTAACTGTCATGGCATTTGACAGACTGGTTCTCATTACACAGACTCCATTTATGCTCCAAAAATCAGAAAAGATGATCAACGCTTGTTTCATGTTTGAAGTTCAGTGGGACGGGATCCTTTTGGATAATAAGCCTTTACCTAAAGGAACTTATGCGATGACGTTCATGCCGTTCGCACAAGGTGTGAAAGCATGTGAAGAATATCTCAGCCGGTACCGTGACAGGAAAAAGTACTATTTTGAGGAGACAGTCGGTTTTGGTGTCATGACGAATGACCCTAATACTCCCGCTAGTCTGAGCTGCTCAGAAGTCGAAATCAGGTCTTCATCGCTTGTGGATACGTTTGATAAAGATCCGATAGAATCTCCAGATTTCATTACACATGCCGAAGGAGGTTGTTCCGAAGACGAGATTGAAGTAGAAGTCTCGCTTTCGAACGAACCTGATCTGAAGAAGGCAAGAAAGGTAAGTGTTACAAAGGCGGTGCTCAGGAACATCTAGCTGGAGCAATGATTATTTGCTATGTATAATCTATAAGGGAAAAAACAGTCTATTTCCTCAACAAAGAAGTGTAAAATGCCGTGAAAGTTCTCAAGATGCAATTAGTTGGTAGCAGCTTCGAGGGCCTGTTTAATGTCGGCGATCAGGTCCTCCTCATCTTCAATACCACAACTCAATCTGATCAAGTCGTCAAAGATTCCGTTGGCCTCTCTCTCGGCCACAGGAATACCACCGTGGGTCATAATGGAAGGAACCTCTAACAAAGACTCAACACCACCAAGGGACTCGGCCAAAGTGAAGATCTTAGTCGAAGAAGTGAACTTGGAAGCAGCCTCCTTACCGCCCTTGATTCTGAAGGAAATCATTCCACCACCAAGACCGTGGTTGTGTTGCTTCAAAAAGATACCTCTCTGTGGGTGGTTCTCAAGACCGGGGTAGTTGACTTTGAGGACTTTGTCTGATGCAGCGAGGTATTTAGCGATGGCGTTGGCGTTGTTGGAGGCTTGTCTCACACGCAAGTGCAAGGTCTTCAAACCACGGTGTGCTAACCACGAGTCGAAAGGTGATGGAATGGCACCAATGGCATTCTGGAAGAATCTCAAGCGCTCAGCAATGGCATCGTCGTTAGTGGCAGCAACACCCATGACAACGTCAGAGTGACCGTTAAGGTACTTGGTGACGGAGTGCATGACGATGTCAGCACCGTGGTCCAGAGGGGTCTGGATGTATGGCGACAAGAAGGTGTTGTCAACGACAAGACTAATCTTTTGGGTGGGGTGCTTGGCCTGGTAGTCCACAATGATGGACTTGATCTTGGAGATATCGGTCAGCGATAAGGTTGGGTTAGATGGAGTTTCAATCCAGACCAGCTTGGTCTTCTCGTTTAGGAGAGTTGGCAGCTCCTTCTCGAGATCACCGGAGAAAGACACGTTAATACCACTGTGGTTGGCCACCTTGGTGAAGTATCTGTGGGTACCGCCGTAGACATCGGAGACACTGACAACGTGGTCACCGAGAGTCAAGGTGTGCAGGATGACGGCAATAGCAGCAGAACCAGAGGCAAAACCAAGGGCATACTTGGCGTTTTCAAGCGAGGCTACAACAGTCTCGAAGCCATCTCTGTTTGGGTTGTCAGATCTGGAGTACTCGTACTTGCCAATTGGCACCGATGGAGCACTTTGAGCGAAGGTAGTTGAGAGTGAGATAGCTGGGATGACAGCACCGGTCTGGGCGTCATGGCCCGATCCGGCGTGCACTGCTCTTGTTCCAAATCCTGACATAGTGAACGAAGTGTATAGGTTAGAAAGAATTCTCTATCTGTATTGATCAGAAGAAGAGAAAAACGAAAGAAGAAAACCGTTCCACTGCATTTATCATCAAACGGACCATCTTCCCACAGCGATGGGATTCTCGCCCAATGGGGAAACTAATCTGAAAAAATTTCTTTAGTAATGCAGACGCACTAGTGTTCAGCAATTGCGTTTAAACACGTGATATGTGCGGCTGATTTCTTAGCGAGATAAATTGGGGGACAAAGCGATGAATCTAAAACGCAAGCCACAGACAAATAAAAATGAACTGTAAAATCGTATTTTCAGGATTCAGTCTTGGGGGTTTCCTTGGGGGTTTCCTTGGTTTTTTCTTTGGTTTTTTCCTTGTGCATCTCCACTGCCATCAGGGCAGCACCAGTGTGGTTTGTGAAACTGAATACTGGCCCCAGAAGAGGAATTGTCTCCAGCAGCACCGCAACCACGCCGAAAGAAATATAGCGAGCCTCGTTATCTTTGACGTGATACTTGACGTTGACCGGCTTCATCCGCATCAACCGAAAATACCTCTGGTGGCGACCAACGGATTGTGCCTTTGCCATATCAAGGAACGAAAACACCGGACCAGCCAGAGGAACAGCGTTCCACCAGTTGGATCTAACAAATCTAGCCAGTTGCACAGGAAAAGACACGACTCCAAATGGCAATGTGCCCAGTGCCGCCTCCTGTACGCGCTTTCCCATGGGCTTGCTGGTGATGCGGCGCAACCTCCCTGAATATACCTCGAGCTCCAGTCCCTCGTTGCACAACACGACGTCAAACAGCTTGTCCATCTGTCCGGTAATGACGTAATTCTGTAGCAGATAGTCTGCTATTTGGGAGGAAACGCCAACAACCCACACGGTCGCTGCAACAAGACCCATTGGACCGACGCACAACGTAGCCACGAACAGGTGTGTCGGGTAGATCAATCCGAGCATGAAGGTCAATGCACTGATTCGAATCAGGAGAGTAGGGATGAAGTTGTTGATAAGATACGGCCACAGTCTTGTATGGTTGTAGAAGTATGCAATACCCTGTTTCGGGGGTGAGTTAGACAAGGAAAAGTATTGGAACAGCCGAGTTTTGTGTTTGTTCCTTAAATGATTCGGTTAATACGAACGAGAAATGGATACACAAATGCATCTGAAGTAATTAGGCCTGAACCGATGGCATATGGTCTGGTCGTCTCTTGTCTCACTCTCGAAACGACTGAATTTGCAAAACCAGACAGTGTAGAAGGTTCCAACAATGACATGGATCAAAAGGCTGTGATGGACTCAAAGATTGTTTTAAGACTAAGTGGATCAGTAAACGACTATGGTAGTTGTTTAAACGGACTTGGTTTGAGAACCTGACCACGTTTCCTTTGTGGTCGTTAGTTAACATCTAGAAGATAGAGTTGGGCGCCGCACGTAACCGGACAGCTCATAGGAGGAGTCTGGTTTGGTGGGCTTAGACGCGATGGAGAAGTGACAGGTGTGGGAATAGGCAAAACTCGTATTGAATCTTTACAAAAAAAATACTTTGGGAAGGAAGGCGCATATTCCAAAATTCTCTCCGAGAGGTTGATGTCTTCATCAACCGAGAGAAATGTCTGTTTGATTGGTTGAACTGTGATGCAGTCTGTTTAAGCTTAGAGGGCAAAGACTTAACTGAAAGCCCAACTGAGAACACCATTTTTGTCGCCTTGCAATGTTCGAAAACGCGAATTTAAAAGGCTACTTTCTGAAAATGATGTCTGGTGTTTGGAAGACTGTTTTGCAAGGCTAACTTTGAAAACGCCGCAACGAAATTTTGACATCAATACGAGAATAGGACACATCGACGGTTTCCAGTGATAGAAAGAGAATCATGGCCGAAAATGACTTTTTTGGTCGTTTTTGTCCACCTTTAATCACTTTCAGGCTTCCATATAATCGCGCATTGTTCTATTATTTCTGCACTTACTAAGCCCCTGCCCCATAATTTTGCTTAGATCTTCACGGCTGTACCCTTAATGCAAGATATGCACGGCTGAAGCGATTGTGACCAAATTGGGCTTGGTTGGAGCACTACTTTGTTTTACGAATAAATGCATTGATTGCACCTTTAGATCCATTTAAAAGACAACCGCTAAGTCCTAAAACGGAAAATACTAGGGATTTGTACGGCATTGACTTGTTTTGCCAAACGTTATTTTGTAACAGTGCAGCAGGCAGTAGTTGAACTGGACTTATTTGGCCGAAAGCATATGTTTTAATGATTGCGTGATCTAATGTCTTATTTGGTTATGAGGAAAAACGCAATTGAGTGGAGTAAAACGTTTTTGTCCCGCTGTTGTCTAAAATTTCTTCTACCTGGTTAATTTGGATAAATCAATGTGAAGGTTATTAGTAATTGAAGTTGATTATTAGTTTTTAGCGAACATATTAGGGGTAGAGAATCTACCGGAGTCGCCTCATTCAAACGAACAAAGCAAGGGCAACAGCACCTAAGACTCCGAGGGATCCCATGGCAGCTGGACCGGCAGCACCACCCTCATAGTTGGTGATTGCTGGAAGAGTGCTGTTTGAGAAGCTGGAGACGGTTTTGGTGCTGGAAACCGTGGAGGAGATCTTAGCTGAAGACGATGACGACGATGATGACGATGAAGAAGAAGAAGAAACCGCAGACTTGTCATACAAAGTGATGGCAACAGCACCAGATGGAGCATCACCAGATGGGTAGTAGAGCAACTGGTACTCGGAAGTGGAGTAACTGTATGGGTCATTAGTGTTCTTGGCAGCGTAGAAACCCTTGGATGATCCGTTGAGTTGGAGAGCACCTTCGTCGGAGAAGGTGTACTTCTCGTAAGGAGCTCCTGGAGTCAACAAGACAATGTTGTCTTCAATCTGGAAATATGCAGTGAAACTACCGATATCGTCTGAGAGAGTACCATTGCTCTTGGCGTAGGTCAAGTCCTCTCCTGTTGCAGTGGTGCCGAAAAAGAAGTAGTTGATAGCAGCACCCTCGTGGATGGAGGAAATACCAACGTTGTTAAGATCGGACTGATCAGACTTGGCAATGAGTTGAAGACCAAAGGCGGAAGATGCAAGGGCCAAGACGGAAGCGGCAGCAGAGAATTTCATAGTGAAGAACGAATGGATTGGCAAGGAATTGCTAAAGTGTTTAAGATAGTTTGGATGAGAAGCAATAGATTTTCCCAACAACAGGGAAAACGCCGCAAATTTATATTTTCCCAAAGGGTTAATAATAGAACGTGACAAGGAAGTGCCATCCTTGTCACTGGCCGAATATGGAGGTTCAAACCCTAATTCGCTCGACTCAACTTGCGGTTGTGGAAATGCGGCTACTTCCGAGATGCGTAATTATGCATCGACGGTTAATTGAAGGGGTATTTTTGGAAGAAAAATAACCATCCCCGCATTGGTAAAACCATCCGGATAATCCGGAACAAAGTATGTAACATAGCGTTTTGTGTGAAGTTTTTACCGCCTACCAATTACTTACTGACCCTGGTATCGTCAAGTTCATTTGATTGCCTCAACATGTTCCATGCAGTTCTAAATTTAAACACAGCCCTAATGCAGACGCATTATTTCGTCATGTTTTCGCGGGATGAGATGACTTTTTCAATCGTATGCACGACCTGCGTGATCTTTGGTCGGACTAAGTTTTTCCTCGGGACCCCATAGATGACCAGAGAATTAATAGTAGCGTAAACAGGTAATGCAATAATTCCTCGGAGTAATCTGCCACGGTACAGATGTTGCTTTGGTGAGTTCTTCAGGTGACTGTTGTAATGATCTTGTGAAAGGCGTATGGTTGTGCCGAGGAGCAAGCGACTGAGAGGATACGGCTTGGTCTGTGGGGTTGAGATACTTCCGAATTTGAACTTGTTTATTTTTGACCTTCAATTTATCCGCCGTTGCAGTGAGTGACGTCGGTAAAGTTTCGGGTCGTTGGCCCGACGTGTGTCAGAATCACTAGCATCCGGCTTGCAGAGATGTACATCTCATGCATAAAAATGCTGTACAATCGCTCAGCGTGCCCTATTCTGCCCGGATAACCTGCCACTCAGAACTTATTTCAAAACCAGCATTCCGATTGCTTTTTGTTTGGTCCCAACGGTGACCCAAACAGGCACCTAAACTGTCTAACTCCAACAACAGCCGACTCTACTTTTGGAAACCATTTTGAATCATCAACGCCTCATATCTACCATTTGGTACAACCCAACAGCTTTGTTTCAGTCTTTTTTAGTATTTATGTATACACATTCTGCTTAGTCGAACAGACCGAATCCCATGTCGTCGTCGGACTCCTCCTTCTCCTCGACAGCCTCCTCAACGGCGGCCTCCTCAGCGGCGGCACCAGTAGAGGCGGCACCAGCAGCAGCACCGGCACCTCCAGTTGGAACAGAAGAGAGCTTCTCGGTACCTTCGGCGATCAGCTCGTCGATGTTCTTACCATCCAATTCGGAGATCAACTTGTCCAACTTGTCGGACTCGACCTCGATTCCAACGGATTCGAGGACGGCAGTGACATCAGCGGCAGCTGGAGCGGTCTTTCCAGCAGAAACAAGCAAGAGGTAAGCAGCCAAGTATTTCACTATAGGAAAGAGTTAGTATTGCGGTCTTGTATTGAGAGGACATCTTGGACGGGTATTGACAAGCTCGGTCTTTTGGCACATGTTCCTGGGAAATCTCAACTTTCACAGAAAAAATACACCGGAAACCCAGATCTCTATTGCGAGGATCTCGGGCTTCAGTAAGTTTGGTTGATAAGCTATCTTGCAAACTCCTGGCTCTCAAAGGGAAATCTCACCCATCCATTGAACTCTATGTCAGATCCCTGTAAACTTCGAGAATATCCCCAATCAACATGCACGGAGCTCCATCAAACCCAAAAGTCTAAAATATAACATACTTTTTGAACTGTGTTATATGGTGTAACTCTGTAGTATGGATACACTCGACTCTCACCAAAGACTCTTGACGTTGAGTGAAAATAATTGGGTCGTGTACCTGTTCTAATCCTGACTTCCAAGATCTCTTCAAGCTTGGGAGAGACGAGAGGGAATTCAGCAGTCACATTACATGCGTAGTCATGGGCACGTAATAAGTGTAAAATAAGTACCACCACATGTAGAACTCATCTCTGCCAAAGATTTATGGTGGGTGCACTCCTGCAATTCTGTAGTCGTGCGTTGAACACGAAATCCCCAGCTAGCATGCACTCTCCCAGTCACCGTGAAAAAACTGGTGAAAGCTCTTTCGGTAACAGCTTACTTTAAACAATTTGTATTACCAACGAAAGAATCAATAATGTGTATGTGTTATTAAATGAATATGTTACAGATGGTCATGATGGAATCAAGGAGAGAAAAGTTATATCGAGAGAACTCAAGAGAGGCCAGGACAGATCCTATTTTTTCAAGGGCTGGAAATCTACAACGAAGCAAGAGCGTTCCATCACACCAACCACGGATGGCGAGTGAAAGGTTTGCTTTTTCCGATGAGAGTTTTCTGGTAGTTTGAACTGCGAACTGGAACTATTTTAAAAGTTCTAGAATCATATGAAACTCGTGAAAACTGATCAGACCTTTTCCATACGAAAACCTTTAGGGAAAGCCTGGCTCACTCTCAATACTACTGCTCTCCCACTCCAAACATGACTAAACTCTACAAACCACCGGACCCATTACTAACCATTTTCAGCTACCGATATCAGGAGAAAGAGAACTTTCAAGTCGTTCCAATTCAAGGGTGTTGATTTGGCTGATTTGCTGAAATTGTCCAACGAGGACTTTGTCAAGTTGTGCCACGCCAGAGTGAGAAGAAGATTCTCCCGTGGTATCAACTCCAAGCCAACTGTCTTGATCAACAAGTTGAGAGCTGCTAAGTTGGCCACCCCACCTAATGAGAAGCCAGCCGTTGTCAAGACCCACCTCAGAGACATGATCATTGTCCCAGAGATGATCGGTTCCGTCGTCGGTGTCTACAACGGTAAGGTCTTCAACGTTGTTGAGATCAAGCCAGAGATGGTTGGTCACTACTTGGGTGAATTCTCCATCACTTACAACCCAGTCCAACACGGTAAGGCCTCTGCCGGTTCCTCCAAGTTGAGATTGTACTAGATGTGTGTTCATAAGCCTTTTAATACAACCAATCAAAGTTAAATTAAGTTAAATCAAAATTAAGTCAATCTTTTGATCGGACATGAAGACAAATCCGCTCCAACTTATCTCTTTCATAGCGTTACATGGTGGGTCTCATTTTCGGATTCCCATCTCCAACAGATCTTTGTCAATATCGGCCTTTCTCGCGCTCCTGAGGTCATAAAGTGCTGACGGAAAACCGACGTACTTTTGTAATCCCTTCAGTTGGCTAATCTCCAGAAGCAGACCGTTTCTCTGAGACACCAGCTCTGGAATCACGTCGTTTTCATCCCGCGTGCTCAGCATAGGATTGAACTGGTAGTAGTCTGGGATGTCCAACACTTTATTGTCCAGCTTGCGTCTCTCCTCATTGATATCGTACCATTCCGAGGTTGTTTCCCACAGGTACTCTGTCTTGAGATCCTGGCAGTTTTTGATGAACTGCTGGTGAACCTGAGCCCTTTGGGCGTTGGTTTGGTCGTCTATGCACTTGAGTTGGTACCTCTGGGAATTGGTGATGTAGCTCAACCGTTTCTCATAGTTCTTATTTATTATCGACACGAAATTGATGAATTCCGGGTGCGATCCGTTCACACAGAGCTCAAGCTCGAACTGAAGCCGAGAGAGTTGGTTTTGGAAAATGGAATCCTTGAGCTCAGCAAATCCAACCTCAATATCGGTGAGGTCGGCCAAAGCAACAGCGCGCAGTTTCTCCTTTTCCTCTTCGTCATCATTATCTCCTTCTAGTGCCTCTGCCTGTTCCTCCTCATCATCTTCTTCTTCTTCTTTAGAGCCCTGTTCTTTATCGTTCGAAGGATCCTCATCAACGTCCTCATCCGGCTTGCTATCGCTCAGTTTCCTCCGTTTTTGGTCAGACTCACCATCCAAGTTCCTCCTTTTGCGCGACTCAACTGCGGAATCAGATTCATTTTTCACAAAAGTATCGTCATCGTCATCCTCTTCAATCGCATTGGAATTTGAATTCGAGTCTCCATCAAGAGTGGCCATTCTTTGCAGGTCGCTGTCAATGATGTCTTCCATCAGGTCGGTCTCCACTTCAGAGCTGTTGATATCGCTCAGTTCGGAAGACGATTCTGCGATCTCCTTCTTCAAAGGTGAAGAAGATGGTATATCTGTTAACGGTGAGGTTGCAATCAAAGCTGGCACACAGTTAGTCTGTTGTTCGCGATTGCCCTTCCTCGGGGGATGGGGCTGTCTGCTAACACTAGCGCCGAACTTACCTGTATTCGGGGTCTGTTCCCTAGATATTTCCTGAGCTTTATCAGAAATGGACATGCTAGTTACCCAAGAATCAGAGAGGAAAACTTCGAACTCCTCGAAAATGAGACTCAGCAGCACAGACAGAAACACTCCGAGACAAGCAAATCTGTTGATAGCGAGAAGGGCTAATGGTATTTGGGGCGTGTACCGGCGAGGGGGGCTCTTGTGATCAAGACGTGAAATCTGCCCAATAGTGCTGGAGGATCTGAGGTGAAAATGTCTGTGCCAGTAATCAACTGTTTATTTTTCACGTTTTGGGCTTTATTTTCCAAATTATAGTCATACTGGTTTCGAGGAGATAACATTTCCTCAAATGCGGCACGGTCCCGACAATAATTCGTGTCTAATCCAAATTCCTTCTTTCGGAAATACCAGAGATGAGAGAGGTGAATTTTTTTTGCAGAGAGTCTTACAAACACAGGAGGCCTCAAAGGGAACATTCAACAGCTCCAAATTCGTCATAATAAGATAAGATATGTCGGGTATAAGTTCTATATTTGGCGCTGTTTCCGCCAAGGTGGACTCGAAAGTTGCTGCATTGTTTGCAAAGTCTGCAAAGTCAGTTGATTCATCCGAGCTGATCAACAAGAAGGCGACTGGTTTGCCAGTGGAACATGTCCAACCAGAGGCTGCGAACGACTCTAAAGATAATAGCGATTCAGCCTATGAGTCTGCTGAGGGCTCAGATGTGGAGATGGACGAAGCTCCAGCTCCAGTCCCAGCCTCAGTGAGGCCCAAGAAGCGCCGCGATGAGGACGACGATTTGGAGGACAGGTATATGGCCAAACTTCTTGAAGAAACTAAGGAAGAGAAAAAGGCATCGTCAGATAATGAAGAAGAGAAAGAAGTGACACAGTCGGCTCCAAAGGCTCAGACTGTAGATTTGAAGCTGAGCGAGCTCGAGAAGGCAGAGAGAACTGTCTTCGTGGGAAACGTGTCTACACAGGTGATCACCTCAAGCAAACTGCAGAAGGAGTTCAAGAATCATTTCAAGAAGTTTGGAGCAATTAGCTCTGTGCGGTTTCGTTCGTTCGCTCTTGGCGAACTCCTCCCAAGGAAGGCAGCATTCATCACCAAGGCCATTGATGATAAGAGGGACACCGTGAACGCATATGTTGTATTTGTCCAGAAAGCAGACTCCGTTAAGGCTACTGAGTTAAACGCTACGGTTTTCCATGATCACCATCTGAGAGTGGATCATCTCACTCATCCTTTACAGCAAGACAATAAGAGATCTGTCTTCATTGGAAACCTCGATTTCGAGGAACAGGAGGAGAGTTTGTGGAAGTACTTCACCAAGAACTGTGGTGATGTTGAGAATGTTAGAATCATTCGTGATTCAAAGACGAATTTCGGCAAGGGATTCGCTATTGTTCAATTCAAGGACTTTCTCGGAGTCGACAAGGCTCTTCTTTTGCATGACAAAGTGCTTGATACTAGTGAAAAGAAGCGTAAACTGAGAATTACCAGAATGAAGAAGACAGAGAAGAGAAGCGACAGACCACTGGGAAAGAACGCCAGGAACCTTACGGAGAAGGAGAAGTCCATCTTGGGAAGGGGCAAGAAGACTCTAGGAAAGAGTGACAGAAGGACCCTCGGAAAGACTCTCACAATCGAGGGTGAGAGAGCAAAGAAGGGAGTCAAGGTTAAAGGCATCAAAAATGGCCTGGGCAAAGTCAAGAAACCAAGAATCACAAAGAGATCGCAGAAGTTCAGAAGCGACAACCCCAACTAAAGAGGATGCTGAAATTTGTTATCAGCACGTGACTAAATGTGTATAGCACGCCTTTATGGCCAAACGGGGAGGGGGCAGTCAGGGGGCCGTCTATCAAGATGGCTTTCTCTGGATAGCATCCTCTTTCTTAACATTAACGCTTTTTTTTGGAATAATTGGAATTCGATTGTCATAACTCACATTTAAGGATGGGTTCAAACGTTTCAAAACAGGCGAGTCCAACTTACACTGCCGTCAAAGCTGAGCCCACCATGGCCGTCTCCGATGACACGGAACTGATCGAAAGATTGCAATCGCTTCTAGTGAAGGAGAAAATTTCGGTCAAAGCTGTATCCAGAATTGAGAAATCCGGCGAAGATAACCCACTCACTTCTGCCAGTTTTCTGAACTGGGAATCGGAGTTGCTTTCGGACCCAAAGAACGAGCTGGCTCTCAACTGCTTCACCGGCAACAGCATCACCGATATCATTGCGAAGACTAAGAGTCAATACTCTCACAATTTGGATTCTTTCAACTACAAGGTCGATTTTGCCGGTGGTCCAATTACAAACCAGCGTTCGAGTGGAAGATGCTGGATATTTGCCTCCACCAACGTGTTCAAGAGTTTTATCAAGCAGAAGTACAACCTAGACAAGTTTGAGATTTCGCAGAACTACCTGTTTTTCTACGACAAGCTGGAAAAATGCAATTTCTTCTTGAACAACATTATTGAGTCATATGACGAAGAGATAGACTCTAGATTCATCCAATACCTACTCGCCCTTCCCATTAACGATGGTGGTCAATGGGACATGATCGTCAATCTGGTTGAAAAATACGGTTTGGTTCCACACGAGCAATTCCCCGATTCTTTCAGTTCCACCAACTCCTCAAGACTGAACTACATCATTAACAACAAGCTCAGGGAATATGCTTTGATTCTTAGAAAGTTGGCCTCGTCTGCTGCCAACTCGGAGAAATCGTACGAAGCTACCAGAGCCTCGATTCTCACCGTGAAGGATTCCATGTTGAAGGAGATTTTCAACATCTTGACCCTCACTCTTGGGGTTGCTCCTAAGCCAAAGGGTGAGTTTACCTGGGAGTATTTTGACAAGTTTGGCAACTTTCACTCTGTCAACACCACGCCTCTGGGTTTCTACAACGATATTCTTGGTTTCAAGGCCAACAAGTACTTCTCTCTGATCAACGATCCGAGAAATGATTACGACAAGTTGTACACTGTTGATAAGTTGAACAATGTTCTTGGTGGAAAACTCATTGAGTACGTGAACGTTGATTTGCCAGTCTTGAAGCAGGTCTTGATAGCTATGATCAAGAACAATGAGCCTGCGTTCTTTGGGTCTGATGTTGGAAAATTCGAAGATACTCCTTCTGGACTCATGGACGTCGACTCTTGGGACTACAAGCTGGGCTTCAACACCAGTCTCAACATCAACAAGCGTGAAAGGCTTTTGACTGGTTCATCTCAGATGACTCATGCCATGGTGATCACCGGTGTTCATCTGGATGCGGACGGTAAGCCCGTTAGATGGAGAGTTGAGAACTCATGGGGCCCCGATGTTGGTCACAAAGGTTTTTTCGTTATGACTGACAAGTGGTTCGACGAGTATGTTTTCCAGGTGGTTACTTCAGCTCAATATGCTCCTAAGAAGGTGGTTGATGTATGGAAGAGCAAGGAGTTCAATGTGCTGCCTTACTTCGACCCAATGGGCGCATTGGCTTGAATTTTGTTGGCCTTTTTTTAGTTTCGGTGTCATGACGATTAAACGGCGATTTTGTTGATCAAGTTTAGACTTAGTAGAATACACTCAGTAAAGATACACACTGTCCACACAACCAAATCCTGCAGCAACACCACCTTCGTCCGACGAGCTTGTCTTGGACCTTAAAAGGTAACCAGCAGCCTTGTTGTATAAAATCTGGCCATCGGACTCATCAAAGAGAACGGTGTTGAATATTCCCAGTTCGCACAAGATGCCCTCTTCTATGATCACTCCGTCTCTCAAAATCTTGTTTTTGAGGGTCGGTGGATGGATCAGCTCCATTAGAATATAACCAGGCCATTCACTCTTAGGAAGTCCTTCTAGAAATTCGGGGATATTCTGCTTGTAGATGTTATTTCCTCCTCCTTCTCTCTGCGGCTTCAGGACGAATCTTTCAGGCTCTGCGAATGCTAGTTTCTGCGCAGCCAGACCTTCCTCGGAGTCATCCATAGGATGAATCGCAACGAACGTGTCATGGAGCGTATCAATACTCTCTTTATCCAAAAACTGACCCAGAACAGCCTTTGATGTCAAGACCTGTTGAATCTTCTTGGCCCCACTCAATTGAGTGAGCAAAGAAGGGCATTTCACCGCTCTGGTTATTTCCAGGTAATATCTCGCGTGCCAGTCTTTCTCGCTGGTAAACTCGTACGGAGCATAAGCACTTCTGTAGTAAACGACCGAGATCGTTTGGCCGGTTGATTTCAGCTTCAAGGCCCTTGTGGCTTCGTCAATGGCTGTGGATGACTCAACCTCCGAAAGCGTAAGTCTCTTTGACTTGATTCCAGACTTCAGTAGTTCATACTCCAAAAGCCTCTGGTCAAAAACGTTCCTCTCGTTGTGTTGTACAACGAACAGCACTACGGTGTCTTTGACACTTTCAGAGCTCTCGTAGTATCTGACACCTTGGGCTAATCCCTCGGATAGTCCCTTGATACTGTCAGAAACCGGTAGATCTTCGTCTCTATAATAGTTTCCTTTGTCAGAGGAATAATCGCCCTTGGAATTCAAGAAAGAGTGAAGTTCGCCAACCTTTGAAGAAAGACCTCCAAACGAGATGCTCACTGTATTGAACTCTACCTGTTTTATTCTCTCCTCACCATTTGCAGTATCCAGCATATAATCAGATCTGAACAAGCCCAAAGACTTGGTCTGAACAATCCCGAACTCACGTGCTTTCAAATACACTTCCCATAGCTTTCCCGTGAAGCCCTTGTCAAACTGTGATAGTTCCTCAATGGCCTTGCTCAACCACTCGTAGTTCGATGTCACTTTGGCGTAAAGCTCGCCAAACTTCTCCGCAACTTCAATGCCCTTTTCAAACTGCGATCTTGGAAAAGGTGTTGGAAAAAGGGTAACTGGAGCGTACGCTGCGTTGTACGGCTTGAAGTCTTTTGGGTACATGACTAATCCGTTACCCAGAGCCCATTGCGAAAGATCGTCAATGAGCTCAACTTCCTGAATCTTGGAAAGCTGAGGGAAGCTCTTTTTAGGCGGCATGGTGAGTCCTGGCTCGAAACAAATTCGCAATGACTCAATAAACTTGCCTTGTTGAGAGTTAAAAGTCGTTGGTGCCCCTAGCCTCAGAGAGACTGCCAAATATCACACGTGCAATCGCTCGATAGCACGCTTCACGTGATCAAACGTCTTATCGCAAACCACCACTACTGGACTAGTGAAAAATACATCATCTCGTTGACTATAAAAGTAAAGAACTATAAAAACCTGTAAACTTTGATTGACCCATAACTCCTGTCTGTTATTTTACCCCTAGTGTCCCTCGCTAGTCTTGGGCTTGAGATACCACCAGCCAATGGAGGCAACGGCGAACGCAGCCAGAATACCCTTATCTCTAAAAGATATTGGTTCTTCACCAGACTGAGAAGACTCTGAAGTGTCAATCTCCAAAGGCTCAACCACTACACCAGATTGTGTGGCCACTGGTGGACTGTCGACCCCAAGACTCACGGCACCTTCAACCTTAGCATCCAGTATGTCCTTGGGGTTTTTTGGATCAACAGGCGTGGTTGCATCCTTGAGAGAGGCCTCAGTAGAAAGCGATGGGATTTTTATTGGTGGCACTGGATCTGGTGGGTCGTAGTTGTGATGGGGAATCTTGAAAGACTCAATCGTAGAACTGTCACCTTTAGCCGAAACAGTTGCCGTTCTTGAAATGGTCCTCTTTTGGACAGTTTTGGTAGATAGAGACTTCTTCTGGATCTTAATCAAGTTTTCTGGTTCTTTCGCATTAACAGTTTTGGACTTCGAAGCTGTAGACAGCTGCCTGGAAGATGGTGGAGAACCCGGGGCATCGCTGTGACTGAGTCGTTGGATCAGCTCAAGCTTTCTCCCGCTAACTTTCAATCCACGCCTCTTGCACTCGCTTTTCAACCCCTGCAAATTCATAGAAACATATTTGCTACCCGCATTCGAATCTAGCAGCGTGGTCTGGGCCTTTGAGGTCTGGTGCACTGACCGCACAAACGTGATTGGCTGTGACTGTCTCTGGAATGTCTCGTACTGTCTGCTCACAAATGAAAGGTCATCTTCAGCGAAAACCGTCTTTATAGCCTTGTTACTGAAGTATTTTGATGAACTAGCGCTTGGTGGAAGACGTGGCGCGCTTTGGAGTTGTTGCCTCACACCCTGCTGATAAGCAGTCCTCAGAGTAGGCAATGATCTGGCACTTCTCAATACGGATGCCATTTTCTCAGAGCAAAAATATATTCTATTGCAAAATTTTAGGACTTTTTTTTGATAAAATCCTAATAATCAGTAAATTATCGAGAAGGATTAAAAAGAAGGAATCTCTAATTATAGATGCCTTGCTGCCTGATCTGGCGATGAGGATGATTGCCTAATCCGGTAAATTGTCAATAGATTGAAAGTTTGGCAAGCTCTGTAATTTCGACCTGAAAGTCGTTTTCTGACAATTTTAAAGAAGCCAAAGATTTGTTTTCTAGTAGACAAAGTCTCAAGATTGCCTCTCTTTTGCGCTTCTCGCGAACCAAGCGATCTGTCATGCCTTCCCGTAATCCCCCGGACATGGAAGCGTAGTTTCCTGCATTTTTCAGCAGTTGAGTGCAGTTTTTCAGCAAGAGTTCTCTGTTTTTGGCAGCATCAGATGTTTCTAATTGGCTTCTCTGTTTCTCGATGTCAGCCCTTGCTATTATGACCGCACAAAGCTGCGAGATCATCTGGCTGTAGATGTCTTTGCCCTTGGAATTACCCAGTTCAGTCGTTAAGATACCGGCTGCTATCTGCAATTGTCTCAGCATTGTAGACAATTGTGTCCACCACACAAAATGGTCCGGGATATTATCGAATTTGTCCATGAGTGTTTGAATACAATCAGCATATACCATATGCTTTTCTGCTGAGTCGGCGAGTGTGTTCTCTTCCCTCATCCAGATGGCACTTATCTCTTCGAACTGTGTAGACTGAGAGCATAGCATCGCCAATCTCTCCAGCTTTAGCCTTTCCAGAGCTTCTGTGGTGATGCGGGGAATCAGCTGGTCTTCACCTAGGTCCAAACTTGGAGCAAAACTGATGTTGACCTCGGCAACTAAATTGTCCAATTGGTCCGAAAAGCTCTGGAACGCGAGCCTCGACTCGGATAGTCTATTGGGATCTGCTGTGGTCTCATATACAGATCCCACCAGCTTATAGCATTGGGTCACCGTCTCAAGTATGGTATCCGGGAGTACCGTTTCCTCTGTCATGTAGTTTTCTCCCTGATCTGCTTGACTCGGTTCATTGTTCGTGTTATTCAAATTCTCACTTGCAGCCTCACTAGTGGCCACAGTTGCCGAAATATCCACCAGCTTCTTCAATTCCTCTCTCTGGATTCCTAAAACTGCACTGAACATATCCCTTGCCTTTATTCCTGATTCTAGCGTCTCTCGCCAGTTATTTTCATCTTCTGCCAGTTTCTCCACAAGTTCTGAATAAGCCATCGCAGTATTGTAAACCAGCTCCCACGGAACGACACCTCTGGCCCTGCACTTCGATAATGCGTGCTCATGAATCTCCACTATGCGTTCCAGTGGCTGAATCACCTCTCTGGCTGCTTCAACAGATTCCAGACTGTCCAGAATAATGCCTTCCTGCCTCACGAACTGGTTGTGCACATGAAGGAGCAGCCGTGCCGTGTTATAAAGAGCATCTGCATACCCATCGTCCTTGGAGAGTGCGACCCGATAGTGCTCATAAGCCCTAAAATAAAACCTCAAAGCTTTGGCCAGATCAGAAGCAAGCCATCTGTCTCCTGATTCCTCTTCCTCGGTTCCCAAAACCCACGAGTCCTCGGCCGTCACTGGTTGCGGTTTCGCCACGGCAGTGGCCTTCATTTGAAGTCTTCTGGGCAGTTTAAGCCCTGTTTTTTCTGAAGTAGCTGGTTAGAAAATGAAGCTCATAACTATAGGTGAAAACCTCCAATAATATAACTTACTACTCATTATTAGCCTTTGAATATCCTCAGATAGCTACACCAAAGATAAGCACCTCACGACCCTGAGCCGCTGGCGTGAAAAATAGCGATTAGCTGCCCCGATTGTTTGTGTACACGTCAAATTGTCTGGGCGCTTAATCTTTTCTGTCTTCAAAGACGCGCTCAGTCTTAAATGGGTCGTTTATACGAGAGCCATGCCAGCAGCGAATCGGAATCAGGTGCCGAATCATCCTCCGATTACGAATATGGAGAAGCCAAGGTGGTCACCGTGCCGTTGCTGCTGTTAGATGTGACTATAGACAAGGTGGAGGAGGAGAAGCATCTAGAGGAGCAACGCGCGGGAACTGAACGCGGCATTGAAAATTACAGATTTGTGGAAGAAATTGAGCAAGATGGACTTTCTTTTGTTTTCCCTTCGTATGATCAAGAAGAAATTCACGAGGAAAAACAAGATCCCAATGAACATCAGTTCAAAAGAAAGCACAAAAAAGACAAGACACCGCCTAAAGATTTCTTCGAACTTCTGGTCACGGATTGCACCGAGATTGGTGATCCTGATGATGATGATGATGATTCAGATATTGCTGAACTGCCGTTTGGTGTTCCTAAGAGCGAATCCCTGTCTATTCGCATGCTATTGATGGATGCCGAAGAGGACTTGCCTCTGTTGCTTGCAAAAAGAAGTGATCTGTATTCAGGAAAGCTTCCTTGGGAAGATTTGGGAATGAAGTACACTGATCTCATATTCATAAGGGCAAGCTTTCGGATCGAGGAAATTGACGATTTCAGTGTAGGATCAGTGGAAACGCTTGAGGTGTACTCCAGGGACGAGCTGGCAAACGTGATTACCAAAAATGATATTCTATACACTTCGGGATTACTTGAAAGACTCAAGAAGAGACTTCCACAAAAGAGCCTGCAATATTTGGACGAGCTGGTGGGAGGTTCTCTGTTCACATCACCATCTCCACCGTTACCCTATACAGCTACTCTGTTAGACGTGGAGATACCGGACCTGAAAGAGGAGACAAGTGATGAATCTGAAGTCGAAGATGAAGATAATCATGAGTCCTGCATGAATGCCATGCCCTCAGACAACACCGAGCCTCACGAGTTCGTGGACTTATACCCTTCCTCTCAATCCAAAGGCTTGGTTTCATGATATGATGTCCAGTCCCACATTCAGTACCATTCTCACGACCTCACGACCTCACGACCAGTTCTGACCAACCAGATCTCATTCCACGATATTCATATTTATTCTTAATTTCTAATGTTTCCATTTTTCTTTCTCTGCTTCGTAGTTTTCATTCTCCTAAAATGACCAGTCTCGATCACGTGATTTGAGCCGCGTACAGCCTCGCGATGAGACCTACTTCAAATATCGCGTCCGCTGGAGAAGTTACTCCTTCTCAAAAGGTCTCATTATTACAGCAATGGCAGACCCAAAAAGCACCAAATTGACTCAGATAGCTGATCTTGGTGATCCTGCGAAGTTCAGGAAACCCTGGAAGGTCACTCTGCCGTTTATGCTGGTTGCTATTAAGCCCATGGACGGCAGACATGTCGCAAAACAGAGACGTCGATTACAGCTAATAGTCACCGACTTTTCGTCACATCCGCGGAGCTTCCGCAGGATGAATACGACTTGGCCTTTGCCATTTGATTTTGTGGAGAACGAAGTGTTTTGTATAACGCTGTTTGAGGACACTGCAGAAAAGGTGCTTCCTAAAGAGCTCGCTAAGAGGGGCCTGTCTCCCGAAATAGCCATGGGTCAGCGGCATTTAGATCCTGAGGAACTTGTTTTTGTGAATATTCTCTTCACTGTAAAGGCTTTTCGGACGATGTCGGGCTCGTATTGGGAAGGCAGAGCATATGAGGGGATAAAGTGTTATGCGGAGTCGGAGCTACGCGACGCGAAAAACACCGAGGGTTTACTTTATTCAACTGGAATACTTGAAAGAGCGAAGATGCGGTTACCCTGGTTGACTAGGAAGAAGCTGGATGGGTTGGTTGCGTATCCGGAACCACCCAGACCTGAACCCGAACCCAAGAGACAGAAAATTATACATGTTTCGTCTTCGCAGATACCGTCGCAGAAGCCTGTGTCACGAAACAACGAAGAACTAGATTTTTTGGACGAGGCCATAGACTCATTCAGCGAAGAAGAACCGGGGTTTGATATCCCCGACTTCATGGATGCCTGTGGTCTGTTTGCTTCCACAGCGCCGCTCCCAGGAAGTGAAGCAGTTTTAAGTTTTCATGACACCGAGGAGGACACTCATGAAGACACTCAGGACGATATCTCAAATGACAAAGGTAAAGAGGACGATAGCTTCGAGGTGTTCGTGGTGAACAAGAAAGTGCCGGCGGTTGAGTTTTCCTCTCTCAAAGCCACCTCCATTGCAAACAAACATACTCAGGAGGAAAAACTCCAGAATCGGAAGCGCCATTTGGAGCTTGAAACTCAGACCGAGCAAGAGCAGAGAGTGGCTAATGTGACAGCTGTGACAGTCACAGAAGTTCAGGATCAAGCTCTAAACGACGAACATGAGGCTTCTAAGCAACAGGCCCAATCCCATGCTGAAAAAGGTTCCATCAAAGACACTCCTATTTTGGTCCAGACCCCGGATTCTCAAACCGTCATACATGACTCCGGCTCTCAAAGCTCTGAATCATGGAAGCTTTCGCGCATTATCACTTCCAGAGCCCGGCTTGTGTACAGGAAGTTCAAGACCCTGGCATCTTCCGGGAACTAGGAGAATAATCGTTGATCTGAATAGGTGCTATGTTCATGATAATCCTGTGCGGCGTATAATTGGTTAATGCACTGATAGTCTTTGGAGGCAATCTAACTCGCGTCACCCTTGGAACTTTTCACTCTCAACCGTCTATCTCGAAACAAAACTATGGCAAAAGCAAAGGGAGTGTAAGTCATAAATTTGTCTGTTTTTTCTGTTTTATCTTACTGGAAATGTTCTAACCAATTTTCCCTCAGTGAAAAGAAGGCAATCAGCTTCGTTCGGACGGCGTCCAAGCTCAAGATCGGGGCACACGTCCCAAGTGAAGGAGCCGGCGCGATTGGCTCAAGAGTCGTTTCTGCGAACAGCATTGGTGCCAATTCATTTGCTCTATTCCTGAAGAACCCTAAAAGATGGGTGTCGGCACCATACGAGGCCAAAGACGTGGCTGAGTTCAAACGGATATGCTTGGAAATGAAGTACGACCCACTAACGGACGTGTTACCGCACGGATCCTACTTTATCAACCTTGCAAATCCGGATCCTGTAAAAGTAGAGAACTCCTACAATTGTTTGCTGGACGATTTGCACCGATGCGAAGACCTTGGAATCGGATTGTACAACTTCCACCCCGGATCTGATCTCGGGTCGGACCACACAGAGGCACTCAAAAGGCTTGCAACCAACCTCAATCGCGCCATATCCGAAACAAAGTTTGTTAAGGTGGTAATCGAAAACATGGCTGGTCATGGCAACTTTGTAGGGGGGACGCTCGAGGATTTGCACGAGGTTATCGAACAGATCGATGACAAAACTCGCGTAGGAATATGTGTGGATACTTGTCATGCATTTGCTGCTGGCTACGATCTCAGCGATATAAAAGGATTTACCGAGTTCTGGGCGAAGTTTGACGAGATCGTTGGGTTCAAGTACCTCTCTGCTCTTCACCTGAACGATTCCAAAGCACCGCTTGGGGCTAATCGTGACTTGCACGAGCGACTTGGTTGGGGATTTCTTGGGCTTGAGTGTTTCCGATTGCTCGTGAACGATGCACGATTTGAAGGGATCCCACTGATCTTGGAAGTGCCTTTCGGCAAGGATGTTTCCATTTTCGGTGACGAGATCAAACTGTTGGAATGGCTTGTAGGTAGAAGTGGTGATGATTCCGAGTTTGTGGCTAAAGTTGTTGAATTGCAAAAGTTGGGTGCACCCAATCGCAAAGAGCAGGAGGCCAAGTTTGTGAAGAAGGTGGAGAAACGAAAGGCTGGCAAAGACATTGCTTCTATGCTGAAAAAGAGCAAAAAGTAAGAGCACTATGATCATGATGAAGTGTTCAAAAATTGGTCTCATAACTCTCTACGCTGCCAAAAACGGTCTTTGTACTTATCAAAAAGGGTTCTAGTGTCATTTTGAGGGCAATGCAGAGCATATTAATCTACAACAAAGTGACAATTTCGAATATTCAACGTTCTCAAAATCAGTGTATTGCGTAAATGTCACTTTTTAGGCAGTTGCTGGAACCACCGTATCGGTCTCTATTTTTGTGTCGGACTCTGACTTCTCAGTCTCAGTAACCTCCACCTCTTCCTCCTCCACCGTCTCGTTCCAAGCCTCGTCAATTTCAACGGTGATCCCGAACCAGTCGCGGACCAACAAATCCGCGCCCTTGCGGAAACTGTTGCTTGCAAAACAAGGCTTTTTCAAAATTCCCACCAAAACACGGTGCAAGTTCGTAGACCGCACCAAACTAACCGGTGCATCAGTTGTAGCCAGCTGGGACAAAATCTTGTCATATTTTGATTGAGCCGACTTTGGCACTGGATCATAAGTCTCAAGCAACTCCTGCAGTTTCAGCCTCGAGTCTACCAGAACTGGTCGGGTCTTGTTGAGGGACGAAACAATATCATGAGCCACCGGAGCTGGTCTTGAAGTGTCCGTTTCAAACTCAGACTCAGATCCAGAGTCTGTAGATTCAGGCAGCGATTCAGACCCAGATTCGACATAGTCCTCTTCTTCGCCGTCCTCTTCGTTGGGGACGAACGCCTCTTCAATCTCCGGCTCTGGCTCCGGAATAGGTTCAGGCTCAGGCTGGCCAAGTGATCCATATTGTACATAACGGTCTAGATCGGGCGGGTCCAACGCCAGTCTGTACGCATCCACGATCGCGCTTGCGCGCTTCGTTGTTCCGCGCTTGGCAAGAAACGCGTCGATCTGGGAAGCGCTCAGAGGGGATAAATCAGAAGACAGACACCAGATGTAGTTGTCATCCGCCAGAAACCTCACGCAAACCAATGAGGCTTCCTGCTGCGGGGTCTTACGTTTCTTTGGACCCGAGAACAGCTTGGAGCCGCGGCGCTTGACGGTCTGCGCAGACTTTGGCCTTACGGCTTTGATTTGGTCTGGTAGCGACTCAAAGGGAATCACCATCGACGGCCATGCCGGGTATCCCTTCACCTTTGCGAGCACTATAGTTCCAGGTTCGAACATTGGTGGTGGTTGGAAAGGAGAGTCTGGATTGACCACAGGGTATGTAGTTCATGTTTGGAGAATGGGCGCGTAAATTGTGCGGTACACATTCATTTAAAGGCTTAACTATGAGTGAAATATTGTTAAGGCAGAGAGATCTGGGAGAGAGAGAATTGATGGTATTTTTTGGTTTTGCAATGTTCAATTGCGTGTGATATGTCATGTAGGTAATACGGTCTACGGTTGGAGTAGATAGAGACACTAATACTAGGCCTTTAGGCCTTCCGTTTTAAACTGTACAGATGATCTGTCTAGCGAGTAACGCAAGTCATTGTTGGAACACTGTCAAAATGAGCCTTTCCGGATATTATTTTTCAATACGTTCCCCACCCTGAGAATTTATCTTGCATATCATCAAACACACTGCTGAAAGAGTTCTGTGTATACCATACAGTGAGCGCCCCATTCACAACTTCATCAGATAATTATGCTGAATTCAAAATCATTGAAACGACCCAACTCTCCTTGCATATGCAGTGAAGCCTTAGTACATTCATGCTGTTTCTCCTACAACTCTCAGCTTTTGAAAAACGTCTTAGTTACAGTTACAAAATCAGAATTGGTTCTGTTGCCCGTTGATACCGCTGAAGTATGGGTTGTACACCGAGGACTGGTCGTGGCCACCAAGGTATCCCTGGGGCATCTGGGGGATTCCACCAGGACCAGCATGATACTGTTGCTGCTGTTGAGGTTGTTGTTGCTGCTGAGCAGGCTGTTGGATCGGCTGTGCAGGAGGGGGCGACTGGTGGGGAGGCGAATTCTCCTCAGCCTCGTCTTGCGCGGATTCCTCAGGAGCGTTCAAGCAAGCCTGGATGAGATTTTTGCCTTCCGGTTTTGTCACCAGAGGCTGAAGCTTGGGGGTGGTGAAGGTGTAGACGAGTCCAGTTTCGGACACGACGAGCAAAAGCACCTGGGTTCCGGTCAACACCGAAAGCTCGTAAGCCTTCTTCATGATGCCAGCCTTACGCTTAGAGAAAGTGATGTGGCGTCTGGACTTGTCCTGAATGAAGCGAATCTCAATCTTTCTGCGCTCGCGAGTGAGCTTGGAGTTGTCATCGTCATCATCGTCAGGAGCTTGGTTGAGGGGTTGGTCCTCGGCAGGATCGAGCTTGACGGAGTCTTGGAGGTCGGACATGATTGACTGAATAAATTTGGCTGTTAGTATATCCTTGAGTTCTGTCACAATACGCGATAACACTATCCAACCCGATTACCCAATGCAGTTGGTCTTACCCAGAAGCGGGAATCGAAGTCTTGATCAGGCAATGGATGATGAGTTTCCTAGTTGAGAACAGGGGGGCCCATGGGAAAGGCTTATGGGCCCAGGCTAAACTTCCATTGGGTTGCGCGAATGAGGGGGAGGGCCGAAGACGGCTCTCAAAATGTTGGCATCAACTTACAATTAACGGGCGAGTGGCGTAGCTTAGGGGTGATTTGGGAGAAGAAAGGCAAAGGGGCATAAAAACAACACAAAAGGGGCTTCGACGACAGGAACAACAAGGGGGGCGTGGCCCAATCAGAGGCGAGAGCGATATTATGTAATAAATAAATAAGCAAAAGCGCACAATCTGTTGGTGAACGACATGACCATTTGCGAATTTTGTGTGCGATTGTAGTGCATATGTATGGTATTATTGTCTGTTCTGGTATGTCTATAGTTGTTTTCACGTACTTTTGTGAGTGTGTGCTGATACCAGTGTAAGGATATATATAGGCTTGAAGTGAACTTTAGAGTCGTAACAGAGTTTGAGCGGCGTAAACATGCGTATGATATATATCAAGCCAATAGGTGTATATTTTGTGTTCATATATGCTTGTGTATATCAATAAACTTGTACATGCCGCCATATTCCAATCAATCAGATACCCGTTTTTGCAGATTTCCTCTAAAATAGAGCATTTGAAGAAACTCCAAACCTAGTTCCCGCACTGCAGCCCACTGAGTGTAAGCAAGTAGCTAGCCACATGCAATGTAGAAAGAGTAAACGAAGCGTTATCCATTTATTTGTTTTGAACTAAGGTCTACAGATAATTTTCATTCCGAAACGGTCTTCGAATCAACCTCAACGCACCCCTGAAACTATTCACTTGGCCAATCCGCTATCTCTGAATCGAAATTTACAACCTTTAGGCTTTTCCATCCTATACCCTAATACATACAATGTTCAGATAATGATGCCCCAATCTGGTAACTCACGTGACATAATAGCCCAAACGGGAAGCCTCTCGGCTGCAAACAAGCCGGGTAAGTTGTTAGCATCTGGCTTTCGGTTGCCTCTTTCGGCACATCGCCGAGCGGTTTTTAACCGTTGGTAAATCGTCAATTAGTCAGTTCACACGAAGGAAATGGACTTGTAAGGCCCGTTGGGTGCCTCGAAAGTCTAAGATTTTTAAAGATGTAGTCAGAGTTTGAATAATTTGCGCCCTACTCGAATTGCGAGTCAAGATCTATTAGCATATACACCTAAGTAAACCGGATCGACTCCAGTACTCCCGACCAGCAACTAGGAGCCAGGAACAGTGTTTGGAATCATGTTTTGTAAATTTTTGGCAAGAGTGGTATTCTTTCTCAGCTTCATTAATGATATCCCACACTTATTTCTTGTACTTCTTGATCAAAAGCAGGATGGCCACAGTGACGGCTGCAATTGGTTAGTTCCGAGGGCGAAAAAAAAAGGCCGCAAACAACCCGGGTGCCAGCAGTTTCGAGGAAGCTGACCCCATGAGTATAGCAATTCGCAGGTTGGAAATAGAGAATTGGAGTAGCTATGTTCCCAGATCGCTCAGGAAATAAGCTCCGAGGAAAAAGCAAGACCAATTGGTTCAAAACCATGCTGAAAAATCATAACATACCAATGACGAAAATGAGGCAGAAGACCAAGATAACACCGGCTGGAAGCATTGTTCTAAAAGAAGTTAGCAAACTGAACAGTAACCAGAAGATCAAAGGGGAGCACGCACGATTATATTAGGATGATTAAGGGTCGGTTTGTAAGAACTGATGGGAAAAGAGAGAAATCCTCAGAGGAACGGCGAAAGAGGGAACGCAGGCCTTTTAAGAGGCAGCCACGGCCCGGTCCCGAGGTGCTGGTTAATGCGGCAGAAGAGAAGGGGTCACCCGGCTATCGGTAAACACGGCTAGTCGTTTTCGGACACCCCGCCACTCTTTCGGGCGAAACGCTCGCTATTCTCGGTGGATGGTCGTGTGAGAGAGACAAAAGAGATAGTTAGTTTGGTTTTCAGAGATAAGCCATTTTGCGGGAAATGTTGTCGAGGTTTGGTCCAGAACTGGAAACTGGTTTGCCAGTACTCGCTAACCAACGTTCAAGCTTGAAAGGAATCTACGGGTGTGACACTCTCCCTTCTCCGCCCTTCCTGTTACTGCCCTGCCACTGTTGTTGCCCGGCTCTGCCGACACGAATCAGCGTCTATTTGTCTTGGGTGGTGCACTAAGCGGAAGGTAAATTGGCGGCATTTTTCAGTCGTGAAAAGAGAAATTAAAGAGAACAAATCATGGAAAGTCTGGATTTCTAGGGTTTAATTTTTACCACTTTTGACTGGAGTATCTTGTAGGAGACTATTTCATTTTTTTGGTATTTATCCGAGCTCTGACAGACACTGCTGAGTCTTTTCACCTTTGGTTCTGTCTCACTAATCTCTCGACGTCCGACTTCCCCACTGACCCACTTTATTCTCCACTGCATACTCTGCACTCCACCATGTACCGTATGGTCCAAAGAAATTTCTTGTATACCCCATAGTGAAATCCATATAAGACTCGGTATCAAATCCACACCAAGAATAACCTGCCGTCTCGTTATCTTTACGGTTTTGTCCAGCAATTCTCTGTAATGTCTGCTCGGATCGTCTTTCAATACTGACTCTTGGGCTTACGCTGCATTTTGCTCGTTTTCACTCCTGAGCGCGCGCCGTAGTCTACACACTGTGGCCAATCTTTCGATATTTCCTATTGAAAACCAATACTCAAAAATATTTCTTCAATTGATTATTTAGTGGCATTCAATCTTTTCTCAGCTTTAAAGCCTCGAAATCTGTCATATTTTTCGCCGTTAATCGTCTCTGTCTGATCTTCGCTGTGCGGCACTCGATCACACCCCACGTGACTTCGCTGTAAAATTGGGCAATGCTTCGTACTATGGCAGGCTGTCTGACCTGTCCACCTTTGCATTTATTCTTCCACCAGGACCTTGTATCGTCTGAGTTTTATCTTGCGGTATCTCAAATTTCGGAGTCCCAAACTTCAGCAGCCTCCTGTTCTCCATGTCCAACGTCTCCAATCTCTCCAAGGGTCTTAAGAACATCCATCTCCAGGACGGCCTCTACAGAGATGTCCAGGACTCGGCCTCAGAGGACGCCAGGCCGCGACTGGCCCGTTTTTTCGCCAATTTACCGACATACGGGTTCACACTTTTCTCGCACCGTTCTGCGCCGAACGGCTTCAAAATTGCGATTATATTGAGCGAGCTGGACTACGATTACTCGACAATTTTCCTGGACTTCAACAAGGGAGAACAGCGGTCCCCCAACTTTGTGGCTATAAATCCGAATGCAAGAGTGCCAGCTTTGATGGATCATTCAGCTTCCATAAATGTGTGGGAATCTGGTGCAATAATGATGTATTTGGTCAATAAAAAAGCACAGGACGAAGGAACATGCCCCACGATATGGTCCGAGTCATTGGCGGAGCAGGCCGCCATCTCCTCGTGGCTTTTCTTCCAGACTTCAGGACACTCACCCATGATCGGGCAGGCTCTGCATTTCAAGTTCTTCCACGAAACACAAATTCCGTCAGCTGTTGCACGTTATGTTGATGAGGTGAGAAGAGTATATGGGGTGGTGGAGATGGCTCTTGCCGAAAAGCGCGAGGCTTTGATCATGGAGCTAGACCTCGAAAATGCCCAAGCATATTCCTCGGGACTGACACCATTGTCACAGTCTCGTTACTTTGACTATCCTATTTGGCTGGTTGGTGAACGGTGTACTATTGCGGATCTGGCTTTCGTGCCGTGGAACAACGTGGTGGACCGTATAGGCATCGATCTTAAGGTGGAGTTCCCGGAAGTGTTCAAGTGGACTCGTCATATGATGAGGCGGCCTGGAGTTACAAAAGCCTTGAGGGCAACGTCATGAACTTTATGTGATGAAAAAATGGACAGCCTAAACGCTCTAAAATGCTACATTTACGATTTGAGGCTGTCTCTTTCTGTAATGTCTAACGATAAGAATTTTTCTTACATAATCTACCCGGAAACCACGGGACTCAAGTCACAAATCATTTTCTTATTTTTCCTAAATAATTGCTCACTTAGGTTCCCCGGAACGACTTACGACCCGAGACTTTTTTCGGGGTCTGCAGTTTAATAAGCCACTGGAAACTGCCTCGGGTCGGCGATAGGACCTTCATAATTTTGCATAATGTCACCGAGATCAAAATAAGATCTAGAATACGGTGCAGGGATTCAGAGGCTTCTGAGACGCGTCTCAAAGAAATTTTGGTAGAGGTTTCGGCACCTCGATTGGTTTTGATCGGGTTGTGAGATACTCTTAATGTTTTTGAGTTTTTGATGCCATCAACTTGTGACTTGGTCGTTCAATTACTTACCCAAATTCCAAAATTCCACTAAGGTCTCAAAATATTATTGTAAAGCTGTCAGTCATATATCCAGGACCAATTTTTTTAGTTCTGCAGCGTCTGTAGAAGATATCTCCACCCAAACTATAATTTTGACAGTCGCAGTCTATTTGACAAGCAGATTTTTCACAGCAAAAATAGCCTCTATGGCCAAGTTGGTAAGGCACCTCACTAGTAATGAGGAGATCGTCAGTTCGAATCTGGCTGGAGGCATCTCTTTTTTTGCCGCGTACGACAGAAATATTTGCTAGCACACGATCCGTCGCGCATCTGCTAGGGAAATTTTTTTTCATCTTGTTCAGACTGTAAGACTTAAAGATTGTTAAAGGTCGGCTAACCCACTGAAAAATAGTTTGAGACCACCGAAACAACGATGGATCAAGCCTACATAACCGGACTTGAGAGCACCCTAAAGCTTGTGGCAGTGCCGGACTCACAAGTGATCAAGAATGCCACTGCCAAGCTGAACAACGAGTACTACAAGAGCCCGGACTCGTTGCCGAGTTTGATCCAGATTTTGGTGAACAACGAAGATCTCCAGCTCAAGCAACTGGCCTCGGTCGAAGCTAGAAAGCTGATTGCGAAGTTTTGGGACCAACTGGACGCTACTCTCAAGCAGGGTATCCGCGACTCGCTTTTGAACCTAGCATTCACCTACCACAACAAGATGATTCGTCATTCGACCTCCAGAATCATTGCTGCTATTGCTACAAGAGAAGAGTGGCCCGGTCTACTGAATAACCTTACTGCTGCTTGTCAGGATTCCAACGTGCTCACTAGAGAAATGGGAGTATACATTTTGCACTCCATTTTGGAGCTGACCCCATTGGAATGGTCTAGATATTTGGGAGACTTCTTACAGCTTTTTGCCATCACCATGAACGATGCTGAGTCGTTGGAAGTTCAGTATGTTTCTGCTCTTGCCTTCGAGTCTATCGCGCAGTATTTGGACGAAGATGCCAATGCCTCGCGTGAGACCGTTGAGCTCTTCCAGAAGCTGATTGACTCATTGATTCAAGTGTTGAAGAACACTCTGGCCCAGGATGATTCCGAAAAGGCCAAGGAAGTGTTCTCCGTTTTCAACACATTGATTATGGTGAGAAGCTCATACTTGGGGGACAAGGCCGTCGTTCTGATCGGCGCTGCGCTTGAGATCTCCACCTCTGTTGCCATGGATGCAGAAATCAGAGGAGTGGCCCTCCAGTTCCTGATCTCGTATGTCATGTTCAAGAAATCGGTGATCAATGCCAAGAACCTGGGTCCAAACTTAGCTCTTGCTGCTCTCTCTATCGTCAGCGAAGAGGACGATGAAGCCGAGGAAGAGCTCGATAATGAGGAGGAAGTCAAGGAGAACGAGGAAGACAAGCTCCATGACATTGCCCTCAGACTTGTCAGAAGTCTTTCTGAGGAGTTGGCCCCTTCACAGGCGGTTGCTCCGCTCTTTAACAAGATTCCAGAGATGATGGCTTCCCAGGACCAATTTGCCAGAAGAGCTGCTCTCTTGGCCCTTGGGGTTGCAGTCGATGGAGCCCCAGAGTTCTACTCTGTCCAATTGCAGAAGGTGGTGGCCGTCATTGTGGCAGGTCTTCAAGATTCTTCTTTGATTGTCCGTGCTGCTGCTCTGAGATCTTTGGACCAGATCACGTCTGAGTCCCAGGACGAAATTGCCCAGCATCACGATGTCCTGTTTCCAGCAGTGATGCACATAATCGAGACTGCCACCAAGATCATGGTGTATAAGTATGCAACTCGTGCTTTAGATGGTCTGGTTGAGTTCATGTCCTACGATGCTATCCAACAGTACTTGGAACCTTTGATGAACAAGCTGTTCATGATGCTTGAGAACGCAAGTTCTTCGTCTCTTAAGTCGGCCATTGTTGGTGCAATTGGCTCTACCGCTTACGCAGCTGGAAAATCGTTCACACCCTACTTTGAAAACTCTGTCAAGTACCTGGAGCGTTTCATCACCAATATGACCACTGCCGAGGGGCTTTCTGAGGACGACATCGAGCTCCGTGCCATGACCTTTGAGAATGTTTCCACTATGGCACGTGCTGTTGGATCTGAGGTATTTGCTCCATATGCTACACCTTTGTTTGAGTCTGCATATGGTGCCATCAACTCTGAGAACCCAAGGCTCAAGGAGTCTGGTTTTGCTTTCATCACCAACATGGCCAAGGTGTACGGCGAAGCTTTCACTGAGTTTCTGCCCAAATTGGTACCCGAGATCTACTCGTGCCTTGAGCAGAGCGAAATATCGTTTGACTTTGGTGGTGAGGGCTTTGACCCTGCTAGTCTTGAAGAATTAGACGAGGAGGATCTTGCCGAGAACATCAAGGTCAACACCGGAGTGACTGTGGAGAAGGAAGTGGCCTGTATCGCACTTGGTGAGCTTGCCATTGGTACCAAGCTCGGATTCGCGCAATACGCTGCTCCTTCAATTGACGTTTTGGAGAACCAGATCGAGAATTCTTACGGAGTTCGTGAGACTGCTCTTCAAACCATTTGGAAGATCGTCAACGCTATGTTCAAGGCCACAGGACTCAACGATTCCACTCTGGCCCTCATCAAAAAGGCCCGTTTCATCACGCTCTCCAATTTGCCAGAAGAGCCCGAGCTGACCATGGTGGTGAGCTCCCTTGAGTGCATCTACGAATACCTCAAAGAGATCGGATCCGTAGTTATCATGGACGGACCTAACGACCACGAGGATCTGCAGACCCTTTGCACGGAAGTCTTGAGCCTGTTGAAGGGCGAGCACTTGGCCCAGCTCGAAAACCTTGAGGAAGAGGGAGAAGACGAGTTTGACGAAGGCTCTGAACACTCTGCCGTGGTTTATGACTCTGCTCTTGAGGTTCTGACCAGTCTTTCCAAGACTTTCGGAGCCGACTTTGCTCCAATTTTTGCTTCCTTCAAAGATCTCATCTTGAGCCATGCTTCTGGCAAGAACAAGAATAAGGCTAGACGTGTGGCTGCAGTTGGGTCTCTCGCCGATATCGTGAGTGGAATGAAGGGAAACAACCCATACTTCGAGGATTTCATGAAGTGCTTTATTTCCAGACTTGAACACGACAAGTCTTCCGAAGTCAGAGGAAATGCAGCTTATGGTGTGGGTCTGTTGATCGAGTACTCGGAAGGTGATCTCACTGCTCTGTACCCTTCCATCTTCAACGATCTGGTCACTTTGCTCAACAAAACTGACAAGGACATGGCTAAGACTGATGATGATGACGAAGAGAATAGAGAGACCATCAATAGGACAATCGCCAATGCATGTGGATGTGTTTGCCGGATGTTGTTGAAGAACGACACTGCGGTGCCAGCCTCTGCAATTGTGCCAACTCTATTGGGCCGTCTGCCTCTTGAAAGCGGCTTCGAAGAAAACAAGCCTATTTTTGAGTTCATCCTCAAGCTTTATTCTCAAAACGATTCTGTTATTGTGGACCAGACGCCTCGGGTTGTGGAGATCTTTGCTGGTGTCTTTGCCAAGGACCTAGAGCACCAGAAGCTGGCTAATGAGTCTACTCTTGGAAGAGAGGGAAACATCGACCGTTTCAAGCAATTTGACAATGATGAGCTCAAGGCCAAGGTGGTCGAGCTTTTGAGATACTTTGAGTCCAAGTCTGCGGGACTTGTTTCAAGCCATGAGTTGCTGAAGGCTGCTATTGCATAAGAGGATGAGTTGAAGTTGTGGAGAACTGGGTCAGGGAGACGGACTAGAGTATATAGAGGAGTGTATTTCGGTAAAGTAATAGTGTGAGTAAATATTAAAGGTGTGCAGTGTAGTTGTGGTATTATTGGTATGGTTTATGTAAGTGAGATGTTGGGCTTTGTTAGGAAGCATGCAGCATTGATTAGTTAGTTCTGCCAGTTCAAGTAGCACCATCATACTTTTGACTACCAAATACGAGTACATAAATATATACAAAACTATGCAAATATTGCTATCTAATACCTCTCGCTTATTCTTTCCTCTTAACATGCCTAAATCACCACACTTCCTCCAAAACACTCCATGATAAACTCCCATGTGAATTATCAATTATCACTGCCAATTCAGCCGCACAAGTCCAGATCCGGCAAGGCCCTGCTGAAAAGTATCGATCGCTATAGAGCAGCCAGTCCGTAAGCTCCCTGTTCTTTTGTTGACTGTTCACTGTTCACTGTTCACGTTTATCGTTAAGTTTATTGAAATATATTGATTCTGATTATCATCAATCAAATATATTATTATTCGATATTTCAATGGACGATCTAGACCTTGCACCAACAACCACCGCTGCACCGGAGAGAAGAGAGCTTCCGGAGTTCACGCTGAAAAATGTGGCCTTGGACATTGTGCATGGGCTCCAAGCCCTGGTGCTAAATCCAGAAGCAAGCAAGGTGGTTGCTCCAATCGTGTTCTTTGCTGAGAGTATTGGCACCAAAGTAATCCGCAAAAAGGTACCGTACACCGAGATCGACTACTCGTCCTACATGCAGCAGATCGAGAAGATTGAGGAAGGCGAGCTCAACTACTACAAGATCGCGGGTGATACCGGCCCTATTGTCTACCCAGCTGGTCATGTAAACATTTATTCGTGGATGAAGTGGATTACTGAGGGTTTGGATGATTTGGAACTGGGACAGAGGGTGTTTGGTTATCTATATCTGGCTACTCTGGTGTTGACCATCACCACTTATTTTTCGGCCTCTAACGGCTCTGTGCCGCCTTGGGTGCTGTATCTTCTCGCCTGTTCTAAACGACTGCACTCCATCTATGTTCTCAGACTTTTCAATGACTGCTGGACAACTTTTTGCATGGTTGGTACTGTGCTGTTGCTTCAGCAGGCCTCCTACTGGAAGTCCACCTCTGGGTTCCTCTCTGGTGTGATCACTTATGCCGCCGCAGACATGTACAGTATGGCCGTTTCCATCAAGCTGAATGCTCTGCTGTATTTGCCTGCCGTTCTGTACATTTTGTATTTGCTCAGCGACGAATGCCTGCTGCTGTTTCTGGGGCCAGTCGTCTTTGGACTGCTGGTCCAGATCGGCATTGGCTGGAACTTCCTTCTGCCATTAGCCTCTGATCCAGAGGCTCACGAGATCAGATGGGCATATTTGTCTCAAGCCTATGACTTCAAGCGCCAATTCTTGTACGAATGGACTGTCAATTGGAAAGCCGTTTCCGAAGAAACCTTCTCATCTTCATGGTTCCACATTCTATTGCTCGTGGTTCACGTTGGATTGCTGTCCCTCTTTGTACTTACGAGATGGTTAACGCCTGAAACTTTGGGAAAATCCAGGATACAGTTCTTCAAGGATATTTTTCTTTTCTGGAAACGTTCGGCCACTGCGAAGTCGATCATCAACGACCATGTGCTCGGCCCTAAGTTCGTCTTCATGACCATGACCATCACCAACATCGTCGGTGTGTTCTGTGCCAGATCCCTCCATTACCAATTTTTGTCTTGGTACTGCTACTCTTTGCCTTTTCTGTTGTGGCAGACGAATTTGCCGTTTTATGTGGCGATCCCAATGTACGGTATTCATGAATACTGCTGGAACGTTTTCCCTGCCACTGAGCTGAGTTCATCTGGTCTGTTGACTGTGCTAAACCTGACTCTTGCAGGTGTGTGGTTAAATGACCAGCAATTTAGTAAAGTAGTCGAAAAGAAGGATGATTAGGTAAACAAATATATTTCAATCCTCTATCTCGTCTACTGGTAGTCCTCTTTAGTCTTTAACTAAATCCAATTTTTCATATAATGGTGCCCCATTGGAACTCCTAAAGATAGCTATCTGACCTTACAGTCTACAAGTCTACGTTATACAGATATATCTTTGATCCAGTACAAGCTTGTTGATGGTAGATAATGAACTGAGCCCGGCTATGGCCCAGAATGTTTCAGTCATAGCACAGATCTCGAATCTGAAGCTACCTATGGAAAGCTTTGAAATGATATCAGTGGGAAGAAGGATGAAGATGTGAAGAACCGAGATCACAGTCTCAACATCAGTCTCTTGAAAGGCTGACGTCTTGCCTGAAGCTTCCCACGACGGACAGTGACCTTTTTGGAAATCAGTGCCATCTCTCTTCATCCTCCAACCTGCAACGCGAAACGGAGAGAAATAAATCACAGTGAAAACATGGAAGAACATGGTAAAGGAGGGTAGGTGCGATAAATAAAGGATATTGTACATATCACGTACCCAGTACAAAAAGGCGACCAAAGGAAGTGGATTTGAACGGTCCCAACATGGGATATTCATGAGGCTCCATGAGAATATAACTATTTTGGCAGGATGGAATGATTTTGACACAAAAGAAGGACTATTCACATATCCGCAGTCTCCACGCTCTCTCCCCAGTTGAACATTTCGTTCAAGGCTAGACCACCCGAGTTTGAGTCGGTGGCATCGCCAGTGAGGAACGAATCAAAATCAAACAGATCAGCAGATGCTCCTGTAGCGCTGAAATCTGGAAAGAACTGGTTGTCAGTCGGAATATCTGAGGAAGGTCCTTGCCCTCCATTAACGAGCAATGGACCCTTTCCGTCAGATTTTCCGTTGGCATCGTAGCTTGCCAAAGCCGGGTCAACTACTGTCGATTCGCCAGAGGCATCTGCCAAAGCCAGACCATTTTCGTGGTTGGGATTTTGAGCCTGAGCTGCAGCCTGTTGAGCAGCCAACGTGATAGCAGCTGCTTTTGTGTTCTGTGAGGACTTGCGCTTGGTGATTCTTCTGGCCGGTGCTGTTGAAGCGTTGTTGTGTTGAGGAGTGCTCTGTGTGCCCTGTGGGGTCGTCTGGGAGGCTGCAGGCGTCAGAGGAGTCGTTGGTGTAGGAACACTCTCCATTACCTCTGCATTAGCCTGAGCTACGCTGCCCTTGCGCCCCCTCCGGCCCTGAGCTGGTTCCTTCTTCTTCCTTCCATTTGCAGTCGTGGTACCCGTCTGGTTACTCGAGACCGCAGGAGATGAAGCAGGCGTAGTACGCGAAATCAGAGTGTTCTGTGGAGGCGGCATGTTAGTCATCGGCTGCGAGCCGTTGGGTCTTTGGGCATTGGGCTGTGAATTTCCCCCGGGAACAGCACCCTGTTGACCTAACTGGCCAAGCATCGCCGAGTAGTCCGCAAACTGAGTGCCTGTAGCACCTCTTTGGTTGTCACCCTTCGCCTCGGTGTTGCGGTGAACATCGAGTCTGCGCCTGTTCTGGCTCTCCATCAAACGCAGCTGCTTCTCGTAATCGCGAATGGCACTGGCGTTGCCCCTGGCTCCGCCAATATGCTGTTGGATAGCAATTCCCTGCGCGGCAGGGTCATTGGGTTGGCCATGCTGAGAGTTGGGCTGTTGCGGCATCGAAGCCGGGGATTGAGAGTTTTGAGGTTGCGGCTGGGACCCTGGATCGGCCTTCGGCTGACCCGAAGGCGGTTGCACTCCGGTAGGGCCACCGGCTCCTCCGTTTCCTACAAGTCCATTAAAGGTCTCAGCGTAAAACTCCTCAGGCCCTCCCATCATTTTCTGTTGAGCATGCAGCACAGAGTTGTTAACGATACCTTGGGGTGGCTGGAAGTTTGGCATCATATGCTGAGGCTGCTGAGGGTTAGAACCTACTGGCGCACCAGCCTGCTTCTGGTATATCGGGGCATACTGGGAGTTGAACTGGCCCGTCACCATTCCTGCCTGAGGAGGGACGGAGTTTGGCCCGAGAGGTGAGCCGTGGCCAGCCGATCCATCGCCAGAATCGTTATCTCCGAGTCGCGCTCTTTTGGCAGGAGACCCGCCCTGAACCTGTTGGCCCTGCTGCTGGTCCTGTTGTTGACGAAGATTGTTCATCTGCTGCTGTGCAACTTGTTGCTGAAGTCTGGCATTCATGGCCCCCTGTTGCTGCTGTTGTTGCTGGATGTTCATCCCATTCACGTTGCCCCGTTTGTTCATCATCTGGGGAGGAACCCCGGTGTGCATCATTCCTGGCTGCATCGGAATCGGAGACCCGGCCATTTGCTGCTGGTTATGACCGTTCTGCACCATTTGCATCTGCGAGTTCAGTGGGTGCTCTTGCCGTTGCTTCAACAAGTTCAGCTGGAAGTACTGGTGAGCATTGGCAGACCCCCCACGGTGGGTTCGGGCGTTGAATACGTCCCAGAATATCTGCCACCATTCGTAAAGAAATCCTTGTGGTGCATCCATCGACATCATCAGCGGAGGAACCTCTGAGATGCCGCCCTTGGGTGAATTCGACCGACTGCCGTTGGCCTTATCATCCTGGTTCTGGACAACAGGCACATCCGCCTCCTGGAAAAAGGCCTTTGCAGTGTTCGGCAATCCCGATTTTATTAGAAAATCATAGACATACGCGTTGAGCAATTCTCGTGAGTTCATCGCAGTGGAGTCTGTGACGGCCGCATTCGTCGGTTTCTTGGGCAACGGCGCCTTTTCGTTCGTGTTGGAGTCGCCCACGTTGGCGCTTTGCGCCTGGTTTTGCGGAGGGCTGTGTTGACTCATATAACCACCTTGATTCGCCTTGGAATGAGCTTGCTTTGGAAGTTTTTGCGTCCCTCTTGTGTGGGCTAAGTTATCCTGAGTTCGCCCTTGGTGATTGCAAGGTTTTGGGTCGAACGAAGCTGAGCTGCCAAAACGAGATAAATTTTGATAGCACTATTGACCAATACGACTCGGTAGCTAATGGGATCCAGTCAAAAATTCGGTAGTTTCTTCACTTGCTGGAAGAGAGTGTCTGTTTGCATTCGAGACACCGACCTGCTGATAGAGACATGGCCAATGTCGCCTGCCCCTTCTCCTCAGGGTCGTGTGTGCATCTGGGTTGTGAGCGATGTGAAAAGAGGAGGAAGGGAAAGACTGGAAACATAGGCCGAGTATGGATTATTTAGAGCTGATCAAAGAATTCGAGCTACTGAGGAGAGTCTACGAACTTATTTTTATGTCTGAGGACCCGTTTATGTCCTTATATAGTGTTCTACTTGTTTTCGGCGTTGTAGATAGCGGACTGGGAAGAACGGCGTGCAATGCGTATTGTGTGAAAACCATTAAACCAATGCAGACCCTTGGAGGGTGCACGCCTTTTTATCTCTCAAGTCTCAACATAGTGAAATAGACCACACTGGCTCAATCAGATAATACCGAATAGAGGAGCCAAGCAGCTCAAAACCCCCGGAAATTCGGGTGTGGAAGGCAATTCTTCTTCCACAAATCAACACTACGAGCCATTGCCAGATTTTGAATGTTGTCGTTTTAGATACTGATTGGCCAGATCACTCGGGCCACAGATTGATGCTCTTGATGAGTGTATACACCATCTACATAGTATATACATTGGATGGCTTCGGACTCTAGAGCCGCAAACTATTAAATCTACTTCCGCTTCTGTCTCTGCTTAATCTCCTCCTCCTTGACTGCATGCAACCGGATCACGTTTGGATAATCTGGACGATTGAACTCGTGGCCCTTACTCCAATCATACGACAACGCATACGCAAAAATTGTTCCAGAACGGTTGAAGGCCGTTACTGGGATAGATGACCGCAGACTTGGGTAGCTCTTAAGCCTCTGGCGCGCATCCTTGTCCCAGAAGCAAAACGACCCATCGGACCCAGCCGTCGAGAATGTACCGTAAACCGGATGGAAGTTGATAGCATTAACCGAATATGCCATAGTCTGCGTGCTATTAGTTGTGTTAGGATGGCGCTGGCATTTGAATGAGAATCCGTTCTTCTTGTGCTCCTGCTCGTCGACGTACTGAATTGCACACCGGCCTTCTATCGAACCCAACGCATATCCGTCTCCCTTTAGGAAGCAGGTCACTGTTCTGGTCTGGTATTTCAATGGTGACATGATTTGTTTGAACACCTTGTCCGGCTGGTTAAGATCAATGATCGAGAGATGTCTATCAGCACATCCAGCTACCAAAAGCTTCATGGAAGAGTCCATAGCGTACACGCGTTCCGGCAAGTTGATGGTACACACTGGGTTAGGAGTCCTCATGTCCCAGTACCTCAAAGTCTTATCCCAAGACCCAGAGACCACCACAGGCGTGTTCTGAGGTCCGACTTCAACGAACCGCACAGACCGCACAACCCCGTCGTGTGCTCCAATCTGTTGTTGTTGTCCACTCTGGACATCGTATAGTCTCACTGCCTTGTCTGCACCTCCGCTGACCACCTTGGTTCCATCTAGCGACCACCGCGTCGAGAGAACAGGCCCTTCGTGCTCGTACATCGCACGTCCTTCAACCGCTCCGGTGGCAGTGACCTCATAAATCCGCACCTTCTTGTCCCAGGATGCAACCGTCAAAAAGTCTGCCACTGGTGAGAACGAGAAGTCCGAGACTGAGTCTTCGGGTGGATTAGGCACCGTGATGTCGTTTGCGAGATCCTGCTCTGTACCCTGAGTCTGAGTGGGCGCAGCACTCGTATGTGCGCCACTCCCAAAGGTCGAGCCCAGGCTGTTTGATGCTGAATAGAATGACATGTCAGCTTCAAGCTTCAAACGGTAGTTTGGGGTGAGGTCGTTGTGATTCTGTCTGGTCTTCACGAGCGGTGCTCTTCAAGCATGGCATAAAACAAATCGTGCGCGGCAAAAAAAGTAAGGCCGGGTAATGGTTGTGGTAATTTATGTTCCGTGCACGCTTTTCGGAAGCTGTCCCCGATACTGGCGATCGGCTGTGGTGGCTTTTGCAAAGGCTTGATTAAAGCCATTGGTTACACTGAGTTGGTCGGACTGCATTCTTGATTCTTATTCATTAGTTGGCTCCAAAATGCGATCGTAATGTTTGCCTTTAGTCTCATCCATTATTCTCCTACCTTGTAGTTTTTTGTTGTTGCAGTTCTCCTATTGTTATCCCTTTTTTAAAGTTTCAGGAGGCCAAAAGGTTCATCTTAATCTTGATCATCTTGATAACGATCTTTCTGCGCATACAATCTTTTCATGCTAAATATGGATCTTCAATGTCACCCCTCACTGAAATAATATTGGAGTTTGTTTTTTTCCGTAACTAATTCCGCCTAAAATAACCCCCATTAATCACTTCCGGACTTTCCCCCCTAATTTTTCACTTTACTACAACTTATGAAACGCCGTATAGCGGTTTCGCCCTCCATGCCGTTATCTCCAAAGATCTGCTGAGCAAATTTTGCATCTCCACAGCACGACGCCAAGGTTTTGGAGCTTTTGGAGCTTTTGCGCTTAGTTTTTAGTTACTTCAATCCACAAACCCCCAATCTGGGCCACAAGTCCGATGTCAGGAAGCCGCGCGGCAAAAAAAGTCTGTACACTCCGAACTGGATATATAAACGCCCAAGCACCGGTCTGAATAAGACGCTTGTACAACCACCCGTGAAAAATTTCTCTCTTGATAGAACTCAGCTGGTATTGACTTTTATTTGCATTTCCGGTCGTTTTCTTCCTTTCGAGACTTATTTCCGAGTGTCAACCCGCAACGTTTACTAATCCGCCATCGCTGATTGGCCGATGATCGATCTGATAAACTTTTGAGAGACATTCGTACGATTTTCCCACGACCCTCTCGGTTTTACTTCAATATCACACCGTTTGGATCGTCGACACACTCCCAAATTTTCTTATCTATTTCTTTTCGAAGGGAAAAGCCAATTTTTGGAAGAGGATATGCCAGGCGTTGAAATTCCTTTGAGGGATATAGGTGAGGCCGCACACACCGGTACTGTCACTAATCCGAAGAGCCCGTCGCACGGCTCTAGGACGTTACCAATGACCGAATCACAGGTTACTGGCCAAGTTTGTTCGAATTGTGGAACCACAAAGACTCCCCTTTGGAGAAGGGGTGCAGACGGTAAGTCCACGTGTAACGCGTGCGGGCTTTACTTCCGTGCAAACAACTCTCATCGGCCCGTGCACCTGAAAAAACCACCCCACGTCATTTCGATATCCAAGGCTCAGTTAGCAGCCGGAACTTGCAAGGGCGATGGAAGGTGCAACGGGACCGGTGGATCGTCAGCCTGTACGGGATGCCCCGCTTTTGACAATAGAGTTTTGATAACCAACGGCGATCAAAAGAGCATTATCAAGCGAGAGAATGATGACACTTTGCCCCGAGCTTCGTGTGGCGAAAATGCCGAAGCTGGTGCCGACTCAATGGCAGTTGCATGTTCGAACTGTTCAACCACTATCACACCTCTTTGGAGACGTGACGATGCTGGTAATACCATTTGCAACGCATGTGGTCTCTACTACAGACTACACAAGATGCACAGACCAGTCAAATTGAAGCGTGAGACAATTAAGAGACGCAAGAGAAACCCTTCGGGTCAACAGCTGTTTGATCAGCAACAGAAGAAGCTTAAGCAGCAATCTGCCACTAATCTGCCAGGGGTTTCCCTCCCACAGATGCAGCTGCCTGCACACACAGACACACAAGAATCACACACAGACACACAAGAATCACACACAGACACACAGAAGCAACACACAGATCTGCCACAGCTCCAGCAAAGAACTCCAGTCACAAGTCCGGACGCAAAAGCACTTTTGAACACTCTAAGAGTGCTTCCTCCACCAATACCAGGATCCACTCAACTCCCGCCATTCTCAATGATTGGCAGGTTCCAGCCAAAACCGTACAACGTATCGGCCATTGATTTTACGTCTCTCTATTCCAGGACAAATCAGACGGCAGAAGAATCCTCCATGAGAGGCAGTCCGGTGCAGCCCCAACCCCAACCGCTTACTGATGAAACCAGAAGGGTCCGCACTGTCACGCCGCCTGCATTGGTAAACTTGATTAACCCGGGCTCCGAGGATACAAATCCTGGAATTTAGATGGGTGCGGTCTTGATATAGTTTTTTTTATAAGGATCTCTTGGTTGAAATTCTTTATGATTTCCGGAGCGATAGAAGCGTCGTAGTTCCCGTAGTGTGATTCGTAATATGCAGCCGCATGATCACCCAAACATGTCAAAGGATTGCGATAAACCCAACTGTGGCAGACATCGATGAGCTTTGAAATGGGATTATATATTGGGAAGAACTGACATACAATATCGAGGAAGAGTTAAGGGTTTCGATTCCTAAGACATACACTTGAAAAGGATTATACCGCTATAAGAATGGTTATCTCCTCATTGTTGGTGCTGGTAGCTACCCTAGGCTCGGTTCTAGCAGACACCCAGTACAGGTCACGGTCCGACCTGGCTCCTCCCATACTTGACGTAACTATTTTTGATAAGGAATACTTGAACGACTCGGAATATCTCTTTTTTGCACCTTATGGACCGAATGTGAAACAGGTTGGACCGTATATTTATGACATTGCTCACAACGAGCTGGTGTGGTCCGGATTCTCGTACATAGGCGGTCCCAGCTTCAACTTCCAAGCCCATGGTGACCAATTATACTCTTTTGAAGGTCATATGAACACTGGTACAGGTCACGGCCATGGCCATGTCAAATTCTGGAATTCCCAGTATCAGCCTGTTGGAGAGTTGCGTGCAGGCAATCACCGCTTCGTTGACATACACGAGTTCCAATATGCCGAGAGAAACGGCAGAACCACTGGATTGATCGAGATTTACAACCCCACAAACACATACGATTTGTCCGGGTATAGTCCTGACTCCACGTGGATCATTGAAGCGGTGATTCAGGAGATTGACGGAGTAACCGGCGAGCTACTGTTCGAGTGGAAGTCGCTTGACCATGTCGCTCCGTCAGAGAGTGTATTTGGATTGAACTCCTCCGAAAATTCCGCTGGTTCAGGTATTTCATCAGATACTGCCTTTGACTACTTCCATGCTAATTCTGTGGACAAAATTGGGAAGGATTACATCGTGAGCTCAAGACACACTTCTACCATCTTCAAGATAGATGGTCAAACTGGCAAAATTCTATGGAGACTGTCATCGTCTAACAAGAAGGCAGATTTTGATATCGATTTCACTTTCGCATTCCAGCATCATGCCAGATATCTCTCGTCTTTTGCCGGATACACATCGGTTCCTGGAAAGACAGAAATAATTTCCTTCTTCGATAACCATGCCTACAGTCATGGCCACACGGATGCTTCTTCGAATTCTACTCAGAATTCGACTGGAAAAGTCGCCTTGTTAGATCTTGAGAATAAAACCGCCACTCTGTTGCACCAATACGAACCTCCTCAGCCCATTTCGGCCAAATCGCAAGGTTCCTTACAGATTCTCGATACGGTCACAGGCGAAGCGGTGATCAACTGGGGATCGGCAGGTCAGGTCACGAAATTCGCAGACTTCACCAAGGTTGTATATCACGCACGTCTGAATTCTGGTGATGACTCTGTGCAGAATTACCGCGCCTTTGTGCTTCCTTGGTCAGGTTCTTCATCCGAAGACATCGCCGTTATCGCAGACGGCTCTACGGTCTACATCAGCTGGAACGGTGATACCAGAGTGCACCAGTGGGTGATTTATGAATCAGCAACTAACTCAGCCATTGGCAGAGGTCTTAGAAATGGATTTGAGACTGCTGTCACCATTTCAGGAAAATTCACAACCAAAGACTTCTATGTCGAGGGTTTGGATATCTCTGGTCGCGTGATATCCTCCACAGAGACCAATCTATATTTGAGAATTCAGTAGTCAATTAACCGAAACTACCGCAACTACAGCAACTATAGCAACAAAATAATGAAATGTGTGTAGTAAGAATCTCATGTAATCTTTACCTTATCCAAACTTTAAAAATTCAAGTTTTTCAAACGCCGAGCTTCGATAAGGTGGTTGCTTTCAGACGCCACAGTTGACAGCTTTAATGCCCGTGCGGCCGATGGATGGCTTTTTTTTCTTATTCTAAAAAAAATTCTGTCACAATGCTGTCAACGCCTAAAGAAGTCAGTTGAATAAGACTCAAGACATGTCAAAATCACCGCGAAAAGCAGCAGAAGAAGATCTTTTACTGGCATCCGAGGTGGTCACTTATGGTGGGTCTAGTGAAGCCGCACTGGAAGAGCGACTGCAGTCCTCTGAACAATCAGAACAGGCTCTGGAAGCCTCAAGCAGCTCTCAGAACAATGGAGAACACAATGAGAGTATTCTGTCAATTCCTGGACTGTTTGGAATTGAATCTGCACTATTTCTGGGTATTTTTCTGGGTAGTTTCGACGGGACAGTAACTTCGTCGTCTTATCCGACCATTGCCAATGAGTTCAAGGCCGTTGATCTTGGGTCTATGATCACGGTCTCGTACCTTATTACGGTGTGTTCGTTCCAGAGTCTTTATGGGTCCTTCTCTGATGTTTTTGGCAGGAGATACTGTCTTTTTTTCGCTAATGTGGTGTTTTTGGTGGGACTTTGTGGGTGCTCAGTAGCAAAGTCCATGAACTCGCTGTTTCTGTGGAGAGCCATCACCGGTATTGGTGGGGCCGGTCTCATAACTCTCACCACAATCGTCAATTCGGATATCGTGCCGAGGAGCAAACGTGGTCTTTTCCAGGGAATCCAGAATGTATTTATGAGTTTGGGAAATATTGCTGGAGCTTCGCTGGGAGGCTTCATCTGTGACCGCTTTGGCTGGAGATACTGTTTCATTGTACAGGTCCCGGTAACGATCCTGGCGACGATATTGGCATATTTATTTGTCAAGGATCAAGATATGTCCAGCTACACTGGCCGCAAGCTCGAAAGGGTAGATATTTCAGGGTCCTTTCTGTTGGTGATTGGGCTGGCAGTACAACTGTCTTCGTTGTATGCAAGCACTTTGTTCAGGTTTGCAATTGGCTTTGGGGTCAGTGCCTTAGTACTGAGTGCGTTTCTGTATAACGAATATCTTGATTACGTTAGCCGTGATATCCACCACAAAATCTCGATCATTCCATTCGAGACCCTCAAGGGAGGCTCCATCAAGCTGCTTCTTACGGCCGCCGGATTGGCTGGATTTGTCAATTTCTCTTACCTTTTCATTCTTCCGTTGCTATTCCAGGTTGAGGTTGGAGATTCGGCAACTAAAGCCGGATTCAGACTGGCCATTCCAGCTACTTTCACTGCGGTCGGTTCGTTCATCAACGGCTACGCAATGAACAGAAACGTGGACAATTTGGTTATTCTTCTTCCTCTTGGTCTGGCAATTGTCTTGATTGGTAATTCTCTTGCACTTCTTATTGGTCACCAGACTCCAAGCTGGCTTATTGACCTGTTACTGACACCAACCAACTTGGGTCTTGGTCTGTGCTATCCGGCTCTTCTCTTCAGTTTCGTCTTCCAGTTCCCTCAGAATATGCATGCGACATCCACCACAACCTTGTTTCTGTTTCGAAGCATAGGACAGGTTTGGGGAGTGGCTGCGTCGTCGAGTGTGATCTCAAACGTTCTCAAGATCCATGCTACCAAGGCCTTGAAAAATTTGGGTGGCCTTTCTCTGGAAGAAGTCAAGACGATCGTTCAGAACTCGCTCAAATCGCTGAGTTATGTCAACGAGAGTCTACACGGTGAAGTGAAAGTTGCGGTAAAGGAAAGTTACAGCTATGCCATTAGAGCAGCCCAGCTGTTTACGGTGGTGGTATGTGCAGTTGCATTGGCTGTGTGTTTTATTCGTCTGATTATGAAAAGGACAAATCCTGCAATCAGATTCTAGAGTCCTGTATCTGATAGCTTTGTGAGTTTTATAAATAATGGGTTTTGTGATATAGCTTTGGAACTGTAGCCTTAGGATTCGTGGACCTTGACCTCTTGAGATCATGACCTCTTCACCCTCATGTCTACCCCTTCTTGCAAATTCTTGTTCAATAAACAAATTCATTCTTTTCCTTCTATACACATCTCAAGTCCTCAATTCCCTTACAAATACCGCTCCTCGGCAAACTCGGGCCTCAAATCTGAACGTCTAGGCGCCACCAGCGGATGTAGCTGACTCAAATACGTAATAGCCCACATCAAAAAGCACATGGCCAAGGTCAAGGACACCGTACTTCTCCAAACACTGTAACTGTTAGTATACGTCCAAGTAGAAAACCAACAAAACCGATAATCACACCAGCAAAAGTCCTACTTACGTCTGGTTTTCCTTAGGAGCAAACTTCCAAAATGTCACTCCTACTACTGCAGTAAGCACCAACATAAAAATGACAGTCCAGCTAAAGAATTTTAGATTAGCATTCTAGTTCAAACACCGATCTGTACCCCGGGGGTTGGCTGCTTCCAATTCAGTCATGCTCCTTTCATAGCATCCACCAAATACACAACCACACCACCGAGGCATCGTAACAATTGCACTTACCCGCTCATTATGGAACTATGCAACCAAAGATATAGCTCTGGATTCTGATGTCAAAGAAGATTGACACAGCTGTACTGCCAAACCAACGCAATGAAGGAGGCCATCTGTAAGGTAGTGTGCAGATTAGAGCTTAAATGGTTGGTGCACTCTATCTTCTCTATCTGCCACGGCTTGTCATATCCGTGGGTCTAAACTGTTTTGCTACCCTTTTCAAATCGTAAAGATGGGTCAAGCTAATCAGTTGCCTCCAGAGCTTCTGAAATGGCTGTACAGAGTGCTCCAGCCGGTAAGTTTATACAATGAAGCATTCCACAGCCCCAATTTCCCCACTCATTGATGATGACCATACTAACTAGCTGTTCACAGGAGTACCAGAACGCCATGTTGGTATACCAGGATGTCTCGTTGGTTCTCATGGTATTTTCAGCACTGAAGCCTCGTACGCGAGTATATGGTTAGTGTAATTTTGCTATTTGATCGCCTGGGTCTTCACTAACATGTCTTTCTAGATGACGAATATGGCCGGTCGCGACTGCTCCTGAACCTGTATGGTAGCATGGCATATACACAGAATGGAGCTCCATTTTCAGCCCCAATAGAAGTTTGGTTCCCTCAGGAGTACCCACGAGAGCCTCCTGTAGTTTATGTGGTGCCAAACTCCCAAACCTTGCTGAATCCCAACAACTGGATGGACCAGAACGGACGGATCTACCACCCTCTGCTGAGCAGCTGGTCCGCAACGTTTGGTTCCCAGACTTCGAACGAAGGAATTCAGCCGAACCAGAACAGGCTTTTGGTGCTTTTCAACACAATTCAGGAGTGTTTTGATAGACAATCACCAGTGTATGCTAGACCAGCTAGTTTGGCAACATCACCACCACCTCCACCACTTCCGCATCCAAAACCCGTCAAGGCTACTCCTACGGTGAAATCGCCACCTCCGCTTCCCACGAAAACTGTCCGATCGCCGGTTCAGTCGCCTTCTCCTGTTCTTTTCGCTACTCCCGTTAGACCTGCTACTCCCCAGGCGCAGCCAGTCCAACAGACTCTGCCTCCACCGGTGCCTGCGAATCCGGTAAGAGCCCAGGTATCCAGAGATTTGCCTGCAAAGCTTCAACAAATTCTTGAGAACGATGTGAGACCGTTTTTTGCAGGCGACATCATCTCTGTGCTTGACTCTGTTCAGCAAAAACTGTACGACCTACAAAACCGTCGTGATGCTCTGAAAAATGTTGCAGGTGCCTACGAAGACAAAGCGAAACAGAACGAGTCCATAGTTCAGAAAGCCGAGGATGAACTACAAAAGACAATCGAAAAGGCCAATTCCGCTCCGGAGCCGGATATCGACCGGGTCTTTGCCGCAGAGACAGTGGTTTACAACCAGCTGTACGATCTTGTGGCTACCAATGAGAGTATTTCAGATACTTTGTACGTTTTAGAACGCGCTCATGATGATGGTTCTGTGCCTTTCAATGCCTATATGAAACACGCAAGGGGATTGGCCAGAGAGCAGTTCATGGTGAAGGCACTTATGAATAAGATAGCAGATGTGTGTCAGTTGGACACTGTTGTTTAGATCGAAACAGTTCGAATAGCTACTAATGATTTCATTCTAATATCAGCTTCATTTCAATGATTGCTAGATATTCTACCAATCTCTTCATTTCTGTGTATCCCCTTTAGGCAACCCTTTAGGCAACCCTCTCAGCTCCACTTAATCTCACAGCAGCACCATACTTTTGCAATTTCGTCAGCAACGAATCACCATTCTTCAGCAACAGCTGGTATTGGTTATTCTTGTTGTCAGGTCTGTTTGTCTCGACTATGCCGTTGACTCTATCAATCACACAGTTGAGCTTATTGTTGGGAATGAACTTGCACAGGTCAGCATCCAAAAAGTCGGCTGGGATCTGGAAATGCTCAGCCATCGACTTGAGCGACAATGACTTGTACGATTCCAGAAGCTGGGCGTAAGCGCGAACACGGATCTCTCTCATGTAGTAGGACGCATGTGGAGCAAGGTACTTGTCCGTGACCAAGATTGTGTCGTTTGTCTCTAACAAGTTGGCAAAAAAGGTGTTGTATTCGCAAAAGTACAGTGACTTCACGAGCTTGAAAACCGGGTCCAACGTGTTGGTGGTGGTGGCAATGCTTAAAATCTCAGGGGACTCAATCAGCTTCTTGCGAATCTCCTGGCGTTCGAGCGAGATCGTGCCACAGACTAAAGCGTATTGTGCGATGCTTTCGTAGGTGGTCACCTCCGTGGACGTAAAGGTGGCCAGTGAGTCAATCAGCAACTTGGCAGCCTCTTCGAACATCCGCGTAGACATCAAATAGATCCCTAGATATGCCTTGTATCTGTTTCTACGCTCCCAATCACCCCCCTTCTCTATCAACGCGTTTGATTGGTCCAGGGTCTCCTTGACAAACTTCTTGTCGTCAAAGAAGAACCCAACACGTGCTATCGTAAGTAGCAGATCGATCTTAGAGCCCGTACTCGCTGCTAATTCGATTGCTTTGCGCAAGGTCGTGACTGCATTCTCACGATCTCCAATCTGAGCGTAATACTCTCCCAACTTCGTCCAGCCCCGCGCGATTTCGAGCTCGCCTTCGTCTTCTTCATCAACTTCAGCAATCTTGCGGGTAAGTTCCTCCACCTTGGAAGTGTTAATAGCGGCCAATGAGTCGTACAATGATTGATCAAACACCAGGCCGGTCAATTTGATCTCTTTGGCCAGATACAGATAGTATGGGGCCATGGCATTGGCTTCGATCGATTTCAACAGCTTCTCTAACAGCTCTGGGTGGCGATTGGACGCCACTAGGAACTGGATCTGTGATATCTCGAAATCAGGAATTCTCTCCACCCCGGAGGATGACGTGTTTGGATCTGAAGCCATTTTCGTTGAATGAAGGAAATGTACAACTGCCTCTGGACTACGTGGCGTTGGTGTTCAAAGAGGGTTAAGGTGTTAACAGCTTTGGAGCTGGCGATGAGGTTGGGGTTACCCTGACTTATGAGAATCTGGCTGAGAGTGCGGCTTGAGGTGGAGGGAATGGAGGAAAGTGGTTATTGAATTGGAGTTTTGCTGGTTTTTGCAAGGTTTCAAGGAGTTCCAAGAGGGATTGGGTATTAAAATTTTGGAAAATAAGCTCTTGGGGTGAAAATGATGAGAAACAGAAGCTTGAGAGAATACCATACTGGGGGCAGAAACCTAGCCAAATAGGCTCCATCCGAGATCCCAGCTGAGTCTGAGGGGATAATGTAGAATAGGGTTACTTGTATGTTTGAAATTAAATATTACAATGCAAGATTTCTGTTGCCCGAAATTGTTTCTGGACGGAATTGAGTAGGGATAATGACCATGACTGATACTTTTGGAGTGCACTGGGAAGGCAAGCACCGCAGCATGTATGAATAATTTAAGAAACCAGGATAATTGTCGTATTCTCATATGCAAAAGGTGGTTGAAAAATGCTCTATGAATTTTTAATCTGGTTCCAATATTTCCAGTAGCATCTATTTTTCCAACTTCATCTCTAAGATGAAATCTCTACGCGTACTATTTTGGTTAGAAATTTGAAAAATATCTGATTTCCATAAAAACCGAAGAACCAGAGTGGAAGTTTCATCTAAAGTTTAAGCTTTTCCTGCATTTTCATCTCAGATGATGAAGAGGTGTTCATAACTCATATACTATCGAATTACTTTCGAATATTAGTTCTTGCTGGGTTTATCGCTTTTCCCCTCTTTCCTTTGTTTCTCGATCACCCCCACCTGCTGATAAGCAATCAGCATCTTCATCATCAAGGTTCTACGCCAACTGATACTACAAACAACGGCATAATATTTACAACTTCACTTAATATAAACTTGGCTATCTTGTTTCCTATAATTTCCTACAATTTCTTACTATTTTCACCGAATTTAAGTCATCTCTCAAAGCGAGAGAATGGTCCGAGCCTCTGCCAATGTTCTGCAGGCAACTAAGCATGACCTCCGGAATTGCCAGCGCCGCGGACAACACTTGTTCTTCTTGTTCACCTTCTTTTGCACCAAAAAACACCAGATTTCAAGACAGAATAGTCATAATGGTGGCAGAAAACACTGAACTGGCAAAGGTGAGTGATTTAGAGGGTGGTAGCGCCATCCAACCGAAAAAGCGTTTCTCGAAAGTCTCTCCATACTAACATATGCAGTTCTCTCTCGACAATGTGTCGCCGGCACTTGAGAAGGCCTACAAAGAGATCGAAGACTTATTCACCATCTCGCCTGAGGTGCTGAAGACGATCACTGCTCATTTCATTACCGAGCTCCAGAAGGGTCTTGATCAGGAGGCTAATATCCCAATGATTCCAGGTTGGGTCCTTGACTTTCCAACTGGCCAGGAGACTGGAGACTATCTGGCGATCGATTTGGGTGGAACTAATTTGAGAGTCGTTCTTGTGACTTTGAAAGGAAACAGTGATTTCAGTTTCACCCATTCCAAATACTCTTTGCCTGCTACCATGAGAACGGCTGATGCCGACGATTTATGGGACTTCATTGCTGATTCTCTTGAGAAGTTCATCAAGGAGAAGTACCCTGGCGGATGTGCGTCAGATCTTCCTCTTGGATTCACCTTCTCTTACCCGGCGTCTCAAGATGCCATCAACATGGGTGTTTTGCAGAGATGGACCAAGGGATTTGACATCCACAACGTCGAAGGTCACGATGTCGTACCCATGCTGCAGAAGGCTCTAAAGGCCAGAAGCCTTCCAATTGAGGTGGTTGCTTTGATCAACGATACCACTGGAACTCTGGTCGCATCAATGTACTCTGATCCAGAAACCAAGATGGGATTGATCTTTGGTACAGGATGTAACGGTGCTTACTACGACTTTGTAGAGAATGTGCACAAGCTCAGTGGAGATCTCCCAACAGATATCCCTTCGGGAACTCCTATGGCGATCAACTGTGAATACGGAGCATTTGACAATGAGCGTGTGGTGTTGCCATTGACCAAGTACGATTTCAAGATCGATGAAGAGTCTCCAAGACCGGGACAACAGGCATACGAGAAGATGATTGCAGGATACTACCTTGGTGAGATTCTGAGATTGATTCTAGTCGATTTCTACAAAGCTGGACTTATATTTGCTGGCCAGGATGACTCAAAGCTCCAACAGGTATTTATCATGGATACCTCTGTGCCTTCACGGATCGAAGAAGAAGAAGCGGGTAATACAACCGTTATCGAGTCTATCTTTAAAGATGAGCTTAACATCTCTACCACTGCGGCCGAGAGAGCCATTATCCGTCGTCTGTGTATCCTGATTGGAACTAGAGCTGCCAGACTGTCTGTTTGTGGTGTTGCTGCTATTGCCCAGAAGATGGGCTACAAATCGGGCCATTGCGCTGCGGATGGGTCTGTCTTCAACAAATACCCTGGCTTTCAGCGCAGAGCTGCTGTGGCCCTTTCCGATATCTTCGGATGGTCTTGCAAACTAGAGGACAACCCAATAAAGCTTACTGCTGCCGAGGACGGTTCCGGCGTCGGTGCTGCAGTAATTGCGGCTTTGACTGAAAAGAGACTCAAGGCAGGTCTCTCGGTGGGAAAGAAGCACATTGTTTCGAAATGACTCCCGGGCCGGAAATTCAAAATGTAGCTAGCATTTGGTACAGTGGTAATGTCTAGCTCAAGAATTTGTCTGCCTCTTTCCAGTTTCTTCTCAGTTTTTTCCTGCTCTCCTTCCATCTTCAACATGTATTTATATAGACTGTTCAATCGAGCTTCAATATTTCAACGGCTACCTAATCTTAGTATTAACGTGCACCAACCAATTGACTATCCCCCTTTGGCTCCGGCCAGCTGGGAATGTCTGAAGCATTTCAACCATTAAACCACTGAACAAGCCGGAAAATCCGTCCAACAGGAAGAGATTGCTGGAATATTTTGAAATGGCGCAACCAATTGGTAAGTAAATATAGTGTCAATACTATGGATCTGGCGTGGTTTGCTTCGGGACTTGGCCCAGTGTTTGTGCCCTTGGTGATCGGAGGGGGTTAGCACAAGAGATGACAGATAGAACCGTTTGGGCCACAAAGAAGCGGAAAAAAGCTGGAAAATGATCCAGCACACCCAATCTATCTATATTAGGTTAGAATCACCGGTACTAACCATTTTTTCAAAGTTCTCGACCAAGGTACCGGTTTTGTCAAGATCGGCAGGGGAGGTACCAACTTCCCCGACCACACGTTTCCCTCGATGGTTGGAAGACCCATTTTGCGAGCCGAAGAACGGACCGGTGATGTGGAGATAAAAGATATAATGTGCGGCGATGAGGCGAGTGCAGTCCGGTCCTCATTGCAGATTTCATATCCAATGGAGAACGGAATCATCAAGAACTGGGAGGACATGGAGCATCTCTGGGATTATGCCTTCTACGAGCGCATGAAGGTAGACACTACGGGCCAAAAGGTGTTGCTGACCGAGCCTCCAATGAATCCACTTAAAAACCGTGAGCAGATGGTGAATGTGATGTTTGAGAAGTACAACTTTGGCGGGGTGTATGTAGCTATCCAGGCTGTGCTCGCTTTATACGCCCAAGGACTTTCTTCCGGTGTTGTTGTTGATTCTGGTGATGGTGTAACCCACATCGTGCCTGTTTATGAGAGTGTGGTGCTGAACCATCTCACCAAAAGACTGGATGTCGCTGGAAGAGACGTTACCCGTAATCTGATTAACCTATTGTTGAGAAGGGGTTATGCTTTCAACAGAACGGCAGACTTCGAGACGGTGAGACAGATCAAAGAGAAACTTTGCTATGTTTCGTATGATTTGGATTTTGACCTCAAATTGGCTAACGACACCACTACTCTCGTGGAGAGTTACGAATTGCCAGACGGAAGAGTGATAAAGGTGGGCAGTGAAAGATTTGAGGCTCCAGAGTGTTTGTTCCAACCATCTCTGGTTGACATCGAGCAGCCTGGAGTTGGTGAGGCTCTTTTCAACACTATCCAGGCTGCGGATCTCGACATCAAGTCTACTCTCTTCAAGGCCATTGTGCTTTCTGGTGGCTCCAGTATGTACCCGGGTCTTCCATCTAGATTGGAGAAGGAACTCAAACAGCAATGGTTCACCAAGGTGTTGCATGGAGACCCCACAAACCTCGACAAGTTCAAGGTTCGTATCGAGGATCCCCCAAGAAGAAGACATATGGTTTTCATCGGTGGTGCCGTTTTGGCAAGTATCATGAGCGACAAGGATCACATGTGGATTAGCAAGCAGGAGTGGGAGGAGCAGGGTCCACGGGTTCTTGAGAAGCTTGGTCCTAGGTGATGAACTTAACAATGCTCTATCCATGTTCATAAACGTTTAAATATGAAAAAAAAACAACAACACACAATTAGACTGTTGACATTATTGCTATTTTTCAAGAATACAGACTGATCGCTGTATTGAATACTAATTTGGCCTGTTGTGAAAATTCAGTACTGATTGTGCATACTTTTGTCAAAGAAAAAAAGTCAAGCGCTACTAAAGGACATCACCGCTCTTTGTTAAATGCAATCGTTCTGCATTTTCTTATTAATATACAAATTTACGTGTACCCATTATGATCCACAATCCTTCTCCACACGTCAGAGATAATCTGGTGTATTTTGTTAGGCTCCGCTGGATGCGATGCTCCGTACTCGACTGAGTTCTGGATCAGACCAGAAATGAAGTTCTGGCTGACAACTTTGGGCTTCAAAAAATCTCCATCTATGAGTTCTTGCGCAGTTGCTCTCTTGGAAGGATCTCTCGACAAACAGCTTTGCATTGCCTCGATTAAAGTCGTTGGTACAGCCAGACCGTTCACTTCGTTGGGGTAAGAAACCTGGACCTTCTTGTCGATGATGGCCATTAACCTGTCTTGACCCGAGTATCCGGCATATGGCGGCCTTCCATAAACCATCTGATAAATGATGCAACCGCATGACCAGATATCTGCTGGCTTTCCAACCTTCCAGAGTACTCCGGACTCTCTATCGATGCCTGTCAAAGTCTCAGGCGCCATGTAGTTGGGAGTGCCAATCTGAGACTCACGATGAACATTGACGGTGAAGTCAGGAATAGCATTAGAAATCCCAAAGTCTATAAGCTTCAAAACTCCCTTCACAAACAAAAAGTTGGCAGGCTTCAAGTCAGAATGAACAACCCCAGCGCTATGAACCGCCAATACGCATTGCATCATTTCGGCAGTGACGAATCGAAGAAACGAGATATCCAGAGGCATGTTTGACCGGTTGATCAGGACATGTGCGAGATCAACTTCACCACACTCCATAACCAAAGAAAGAGAACCATCACCTAGGAAGTAATCGAAAAGTTCAACAACGCGTTTGTCATTGCTCAAACTCTCCAGTATTTCGATCTCCCTCTTGAATACAGTAACCGCTTCCTTGTCAAACTCCTCAAAATCTACAACTTTGATGGCGAAAACCTGCGAAGACTTGTGTGTTCTTGCACGGTACACTTTGGAGGTTCCTCCTCTTCCGATCTGCTCCAAATAGAAATACTGCTTCCCATTCACGTAAATGGACTTAGCCTCATCTCTAGGCGCAGATCTTAGTTGTTCCTGGAAACTTCGTTCAAGAGTTTCCCTCTGATTTCTCAGTTCAAGCTTTAGCCTTTCTTCAAACTTTTTCTCCTGTTCCCACAAACTCTCCGGCTTTGGCTCTAGAGCAAATCTCGAGTTGAGTCTATTGCCTGAAAGAGGTGCCAGGGCTTTTCTAGATCTCTCTGGAGTATCGTAACATGGCACAGATCTGTGCTCATCATTCTCCTTATTCGAACTCAACCAGGAGCTCGAATTTCGGGAACGATCGTGTTCATTTCTCTGGCTCTTCATGAGCTCCAGCTTTTGCATTCTCAAATCCCTGGATATGTCTTTGAATGGGTGATTATCGTGCGAATCTGGTCTTCTATCTTCAATGTACTCTTTATGCAAAATGGGATCGCTCGCAATTCTCATGGCACCCGCTAAAGTTGGTTTGGCGACTCCATTTGCGAATCTGTGAACCGAAGGTACAACTGAGCCTAGAGGCGAGGACTGCCGTTTGGCTGCAGACTCAAGCGTCGGCGTTCTTGGCTCATGGGAAACAAAATGAACCTGTTGTCTTGGTTTGTTCACGGGTGAATAGTCCATGCTGTCCATGGGATCCTGCACTTCAATCTTCTTTCGCTGAACAGGCTGCTGCTGCCCCTTGGACGAGACGCGATTGGTCCACATGTTGGACTTTGTGTTCGTAGTAAAAGGCGTCGAATGTGTGTTTGGATTAATATTCGACTCCATGATATCGCGGTAGCTTGTAGCTGTAAAACTTGGCCTCTGAGACCCTGACTTATCAGGCGAGTGTTGTCGCTGAGAAGTGTCTTCATGAATCAGCGGCCTGCTGTTTATTTCGCCAAGCACCGTCCAAGCATAATCGCTCAATTTGGGCGGCTCAATAATTCCCGACTCATCGCCCGAGGAGCCGTACTCTTCGTTCGTGGCAGTCATATTAACGGATGATCCAATGAAGTGTTCCATCTCTTCATATCGAAGCGCGAGGTGAAGGTATGTTGGCGAGGTGAAGCGACTGATGGTTATCAAATGAGGGCGTCAATTTAGTTAAAAGAACAAGATTCTGAACCGGCAGCGACAACACTGGTGGAAATCTGTGTCTTTGCGATGGAAAACTATGTGATTTAAGGCGAATAAGGACTTGGTGTGAGCATAAAAAGTAAACACGGCTGGATTGGGGCTCACAACCATTTCTCAAACATCCCTGACACGTCTTCGAAAGAGTGCATTGGGTAGCATTTTGTAAAAAAAAAAACCAAAATGTGCGATTTCTTGATTGACCTGAAAATAAAAAAGGTACGGAGTCTCATTTATTCAAAAAAAGAAAACTGCGCCAGCCGGGAATCGAACCCGGGGCCTGACCATGGGAAGATCAGATTTTACCACTAAACCACTGGCGCATATTTTCAATTGAATTTTTTTTTTAGGCCAGCTGAGGGGATCGAGTGGGCTTTGTTTTTTCTGCATGTATCATACATTCGCCTACTCTAAGCGGACTGTAGTTTGTATGGATCTAAATTAAATACAAAATGATGGTAATTTCAGTAATTCACAAGAAAATAAGAGCCAATTGGTATGCTCTTTTGAGAGGGGTTCGCCCCGCGGAAGGTATTAGCCTCAACTTACTACGACCATAAGATCAGAACAGCTTATTCAATAAACTAACTGAATTGCAAAAGAGAAATCTATGGTAATCACAGACATATTGACGGCATCAAAAAGCTTCTTATAACACCCAAACAATCATTTTTCAGCGAAGAAAGTGATGGGCTTCTCACCTCTGACAACTTGCTGGATCTTATCTAGAATGTCTGCAAATGAGTCAAATTGAGTGAAAGGAATGCCTTCTCTTCTACAGTAGGTCACCAGGTCCCTTCCTCTCTTGGCAAATAACAAATGAGTCTCTCTAGCAGCACTCAAGTCAGATACACCATCACCACAGTAGAACAGGTCAGGCTTGCTCCCCTCGGGCAAACGTGCCAGATACTCCCTGATTGAACGAGACTTGTCGTGACCAAAACTGGAATCATCCTTGTAGACGATTTTCCAGGATTTGTCATCGTTGACTTGCACAGAGTTGGAAATGATTTCGATGTTCTCGACAGCCTCCACACCAACGAGTTTGGTTAAAAGGGCCTGAATGATAGGCTTCATTCCACTGGAAACAACCACCACAGGAATTCCCTGAGAATTGCACCATTCATAAGTCTTCTTGAATCCAGGGTCCAGTTCGATTTCCTTCAACAGATGCTCGATGCACTTGTCAAACGGAACATGGATGGACTCCAGCATCTCAGTAAATCCATCCCTAAATGAAAGAGTCTCGTCCAAGATTTTGTCATTGAGAACCTTTCTCTTCTCATAGCCCATTCCAAGTTTATCAGTAAGGTTATCGTTGGAATCCTATAACCAATATGTTAGTCTTGTAAAGTCCGGTAGATCCATACAGATACCTACCTGCAGAGTGACTGTTCCATCCCAGTCAGTGAACAGAATCGCCTTTGGAGCTCCACTTGATTGTGTCATATCTGGTATCTATCAAATGTATCAGTCTCTATGTTTATAAACAATCTAAATCGATTGAGTAGAAAAAAAAAACACCCTAAAGAAGACAGATGAAAAAGCCCGCGAAGCGTGCCAGATTTGGTGATGCCTGCTGGGGTGTCTGTCTTTACACGTGCAATCTGCGTCGTGTTCATTGCGGATCTTCCCAATAGGACTTCACTGTTTTACACGCGAAAATCTGTCAAAAATCGGCAGAAAAAGTATTGGGAGAATGGTTGCGTCTCTGGCAATTATTTCTGGAGGTACTTCGACCAATGAGCTGGTCAATATGTTTAGCAACATATCCGATAACGTCTCGTACATCCTGCCTATCAGTGATAACGGAGGCTCCACGTCTGAATTGTTACGTGTGATTGGTGGTCCAGCCATTGGAGATATTCGTTCGAGAATCACGCGATTAATTCCAGATGATTCTGCTTTTCTGCGGAACTTGTTGGCATATCGTTTACCTGCAAATCCAGCCGAGGCCAAGGTGGAGTGGAACTCCATAGTAGAGGGTAATCACAAGATATGGGATCCAGTGGATGCCCCCAAAAAGGAGATCGTCAGGGCTTTTCTTATTCACGTTCATACTGAACTTTTGAAGAGGTCGCGGAATTCCACCAAGGATTTCCGATTGGAATTGGCAAGTGTGGGCAACATGTTTCTGACTGGTGCCAGATTGTTCTGCGGCTCGTTGGACTCTGCGATTGAGCTAGTGTTGAGCCTGGCAAGGGTCAGCCCCGGTACACGCGTTCTGCCGTGTCTTAACACCAATTTCACATATCATATCAGTGCCTTGTTGAAGAACGGGAGTATTGTCACTGGTCAATCGCAAATTTCACACCCCACCAGCGACACAGGTGCGGCCACCATCAACTCCTGTGACGTACTGTCCCCACCGAAAGCCCTGTTTATTAGTCCAGTTGGTGAGTATGCATCAGTAGAGTCTCCAAAGGCTTTGGTTACGAATTCTCTTGGTTTGGGTTTGGGGTTTCCTCACGATAACGTTAATGAGAGTTTGCTCTACAGCAAGCTAATGGACCTGGAGGTGAGTGACACCGAATTAATACACAGCCACAATGGGACCAATAACTCAGAATCAGAAGAGGAAGGTGAGTATGCTACTCCGGCCTACACTCATCCGGATCTAAAGAAATCCCAACTGCACTTCAACAAGGATGACTCGATCCCACTCCCATCTGCGATCAGCAAAATCTTCTATATTTCGCCTTATGGAGAAGAGATATTTCCAGCCGGTCATCCGCGGGTTCTCAAGTGCTTGGGAGCAGCAGATGTTGTGATTTACTCCATTGGGTCCTTGATGACGAGTATCGTTCCTGTTCTGATTCTTCAGGGTGTTGGGGAGGCCATCATGAAGGAGGAGTCCCAAATACCGAAGAAAAAAGTTTTGCTCTTGAACGGTTCGCTTGATAGAGAAACGTCTTGGCTCGATGCGGGGGGATTTCTGGAGACGATTGCATCCTCTTTGAGGTATAGTATGACGGCCCAGAAGAAGAGACGGGCAAGTTCTGTTCCCAACCAAGGCCAAAGAGATCCGGCGAATTTGCGGGTTTCCTCGTTTGTCACTCACCTCGTTCATCTTGAGCCTTCCGAGAATATTCCAGTTGATAAAGCTCGAATTGAGAGCCTTGGTGTCAAATGCGTGGGAGTGAGGAACGAGAAAAACTACAATGACAGGTACGATCTGGATGATCTGGAGAGGAAGATTAAGGCCTTAATTGACGACCATGTGTAAATATATGTCTAAAAGAGTGATAATGACGTGATGACGCTTTGTTGAATATTTGTATATTTATCAAATTTTTGTTAATTTTTTGCTAATATTGACCGCCATTAGCTACTTCATGTACAAGGCAGTGCAGTTTTGCCCTGGCTCCCGATCTGGTTTGATTTCGAAGCCTCATCTGGTGGGCCTCGATACTGGTCTAAAATCCAATCCACAACACAATCTTCGACAAACACGAGTGCCGCTTTGGAACCAAAATGATCAAATTTAGCCTGATCACAGCATTATTTTTATCCCTTGCCTTTGCTCACGAAGACCCCAAGCAGGTGGGCACAGATTTGTACGAGTCCCCTCCAGAGGGCGTTTCGTGGCAGTCATGGCACATGAAGTCAGAACACGGTATCGATCAACATGACCCCGAGTCCGTGTTCAAACTTCACGACACGAGGAATGTGAATTCGCTGAGTGGAAATGACATTCTGAGAATGTATGGTCTGATGAGGGAAGAAGTCGTTGGCAAAGGAGACGGTATGGGATCTCATGATAGATCCGAAGGAATCAAGGAGGGAACTAAAGAGAGGATCCTGAGCACGGTAATGGGATTGATTGACAAAAACAACGACGGTGAAATTTCGTTCGAGGAGTGGAAAGAGTTCTCTGCTGCTGGCGGCGAGCTTCCGGATATGGGTGTTGGTGTTGGACATGAGCTCGGCTTCGAAGGTGAGTACGAGAGACATCATTGGCTCGAGCACCATGCTGAGAATGACCCTGAAGTATACATCCAGCACCCAGAAGATATAGAGCACGAACTGTTGCATCACGAGCACGAAGTTGAGCACGAAGCCGAGCACGAACAAGAGCATGAAGGTGTGGCTCAGACCAAAACAACTAAGTCGCAGATCATATTGGCAAATATACCAAAGAGATTTTTGGCCTAGAATGTATAGCCTAGAACCAAGAAAAATTCATCAGAAAATGCGAAGCGGGATACGCCTTTCGATCAGTTGTAACAGAGCTCTTTGAAGCACTTCGAACAAACTTCAGGAATGTGCGGCTGATGACGTTCGAACAATAGCCCTTGCTTGATGGTTTCACGGTCAAAGGAACGTTTCATCACAGCACATCCGACACATTGTGAAAAGTATGAAGAATTGGACTGGGTTGCGACATTATAGCCGTTAGTGATCATCTTGGACATTTCATCATGTGTGTAGGTGAGTTTGAACGTGGAAGTATTGGAGGCATAGGAGAGATCAGTATTGCTCAAGTAAACAATCAGAGGGGAAAGCCAGACATCCTCTTCTTCATAGGAACTGGTACTATTTGCTGTCAATGATGCGTTGCTCAACAAAGTGTATCCGCCTGTAATATTGCATCCAAAGAATACAGGCTTTTTGTTGTAACCTTTATCGCTCATCTCCTTATAGGATGGACTCAACGGGAATGTGGTATACTCCAACATCCTGTTTGTTTTTTTATTTGGAATTTTCATTGTAGTAAACTCCCATGTCTTGTTTCTTGAGTTGTACCTCTTCGAAGGTTTGATTAAAGAGGTTCCATTCGGCCAGTTTTCTGAGTCGTTACTAGAATCAACCGCAAATATCACGTCAACCTCTCGTGAACTCTGGGTGAAGGGAAAGAAAGGTATGTTTTGGCCATCTTCTCCTCCATCAACAAGCTTAAGAGTCTTGTCGCCGACAATAGAAGATGTTTGGTTGATGTGAGATAATCCTAAGAATGGGTTTGGCTCATAGAGAGCATAATCAGACTTCCCCGGTTTACCATCCCCAGAAAGGCTGAAAACGCTTAGTATGTCTTTGATTGCCATGAATGTCTCTTCTTCGGATGAGGAAGCAATCTGCCACAGATAGAGAAGCACACTGTTGAATAAGGAAGATGAAGTTCCCGTCACAAACCCAGCGTTGTCGAAACCCGAATAGCATATCCTCTGGCCTGTGCTGTTTTCAGAAGATGATAATTTTCCGTTGTATAATTCTGTTCCCAGATAACTAAGACGAGAGAATGCGTTGAGATATGGCTCCCAAGACCCGAACTCGTATGGATTAAACTCCATGAGCATGGAGTCCAAACTAGCACTGTTGGCGGCTCCGTTTTTGCAATTAGAAACTAGTATTGGAAGTGGGGCACCTCCTTGCTTGAAAGATTCCATTCTTGATATTCCGGAGAAGGTTCTACCCACAGTCTGTGGTGAGCGAGGAAAGATCTTCTTTGCCAGTGCTGCTCCCCAGTAATCAGTCAACGATACCTTGTATCCAGCGTGCTTTTTGGGTCTAACCTCAGCCATTATCTCCTTGTAGTACCGCAAAATTGACTTCTGGATATCGGTGTTGCTATCAGAATCCTGTTCTTTCAAAAGCTTGTTCATTATGCCCGCTAGCGAAGACTGTGCTTTTGTGTCTGACTTTGTATCACCTTTGTCCATGGTTCCTGAATCGGCAACGGGAGACTTCAGATTCATGATGTTGGTGCCGGATATTTCTACCTCAAAGTTTGGCACTCCCTCAAGTAAAGGCTCGTTGAGTAGCCACGAATCCATGTCTCGAAGCTTTACAACTGAAGCAAAGTCGTACATCATCAACGAAGACACTAGCCAACTACCGCCTGAAATTCCTGCTAAATACGTCGAAGCCTGTAGAATGCCACCTAGGCCCGAGCCTCGCGTAGAATTCACTGTTCTGTTATCAAAGGCAGCTAGGACTCCAGCCCCCACCAACATAGATCGATAACCTCCCCCAGAAACAGCTATTGCAATTTGGGGTACTGAGCTGTTGAGCACATCCTTATACTTCAAGCCGGGTATAGCGAGGCGCTCAAAAAGTGCTGATAAGGCATTGGCTGTTACAACTTGCTTTTTTCTTAGAAACGCCTTTTCCTGGGGTGAAATCGTCTAAATATGTGAGTATCTAGCGCCGACAAAGACATAAAAAACAGCTACTTACTTCTGCTCTTCTCACGAAAGTCATATTGACGGGACATTCAACAGCAAAGGGGGCGTAAGAGCTTTGGCGGTGCATCCGGCTCCGGATGACTTGTCTGGTAGCGTTCAAAGGAGCGTTCAATGAAGCATTGTTCTGCGGCGTTTGGGCAGACTCGTTTTTCGATAGTCCATTGGCAAACGAAGAATTCAGTATCAATACGACAAAAAGCCACGCAAAATAGAAAACTGAAAAAATCATCTTCATCAAAAAACAGAGAAAAGTTAGCAAGTAGTTGTCTTAACAACAAACAGGCCTGAACACCACAACATAGAATTTGTCGTGTGCTCTACCACTAACAGCTTCACCTTCTAAACAATACGGACATCTCTCTTTCTCCTTTACTCATCCACAAATGTTCAATAATAAACGTCTACAGGTTAGTTTGACAAATTGGTTACTGATAAATTTAGACAGAACAAAAACAATTGATATTATCGAATGAAGATGAAATTAGGATATCGCCGCCATGTATAATTCTAATAGGACTCAAAATTCCTCGTCGGATGAGACGTAAGCGTCACCCAGTTCCTTCTTCTTCTTCATTCTCTCCTTCTTCTTCTTTCTGAGCTCAGCAGAAGACAACTTAGCCTTCTTCTTGACAGAAGCAATCTTGTTACCCATGGCATCGAACTTGTCGCCTTCGTCATCCTTCTTCTCGAGACGAGGACCAGCACCTTGACCTTGGACCCAGTTGTGACCAGATGGAGTCATGGTACCGTTGGTAACGGCCCAAACTTCCTCGGTCAACTCCTTGGTGAACTCGGCAGAGTGAGTGATAATGACGACACCACCCTCGAAAGCCTTGATGGCCTTGGACAGGGCTCCCAAAGAGTCACGGTCCAAGTAGTTAGTTGGCTCATCAAGAACGATCAAGTGAGGTCTTTGCCAAGTACAAGCAGCCAAGACCAACTTGACCTTTTGACCACCGGAGAGACCTCTGATACGCGAGTGCGACACCAACTCGGCGTCAAGACCCATCATACCACAGTGCGACTCGATCTCCTTTCTGGTAAGAGCACGGAACTGACCAGAGGCAAGAGCCTCCTTCATGTCAACCTCGGCAACGAGCTTGGAGTGAGTTTCCATAAGCTCTCCTCTTGGCAACCAGGCGTTGTCAACGGACATCATTGGGACCCAACGCTCGTTCTTCATGCCGATGTTCTCACCCAGGTTGAAAGAACACTCGTACTCGTAAGAGTTCTTAAACTTTCTTCTGGAGTGGATACCAGCGATACGACGTGGAGTACCATCGATCTTGAAGATCTTGTTCATAGCATTCTCGTCGTTCTCGTTGATCTGTCTAGAGGCACGGTCCATGGTCTCACGGTCCTCACCGGTCTGGAAACGCCACTGGATGTACTCAGATGGAGTCTTGTCGAGATGCGAGTCGATGTGGGCAAAAGCATGCTGTTTAATGTAGGCAATACGACAGTTCTCGTGGACGTAAACGTCACCGCTGGTTGGCAAAAGCTCACCGGTCAAAACGTTGACCAGGGTGGACTTACCGGCACCGTTAGGACCAATAACAGCAATACGCGAGGAAAGCGAACACTGGAAGTTGATGTTGGTCAACTGTGGCTTGGTGGTACCTGGGTACTGGAAGGTCATGTTCTGGACCTTGACGATAGCCTTCTGCTTGGTCTTGACACCCTCAAGGTAACCTGGCTCTGGGAATCTGAACTCAACCTCGGAGGCTCCGAGTTCGTAGTAAGACTTGGCGGATGGAACTCTTCTGACGAACTCAGAAAGGTTACCCTTGTACTTTCTTAGCTTGAAACCTTCGTAGTGGATAATGTACTGCACAACCTTGTCCAAGAAACCGGAGTCGTGGGAGACAACAATGGAGGTGATACCACAGGTCTGCAAGTAGTTGACCAACCAGGCAACGTTAACGGTATCCAAATGGTTGGTTGGCTCATCCAACAACAAGATGTCGGCCTTCTTAAGCACGGCACGTGCAAGAGCCAACTTCATCTTCCAACCACCAGAAAGCGATTGAATTGGCATGGCGATCATCTCGTCAGAGAAACCGAACTCAGTCAGGTTCTTGGAGATCTCCTCCTTGGAGGCAACCTCACCGGTACCGTAGACGAAGTCCAAGACAGAGGTGTCAGCCTCAGTTCCGTCAATGTCGTGCTCGACGTAGACAGTCTTACACTCGTCCTGGGTTGGGAAACCCTCGACCTGGCCGTTGGCAATGGCTCTCATAAGGGTGGACTTACCGGAACCGTTAGGACCACACAAACCGTATCTTCTGTTTCTCTTAAGACGGAATTGGGTCTTGTTCAGCAAGATCTTAGCACCGTAGGCGAGCGAGAACTCACAGTTACAGAGGTCTTCACCTTCGTCATCTTCGTCCTCGAAAGAAGGAGGCTTTGGAATGTTGTTGACGGCCTGGGTTCTGAAGCTCTCAACAATAGCCTTGGCCTGGGCCTCGTGCAAGAAGATGGTAAGGAAAGGAGTGAGGTTGGCGTACCAGTCCTCGATCTCGGTCTTTCTCTCGTCGATGAGGTCACCGGCAATGGCAGCAACGTAGATCTTGACGAGATCGAAACGAGCACCGACCTTCTCTTCCTTGGTCAAGTCGTTGAGAATGTCGAGGTTGACCTGGACATCACCGGCGGTGGACACCTCTGGTGGAATGTCGTCGTCACCAACGGCACCGACTCTCTTCAAGGTGGTCAGGGCTCTGAGGGTGACCTCACGGGCTTCTGGGTCAGCGATGGTGGCAAAGTTAGCCTTCAAAGCTGGCAACATCTTCTCCATGAAAGGAGCAACAACCTGAGGATCGTCCACGAGCTTACACATGTTGTCGACAATGACGGCAGCCTTACGCTTGATGGAGGTATCACGGACGGCGAGACCTCTGGACAGCAAAGGCACCATGATGGAGAGAGCGGCGGTGGTCACCTCAGAAACAAAGGTGGTGGCACCCAGGATGTGCACGGTCTCGGAAACGTCAGTTGGGTTGGCGATCGAGGTAATGAGCTTTGGAATGAAAGGCTCGATATCCTTGTTGTCGATAGTGGCAGTACACTTGGTCATGGTGGCAGTGGCAGCCTTCTTGACTTCAACCTTGGTATCCCACATAGCCTCAGACAAGACCGGGATCAACTCAGGCATACGCAGAGCAAGCTGGTCCTTGGCGTTGTCAACGAGAGCGGTGATGGCGTCAAGAACGGCAATCTTCTCCTGCCATTTGCTGGTGGTAGACAAAGCGTTGGTGAGCTTTGGCAAGAGCACCTTGATGGAGGTTGGGGTAACGGCCTTAGAGATGGCGAGGAGGGTCTTGGCGGCAACGTCTCTGACGTCGTTCTGCTTGTCACCACTCTTGGTCGAGATCTCCTCAACAAGGTCGATGATGTATGGCTCGACAGAAGGCGAGAGGTTGGCAGCAGAGGCGATGTGGGAGACGGCCTCAAGGGCATTGATCGAAGCCTTCTTGTCCTTGATGGAAGCGGCGAGCTTCTGGAAGAACTCGTATGGAACATCGTGCTCGATGATCGAACCGTTCAAGAAGGACGACACGTTGGCGGCAGCAGCATCGCGATCCTCGGCGGTGGCGACGGTCAACTTGCTGAAAAGCTCAGCAAGCACCTCAGTGGATTGCTTCGATTCACTGGCAGCAGACATTGTTGATCTTTTCACTGAAGGGTGGAAAAGAGAGACCAGCTTAGTGATGAGAAAAGGGGGACGTTTCACAGGTATATATGCGAAGGGAGGCCTGAAAATTTTTTTTTATCGGGTTGGGTCGGGTGCGGCTCAATTTCGGGATGTGGTTTACGCTGAACACACGTGTACGGGTGATGAGAGTTACTCCGGCCCTGTTGTGAATGGTTTGTGTGGATTTTATGGCAGAATGTTGTTTATATATAAAGCCTATATGTTCAAAAGTAATTTCAAAAATTCCAAAATGTTTGGAGTACTTGTGGTCGTCTGGTTTAGTTGCTAGGGCTTTGCAAATAGTCGTGCAAACGCCAGTAGGACTCCATATGGTGGTCTACAAAACGGGAGTCAACACAGCAAAAGGTTGTGTAGTGTAGAGGTTATCACTGTTGGTTCTGATCCAATAAACCTCGGTTCGAATCCGGGCACGACCTTCTTTTTTTATTTTTCTTTTTCTTGCTAGTTACTTTAAGGGCTGAGAGTGTAAAGTTATTAGTCCACAAACCATTGGCTGTACCTGCTCATTCCCCTTTTTTTTTTAAAAAAAAAGGCTTTATTACCGTGGCTATGAGTATCGGGCTGAGCTAGAATCTTCGGGCGTGAGTATAGTAGTCCTCGACACCAGTACAGTAGTCACCCATACCCTTCCCATCTACGCCATAAATATTTTCCCTCACCATTTTCGTTTATAGATTTATTAAGCAAATAACATAGAATATCATGGCCTAACTCCTTTTCCGATTTCCATCTAAAACACAAGCGGCGGTGCTTTATTCTTCCGCCTCTCTAGAATCGTAGCTGTCTTTAGGTTCAAATCAAACGGCTTGGATGCTAAGCGAACCGGCGACATAACCCCCTCTTGTTGAGTCACACGGCCACTGTCTGTCTCCACTTCCAGTGGTCTTGGTTGACGCAAAGCCCCTTCGAAATGTTCGACTTCTCTCTCTTCGTCGAAACTGTCTTCTTCCGAAAGCATATCGAGCTTCCCACCACGTTTGTAGGCAGCTGAATTTCCCGGAAGAGCAGCTTCTTCACCCATACGATGCACTGCTGCAGATATGTCAAAAGCATCACGAAGGGCAAGCGCTGCAGGGGAATAAAGCGCCGGACTGACACGATTGCTAGTGTAGGCTGGTGGCTGGAATTCGGATCCGTCAGAACCCAAATGAGAAGAAAACCGCTGGATAGTCTCGACTGGATGCGGAACGCTCATAGTGGCCGCAACAGGCTGGTGATTTACCACGGTAGTTGCTGGGGCTGCCATCGGCACCACTGGAGCAGCTGGAGCAGCTGAAGCAGCATATTTCGCGTCGAACTCTAAGATCCACGGGTCATTCAAAAAATCGTCAATAGTGTATCGTTTGCGTGGATCCAGTGTCAAAAGGTTCCTGACACATTTCTTTGCACCGATAGAGATCTCGTCCCACCATGGTGACAAAAACGTGTACTGGGCACGGGCAACTTTCTCGGTTAAAGTCTCTATACGTTCATCGTAAAATGGCGGAAATCCACAGAGAAGTGTGTACAAAACACAGCCAATAGCCCACATATCCACTTCCTTCGAATACCGTTCATCTCTCACAATCTCAGGTGCGGTATAGCCAACAGTCCCGCACGGTGTTTTGGTGTTGCTCTCCCAGATCTGCTTCGAAAGCCCGAAGTCAGCCAGCTTCACGACACCAATTCCACCACCACCAACACCATATTGCATCTGACCTTCGTCTAGTTTCGTGTTTGGATCATCACTAGCCCGTAACTTTGCGCCGTGTTTGGAAGGTACCAGGTCGATTGGCTCGAAAAGCATGTTCTCTGGCTTAATGTCTCTATGAACAACACCAACCTCCTCATGCAAATACCTTATAGCACGTGCCACTTGGATAATGATGTGCCTAGAGAGATCCTCACTTAAATACGTAAACTTCACGATCTCCGCGAAGATCTCACCTCCAGACACCAGCTCCTGGACTATGTAGTAGTGCTCGTCGCACTCTATAAAGTTCAGAAACTTCACAATGTTGGGATGATCCATCTGCCGCAATATAGTCACCTCCTTCAAAACCGCGGCCTGCTGTTTTTCGTCCAATTGGAACTTCTTGATTACCTTCACAGCAACCAATTCACCAGTCTGCAAATCCCGGGCCTTGTGAACCACCGAAAAAGCGCCTTCTCCGAGTTTCTCCATCAAAGCATATCGATCTAAATTCGCATACTGCTGTTTCCTTTTGCGTTCCTCGTTTTCCTCCCGCACAATATCCGTCGCCATCTTCGAATACTGATCCTTCTTGTCATGTCGTTGCCCCTCTTCCGGCGTGGCTAAGCTGGCTTCCGGGGTTGCACCTGGATCCTGGTACAAATTGGCCTGCTTGCCATGCCTTATGAACTGCTTGAAATTCTGACAAATTGTTAGTACTGGGTCCGAATTAAAAATCCATAGCAAGCACGGAAGGGGCTTTTGACAGCCCGTTGCCAAAATTGCTACTTACACCAAACATCGCCACCTCCGAATTCGATACTGCTCTTCAAGCTGAACTAACGACAATATCCGGCTACTGACTCAGAATGTCAGAAATAATACTGAAATCGAAACTTAAACAGCCGTTCGCAAAGAAAAGATTATAAACAAGGGCAAGCCCACACAACGGGGCCTGTGAACGGAGCCCATGGGGAGGGGATTTTTGGCAGGGAAACGACGACTGCGGAGGTTATTGTCCTTCACGTGACCACTAAATTTTTCAGTTTAGTTAGCGCACGCTCAGATAAGGATTAAAGCTAGGTATTTAGTTAGACGGAGGATCAGGAGAGGCACCGCGGCCACTACACTCTGAAGGCTTCAATTTTTGTGGTTTTTTAGCTATTCTGTGAGTCACTAGCACCAAAATGGCACAGACACGTCTGGTGGATGTTTCGTTGGCGGAGTGTGACTTGTTGGCTATTACATCCTTGTTCTCCGCTTCTCCCACCAAGTCCAAGAAGAGATCACGCTCAGAGGCTGCTGTCTCGTCAGTTCCAGTGAAGGGAACCAGAGTATCATTAGCAGACACACGTCTTCGTGGTAATGTGCGACTTTGCGACCCTAAGATAGTTTCTTTTCTGTCAGAGAACTTGGAGGCGTTCAAGACTGGCGAAGAGGTGTATGGCCTTACACTCCCTGTTGTCCTGGCAGTAGATTCTGAATTTCTGACTGTTAAAAGCACCAGGAGCTCCTCCCAATTCTTCAAAGTGGAAACATCAAGTCTGGAACCTGATGAGGCCTCCAGAATTCAAGCACAGGTAAGGTTTCTAAAGAGACTGAAGTCGTCCAAGAAGTCTCCTACGTTGGAGCATTCCCTGACCTGTTTTTGCGAGATCTCGGTTGAGTCTGAAAATCTTTCGGTTGCGGTGGAGATTGCGTGGAAGATAAACATGATTGAAAGCGTCTTTGAGAAAATCCACAGCATAGACGTTAAAGCCATAGAGGCAGTGCTCGAATTGGAGACCGAGAAATGGCCTACAGAGTACCAGCGTGGAATGGCAATTGATGACATCAAGAGATTGAGATTGGAAACCGCATCGTCAGAATCATTCTACGAGCTTATCACACAAAATACTCGCGCCTCTGCGACTGAAAATCCCGAAGACAATACCCCAGACCAACTGAAAGGAGAGCTGATCAAGTTTCAGCGCGACTCGGTCGAATGGTTATTAAAACACGAAGGTGTAAAATATGACCCGATATCACGAAAAGTGCTTCGTATCCCCTTTTTTGACCCCCGTTCAGATGTTTATGGCACCGTTGACAGATGTCTTGATAGGCTGTCGTTTGGATTTTCCAGGGTGCAATTCCACGGGAACCCCGAACCGTTTTACTATAACCGATATTCTGGAAATATCATATCCGAGCAAGGAGCTCATGCGGTTTTGCAACTGTTTGAATGTCCACCAGCCCAGGCTTTACTGGCTGAAGAGATGGGACTGGGCAAGACCGTCGAGATCATCTCCCTCATTCTGCTGAACCCGCGCCCTTTTTCGAATGAAGAGACTACATTTGACAATTTTGCAGGCAGACAAGTGTACAAGTCCAAGACTACGCTCATAATTTGCCCGGACTCCATCATCAGTCAATGGAGCCAGGAGATCGCCAATTACGCACCGCACCTCTCAAGCACCACCTACAAGGGCATCTACAGCTTTGAGAAAAGTTCCAAGGGAGAGACGAAGACTCCAAGCGAGATGGCTGAGGAATTGAAGGGTTTTGACGTGGTTCTGGTATCATATCAGGTCGTTGCCAGAGAGCTTCATCGGGCTCTGTTCAACCCGAGCTCCAGACCAAGAAGAAAGTGTGCTAGAAACCTCTCAAGTTTGTTGAAAGACCACGAGGTTGCAACCCCAGAACCTACATTGGCAAAAGTGAAAAGTGAAGCCCTGGACTCAGATGACGAGGAGGAGGAATCGTACCACCGCATTGACTATTCGTCTCCACTGATGCTCCTCCAATTCTGGAGAATTGTCCTTGATGAAGTTCAGATGGTGTCCAATAAGATCTCCAATGCTGCCAAAATTTGCAGAATTATCCCAAGGTACCACTCATGGGGAGTTTCTGGGACTCCCATCCGAAACAACCTCTCAGATCTCCAGTCTACATTGTCGTTCCTGAGGTTCACTCCTTTCGATGATACTACCACAGTTGCTGCCGAAGCAGCCTGGGGAAAGCTGGTCAATGCGCATCCTCCAATTGACTTTATAAGGCTATGGAGACAGATAGCCCTGAGACACACCAAAAGCATGGTTGCTGACCAGATCAAGCTTCCAGAGCAAAGCAGAGTGTTACTGACTGTTCCGTTCACTGCTGTTGAACGTGATAATTACGACCATCTCTTTGACTCCTTTCTTTCAGATGTGTCGTTGAATGCCAATGGAGAACCCATCGTGGAAGACTGGGAGCCCACCACGACGGTTTTGACGTTCATGCGTCAATGGCTCGTGCGGCTCAGACAGACATGTTGCCATGCCCAAATCAGGCAGGGCAATGTTCGCAGAAGAATTAACGAAAATCTGGGATTGGGAACTATAGATACTGTTCTGGACGATATCCGGAAGGAGTCTGCTAACGAGGTATTGAACAGAGAGAGGTTCATTGCACACACCGTGTTGGTGCAAGGTCAGGTTAGAGAGTACCAAAGAAGACCCGAAGACGCTATAAAGATCTGGAAAGGAATCCTTCCTTTTATAGAGGAGAAGGTGGATGTCTTTCGCGAAGAACTTGCCAATGCTATGGAAGTTTCAAGAGTCAATGACGTGACCGAAGAATCTCAAGGTTCCCCAGTTCAGAATTGTCGTCAGAGACTGAGATCATGGTTGGAGCTTCTTCATAGGGCCTACTTCTTTATTGGATCAGGCCATTACCAATTGTACAACCCACTTCCCCCGATCTCGGAGGTGGTTAATTTGGAAGAGGAAGCGGTCCAGGCTTTGCCTAACAAAGACGACATTGAAGACGAAGATCTTACACCTGAAGAATTAGCCCAAAGACTCATAGAGAGGGAATACTACGAGAAGGCTGAACTTCTCAGAAGAGAAATGCTCGAAGATAACATCAAGAAGGTGAAGACTGCGGTTGAAAGTTTGAAGACCAAACTCGAAGAGGCAGTCCGTAAGAACGACAAGAATGTGACTGTTGCCCAAATAGAAGAGGGCAAAGAACTGCCTGTTGTTCCTATTTTGGAGATCCAGGACGTTTCGCAATATTCAGTGGGATTGGAGTCTCGACTAGTGTTTGAAAAGTACGTGCTATTGATCAAAAGCCTGAATAAGCAAGCCAGTTATATCAACTCATGGATTGGGAAGATAGCCGAGGTTTTACAACGTCCTTTGAATGATGATGAAGTTGATAAGACTGGTAAGGAATATCAGACTTCTCTGGATGACCAGGAGATCACATTCAGCTTCTTGGAAATTTTGCAGTTGGTCTTGGAAGATAGAGAACTCTGTGTACTCACTATTGATGACAGTGTTGCTGGAAAGAGGAAGCCCACCAGCAATATGGTGATCCAGACGTTCCACACACAGGAAGAATCTGCTCTGAGAAAAGAACTGAACGATATCAGGAACTCGATACTTCCAGATGCTGCTTACGATGCCAAACTCTCTTTGAGATCACTGGTTGCCAGAGTCAAAGAGCAATTGGACGAGCTTTCTTTGAACCAGGACAAAAGATCCGAAGTTGAGGCCAAGCTACTGGGAACCGTGTATTCGAGAATGAAAAAAGACTTTGACGTCCAGAAAAAGGCTTGCACAATTGCTCGCAAGATATTTTCCGAATCGTTGAACGAGACCTATAACTCCAGGATCGAGTATTACAGAAGTCTTCAGGCATTCTCGGATAGTGTCAAAGCCTACAAGCCGGCTGAAACATTGGCCAATCCCAGCGAGGCCTCGGTCAATTCCCACTTTGAAAGTTTGGCAAAGACTGTTTTTGATGCACAGAACAGAGTCAGGTCCACAAAAGCACGTTTGCATTATCTGGAAAGTCTGAAAAAGGGCTTACAGGCAAACACCTTCTCGGAGGAAGATAGGTTCTGCACCATCTGTCAATGCTCCATTGTGATCGGGTCTTTGACCGCTTGTGGCCACCAATATTGCAAAGAGTGTCTCGAGGAATGGATGAGAAACAAAAAGATCTGTCCCATCTGCAAGAGTCCACTGAGAAGCTCCAACATCTATAATTTCACCTTCCCCAAGGCCAAGCTCAAGGGTAACATGGTGGTAACCTCGGAAGAACATACCGAGAACAGTGTTTCGATTCAGAAACAGGATTTGTTCTCGATTTACAAGCCTCTGGAAGCCAATGTTCTCGAGCAGATCCAAGAGATGGAGCTTGCCAAATCGTATGGTTCCAAGGTGGACCTTCTGGTGAAGCAAGTGATGTGGTTGAAAAAGAACGAGCCCAACGTCCAGATAATTATCTTTTCGCAATGGGCAGATCTTCTTTATGTCATTGGGATTGCTTTGAAACAGAACCAAGTGGAATTTTTGGGCTCTTCGGAAACACTTTCTAGTGGTAATGGAAACTACAGCCATGCAGGCACTGTGACGAACATCGCCAAGTTCAAGAACGACAGCTCCATCACGTGCTTTTTGCTTAACGCTAAAGCTCAGGCTGCTGGGCTGACTCTCGTGAACGCGTCGCACGTATTTTTGTGCGAGCCTCTGGTGAACAGTCCGTTGGAACTGCAGGCCATTAGTCGTATCCACAGGATTGGCCAGAAGAACCGAACTACGGTGTGGATGTTCGTGATCGAGAATTCCGTCGAGGAATCAATCGTTTATCTTTCTACGAAAAAGAGACTTGATCTTATCAAGAAGAATCTGGGAATGTCCGAGGATGAAGACGAGTCCGAGGAGGCCAAGAACAACACCGTTGACTCCATTGAGCTCACCAAGACTCTCAACGGCCTTATTGAGAAGAGAACCGACGGCGGTGAAGTTGTTTCAAACCAGGAACTCTGGGCCTCCTTCTTCTCAGCAAAGACCTCCTACATCTGAGATTTCGCGGAAGCTGTTCATTATATAGCCCTTAAACAGCAAGATAACCATTATCATCGAATCCCGAGTACACCTTGCCAGCATCGCACAGATCGCGTATGTGGGCCTCCACCTCGTTCTCGTTGAGTTTCAGCGATCTCGCGATCAACGAGGCCGGAACACCCTCAGCCATAGATGGAGTCATCGTGGCGATGTACTTCATGATCCTGTCCTTAGGAAGTCCCTCCTCAGAAGCTGGCTCCGACACAAACAGGTCGCCATTGCTGTTCATTTTCACTTGCTTGTTTGGGTTCTTGGATCTGAGGTAGGCGGCGATAGCATACAGGTTGTGGTAAACCACTTCGTTGTGGTCCTCCACCTTGCGGATACGTGGGTTCTGCACACTTTTCTTTCCGTTGAATAACTTCAAAGACCCAGAAACGTGCACGTAGATATTGGTAGGAAATGGCTCCTTGGCTCCAGCTCCTTCGTCGTACCATTCTCTGACCTCAATAGACCCGGTTCCGTCCTCAATCGTGTACGAGATAGCATTCGAAACGTCAACAGCGTTACGGACAACGCCTATGAACGAAACTGCAGCAATCTCCATGTTATGGAAAAAAAACCCGGCATCTTGAAGAGGCTGGCTCACAGCATGAATCTGCTTAATCGTCACAGGCGTGATGCTATTCTTGGGTTGCAAACGTGGTTCGGTGCTTTGAGGCTCTTCAAAGCCTGTAGATGGGTTTCCATAGGTGTTGAACCCTCCTTGTCCGTATGATTGGTAAGCTGTAAAAAATCAAAAAGGTTAGTTCCTTAACTCGAGTCATATACAAATAGCAATTTTTTAACTCTCACTTACTCGCCATTTTGATGTTTATTGTACACTTAACGCGATCAAAATATATATACAGGTATCTAAGACGCGACGCGAAAGTGGCAATCTCAGAGGTCGTGTCTCAACACATCTTGCAACCGGTCACCGGGGATCCGGTACATTCCGGCAAACTCCATATCGTAGACTCCTCTACCTTTGGTGAGGCTTCGGAGCTTTGGGAGATAACCAATCATTTCTTTCAACGGCGAGTTGAATCTCACGGCCTTTTTGCCAGCCGCCTGGCCGGACTTGATGTACATCATCGTGGGGTCTTGAGGCACGTATGTTCTTTCTGCCTCCTGTTTAGCCCATCTCAGCTCGTCCCCTGCGGCTTCATCACCAGTTTCTTCTATGCCTGAAATATTGGCCTTCCTCGTACCCATTAGATCCTGGATGACAACCCCTAGATCCTCATCGTTCACATAGACGGAGACCTTCATTTGAGGCTCCATTAGGGTGGTGTCCTTCGGGTCCAAACTGGCCAACGCCTCAAGCACAGCCTGTCTGGCCAAGGTTAGCAGAGGAGATACATTATCCGCAGCCAGCGGAACCTCCCATTCCTTTATCCGAACAATTGTCGAATGGACAGGCAATCTCGCGATCGGACCACCGACTTGAAGCGAAGCAGTCACACCCGAAACAAGGGCCCTGATCATGGTCTCGTAAGCAATTGCAAACGGCCATCCTTTTTCACCACCTTCTAGGCCTTTGAGGCTTTCACGAATTTTTTCAGATTCACTCGATTCTTCCAGCAGAATGGCATTATTGTCCATATTCAGTGCGATGAAGCTTGGCTCTTCGGCGAATGACGTTTCTTTAATATCTCCCTCAAAGGAATCCAGACTCAACGTGATCTTGAACTCACCACCCTTCTCACAGGGCACGGTCTTAGTGAAGTAATTGGTTGGCCTCAGAATCGTCTCTTTGAATGTAACTTTGACATCACCAACGTCGACATTCACCTTCATATCCTTCAATAGTCTGTCCTTTGTGATTTCCAGATGCAATTCTCCCATTCCCGACAAAATGGTCTGGCCGGACTCATCATCTTCACTTAAATGGAGACTGGGATCTTCTCTCAACACTGTCTCAAGAGCAGTTTCCATATTTCTCCGGTCACCGTGAGTAACCGGTTCCAAAGAAACAGAAAAAACAGGAGGAGGAATATTTATGGGATGTAATTTCACCATCGTCTCCCGGGGCTGAAGTCCATTAACGTCTTTCTTCGTAGCATGACTGACGAGAGTATCACCAGTTCTAATGCTGTTTACCCCTGTAATAACACCAATACTACCGGACTCGAGCTTGGAAACTTCCCGAGGAGTATCAGCATGCATCAGCAACAATTTCTTTATCTTAATTCTTTCACCGGTGGTGGTATTCAGTAGTGTGGAGTTGGGCTGTAACTGGCCAGAGTACACTCTCACGAAGACCATGATTCCTCTCATTGGATCGGTCAATACCTTGAAAGCCAATGCCGTGGTCAAGTTCTTGTTGTTGTTGATATTCAAACCACTAACTGGATCTATTGTAACAGCCAAATGGTTGTCATTCACCTCATCTTTCTTGGGCTGTTTCTTCTTGGACCTGGCGATACTCTTAAAGTCAGTAGTGACTTCCGGAAGCTTCATCTCTAACGGAGATGGAAGATAATCAACCACAGCATCCAACAGAGGCTGAACTCCAATATTTTTGAAACTCGAGCCGCAAAGAACGGGCACCGCGTACGACTCTAGAGTGGCTCTTTTAAGTGCAGCCTTGAGAACGGAAGGAGGAACCTTCATGTAATCTTCCGTCTCCAAAAAAGCAGAAACCACCTCCTCGTCAAATTCACCCAGCGTTTCAACAGCAGCTTCAAGACACCTCTCGCACTCTTCGTAGAGCTCTGGAGTGGTGGAGTGGTCCGAGATATCGGTAACCTTGAGGTCCGTTCCATCACCTTCCTCCCATTGAAGTAGCTTCTTCTCGAAGACATCAATTACCCCATCGAACTTGCTACCTTGACTGGCAGAATCGTGCTTGAAATGAGGAACATTCACAAGGACAACGCGAGTTCCCAATCTGGCCACTATTTCCTTGACCGTTCTGCCGAACCCAGCACCGTCACGATCCATCTTATTCAGGAAGGCCAGCTTGGGAATGCCCAAATCGCTGGCTTGCTTCCACACCTTCTCAGTCTGGGCCTCAACTCCAGCCACACTGTCCAGAATGGTGACTACTCCATCGAGCACTCTCAACGATCTAATCACCTCGAACGTGAAGTCTGCATGGCCCGGTGTGTCTATGAGGTTGATGGATCTTCCGTTCCATGGAAGAGTCACCGAGGCACTCTGAATCGTGATTCCTCTCTCGCGCTCGGCAGAAAGATAGTCCGTCACTGTATCTCCATCATCAACGTTTCCAATGCTTCTTGTCAGACCGCCGTAGTAGAGCATTCTCTCGGTGGTGGTGGTCTTTCCCGCATCAATATGGGCGATGATTCCTATGTTCCTGATCTTGGCCAGCGGTGATATTTTTATTTCCTGATTGAGACCCCGGAAGGAGGAAAATCTCCTGAGTTGCTGGATATTAAACAGTGGAGTTTTCATCTTGAAAACCGGCATTTAACCAGTTTTTAACCAGTACCTAACTCGTATTCAACCGGCCTTAACGAGTGGAGTGAAAAATAGATAGGCCTGGCCGATGAGCCCAGTCGATGAGCTCCAGAATTTGCTGAGGGCCATCTGAGATTACTCACACTTTCTTATTGAGGAAAGTTTAGTCAGAGAATACAGATAAGATTCCAAATATAACCTTTGTTAAGGCTTTAAAATTGGAAACAGAGTTGAAATTAATACCAAAAATCAGTTATTTGATACCAGAATGGCGGGGAGTAAGTGTCTTTGGCTTGGATGCTTTCAGCATGAATACTAACCAACAAGCTCAGACTTTGACATAAAAGAAACATACCTCCGGTTTCTGAAGGAAGACCCGGAGATAACCATGCCGATTGCAGCTATCGAATCACTGGTGACTCTTTTAAAGGTCAAACAACCAGCCACATCAGCAGAGCTCATGCAGCTAATCTCGGGAGCCACCACGGAACTGAAGAACTCCATCCCAAACGCAATCTCGCTGTCTGCTGGCTGTGATCTGTTCACAAGATTCGTGCTGAGAAACACACATTTATACTCGGATTGGGAGGCGTGCAGGATACATTTGACGGAAAACGGTCAGCTCTTTGTGAAGAGAGCCAAGGAGAGCCGTCAGAAAATAGCCACGATCGGATTGCCTTTCATCAGGGACGATGATATAGTGCTTGTACATTCATATTCGCGTGTGGTTTTAAATCTACTAACCCATGCTGCCTCGAAATTCATAAGGTTCAGAGTTTACTGCACCGAGGCCCGTCCTGTTCCAGACAGTGAACGCAGAAGCATGGTGGACGAGCTAAGGGCCAACGGCATACCGGTTGCCATGATCCATGACTCTCAGGTTGGCTACGTCATAGACAAGGTGGACAAGGTGTTTGTGGGTGCTGAGGGTGTCTCGGAGAGTGGAGGCATCATCAACCACATTGGGTCGTACCAGGTTGGTGTGTTGGCCAAGAACTCCAACAAACCGTTCTACGTGGTTGCTGAAAGTCACAAGTTTGTGAGATTGTTTCCATTGGGACCTGATGATCTCCCCGCAAACAAAAATCCTATCGAATTTACCACGCAGGATGAAGATATCAATGTTGAGCACCACGTCGACTTTACTCCTCACGAGTATATCACTGCCTTGATCACGGATCTAGGTGTCCTCACGCCCAGTGCTGTTTCCGAGGAATTGATCAAGATGTGGTATGATTGAACTAGCTGTGCAGTGATGAAAGGTGGTCCAGAGGGATTGATAGAGTTGATAAAAGACGTGGCACAACCGCTTCGTTGTGGTTGTTCTATTGTAAAAATGCTCGAACACTCTCTTCTTTCTTTGTAGAATCTATTATACAATTTTGATAACACTCATACAATCAGAACTTCACCTTGGTACCAGTGGAAGCAACGATGGCTGCACTCGCTCTTTGCGCATTAGCCAAGGCAACAGACGACTTTGGTCTCTTGTTGGAACCTCTGTCGTTGTCAAACCTCCTTTTCTTCCTGTCATCCTTTTGCACTGGTCTCTCAGATCTCTCCGGTCTCTCTGGTCTTTCAGCTCTCTCCACTGGTTCTGGAGTGTGACCCACCTCTTGTATCGGATGCTGTTGTCCTTCTGGGGCTTTCCTCTTCGGAGCACGCTTGGACCTGTCTTCACCGAACTCCAGTCTCAGAGGACGGTTTATTAACTTCTTGCACAGTTTGTCCTTGAGGGCATTGGTTGGACCAGTCTCATCCTTGAAATCAATGAACGAGAACCCCTTACACTTCCCACTATCCTCAAAGGTAGCCATACGCACCTTGACGATCTGACCACAGTGACCAAAATGCTCCTTCAGTAACTCCGTGGTAGTGTCAAAAGACAAGTTTCCAACAAAAAGAATGCGGGATGGTGGGTTCTTGGACAGTTTGGATAGTGGATCCTGAACTGGTCTGCCCTCGAATGATTTCGCATCCTTGATCAACAGATTACGCCCGTTTAGCTGCGACTCACTAAATGATATGGCTGTTTTTAAATGGTTCACAGTCTTGAAATCAACGTATGCATATCCCTTAATCTTGTCCTTGTTTCTGGGCAAGTTCAGCCTCGTTATGTCGGATTCTTCAATCTTGGCCAAATCCTCTGGCTTCATTTCGGTTGTGTATTCGGGCAAAGTAGCAGATTTTGCCACCAAATATCTTGTAAGATCCTCCCTTGTGGTATCAAAGGCCATGTTACCAATCCACACACTGAACTCTGCTCTCTTCTCTTCTTTCTCAGCTCCAGTGGACTCAACGTTGCTAACCACTGGGGCTGGCGTGTCTATGTTCTTTTGCTTCTCGAGCTCCTCCAAGGTTATCTTACCCTTTTTTAACAATCTCTGTTCCTTTTTCGAAAGAGGAGTGGCCAGGTTCACATCGATCTCAATCTCTTCGATCTCCTTCTTATCTCTCTTCTCTTTTACATCTTTCTTTTCCTTCTTCTCTTTCTTCTCTTTCTTTTCCTTCTTTTCCTTTTTCTCCTTCTTTTCCTTCTTGGGCTTTATATCCTCGACCTCTCTTTTTTCTAGTTCTTCGCTCATTGCTGCTGTGTGGAGGAACTTCAAGACGATAAGTCAAGAAGCCTACTGAAAAATCTACAAATAATTTTTTTCTCAAAAAAATTCCCAAAGGGTAGTGTATAAAACAAATAGTGCGGCTCAAATCGCAACAGCAATCTATGAAACCTAACCATTTGAAACACTACAGCCTACAGCGACGTGATACCCTATAGAAGTGTAAATAGGAAAAGCTTGGAATATAAACCGCTCGGGGCGAATCTGGAGAACTGAAGGTTACTTCTTTGAGAGTAATGAGACTGGCGAGGATCTGGTTTAGAACTCGGTAAAGTACTTCGCATATGGATCATCTCCAACAGAGCCATAGTCCAATTGTTCTTCTGGATAATGATCAAAGAGCGAAGAATCCCCAACACCAGCTGTAATTGGTGGCTCGTAAGGTGTCTCGATATCTTTCGACAAGAGTTTCTCCCAAACCACCTCCGAAAACCATGGATGGCCTCTGATGTCGGCAGGTCCATTCTGAAGGTTACCCAATCTCCTTGTCAAATCTGCTGTAATCAGCTTGGAAAGCAGATCAACCGCATCCGGATGCATAATGGAGGGATAATGAATCTTTCCAGCCAGAATCTTCTCGTAGGTCTTCATTGGAGTCTGGTCATAGAACGGAGTGTACCCAGCCAACATTTCAAAAATCAAGATACCTAGAGACCACCAGTCAACAGACTTGTTGTATGGCTTGGTAGTGATCACCTCAGGTGCAATATAATCAGGCGTACCACACAAAGTCCAGGTCACAGTTTCCACCTCCTTGGCGAAACCGAAGTCGGTGATCTTGATGTGACCGTTCCTGTCAAGCAAAATGTTCTCGGGTTTCAGATCACGGTAGATGATGTTATGCGAGTGGAGATATTCCAATGCCAGTGTTACCTCAGCAGCATAAAATTTTGCGACGGGGTTTGGGAACCGTTGGGATTTTCTCAAAAGCGAAAAGAGCTCTCCACCTTCGATGTAGTCCATCACCATGAAAAGGTTCTTTGCGTCCTGGAAAGTTCCCCACATTCTGATCAGAAATGGGTGTTCCACCACCTTGAGCATTCTCCGTTCGTCATTGGTGTGTTCGACCTGTTTCATCCTTATCACCTGGGCTTTCTTCAGGACCTTTATGGCGTAATAACGACCGTTATGAACGGACCTCACCAGATGGACTCTTCCAAAGGATCCCGTTCCCAAAGTTCTCATTATGTGGAAATCCTTCAGCGAGTACTTTCCCTTGGAAACAGTCGATCTCTGCGGCAAGAGCGATTGCTGAACGGCATCAGGAGTCACTGAATTGCTCAGAATGGCCTGGTAAGATGGAAGGTGTTGTTGAGGTTGCGAATGTGGCACCTGGGCCTGTTCTACAGCAGGCTCAAAATCCATTTCGAAATTGGGGTCTTGACTCGACGATGGAGCGATCTCTTGGAGCTGTGGCTTGATCTCGGGAGCTGAAGACACTAGTGTTGGCAGAACTGGTGGCTGAAAGGCTTGCTGGGAAACTGCTGGTTCTGGATGCAAACCTCTTGTAGTGGATGATGAATCAGTGGTGTGGGAATGTCCAGAGAGATGGAGCTTCTGTAGCAACTTCGAACGCATCAAATTTCCATCAACGGGAGCTAGATGCCATGAAATTGTACGCCAATTCCTAGTATACAGCTAGCAGAACAACGCAATTGACTCACACGCGCCTAGAGGTTGCTGATAGATGTCTTGGTCTAATCTGCTCAACGTTTGGCAAACTTTAGTCTCTTTTTCTGCGGAGAGACAGAAATGTTTACTTGATCTGTATCCGTGTGACCCTAAGCAGATGACGGCTTTCGGCAAACCAGATAAAACAGAAAAGCGGGTAACCAGATAAACAAACAAGCAATCAACTTAATCAATGGATATGATTGGCCTCAGAACCGAGCTTTGAGGTATCTGTATTGTCAAACAAGCTCAGGAGAGATAAGCTGAACCGGTTGGAATTGGCCTCTAGCCCGCAAAGTCGCTCCTTGCCCGGGCCTGCTGTTTTCGGGTGTGCACTTCCATAGTTAAGCACGGAACAGGGGGGGCAGACTGCGGGAGGGCTGCCTCTGGGAATCGGAGAAGGCCACTACCAAAGAACATGAAATTTTCGCTTACGACACGTCAGGGAATCAATCTTATGAGATCTTTGGATTGTTTCGGTTTACACCCATTAAGTTGCATAATTGAATTTTGATTGATGGTCTTTTTTGGTGATTTCGTGTAGTTATAAACAGCCAAATTTCATAGGGGCCTGCCAAAAACTTGGTTGAGGCACTAGGAAAGGATTATTGAAGAATTCGGCTTGATCACCAAGATTGAACACCATTTAATTTATAGTCAACGAAACAATTCTGGATGTATAAAATAAGTTTCGCTATTATGCCCCAATTATCAATGCAAACCTGGGATCAATCCATAACGCTATGCAACTGAGTGACTCCCCGTAGCTGCACCTCTGCGCTTGTCTGCATGGCATGCGTCAAATGGTACATCTTCTATGCATTCCTCTTTTCAATGTCTCTTCTTCTGTGGTCTCCCCGTCTTTTGCTTACGCTTGTCCTTTGACTCTCTCTGCTTCCTGATCTGCTCCGACGACTTGATTTCCTGTTGAAGGCCTGGTCTATTATAGCCCTTGACCCTAACACCACTATCCAACGCCTTCTCCACCTTCTTCTTCTGCTTGAAGTAATCGTCTCTGGCCTTGTCAGGCAACTTTGGAGCTTTCATCTGCTTGTGGTTAAACCTGCCACCAGGGGCCTTGTGCTCGCTATTCCTAGGGCCTCTGACACCGCCAGTCTCTGGAAGTCCAGCACGAAGATTTTTCACATTGTTGGCAGACTTCCAAGCATCGAATTTACCTGATCTGTAAGTAGCAGGCAGTCTCTGTCCACTCTCTCCAATGATGAACTTTTTGTCTGTGGATTGTGAATTGACGTAGTTACCCTTCTTTCTGTCCCATTGCATCACCTGGGTTTGTTTGTGGACCTGTATCTTATCATCGTTGTCTAGTTCGAAAGTGGCTCTGTTGGCATCGTGCACAAATGAAGTGGTATCCAGTTGAAGCTGTTTATCCTGAATGGCAGAAGATGGTGCATAATGAGGCAAAAAGAACTGCTCGTCTCTGTAAGACTTCCTCTTACCGGACTTCTTGGATGGAGCCAAATCGTCTGCATCCTGAAACGCTTCCTTCAGCACGTCTTCAGCAACTGTGTAACCAACCTCCTCATCATCACCTTTCAACACTTCATCTTCTAGAGTGTGCGAGAGACCAGCCATCCTCTCTCTTTCCAACAACTCTTTTCTCTCCTGGGCTCTGCGCTTGATAGGAGCAATTTGACGACGCATCTTGCTCATCAGATCCATCATGGAGTCGTCTTTCTTGGAGAATTCGAAAACTGTCTCTTTGTTGTTTCTGTTCTGCAATTTTGCCAAAAACTCGTCTTTAGCCAACTCTTGGTTTTTGCCAAACAGAAGATGCTGCTCATCCCAGCCATATTGGATTAACTCCTTAGCTCTCCTCATAGATTCGGCCGAAGCTGCCGATCTCGTACGGAAATAAAGTTTTTCACCTTTCACAGAAACGTCTCTCAGAGTCTTGAGTTCATAGTTGGATTTTATGATTCCTTCAAAAATGTCACTGTAAGACTCTAGTTCGTTTCTTGGGGCTCCGCCTAGAACAAGTCTGTTGATGTACGAAACCTTTGGTTCTTCGAACACAGACCCGTCGTTAGCCTCTTCGTGCTTCTGGTGGGCTATTTCAATTTTTTTGGTGTGGATCGATGTCAAGTACACCTTCTTTCCAAGAAACATTTCCAGATCAAGTAAATATGGAATCTCGGAGTCCCCCACAATCGAATAGGCCCAACCTTTGTTACCTGCTCTGGCAGTTCTTCCAACTCTGTGGATGAAAATCTTGGAGCTTGCGGGAAGAGAGTAGTTCACAACGTTGGCAAGAACGGGAATGTCGATACCTCTGGCAGCGACATCTGTCACTACCAAGACATGAGACAAGCCAAGTCTGAAGTTCAACATCTGTCTCTTTCTGGCATACTGATCAAGAGAACCATAGATGTACGAAGTGGCATAACCCAATTCTTTTAGCAAAAGAGTCACATACTCAACATGATGTCTTGTAGGAACAAAAACGATCGTTGAATATGGTGAGGGAAGCTCATTGGCCTTTGGAAGTCTTTCCCTCTTCTTGAACTTGCGTTTTCTCTTCTTTCCATCTTCTCCTTCTGGGGCGTTATCTTCGTCGTCTGAGTCAATCTCGTTATTTGCACCTTCCAGCTTTTTCAGCTCTTCAACTGTAGCAAATGGTAACTTTATCACTTCTTGCAGGATGAACAGCAAATTAGCCTCCCTTTCGTTTCTCTTGGTGGAGATAAAAGCCATCTCCAATTGGTCAGAAATCTTGGCCTCAGAGTCAAGTCTTACTAAAACCGGATTAGAAAGACCAGCTTTGGCAAAATCAACCAAAGATGCAGGAAGTGTGGCCGAGAACAACAACGATTGTCTCTTTGGAGGCAAAGACGCTAACAGTTCGTTCAATTGCTCTGCGAAACCCATTTCAAACAACCTGTCGGCTTCGTCGTAAACGATGTATTCCACAGTGGACAAGTCTAAATTCATCTCAACTTTCAGATGCAAAAATCTACCAGGTGTGGCAATGATCACGTCTGGGTTGGACATCATTGATCCGAACTGATCCTCCAGTGAATCACCACCCACCAGCAGCAGTGATCTGAGATCGCTTCCTCTGCTGAACTCCTTGAACTGTTTGTGAGTCTGAGCTGCCAGTTCTCTCGATGGGGAAAGAATGACTGCTCTTACACCAATTTTGGCAACATGCGTTTTCAGTTTCTCCACTATGGGCAGTATAAAAGCAGCTGTTTTACCTGATCCAGTACGGGCCATACCAACCACATCACGGCTGTCCAAAATAAGAGGAATGGTCTTACGCTGGATCGGAGTGGGCTGGCGGTATCCTTTCTTGGAGATGTTGTTCAGCACAAATTTGGACATTCCAAAGGAAGCAAACGAACCTGCCTTGGCCTTTTTGGTATCAGCAGACTTGAAGTAGTCCTCCAGATCACCAGCCGGGCCAGGCTCATTATCGGCAGATAATGAGGGGAAATCTGCTATCGATGGCAGCTTATTTGTTTTCTTCTGTTTTTTCGCCTTTGGCTTTGTAACTTCTTCCTCTTCGTCTGAAGAGATTATTTCGTCCTGCACTTCTTGTCCGCTCTCCTCATCACTGGAGCTGTTGTCCGAGTCGCTGTCGCTGGCATTGAGCGCAATATTGGAGGCAATATCGTAAGCCTCTTCGTCTTCTGAACTGGACATTTTGGATATTGGAACAACAGAAGGAAATAGGAAAGCGTACAACGTAGCTATGTAGTATTATGTCTGAAGTATTTTTGATAGCAAAAAAAATTCAAAACTGTGGAGACACTACCAAAAGTGTTATTACCAATATATTGCCGCATATAAAAGGTTATTGCACTACTTTTGCCTTTTACTACAACATTAGTTTAGCTGATAAGCTGTCGTAATCAACATCTGAAACTCTCTTGCGTGCTTAGTCTATACTCGCACAATGTCTGAATCAGCTGGAGAATCAAGAAATGGGTCTGACTCGGCATTATTTACCGGTGAAAATTACGCCAAGAAGAGTTCGCTTGAAATTAACCAAGGCGACTCTTCGATGACTGATTCCAACCCGTTGCACAAGGTAGACTCTGACGAGATCTACGATGCCCAGACACTTCACTCGTCTGATTTGACTCATTTCAGCTATACTGAAGAAAAGATGCTGAAGGACGAGGACGCCAAACTGAGATTGCAGAATTCATTTGCATCAACTCCATTGAGGCACTCTTCGTCGAAGATGTCAATGGGTGCTGCCAGGGAAGGTGGCAGACCTAGATTGCCTTCGTTCGCCGATTTCGAAAATCCGCCACCTCCTCCAATGTCGAGTGGCTCCAAATTTGTCTACAATCCAACAAGCAACAGCATCAATCCCTCCACTGCTGAAGAAGAAGCCGACCACGATTTCAAGATGGCCAGGCGTGAGATTCGCCTCGGTGGATTACTAAACAACGATCATAATCTCATGGATGGACCTCCTGATGATGAACTCATCAAAATGTACAAAAATGTGGAAACATGTCTGGATATCAGAGACAAATACCAGGCGATTTCGTTACAGAGGTTCAATGATAACCCAAAGAACCGCCCTGATTGGAACATCTATCCTCCACCCCCACCTCCAGCCTGGAAGAGTACTAGTTATTCCAAAGAGTTCGATATGGAAGGACTAAGGCGTCGTCCCAAGGTCGAGTTTGATATCTCAGAATGCGATATTCCGGGCGTTGATGAGACTGTTAATTTCCAGCTAGATTCTAACGACGTCTATCAAATAGTGGACTCTGAGACAGGCGATAACCTAGTGGAAATACCTACCATTCGCGATTATTACATTGATCTTGATAGAATTGTCATGATGGCATCTGATGGACCTGCCAAGTCATTTGCTTTCAAGAGACTGGAATACTTGGAAGCAAGGTGGAACCTATACATTCTGTTGAACGAGCACGAGGAAATATCCGAGTCCAAGAGAAACCCTCACAGGGATTTTTACAACGTGAGAAAAGTTGATACCCACGTCCACCATTCTGCCTGTATGAACCAAAAACATCTGTTGCGTTTTATCAAGTATAAGATCAGACACTGTGCTGATGAGAAGGTGATCATTAGGGACGGTTCTGTGCTGACTCTGAAAGAGGTGTTTGCATCTCTGAACCTTACAGCATACGACCTTAGTATTGACACACTGGACATGCATGCTCACAGAGATACATTTCACAGGTTTGACAAGTTCAACTTGAAGTATAACCCAATTGGAGAATCCAGACTTAGAGAGATCTTTTTGAAGACGGACAACTACATCAAAGGACGTTATCTTGCTGAGGTCACGAGCGAAGTCTTTGAGGATTTGGAGGCTTCAAAGTACCAAATGGCCGAGTATCGGATTTCTATTTACGGCAGAGATCCTAAAGAATGGGACAAACTGGCTGCGTGGGTTGTTGATAATAAATTGTTCTCTCACAATGTAAGGTGGCTCATACAGGTTCCGAGACTATACGACATCTACAAGACCTCGAACATCGTGCAATCGTTTCAGGATGTTGTCAAAAACATCTTCGAACCTTTATTTGCAGTCACAAAAGACCCTTCCTCCAACCCCAAACTGCACATTTTCCTCCAGCGCGTGATTGGTTTCGATTCTGTTGACGATGAGTCCAAACCAGAGAGACGGTACCACAAAAAGTTCCCTACTCCTCGTCATTGGGATGCCTCCACCAACCCTCCATACTCCTACTATCTCTACTATCTGTATGCCAATCTGGCATCTTTGAACAACTGGAGACAGAAGAGAGGGTTCAACACGATGGTGCTTCGTCCGCACTCTGGAGAGGCTGGAGACCCCGAGCACTTGATAGCCGCTTATCTCACATCTGAGGGGATATCCCACGGTATCCTGCTTCGGAAGGTTCCTTTCATCCAGTATTTGTACTACTTGAAACAGATTGGTATCGCGATGTCGCCTTTATCCAACAATGCACTGTTTTTGACCTACGACAAGAACCCGTTCCCCGACTACTTCAGACGTGGTCTCAATGTGTCACTTTCCACAGATGACCCTCTGCAGTTCTCCTATACCAGAGAACCTCTGATTGAGGAGTATTCTGTTGCTACCCAGATATACAAGCTGTCGAATGTTGACCTGTCTGAGCTTGCCAAGAACTCTGTAATGATGAGTGGGTTCGAATACCGCCTCAAGAGACATTGGCTGGGCCACAATTTTGATGCTAATGGTTTGGAATCAAACGATATCGAGAAAACCAATGTTCCTGACATCAGACTCCAGTATAGATTGGAGACTCTTCAGATTGAGTTGGAGCTAATCAAAAGGTACTCTCACCTTTATGACTGAGAAAGCGTTCTCCAACTGTGATTGCTTTCACTAACGTTTAATAGAATTTTACTTCACCAATGAGACAAAGCAGCTGTAATTGTTTATAGTACTAGTTAAAGGTGGTCAGTTCGAAGTCAACAACGTCACTCCGGTTTCCGCCTGGTTTGCGCCATTGACAGTGTAATCACACTTCCACTTGATTTTGACCGAGGATGCAACCCCATCGTTCACCTTCTTGGTGACTTTGATATCTTGGGTGATACCATCTGAAGTCATTGGAGCCAAGTAGTTTCCTGATTGAGGGGCCAAGGTAAGCTCATATGACTTTGGAACCGCAATTAGAAACTGTAGGTTCGAAATAGGGGCCAGAGCAAGAGAGCTGAAGTAAATTTTGGCAGTGAGAGGTGTGGTGGAGGATATCTGAAACTCGATCTTCAAGTTAGCAGATTGGTTGATGAAGTGTCTTGAAGCCTGCTGAGGAGCTGGAAATGGTGAGGATAGCGACGAGAAGTCCATCGAAAAAGGGTCTAGGCCTTTGTTCTGAGTTGCAGCAGCCGGTTGGATAGCTGATTGGACAGCCGGTTGGACAGTCGTAGCAGTCCCTCCCAAAGAGAACAAAGAATCGATATTGGGCGATTGCTCTCTTGGAGAGGCCGTCTGGGTGTTTCCAGGCGAAGATAGAGTAATCGAACCACCGGCACCAAAATTCAGCAAGTCGTTGTTCAAACTCGAAGAACCATTGTTATTGCTGTTGCTGGTGTTGTTGGAAAATGACAAGCTTCCAAGCTCTCCGAGAAGGTCGGCAACAGGATCGAAAGCTCCTCCAGTTGCGTTCGGAGTAGCAGCAGAATCCGAAGGCTCATCATCATCAAAGTCGATCAAGTTCAACCCACCACCACCAACCTTCACCTTGGAAGCATTAGCCAGATCACCATTCTTCAAGAAGTTGTACCGTTCAAGAAGTGAGTTGATCATATCGTTCAAGCCTAGCATGGAGGTGACAGCAGTCTCATCCCCTTGCTCTTCCTGAATGATAGTCTGGATTTTTGGCTGCGCAACCTTGAGAGAAGCGTATAATTCAGCAATTGTCTCATCAGTGGGGTCTAGTCTACCAGCATTGGAGGCAGTAGTCAGCATTTCGTTGAAAATTTCAGCCTTACGCTTGACCCTTTCAATGTCATCTGCCACTCTTTGTTTGGTGTTCTCCAAAACCTTGTCGTCTTGAAATCCAGACATAATCTTCATTAGCTTGTTAGCCTCACGGAGATCTTGAGGTCTTCCCCTTCTGATCAATTCCTGCAATTTGGCCGATTGGGCGACTCTCTCCTCCTTTTGGATCTCGTCGATGGACTTCAAGTTATCGCTTGGGTTCAAAACAGCCGCATCTTCTCTTTTAACCTCGGGGAAAGCATAACCTTTCTGTGCCAACAAACGGTGCATATCCCTGATGAAACCCAGGTCTTCCTTGTAACGGGACGTTTTACAAATGGTCTGGTTCCACTCCTCAATAGCACCCAGCACGAGTCTTTGGGTTCGGGTGTAGCGAGGCGGGGGTCTCTCTGGGAATTTCTTCACCAATTCATTCAGAAACTCTTTACGAGATATCTGCAAATGGAAGGGATAACCACAATTTTTCACCAAATAGTCGAGCAATTGCAGGGCAAGTTCGGAGGTCTGCGGATCCCTGCTGTTTATCAATTTTACAATTGCAACAGAAGCTTCACGTGGGCTATAATTTTGCAGGTTAGTGGCTGTTGAACATATGGAAACATCTCAAATTCCTCGAAGACTCACAGATTTCCCTGTTTTTCATTTACAAGATCACAGATCTCCAGGTTTAGGGCCACGTTGGGCTCATCCAGCGTTGGTCGGCAAGCGCGGTCTGATAAGAAGCGGATAATGGTTAGCAAACAAAACGATGGTACACATTTCAAGTAATTGAACCTTTTACTCACGAATTCTCCGAAGGAGTTTGCCCGTGGCGCCCCCTACATGAGATAGCCCAGACATCGATGATCAGTAGCTGTTCACAGTCTCTAAGTATCCAGATTCAAGCAAGCAGCGACTTCACAAAAAAAGCCACAATATCAGATTTCCTAGCTCTAGAGATTGAGATTGCTTCAAATAGCAACCAACCCGGATCCAAGCACAATTTCTAGAGAGTGATAGTGTCCAGTTCAGGTTACCCCCTCTGACTTGATATTGGCACCAGAAAGGAGATTAGGGACCAGGGCACCTAACCTGCAGCTTCATTGATTAGTGGATATTTGAGACGCATGTGTTTAGGCCTTCAAGATGGCTTTTACAAGAAATTTGTTTTGAAAATGCCTATATAATGGGGGAAACAAGCTCTGAGATCAGCGTGGAAACGGGGGCTTCTACAATTGATGTTTTGTCAACGGATCAGAACACCATTATGGAAGTTCAAGACGCTAGTTCAATAAGGTCCGATGACAATGACGATGGTGACAATATCGGAATACTGCCAAGTTCGGCATTGGCGGATTTGCAAATCTCCAATTTACCAGACGATGATCCTCTGGAGGTAAAGTCTTTGGCATTGGAATTTGACTATTTGATCTACAAAATCCAAGACCGTGTGAAAACCCTGAGCGACCAGACCAAAGACAGCGTTACTGCACAGAAAGTCAACTACGAAAACGATATCGCACGGATTAACGCGAACATTGGCCAGATTAATGATTTGGTCCGAGAATGTGATCTTATAGAAAACGAATTCGTGAAGATCGAGCAGATATCTCAGATTGCCAAGGATTTCACCATGAGGCTTACGCAAGTAGAGAAAAAGTTGCAGCAGAGAAGAAAGCTGGAGAAGGAATCGAGGGTAAGGTATTAAAAAGTTGAAAATGGAAATTTATTACGGTCCTCAAAGTAAAGCCATTTTACAGAAGAACAGGTTCATTAGGCGTTAAACTAGTATACAATTATCTCAAGGACCTGATCTCCTTCTTAAGAGATTCCTCTTTGGCTTTGCGGTTATTGTTCTCCTTGATAGTCTTCATCATGACTGACGATGCCCACAGAACCATAGCCACGGATCTCCAGGTCACCTTCTTAGGAGGCTCTGTGTAGATACCACGACTTTCCAGCAATGCGATCTCTTCGTTCTTATCGCTGACAATGGAGCCCAGACACGAGTTTGCGACCTGCAAATCCAGCATCTTGGATTTAGTCGAAGAGTACTTCGATAGTAGAAGTTGGTGGGTTGCAAGCAGAAGTGCAGGTTTGGACTGATCAGGAATTGAAGATGCTCTAGAATTTATCGCTTCCAATTCGTGCTTGAGCTTTGAATTCTCACTTTGGAGCTGAGACCGCTTCTCTGCTTCCCGTCTGAGATCACTCATTTTGGCCGATAACTCGTAGATATCGTTTTCAGAGCTCTTCAGTCTACGAATGAGATCATCATTCTCCATCTTGAGACCTTCCCTCTGTTCCACCACCTGTTCCACTTTTTTCACCAAATCGTGTCTCATGTTGTCGTACTCACGTCTGAGATTGTTCAGCTCTTCGGATTTATCATCAACCATGTCTCTAAGTCTGGTTTCAGTTGGACTTCCCCTGGCTTCCAGAGATAAAGAACGTAGCTTGCGATCCAAAGAGGGTCCATCTTCTTTGAGCCTCTGAACGTCTCTTTCCAGAGAAGCCACAAGGTCATCCAACTTGTTTCTTTGCTCGTTTGCCTGCGAATACTTTCTTTCCAAATCTCTGAGCTTGTCGTTGGAGTCAAACAAATCCTTAGTGAGTTCTCTGTTGGATTTACGGGCCGCATCCAAATCGCTCAGGGCTTGGTCCAGTTTGGTGTTGTCAAAGGAACTGGGTGATTGTTGAGATAGTTGCTTGCGCAAAAGATCCACATTTCTCTGTAGAGACTCAATTTCTTGCGAAGCATTTTTCAGTCTTACATCCGCAGAGGCCTTCTGTTTGATCAAATCTTCCATCTGAGATTTCTCCTTCTCCACCGTCTTTCTTGCAGCTGTCTCGAGCTCCTTTACCGTAGACTCTGATCTTGCCGCGGCATATTGTAGATCAAATAACTTGGTTTGTGCAGTATCCAGACGTTGCTGGAGGTGAGAAGTAGCCTGTTCGAAATCGGTTTTCAACTGCGATATCTCCTTTCTCTGGATTTGGTTTTCTTCAAGTAGCTCGATGTACTCCCTTTCAGAATGCAGCTTGGAGTCAGAGTTCTTACTCAGCATCACCTGCTCTTTCAACTTTCTATTTTCGGATTCGAGATCACTGATAATACTTGCAACCCTCTCATGGTCTTCAGTGCTGGCGGAGCTTGCCTTCAGTTTATCCTGAGTTGCTAAGAGCTCGTCTCTTAGTTTTTCGTTTTGGCGTCTGAAGACAGAGAAATCGCGTTCGTACTGTTGATTCTCTGTAGGTCCAGCATATCCCAGGGAACCTTGCTGATCTTTCTTGAGCTTGAGACAAAGATCGTTGAGGTCCTGTCTATCCAACTCGAGATCGTCAATTTCCTCTCTCAACTCATCAATTTCTTTCTTCAGCTTTTCATTCACATAACCCAGTTCTCGGCTAGCCTCTTTTTCATGTCTGAATAACATCTCTGTCTCTTCAAGCCTTCTTTGGGTGTCGTCGAGTGTCTTGTGAAGTTCGACATTAGACTCCATACCAGATTCTTCGCGTGATCTCAAACGATGAGTAATCTCCTTCAATTCAGCCTCAAGGTCAGCAATCTTATCGTCGTTCTTGCCCATCTCACCTGAATTGTCTGACAATTTGTAATTGAGTTCGTCAAAGTCGGTCTGTAGCTCATCTCTATCGTTCTCAAGTTGACGTACTTTCCTCTCCAAATCGTAGATGCGATCGTCCTTCTCAGCCAGTTGGTTTTTTAACTGTGAATTCTCCTGGCTCAAATCCGCCTGTCTGAGTTCATCTGATTGTAATTGATGAAGCAACTCTTGTAGCCTTGTAGTCTCTTGGAGTGCTTCGTCCCTCTGAAGAGCGATTTTCCGCATCGTCGCTTTCGTCTCTTCGTTCTCAGAACGCAACGACATCAACAATTCGCTGGTTTCATTGGTCTTTGTAGGTGATCCAAAACTATTTTCCTGGTTCTGATTCAGTTGTCCCAATAGTCTCTCGTTCTCATGGAAAAGATCCATATTCTGTATCTTCAACTTTTGAACTAATTCTGCTGTTCTCATCGACGCTCCAGGTTTTAGCATTTGTCTCAGCGTTTCAATCTCAATCTTTAGAGCTATGTTCTCCCGCGAAAGCTCGTTTCTCTCCGTTTGGACTTCGTTAACCCCTGCGGTCTCTGCATTGTACACGGTCTCAAACTTGTTGCGCGGAGTGTCGTCCGAGAAAATATCTGCACCGGTAAACTTCGCCACCGGCGATGATGCATAGGAGCTGACTTCATCTCCGCTGTTCAGGAACGACAGGTCCGGTAACGTGGGTCGTTTCAGGGGACTTCCAAACAGCTTTCCTTTAGGAGATCCTCTTTCCCTAGCAGGGTCTGATGAATGGGCGGTAGAACGACGGCCTCCCACCGGCGTAAATTCAAACCCAGTCCCAGCTCGACTCACCTTTGTGGGAGAAGACTGCAATATACCCCTGTTGGGTCTGTAAGCCATGTTAGCGGTTGGTGGTGGAGTGTGGGTAAAGTGTTGTTTATGTTTTGTGAAGTTTGAAGTGATCGCGTCTGTTTGGTCGTGCGTTTATGGTTATTGTGACGTGTAGCAACCGCATTGAATTAAATGCGCCACTCACACGCACACACACAGCCACTATGAATCACACATGGCGGTGCAACAACAGCCGAAAAAAAAGGACAGCAGCCTACACGGCTAGAAAAAACTTGCGGATAAATTTTTCGCCTTCTCCTTTCCTTTTCTGTTTCTTCCTAACAGCCCAACCATATAGTTGAAGTGAGTCTGGTTTATCAATAATCGACTCTATTACTTCTTCCTATATTGTACTTTGTTATTCTGCTCTTGAGAGGTACTTCGTTCCAGTGGTATTTCATCATCTAGCAATCTTTGGTCTCTCGCGGTTGCTCCTCGCCTTCCTTTTGAAATATTGACTTATCTTCAAAGGGCTTGAAACAAAGAGAATAGTGCTTTTGCTTAGGATCGAGCTTTTAATTAAGTTATCGATCTACTCCTGTTTTTGAGAAGGTAAGATTTCTCAGCAAACACTCAAAAAATCCTTAAAAAAACACATCAAAACGACCAGGATTGGGTCTAAAAATCTAATCCTATTGGACTTTCTCGATTACTTGTGCTATTGCGCAGTATACTAGGTTGCTACCCAGTTGAGAAGATTCAAGTTCGATACTTTAGCCGAAAGCGTGCTTAACTCCGGATCGTTGCCTTCACATCGTTGCTTTTCACAATTACCGAATCAGTTTTATCATGATTTATTCAAACAAAGATTATTTCGGTCAGAACAACCACCAGCCCTCGCTGCTGCCAAGTTACCACGCACATTCCAAGTCGTTCCAGCCCTTCAGCTCGTTCGTTCCCCAACACGGAGGGCACATGCCTTCCTATTCCTACTCCGGGATGGGGATCGAGGCTGCTGATCGAACCTTCGGCTCAGGTCAATATTACCAGTCGCAACCGGGTCCCCAACCATTTGTACCCCAGCATGACTTTTTCTTGCCCCAGGTACAGATGCAGATGCCTTCTGCGCAGATGATGCCCATGCCCTCGCAACAGCTCCAGCAGCCTCCTCATGCTCCACAGCAAGCCGAAAATACTTCAAATGTTGGTGGTGTCGCTGCTGTTTTGGAGTACGATATGGACCAAATGACGCGCTTCGTGTGCTGGTTGAGTTACGGCCTCATGAAAAGAACCGACACTCCCAGTGCCTCGTTCAACACTCTTGTCAAGCACGTGCTTTCAGCAATCAGACTGCCCAGATCCACAATCATTCTGGCCTTGATATATCTGTCTCACAGGATGGAAGGCGAGACAGAGGGTGTCACGGACGATGGTTTGGTGTTTCAAAACCTCACCATTGCACTGGTTTTGTCCAATAAGTTCCACAATGACAACACTTTCACCAACAAGTCATGGTCTGATGCAACGGGCTTGAATGTGCGTTTGATCAACCAACTGGAACGTGAATGGCTTGCCAAGATTGGTTGGAAGCTCCACCATGAGGAGGGCTATCAATGTCTGGAAGACTGCTGGAAAACTTGGTGCGAGAAGTTCTCACCAAGACAGGGGACTATTCCATCGTCTCCTTCCACAAACTCTCTATTTTCTGAAAGATCGCAGTTCACTCCTGTTCACACTCCGGTAAGCTCGCCTTGGTTCGAGGAAACCAGTGAGTTCCCTCCACAGCAGCCTGTCTACGGCGGAGTCCCTATGGGAATCAACCCCTTTGGTGTCTCTGTGTATCCGCAGTCCAACTCCATGATGTCTTCTCAGTTTCCACCCGAAAACAATTACTTCGGGCCTTATTATCAAGTTCCGCAGCACACGAGACTAGCCAACACTGCTTCTGTTCACCATCAGCGCACCCAAAGCCTGCATCATCCAGCTGCGTTGCAACAGAGGCAACCACAGCACCAGGTATATGGTATTCCTAACCTTTCACATGATGACATGGTCAGAATTTATCAATCCCAGCAGCACTGTATGAGCTCTTCTACAGGCCATGAGGGTTACCACCCTTCGTACTGCACTGCGAGTGCATGTTAGATGATTTCAATGGCTTGATCCCCTTTCAGTGCGCATTTTCCCCTTTTTCCCGTTGAATTTTGTCCAGTTTTAAGTTTTTTATTCGTTGCTCTTCCCCTACTGCTGTGGCTGCTGAGACTCACCAGCGTGGTGGTCTCCAGCAATGGCCCAAAAAGGAAAAATCAAACAAAAAAGTTTCCGAAGGACTCTTTATGGCCTCAATATTGTGCCATAAAGTTTCCGTCCAATTTTCGCTCCAAAATCAATGGTTGTGAGTCCAGGTCCTCCTCACATACTGGGCCTGGCTTTCCTCACACTATACACTTCCGTTTTCCTTCTTACTTTAATATCATTTTTGTCATAGTCCTCTTGAGACAATATACTATTTTCACATTGATCCACAATTTAGTAGAGCAGGTAAATCAACAAAAACCAACTAAAAGCGTAGCAAAGGCACAGAGAGACATGCGTGAATGGGAACCTGCAGGGCTTCATGTCCTTTTCTGAGTCTGAGTTTGACACGTGAAATCAGTTTCATGTGAGGAGGCTTTTCCTTTCTGTGAGCTGTCAGAGCAGTGTGATTCTAGCCCAATTAGGTTTATTTTGCTGCATTCTTAGTTCGCGGTTTCAACTTCAAATCTACAGATATCAAGACTGTTCTGCCTGTGTGCTCCTATTGAATTGCCTGAACCTGAAACGCGCTCTACAATTGGCCTCTAAGAAACCTTCAAAATGAGTCTTCAAATGACCTTGGTAAGTGACTTGTTAACGAAAATTTGCATTTTTGCAGTTACTGGATGAACTAACATTGGTGTCCTAGATTTTCCTGCTCCTGCTGGGCGATATGGTACTTTTATCACTGTACGTCTTGCCCTTGCCCCACACCGTGCAGAAGAAACTGGTACTGGTTTTCAATAAGTTGAGGCAAAGCCAACATGCGAAGATTGGGATGATTTTCACGATGTCCGTGGTCGGCCTTTTGTTCATCGATGCTGCCAGGGTAGGACTTGGTGCTCCTGCTGAGCCAGAGCAACATCACCACCATAAGTGGTCTATACCTGTTTCTGCCTCCTGGCCTCACAAAGCAAAGATATTCTATGCCCAGAGAAATTTGTATATCTCAGGTGCTGTGCTCTTTTTCTCGTTTGCCATTCTGGTTGTTCATTTCCATGTTGAGGCCCTTACCGTAGCGAAGGATTCGTTGTCAAAGGGCACCAAAGAGCCCGTCAAGACGGACATCGGATCCATTGGACTTGAAGAGCTGAAGCAGCAAATCAAGCAGAAGGACCTGGATATTTTGGCCTTGAAAAAACAGACCAAGAGCCTTGCGGAAGCGTACAAAAAGATCAGCGACGAGCTCAACAACGACGACGACCTGGTGATAGTGGACAAAAAGAAAGATTAGTATGGTTGTAAGGATATAACTATATAGGCTACGAACGTTTGTATTTTCGAAATGCATTGCAAGTTACGGTGGGTGGATTGCTTGAGTTGCTGCTTCAGCGCCATTGCTCAACGGTAGTAGCTTTCCAAGAAGATCAGTCAGAAGTCAATTAATGTAAGGTTTTCTCCATATTTAGAAGTTTTGGATTATGTCAGAGAGATTCCCAATTGAAAGTTCATCATGTTGATCGGTTGGCAGCAGACCAGTCGAAGAGCAGGTGCAAAGAAACAACAGACATCAGAGACTATGAAACTATCACCGTCCAATGACATATAAATGCAATCAAGACATTGATAGGCAAATAGTCTTTGATATTCTACTGGATAGTATTCGAACGAACATCGATCTTACCACGAGAAGAAGAAAGAAGAAGAAGAAGCGGAAGAGCAGTTCAGTGAAAGAAATTTCAAAAAGTCCCCCATTTGGCGATGGCCCCTAGAAATCCGCTTCCCTGTGATAATGGGAGCCTGGAAAAGACTGAATTCCGGCATTCACGGGTGAAACGAACAGTATTTGACAAGATAAAAACTGTGGTGACTACTACTGAAGTTTACCAAAAATACTTATATAATTAATGAAGATTTCAAGCCATATTTGCCTATTTTTTCACTGGTTTTGACAGGTTTTCGCCGCACTATGCTGCATTGCGTGCGTGGACCAAATCTGGTCAGATTAGAAAAGGCTGAAAAGGGTAGAAGATTGGTGTCTGTTCGTCTTTCTAACACGGTTCTGTTCGGATTAGTTTATCGGTAAAATACACGATACAAACCGGGTTTTTGGCATAATGCAAGGCGTATATCCAAAGGGAAACAGCAAGTACTCACTTCCAAGGCCCTACTACCTCAAACCCAAGAAGGACAATGGCAAGGTTGCCAGGAACTTCTTCACCACTCCCAAGAGAAAATTGATTGGATATGTGGTGTTATTTTTCGTGTTTGCACTGGTAATATACAATATCACTCCAAGCCAGGCTGAAAATGATACTATTCTTGAGCTGGAGACGGCTCCCGCCAGAATAAACCTTGACGGTACTGTGGCTGCCGTGGGAGGATCTTCTAAGGATAGACCTATAGACGACGAGGCTGTGGATTCTGGTGCAGCCAAGCCTAGCAAGGTCAAGGGCAGGAAAGGCGAGGATTCTGCATTGAATGTGGATGAAGATGATGCACCAGCAGCCAAGGAGTTTCTGAAAGCTCAGCAGAAGTTGGATAAGGAGGATGCAAAGAAGGCTACTTAGGAGAGACTGAAGCAACACGAGTTTAGACTTGGTGAGAATTGATATTTGGCTAAACGTTGTTGAGCCCGAGCAGCTTGTTTTGAGCTCATCACCAGGTTCTGGCGACATCGGACCCATGCCAGATCTATAACTGAGCTAGTAAGGAGATCCCCCTCAGAACTCAGAACACTAACGTTGACCGTTCCATGCATTTTCTGATTTTCCATGACGGAGTTTTCTTTTTCTTAGACAGCGTGTAATTTAAACTTATATTAACATATCGTATAACACATATAAAGGGAGTATTCTCAGGTTGGTGATCCAGGGTGTGCCCTTCAAACTGTGCTCTTTGAGATATGATCTTCGATTGAAAGTTATCCCAGTTGGTAACAAACACTAACTAATTGAACTCATGCCGTTATACCCTTGTTCACAGCATCAGCACGTTCCTGCCAAACAGTCTTCCCAGTGCAACTGCAAACCTTCTTGTCATTCTCCCAAACACCCGCACTTCTCGCAATCACACCCACCAAAGATCCGTCAAACACTTGACCTTTAGCAGTGGATATTGCCATAGATCTTCCGACCAGATCGGCAATACTGGCAGGTGCCTTGATGAAATATTGACCAGAGAAAGATCCATTGGCAGGTCTGTCAACGGCGATAGGGTCCAGATCCAAAATGGAATCACCTGTGGTCAATGCACCCTTCCAGATGTTACCAGAGGCACGGAAGGTTGGAAAATAAGTTCCCTTTGGCAAGCCATTGAGACTAAGGTCAATCAACACTTTGGAGGGGCCCACAGAAACGATCCTGGCAAGTCCTCTCACTGGATTCGCGCTATCTTCCTCGGCAAAAGATTCCAAGATGCAAACGGCGGCACTGTTCAAGTTCCCCGCTCCACGGATAATGGCGTCTCTACCAGTAGTCTGGATGGCTTGAATAATGGCTGACGGAGCCACCGAGGCCTCCACTGAAACCTGCTGTTTCTGCAAATCCACATTGAAGGTCTTAATGCCTTCAACAGTTCCCAGTGCTTTTGACACAGAGTTGACACACGATTCGCAGGACAGAGGGACGGCGTACACCGACTATAAAAGAGGTGTATGGTTAGTCATCATCCACCATGGGGAATCACAAGCTCGGACCAGCCGTACCGGCGTCAAACAAACCCTACGAATGGTGTACTTACCTCATATAGATCTTCCTCGGCTGACATTTTAGTTTTGTAGCTGCTCCAATTGAACCAATCTAAAACCATGGTTCTTGTGTTCAGAGGATAAAGAGTTCGGGGTCATGAGGTGATCCAAGGGCATTTTCGCGATGTGGAGACCTTTTTGTCAAGATACACTACCCCTGCCTAACTGGACAATGCACGACCACCCAACTCACATGTCTATGCCGTTCTCCACGAAGAGAACAGTTAACACTCACTAGTTCCAGCAACTATCCCGCTTCAAAGATGTTTTCAGGAGCATCAGCAGAACTTCTGCGGAAGTCCCTACGGAGATCGTGGCTGTTTATCACGTGGATCCCCGTTGTGTACACCTTCAACGAACATGTGTGTTACATAGGAAAGATCGAGGGTTCGTCGATGCGCCCCACCTTCAACCCTGCTGTCAACTCGTCGGATTACGTGTTACTGTGGAAATGGAATATCAGGGATCCTGAGAATCTCAACTACAATGATGTTGTGCTGTTAAAATCGCCGATGAATCCACAGAAGGTGTTTGCGAAGAGGATAAAGGGAGTGCAGGGCGACGTTATAATGACGAGGTATCCTTATCCACGAGAAAAATGCACGGTTCCGACGAGCCACTTGTGGGTGGAAGGCGACAATATACATTCCATAGATAGCAACACTTTTGGGCCCATTTCCACAGGGTTGGTGGTTGGAAAGGCTACTAGGATCATCTATCCTTTTAGCAGGTGGGGGGAGATTCCCGAGGGCGGAAGAGAGTGCAGGCTGTCACGACTAAGCGAATATGCTTAAAGAACCAATGATTTGCTGAAACGATAGTTCCGTTAGAGTTATGACCGGTATGACGAATGGCTGCGGCTAAATAGACAATAGAAAGTGGGATTCCATGACGATGCATTGTAGAGAAAAAAAAGAACCGTAGGGAATCTGGTGAAAAATTCTAGTATACATAAGGGATATACCGAAGTGCTTGAATTTTTTAAACAAGTTGTGTGTTTTTAATATAATATGCTTTGCTCTGTATCGTAAATCGTTAGTGAATTCGTTATGCATATGATGCGTCAATGTTTGTTCAAACCCGAATGCGCATAGACCCAACCTCTCTAATTAAATTTAATCTGTGTCTCTCTTTTACCATGTTGGTAAGCATTCGGTTCATCCGGCAAGATATGCCGGCATCGTGTCCTTTTTTGGAGATGTACCCGTTCAGATAGTCTATGTCTGTGAGCATGATCTTGTGCAGATCCTCTCTCATGGTTGAAGAGCCCATGGCGTTAGCTGAAGCCACTTTCACTACCACCTGCGTCAACCTGGTTGGTTCCAGTACGCTCCAAATTGCCGGGTTGACCCTGATGAGTTTCTTCACACTGTCTGCAGCCAGTAAAGCCCTACAGCTCTCTTCCACCAGTTGGGCTATCATAGACCTCAGTCCACTCATCTTCAAAATCTCTCCATTCAAACAATCATAAATTGCAGTGAGCGGGCCCAGGACAGAGTTTATCACCAGCCTTTCCAGCATTTGCGGCATCAAGTCATGGTAGCCCCATATCGTGGTTTTCATAATATTCGACTCCATGAGGTCTAGGAACATCTGTGGAGGAGATTCAGGTCGTGGGGCTGCACAAGGGATCTCTGCTATTTTCAGACTTCCTGGGGTCAGATGAGTGACCTTGAAATCCTTGGATCTGAAGGCTCCATGACTTATCATGCCCTGGTAGATTCGTGGCCTTTGAGCGAAATCAGGCCAAAATTCAGACACGGCTTCTTCCACAACACCCATCCCGTTGTGCACAAATAAAATATTTGTTTCCGAATTAATGTTGGGTAAATATCTGGCCAATGCCTGAGTTGTGTTGTTGCATCTGGTGGAGACAATCAGGTCTTTGAACACGGTTCCCGCTGGTGATGCTCCTAATGACGCCATGCGTAGTCGACGACTCACTGGAAACTTCAAATTCATCGCATTCTCGTAGACTATGCTGGATTGCGATCTGGTCACAAACTTGTGTTCGCTGGATGGTCTCCCAAATAGCAGTGTGGGACAAGGACTGGACCTTACAGCTGCTAAATTTGCTGCCAGCAACAGTCCAGTGGCACCTACTCCAAGCACGTGCGTTCCCTGTTTCGGTAAATCCATGGGAAAAACAAACAAATGGTGTATACCTCGATAGAATAGGTAAGTGCCAGGCCTTTAAATCACAATCACTAATGACTTGAATTCGATTAGTCGAAGTGTCTGTGCCATTTCTGAAAAATTATAAAGCCAGGCTGGTGAACCTGTGGGCTGGGTATTGTGGCGCATGCAGATGCCCTGGAAGTTTTTTTTTCACGCTCATCTTCTACAACTCTTCTCCAGTGGTAGATAACAGGGTACTATAGACAAGCTTTGCAATGTCTCCAATACTCCATCTGGCTTCCCGAAGCCTTCCTTTAAGGCTCTCAGGATGGCTATCTTTCAGCCGAGGCTTTTCCTCGGTGCCCAGACTTTTTCAGGAGTCCGGAGCTGCTGGATCTACTGCCACTGTTAGCGAGATGATACCCTCTGCCAATGTGGCAGACTCCAGACTCAACGCAGAACTCAAGAAGCTGTTCGTGAAACACGCCGGTCCTACATTCACTCCAGTTCAACATGAATCAATTGCTGAGTTTTTGGACTCGAAAGTGGGAATCGTTGTCCGTGCTAAGACCGGTACCGGTAAGACTCTCGCGTTTGGAGTTCCTATTTTCCAGGATTTGCTCGAAGACAAATCATATGATCCGAACTACATCCACTCGGTTGTTCTTTCACCAACTAGAGACCTTGCTACTCAAACTACGGCTGGTCTTATGAAATTCGTCGAGGATTCCAGATCTCTTTCCAAGTGTGGAGGTGTGCTTTCAGTGGTAGGTGGATTGCCTATCCAAAGACAGGTTGATGCCGTGACCAGATCCAGATACGTTCCAAGCATTGTGTCAGCTACACCAGGTAGACTTATCGATTTACTTTCCAGAAGAGACTTTGCTGAAAAGTTCTCGAAGGTTAGGTACTTGATCATTGATGAGGCTGACGAGATGGTGAGTAATGACTTTCTGTTCGCCATTGAAGAGATCATGGCTGTTTTGCGCAAGAACAGTGTTGTTGAGAATGATGTAAAGTTCAAGACCATGATGTTCAGTGCCACCATGAGCGATTCTGTTTTCACCATGGGTAAGAAAGTGCTGGGAAAGGACTTCCACTACATCGACTGTAACCACGGTTCCAACGAAACCAACAGCATGATCAAGCAATCTCTGATCAAAACTGATTCGCTGTTCCACAGTTACGCTGCTGCCATTCAATTTGTTTTGGACAATGCAGCCGACAGAACTTTCAAGCCAATCATTTTCTTTGCCAGTACTGCCAACGTGGAATTGTTCAAGTCAATGCTTTTCAACGTAATGAAGGCCAATGACGGTGCTTTCATGAGACAATTCATGCTACATGGAAAGATGAGACAGAATCACAGAGACAGAGCCCAAATGAGTTTCAGAAAGGGCACCAACGTTGCTTTGATTGCTTCCAACGTGGCAGCCAGAGGAATGGACTTCCCCGAGGTTTCCCATGTTTTGCAAGTAGGTGTGAACCACGATATCTCCAGTTACACCCACAGAGTGGGTAGGACTGGAAGAGGTGGTAAGGAGGGACATTCCGTTCTGATTTTAACCAAGGCCGAGTTGCCTTTTGCAGAAGCCCTAAAGAAGGAGGGTAATGTGTTTGAGGACATCACAGACTACCAGTCTACTCCGGAGTTTGACGAGGCCGTGAAAAATGGTCTCAGAAATCCTAGTGATGCTCACGAGATGGCTCTTGCCAGTTTGAACTCGTGTCTTTCGCTCCCTCAGAACGTGGCCAGATACATGAACCACGAAGACTTGGTTGGTGAGTGTGCCGCATTTGTTCAGGTTTACGACGAAGAGAAACTGTTCATTCCAGATTACCTTGTGAAAAACTTGAAGGTGAACACCACGTTTTTGCGTGAACATTTCAAGATCAGCGACAGAGTCACCAACAAGGCCAGTAGACCCAGTCGTGGTGGATTCAGTGGTGGATCCAAAGGTGGATTTTCATCCGGTGGTAGAGGCGGATTTTCATCGAGAGGTGGATCCAGAGGTGGATATTCTTCTGGAGAGTCAAGAGGAGGTTACTCTTCAGGCTCCAGAGGAGGATATTCTTCTGGTGGTTCCAGAGGTGGATACTCTTCTGGTGGTTCGAGGGGTGGATACTCTTCGGGCTCTAGGGGAAGTTACTCCAGAGACTCTTCTGATAGTTACTCCTCTAACTCCAGGGGTGGTTCAAGAGGTTCAAGAGGTGGAAATTCCAGAGGGGACAGATTCGAGTCTTGAATGTGATATAGACCTATTTTCTCTAACCAGTCGCCTGCCTTCGTCTGGTCAGAGCTTGTCAATATAAGGATGCGTGTGTTTTACTTTCTGTTCATAGTTGTGTGTTTTTATGTTTCGATTCGTCTCGTGTTTGATATTCTATAGAAGCTGGTTGACAACTTTTAACGACCTATTGTACAATTGGATTAAGTATGGGTTTTCGTCCGTTTCGTAGCTGCGTATGGCGCTGAGTCTCTCTAAGCACCAATTCTGGTATTTCTGAAGAACCTTCTTTAGAAATCTTGTACTTGTAACTGTGTATGAGTTTTCAGACTCGCCATTCATGAAAGCCTCTATTTTTGCAAAGTTGGTGGTTTCTTGAAGCACTGCTAGTGCTACTTCTGTTCTGAAAGTGATCTCGTCGGAATACACCTTGTAATCACCCCAATACCCATTGTCTTCCAAGAATTTTCTTTGCTCGGGCTTGAACAACCCATTGAGGATAAAGTCCAACTGGATGTGATTGTAAGTGTTTTCCTCAAGCATGAAACCATACTCACAAAGAAAGTACTCATCTGAGTCACAATGATACGAGAAACACACTTCCCCCTGTTTGGTTTTTTTGCCTGATAAAAGCCTCCAGTCTTGATCAATATTCGGTGGTGCAATAGGCTCAACAGCAGCTTCTGAGTAATCGTGGTTGATGAAATCCAGATATGGCACCATGGAGATGTTATCGGCTGTTGATAATGCCAAGCTTGCTGGTAACTCCATGTAGAGACATCTTGTGTTGCAGCACAGCCATGCCCATAGAAATTCTTTCTCTCTGATCAAGTCTGAGTAGCTGCAGTCGCTCAGTACTTTGCTAACAATTTTCCAATCTGATTTAAATCTTTCAAGCTGTTCCTGGGAACGCTCTCTTGACCATTTGGGCAATAGCGTCCAGCTTCGACTTTCTTGATTTCTCCATAACCAAGTCATCGGCATTCCACTCAACTCTTCAATTCGTGGCAAACATTTCACGAAAGGGCTCCAGAAAGACTTGGGACCCCTTCTTGATTCGCAGACCAGGAAAAGAGGTATCAGTTGGAACGAATTTAACGTCTCACACACGTTTTTCAAGTTCGCGTAGAAATTCTCCACATCTGAAACAGAATCGACGGCTTCAAAGTTCTTCAGCTGTCTACATACCGTAACGACATTCAAGGTGTAATTGAACTTGATCGAGATCAGCTGTTCATGTTCTTTCGCGTCGGAGTCTATCCAGATAGACCTTCCATAAACCAAGTCAGACTTCACTTTCAGACGCGGCGAGATAAACGACCCACCGTTCTCGAGCCATTTTATGAGATTGGCTATTCTGCTATCCCAGTCCCCGTCTTGCATTATTTAACACAGAACGTGTAAACCGAGGCAAAGAAGATATAATAAACTATTTTGAAAAGTTTGGAGATGAGCTCAAGCGATAAGCATTGCTGATTGCACGACCACAAATGGTAGCTGAGTCGCAACTTGGCCTGTTTGCTTGATTTATATTATTTGACTTAGCCCACTTTGCACTTTCCATGATTATCGTCGGATTGACTGGAGGAATTGCAAGTGGGAAATCCACCGTTTCGACCAGATTAAAGGAGTATCACCATTTGACAATCGTGGATGCTGATAAGATTGCCAGAGACATAGTTCAGCCAGGAGAACCGGCATACAACGATATTGTCTCGTATTTTGGACCAAAAATCTCAAACCTTGTACTTGAGGGTGGATCATTGAATAGAACTGCATTGGGAAAACATGTTTTTGAGGATAAGTCAGAATTACACGTCTTGAATGGGTTCACTCATCCACGTGTGCGGAAGGCCATGTTCTGGGGCGTTGTGAAGGCCTACTTTAGTTTACAAAGAGCCGTTGTTTTGGACGTACCCTTGCTATTTGAATCAAAACTCGATCGCTTTTGTGGAATCAATATCTGTGTTCTATGTGATTCGAAAACCCAGCTATCGCGACTCCAGGCCCGAAACCCGGATCTTAGTCTGGAGGACTGCAAAAATCGAATTGCGAACCAAATGTCGAACGAGGAGAGGATCAAAAGGGCAGATATTATACTTGATAACAACTCCAGTCTGGAGGAGTTATACTTGAAGCTTGACAAGACGGTCAATAACATTGTGCCCAGTTATATCAAGACCGTTTTGCAGTTGGTGATATTTCCGTATGGAATACTGTGTGGCATTAGCTCATATCTATTTAAGACAAATCGTCAGGCCCAAAGCTGATGGGTAAAAGCTCTCCGATTGACATCTTCTTGTAGTCAGACCCATCATGGTTGAACATGTAGATTGGCAACTTTAGCTCCTTGTCTGAGAACTCGCGAATCACCTGACGACATATTCCACAAGGGGAAGCCACTTTTTCGAGATCTGTTGAGATTCCGATGGCTTTGAAGTGTTTGTGGCCCGATGTGACTGCCTTAACTATAGCTGTTCTCTCGGCGCAGATGCATGCTCCGTAGCTGGCATTTTCCACATTCGCGCCTGTGATGTAAGACTCAGATTCTGTCAGAATCACGCAACCAACCCTGGAATCACGTTAGCAATGAAGCAACAGAAAAACAATGCCAAATTTGCACTACTTGCCTGAACTTGGAGTATGGAGAGTACGAATCATCACGAGCTGCGGTTGTCAGTTTCAGGAATTCCAATTGGATGCGCAATCGGTCGACTTACCTTCCAAAGCCTTTTGTTTGAACTCTTCGAAGTGTTCTATGTGGAACTGGGACATTTATATGGTAATCGAGGGGATGAGTGTGGCGTCGGTGCAAAGATATGTTGACTTAAAAGTGGTCAAAAGCAGTCTCGGGGAGATTCTCGAGACGATAAGAGATGAGCGAGATGAGCCGCTATCTATAAGGCCTGAAAAAGGGCTGCATATAGTGAAACATTCAATTGACCACCAGATAATGGTCAATTGAGCTTCAATTTGGAAAAAAAATAGGACAAATGCTTGTAGCTTACGGAAATTTTTGTATTTTCAAAAAAATTACAACTTTTTTCGCCCTTCGTAACTCATTCTGCCCTTTTTATCTAACACCACCTGCCCGTCATATTAAAGCTAGTGAGTAGTATTGGTCTGCAGTTGATCCGTTGTTATTTATTCATTCTGGTATGACTACTCTTCAACTTTATGTACAATATTTCCGTCAGATCTCTTTCTTTCTTCACTTTTTCTGTCTCTGCAGCCGCCTCAACTCCCTCATATCCGGTGGCCTCTCGATGTTCAACTCTGCCTTCAACTCGTCAATATCCTTCTCCAATAATTTCTCCCAGTAGACGTTGATCAGCGGTTTCGACTGAGAACCGTTCTTCAGCGCCCAAGGGTAATAAATACTGAACAGTCTATCTCTCTGCGAAGATTTAATCGGAATTGGGGCAAACATTGCACCAAGTCCCGTCATGGGGATTTGTAGATTCATGAACTCAAACAGCTTGAGAGCGATCTCTCCCTCGCGGAACACTGGCAATCCCGTTATAGTATGGTAAAAATCGTGGCATTCCCGATACCTCTGATACACGTAGCTCAATTCCTCATCATCAATGTATCTCACTTGTTCGCGGGTATCCGGGGAAACGTGTTCGCGATCTAGCCACATAACGTAGTTTCTGCCCAGAGTTGATTCTGGCAGACTTCTCAAGTAGGCTAAATCGAGCGACTCCGATGTCATCCTAGGCCTTTCTCTCAGTATTTCTCGCCCTGTTGGGTCTGACAACATTTGCGATCTTAAATTTTTGAGAACAAAGTCAAATGCCGTTGACTCTCCAAGAGCAACAATGAACTCGTTTCTCTCCGGATGCAAAAAAGCGCCTACTGAAGAACCAAGAAAAAGTGCAACTTTTTCAAATGCATAAAGTGGCACATGCTCTGGGTAATTCTGGGGAGGTCTCTTAAACCTGAATTGATGGGCTTTGGCTGGTTTTCGATTAGGCATGTGAACTTCTCCCTTTTCCATTTGGTCGGCGAGGGAAATGTCTCGTCCGAGGAATCGGTTGGTAATTCCACCAAGAACCGCTGGAACTGCCCACGACACAATTTCTCGTTTGGCGGTAACCGGTAACATCGCAAGGAACCCTGGATTGGTGGTTTTGTGGTTGTGGAGATAAGTGCTTGTTGTAGGAAGCCCCAATAGATTTGAACTTGCCAGCTGATCATGTCATAGTGTGATGGCTAAATATGCGCCGCATTTTACAGTCTCTCGCAGTTGGGATGCATGAGGGGGATGTAGAAGTATATGCAGTTCATTTCAGCTTAGTAATTGGAGTAGTGCTTGTGACTATTTTGGACATATTCGTGAATGCTTTTGTGGTCAAAAACAAACGGGCGTTTGGCAAAAATATTACGGTTTGCACAAATTGGCTGCTATCTGAAAAGAAGTACGGAGATAGAGTTAATTCCGCTCTCAGGAGATAGATTTATGTCCGCTTTCCGGAGGTTAGAGAGTTGGATCTCTCATGTGAAGATAAGCACAATCCTATAAGTATTTTGTTTGTCTTCAGTCGTTGAACAGTACCCAATTTTATTTTAACGACAAAAGCAAAATGAGTGTGATTCCAGAGGAATTGTATGCCAACCTCGGTCAGACCGGGCTGAAAATTTCAAAGATTATCGTGGGCTGTATGTCCTATGGCTCTAAGAGATGGTTTGATTGGGTCCTTGAAGATGAGGAAGAGGTGATGAAAATCTTGAAGAAGTGTTACGACAGTGGAATTAGGACGTTTGACACGGCAGATGTCTACTCCAATGGTATTTCTGAGGTACTGCTTGGAAAATTTCTTAAGAAGTACGAAATCCCCAGAGATACGGTGGTAATTCTGACCAAGTGTTTTGGGTATGTGGATCTTGAGTTCAAATACAAATGGCGAGGGACTCCGAAGGTTGCGAGTATCAATCGCATGGGTCTTTCCAGAAAGCACATTATTGACGCTGTCCAAGCCAGTAAGGAGAGATTGGGAACTTACATTGATGTTCTCCAGATCCATCGATTTGATCCCGAAACTCCACAAGAGGAAACCATGCGTGCTTTGAATTACGTTGTCGAGCAGGGCTGGACCAGATATATTGGGGCTTCTTCTATGAAGTGCTACCAGTTCGCAAAATTCCAATTCATTGCCGAGAAGAATGGTTGGGCCAAGTTTATTAGTATGCAGAACTACTATAACCTAGTTTATAGAGAAGAGGAAAGAGAGATGATCCCATTCTGCAAAGAGACGGGTGTTGGTATCATACCATGGAGTCCTATTGCTATGGGTGTTTTGGCGAGACCTCTTGGTCTGGATCAGGACTCTGATAGAGCCAAGTCATCCATGGTGGGTGCTCTAGTTGATTCGTTGACTGCAAAGGACAAGGAGTTGATCGGGAAGGTTGAAGCATTAGCGAAGAAGCATAACGTTGCTATGGCAACTATCTCTACAGCCTGGGTTTTGTCCAAGGGCTGTTTCCCTATTGTTGGTTTGAGTAAACTGGAAAGGATTGATGATGCTTTGGCTGCAATTTCTTTCAAACTTACATCCGAGGAGATTGAGGATTTGGAGAGTTCTTATGAAGCCAAGCTCATCAGCTCCTTTGGGGTTTAGTCGCTGATTGCAAAAAGTTTTATAACAGCAACGCCTTGCCAAGATGAGAGACCCTGAAAACTATACTGTATATGAATCAGGGCTCGGTTATCCATTCTACAGTATGGCATATATCCAAAGTTGATTTGACTGCTTCAAGATCTGGGAGGACACTGTCATTTTCAGATACCGCAGCATTTCGAATATTGCATTTCTTATATACTAAATCTATGCTCAGAAGAGAAAAGCGCTTAGCACTCTTGATTCTGTGGCACAATCAACTCATTGAGACATCTTTATGGTATAAAATGATACAAATCAACAAAAATCTCGTAACTGTGGGATTGGGGTAGGTACTTCTTATTACTCCCTAAAATATCAATACATCTTTTGCTGAAGTGTACTATATTAATGCACCTCATTAACACAGCGTGCATTATGCAAAGGCTGTGCGGCTCGATGCGGCTCCAAAGGATCGCGAGCGATACTCTGAAACCTGACACTACTGCCCAGCATACACAGGCGGGGGATGGAAGAGGCACAAATACGAACTTGGTTAGATTTTGAATATAGGCCATTGTTTTGCAGTGTTTGCAAAAGACAACGGATACAATGTTCCCAAATCGACAAAGGAGCCAACATGTATAAATTTCCCAGCGGTGATCTTTGCTTGGTCTAGCTTCCTGGTATTGAGACTCATTGTCATCATGGCAGCCCATTTCTCAATTCCAATAAACTTATTCACGTTGAAGCAAAAAAAAACGATGTGTGGATAGATGATATCATAGGAAGCTGTTTCAGCTTCAACTTCAAGGCGACAAGCAAGTGGGCACGTCATTTGAATGATTGCTCTGTAACGATGAGAGTTTTGGCCTCTTGAAACCGCAAAGGAGTAAATTTTTTGGGTTTTGGTGACCTTAAGATTGGCAGGTGGGATGTCACAGTCATCAGGATGGGTCTTAGAGCAAAGGCAATATAGGCAAGTGATGGTGAAATCTTCTTCTACCCTTTCATTCGAATTTTCCACGTATGGAGGCGGGCTTAAGATATCATTCTGAGCTGACCGCAAAGACCCCAGAGCGCTCAAAGATTCACGATCCATTAATCTAACAGTGGTTTCTTCTGTAGTTGACTCATGGCTAGTCTGGCGACGCAAAGCATCAATTTTTATCAAATAGTGAGTGATGACTTTGCGGTCTCCGCGGTATTGAATAAGGTCAAAAAAAGTCTCCGAGACATAGGGATTCGAGCAATCAATTTGATTGACCATACTATCAAAATTAATACCACTCCAGTTATCCTTGATTATCGGCACCTCAGGGTCGTGATGAAACTTTGTTGCATGTGTATACCTTTCCAATTCTATGTACTGGGTTCTTGAGCCGGAGTCTCTCATTGTCTTTGGATCGGATAGATAGCAAATGTGGAAAGAGTCTTCCTCAGATGGAGAGTTCTCTGCGTCTGTTGGGAATGGTGCCATGATTATAGACAGAGGAAACACCATGAATTTTGAGAACGTGAATCATTACAAATTCGGTAATATACAAGGGAGGGTTATAGGAAAAATTTATATATCAGAATAGAGTTACATGCGACCAGAAAACAACCTCGAGTTACTCTTTGAATTATGGGGTGCGAATATCTGGGGTAGAGTAAGGCCACCTGCAGAATATGCATAAATTGGTTCTAGTGTGAATAGTAGCTCTTCTCTTTGAAGATTTTTCTGTAAAAGATGAGATATTCATAAAAACCATACGGAAGGCAGAGATTGCTTTCTCAGAATTACTACTTTTACCTTTTCACCAGTACGAATATCTGCCTTTTGAGTAGAAAAGCCAATTAAAGATGTCATGCCCAACCTCTACTATATATCTAGCTCGTCATCATCATCATCATCATCATAGTCCGGTTTCTTCACTGCCACCCTCAATTTGGTCAACGTTCTGTTAATGACACCGCAGTGATAAAGACGGGATTCAAAATTCTTCAAGATCAAATCTTTTGCAGAAGATGTATCCTCGTATATCCCCAACTTCTCGAAGCCCACCAATCTATCTCTCTCAACACCATTCTGGTAAACCAACACACACGGCAACACCTTGATCTTCAGCTTGGTGACCAAAAACGGGCAACTTAGTACGTCAATTTTATAGTATTTAACACTTGTATAATGCCTCTCTGCCAACATTTCCAGTATGAGGTCCATCTGCAAACATGTCTGAAAGTTCTCCCTGTAAAAAAACACCACCACGTTGGAATTGAAATTCTGTGACATGATGGCAATAAGATCCGCCTCACGGGTCACACTGACTACTCCGGAGACCTCGGCATGTTTCAAACTCTGGATCTCGTGTGACAGCTGGTCTATTCTCTGCTCTCTGTACTTCTGCTGGAGCCCCGTATCTTCTAGCTCCTGTTCTAGTTCATCGAATAGCTCGTCCGAATCAACTTCTCCATCCTGGTATCTTTCAATGTTTCTGGAGTCTATTTGGTTCATATTGAAGAGTCAAGCACAAAAATAGACCAAAAACCCAAAGTAACAGTAGGAAGATCTATCCGCTAAACCGTAATCCTTCGAGGCCTCTAATGACGCGTGGACCGACAATTTAGGCGTAAGTGTGCTGAACTCAATACTACGCCGCACCGGGATAGACTTCGCATCTGAAGACACTCCATGGTTTAAAGTTAAGGTTGCTATGAGGAGTTCGTGGTGGGATGGGTAATGTCATCCCCACCATAGTGAGCAGAACAGTTTAAATAATGAACCAAACAGAGGGTTTGTCGAGCCAACGAAGGTGCCAGTTGCAGATTCGATAATCTGGTGAAGTGCAACGGTACTCACCATTCTGGCAATCATTATGGTTTTAAGCAAGCCCTATGACAAATACACTTCTAACAGAAGTCTATTATCGATTAGGATGGTCAGAAATACCAAAAATCAAAAAATGACCAAGAAATCTCTACATCTCGCTATGCGTGCCCCTGTGTTTCATCTTGGAGAGGTTATCAGACTTTCGTATCAGAACGGACTTCCACTGGCTAAAAACTGGGGTACAAAATTAGACCCCTCAGGTGTGCTAAAATATGCAAAAGAATCATTTTTCCGGCAGTGTGGCTAGGTATTCTCAAGGTTTACCCATCGCCCATTCCCCCCACCTGAAACATTTCAGGCTGAAACACTCAAATTCCAGAATGGCTAAGGATCAAAACAAAACCAAATAACAAAGACAATAAAGTAAGCAGTAGATGATTGTAAGACGATCCTGGATCTCATTTAATTTGCCAGTTTTCCGTAGGCCACAGGAATATTAGCCATCAGCTTAAAGTTGACTCGTGCACAGCAGCATAGTGGGGAATACTGCACACCCACTGAACTCTAACCAGCGGCCGAACATATATAATTGGCAATTGAATAAAAACTTGAAAGGTGATTGAACATAATCAAGCGCAACCAATTGCGCAAAAAAACAAATAATTTAGCCCCATTTTCAACCAGTAATGTTCTTCCTTTTCTCCATTGTATCGCCCATTATCTGCTGAAACCGTGTGAGATACAATTGTGACAGCCCAAGCGTTGGTTGGTGCCTCTCCACCAGACTCTTCTTGTGATCACCGAATCAAGAGGCCTTCGCTCGCTTTGTGCTGCCAGAAACGTGTAAAATCCGTTGCGGAATCCATCGGGATAATATTCTCGGTTGTTATCGCTGTTTTAGTGTTGAAATTCATAGGCAGTTGGCCATCTCTTGTCGCGGACTTATTGAATCAGTTGAAATCAGTTGGTCTTAAACTTGATAACAAGAAGAAACACCTACCTGAAACCGGATATTTCTGATCTAAAGAATTGAGAGACTCAGATCCTTTGTGCATTTCTACCGTCATTTTATTTTCCGTGCTGTGCGTTTTACTGTCTAATACTACTTCACACAATGGACAGAAGAGTCACATTCAACGTGTCGGACCACTACGAGATCTGTGAGATCGTCGGCGAGGGAGCCTACGGAGTGGTCTGTGCAGCAATTCATAGACCTTCCAAGCAAAAGGTGGCGATTAAAAAGATTCAGCCATTCGAAAGAACCATGTTTTGCCTGAGAACACTCCGTGAGCTAAAGTTGCTCAAGCACTTCAACCACGAGAACATCATCAGCATCCTAGACATACAGATGCCTTACAGCTTCGAGACTTTCACTGAGGTTTATTTGATCCAGGAACTAATGGACACCGACTTGCATCGTGTGATCCGCAACCAGAGGCTTTCTGACGATCATTGCCAGTACTTCGTCTATCAGACGTTACGTGCGCTCAAGGCCCTACATTCTGCCAACGTGTTGCACCGCGATTTGAAACCCTCGAATCTTCTTTTAAACGGAAATTGCGATCTGAAGTTGTGCGATTTCGGTTTAGCGCGCTCGATCGCATCCGCTGAAGATAACTTTGGATTCATGACCGAGTATGTGGCCACACGTTGGTACCGTGCTCCTGAAATCATGCTCACATTCCAGGAGTACACAACTGCGATTGACGTGTGGTCTGTGGGCTGCATTTTAGCTGAAATGATCAGCGGTAAGCCGCTGTTTCCAGGTACAGATTATCACAACCAATTGTGGCTGATTATCGAGGTGTTGGGAACGCCGTTGATGGAGGATTACTCCGGCATCAACTCGAGGAGGGCCCGTGAGTATATCCGCACATTGCCGTTCCGCAGAAAGGTGCCGTTCGAGCAGTTGTTTCCGGATGCAAATCCGCTCGCGGTGGACCTGCTGGAAAAGCTGTTGACGTTCAACCCGAAGAAACGGATCAAGGTGGAAGAGGCTTTGGGTCATCCGTACCTAAGTCTCTACCACGACCCGAACGACGAGCCTATCGCAGAGAAGATCCCGCCGGACTTCTTTGATTTCGACAAAAAGAAGGACGACCTGACCATAAACGAATTACGAAAGATGCTTTACGACGAGGTGATGAAGCCACTTAGGCCTTGAAGAGTGGCGTAGTTAGAGTTAGAGTAAGTTGCATAGACGTTAAAGGTGAACCTTCGTAGAGGACGTGCAAAAACAATTATACATCCCGTGCGGCTGATTTTCAGGTCGTGCGCCATATCAAATTGAGTCATTCGTAGCCTACGGAACTTTTCAACATGCCCCACCTCCTTGGACCCGAAGGCTATCAAGTGGCATTTGAGTGAATTAGTTGTTCAGAAACCTTGTTGTTTGTTCTTCTTACCCTTAGCTTCAATTTTGCCTGATTTTTATTGCAATGGCTTCCTCCGGTTTCTCCATCCAAAACATCCCCCAGCTTCCTCCAGACCCTTTGTTTGGGCTTAAGGCTCGCTACACAGCAGACACCAGAACTAACAAGGTGGACCTCGGGATCGGCGCCTATCGCGATCAAGATGGAAAGCCTTGGGTGCTTCCCTCGGTCAAACTTGCAGAAAAAGCCATCCATGAAGACCCTGCCTACAACCACGAGTACTTGCCCATTGCGGGGCTCCAGCAGTTCACCTCTGCTGCAGCCAAGGTGATTCTGGGATCCGACTCGAAAGCGCTTAAGGATGACAAGGTTGTTTCAGTCCAGACACTCTCGGGAACTGGTGCTTTGCACGTTGCGGCTTTGTTCATCAAGCGGTTCTACAAAGGCAGTGGTTCCGTGTACATTTCTTCACCCACCTGGGCCAATCACATCCAAGTATTCGAGACCCAGGGTCTCAAGATTGAGTCGTATCCATACTGGAATTATGCCACCAAGGAACTAGACCTCAAGGGATTTTTGGGTGCGATCAATTCTGCTCCTGAAGGTTCTGTGTTTCTGTTACATGCCTGTGCCCATAACCCCACAGGACTGGACCCAACCCGTAGCCAATGGACCGAAATTCTTGGTGCCATCAAGAAGAAGAACCATCTTGCTCTGTTTGACTCGGCTTACCAGGGCTTTGCTTCTGGGTCGCTTGAAAACGACGCTTTTGCGGTGAGATCTGCCATTGACAGTTTCGACGGATCTTTGCCCATATTGATCTGTCAATCGTTTGCTAAGAACGTGGGAATGTATGGAGAGAGAGCTGGTGTCTTCCATTACGTTTCTGCCACCAAAGACGCTGCTCTTCAATCTGCTGTCTTGTCGCAATTGCAAAAGATCACCCGGTGCGAACTGTCCAACCCCCCGGCGTACGGTGCAAAGATCGTGTCCAAGATCTTAAACACGCCTGAGCTTTATGCCCAGTGGGAACGTGATCTAGTGACAATGAGCAGTCGTATCAAGGAGATGCGTCAGACACTGAGATCCGAACTGGAGTCCCTGGGAACCCCCGGAACATGGGACCATATCACCACCCAACAGGGTATGTTCTCCTTCACGGGTCTTTCCAAGCCCCAAGTTGACAGCCTCGAGAAGGACCACGGAGTTTATCTGGTTGGTTCTGGTCGTGCGTCTATGGCAGGGTTTAACTTGGGCAATGTCAAAGCGGTAGCCAAGGCGATAGACCAGGTTGTCCGCGAAGCATCGAAGTTGTAAAGAGGGTGTTTTGACTGATAGTGAGTATTGAGATAGCTATGGTGCTGATTATGGTTACACAATGCTCTTGACTATGGTATACATCTGCTCGTTATCTGCCACTTCTTATTCATAAACTTTTAAAGACATATGACATTAACCGAGAACACATAGTGATACAATATAGCGCTTTCATGCTAGTAGTACTATACTATAAACATAGTATATCTGGTATTGTCTGTTCTCCACTAATAACCCTAGCACGCCAGTAAAACAATTACTTTCAATGCAAGCTCATTAATCTAAATTTCGAATAACAATGCTTTACCGATTACTCAGCTCTGAGCTGAAAAACTCCGGTATCTATGGAGTTTGGAAAAGCTACCGAGATTTGAGACATGTCTCAGGTCACATCACTGGGGTTTTTGATGATCAAATGCAAAGGTCATTTATAACACAATAATATACTAAATGTTCACTATGTCACTGCGGAAAATGAAGCAATTGGCATGGTCCATGGCATAGCAAATGACTTGAAAGTGTACATGCTGCCATGGTATATCGGGTCTCCAACTCTTATCGGGGTTCCCCCAGGGCAATGAAGGAGCTTGTTTGACACCTAATCAAATTACTTCTAGAAACACCATACTTGGAACTTACCAAGTCTATTTTAAAAGGAATCTGCTTGCATAACGGAAATGTCCACTTACATAAAATCAAGCTTTCCTTACAATCGCACTGGAATGGGCGACACACTGGAGACGAACCGCATTAACCATCTTATTCTGAACTACTTGATAGTGGAAGGCTACGAGAATGCCACCTTGAAATTTGGAAAGGAACTTGGTTTTGATTTCATCGAGCAATTCCTGGACAGTGACAGGGTTGTGGCTGCTACAGGAGTGGAACCGGCATCCCAAGATGAAGACCTGGATATTCAGGCCGAGGCAGATAGACTGTTTTCCAAGGAAAACATCACCAACAGACTCAAAGACCTGGAGCGCGACCTGCCGGAAACAGGTCTCTCACGTGATGCTCTTGGAAGATTGACTTTGGGCCTTTCCACCATCAAAACGCGGAATCGGATCAGATCCAATATCCTGGGTGGGAGAATAGCGGAGACTATAGTGCTGATCAACGAACATTTCCCCACCCTTTTCGAGAAAAACCAATTCATATACTTCAAGCTTTTGCATTTGAACCTGATCGAGATGATCAGGTCTCACCACAAAGACCCTGCCCATTCTACTGAAGATGAAAAGGTGTTTCTGGACGAGATCCTCAGGTTCATCAAGGAGAAGCTTTCTACCGTTAAGATTCTCCAGAACAAGACGTTTATTAAGGAATTGGAGCTAACCATGGCACTTCTCTGTTTTAGTGATCAGATGGGACGGGATTCTGCGCCCGTGAGAATGCCGCAAAAACTTAGAGCGTTGTTTGATCTGAAACTTCGTAAAGAGGTGGGAACCCTGGTGAACAAGTCTATACTAATCAACCTGAACAATGAGGATATCAACAATCTAGTATTGGTGGGAAATGAACCATATGTGGCGGAAATGGACAGGAAATTACGTCCAAAGGGAACGAATTTGCCGCGCGGTGAGTCTCAGGATAACCTGTTGATGAAGTTTAACGATATCGAGAACGTGAAGTTGAAGTCGTTGATGAAGCTTTGGATCTGGGCGACGTCAGAGAGTGATATCGACTGGGCGAAAAAGGCATGAAAGGAGGAACGATATGTTGAATAATGTGGTGACATGAATTATCCGAATTACATGATTACTCTACGTAATTTAGCAATTATGAACCAATTTACTGGTGATTTGATCTCATTTGTTCTCCACTGCGTACGCATCAATTGTATCACCAGTCTCAACACCCAGATTGCACAGGAACTCGTCATTATCCCCCAGCTCTCTCTTCTTGCGCCTCACTTCTACATTTTCGACACCAACTTCACCCTCGTGTTCCAGATCTCTCCAACACTCAACTAGTTTCTTCTTCAGATGCAACAATGTGGTCCCGTGCTCCGGGCTCCTGGGGTCGTAGTCTTCAGGACCAAACTCAAAGTGATACTTGAGTACGGCATCCCGCGTGTGCAAGCGAACATAAACATGGGCACAATGTGTGGGGGTCTCCTTAAATATATCATTGCCTGGGAGTTTCCACAGCGAAATATAATAACCCGAGTAAAGCACGGTCTCGTACGATATCAGTAGGATTCCGATATAAACGAAGATTAAGGTGATGCAGGATGAGGACGGCGAGCTCACTAGCTGTCGCGTGAGCGAATTAGCCGTTAGCCAGGACTCAATCTTGGCGTTAGCTGAGGTCAAAGCACTCATGGGAAACGATGGTGGAGACTGCAAAAGATCACTGCAGTTATCGCCAGCCATCAGCGATAGATGCGATTTCGGTATTAAATAATGTGCCTTACTCGAATAATAACCGCACTAAACCCAAATTTAGTAGTTCAGAACACAAATATAGGCCGCAAGTATGGCACCTTCACCCCGCCTTTTCGGAGAAACTAATTTCTGTGACAGGGCGAGGTCGTTGAGAGAGGGACTTGGATGACGAATCTGAAATGGAGGGGCAAATAGGAATTATGGGTCGGCAAAATGTCGATTTGGCATATGTTCGTAGTTCTATTTCCTGGTGCTGACCGTGATTAAGTTTCCCAAATAGTGAAACCAAAGCAGTAGACTCTCTATATTGTCCATTTTGGACTAAAGTCGCTGTTTACGTCTCCAGTCGCAAAGTCCGTATTTCAGTTGTCTCGTGAGGTTTTTCAGATTATTGAGCTCTTAACCAATATCACTCTGCAGACAAACCTTCTCGGTAATTTCGACCCTTTTGTTCAGCACATGCCTAACGGGGTGGTGATGGTGGCACATGCCAGTGGGGTGATGCCAGTGACTGAAGAAATGATGGAGAACTCCCCTCTTTAGGACTAGCGGAATGGTTGAAAATAGCACGTAATGGTAAGTGGCATAAAATCAGATTCAGCAAAAAAACACCAATGATTACTATCACCAATACAGAATACTAAACTTCGATTTTAGGAAACAATAAGAGATTGGATATTGCTTAGCTACTACTGCCTATTGAAGCCTAAATTGAGCTCACGTCTTACCTAATTGAGATTTACTTGAAATCCGATGACTCAACCTTCCCTGCGAATTTCCGTTCCAAATATCCAACTCGCACTTTCGCCAAAGACTCCGACAGAGGCCGTGCGCGCACACCCCTCTCATGATAACCGTACGCCACTGTACATGCAGGCGCCTTAGGAGCCCACCTGTTCTGGTCTTGGGACACTGCTCAAGGCCGAATCGAACGAAAAATCTTTCCCGAACAAGCGCCGCTCGGCCTGTCTTAACGCATGCACCCCACACAGCAGATGACATTGCTTTTCGTAGCGTCGAGCAAAAGCATGCGGTGTCGTACATGACGATTGCCGTCTTTGGACAATTATTGCCAGATTTTTGATTATAAAAGGCCTTCTGTTCCCTGGAAGTGTACCTCAGTGGCTTTGTCAAACCATAATCAGTATCAAAACAAAAACCCGACTATCGTTTCTTAGCGTCTATTAAAATGAAGTTTCCAATTGCAATCGCTACCCTCCTGGCACTCACCAACAGAGCTGCTGCTGCCGTTGACTCAAGCGAAGTCGCCTTCGTCACAGTGTTCTACAATGACCTCAAGGGCAACCTCAACGAGTATTTGTCGTACATCCAGGCCCATACGGAAAACGACAATGCCCCATTGCTCAGTCTCTATGCGCAGGTGCAGACATACACCGATGACTCCTACACCACCGTCATCGATGACAACATCTACAAAGAGATTTCCACTTTTGCAACAGCCCTTCCATGGTACTCAACACGTCTTGTGAGCGAATACGAAGATGCTGTTGGTGGTGGTTCCACCGAGGCAGCGTCTTCAACAGAGGCCTCTTCATCTGCGAAATCGTCTTCCGCTCCGGTCACGTCATCTAGTTCCGCTAAGAGTTCTTCTGCGGCCACCACAAAGGCGTCTTCAAAGGCAACTTCCAAGGCATCATCCTCAGCATCGTCAATTGCTCCGGTCGCTACTTCCGAGAACTCGGCACCTGCTTTCGCTCCTGAAAGAGCGGCTGTTATGGTTCCATTGCTTGTCACCTTGGGACTGTTGGGAGTTTCCACTGGATTGGGTTTGGTGATGTAAGGTTGCAGTGAAGATGCATCAACCTGCATTGCTTAAAAGTGGGCATTAATGGCTCCACCTGTTCCGTATTCCATACCGAGACCATCATGACACTTTAAGGTCTATTCAATTTCTGTTTTGTCAGATGGTATCCGATAGTATTTGGTACCTCTGATTTGTTTCTACTCGTTATATTTAAAACACTTTTATATTCAAAGAATTGTAGTTACGGTGTAAAACAGACTTCCCCAGATTTGGCAGGGACACCACTCATTTGGGACACGACGTTATCGATCCATATGACGACGTCGCCGCAATCAGACGGGAACTTACCTACAACGTAAACTACAAATCTAGTGTGGCAGACATTGCTCTCTTACTCAAAAATTATCCCACTTGTCCTCGCCCCAGTCGTCCTTCTTCGACCCTAGACCTTGCAACTTGGTCTTCTCCTTGGGCCGAGCCAGTCCGAAAGCCGGCTCTATGCTGGCGTCGTCGTCCTCTTCTCCAAGCCCTTCGAAAAGTTTGCCGTACACGCCACCGTTGGTCTGAACTTTGGTGCCAAACTGTGCCATCGCGCGTTTTGCTTGATTAGCAAGATCCTGCTCCGAGAGCTGCTGGACTCCTGGCTTGATCACAGACTCGTTCACCTCCTGGACAGATTTGGCAACGGTGCTCGAAAAAAGTCCCCAACCCTTTGCGAAAGTACCCAGGGGATCTTTTTGGAAGGCATCGACCGTGAACCCGGCCAAAGAGCCGCTTCCGCTCCCAGAACTGGCACCAGAGTCAGTTCCCGGCACGGGACCAGATCCAAAGCCCTGGTACTTACCACCCTGACTAGGAGGCAGATCTGTGGGTCTCTGGGAGTTTGCTGCACCCAATGTGGCGAAGTACTGCTCGTTCTTGACTTTCTGGTCACCTCCCAAGGGCGTTCCTCCATTACGTCTCGAAACGGGCTCCTTCTCCAAGGCAATTGATGACAGAGTAGGCAGCGTTTCACCCACATGATCTTTAGGCGTATACTCACGATCCTCAATCAGACACGTCAACAACTCCTTGTAGTCCTCAGCCACAAAATTGTTGTACTTTTGCTGCGCAGGCAGCTTGAGGTCTAGCCCATTACTCGAGAAATATTCACCACACTTGTCATTACCACCTTTCTCCATGCGCGCGTTCTCTTCAGGCTTAAATTGGTCCATAGTGATGGAGCGCACAAATGAAATATGGACACCTAGTCCACGGTGGATTCCAGCACATTCCAGACAGATGAAAATACCAAACTTGGGTGAAGCCCACTGCGGATTCGGCGCAGAACAATCAAAACACTTTTTATTGCCTCCCTGCTTCTGTAAGGCCAGTAGCTTTCTCCTGACGTCTGGGTCGACTGTCCAATCAGACGGCATGTTTGAGTTGGTCTGATATGAGTTTCCGCTTGTAATATATGAGAGATATATGCAACCAGAGAGGGGCCTCACAACACGGAAATTCGGGATTCAGTCTATCTAACGATCAGATTCGTTGTGATCGTCGTTGCTTGGGTGAAAGGGAGGTTGACGTGTTGATCGAAGCGGATCTTGGGGGTCGTGCATCAAAGAATTTCAGACACCACCAGGGCTCAAACCCCAAGGCTCAGAAATTGACATTAACAGGATTTCAGACTTGATCAAAATGCATGCTAGTTATCTCTTACTTTGTGTTATGTGTTCTTATAATTTCACAGCTTTGGCTTTGCGAGTGCAAGCTTCTTCACATCTTCCGGATACTTTGAGTTGAACCCTCCATTTCCGGTGTGCCACAACCCACCATCGACTACAGTAATAGTTCCCGTAATATAATCACCAGCAGGCGAAAATAAAAACACCGTTGCATCAGCGATATCGGAAGTGGTACCCAGTCTTTGCAATGGGATTCTCGCCTTGATGGCATCAATAGATTCCCGGTTGAGTCTATCAAAACCTTCGGTTCCCCCAATAGCACCAGGAGCTATGACATTGAATCTCACGCCAACAGGTCCCAATTCCACCGCCAAGACCTGGTTCAAAGCATCAATTCCGGCTTTGGCTGCAGACACATGGGCCTGGAATGGCAGTCCGTAGTAGTGAAGAGTAGCAGATACGAAAATCACACTTCCCTTATTCTTGACCAGCTGTTCGTAGCACGCCTTTATCGTGTTATAAGAACCAAGAAGATCAATGTCCACAACCGTTTTGAACGCATTGGATGAGAGATGATTCACATCAGCAAGGAAGTTGCCTGCAGCACCACAAATAACCAGATCCACCTTTCCCAGTTCCTGAACAGTTCTTTCTACAGCCTTAACCAAGTCGTTCACATTTCTGACATCCACGCCTCCCAAACCGATCACCTTGGCACCAGGCCTGATAGAGCTCATCTCCTTGGCAGCGTTCTCAGTTTTTGACACGTTTCGCCCAATGATGGCTGCATTGGCTCCGAGTTGGATCAACGCTTCGGTCTGTTGTCTGCAAATAGTGCCTGCGCCACCTGTCACGAGGACGACTTTCCCCGAGAACAAGTCTGATTTCCAAGAGTTGTTCGTGTATGGCATTTTGAGCAATTTTTATAGGAGTATAATCAAAAACTAATGCTTATAGTTGCTCGGAAGAGCAGCGGGACAGAATACTTATAAATGGCCTTTCCACATGGTTACCCCACAATCTCGGATCATCTCATCACCGAGGCAAGTCGTTGCACAGCCGTGGCAGTGTATAAGGAGATGAAGAGCATTTCTTTTCCAATATTTTGATGAAAAGTTGTAAGATATATGTTCTATAATGAGGATCTCTTTGTTGATTAAATTGATTCAATCAATGAGGTATTTAGTTCGAGAAACGATCACGAGTACGGAAACTGCTAACGCATACGATATCATGGAACGCACCATGGTTCAATTAATATACAAAATCAATATGACATTACACTGGATGGTGCTCACTGAATCACTCATTCAACTGACTAATCACTCAGCACTAGCTTGATTTCATTCACTATTAGGCCTGATCTGCCTCACTCATAGCTTCAAGTCTCCTCTTCAATCTTCCTTCTTCATGTTCAACAGCTTCGCTCCGGCATGCGCAAACTTGGACTTCAAGATTGACGAAACCTTCTTCTTGTCATTTTGCTTCTTGAGCTTTTCTCTCTTGAGTTTCCCTTTTGAATCCTTCACTGGATTTTTTGCTGGACTCTGTCTCTTCTTCGATTGGCCGGTATTGCCGGTGGGCTTGCTGGTCTGCTCGGATTCAGCTTCACCTCCTTCATCACTTTCCTCCCACAACCTCTTTTCCGGGGTGACCTTCGCAAGAACTTCCTCGGTTGCATCCCCAAATCCGTAATCAGGATCTGGCGATGTCATTGTGTTTCCACCAAGATCTTCGTCGCTGATAACGTCCTCCTCTTCCTCCTGCTTCTTCGCCTTTTTTTCCAGCTTGGTTTTCTGGACCAGCTCTCTCCCCAGGAAGTTAAGCATGAGAGTGTCTTCATACTGAGATAGTAAATACTCCCGCACAAACCGGTTGTTGGGCACGCTTCCATTGGCGTCTCCACGGATCAACGTATTGAGTAGATCTAGACAGCAGGAGTTGGCCAGATTATTGGAGTTATTCGTTTCCTTCAGCAGCTCCACAACTGGCTTCAACACATCCATGTTGATGATGTACCTGGTGTAGAACTCATCGTTCAGAACCAAGATGGATTTGAGACATCTAACCGCACCAAGTCGAGTTTGTAGTGGAAAAACAGGGTTGACCAGGTATGATACACCCAAAAGAACGTCATTTTCTAGGAAAAACGATCTCGAGAGGTGTTTCTCGTGTTCGGAGGCACACAAAGATACTAGTTCACACAGGTTTTGGTGCAACACCGACTCGTGGCGCTTGAGCGAGCTGAACTTGGACTCTTCTGAAGATGATGAAGACGGCACAGCAGTGACGGCCCCGTCTGAGTCCGAGAGAGGCGTCGAAGATCTTGGTTTCAAAGCCAAAGAGGCCACCTTGACAAGCGGTTCAAACAGGCTTGGTGACACCTTCGAATAGAATGCAGTCAAATAATTGGTGGTATTCAATGATGATGGGCCCAGCGACCCACCTGACAAGTTTGCAGAAGAAACAGTAGACGGCGATGGATGAAGCAAAACCTTTAAGGCCTCTGAAACCTGGGTTTTGAGACCAATGTCTTCTTCCTCCAGCAAAATGAATGTTAGCAGTGCAAAAAGAGTCATATCATCAGACAAAAACCGCTCCTTGATCTCCAGAGAGTTCTCATCACCAAACTCGTCTTCACGAGGCATCTCATCTATGTCGTCAGTAGCAGGCTGGGTTCCATTGATTAGCAAAACATCGTGTTCTACTATGGACACGATCAACTCCGTTGCTAGAACTCTGCTGGAAGTGTGGATATCTTTGAATGCAAACCCAATGAGTTTGAATAGTCCCCTTTTTACTAGGGCAGAATAGAACTGCGATCTCGCAGTTGCTTGAAGGCCCTTGGCAACTATCACGAACTGGTGAACCAACCTGATTCCATCTCGTTTCTTCTGGAGCAGTTCATCGGCATCCTGCGGGTCTGCATCTGCATCGCCATTTGAAGGCGAAGAGCAGGATCCGTCAGATTTAGGTGTCAATACCCTATTTGCTTCATTCTTGGCTTCATCCGAAACTCCATCTTTGATCACGTAATCGTCACCCTGGTACATCGCAAACAGACTGGATAGAAAGTGCTCGTTCTCATTCAGAAACTTGATTATCTTGACCTGGTTGAAGTAGATTAACGTGGCTATCCAACCAAAAGTGGCATCATCCAGAAGTCTTGCCAATACCACATCCTTCAGGAACTGCAGCCTGAAGGTCTTTTTAATGATATCGCTCGTTTCCTGGTCGTTCAGAGGAATAACCTCCTTGAACTTGGTCTCGTCGCTAATGTATTCTCTGTTGTTAGACTTGTAGGAAGGGAAATCGGGATCGTACTCCAGAATTCCTACGACCCCGATGATGATATTGTCGTCTAGAAACTGCTCCAGGATGTTTGTATCGTTGTAGAACACCAAAGTCTTGATTATGTCACACAAATAGTGCAAGTTGGTGAGATTTCGGCCCTTTTCGTTCCGGTTGAAGGCGTCCACCAGCTTGCTGAGATATCCTTCCGAGTCTATGAACTTGGATATAGACTCTCTAAAAAACGTGGTCTTGGAGCCCTGATTTAAGTAGTCCAATACCTCAGGCAAGTTCTCATCTTTTGGCTCTGGAGGAGGAGGAACAGGACCCGCTATCATCTCCGTGATCTCACCATCCGATCCAACAGGCACCACAGCAACAAGCGAGATGTTGGGCTCGATGTTCTGCTGAACGCTGATTAAGAAGTCACATATTGAGTAGCATCCCTCAAGCTCCTGGAACGAAAGTGCGAAGTCGTTTCCATCCGGATCCGTCCACACGATCAATGTATCCTGTTGTTTCTGATATTGGGTGGTTCCCTCGATTGGGGCTTTTAATAGCACCTCGGTGTCGTCCTGCTCGTTGCGCACTATGAAAATTGGCCTTTCAGTTTCCGCATCCAACTCTCCAGAACAATAGCCCGTTCCGCGGTCAATCCACCTATCGCCTTGTAGCGAGTAAACTTTCACTCGGCGGGGCGATGTGGGCTGTATGTCTATCATTATAGCGCGTGGGGCTCAACAAGCCATGCAAATCCGAGGTGAAAAGCTGAAATCTCTCTATTGTGAGAGGAAAAACTGGAATTCGAAATTATAATACTCCCATCTGCGGGAGAGCAAAACTTCAACTAATCGAATGAAATGACAAAGTGTAACGGGAGTAACGGACGGTGTGGTTGGCAGCAGCGAGTATGGAGGAGCCACGATGTGAACGCGTGTTCGCTTATTGAGTCTTACAGTCGGTGCAGTAAAAACAAATTTGAATATTTGCAACAAATTGATCCAAGGCAAATTTCGCAATATATTCAACACAAAACCCCGCTGAAAACAACTCGATGTCGAGAGCAGGAGCCGTGCACAGACATACCATCACCGCCTAAGGATAAGGCTTCAGCAATGAAACGTAAAATTAGCGTGGACACTTCCTTGATATCTATAAAAGCTGTCAGCGCTATCTGTAGATAGCGAAGTAGAGATTTGGTGTAGTTTTTAGTGGCTTATTTTTTTGGAAAGACTGGCATTCATGAAGACAATGCACAGAGGGTAAGTTACGGTTTTTTTGCAAACTGTGCGATCGTCATTGTCATAATATTACGTTAGTATACTTAACGACCCACTAATGTGGGGTAAAATTTTCACGTCTGTCTCTCCAACTCCACCACCTGGTCGACACCCTCATATTTCCCGATTGAAATATCCCACTTCTTTGCCAGTTCATCAGAAACAAACCTTCCGCCTAAAAAGTGTCGTCCCTTGAATAGTTTTGCACAGGGTTTGGGTGCAGTTAAACTAACTAGCACTTCTGGGAGGAAGTTCTCCACTTCACCAGTTGGTCCTTCATCCACGTCCCATCCAGAAGGAATATCAACCGAAACAACCGGCTTGTCAGTGGTACTCATGATAGCCACTATCTCGTTGAACGGAGCTCTGATGGGTGGGTGGAACGAGAATCCAAAAAGAGCATCCAGGATCTGGTCCGTTTTTTGCATCTCCAGTCTGATTTCGTCTCCATCACCGACGAACTCTACGCCAAAACTCTTCAATTGTGTCTGTAATCCATCAAAAAGCTCTCCCTTCGATTTCTTTGGATAGTAAACCTTAGGATTGTATCCAAAGAGTTTCAAATGCCTCGCTGCTACCAGTCCGTCACCACCGTTATTGCCCGGACCTGCTAGTACTAGCACTTTCGGGTGCGTTTCTGGAGGATAACATTTATAGACGGCCTGAGCAACAGAAAGTCCGGCCAGCTCCATGAGCTGGAAGATGGAGAATCCACCGGTAGACATCAGTTCTTTGTCAAGCGCTGCTGCTGCTGTGGAAGCGAGTATCTTAAGGTGGAAGTTAGTACTGAAGCGCAGTTGCCACATCATCCTGATTTGCCGAAACGGAGTCACACAACATACCTTGTAAGACATTGGAAATTCACAGGATATCTTTGAAAACGTAACCCGACCAAAGGCGAAAAAAAACAGAATAACTCAGCACATTTGAACATCCCCATAACGTCTCCTGACATAGAAACCTACATGGTAGTGCCTGAATTATATTAGTCACGTGCTGCAATGTACCTTCTGTTCTTGAAAATGCCAACCGGACGCGTCTCAAAGGACAATGTGTTGTTTATTCAACCAGAGCGATTTGGCTATTTCGAACCGAAGACTGAATATTCGATTCAATCTCCGATTCAATTTCTGATTTTGAACACCGGGCTTGCTTAATTGTTTTGCTAGTACTTTTGTTCGCGGTCTGACAAGTCTGTTTTTAGAGCCCATCACAGATCCGCGTAGCTCTCAGTCTACTACACCATGGTTGCAAGGGAACGGAATTCGTCGGCCATGCTGAGGCGTCAAAAGGATCAGAGAAGAGGTATCAAGTTTACGATGATGATCTGCGGCAGCTCAGGCACTGGAAAAACGACTTTTGTGAACGCATTGATGGATCAACAGGTCGTCCCACACAAGTTCCAAGGATATTCAGGAGATATTCCCAAGACTTTGACCTTTGCCAATGTCAGTGGTGCTATCGTTGATGCAGCCTCGGTGGAGCGCCATTTTGACCCCACTCTGGCTCATGAAGAGCCGGGAATTGCCATTACCGAGACAACCGTTGACATTGTCGACGAGGATGATTCCAAGCTGATGCTCAGTATCATTGATACTCCTGGGTTTGGGGAGAACATAGACAATGAGATCTGCTACAGTGAGATTGTGCACTATTTGAGACAGCAGTTCGACTCTGTTTTGGCCGAAGAGACCCGTGTCAAGAGAAACCCTAGGTTTGAAGACACTCGTGTGCATGTTTGCCTTTACTTCATTACCCCAACGGGTCATGGACTCAGAGAACTCGACGTGGTTACCATGAAAAAATTGTCCAAGTATGTGAACGTGATTCCCATAATCGGACGTGCGGACAGCTTTAAGCCATCAGAGCTGATCCAGTTCAAGAGAAGTATTATCGAGGACATTGAGAGATTTAACATTCCTATCTTTCAGTTCTCTTACGATGAAGAGGAAGATGATGTTGAAACTGTGGATGAGAACAAGTTTCTATCCAGTCTGCAACCTTTTGCAGTTGTGTCCAGCGAGAAGACATTTGAAGTGGATGGTGTTACCGTAAGAGGAAGGCAATACCCATGGGGTATCGTCAATGCAGAAGATCCCAAGATTTCCGACTTCTCCATTGTGAGATCAGTGGTTCTGGGCTCTCATTTACAGGATCTGAAGGATATTACCCACGACTTATTGTACGAGGCCTACAGAACCGAGAAGCTGATGATGGTGACAGGAGAAACAGAGACCGGTGTGGGAATGAGTGAACCCCCATCTTTGTCCAACCTGGCCGCTATTGCAAACTCACGTTCCATGGCAACAATTAACACCAACACCGCTGTTGCATCTCCAATACCAGATGTCACGGATTCGGAATCGCATGATACGACCCAGAAGAATGGTAACGTCAAGTCCATGTTGATTGGTTCGAACGAAGCTGTACCTTCTTCACCAGTACCTGAGCACGTCAGACTTCGTCGTCCTTCAGAATCGACGGAATCGGCCGTTGTTCCAGGAACTCCATCGTCTACTATTCGTGGGGACTCGATCTACCCAGGTTCGCCTACAATTCCGGGATCGCCATCAGTGAGTGTGAGATCTGGAACTTCAGATGTTCGTCATTCGCAGCTGCGCAAGATCAGCGAGACCGTTCCGTACGTTTTAAAGCACGACAATCTTGTCTCCAAACAGGCTAAGCTCGAGGAGCTGGAGAGACGGTCTGCACAGGAGCTGGCGAGACGTGCAGCTGAATTAGAGAGGAAGGCGGCTGAATTGAAGATGCGTGAGAAGCTACTGAAGCAATTGGCAAGAGAAAGAGGTCTAGATGAAGCCGATGTGGCTTCCAAGGTGGAGTCGGTTGGATACGCGTCGGATGCGGATTCTAAAGCGGAGTCTTATGCGAAAAAGGAGACAAACAATTCCGAATGAGTGAATATTCGTATTTAAACGAAACAAATAAGTTATTGACCATAATTAGATTCTGTGTAACCTAGCTCCGCCCACCTCAGCCCACCTTGCTTACATAAGCCTAATTTTTCACAATTTTTTATGAGAACCGCATGGTCGACATCTTTGGACCCTTAAATTACCAGCTTGCTTTCCACGATTTTCCGAACTCTTGCTACCAGAGTATTGAATCTAGCCCATAGTACGATTAGTTCCACTCGTATAATGTCATTGTCTCACCCAACAATCAAAGGTAGGTTCCAAACTTGATTCTCTCTGTTTTTCAGTCCTAACCAAAGTACAGACGGCTGGTTCGCCGAGATATCCGACACCATGTGGCCCGGTCAGGCCATGTCTCTCAGAGTGAAGAAGATTTTGCACGTCGAGAAATCCAAGTATCAAGACGTCCTGGTTTTCGAATCCACCGACTACGGTAACGTACTCGTTTTGGACGGAGTCATCCAGGCTACCGAACGTGACGAATTCTCCTACCAAGAGATGATAGCCCATTTGGCTTTGAACTCTCACCCAAACCCAAAGAAGGTGCTTGTTGTTGGAGGTGGTGATGGTGGTGTGCTCAGAGAGATCGTCAAACACTCGTGTGTTGAAGAGGCTGTTCTGTGTGACATCGACGAAACCGTCATCAAGGTCTCCAAGAAGTACTTGCCAGAAATGTCCAAATCTTACGAGCACCCAAAGGTTTCAGTCCATATCGGCGACGGCTTCAAATTTTTGGCCGACTACAAGAACACTTTTGATGTGATCATCACCGATTCTTCTGACCCAGAAGGTCCAGCCGAGTCTTTGTTCCAAAAGCCTTACTTCGAGCTTTTGAACGAGGCCCTGACTGAAAAGGGTGTCATTACCACCCAGGCTGAGAACATCTACTTGCACTTGCAAATCATCAAGGACCTGAAGAAGGCGTGCAAGAGTGTGTTCCCTGTGTCTGAGTACGCTTATGTCACCATTCCAACCTACCCCTCCGGTCAAATCGGATTCATGGTGTGCTCCAAGGATGCTTCTGCCGATGTCAGCAAGCCATTGAGATCATTCTCGCCAGAGGAGGAGAAGAAGCTGTTGAAATATTACAACAAGGATATCCACGAGGCCTCTTTTGTTTTGCCCACTTTTGCCAGAGATGCTTTGAACTAGGACTGTGTAATGATCATGCTGTCATCCAAGACCTAATTCCAATATGTTCATCAAGTGGTTGTTATAGAGTAATACGTGGGGTTAATAAGATGATCGTTGTGAAAAGAGTCAATTTAATTATTTCTGGGCGTGCGCAAGCAAATCGCGACGCGTGAGGTTTATTTATTTCCCTGTTTGGCTTCTCTACACACTAAGCTATTATTTTCGTCTGTTACCAAACAACAAGTAAATATTATTACAAAATTGGTTTGAAAATGGAGAACTCGTGGTACGCGGAGTCAATTACCCGCTTTCAGAGCTCAATATACCTACTGGATGACTGCAATGACATGCTCAGCAATGCTACCAAAGACCATGACAGGCTCAAGACGATACTCTCTGTGCAGAAACACTTCGAGCTCAAAGCAGATAAAAACCCTGCCATGGATGAAAACATACTGTCCAGATTTGTGGAACCTGATGTTGAGGCGAAACTGTCTAAAATTGAAGCCCTATTAGCAGATTTGGAACAGAGCAGAGACAGGCTCAAAGAGGAGGTCAATACCAAGAGAGAAAAATACAGACAAGTTGTCATTCAAAATTTAGCTAACTCTACAGAATTAGAAGGTTCTGGAGAAGAAAAAGACCGTTTGCGTGTTCTATTGCAGAAATATGAAGAGAACGTATAGAAGCAACGGTTGACGGAGACTTCCTCAATGCACCAATCCCAGAAGTGTCTCAAGGTTCTCGCAGAACCTCGTGCAACATTTCTCCAAACTCTCCAGTTTCACACTGATTGATAAAAGTACAGGGTCAGGACTCATAATCTCGGCCGACTGATCCAGAGTTACCACGATTGGCGAGTTGGACGAGTCCACAAACGTCACACACTCCTCAAGATACTTGCTGGAAGTCTTGAGCAGGTTGTTCATGGTAGGTTCATTATTGCCCGAGAATAGCGATATTACCGCAGACAAAGGACTGGATTCCTGCTTCTCCTTGGACTGCTTCCTTTCGTCTATCCACGTCACCAGCTTGTTGTATTCAGCCTTGATGATGTTTGGTACCGACATCGTTCTGTCCTGACTTATCCTCGTTCTTACCACATCCGCGAAACTCAGCTTCTGCGCAGGATGGACTATAATTCCCCACGGTTTTGCAGTTACTGGAGATAGCTTCCTGAAATCTATAGACACATCGGCATTGCTCACAAAGATGTCCAGCGAAACCAAAGAGGGTAGCGGCGGCGTGAATTTTCTGGAGCCAAGTCTGGTTTCAGGAAACAAAATGCTTCTCGGAGGTGTTTTCAGAGCATCTTTCGCAGTCTGAATCGCCTTGACCAGTTTCTGCATCTGGTTAAACGTCTCCAGGGGAGTCAGTTGGGGAATTGACGAATCCTGATGACTGCCATAAACCTTGTCTATGATGCTGATAGCGTTGTATATAAAGTCGTGACAAGACAAAACCTGTTTCAAAATCAAAGTTTCGCCCGGATTAAGTTGGATGTTGTAAGGTCTTCCACTGTTCAGGGTCTTAATGTTTCGTATGGAGACATTCAAAGCCGTTATTTTGTAATTAGTTCTCGTTATCACACCTTTTAAGATCTCCGAGTTGTGTGACGATAATGGCAGTTTGAATTCAGTCTCGTTTGTATCGTCAATTTGTTGTAGACAGAAGTCCAATGTATCTCTCAAGGAGGGCAAGCCAGGAACTATCACCTCTGAGATTAGCCAAACAAGCTCATTTTCCACAGATTTTTTTGCCTTCACCGCAATATCGGCATCTGAAAGCGGAGTCGCCGAATATATGGATGTAGACATGTGATGGTGTGGTTGAAGAGCAATTGCATCTAGAAAGAATACCCGAGAAGGTTAAGACTGGTTGTGGCTTTTGAGATTTCTATGGCTCATCGCTCTAACCATTAGGAAGCGATCGCGTTTTGATTTTTGACGCCGCCAGAACTCACATTAAAAGCACCGGAAAAACAATCAAAACTCAACTAATCCAGAGACACAAGCTGTGTGAACAATATTACAGTCTCAAACCATCCCGAACTACGCGTTTTTGACGATTTTTCACTGGCAACTGAAACCCGCTCTGAATCGTTTTTCTCCACGCGTACCAGCTGAACATGGCTCCAGACGGAGTAACAACTGAGCTGGTCTCGGCTATTTCGTCGGCTCCGCTGAGCTATTTGATACCTCGACAAGATGGTAAGTGGTAATTCTGTGAAATTTCCTATTCGTTGATTGACTACTAACACTTGCAGCTGTTCCTCTTGCAGCCCCAGCCAGAGTCTCGATCCCGCCATTTGAAGTACCCGGATATGGCAGAAACGAAGCTTTAAAGTTGATGGAAGATGCCACATTTATGGAAGAAGTGTTGTCGTTTGTTAATTCGAACATCCCGGAGCTGCAAAGCCTTCAATTCAAAAAACCTGCATTCAGCATCACACATGCATATCCATCTGCACCTTCAAATGCTTCAATACCACCGCAACTCGAGGAATTCAGACACAAACTCGAAGAAAAAGTTGGTAGAATTCTGCGAGGTCAACACATCAAACCTGATTTCAAGGTAAAACGAGTGGCATTGGCCAGCGCCGCAGAGGTGGATGCCGGAAGAGAAACCGAGAGCGCGGTCTCTTCCATACCCGAGTCGCCTATCAAGCGTCCCATTGACGAGCTTCAGAAAGAGCACAAGAGACGAAAAATAGAGTACCAAGGATCCAAAGAAGCAGAGCCAAAAGATGCTTTCAAGTCTACTGAAGGGAATCAGAAGGCTAAGATAGAGCTGGTGAATCTGCTTCAACGGATAGGTCTTACTGATAATGAGGTTGATTTTGGCGACAGAACTTGTTGGAAGCCTTTGGTTGAAGACGATGATTGCGAGTCCTCTGAAACTTGCTATATGCTTTCTAACCAGGCTATGACATTGATCCAGTCATGCTTGCTCCGATTACGAAACTCTCGCCAGATGCTCGAACTTGAGACTCAATATCTGCTTCGGATTCAAAAATGCATCCGTTTGACTCTGGAACCCATGACAGAGAAAACATGGACCCACATGAACAAAAATAATACTTTGGTGTTTCTAGCCAAGCATGTTTGTGCCGCCTGTCTGACATACTTCTCTTTACTGAAGTCTGGTAGCTCCGAGAAACAGCTCAATCTGAGCCCTCTCATGGAGACAATTGTCGATACTATATATTCCATAGTTGACGATGGAGTTCGACCATTTTATGCTACTGAAACTGAAACTTCTGCCCCATTGGAGCTGGTGTTGAGCATATGTTCTGTCATCAACGAACTCTCAGATTACATCAGAGAAAATACTATGGATGAGAGTATTATAACACGACTGGAATACCTCACGATAAAGGTGCTATTTTTCAATGTCCCAAACAAAAGAGTTTCTTCTGGCTGGGACATTGCCAAACTAAGACTTAGCTTTAGCGAGTTACTTTCTGCCATATTCTCTTCAGCTGAAAGCCAAAGATCTTACATCATTGAAGAGTTATGTCTCAATTTTGATAAAACTCCTTCCACCAGTTCAGCAGCAAGGTCCTTCAAAACATCTCGAGGGTTATGCGTGAGCGTTTTTACGATGCTGACGGTCAATCTTGTGACGGAGTCGTTTTCTCCCCAGACCTTCGATTTCAACGAGGACTTCTGGTCAATTTTCCATTCCCAAGATGCAAATATTGACAATTCCAAGAAGCAAGCTCTACAATCGACGTTGGATCGTTTTGAACTGTTTATTGACGAACAGACGACAAAACGGGACGAAACAGTGTCGAATCTCACCAGCTCGTTACTATCCAAGATCGTGACCGATTCCGAAATAACCACCCGCAAAATATTCGAAATTTTCGTGGAGGATCTTCTGGCGATGATGGAATTCCCCGAATGGCCTGCTGCTGAGACGATTTTATTTTTTCTCACGAAAGGCTTGGTGTATATGGCAACATCAGAAGAGCACAATGCCGTGATAGAGGCCTTTGCTCTGGAGATGATCGGGCTTATTGGGTGTAAGATCGTCGAATTAAAGAAATTGGGATTGAAAGCAATGACTTTGGAAGGGTTCCAAACTGTTACTGGAAGCTACTTTCAATCTCTATTTTTTTTGCAGGATCATTCACCAAGAGCTTATCAGTATCTGAGCTTGAATATGCTTTCGCTGGTTCGAATGGCACAGACTAATAGGTCAGAGGTTTCCCCGGACCAAATATCCAGCATTTATGAAATTTACCTCAATTCTAGGAGCGAGAAATGTCTTAGAATCGACCAATTGGAAGTCATTGATTTAAAAGAAGAGGATCCTCATCAGAATGTCATGGCTGCAGGTCAACTGGTCACTCTATACGAGAAGTTTCTGTCTCTTATGTTGTCCTCGCTTAACCACCCCCGAATAAAAGCAAGAACAAGGGCTATAAAAAACCTTGCGCTACTCACGAATATTCAGCCCGCAATTATTTTACTTCCCGGTGTGAAAGAAGCTGTTGAGCTTAGAATCAAGGACGAGTCTTCGTTGGTTAGAGACGCAGTGGTGGACTTCATGTCTTCGTATTGCAAGGCCAACTCCGGGACTTCTTTGAGTTTTACGCCCTTATTGTGTCAACTCATGTCGGATGATTCAGTGGCTGTAAGGAAAAGAGTTATAAAGACATGTAATGAACTCTACATGCTCACTGATCAGACTATTCTCAAGACCATGATATCGCAGCATTTTCTTCTGAGAAAGGACGACGAAGAAACTTCTATCAGAAAACTGGCCGTCGAAATCTTGCTAGAGCACTGGGTGAATCCCTTGGTGAAATGCGAAGAAGAAGGCAATGATCCGACGTTGATAGCATCAGATATCATGAAGGTGATCCTCCCAGTATTGGACCAAAGCGACGAAGCTTATGCCCTGGTACATCGGTTTTTTGTTGAGGATATTCTCCACAAGGGTGAAAAGCCTCAGAAATATTACGATTCAATATTGAACATGTGCAACCATCTTATAGGCACGGCTTCGAATTGGGTTTCCTTCGAAGTTCCCTCCGAAGAGCCCAGTCCCGAGACCAAACGATCGATGCTGTTTCTGAGCATGATCGCTAGTTGTGATGGAATGTTAATATCTCAGGATCTGCTAGTATCACTGCAATGTTTTCTGGAAGCTTCAGGGTGCATGTTTTCCTATTCCTTGGATATCTTCAGAGACGTATTGGTGGTGAACAGAAACCTGAAGCCAGACTTCGCCAGGACTTGTGAGTCGGTCTTATTGCAAAGACTAACCAAACTCGATAATAGGGAGCTGGCTGAGACTGTTAGATGTATTTGGCTTTTCTCAAACATTACAGGTGATTCCAGAAGAATTGCTTCTGCTGCCATTTCATGCATTAGGCTGATCAAGCCGTTTGCTGATTCTGCCATGTCCGGCTTGAGTGTGATCTACGACGGAAAACTAATGAGGCTTTTATCGTTAATAGGTCATTTTGGATCATTCTGTCAGTTTGACCAGCCTGGAACAAAAGACATCTTTATTTCAGCAAAGTTGGGCCTAAAGACTAACGATACCGTTCGAAGCCTTCTGGTGAGAATTCTGCTGTGTTTCTCTGGCCCAAAGGTTGACCGTTCCGTGCGGTCTCGGGCCATTGAAAATTTGTTGAACATCTGCACATCTGATCCTATTCTCTTCAAAACTATGGCAATCAAAAACATTCTTTCTGTGTCTCTGAACGAGAGCTCTGAACTGGAGAGGCCTACCAAGAAGGTCATCATCAATGCCTTCACGAGACTTCTACAGCATGCGGAAAAAGAGACTCTAAAGCGAGTGGGATTGAACATCAATGTTTCCGGAAGCTCCAAGATCGATATAACTGCATTTCACGGCGAGTCCAACAATTTCTTGGTGGATGCCATCTGTACGTCTTTGGTGCAAGATCATCTGCAGCCAATCTTAGGAGCATGTCTCCAAGATGAAACAGACTACGCATTTACAGCTACAAAACTACTCAGTCTGATTATCCGCCTTGGACTTGCCAATCCAAGAATTTGCATAGCGACAGTTATTGCGCTCGAGTCTTCCAGCAATGCTGGAACCAGAGAGATAGCATTGGCGATACACCAAGAGCTTTACGAGAAACACGAGTCTTTGATAGAGACCAGTTACACAGAAGGATTCAGGCTTGCTGTGAGTTATCGAAAAAGAGTCTCGAGTCGTTTTTATGTGGAGTTTACGTTTCTCCACTCGTTTTTTGGAGTCTTCAAAAACAACGTCACCAGCAGACGAAAAGCACTTTCCACGTTGGGCCGCTCTTTCTGCTTCAACGAAGTCAGATTTTCAACTCAAAATGCTGCTCTAGAGTATCTGGATTATATTTCGTATATTTCCAGATGTTTTAATGCCATAACTTGCAACACACTCGAGGAAGCTTATACAGTGGTGAAGGCAATAACCGTCGCAGTATGCTCCCCAGGATATGATATTCTTTCAAAGCTTGAAACATCACCCACCACAAAATCCTATTTGTTCGTCTTGAGAGCGTATTTGGTGCTTTTAAGGCTTAACCACTCTTTTATGGTTCGATATGGTCTGAATCTCGACACAATTGGGGATTTTTCAGCAGCCAAAGGAGATAGAAGTCTACGAGTACCTCCTAAAGCTCGTAATTTACACACAAATATTGATCTACACGATCTAGACATCGAATGCTTGAAAATTGATAACGACAAAACCAACATGGAGCTACAGACCAAGCTTAGTTTCCTACTATCATCGACAAGAGAAGGTGATCTTTATGATTGAAATGCTATACTAATGACCCTTTCCAACTCACAAACCCTGTAAAAAGGCATCCTCGTAATCAGAACGCAACACAATAAGTTGCCTTATAACACTGGGCTTCAATTGGGCCAGATGTCCCTCTTTCACCAAGGATTGGATCAAATCGGACGAAACCAAGAAGAGGTTGGCCACTTCCTTGATCACAGTGAAGTTCTCTGTTAGCGACTCAATCCCCCACGAATTGATCATCGCGAGATAATGAACAGAGTCTTTGGTGAGGGTAAGACCACCTATCGTCGATATTTTGAACTTTCTTAGATGCTCAAAGAGAAGACCCAGTAGACCTTCGCCCATTTGCTTGGACAGCTCAATGAGAGTATCCTCCGGTAGATAGGTGGTGGCTTTCAGATGACATTCCTTCAAAAACTCCGTAACAGCAGCGCAAGTTTCGGTCTCATCCTGGGTAGATTCTGCTTGGGCCAGAAACTCCTTTCTTGGTTGTCTTGAGAGTAACGAGGACACACGGTTCATTATCACGGTGACGGTGTCTCTCAAAATCAAATCCAGAGAAAGTTCACATCTTAATAGGTATCCATTAGTGACGTCCACCAATCTCGCCTTATTGGCTGGCGAGTTCGCAGTCAATGGTAAAATGATAGTCTGGATGCAGGAAGAAAGCAGGAACAATATGTCCGAGCACGTTCTGAAGATGGCTAGGTGGTCCAATATCACAGGTGAATACGAATTCAAGGACAGTTGATTTGTCACCCCCAGAGTGTAGCTTACCTCCAGACCAACTGCGACGTAGGACTTACCAATTCCCATGATCAAGATTTCCAAAATCTCTATTCCATAGTCTGCTGCCTTTGAAGGAACAAGCTCCACGGTTCTTGCGAGTGATTCCACGCACGATTTGAGTATCTTATCCACCTTAGAAAGCGAAAGTGTCCCGGTGGCTGTGATTGGGCTTGAGTTTGGAAGGCTGGGAAGCTCTTCGTTTTCGGGTTGTATCTGCATTGTTTTGAGACGATCTCTTATGGACGATGATCTCTCAGAGTGATTCCTCATGAATGTGGATAAGCCTCCAAACCTCTTTGCTTGGGTCTTCCTGTTTTGACCCGTATATTTTCGCAGGAACGATTTGGTCTTTCCTGTGAAATACTCTCTTCCTTCCAGTTCCTCTTCCTCTTCGGTTAAGTCATCCACAATATGCAGTGGCTGCGCTTCATGTGCTTGAATTTGGGTTTCCAAAGTCTTTTGTATCTGGAACTGCTTGATCCGCTGTCGCAGGTTCTCATTCTTGGTATACTTTTCGTTTTCGCTTTCGAATCTGGAGATGGTTGAGTAGACAACCTCCTCAAAGCTTCTTTTTTCAACCTCAAAATACTTGTTCTTACCCACGTACTCATAGAACAAGTCTGTGCTCAACTGGTCTAAAAGTTCTGAAACGGCAATCTCGGAGTGAGAATCAAAGTAATCTTTCAATACTCTCGTCCTTGATCCAAGACACCCGTACAACACATGCAAGCACCGAACATATGTAAGAGCAGACAGCGAGTTTGCCGTCTTAAGAATGAACTGGAATCTCGCCTCAATAAGCTGAACGTAACATCTGGAGATAAAAGCACTGATTACAGTGGCCGTGTCTGTGAAGACCTGACCTATAATGGGATACTCGCTCTTCACCACCTCCACAAACTCATCCATAAGACTGGATGTGGCGCTATCAACAGAAAGATCATGTCTGTCTGAATTGGACATTCTCTTCCAAAAAGCTGAGTCCATGGCAATTGAGTCATTATCAAGCCATTTTTCACCCGATATCAAGAAAAAGTCATGTTGGTTGACAAAGAATTGCACCACAGACGATCCTCCATTGAACGTGAACAGCACATCGGCAGTGTTCTTCATTTGTCTAAAGTCAGAGGCACGATAAAGCTCATGAAATTCATCAAGTAAGTCTCTCTCAAACGTCTCGGAGTATTTCTGAATCGTGTTGGTGGACTGCTCGGATCCCGGTAGATCATCAGATTGGAGCTTCTTGGCCAGCGACGACAACGAAGAAAGGTGCTTGGCATAAGCACGCCTATCGTCAACACTTCTGCTCTGACCGAGAGCCTTCAGCTCCTGCGAGGGCTCACCAGTTTCCCGAAATGCGTTATAGCATTTAATCAGAAATATAGTGGATTTGGAGTGTTCTCCTGACCTGTTGACTTTTGTCAGTTTCTCGCCTAACGGAACAATTACCGACGAAGCCCTGGTAACCTGGTCATCCAGCGTAGCAAATCGGGTTGTCATTTTCTGCATTTGCTTGGTTAGTAAGGAATTGTTCAAATCACGCGTTCCATATACATACATCAAAATCTGCTGCCACGGCCATTACATTCTGGGAGTGTTGCAATTCATATCTCTCAACCTCTTTTTCAGCTTGTCTCTTCTTCTGTATGGACTCTTCACTTAGACGATTCAAGATCTTTAATGCCGATTCGAACGTCCGTATGTATGGTTTGGGGTCAAGGTATTTGACACTGTTGACCTCATCATCCTGCAACGAGTGGTTCTTGGACAGCTCCTCAACAAACTCGCCAATGGTCAGACCATCTAGGAAATTATCCAGCGTGAGTAATCTCCTAGTGCTATCATCGACTTTGAATGGGGAAGCCATTGCATATGGAGGCTATGTGGTCCTCTGAAGACTGATGATGTCTTGTCAAGCGTGTCTTTAGATCATCGTAATATCGGTAGGACGTGCAAACACAAATACCGTGCAACACCCGAGAACTTTCAAGGTCGTGCACGGTTTCCAAGTTCTCCCCGAGACCGCGGAAAATTAGTAAAAATTACCCTTTTCGGCTTGGATTCCTGTTGAGTCACCGACAATGCTGATATATATATACTGAAACATTAGACCCTTTTGGAAACCGGTATTTACTGCTCTCTTCTTCTTCTTCTTCCTCTTCTTCTTCCAAAATGTTAAGACTCGCTGCCAGCTCATCTTTGAAATTCTCTAGATCCTTCTCAATGACTGTTCCTGCCTCTAGTTCACCAAGACACTTGGTCTCCATGCTGGAGCTGTCGAACACCGAACTTAAGTCACTGGTTGATAGAGCACTTCATTTCAAGACCCAGATCAAGTCCGGGGAAAAAGCTCCAAAAGAAGTGAGCGAAGCTCTTTTGGGTAAATTGGTTGCCCTGATCTTTTCTAAGAGGTCAACCAGAACCAGAATCTCCACGGAGGGAGCGGCCGTCTATTTCGGAGGCCACCCAATGTTTCTTGGAAAGGACGACATTCAATTAGGCGTCAACGAGTCTTTCTATGACACGACCAGAGTTGTGTCTTCCATGACATCCTGTATTTTTGCACGTGTGAATAGTCACTCCGAGATCCAGGAACTGTGCAAGCACTCTTCAGTTCCTATAATAAATGCCCTTTGTGACAAGTTCCATCCGTTACAAGCTATTGCAGATCTTGTCACGATCAAGGAAACCTACGGGGATCTTAAAGGCTTGAAGCTAGCCTGGATAGGTGATTCCAACAACGTGATCAACGACCTGGCCGTGGCTGCTCTTAGGTTTGGAATTAACGTTTCTGTGGCTACTCCTACAGGCGCTGATTTTGACACCTCAATTGCCGAGCAGGCCTCCAAAATCGGCCAAGAGAATGGGGCAGCCTTCACATTGACTCACAATCCTCTTGAGGCTGCACATGAGGCTGATATTCTCGTCACCGATACTTTTGTATCCATGGGTCAGGAAGCAGAGGCCCTCCAGAAACTTCAGCAATTTGCTGGGTTCCAGATTACCAACGAGCTGGCCAAAAAGGCAGGTGCCAAGCCTGACTGGAAGTTCATGCATTGTTTGCCTCGTCATCACGAGGAGGTTGACGACGAGGTGTTTTATTCGGACAGATCTATCGTGTTCCAGGAAGCAGAGAATAGGTTGTATGCTGCTCTTGCAGCCATCGAGGGTTTTGTGATTAACAAGGGAAAACTTGAGTGAAAAATTGGACTCCTAGTCATTCCCTATGTATATATATAAATATTATGACCCAAGAAACAATTTTAATGTCCTGGTGATGTCATTATTTGGTGGTATTAGCTTGGCTTCATGGTTAAGCCTAATTTCGTGCCGCACCAAAAGGGCGTTGTGATGGCACGCTATCTGGCAACACGTAGTTGGAGATCTGTACACTCTTTGTTCTGAACGGACCGATCTGTTGTAGGTCATCTTTCCTTCCCAAAAATGGACGAATCAGTAGCTCTTAAGAAGATTAATGAGACGTTCAGAAATGAGGAGGATCTACAAAGAATTATCAGTTTCCGCGAGGATTGCATACGGGAGAAACATCTCATTGATTCCCAATTGAAGATTGAATCACAACAAGAACTGGAACACTCCCTCAAAGTGCTAAATGAGCTGAGACTAGCAAATCTGAACTTTAAGGATCTGAGAGACAATATTGCCAAGATAAATGTGATGAAGAATGACTCGTTTCAGTCAATTGCCAACTATGACCTGATAGAACGTTCAGCCAACGTGTATGAGTTCTTTGAGAAGATGGAAAACATATACGACCAATTTTCTACGTTTTCACAAACTCAACAGGAATTGGAGCGTTTGATTGACTTGGAAACTGCCGAAGAGATCCAAGTGGATTCTCCTGTTACGAGTCTGTTGGTGATCCATTACCGTTTGAACCAACTTCGTGATTTGAGAGACGAACTCACATTGATGTCTGAAAAGTCGAAAGATGACACGAAGGCGGTATTAAAGAGGCTTTTCAGCACACTGGATCCTTTGGTTGCGCGATTTGATGTCTTTTTGCAAGAGATCACCACATGTCTGATTGAGTCCATGAAGGAGGGTAATTTCTCTTTGATCATTCGTCTTGTGAAGATCATAGATTTCGAGGAGAGAGAAGACCTGAAACTTACAATTTTCCAGAGTTTGCTTGAGAAGAACCAAGAGTCCTTTGGAGGGGATTCCGGTAGAAAAGATACCGACAAAGACAGTAGGATGATGAAATCCAGCATCAAAAGAACAAAGGTTAGAGGCTATAAGAACTTGTTTTTTGACTGGATCCAAAGCTTGATTTCTGAAGTCTTTGACAATTGCATAGAGACCTTCCAAGATAACCCTTTTGAAGTTCTTGAGAACTTGGACTGGGTGTTTCAGGATCTCAAGGTCGTCCAAGAGTCAGAGTCTTTGTGCTTCCCTCAACGATGGGGGATGTTCAAGCAGATACGCATTCTGTATCAAGCTAATCTTCAACGAGTGATCACCAATTTGTTGAATTATAACCCAGAAACCTACATCATTATACAAATTCTACAGTTTGACGACAAATACAGGTCCATAATGAGGTCAGAGTTTGGATTGCTGAACAGAGACATTGGGTCTTCGATCGGAGAAGAGACTAAGGAGCAACTGCTTGATGATTACTTGAAAATGATGAAGGGAAAGATGTCTGAGTGGATAAATAGAGTGGAGGAAACAGAAAGGGATGTTTTCACCAAGAGGGAAACCGCACCCCAAGTTCATCCCAACGAACTTCCTGGTCTCGTGGGATCGAGCATCGTGTTTGAGATGTTCCAGGAACAATGTGGTGTCGCAGCAGAGACCAACCAGGCAAAGATATTGAATGGAGTGGTATTACATTTTGCCGACTTGTTACTGAAACGACAGGGCGATTGGAGTGCGCTGTTGACATCTGAAGTTGAGAGATGGATAGAGCACACTGATGAGATTCCAGACGGACTGATCGAGTACATTGTCGCGTTGGCCAATGATCAGATCAGAGGATTTGAATACACTGAGGATGTGCTCAACAGAATGCTTCCCCTAGTGTCCAAAAAGTATCAAGAATCTATGCAAGAGTCATTGGACAAAGTCATGGATGGCTATGCCTCAATGGGACGAGAGTGTGTTACCGGTCTCACCAGCATCATGTTTTCTGATATCAAAAACATATTTCCACTTCTGTTCAATAAGGACTGGTATGATCACGGTCGTGAATGGATGACTCAATTGATTGATACTTTTGACGATTACTTGGCCGACTTCCAGCACAGTTTGAACGAAACTCCATACCAAGTGCTGCTGGAGTTGTTGATACCGCAGTTACTGCTCAAGTACTTGGCTCCCCTCGGCTACGGAAACAACTTCAACATGAAGAAAGTATATGGTTACTTCCAAGAAGATGCTGCATCTTTGGTGAACTTGTTTGCGAAGTATGTGAATGGTGACGAGGTGTTGATGCAACAATTTGAGATCTTGAACATAACACTGGATCTGATCCAGCTGAAGGAAGATCAAGAGATTGTGAGTGCCTGGAGGGACAGGTATTTACCCATCTTCAACGATTTACCCACAGAGTTCCTGAGGACTGTGCTATCGTGTCGCAAAGATATCAGTTCGTCTAGGATGAAATTTATCATTGGAGAGTGTGAGTTCCTGAATCAGGAATACGAGAGGACAACCGAGGAGTTTGTTCCTTCGTTCATGGCTAACTTTGTGGCCGATACCAAGGATAAAAAACGGTCGTGAAGAAAGAAATGCTGAAAAAACACAGTCATGGAGGCAGAGATCATTCACTATATGTCTATGAACAATACATCTATACTCATGACTACATTCACAAATTATACCATCCACAGCATCACGAACTATATATCCAAATCACAGTAACCACCAACGTTTTCTCGCCAAACTCAATCTGAAATGTAGAAGTACCGTCTTTAGACGAATCCCAGGAACTACCCATGAACCCCATACAGTCCTTGGCTGATCCACTCACCAAACTAACGTTGACCACATACTTGTATTGCGAAGACTTTGCACTCAGTTTTAGGAGTAAATCGTTTATCACCTTTTGTATCTGTTTTGAAATTTCAGACTGTGAACTAGAGACATCCATTGCAGAGACACCTTTGCTTATTATCACGCGAAGCTCATCTGGGTGTAATGGCTATATGGGGTCAGTAGCGGAATGGAGAATGGGAACAAAGAAAGAATTCTTACAGAATATTCAACATTCTTGGGGTCAATTGTTACGATTGGTGCAGCAGTCATGGTGGATTGAAGTGAATCCGGAACGAATATAAATATTTAGGGCTGATTAGTGAATCTTGTGACATAACATGCTAACACTGATTCATGACGATCCAAGCGTGCTATAATCAATGGTAAATACACTACAGAAACTGTCTATCAATTGCCCCACGTGCTTACGAGTCCGTACAGCCATTATCTAACCAACCCGAAACTGAGGAAAGAACTGTGTTCAGCTCATTCTTCTATTACAAAGGGCGTCAATATCCTTTACAATGTCATCTGCTCCATTGCTACAGAGTGCGCCTGGTAAGTGACCCCCAGCAATCATCAGAATTGGGGAAGATCCATCTGGAACGAGGGATACTAACAGCAACAAGGCAAGAGAATAGCGCTTCCCACGAGGGTCGAGCCCAAGGTGTTCTTCGCCAACGAAAGAACGTTTCTGTCATGGTTGAACTTCACCGTGATCCTGGGTTCGCTGGCAATTGGACTTTTGAACTTTGGTGATAAAGTTGGACGGATTTCAGCTGCACTCTTTACATTGATCGCCATGGGCACTATGCTGTATGCCTTGACCACGTACCATTGGAGGGCAAATGCTATCAGGAGACGGGGGTCCGGGCCTTACGATGACAGATTTGGTCCTACAATGTTATGTTTCTTCCTGTTAATTGCTGTGATTGTGAACTTCACGTTGAGGATCAGGGCCTGAGAAAGAGGCCATGGCAAAACAGATGTCAGCCTTACATAGAACAAAATCACATCGAGTAGTCACCTTAGTCAACCACGCATTTTTTCCAGTTATCTCAGATATTTTGGAGTAGAGGGGGAATGACCAGACAGTCTGGAAATGTATTAAATTGCTGTTGTGGAATTTGGTTATATATTGGTAGTGGTAGTGGTAGTAACACTGGCTATACTCGCATATTCGAGGTTTCTCATTCCTTCCCCAGTATTCTTCAGATGTTCTCTACTGATTGTACGTTCATTCAAATGGATCAACTTCGCAATTGCACTGTATGAACCCGAAAGTCCGACAACTCTACAAGGACCTACTATGGCTGGCGAAAAACTACCCAGGGGATTACCCTAAGATAAGGGATAAGCTCCACGATGGGTTCATCAGGAATGCCAGAGTGAGTTCTGGCGAAGAATTGGAAAAGTGCTTGGAACATGGGGAATTTATCGCTAAAGAGCTACAAAGTTTATATTTTCTGAGAACTTATAGGGCTGTCAAGAGAAACTATTATGACTAAATTTAAGCAGGCATTGATCCTATACGACGTGTAGTAGTTATCCCAAAACACTGTATCTGCACTGCAAGTCAGTCCATTGATTATCCCGGCCTAACAGTTTGGATAGTGCTACCCGATCTCGAACTCTCCTTCCCAATCCGGTCAAGAGTGTACCAACCAATCAAAAACATTTAACAGTCACGCTTTGGCCAACCCAAAGTGGTGAATGTATGAGTAATTCCCATCACCACAGCGTAAACACTCAACCGACTCTTCACCATCAAACCTTCTGCCCGCTCCCCAAAGATCATTATGGAGTGTCCGCACCAGAAACTCTCACCTAACATTCTTGAGGTTGAAGATTGAAATTTACTAGTGAGCTCAAAGCTTTTTGTTACAACTTTGTGATAGCATAAATTAATCAATATGGTATGTGTGAACATAAAACTTTGAAGAGACCAGTTGGATGAAGGGCATGTCTTGTTTGAAACTCTCGGAATATAAAATATACAGATTAATGGGTCTAGTGGGATTGTCGTATCTTGCTGACAAAATTTGAACATCAATCACAGCGACAACGGCTCACGGAAGAACGTGTCAACAAGAGGAAAATTGACGAGAGCTGAAATGGAATAACCAGGGATCTTTGCTGGTACTGGGTGATTTGTGTATTTGTGGAAAATATACAAACGAGGTGAATCCCGATCAAAAACTCAACAAGACACTCCATCGCTAACTTCTTCTTCAATACTCTGCCACAAGCCTTCAAATTACTAACCCCTTTTGCAGAGTGATCCAATCACAATCAGAACCAGAAAGGTCATTAGCAACCCATTGTTGGAGAGACGTCAATTCGTCATTGACGTTTTGCACCCAAACAGAGCTAACGTCTCCAAGGACGAGCTCCGTGAGAAACTATCTGAGATCTACAAAGTTGAGAAGGACTCCGTCTCCGTTTTCGGTTTCAGAACACAATTCGGTGGTGGAAAGTCTACTGGATTTGGTTTGATCTACTCCTCGGTCGCTTCCGCCAAGAAGTTCGAGCCAAACTACCGTTTGGTCAGATACGGTTTGGACACCAAGGTCGAGAAGGCTTCTAGACAACAAAGAAAACAAAGAAAGAACCGTCAAAAGAAGGTCTTCGGTACCGGTAAGCGTGCTGCTAAGCACCACGCCAAGCGTCACGCCGATTAGGTATGAGGTGAGTGTGTTTGCTTAGGTTTCTATAAAAACGTTTTAATTGCAAAATATTTCATGTATCGAGTGTAGAAGAGGGTCTGCGAGTGATTTGAAGGTATGGTGATAGTTACAGAAGACGAAGCAATGAGTTCCATTTAGCAGGCTGTACTTGCACCACAGTGCTAGAATTTGAAATTTTGAAAGTCAGAAGAATCCAACTTGTTCACCAGTCGACACTTTAATGAGAATTCCATTCAATAAGTCCTTCAGAACTCAATGAACCGTGTTTAGTATGCTAATCTCAGTATGCTTGTACCACGCCTACGATACTAACCACCGTCTAGCAATAAAAACTTAAACCACCTACAAACAAATATAAACGACGAATATTCACCGATTCTCCTCTATTTGACACCCTTCTTGATAGACAGGACTCTGATGTTCTCCTCAAGCTTTCTGATCTCGCTCTGCAAGCCCTCCAGGTCATGGTTGAGTCTGTTCTTCTCGGTGACAATGTTCTGCTCCCATTGTCTGAATCTCTGCTCCTCGGCTTTCACCTGGCCCGTGAAGTAAAGTTTCAAGGCGTTTTCTTCCTCCAAGAACTTGGGGTTGGCAGTTCTCTTGAGATCAGAGGTCTCGGCCTTTCCGTTTTCGTCAGACTGCAACTTCAAAGCCCTGTAGCTCTCGTAGTGCAGTTCTTCTGTGGAAAGGATCAAATCCAGCATGTTCGTCCTGAGCAGCAGACTTCTCAGTTTGCGGAAGTCACAGTGCTGGTCGTTCTCAACCTCGACAATACCCCATGGATATTGTCTTCCACGAACAATGTTGCCAGGACTGACCTCAATGGAGTCCTCAGATCCAATAACCGCAAAAGGCATGCTCTCAATAAGCTGTTTGGCATGCTCTGCAGCCGCCTGATCCTCCAGCTCCAAAGGAGGAGAGTAGATTCTTATATCCTGGGCCTCAATAATGGATCTTATGCGACTTTTGAACTCCAGCATCTCGTTGGGAGACAACGTGTCAGCCTTGGCGATGACTGGAATCAGGTTCACTCTGGTACCCAATTTCTTCATCACCTCAACGTCCAAAGGCTTGAGAGTGTGGCCAGTGGGTCTGATGAAGTATAAACAAGCATGGGCTCTCAAATCCTTCTTGCTGGCCCTGGTAGGTTGCTGTTCCTGTCTCAGATAGAGGTTGTGCTGTTCGTCCAGGAACTCAATGATTGGTTGCCAGCTGTTGTTGTTGGAGACATTGTCACCAAACCCAGGGGTGTCAATCACATTGAGACGAATGGTGAAGTTTTTCTCTCTGAGTTCGGCGCGGGTAATGTCGATTCCTACGGTCTTCTGCAATGGTGCCTTGTGTCTAGTCGCGTTTGACTCGGGGTAAATCAGATCTGATTCAAACAAAGTGTTGATAAAGGTGCTCTTACCAAGCCCAGACTCTCCGGCAACCATCAGGGTGAAGGTGGCGCCTTCGCGAGACACAATTTTGTACCTTCATGAAAAGTTAGTAAATCGTTCAGGGAACAAGACAAGACAAGTCACGTCCACATACCTCTGGTTGGGCAAGTTTGAAATACCAATGGGTTCAGGCATATCTTTAATAGCAAATTCTGGGGTAGCTAGTTCAACAAACAGGAAACTGAATATATAGCTTCGGGTGGTTAATCGTTGTTTCTGAAACAGATGGAATGTTTGGACATCGTGACGCGTTTGACCTCGAATGCTACACGCCCGTGATGAATTTGGCAGAGCTCTTTCGGGGAGCTTGCAAGCCGACTTTGGCCGGGCACTGCGATATGAGGCCAGGTTATTCCTCGATATACGACAAAATCTCTTGTTCATTGTTTTTTCAGTCTTCAGCTATGGCCTCAGAAAACGTGCTCACTCCTTTTATCAAGAAATTGTTCACGACCCCACCCACGCTCTCTCCAGCGGATCTGGGCTCGGTGCTCAAACTTGTTATCCAGGGCTCGTCTTCAGATATACAAACGGCTGCGTTTTTCACCGCACTGAGACTCACAAACGTCGACCACCAACCAGAGTTCATATCAACTGCAGCACAAACAGTTTTGGAGTTTTCGTCTACGGTAGACATAAATTCTGTTGACAAGGATGGATATCTGGACATTGTTGGAACCGGTGGTGACTCACAAAACACCTTCAATGTGTCTACGTCAGCTGCCATAGTCACGGCTGGAATGGGTCTCAAGGTGTGCAAACACGGAGGAAAGGCCTCGACATCGAAATCTGGATCTGGTGATCTAATGGCCCATTTGGGTGTTGATCTGCTCAAAGTCAATGCAGCTTCAACTCCTTCTATACTTTCCAAATCTAAATTGTGTTTCCTGTTCGCTCCAGCATTTCACCCTGCGATGGGCAAAGTTGCACCAATCAGAGCAGGGCTCGGTATTCCTACCATTTTCAACATCCTGGGACCTCTTTTGAACCCCGCACCTGTAAGAGCGAGAGTTTTGGGGGTTTACGCGGAGTCGCTTGGTCAGGTTTATGCTGAAGCTGCTTTGGCTATGGACGAGGCCAAGGGAAAGATTGCTTCCACGTTGGTGGTTTGGGGAGAGTGCGGGCTTGATGAAATCTCACCAATTGGTAGGTCTAAGATTTGGAGAGTTGATCCAACGACAAAGCAGATCACTTCCGAGTGGATACAGCCCTCTGACTTTGGATTGCCCGAACATAGTCTGGACCTGGTCAGATCGGGTACGCCTGCCGAAAATGCAGTTCTGCTGAGGGAGATACTTGAGGGGAAGTTTGGAGTTGGTCCAGGTGAACCTTTGGTTGACTACATCGTGATGAATTCGGCTGCTTTGGCCGTTACTGCTGGTGCTGCCAATACTTGGATAGAGGGCGTGGAGCTCGCAAGGAAATCGATCTCCAGTGGTGCGGCTCTGAAAAGTTTGGAGGGGTTCGTAGATGCTGTCAGTGAAGTGTGAAACTCAATCAGGACCATCACGCATGTTAGAGAGATGTGGGACTCAATACATATGTAAACAATAGAATTTAGACTCTGGAGATCAGTTTTCAGGAATTAAACATGGAACAAATAGCTACTAGATCGCGGTTATTGGATCGCAATGACCCGGAAGAGCTTCTAACACGAAAGATGGAGTTGTCCACTCAGCCCAGAAAGGAGGCAGATGCGTGGAGAGATGTCACTCAGAAGCCTGTTGTTGCCAGGACTGAATTGGAAATATATTCTGACTCCGATACCGAGCACGACAAATCATACTTTCTCAAAGCGGTTAGGGCCACTAATGAGATGCACAACGCCGCCAAAGCCGCCAAAGCCACATCAGCTGCAAACAAAGAGAACACTGAGATCAACAACAAAGACTACTCGTACAAAGCGCCGTTTTCAACATCCACACCTGCAATTTCGAAAAGCTCTTTTGTGGTCTTTAGTGAGAGGAATTTAAATCAAAATGGAAACTCTTCTTTGAGGAAATTAACTCAGACCAGCGAATGTACTCCTATACATACAGATTCTCAAGCAGCGATATCGCAACCAAAACAACACGAAGATATCTCTCTGTCCTCGCTCATGGAATCACTGAGAAGCCAATCGACTAATCCAGACGAGTCTCCGGGGATAGCTAGCGATAATGTTCAAATCGATGAAGACGACGATGCGGATGTTGATTCTTCCCCATCTCTTCCTAGACGGATCAGATCAACCACGCGAAGACAGGTGGAAAGTCGTGGTCTGGATCATCACAATGAATTGAAAGACGAACTTTCAGACGCTTACTCAAAAATCCGGTTGCTTGAAGCAAGGGTTGGCGAACTGGAAACAACCGCATACAGGCGAGACAGAGATTTGGGGAATGCACAATTCAAATTGGAGCGTGATGAGGTTGAGATACATGAACTCAAAAACCATATAAGTGAACAAGATAACGATATTAAAGCGTTGAGGGATGAGCATCTGGAGTTGAAAAGGCAGGGCAAGGTTATGGCTATGTCGACAGGTGAACACGATTCGTTGAAACTAAAGCTGGAAGAGTCGGAGAAGGAGTTGGAGGAGCTTAGAGAAAAGTTGCGGAAGGCTGATAAAGTCGCACAGGCGAGCGAAGATCTTTTGAAGCAGATCGGATCCCTCCAGAAGGAAAATGAACGTTTGGCCTCCAAAATAGGAACCATAAAACCCACGCCACAGTCGGGAGACGAAGCTCTCGATATTGCTTCAATCGAGTCTTTCACCCTCGCTGATTGTTATGAAATCATCAGTTACATCGTCAGACAGCAGGAAGTATCCATTGGTGAACTGCTGCCCTGGTTGGGGTACCAGAAGGAGTCACTCAAGTGCCACGGCAACTTCGCCAATAAGACCCATCTTCTCTACTATTCCGAGCCAAGAAGGGCCGACTTAGGCTCTTCGAAGGAAATCCAGAAGCTGCTTCGTGAGGGCGCAAATCCAGACCGTTTGATAGCAGACTTGGTTCAGTGTTTGACGGACATGTTGAAGTATTCAAAAGATCACATGGTGTGTTAAGAACTCTCATATAGTATACATCGTGAAGCATTTATTCATCGCTGAGTATTTCCTCTACTCTTTGATCATGACGATCGTGTCATGCATTCTTTTCGCAATCTTTTGTTCCTCCTCATTGAGAGTATGTCCCTTAAGTGTGTATCTCTCCAGTATCTTGACATTGGTAGCGTGTAGTTCCTTCGCTTCTTCCAGTTTGGTTCTCATCTTTGTCAATTGTTCGTCTAGTTTCGGGATCCTCCTGAATTTCACCTTGGACTTTTGGTGATTTGTAGAACTTGCCAAACCAAGCTGATTCTTCTCCCATTCTCCTGCATCCGAGTGCTCTTCGTCACTCGCCTGGGCTTCTTCAATGGCAGTTTCGATTTGCTCGCGGAAATGTCGCTGTTGAATTGATTCTTCATTTTCACCAATAACAAGCCTCTCATCTGCAAAAGCATCGTCCATATCAACATCGTAGAGCCCATCGCTTTCGAGTTCGTCCTGAACAGCGTCCTTAATTCGTATTATTTCTTCTTCAGAGCTCAACTCCTCTGTATTGATCGCAGCATTCAGGTCCCTCGTCCGCTGCTTACGGCTGATCAACTCCTTCACAACAGAAGGATCCACAATGTTGGTATTATTGAAATCTTCATTCCCGTCGGTCCTTTCCAATGCATTCGCTGCAGCTTCGATACTCAACCCTTCAGTCATTTGAGCTAACCTTTCTTCTTGAATTCTCCTTTTTAAACCATTGTTTTTTGGGATAATGGGCTTTTTTATCACGATATCGAAAGAGTCCAATTCTTGCTCGATGGAGATCATATCATGCTCTCGCAAGGGACCCTTCATGGTATCCCTCGCCGTCACGTCTGACACCTTCCCCAATTCCTCAAAATCGTCTTCATCTTCCCTACTAATTATGACTTTCGCCTTTCTTCTGTTAAAAGACATAAAATAAGACAAATCAAACCGCAATAGTTGAAATATCCATGAATCTATCGAGTTAAAGAACAAGACAACATCGTTAATGTATTGAGTAATCGAGCCTCCTAATCTATTCTCACATACACGACCTCATCTATCTGGAAAAAAATTGAGTATTTAACATTTAACCCTACAACACATCGGTCGTCACATCGAAATACACATTGAAATACCAGATAAAAATTACATTTCTACAATGTCAGTTTCAGAAAAAGCTCAGGAAATTCATGACATTATGGTCACAAACATGTCGTCATCTCTGCAGTCGTTCTCGCAGACTGACCTCTCTGAACTGGTCCAGATAGAGAACGCAGAGGACCTGATGAAACACATCCAAGAGTTGTTGAACCACAAGCTTGTGAAGCTGATCCAGAGTCAGGGGGCTTTGAGATTTCAACCTGTTAATGAAACTGATGCCGCTAAAGTTATGCGGATGTCGAAGGATGAAGCAATGGTCTACTCATACATAGAAGCCAGTGGCCGGGAGGGTATATGGACCAAGACGATCAAGGCCAGAACCAATCTTCACCAACACATCGTACTGAGATGCTTAAAATCGTTGGAAAATCAAAGTTTCATTAAGAGTGTGAAATCAGTGAAACATCCCACGAGGAAAATCTACATGCTGTACCATCTCACTCCCAGCATTGATGTTACTGGTGGTCCATGGTTCACCGATTCAGAGCTGGACACCGAGTTTATCGATTCGCTGCTTGTTGTTACGTGGAGATATGTTGCATCGAAAAGTTATCCAAATGCTTTCAAGAAGACAGGAGCATTGCAAGAGTCATATCCGGCAAGTCATATCCAGAGCATGCCTACCACCGATGACATTTGCAAGTTTATTGGAATTAGTGGAATAACTTCTGTTGAGTTGACTCCCTCAGATATACGAAGCCTTTGTGATGTGCTAGTATATGATGGAAAACTGGATAGAGTGAACGGTGGAGACTCGTACATGGCTACATGGCAAAGCATTCTGGAGTCCAGGGGAGATGAGACTGACAGCATAGAACATCCATACAGTATCTTTGACACCCACCAAGCCTCAGAAAACATGGGTGGTGACTACGATGAGAGCGAAGAGATGTTATATCTGGATTCGTGGATTAGTACGTGAAAAATTCAGAAGGGTATATAGAAATGTGTGTATATAAACAGGTGTGAATATAACACCACGAGGTACTGGACTAGCACCTTGTGTAAAGCTTAGCAGTATCATCAGCAAAGATCTCTCACCATAATTCAATTAAAATGCAGACACATCGTTATAGGCTGGTGGCATATTTTCAAGACGCTTACACTTTCCGTGGTAAAGTTTCTCGACCGAGCTTGGTTCGCAAAGACGAGAGGCTGGAAGGGCAGAATATGATGGAGGAGGCAGTTGACCATCCCATGATCTGGAGTCCAGCAAATATATTGGAGTCATCAACGACAAGTCCACCTTCTCATCCAAGTTTCTTGAATCCTCACGGATGAGTTTGGCATTTCTTGAGACCCACTCCATGGTGCGTTCCTCAAAGGGAGGAGCCTTCAAATCTGATTCAGACTGATTCGTAGTTTCAGAAGTTCTCGAACTTGAGCGAGAGGCTGGAAACAAAGTCTCCGAAACGATGGAGTTGATGCTGTTGATGGAATGGCTGAGACTTGGTCTTGGAGACTCAGATCTCTCGCTGATTTCCTCCAATATAATGCCTAACTTCAAGTTGTGCGAAATCTTGAAATTGCAAACATCGTTCTTGTTGTCTGTGCATGGGTGAATTTGCAAGTCGAGAGTTTCTGGATATGTCCTCGAGTAATCATGCTGTATTGGCAAAGAAATCTTCTCCTGAACATATCCCTGACGACCATGGTAATCATACGTCTTCAGATGGATCTTATGACACTTGGAGAAAGCCGAACGGTATTGACAGGGGAGACCCTTAACAGAGTATTCGATCTTCTGTTCGAGTATCACTTTCAATCCATGCACCTTATATCTGTGTTCATGTAGAGGAAAGATCTTAATCTCAATGGCAACATCTTCACCGATGACCAAGGTTTTGTTGGATATCATTAGTTCGTAGTAAAGCAAATTTCTCCAGCAGCCCATAGCAACAACAGTTTGGCACGATATCTCGATCAGGTCCGACACGCATCTGATCACAGTAATGGGTTGCACAGCTTTTTTCGCCAGAGTTGGGTCTTTGGTGAGAATATTCATAGTAACTTGGTATCTAACATCACCACAGGCATGCTCTATGGAGGCGGGAAGTTGTGGACTGATCGCAAACTGAAAGGGGAAGTTGTATGTTCCAGGCTGGAAGACATGCATATCCTGGTCAAAGACCCATTTGTAGCTGTCATCGATCAACGATTTATTCACGTGTTTGTCAACGGGATTCACGGTGTTTTGATCGGGTTCCCTAATGAATAATTTGGCACGATGATTCCCTGAAAATCTCACGCAAATTTGGTTTATCTCAACCTGTTTTCTCACTCTCAACGTCAACGAGCCTCGAACCAGCGATTGCGGGGAAGCCTTCTTCTCGTTCTCGCGAACACCCTTCAAATAAACCACCTCGTCCAAAATATTGAGGTCGCACTCATAAGGCGCCGATATTAGCGAAAGGTTCTTGAAAGAAAGTCTCATTTAGCTCAAAAATGCTGTGTACGGGGGGAAGAAGCAAGGAATGAAATTCAAGTGTCCAAAAAGTTTTCAAGCAATGAACAATGGACCGCCTCAAATTAACTTTGGTGTGGGGACTGGTCTCTTTTTTAGTTAAAAGTGTACAAGACTGGAGTCTCAAATCCTTTTTGTGGGAATATGACGACAAAAAAGCGATTATAATCTAGATTAGATATATGTTTAATTTTTTCCGCCCGGAACCACCACTTTAAGTGTCCTCGGTGCGGATCATCATGCTTGTTGAAGTCTCTCCACATTGGAACCCTTCTCGGGACGTCATCTCACAGACGTCATCCCACTTGGGGTCTGGGATATACCCGTGCTCTACAGAACAAATAGATAGCAGACACTGGCTCACTCCTCCCATCTGGTTGCCGTTAGTCCTGTGTGGACCTCCACTGATTACCACTTCCAAAGCTTGAATACTGGTTTATTTCACACTTTGGCCGGAGTTGTTTTCGCCGACGCATCACACAATTGTGTCATTGCTACTGCACCGAATTAAATGCATGTGCGGCGTAGAAGAAAATCGTGTGCCTCCTAATTGACGCGGTTGGGACACGCCACCTGGCGTACCTTCCGCAGGCACGCACAACAAGATTTAACTTCCTTTCATTCCTATAAAGATCTAAGGAAGATCCTCAGGTCTTCTGGTCACCTTTTGGGCTCAAACTGCAAATAATGTCATCTCTCAGAAAGCCCCTGGCATCAAAAGATGTCAACCAGCGAGCCTCGCCCTCGCCTTCGAAGGCGCCTCACAAGCACTCCAACTCCCCATTCACTATCTACAAAGACGAAACCGACTATAGAGTGAATAAGCCAACAGGGCGCTTGGGTGGGGTCACGGATGACAAAGAGAACACCAAAATCACGAGACAGAGGAGCCATTCTCCCTCCAAGGAATCGCCCAAGAAGAGAAGAGAACGAGTCGCAGGCGCGTCTAGATCTCAGCTTCCCTTGCAAGACCTGGATATCAGATTATACCCAGGCTACATACAATACCACGATACCTCAGATTCTATGCAAGGGATTCTGCAGCCAAAAACGCAACTGACATCCTCCTGGATGGTCAAATTTGACTCGCAGGGAAGAAAAATCAAGCTGCCATCATACCTAACACCACCTAGGAAAGATCGCACGGTCAACCTTCAATATGTGACCAGTCTCGATGCCGATGTTAGAACAGAAGCAATTCTGCGCAAAAGATCCTCGTCTCTTTCTCAGCATGCCGTGAAGAGATTGGATTTCACGATCTATGAAGACCACACAGTAGTGTAAAGTGCGTGTGGCCAAAACACGACCAAGTACACTACCTCATGTTTTGAGTTTATCAGACAGTTCGCCACATTATAATACCTTCTTCGCTTATCACATGTAGATTTCCGATCGTTACGCATTCGGCAACAATTGAAGTTTAGATCCATGAGCCAGGCTCCAGATTTGAGGCATTGATCAGAGAATTTGAAAGGGTCTCCCTTTTTTCTCTATTTAGGACGTATCACATAAGATGCCTAAATCAAGTCTACAGCCAAGTCCGCAGTCGCCTATAATGGTCCCTGGGCTCTCCAGACGTTTATCGTTGTTGCGAAACACATCTACGGCTGAGGATCTTGGCGATATCGGAATTCCCAAAGATGCAAAGTTTACGCCTCTATCGCCAAAGATGTCTCCTGGGAAATCTGCCGCCTACGAGCCCAGTGAGGTCAGCTCCCACTCTTCTTCTGAAAGTGATGGTAGACTCAAGAAATTGCTACGCAGAACCTCAAATGCATTGAGAAGTGGAAGTTTTAGCTCTGAAGGCTCTATGGGAAATCTGGCCAACTCAAAGGATGCCATGGCTGACGTGAATACCAAGTTGGATGAGTTACGAATCTCCCAGCCCCTGGATAAAAGGTCAATGCCTGTTGTCTTATTGAATCCGGGGATTGAATTACTCAGGATTACTCACAGGAAGAAAGTCAAAAGGTTATTCAGAATCGATATGGATACCAACAGGCTACTTTGGAATAACAAGTCGTCGTCATACTTGAGTATTGACAAGATCAGGAACATCAGGGCTGGCGACGATGCTAAGAATTACCGCGAAGAGTTCAAGGTGTCGTCTGATTACAAAGACTTGTGGATTACCATCATCTACAACAATGAACAGACGTTCAACAACATAAAGGCACTTCACGTTATCGCTACAAGAAAAGAAGACTTTGATGTCTTTCTGACTGTCTTGAAGAATTTGCTATACTTCAAGGTTGAAATGAACAGAAGTTTTGCCAATACCTTCAACAACGAGTATCTGGCAACATTTCACTGGAACAATAATGTTTTGCCGTACCATCCACCTGTCCAATCCGACATCAACCGAGTGAGCAAGACTGGTGACCGCTTGACCTATGAGGGCGTGGTGAAGCTTACCAAGAAACTGAATATCAACGTGGACACCGATTATCTCGGAGTCATTTTCAAACAGGTGGATGCCGATCATAATGGATATTTGAACTTCGATGAGTTCAAGTACTTTGTGAAGCTGTTACGGCAGAGACCTGAAGTTATGGCCCTGTACGACGGAATGATTCGCCCGGGTGAGTTATATCTATCGTTTGAGGCATTCAAGAATTTCATTGTTGATGTCCAACATGAAGATTACGATGAATCAACCATCAAGAAACTATATGCCAGGTTCTCGCAAACTGGTGAGATGAGCAGTGACGACTTCACTGATTTTATGATATCTTCCTACACAGCTGCTTTGCGAGACATTGAGGAAGACTTCTCTCGTCCTTTAAATGAGTATTTTGTGGCCTCATCTCACAACACATACCTTTTGGGTCGCCAAATAAAGGGCTCCTCCTCTGTTGAAGGATACATCAGGGCTCTGCAGCGTGGGTGTAGATGCATTGAGATTGACATCTGGGATGGAGAGACCGATGCAGGCGGAAAATGTCCAGTTGTCACTCACGGAAGAACGTTTACAACTAGTATTGACTTCAAGCAAGTGATTGAGGCAATTAGGAAGTATTCGTTCATCACTTCTCCGTTCCCGGTTATCCTGTCTCTGGAGGTACGCTGTACTTACGAGAACCAAGTGAAGGCATTCGAAACTATGGTTGAAGTTTTGGGTGACACCCTTGTGACCACTCCTCTTGATGAGACATCCAAAATGCTGCCAAGCCCACAGGCATTGAAGCACAAGTTCTTGGTGAAGGTTAAGAAGACTAATAAAGCCTTAAGCAATGCGGAATTTCAAAGTTCAGCTTCAGCATCAACACCTTCATCAATGAGTGAGGATAACTCCACTCTCATACCTTCGAAGCTGATTCCCAAGAAGACCAAAACGACTAAAATCTCGAGCGAGCTGAGCAGCTTGGGCGTTTATGTGGTTGGTACGAAGTTCACCAATTTCTCTCTTCCCGAATCAAAAACGTTCAACCACTGTTTTTCGTTCTCAGACAGAACTCTGGAGAAGATGATCAAAGTTGATGAGAAACTGGCAGCTGTCTTGAAGCATAACAGAAAGTATCTGTTGCGTATCTATCCGTCGCAGTTTAGATTCAGCTCTAGCAACTTCAATCCCTTGCCTTTTTGGGAGGTTGGCGTTCAAATGGTCGCAACCAATTGGCAGTTGTTTGATCGGGGACAGCAGATCAATGAAGCCATGTTTGCTGTTGGATCGCATAGTGGCTACATATTGAAGCCTCGCTCATTGAGACCCGGTCTTCGTCTAACGGACAATAGAAAGCAGAAGAACATCGTAAACCTTTCGACTTATGATACTGTCAAAGAGTATACGTTCACCATCATATCGGCTCAACAGCTGCCCAGACCGAAGGAGCTGAAGTCCAGTGTGCTTTTTGATCCCTACGTTGAACTTGAAGTTTATTCCGGAAAGATTCTGACTTGCTCCGTAAACTCCACACTCCCAGGTGGTATTGTCAGTTCTGCGTCAATGCAAGTTGGTCGGTCTGATTCTTCGTCCAGTTCTTCAAATGGAGAAGAGCCATCCTCTCATCTGGCTACAGACCAATATCCTTGTGCGACCTTCACCACTCCGTCGATATCCAGGAACGGTTTCAATCCTGTATGGAACCAGAAATGCTCCTTCACTCTTATGAGCAATGCTGCTGATTTGACTTTCGTCAGATTCCTTGTGAAATGCAAGGTTTCCTCAGGTCCCAACGACATTCTGATTGGTGTCTATTGCTGCAAGCTTGAATACTTGAAGCGTGGATACAGACATCTGTCACTGGTAGATTCGCAAGGCGAAGAGTTCATATTCTCCTCGCTTTTTGTGAAGTTTGACGAAACGATCATCTAATGGCATTCTCTCCGTAAATACACTTTTTACAATCATGATTATACGAAGCTTCACGCAACACTCTTGACTTACTAACTGTTATACATACACTCCAAATGGATCACCAATAAAACAACACATTCAAAAATAGGACATTGGATCGCTTTCCTTAGCTGCTTCCTCATCTGCTCTGTTTTGGCCCGCTAACAGCTCTCTTCTCACGACTGGTGATATATCCTTGTGACCGCGCTGTCTCACCACTTCCATTAAGAAATCTCTCTGATCCTCAGTGATATCGTTCTTATACCTCTCAGCAAATGCGAGCAAGGCTTTGTGCCATACGAGAGGCAGCACTGGGGCCTTCTTTTTGTTGGAGACGTCTTCCTCATCGTCCACTTCCATTGATCTTGTAGGAGCATCAGTCACGGTTCTGAATCTCATGAAAAAAAACACCAAGGAATCAATGGTTTGGTATGGTAGAGCATACTTCTTTTCCACCAACACACGGATGAAAACCATGGAAGCTGGGGTGAACTCTCTCTCCAAGAGCCAACCTAGGGCAGCTGCAGAATGCAACACTGGAATGGATATTTTCGACAAGACCGATCCCACAATCACAGCCTCTCGCACAGTACACTCTTCTTCAACAAGCGGCATTAGAAAACCCTTAAAGAATGCAGCAGGCTTGTAGATAGACTTTTTGAGCGATCTGTACAGATGGTAGTTCAGCTTATGCGCATCATCATCCTCGATATCCTGTCTAAAACGAGGATATAATACCATGTTCACGAATCTCTCCGCCTTTGAAGCCGTCAAATTCGAAACGAAAAGTTTGGTTGCTTCGTATACAACCTGAGGAGTCCATGACTCTGGGTTGGTCACATATAGGAGGTCTTCCCAATTTTTGACAGAAGGTAACACCTTGAACAACTTGGGCAATTTACCGTTTCTCCACGAAGCAAGCGAAACACCGACCTTGGTATATGCCTCAATGACACGAGGAGGTAATGACACTCCGTTTGAAGGTCTTTGCTCCGTTATTCCTTCGGCTTGCATTTTCATCTGCATCTGCTTCTCCTGGATCTTGGCCATCACCTTGTCAGCCAGGTTGAAGCTTCCTAGCGGATTCCCGCTTTGTTGTCTGAAATATGAGTCAAACATTTCCGCCTCATCAGCGTCTATTTCCTCCACCTCTTCCTCCTCGTAGTCGGACCCGAAGTTGGACATTTCATCGTACTCCTGTTGGTCCTCCTCATCGTCATCGCTTTCGTCTGAGTCCTGGAAGTTGAACCTCGAATACTCATCTTGTCTCTTGTGCAGTTTGTTTTCTTCCTCTTCAATCTCTTCTTGTTGTTCTCTGGCCAGCTGCAAAATTTTCCGAGAAGAACTGGCATCTAACACCACTTCCTCGTCGTCTTCGTTATCGCTGGTGGCATTAACTGGCCTCTTCTTCTTAGAGGTTTTGAGATTTCCACCAGCAGTTGTGATATCCTTGTACAAAGAGCCCTGGTGGGGCTTGGCTCTGTTTCCACTTACGGCTATCTTTCCCATTGTGAAAAAGCGTGGAAAAAAAACCTACTGGGTGTGTAATTCAAGATCCTGGTATTAGCTATTGAGGAATAATAAATTTTATTTCACCTGCCAAAAAAATTTCAGATTGGAAGTACACGACCCTGTTTGTTTTGCTCTTTGATTTCGCAGGGGCGATTCCGAGAAATATCTTTGTTTGATCTCTTCTCCAGGAGGTGGATTTTTCTCGCCAATTTTACTGGAAAATGGTCGCATTGAACAGAAAACGTCGTTCTAGTAACGAACCGTTGGTTCGTCCCGAGGGTGCTGTTCGTATCTCGAAGAAGGCTAGACACTCTTCTACCTTGGCCTCGATCAGGGCTTCGAGACTGCCTACCATCAACTCCGTTCCCGAAGCCAAGACTGAAAAATTGGACGTCTTTGTTTGGGGTACCGGTTCAATGTGCGAGCTTGGCCTGGGCCCGGCTGCTAGTACCAAAGAGGTCAAGAGACCGAGACTGAATCCTCTTCTGAAGAAAGAGGATGTTGGAATTGTCGATTTTGCAGCTGGTGGTATGCACACTTTGGCGCTGGACCACAACAACCAAGTTTGGTCGTGGGGAACCAATGATTCGGGTGTTTTGGGAAGAGATACCAGCAATGCCACCTCGGAGAAGCTAAAGGACATGGACGCCGCTGACAGTGATGACGAAGACGGTGATCTGAATGAACTGGAATCTACACCAGGTTTGGTGCAGGGTTTGCCCTCGGACTTGAAGATTGTTCAATTGGCTGCGACTGACAACCTGTCTGCGGTTTTGCTCGAAAATGGTGAAGTGTATGCATGGGGTACATTTAGATGTAATGAGGGACTGCTTGGTTTTCAGGATGGAATCTTGATCCAGCGTACCCCCAAGAAAATAGAGGGCTTTGAGAACGTGAGCCAATTGGCCTCCGGAAAAGATCATGTGCTAGGTCTGGATACCAAGGGTATCGTGTATGCGTGGGGTAACGGCCAGCAATTTCAGCTGGGCCGCAAGATCGTTGAAAGAACCAGAATGACATCGTTGGAACCCAGATCTTTTGGTCTCAAGAATGTCAAGTTCATTGGTAGTGGTGAATTCCACAGTTTTGCAATCACAACGGATGGAAAGGTTTTGGCGTGGGGACTCAACCAATACGGACAGTGTGGTGTTGCTGCAGAGATTGAGGACGAGGCAGTTTTGCAAAAACCCACAGAAATCGAAGCTTTGACCGGAAAAGACATTGTCTATATCACTGGTGGTGAACACCACTCCATTGCCTTGAGTTCGTCTGGTGAAGTTTACACTTTTGGCAGATATGATATGAAGGAGGTTGGTATCCCCAAGGACAAGCTTCCCGAATACACATTCAAGGATCAACATGGAAACCCAAGATCCATACCTGTTCCCACCAAATTGGATAGTCTCCCTCCGGTGAAGACTGTTGCTGCTGGTTCGCACCACTCGCTGGCAGTAACCACAGACGGCATCGTTTTTGCCTGGGGCTTCGGTGATACCTATGCCGTCGGCCTCGGAAACTTGGATGAGGATGTGGAGAAACCAACCAGAATCAACAACACCGCAACCAGAGACCACAATATCGTTTCTGTTGGTGCCGGTGGTCAGTTCAGTATCAGTGCTGGTGTGAAGCTTGATGAAGATGCTTCCGAAGACAGAACTGAAAAAATCGAAGAGTTTGAAGAAGAGTTGGAATCCAAAACTGCAAATGGCCATTAAAAGACCCGCAGTGTAGTATTAGATGTTCATTATTGAATAAAAGTTGTTTGAATTAATATTTAGAGACTTGAACTATATGCTTTCATCGTCAATCCTCACCAGTAGACCATGGTCTCTGAGATACTCTTTCACCTCGTGAACAGTATATTCTCCTCTGTGGAACATACCAGCACCTAGAGCAGCATCTGTAGACGTTTTCTTGAACACTTCTTCAAAATGGGAAGGATTTCCTGCACCACTGGAAGCAATAACTGGGATCTGGACAGCCTCTTTGATGTGGTTGATGAGTTCTAGATCGTAACCAGAATTGCTTCCGTCTTTATCAATGCAATTGAGTAAGACCTCTCCAGCACCCAAAGCCTCACAAGCTTGACAAAGTTCGTAAGCCCCTAGTTCATGGACTTGACGACCACCTTGGGACGTCACCCTGTAATAGCAGTACTCCTCTCCATTTGGACCTGGGAACTGGGTCTTGATGGTCTGGTATTTTGTGGAAGAAGCGTCTTTCACGTAAAATCTTTTTGGATCAACAGATATAACAACTGCTTGAATTCCGTAAGCCTTGGAGATGGTTTCTATTGGAGAGGTTCCAGTACCCTTTGAGCCATTGGTGAAATAGGCCTCGGCAGCCAAAACGGCATCAGTACCAATGGACACCTTATCGGCACCAGATCTGAAGTACAGAGAAGCAACTTCAAGAGCAGGAACTTTGGTTCCGTCTGGATCAACAACGTCTTTAATTCCACCTCCCACTGTCAAGGGGACGAACACAGTCTTGGCTGCAAGCTTCAATACGTCCAACATGGGAGCATCCTTGATAGGCGAATTTCTGAAAGATGTGATGTTCAAAAACGTCACCTCGTCTGCTCCCTGCTTGTAATACTTCTCCGCCATCTCCACAGGCTTTCCGAGGTTTCTGACATCTCCAGAATCGGCTTTCTCTCTGACGTCATATTGATCACCTTTGGTGACGACCAGGTCTCCGTTGTCGTTGGTACGTACATCCAAGCACGCAATTATCCTCCTTGTAAGACCCGTTGGAGTCACTTCAGTATCAGAAGAACTAGTACTCTCTTCTGGGAGAATTGACACTTTGGTTTGGTCCAAAAAGGCCTTTATAATCTTCAACCCAGCAGCTCCAGACTTCTCTGGATGGAACTGGGTAGCAAACAGATTACCCTTTATAACGGCAGCAACAAACTCTTCCGAGCCGTACTTTCCAATTGCTAGATTCCAACCTTCTTCTTCAAGTTGTTTCTGCTTGTCCCCCTTGAGTATAGCAGCGTATGAGTGGACGAAGTAGTACTTAGAGGCAGGGTCTAGTGAGTAGTAGGTCTTCGAGGTCTCGGGGCCTTTGACCTTCAGACTGTTCCAACCAATGTGCGGCACAGACTTCCCACCTGGAAGATCGTTGTGGTCGAATTTGACCAGGTCTATGGGCAAAATACCCAATCCGGAAAGACCTGGGCTTTCGGTGCTTCCCTGTGCGAATGCCTGAAGACCCACGCAGATTCCCATCAAAGGCTTGCCCGCGGCAATGTGGCGTCTGATTGGTTCCTCAAATCCACGCTTCTTGAATTCAAGCACGAAATGTCCATAGTTACCAACACCCGGCAAAAACAGTCTGTCGGCACTGGCCAGCGCAGGATCACTGGCATCTTTGATGAGTCTGGCATCGTAACCAAGGTGCTCTATGGCGTTCTGCAGCGAGCGCAGATTTCCACTCTCGACGTCGATAATGTATACCGTCTCACGAGTCATGGCCAGAACAATTTTTTTGTAAAATATCTATAAGAGATTGGAGTCGTTATAGTATTCACAATCTGCCAACCCTCACTTCGTGAAACTTTCTTCCTCTTTGAGTCATCGATCCATCACCTGGTAAAAATGGGATCTCTCCCGTCTTTACAAGAGGCATGCGCACGACCTCCAATCCTACAGGCTTCCAACCCTTTCCTCCTCCACCCCCTGGGCTTTCCTCTTAGGTCACATAACGTAAACGAGGCTTCCGGCGGTTTTTGAAGGTCAGTCACAAAGGGTCTCAGAGACCATTCGTGAGCTTAAGTATCCCCAACTCTGCCGAGCCATTGGGATTTTGAAACGGTACTGGGACGTCTTAGCTGTTTGCCCCACAACGATAGGTCACATAGCTCTGGGACAGGCTTTTTGAGAATTTGAAGCCAGGTTTAAGACATTGAGCGCTCTGACAAAATGTCAGAAATCCCTTCCGTAGATTTGCATCTACAGCTGCAGAAAAGCCAGTTCAAGATCCCTGTTGAGGTGATCAAGAAGAACTTCAAGAGCATCCAGAAACTGGTTGAGAAACAGAGTCAGACCACAAATGCTCAATTGAAAGGGATGAGTGCTGCCGAAATCACCCGGGACCAGAAACTTGCAATTCTGAGGAAGATGATCCAAACACAGGAGCTTTACCAGAAGAAGCTAGCCATTCGTGTTGAGCAGCACAACGAGCTGGTTTCACGGCTGGAGGCTAGAATTGCCAAATTCAACGAATTGGATGCCATGAAGCGTAAATACGACTCTCTGGAAGCAAATTCTCTGGATAGAGAGACTTTGAGAGAGGAGATGGCAGTATGGTACAGAGAGCAGATAAACCTGCTCATTGCGGGATATCTGGTAAAGACGAGCACCAACTCCTCCGTTCCAAGCAATACCGGAGTTAAGCTTGCTCGCAGACTAAAAATGGACAAGTTGTTGGATTATGATGTGATACTACAGGGTCTCCATATCTACAATGAGATAAAAAACAACAACAATTTGCAGGTGTTGATTGATTGGTGCAACGAAAACAAAAAGGTTTTGAAGAAGGTTCGTGAGGAAGCGGAGGTTGACGATCCTACCAATTCTGCAACTAGCAATTCCGGTAGTTTGGATTTTGAAACCTATTTTCAGAATTTCATCGAGCTGATCAAGAAGCAACATATGTATGAAGCTCTGGACATCGCCAGGAAATATCTGGTGGGTTCAGTACACGAGGCAACAACTGCACCATCTGCTGATTCTGGTAAGACAGCCGAAGATGAAGATGAAAACTTTAAGAAGATTCAGTCTGCTGCGGGCTTGCTGTTATTCAACTCCATCAACATTGATGAGGTTTTCAAAGACTTCAAGCATGGCTCTTCCTCAGAGGGATCAAAGGAGTCACCTTTGGCATTCTACGATCCAAACAGGGCTGCCTATAGTAAGATCAGCTCTAACTTCAAGCCCTATAAAGACCTTTTGTCTCCCGAAAAGTGGGAAACTTTGGCAGACTTTTTTCTCTACAACTACAACTTGATCTACGGGATTGAACAGAGCTGTGAGTTTTTGGTCATGCTGAGTATCGGAATAAGTGCTTTGAAGACACGGAGTTGTCTGGGACATGATTATCAGTTGAAATCGCCCAATGTGCAACCAGCAGAAGACAAAAAACGGTTGCTGTCGAAAATTATGCATCTTGAAAAGAGTGGTAAAGAGACTTTAACTGACGATAAAGAGATTGGCTTTGATGAGTTTACTCAAGCTGCAGTTGACGGAAGGAACATTGAGACCAGTGTTCACGCACATAACAACTGTCCCATCTGTTCTATAGAGCTGTTCCAGCTAAGTTCGCTTCTGCCCAACTCGCACCAAATAAAAAGCAATATCTTTGAGAACCCCGTCAAGCTGCCAAACGGAAATATCTATAATCTGGAAAAGCTTCTGAAACTTGATGAGAAAGGAAAGACCATTCCCGAATATCTCATGTTCCAGGCCGAAGATGTGAACCAGATTTTGAAGAAGAGAAGAGTCGATGGCGACGAGGAGGAGGAAGATGAGGATAACGCGGACTCGTACTCGTACGGCACTGACGGCGACAGTATCGATTTTGGAAACGACGACTCCAACCCTGGAGATGTGAATATGGATGACGATGAAGATGATCACGAGGATGGAGGAATTGCAAATTCTTCAGTTACCGGGCCGGCAAGGGATGTTCGTGAATCTGCCTGCTTAAAACTTTACACACGGATCAAAGATCCGATCACAGGCGAGTTCTTTGGAAGGGACGAGCTTGTCAGGGTATATCCCACTTGAATATGATTTTGGCCCTTTGCCATTGGTTTTGTTTTTCTCTATATACGGTTTGGGGGTAATGAATAATTAACATACTGATGTAGACTGGTATAGTTAGGAGAAGTTTGTCTGTATAATTCTTCAGGATCAGGGATGAGTGCGATTTTTCATTAGTGAATGTTTCAGGTGTCGTAGTATACATTTTGGTCTACACCTCCAGACCTCGAACCCTCTGATACTTCTACTCATCATCATCACTATCCTTCTGCTTCTTGTTCTCTGGCTCCACGTACTGCTCAAAAACATATATTCTCGCCTCCCTTTCAGCTGCAGGTTTGGTAGTCTCCTTCATACTGTTGGTTCTTCTATGGTTGTACCCAGGAAACAGACGCCATAAAAAGGCTCCACTGCGATGTACCTTGTAGTTGATGGTTTCGCGCGCTAAGCGTTTCGTGTTCCACGAATCGTAAGGCTCTCCATTGAACAAAGTGACTCCAATTTTGTTTGGAATTCTCTGGTTTTTCTTGAGTCCAATTGCATAACCCCCAATTGAGTCTTCTCCAAATGAGGTGGTACACCGTTGAGCTAGCATCGCTCTGTTGGAGTCCAACAACTTGAAGAAGTCACCACATGACCTGAAAAAGTTCACCAGTAATTCTTGATGATATTTGATATTCCTCTGCATGTCTTTGATTCCCCTTCCAGAGTGTGGGAAGTTGAAGAGAATCAGGTCGAACTGGTCAATTCCACCGAGAAGCTCTCTGTTCTTGTTTTTGTTCTTTGCAAAGTTCTTGACCAGTTTGAAGGATTGTATTAGATTTTGAGCATCGATCTCGTGAAATACCTTGACTCCAAGTTCCTCGAGCTTTAACACGTTTGCTTCACCTTCCGTTGGGTATTTGGCTTTGACACTTTCTAGAGAATCGTATGAGGTAGCCATCAGATTTTCAGGTTTTACATATCCCTTGGTGACGACGCTCAAAGCAAATGAAAAATCGCCTTCACCAATAAGCATCACTTTATCCTCTGGTGAAAACGGTATATAGTCAAAGTTTTGAGGCTTATGATGTTGCTTCGACTTGCTGTTGATCTTCTCGGCCACCGTTTTAGAGTGCTCTTCAGCTGTCTTGACGGCCTTAGCCTTAGCCGTTGACGCCGTATGCCTTGCCAGAGCAGACTGAAGACCCTTGCCACCTGCTCTTGTGTTTTTCTGCTTGAATCGTTTGGCCATCAGTGAGAAGTCTGTGATTTGCGGATGATTACACCCGCTAGAGCCTTGTTTAGATTGGACTGAAGAGGTCTGAAACTTTTTCTAGGGCATCGCGCAGATATGCATGCGGCTGGGCTTTTGCATAAGACACTACATGATCTTCCTACGCGCATTTGGCTATGCGCTAGATAGCAGTTAGGGTCTGAACGAAAGTTTGGTGGACCAAGGGAACCCAAGATATTCTTGAAAAACATTAATCTGTTTGTTCTGCTGAGATAAACTCTGGTTGCGAGGGTAGTTCAGTCGAAGGACAGGTAATTTGGTAACCCATTCTATCAATGCACGTAACCTGCATAAACGCCGTTTGGCAACGGACCACAACGGCATACTTGGGTGGGCAGTGTCTAAACTCTTAAACAAGGATCTAGTGAGAGATACCGTTGAAAAGCGCTTTCACGTCTCAAGAATTACTTCCTTTCTTGCAGCACGACTCAAAGTCCATCCTTGAAAGTGGACGCACAAGCCCGGCTGAATGAAAGCTGCCACCTGCAGATTGTGATTCTAAAAGTATTAAATTGCGGCTTTATGAAGTCTATATTAGTTGGAGTTGGGTCCTTTTGAGTCCTTTTGAAGGTTTTTGGGAATATCGAATTCTTTTCGGGGATTTGCTCTCTTAAAGCCTAGCTTTGGTCTCTCATGAAAGACAGTGACTGTTGCCTCTGTCGCCTAGTTTCTCTCCTTCTTCCCTCCTTCTTCCCTCCTGCTTTTCTACTTCTTCTCACTTTCTTCTCACTTTCTTCTCGCATTCTTGTACTCTCTCCTAGAATAGTGCAAACCTCGACCCATAGCCGTACACAGGAAAACTGGTTCCTAGAGCCCTTTGAAGGGTAACAACTGTGTCATTAAAACTGCTCGATTTGGCATTTTTGACATCAAACACATCGTTGGCCTCAATGGGATTACAATCAGCAACACCTTCCACCACAGATTGCACGTAATCGGCACCAAAAGATCCGAAAAGCGGGTTTTGAACAATGTCCTGCTTCATTCCCTGCTCCATGTAGTAGGTGATCATTCTTGACTCGCAGTCCTTTTTGAAGTTCTGATACAACTCTGGAGGAGGAACAAACCCGTAAGTGGTGGTATTTGCAGCCACAAAGTCCATGGGCAACAAGTTGAGCATCCTGCCCTTTTGGACCTTCATCTGTTCCACATTGACATCCTTGTACATTCTTGCGCTGATGAAATCAATGGACTGAACAATGTAAAGTTTGCTGGATAGTCTAGAAACGGACAATCTGTGTGTATCATTCTTGAGACGTTCAATCCAATATTGCATCTCGATATTGAGGTTGTCGCTAAGGCGGTCAACATATGTCAGCCAGAAAGCGAGGTTATTCAGCAAAATCGAGATGAACTTGGGGATCATGATCACGTACTTGGGGCCATAAACTCCGTCTAGTGGATACAGCGAAGTCAGTCGGTTGTACGCCTTGAAAATGGTTAACAAACAATCAAGGCAGATCGAGTTCACCACTGGATTATCAAGATAGATGTAATCCATGAGCAAACGATACCGGTGGATGCAAATATCAGCCACAAACTGGAACCGGTGAAATTCATAGCACACACGTCGTCTGGCAGAAAGGCTCGCAATCAAAGGGTCATTGTCGCTGCAAGTGAAGCATCTTGGGTATGGTGCTGTGGCCAAAATCTTTTCAAAATTCAGCATCATTAGCATAATGTTTAGAGCACGAATCTCTGGGTCTTTTATCCCTGCGGAAATGACATCCGCTGCCGGGAACAGTCTCCTGATCACTGTCAGGATCTGAATCCGGGTACGTGCCGACGTGAAGTCGGTGTAATCGTCGTCCGAGTATACCTTGGAGTCACTGTCGACGTTAATATTTGAAGGCCATGGAACCTGAGACAGATGAGACCGCAGCACTGGGGACCGTTTGAAGAAAACGGCGTTTTCGATATCGTCTACACAAATCATCCACCACATGGCCTTTCTGTCCTCCACTGACCAGTCAATTTTGGACACTGATTTGGGCAGCAACGAGTAGCTTTCGTAATTGAGCTGGTCCCCAAATCCTGAGACGATCGCATCGGCCATTGTAGTCATCAAGCCCTGGAAATAGGCATCCTTGCTCAGTGTCACAAACAGCGAGTGGATCCGGCTAAGTCGCTGGACGTCCATGCGGTTCATATAAGCCTCGTTTCGATCGTACGGCACAATCTGCTTGAAAAAGTCGAAATGGCCCATGCATTGCAATGACCAGTTGTTGTAAAAGAACGTGGCATTGTAAGGTTCACCCTGAAAACCTGGTGAAAAGCCCATGGTCTCAAACCGCTGCGGCGACATGAGCGAGCAGGCAACCGATAGAAACTTGAAAAGCAAGGCCAGAAAGTCGAAAGTAGCCTCCTCGGCAAATTTTATCTTATCGTCCCAGTCCAGGGCGTTGATCTGGTGCAATACGCGATCCCGGCGTAATGTACAATAACACGGACTAACGTTCTCACAAAATTCATCCAGTAAGACAATGATTGTTGCTTTTGGAGGGATCATGGGGATTAGAATGGCCTTGATCTTGGGTCCAACATCAGAGCCCAGCTCTAGTTGTTCACGTACCACATCCAAATACCGCGACTCCGCACTATCCTCTACAAACTCGGGTGTGGGCTGCGGTTGAAACTGAGGAGGCATCTGCTGCTCTGGGTAATGGTAAAAGTCAGTTTGCGGTTGTGGTTGGAGGTGTTCCTGTGGATATTGCATCATGGACTGAACCAATGGGGCGTGTTGTTGAAACGAAAGGTCTGCCTGAATCTGGGGCAAAATTCCAGGATATTCAAGAAACACTGGTGCCATCAATCCAGAAGTGCCGGGATGGGAAGCCACCGGCCCATTTGCAGTCTCAATATCATCCTCATTGTCCTCGTCGTCATCTATGGCCCCGTTCGAGGTCCCAGTCACACTGTCTTTGGAACCACGCTGGCGACGTTCCTTAGCCAACCGACGCTTGCGACTCTTTTCCAGCTTCTTCTCTAGCTGCTCTCGCGTGATTGGGTGAGGTGGCTCCGCATAACACTGGTCCTCCCTGCGGTACTTTGTACAGTTCTGGCACGGTAGGTTGGTATCACACTTGATCTTCTGCTTCTTGCAAGGCCCACAATTGTATGAGCGACGGGGCTTTTTGCCCACACGATCAGAACGGCCCAGATCGTCAGCCATTGAGTCGGTTTTGGTTGAGAAGACGGTGGTATGGCCGTTGGTGTTTTAGCTTGAAGCAGGTCAAGTAGAGAAACATCGGGTTCGGTTATCCTAACCACTCCCTTGAGGGGCAAAGCCGGTCGGATTTGGTTTGTTGTGGTGTGGAATAACCGGCTGCATTCGGAAAGTGGAAGAGAGAAAGGTGATCTGGATCATGCAGCGAAGCCAGCTGCTGGCTAAATGTTTACTGAGCTAAATCCGGTACAATAGGCAAAAAAACAGAGTTTGACATTAAGAAGTCTCGTTTCATGATAGGACTACTATAAACAAAATACGATCGGAGGTGTAGTGAGCTGCATATTAGCTAGGATAATGGTTTTAGTAGTGGCCCACACAATATGTGGAGGCTAAGTGCTCGCATTTTGACCACTGCAACGGTCACAACAATGGCCATGGCCAGCAAGAGGACGGTGAGGGTTATCGTAACAGTTCGAGGTCCCAGTATTGCGTACAGTAGCTGGCAAAATTTTATAGTATGACATCCGTTTTAAAAGTTGTTGTGATGGCTATGATACCAGGCATAGTTACTATGGTACCCACCATAAAAATAGCTAAGCTGCTTCTGTAACACTACCTTAAATGCCAATAAGTTTCTGGTGGGCTAGCTCTGACAATGCAGGAAAGTTTAACGTAGATTTTGATTACTATTTTCTAGGGGTTCGATCCTGAATGATCCTAGTACTGGTGATGATTTTTGCTAGTTCGAGCCTCTAATCTTCCGTTAAAGATACCTTTGTCATTACTCCGGAGTTGACGCAGAGTTAATTTGAGGCGGATATGCTCCGGATATCACCCACCGGAGGTGCGAACCCAACAAGCCAACATCACACAATTGGCTACATGGCACATGCTGTCCATGCAACTTGCTTTTGTTGCTCAAACCGGAGAAAACCCAGATCACCCAGATAAGATTTAATCCTAAACCCGGTAAGTGTGTCAAGGTTCGAAATTTGTGCTAGTTAATACGAGTGTCAAGAACCGGCTTTACCATCCACTCAACCCCGGATCCTCCTACTGTCATTTGCTGTAAATGTTTAGCCACCTATCTGAACTTCGGCCATAATTATCGGATATTAAAAACTGTTTTTTTACGACTACCTCCCTGTTTGACTCTCTCTTTTGTGTGACGTGATCCGATCATCCCCCCGAATTTCCAAGTTCGGAAGGACATGCGACACATGCGGGATGTCTTTAAGGTAGTTTGAAAAGTGGGCAGAGAAGAGGAAAAAAGCCACATACTGTGAGTAAACGTGTTTGAGATTATGCTCACACAATATTGCGAATGCAGCTGAAGGGGCAATTTTATGGGTGTTCAGTCTCCTTCATGGGTCGTCTACACACTCATTACGCACTCACCTTCCTTGCAGTGCAAGTTCGCTGCTGCACTATAAGCTGAGAATATAACTTTAATTAGGGACGGGACCAATTGGTTAGTTTGTTGGCACAAGGTTAAAATATATTTGTATATCTGTCTGACCTGTGTCTGACTATCACTGACTCAAAGACTTCGATTTTCTGGTCACAAATATAATCTTTCATACTGTTGTCGCCAGACTCGGTTCACTCGACTATTCGCTGTATCTCGCTCTCTTTCACCCGTATCATGTGACACCAGCTGACTAACTCTCTCTGTGATCTACTATCCGCTATCTACCAACCCCCGCCTACTCCATACGCTCTCCCTCTCCCTCTACCTCTATTTCCCACTCAATTCGCCGTAAATAACCGACATCTAAAAACGCTTCCTCTCTATACCCGTTGCTATGACTTCCTAGAACTCGTTAACTCGTATTGACGCCCTTGTGGCAAGAGCTCATAACCTTTTGGTTCACACACATTGTACCCCTTCTTCGACCTCAACCTCCGTGCTCGCTTCCCGCCAGTAGACCATTTCTTCGAGATTTCCCACCGAGAAACCACCCTGAAATACCCAGAAGACCTGTGCCGTCCCTAAAAAGGGGCTGTTGCATACAAATTCTTTTGCCTGGGCGATTTCCACATCATCCATGACCGAGCCGTCAACACACCGCAACAGGCTCCCGATCGTCTTGCTCGAGTTTAGCGACGGTAGGAGCGAAAATATTACCATAGAATTCGGTGAAAGAGGCGAGCCCGATGATCTGCTGATCAGTACGACAGACCGTCCCGTTTCGGAGTCGTTGTTGGCTCCAGAGCTTGGAGAGAACTCTGAAACCACCGAGCCAAGCGCCGAAACAAGGCCAAATCATGACGCCACGGCGGACACACCACAGAATACCAGCCAGAATGAGCAAACGAATAATGAAACTGCATCAACAGCTGCGGACTCTTTGAATCCAGCCGAGGGAGTTTCCATCGGCGCTTCCACCGCCAGAATGTTGGAGCGTCTCATGAGATCCGATATCGGCAACACAAGCGAGAGTCCCAACTCGCCCTCTCCCGGTACTGATTCTAACGCCACAAGTGCCTCAAGAACAGATAATGCCTCGCGAAACATCATTCTTACAGTCAACTACGTGTACTCGGCGGCTGCAGCGGCGACTGCTACAGCAACATCCATGCCATCCACGGAGCCTGGAACTAACCGGTCGGGTTCTCTGGTTTTGCACGTGCCCAATATCCCTACTGATCATGATGAGGAGAGCATCCAGGTGTTGATACGACTAGCTACCTCGATCGCCTTCCGCACCATTGCCTCGGCACTCAAACGCCATGCCGGGGTTTCCACCGAGACATTTGAGTCGTTTCCGGTCAAGAAGTTGACGTCTTTGACTGAGACAACCTGTCCAATCTGCTACGATGAGTTTGTAGAGGCTGATGTGACATCGAATAAACGCAAACGAGCTCATGAAGACGACGAAGACGAGGACGAGGGCGAGTCGCATCCGCGGAAATCGAGAACACGTGCTAACGGGTCTGTCCGCTCGAATCCTACGGCATTCCATCCAGCATCTTCTCCTACGGCTAAACCTGTGGATCTATACACCCATTCTGCTGTGGAAATGCCTTGCCACCACGTCTTTGGCCGCTCATGTCTCTTCGAATGGCTACGTACCAACGACACCTGCCCTCTGTGTCGTGATCGGGTTGCCACGCATTCCGGTGATTCGCAGTCTGCTCTGACGGCCAATGTCACCACTCTCAGTTTGCCTAATCTGGCTTCGGTGGTACGCGAAAACCAAAATCTGATCTCCAGCTTTTCCAACCGGCCCATGAACTTCCTGGTTCCCCGGCCCGAAGAAGGCACTATACCCGGGCCTACTGCCACCAGAAATGCGGAGGCTTTGCCTGCAGTTGGGGGTGGTGGGCTCCTTACCGGTGCGTTTGCAGGACTCGGTCTGATGAGACGGTTTGTTGAGTCTATACGAGCCGCTAATGCTGGAAATGCCGAGGGAACTCGCGACGGAATGCGCAACATGATGGCCATCTTTGCCACAAGCTCGACGGCAGACTCGGCTAATGCTACCAATGAAACGGGACAAACAGCCCGACCAGAGACTCAATCAGAGAACCAACCAGAGACCCAACCAGAGACCCAATCAGAGACTAATACGAACGCTGAATCGGCAAGGAGACAGTCCAGGAGGGAAGTTCTGTCCAGATTGCTGGCTGAACGCACAAATGCTGCTGAATCTCCCCAGGAACTATTCTCAGTAGGAGTTGCCAGTCGCAGGACCGACGATGGCGTGGTGACCGTTCCCGTCAACCCAAGAACCAATAATCACGATATCCTAGACGATTCCATGATTAGCGAATGGCTCTACGACACGCCGCATGCGAGGTCTGGCAGGAGAAGGAGAGACCGCCGGAGTTGAACGGCACAGGAACCGGAAAAGGGACAGGGAAACTACAATAGCTTGCATCAGACCAATCATCTTTCGTCATAAGTCATTAGAAGTGTATTAAGAGGAATAATGTGAGTGGTATTCAAGATGAAAACGAATGAGACCATAAAAGAGCCATTGTACACTGGCCCATATTCACCCATTACAGACCCATACTAATCATAACCGTCTTGGCTCTGGCTTTTTTCACCGGTATAAATACCATCACGGCACATCAAGCTCACCAGCTTGAAGAACCTTCGCCATTCAAGCGGATCGGCCCTCACCTTGCAGAACTCAACTTTCCGAAGATCAGACCCTTCAACCGCCCGCGATACACGGATGAACCCAATCATTCTCATATTACATCTGTCCTTCCCGTTGACAGGGATATTAATCGCAACATCAGAGTTATCGTGATTGTCAATCCATTCCTCTGCATCGGCCTCTCTATCAGAGAGCAATCCCAGCTTATTAAGTGAGTCAACAATGAGTTTGAGCAGTGATCCAAGAGGTAAAAGAGACAGAAAGTGTGTGAGACTCTGTACAAGCATTTTGTTAGGACCCTTGAGCATTTCCTCGATCTTCTGTCTGGTTTCCAGCTTTCCTCCATCACGGAACTGAAGAACGGCTGGATCGCGAACCGCGTACGCCATTGCCTTATCTTCTTCGTGGAGCTTGAGTCGAAGCCGCTTCCGGTCGTGTTCTGTGTATTCACGCTGAGTAGCACTGACTGCATGGAACCCGTCTGCGCCATCTTCTTCGTCGTCGACCACCACCACATCTGGCTGCGACTTAGCCATATGACTGGTAAAGCTGTGTTGAGTACTCTTGGTGATATGGTTAAACTCATCATCAGAAAGACTCACGCGTAGGTTGCCCAGAAGAGTAGCTGTCAGCGTGTACGGGTCTTTGCACTGGCCGTTTTCGGGATTCTCGAAGAAGTTCTTCTTGGCCGTCCAATGATGTTTGAGAATAGCATCCACTGCCAATCGCTGGTCTGCTCCTCTTTTCAAAACTGATCTCAGAAGCGACGTTACTCCGATCCCAAACGAGTTCCATGGAGGTGTTAAAGGGGTTCCTTTCGAATCTAGATAATCGCGGAAGTCGGGGTCTGTCTCGTGAGCCATCTCCCAGGGTGTCTGTCCAGACAAAAGCACAAACAGCACAATTCCAATGGACCAAACGTCACTTTTCTCAGGATCATATCCTAATCCCTCAGCAACCTCTGGGGCTAAATAAGGCGGAGAACCACACGGTGTATTGGCCATTCGACGAGCTCCTTTGGAAGACTTGTATACCGTAGCCAATCCGAAATCTGTCAATTTGAGGTTTCCGCGCTTGTCCAATAAAATATTTTCAGGCTTGATATCCCTATGTGCCACTCCGATAGAATGAATGTAGTTGGTGGCACTGACCAGCTGTTTGAAATAGAAGTGGGCTATCTCTTCATCAACACCCTTGTCTGGCTCAATCTTGTCAAAAAGATCACCGTTGGCTCCGAACTCCATCGCCAGCCAGAACCAACTATCATCGTAGCCGCAGTCCACGTATTTGGCCACGTTTGGGTGTTTCGAGCACTTTTGCTGGATAATGGCTTCTCTACCAAACGTCTCTGCTGTTACGCCTTGCTTGAGAGCCATTCGCCTGTTTACCAGCTTAACTGCGACTATGGAGCCCGACACCGAGGCGGATTTTACTCTGAATATGTTAGTATGTGATGTCAGATTATGGAAGAGATTGCGCATTTCTTTGAGCTGAACTGAACGTACATTCCAAAAGAGCCATGACCTATTGTCTTGCCGAACCTTAAGTTGGGCAGTCGAGGCAGCGGTTCCAGTTGTGACAGCTGGATCGAGTATGACATCAGATGTTGAGCAAGAAGATATTCAAAGCCAAAAACAAAGCCAGAAATCTTATCCAAAGCAAAGATAACTGCACCACTGCTTGTTCTGAAACTTGGAGATTGAATCTGAGACGGAGTGGAGGTGTCAACAGTGGGCTGTGCGATGGGCTGGGCTTGTCTGGTGTGGCTGGTGATATCTGGGTCTAATACACTAATGGATATAAAAGTATGGATTTTCGGGAAAAATGTGCATATTCAAACGTTTATACATCACTGTAGTCGTTTTGGTGTGAAACTTTGTATTTGTTTACTTTTTTAGCTCATTGCTGGTGGCATTTTCTATGGCTTGGTCAACAGATGTCATTGATCTGAGATTTTGAAAAATCCCGAATTTATTAGATTTCCATAAAAGGGTGCAGGTAACAAATAGTATTCTCGCCATGAAGATTCCAGGCAATTTGAATCAAGGAAATTACCTTATCACTTTTTTATAACAATAGCCTGACCTGTTTTCCACATTTTTATCCCGATGTTCTCTGTTCTGCACCAAAGAATTCACCTTAGATTTATCTCCAGTCTTATCAGATAAGTCTCCGATTTCCCAAAGAGGGGAGCCCCTCTGTCACACACACGCCCTTTTAGATAACTTTCCTATTGAACTTAAAGTTAAACCTATAGTACAATCCCATACTTCCCACACAACTACGCGGGTTAATGCTAAATAGAACGTTCACGGCCTTCTGGCTATTTGGTCTCATCAACAATGTGCTATACGTGGTGATCCTGTCCGCAGCGGTAGATCTGGTAGGACCGCTGGTTCCTAAAGCCACTGTGCTGTTAGCAGATGTATTGCCGTCTTTCTCACTCAAACTGACAGCCCCGTTTTTCATCCATATTATTCCATATTCATACCGGATTTTTGTTCTTATTGGACTGAGCATGCTGGGAATGGTAATTGTGGCATTTGCAACAGAAACAAGCTGGATCCTTTTCGGAATCGTGTTAGCCAGCTCTAGCTCTGGGCTGGGAGAGTTGACATTCCTGCAATTGACGCATTACTATGGCGACATTTCGTTGAGTGGATTTTCTTCTGGAACAGGTGGCGCTGGACTCGTGGGGAGTTTCGTCTTTTTGGTACTCACTACCTGGATGCACATAAGCGTTAAGACAACCCTGGTGCTATTCAGTGCGGTCCCCCTGGTATTCTTCTTCAGCTTCTTCTGGCTGCTACCAGATCCAGAAACTGTATTTCTAAGATCGCGGCAGAATGGCGATTTTCAACTGGAAGAGGGTTATTCTGGTGAGACAAGCACCCTCAATTTTTCACTAAGCGGCCTTCGTTTCGATTTAGACACTCTGGAGAAGGTAAGAGTTCATATGGCTTTAACACTGAGACGACTGCGGCCCCTAGTCTTTCCATACATGTTTCCTCTGTGCTCCGTTTACGTTGCGGAATATATTATCAACCAAGGTGTCTCTCCCACTCTGCTGTTCCCAATCGAAGAGTTGCCATTCAAACGATACAGGGACGTTTATGTTTCGTATGGAACGCTTTACCAGGTTGGTGTGTTCATATCGCGTTCTTCTGGCCCGTTTGTCAGAATACGCAAAATCTACTGGCCTTCGATTCTACAAGCAGTCAATTTGGCGGTTTGCATTCTCCAATCCATATATTTTTTTATTCCCAACGTTTACATAATGCTTGTGCTCGTTTTCTACGAGGGGCTTCTTGGAGGAGCATCTTATGTCAACACCTTTATGCTCGTGTCGGAACGGACGCCATTGCAAGATCGCGAGTTTGCAATGGGTGCCGTTGGAATCAGTGATTCAGCGGGAATCGTTCTTGCTGCTTCCATTTCTATGTGGCTTGAGCCTCGTCTCTGCAACTATCAGGTCAATGACGGACGGCCATGGTGTACTATGAGTTGAAAAGGGCCTCTGCTGTTGGTACAAGCACAACCAATCCTTCAATTGAACATCTTACTCTGCTGCTTGATACCCCTGGTTAGATTCTCCATAATCTTCTGATTAGTGTCGTTGGTCTGCACACTTGCCAGAATGGTGAAACATTGAAGAAGAGTGAGTACCTGGGAATAGTCCTCCTCAGAATCATCTGAAATCCCTGTGGCCCCGGTCCGACTGGATCCGTTGGTATTGTCCCGTCGCCTATTTACCTCACTCGAAGAAGACGTTCCAAAGACAATGCCAGAAGCAGCGCTCGTGTTCACCATCGCAGAGCTGCTATCTTTTTCCCTTCGTCTCTCCTTGTCCTGTTCTCTTTCAGACTCGTAAAGAGGAATCACCACATGGTCACGGAACGCTGTGAGAATAAGGTTTCTCACAGAAAGCTCACTTTCGTCTACAACCTCGGAATTTGAGGTCGGAGAAGGTGGGTGTGAGTTAAGTTCAAGCTGCAATGGCAGAAATATCCCTTCTAGGTAAAACAGGATGTCATTCAAAAAGTATTCCCATAAAACAGCAACCTTCTTCGCAAAACTGTATGAGGCAGTCCCAGTGGACGCTGAAAAGCTTCCACGTCTGCTGCGCTCACCACCTCTTTTCGTGCTGCGTGGGCCACTGGGAGAATCTGTGTAGTATCGCTTCAAGCGTAGATTGTTGGTGGATTCCTCGATGTACAGCTGATTCACGTAAGTGGTCATCCCAACGGTGAATAGTTCCTCATACTCATCAAGAACGTTCCGACTTATCGGGTCTGCAGAGCCGAATTGAGAAACGGGCGACGAAAACGTCCCCAAGGGAGAACCTGTAGGAACCGGCGACCCTGACTCTTGGAGTCTCAATCTCAAATGCAAGTAAACCAGCTTGGTCACCTCCTCTATCGGGGTTTTGAGCTGATCGCATTTGAAAAGAGGGGTCACTATAGAACACAACAGTGCCCACGCATCATCGGCAATCGTCTCTCTATCATCGGATAAATGCTGTTTTTCAAGCTCTGTTACTGTTTTCTGAAGATCACCAACCGACATTCCGTTAGTGTTCGGGTGGAAGGAATAAAGTGCCTTTCCACCACTATCGCTCGAAAGCTGCGAGTTCGAGTTGGAGGAAGACTTTGTTGTTGATCCTTTGGCCCTGGAAAGAAGTTTATGGTAAGATTTGTGATGCTTTTGCTTTCCTGGAAGCGACAAAGAGGAACCTGCTGACAGCCCCAACCCCTGAGTTTTCTGGGGCTCTGCTTGGCCAATATTGGCTATTCTCTCTACCTCCTTAGATGTCCTGGCAAGCGGTGACTTGGCCTCCGTTAATCTACCGCTCGAACTGATCATCAAATCCTTCCCAACAGGCTTCTTCAGCTTCGCAGAAATCGACTCAGAGGACTTGATGATGGCATCACGCGCGTTGTCGAAGCTGGTTCTCTCCTTCAAATCGTCGATACTGGTGCGCTTTTTGGTCTTCCCCTTACCCTGATTCGTCAAAAGCCGGGCCAAAGCGTTGTCTCTTCCTAACCGTGAAAACGCAGTTGCCGGTGACGAAAGAGTGGGAGATCTCGCCCTTTCGCGCTCGCCATTATCCATACTTGAACGAATGTTGTTGAACTCCACATTGGAAAGAGTGTTCGTTAAAGGCTGTAAAGTACTGCTCGAATTGTTCTTGTTTTTGTATAATAACAAGCTTGTCCGGCTATGATTATCCAAAAGCCTTCCCAGGTTACTGGAATGCTCTTTCGTCTGCGTACTCACGCTCTGGACGTCGTCATCGGTACTGGCATCATATGTTTCCGAAGTGGTGTTGTGGCTATCATCTTCCTCGAAAACTGACGAAGCCGAGGCATTGCTTCCCTGTCGTGTATGTGTGAAGTGAACCTCATTGGCTCGCGTAGATGAGCTACGCCGCCTGCGATTTTCCATTGTGAAGGGGGAATTCGCAAGACAACCACAAGACAAGTATAACAGATCAAGTACATGACTTCAAGTCTCATCTGCTATCTGTTCCTCCCCAGGTCGTGTACTATCGGTTTTTAATCTCAGCTGTCGTGTGCATCCCATCTGCTATTGACTGCGGCTCCCAAACAACATGTTTTCAACACACACCACTTTGAACTGGTATAGCAGAGTACATTGTTCAGAATGGAGTCGATATCTGGAAGGAGTATATCATCGAGTCCAATTACAATCCATGAGAGCTATATTCCCGAACCGAACGATTCAGGGATATTGGAGGAGACAGGCAGAGATCGAGCTAAGGAGCCATTGGCACCTCCTCTGCTCAAGAGAAAATCAATCGTGTCCATGAGTGAGAATTCATTGTTGCTGAGTGATTTGCAGGCTTCGGTACCGACGACGGCAGTGACTTTGGAGAATGTTGACCAGGAAGAGGCTTCCGGGCCAGAAGAGGAGACTTTTGAACAAGGCATTGCTACTGCGCTGAGACACTCGCGATTGAGCCCGTCAATTAGAAGCACAAGATCTTCCATAGTTCCCACTTTGACGATATTCAGTGATGAGGAGGATGATGTTAATGAAGGAGATGATTACGACGAGCAAGAGGAAGAAGAGGACGGAAGCTCACAGCGGAGGACGTTCGGAAGGCTTTTGGGAAATTTACTGAGCACAGACGATAGAAACAGTCTGAGCAATAGTTTGAGGAACAGTGTGCATTCAGGAATTGATGAGAATACAGAGGGCATTTCGTTGGTCCAAAAACTGAATTTCGGATACGAAATGGAATCCACAGATGACAACGAGGATATGACGGAATTTTTCTCAAGAAGGAAGCATTTCTTCATTTTGTCTTCTGCAGGCAAACCAATCTACTCAATGCATGGATCTGATGAGATTTTAACCGTTTTTTCGGGTGTAATTCAGACTATTGTGTCGTTTTTCCAGTACAAGTTTGACGGGACGACAGAGAGTCTTAAGTCATTTGAGAGCGGAAAGGTGAAGTTCGTATTTTTGAACAGGTATCCAATCATATTGATGGCAACTTCCTCATACAACGAATCCACCATCGAAATATCGCAACAGCTCGAGTTCTTGTACAACTTTCTGCTCACCACGTTGAGCAAACCTCACATTGACAAGATGTTTCAGAAGAGGGAGAACTTTGATTTGCGCAAACTGTTGGGAAGGGCCGATATTGCATGTATGGATAGTATTTGCAAGGATCTGGCGAATTTTCACAATCCTGGTTTGATTATTGGTGGTTTAGAGTGTTTGAGACTCAGGAAGACCATCAGGAACAAGATTGAAAAAAGACTCCTGATGAACAAGTCTGAGAACCTTCTTTACGGGTTGTTAGTTGCCCCTGGTGGGAGACTAATCACTGTGCTAAGACCTCGAAAACACACACTTCACACATCTGATCTGCAACTGCTGTTCTCTCTCATATTCAACACCAACACTTTCAAGACTTACAATAATACTGACAGCCAGACTAGTGGATCAGAAGAAAACTCAGCTGCCGACGAAGAGTTTTGGGTGCCCCTGTGCTTACCCAAGTTTAATCCCAATGGATTCCTGTATTGCTTCATCCAGTTCCTGGACCTGAAAAGCAAAGAGCTTGTGGAAAGACATGGAATCAACCCCGATGACTCTACACCCAGCGGAGATGGTACCAAACTATCGCTGATCTTGATAAGTGCTTACAAAGACTCGTTCTTCGAGATGCGAGAGGTTGGAAAAAATGTGTTCAGAAACCTTTGTGGAAACAGGCCCATTTATAGAGAGCTCTACAGGTCTATCATAGGAACTCAGGGCGCAGACGGATCAACAGGTCTCCCATATGGTGCAGTCTCCCCAGCAGATATACCCGCTCCATTGATCAAACACTTCATCTACAAGAGCAAAAAACACACACAATTTTTATTCTCACGGATACACGGGTCCACCCAGGAGACCATGGAAGATCCCAAGACCAGGTCCCAGATCATGCTTCTATATTCAAAGATGCACTCGCTGGTGAACACGAACAACTCCACAGGAGGTGGTATTAATACTAGTTTGCAAAAGCAAGACGAGAACTTTGAAGTGACTCAGTTGTCGGCAAATCTCACCTCCAGCAACTTCATATACTACATCAACTGGAAGGTGGGAGTTCCCAGGGAAGACGGCCAGATATCTACAGACACAATCGTTGGGTTTGTGATTGTGACTCCGGCTTATGAGGTTTACATGATAACCAACGGTGGTGTTGTTGATAAACAGATCTTGGTGAACAGTTGCAAAAGCATAGTCAGATGGTGTAAGCGAAATGAAGACCGGTTGTTCGTTTCTGGTGGTGCTGTTTTTTGAAAGACTCAACGTTCATCATTAATTGAAAAGTTTACATAATACCCACTGATTACCAAAAACTACCTCTTCAAATAATTCGGAACCGCAGCCGATTGTTTCCTTTAATCAGTAGTAACCAATGGTGATCCAGTCACTTATAATCACCGGTGGTCCTCTCTGGCCACTCACTCCCAATTGACCTCATGGGCGTACCGATAGGCTGTAGCCAACGCCATGAGGTGACAACTAGCTGCCCCAACTACCAGCACATGGAATATCTGGTGAGAATGCCCAAACACATCAAACTTACCGGGGGCAAACCTTTCGGGAATGCGCAACGCGTAAATGATTGCTCCACCAATGTACATCGCTCCCTCGGTGATGGCCCAACTAAGACCAGCCCTCCTCCTCGTCTGGTCAAAACCGTATCTGACTACACTATAACCTAGAGGAAGGACGGACGAAAGACCAAACACAATAAACATAGCTGCTCTAAATGGCCTCCAAGAGTGATGACGAAACTGCCTTTTCATACTGACCACGCCGCATAACACGCCCTGCACCAAGGTAATGGAAGTGAAAACAGCCCGCGAGGTAGGGTGGTCTATGAAAGCGTAAAACAATATTCCCACTATAGACGTCACAATAAGAATCACAATTCCAAGATAGTCGAGTTGATTGGCGAAAACAGCAACGCCCAACGAATGACACTTGACCGAATGATAAGTAGCACTCAGTGAAAGACATGTGCACACTCCAGCGAAGAAGAGTAGGAAGAAGAAGTAGTCAGCATACCCAGTTGTGCTGTAAACTGGAATATCAACAGGAATCACCGGAAATAATTGTTTTTCAGTGCTTATTGGAATAAATAAACCCGCCAAAAGCGCCACAATAGGCATAACGATTCCGGGCACCAGATGCGTGTAGATGTTCACTATCTCGTTATGGAGATAAGCCAGCGAACCAAAACATTCCCTGAAACTCCGGGTTTCTCCGATATAATGAGTCAGAATATAAGCGTTATCATGTTGCCATTCCGGGATCTCTGATATTCTGTAGAGCTTGCGCTTTGGGGTCTTGTTATCAAGCAACGGTGCTGTCTCCGATTGCTGCGATTCTGAAGCAGTAGTGGCCATAGATCTTGCCCTCAGCTCTGCACTCATGTGGAGGAAGACACAAATATAGACAGTCGACTGACTTCTGAATTCGCTATCAAGTAGGGGAGATTTATTGCGAAATGCACAAATCCAGAAAACAATAGAAGAGCACAAGGGGTAATCTAGCCAGGGACCGATGAGTTGATCCGACCAGCTGCGGCTCTGTCAATGCGAGCCGGTGCGAGGTGAAAGAAAATGAGGTGGCCTGCTGGTGGGCTGGTGGATGGGCAGGTTGGCAGGTCGATACTGCCCTTTATAACTTGTTTTTTTCCGGGAAAAGCTCTGAGATTGTCAATAAGTATGATGGCAGTGGCTGTATCAAAGTTAAAGTTTAAAATTCCCAGACTTCAAAAAATAGCAAATCTTATCTCGTTTTGCAGGTTCCGAAGGGAGCCGCGCGCGGGGTGGCAGCTTAGTGGGCTTGGCGCATTTACACTACCTTTAGGAGCGCACGATTCCTCCGAGAAGGGGGGATTTTCCAAGCTGATGGCATATTCAATTAGCTGTAAGGATCCTAACACCCGCGATCAGTCTTTTTTCCAGTTCTGAGTGTGAAATATAGCAGGCATGGCAAGAGGATCCAAGCAAGAGGAGAAACTTCTTCGGTTACTCAACGACCACGGTAATTCCAACAAATGCGGCGAATGCGGAGCTTCGTATCCGACTTGGGCGAGTTGGAATCTTGGGCTCTTTCTGTGTGGAAGGTGTGCTTCTCTTCATAGAAAGCTAGGCACCGATGTTTCGCGAGTTAAGTCTCTTTCATTGGACGTTTGGAGCGAGTTTGAGCTGGATTGCATTGAAGCAATTGGAAACAAAGAATGCCAAAAGAAGTGGAACCCTAAGAAAGAGCCCTTTCCGTACGATGAAGACGATGTTTCAGCAATGGAGATATATGTGAGAAACAAGTATGTGAATGGGCTTTATCGATTTGATGTTATTGACCCGGAAGATTACGAGCCACCAATTGAGGGTGGTCGTGGATATGGACGCAGCGGAAGCAGCCATAGAAGTGGACGCGATCGTGGCCACAGTTTCTCATCAAAAGCAAGCTCAAGATCACAGAGTCGCCACGGAGAATCCCGTCTTCCCAGACTAGAACACCGTCGGGTGACAGCTAGCGAGAAGTCGAGATACTCCTCCATGGCCCTTAAGCTAAAATACGATGTGGGCTTCACTGACGAGGACCTCAATGTTGAAGCTCTTGTTCTGGCCAAAGGAAATCTGAACTTTGCAGCTGAAATATTATCTCAGGAAAGTCTCAATGACGAGCCTGAAAGACCACCTCCTTTGCCTAGACGACCAGTGGGAAGTACTCATACTTTTGCGGCTCAACAAAAAGCTCCTTCAAGTGCTCCTGCGGGGACCAATGGTGCCTCTTTTGATTGGCTCAATGGAACTGTGGGTGCTCAACCTACCGGAATGACAACAGCCCCTCAACAGACGGGCGCTGAGCCCCAGGTACAGATCTACCAGTATGTAGATCCAAGCACAGGTGCGGTATACTATGTCGATCAGAATGGCCAACAATACATTGATCCGAATCAGCAATCACAGATGATGCAACAACAAAGTACAAATGTCCAGAGACCAGGTTTGGGATTGGATAACTCCACTATCGTATCTCTGTACAATCAGCCAGATGCATTCGTGTCAGCCAAGACGGGAGGACCAACCGACCAGACGCTTCAATCTCTGCAGCAGCAGCAGCAGCAGCAACAACAACAACAACAGCAACAACAGCAGCAGCAACAACAGTTACTTCTTCAACAACAGCAGCAACAGTTGTATCTCCAGCAGCAGCAACAGCAGCAGATGATGATGCAACAACAGACAGGTTATATGCCTCAACAGCAGTTTTATGGAGGTTACTAGGAGGAATCACCGTCTGATTGTAATCTAAAATTCAAGATCCTCAATCACACCGAGTAACACGATCACCTAACCACTTTATGTCCGCGATGAACATCTCAGATCCTGAGATGTATTAGATAAGGAATTTGGTATCACACGCCCATCCCATACCCGGATGAGATCGGGTGAGGGGAGCCTGGTGTCTCAGGCTTATACGGATTCAGACGGAATACGATACGATTGGTTGGAGGTTGAGTTTGAAAAAGGAATTTGAAACGGGTATTTAGTTAGTGCTAAGAACCAGAAACGGAAATTGTTTCGTTCCAGAATAGCGTAATTTTGTCGGCAGCGAAGATATGGAGTACAGAACCCCTAAAGGCGTGTTCAGCCTATTAGTCCTCCTACTATGTGTCATATCCAGATGAGATTGCCTCACTGTCACGCGAACAAACACAAGGCTGTGTGACTCACTGTTTGTGTACTTTGCGGCGTGTAATTTGTAATTTGTTGTTGTAGCCTTGGGCATTTAACCAGATGGACAAAACAGATTAAACTTCTTCTCATATTCGCCATATTCATCATCCATATCTACCTCCGTTTTATCCGCTCTGTCATTTAGCACCGGTTTCTTCTAGATAACAGCCTAGATAGTCATCTCCCATTTTGTGCAAACCACTACAAAAGACTCGTTTAAAAAGGTGGCTCACAAGTTTCCCTTGTCTCACCCCCCTCCCTCTACAAACACGAAGGGCGCTGTGTGTTTACGCTGTGACTCTTTTGTTTAGGCATTTAAAGCCGTTATTTTTCCTTTTACAGCATAGAGGCCATATTGCTGCTCATCGTGCGTGACCGCCTTTGTTGTTTTGCCCGTGTCTTCCTACAACCAATACGCGACTGGTACCAGGAGATAACGACCTAGCCTCAACAAGTCGCTTTTGTGAGGTGTTTGCGGCTACCAAAGCCTCCAATCAGTCAAATCCACTTAACTCGAGTGTTCCATCTGTTTGTGAGCCAAGTTTGTTTTGCTGGGGATTATTACACTCAGGGACCTTATCATTGCCACTGCCAAGGGTTGCGCTCTTAACAAATAACAAACACTCACACAAACAACAAAGCACGTCCTGTCACTTCTAGTGGCAATTTATCGCGATTTTCAAACAACTAACCTATTAGTGTTTGTTGAAAGTTTGCTTGGTTTTCTCGCTTTCCTTATTCTACCCTCATCTCCTCATATTTCATAGACCCGATGTCATCACATTCAAGGAAACAGATAATAGGGACGATAAACGTCGGCCCAGAAATCGGAAGAGGCTCATTTGCCAATGTGTACAAGGGTTATGACAGGGTGAGTATCCATTCATCAGCATTTGAGCAACATCTAGTTACTAACACCCTACAGGTTACAAACCAACCGGTGGCAATCAAATCGGTCATCAAGAGCAGGTTGAAGAACAACAAAAAGTTGATCGAGAATCTTGAAATAGAGATCTCCATCTTAAAGAACATGAAACATCCACATATAGTTGGTCTTTTGGAGCATCACAACACCCCAGACCACATTCATCTGATAATGGAGTACTGTTCTCTAGGAGACCTGTCGTATTTCATTAGAAAGAGAGACCAGCTGGTACAAACTCATCCGTTGATCAGTTCGATATTGGAGAGATACCCGTCGCCCCCAAATTCTCACGGCTTAAACAAGGTGATATTAGGCAATTTTCTCAAACAACTGGCTTCGGCTTTGGAATTTCTGAGGGATCAGAACTTGGTCCACAGAGACATTAAGCCGCAGAACCTGTTATTATCGCCTCCTCCTCATTCCAAAAAGGAGTTCGAGGAGAAAGGCTTTTCTGGGCTTTGGGAACTGCCTGTCTTGAAGATTGCAGACTTCGGATTTGCGAGGTTTTTGCCGTCTACGTCGATGGCGGAAACCTTATGTGGTTCCCCACTCTACATGGCACCCGAAATCCTGAGATACGAAAAGTACAACGCCAAGGCCGATCTTTGGTCTGTTGGCGCCGTTATCTACGAAATGGCAGTTGGAAAACCTCCATTTAGGGCATCCAACCATGTGGAACTCCTCAAAAAAATTGAGAAGAACAAGGATAGAATTTCATTTCCTTCTTCGGCACAGGTACCAGAAGATATCATGAGACTTATCTCTGGATTACTGAAGGCGAATCCCACCGAAAGAATGGGCTTCCAAGAGTTCTTCAACGATCCGTTGATCACCGCAGATATCCACTGTGTTGATGAGCCCCTTGCGTGTTCGAATATTGACGAGAATCTGTTCATCAGCGAGTATCTCCCCGTCGAAAACGCGGCTCGTCGTTTTGGAAAGGGCCTAACGGAAGAGATGGATGTTATTCCTCAACAGAGACACGCCAATGCTCCGATGACCATATCCAAACCTGTGGATCCTGCTAATGCTGTTGAAAGATCGAAGAGCTCTTCTCCTCCGGAATTTTCGGTGGCGAAGACTATTTCAAGACCTGGCAGAGCAGCCACTGGATCGGACGAGACCATCAAGAGACTCATTCATAAGAGCAGCCCTGTACCTGAAAACATGGAGGCATCGATTGGTGGAGCAAGACCGCTAGTAAACAGATCGACTACTGGCTACAAGGACAGAAGTGATATCGTGGTTGAGAAGGACTATGTAGTGGTCGAGAAAACAGCGGTTGAAGTAAACGCCCTTGCAGATGAGCTTGAAAACGCTCGAATCGGAACCGGGGGGCTTTTGAGACATGCTTCGTCGCCTGTCCCTTCGTTGAGCGGCCGTCGCTACTCATCGAGCAGATCATCTGCCAGTTCTCACAGAAGACCAAGTTTTGGGGATCGCAAAATCCCGATTTCTATCAGTCCTACAAATGCTCTTACTAAGGCATTAGCTGGCTTGGCGTCCAACAGGCTGTTTGGTTCACCACAGGCGTTATCTTCGCAGCCAATGCAACAGTCCCAAACCCAACAGGCTTTATCTCTACAATTAAACCAGAATCTTTTGATGCCCATGAGCAGCCAAAGACTGGCCTTACCCAGTCAATCTCAAACAAATGCCACAGATGTCGAGATTGTTCAGCAATTGGAAATTTTGGCCACCATGGCCCATGCCATAAGTCTATTCGCCGAGGTGAAGTTTAGCCAGTTGATTCCCTTGCCACCTTCTACTCACGATTATATGGAAGGGGTACCAGATAACGACGACGAGTTGCCCCCTCAGATGACTAAGGGTTTGGCCGAGGAGGGAGTTGCGCTTTATGTCAAAACGTTATCGTTATTGGCCAAGGCGATGACTGTAGCTAGCGACTGGTGGCATCAGAATTCCACTAATCACACTGCGTCTCCAAGGCTAAACGAGCTCGTTCAATGGATCAGAATGAGGTTCAACGAATCTCTTGAAAGAGCAGAGTTTGTACGGCTCCGTTTAACAGAGGCAAATGAAAAGTTGATCACAGGTTCTACTGGTTCGACTCCTTTGCAAAACTCTGGTAATTCTTCCTCCTCAAGTTTTTCCTCAGCGCCAGTTGCAGAGAAACTGATTTTTGACAGAGCATTGGAAATGTCACGCAATGCAGCGTTGAACGAGTTGAGATCAGAAGATTTTAGCGGTTGCGAACTTTCATATTCGACTGCGATTTGGATGCTGGAAGCACTTTTGGACTCGGACTTGACCAGTGAGAACAAGTTGGATTCAGAGGACAAGAAGACCATCGAAATGTTTGTCAGCAGTATTGGCAACCGCTTGAAGGTTCTAAAACAGAAGATCGAGAAACAGGAGAATGAGCAGAGATCTCACCGGCACATCAGTCCTGTGTGATCAGGATGTTGAATGTGTTAGGTTCTCCCATTGTCCATTCGGACCAATCGAGTTTGGCTTGATAAGTCTGCTCATCTTTCTCTCAATTGCTACCATCTATTTTGTTTTGCAGGCGAGCACTTATACAGAAAATGACAAAAAGATGATGAAATAAGAGAAAAATCACAAACAGCGTTAACAAAACAGAAAAATACACAAAAATCAACAGCAAAGACGTCTTGAATGACGCAATTCTAAACGCACGCGGCGCCAGAGCTAAATTCATGAGAAGTATCCACAGCGAAAGGATATTCTACAGTTTTCACTTTTCTCTTTTACTTTAATCTTATCGGGTGGGATCGGTTGTATGGAATTGGTATATAGTTGGTTTTTTTTTAGTTTTTTTAGTATAACAACTGCTGGTTATCCGGCTTGAAAAAGTGGTGTAGAAAAAACAACAAGAATACAAGGTGATCATCCTTCGAGACCACAGGATTTCATTAAGGTGATTCAATTTTTGAGTGGGTATACATGGAATTAAGCACAATAAGTAAACTATTGATCACATCTCGTTTAGACCGTTCACATCACCATACAAAACCATTCTCACCTCTGTGCCATTCAACATGGACATACTCCGTGAACCATCATCCCATATGGGAAATTGATCGTCTGACATCTCCCCCAAATCACGCTTTCCAGTCCGGAGCTTGACACCTTCTGGGATCTCCAGTTGAAACACATCAAAAAACCGCGAAACACAGGACCATTTGTGCCACACAAAGTCTTTGCGCGGATTGCAATCGCAGTTGAACTTCTTCCTCGCCGCGTCAGAAGGAGGACACGCCTGGTTAGGCTTATGGTAGTAGCCTGTGTTATCAAAGTAATGAAGTGCACTTGGAGGTAAAAGATATGACAGGGCCAGAGTATGGACCGGGGCATCACCCCATCTTTCGTAGAAAAATCCTCCTTCATTCTCCAGGAACTGGAAATATTTCTCATACTGTTCAGATCTGAAGAAATCGAGATCCGCAATTTCAAAGTTTGTCCAGAAATGACACTTATTGTAGTTCTCACCACCGTCATCTGAAATAAAGTTAAGATCAAAGTTGGGATCCACCAAGTCAGTGTTCTCGCTGAAAAACTGCTTGGTCTTAGCCCAAAGAGTCGGAATGGTTGCCATATCCTCTGACATTGCCATAGTAAAGCCATACTTCTTATCCTGAGTGCGCATCTCAGTAAACACATCATATGGAATGTCGCACGAGAACTTCACACCCGGTTCCACCCTCCAGTAGTACTTATAATGTCGCATCACTCTCATTTTGTAGAAGAATCCGGAATTGAATCGACACATGAACCGGTAGCTTTCCGAGTCAGCATACATCACGTCCTTTGCTTTCAGCTGCTGCCTGGATCGCTCAGCCCTCTCCAAGTCTATGTTCTCTGGGTAAGACCAGTACTCCTCCGGAACTTTGGTGAAAAGGGCTCTTCCACTAACTGCCCTGGATACCTTCTCTATGAAATCAGCTTCAAAGGGCTGGTCGTTCATGAATATCCAGTCGTAGTTGAACCTGTGATTGAATCTCTCTTCCAGCGATTCTATTGACTGGAGAATACCGTCGAGCTCAGAGTTTCGCACCAAAGATAGTAATGTGGCATTTTCACGGCCATGTAACTCATTGATGGGCATCTCCTGTGCTTGGTCGTCGTTATCAGGCATTTCACCTATCAAAAGCCCATGAAATGTGACCCGCACAGATTGCCAGGCACTATCATGAAGATTCGCAATTCGGTTTCCAAGATCCTTTACCTCATCGGGATACCGGTAAACGGTCCATAGTGTTCCCAAAGTAGACAGCAGAGTGAGAATTCCTGTTAAAGCCAACAGAATGCCTGGCCGTATGGATCTCGGCTGGAAAAATTTTCTGAAACCTCTCCGGCCCGATGACTTTAAACTCAACTGCTTGGAGCGGTCCCGGTAATGAGCTCTGTAGACAGAAGAATCGCTCTGGTGTGCGATGAAGGGACTTTGATCCTCTTCAGACATGTGTATGGGGTGATGACGATAGAGATGATGAAGAAGGTAAAAAAGATGATGATGACAGGGATGACAGTAATGAGATCAGAACCAGCAGAGTGAGATGTGAAATCTGCGCTCAGCCTAGATTCCCTAGACTTTCTGCACGAAATGGGCGCTCAAATCACGATCACCCAACAAGCGTATGGATTTCAATTAACGCTTCAAGAACGGGGGCTTCAACCAATGAGGTTCGTGAGTCTGAAAACAAAGACCAAAGAGAGCTCACACCACCAACGAAACAAGATCAACACAAGTTGTCGTTAGAATAAACTAAACAGTGAGGGCAATACGTTTTTGTTAAAGAAAACGATCGACCTTTAAGCCTCTCAGCATACTAAGTGACACAACCATAGCGCCGCTGCCCGCCTCAAGAGAGGAGTGTGCAACTCAAATTTGGGAAATTCCGGGCTGCGTTCGACGCGGGATCTGGAAGCGTGAATAGTGGTTTCCTATTTTGTGGTTTGTTGTTATGGGCCTAACTAAGCCTTGTTTCAGGGGATTTTTCCTTCCAGCGGTGCATGTAGGTGGCGCCGCACTAAGTATTGGAGAGGCTTCTAGTTGGGACCGGGAAACTGAGTGTGGAGACAGTTCATGACAAGAGTTCATAACAAGAGTTCAATGAGTTTGAGCGGGGGCCTCTACGGAGCCATCGTGAAAATGGTGTCTACGGGCTTTCCCTCTGAAACTCATGCCTGAGATCATAGCCAATTTATATGAATGTAGGATCTGCCAGCCCTCGCAACACCTCATCGTCAAGAGACGGTATAACGGGGTTACGAATGGGCATTAAGATGAGCCAATTTGCAATCTTTAATCTCTCCATGTACTTGACACTATCAAACCCATCGAAAGGATCTGCTAGTAAACTTTTAACTCGGGAAATCGAAGTACAGGTTGTCCGCACGAAGAAAGGAGAGAAGAAAAAAAGGCAAAGAGAGGAGAAAATTTCTTCTTTTTATGGAAGCTTGGATCTGAACTCTGTCACGTGCTTAGAATTAAGTGGTGCACTAAACTTTGAGACGCCATTGATCAGGGTTCATCAGACGTCTGATACATCATCCCCCGATATTGTGCGATACGCCACGCCCTTGTTTCATATATACCGATAATGTCAGAAGTGAGCTCAGGAAGTTCACCAAAAGATTCGTTCGAATTTGTGATTCGATTCTCAACCGCAATTCCTGATGTAACGATCCCCATACCAGATGTGTCTCAAGTTAGTACCTCCTGGCTCAAGAAACAGATACGACGCTCAACGCCTTCTGTCACCGGAAACAAAAGATTAAAGCTGATATTTTCAGGACGTGTTCTTGTGAATGATACGAACTACAGAGACGTGCTTGTGAGACACAGTTATGAGTCTGACGATGAAGATTCAGGTAAGCCCACTCAAGTGTATGTCCATTGTCTAGTAGGGGACGAGCTGTCTGCGCAAGAACTCCAAAAAGAAGATGAACTAGACAACAAACAACCCGAAACTTCGACAACACCGGCGCCGGTGGGATTTGACAGGTTGCTGTCTCAAGGGTTCTCCCAACAAGATGTGCTAGAGCTCAGACAACAATTCCAGCGGATGCACGGCAACCTGTCCACTCAGCGGCAATCTGCGGAAGACATCAGACAGCTAGAAGATCGTTGGATCGACAGCACTGTGAATAATGAATTTGACGACTTTGCAGCACCTGGAGGAGCAGGAAATGCAGCGCTCGGAGGCTCTCATGACTCAGATGCTAACAGAGACCTTTTGGTGGGGATTCTGATTGGGTGTTTCCTCGGGGTATTCGCGTTGTTTCTCTTGAAACTGGAACTAGGAGATGTGTTCAACAAGAGGACGAGAATGGCGGTTGTAGCCGGGACGTTTGTGAATTTTTCGTTTGGTTTGGTTCGGGCATGGTCGTAAATGTGCTGAAATGGGTTTTTGTAGGTAAAGTCAGAGAGGCAGACAGAGAGGCTCACCAGAACAGGTATAGGCTGTTTCAGTCGAAGTTATGTAAAAATATAGTTAATTGCATTCAATTTTACTAGAAAAATGCCAGTAATTTTCAAATATTCCCAAATATTCCCAAATATTCAGGCAGATCAGGAAAATTTCATCAGCCTCCATTTCTCTAATCTTATCGAAGGCCGAGGCCGGAGATGGGCCTCTTGACGTTGCCACCTGCTGCCACCTACTGCTGTGTTTCAGTTCAGTAATTAACCCATTCTTTGTGGCAAATATTCTTCACCACCATCATCAACACTAAACCGTGACATCACCGATTTCAAAATGGCTCAAGACTCTGTTGTTACGGAAATTAACAAGATAGCTGAGTCCGCTGCTCCTGGAACACTGGACAACTCAGACTCCACCGACAGCTCTCTCAGATACGCTGCCTACGCCAACAGATTCCGCACGATCTTGCTGGCTTCCCACAGATATGTGGCATACACTTCGGATATAGGTGAATCGTTCAGACCGATTGCACACCCTAACTGGGTCAAGGCGTGTTACGGAATTAGTTGGTCCTATGTTCTTGGGGATGTTGGATTCGAAACCTGGAAAGCCAAGATGAGACAGGAGGGACGTTATACTCCCGGGCTAAAGCCTTGGGATACCATTCCAGAACCAAATGCGGTTGCAGCTGGATTGAACACCGAGATAGACTACAGGCTGGTGGGTATCAAGAGGGCTCTTTTTCAGAGCATCGCATCCATGGGATTGCCTGCTTTCACCATCCACAGTACGGTGAGATACTCGAGTGTCCTCTTCAAGAATTCTAGCATCAAACCTCTCAAGACCTACGGGCCTGTTGGTTTGGGTTTGGCCGTGGTTCCATTGCTGCCATATCTGTTTGACGAGCCTGTGGAGCACGTCATGGACTATGTGTTTGATCAGGGTGTTGAGTTCTACAGGAAGCAGAAAAAGGAGTAAGGACAAGAAGCGGTTATACATAGTGAAGAAAAAAGGGCTTGAGGGTCTTCATTTTTCGACAATTGAGGAATTTTTGTAGTTCAATCAACGTTTCTTTGGTTGATTTGGCTGGGCTCACTCAAAGCCAAGACTCAGCTCGGATCGGTCAACTTCCGGCTACAGACCGAGAATCCGGGCCCAATCCTGCTATATTCACATTATTTATCAACAAATAATGTGTTTGCGGACTTGCAACAATGCCAGATCTTATCCGCAACAATAATGTAGCAGTTTATCAGTATAATCAGAAGGTGGGCTCAAGCTCGTATTCGTATTACCGAGCCGACAACCTCGGTAGAGGACGCGTTAAAAAGGGCATCGCTCTAGACCCAAGCTGCCAACTTTTCAGACTGAAAAGTACACTACGAAATCACCAAACGGCAAAACTAAACGGCTCGGTTGAGAATAGGTCAGGGATTTTTATCAATACCTAATTAATGCCAATGTCTACCACGGTTAAAGTTCCCTTCTCAGAGCCCTCCGAATACAGCGAGACGCCCGTATTTGAAGATCCCACCTCGGAAGATGAGATCGCGAAGTACGACACGGTGCTCAAGCATTTCCAAGACCCGGAGCTGAAATTGGCCATTCGTGAGAAGAAGTGCCCACCGGAAGAGTTCGAAGTTCTGATACCGGAAGAGAAGTCCTGGATCACCAAAGAATGCATACTGCGCTATATACGGGCCACCAACTGGAACGTTGTTGAGTGTATCAAGAGACTGGAAAACTCTCTCGTCTGGAGAAGAGAGTTTGGAATTGCCGGTGGAAAGTTCCAGAAGCTGTTTCCTGAAGATATTGCAGCCGAAAATGAGACTGGCAAGCAATTGGTGTTTGGATACGACAAAGGCTCCAGGCCGTGTTTGATTCTGGCAAATGGTAAGCAGAACACCAAGGCATCTTACAAGCAGATCCAGAACTTGATTTTCTATCTGGAAAGGGCAATTGACTTTATGCCACAGGGACAAGACAAACTGGCACTTTGCGTGGACTTTAAGTCGTATCCTGAGGTTGCCATGAAGGGTTTCAACATGCCATCTGTGACTGTTGGAAAGGAGGTTCTGCATGTACTACAGTATCACTACCCAGAGAGATTGGGAAGAGCCTTGTTTATCAATATTCCGTGGTATGCGTGGCCATTTCTCAAGATCTGCTACCCCTTCGTGGACCCATACACCAAACAGAAGGTTGCCTTCGACAAGCCATTCTCCGACTATATTCCCCTGCAACAACTGGCCAAGAACTATGGTGGTGAAGTGGATTTTGAGTACGATTATGAGGCTTATTGGCCTGCCTTTATTGAGACTGCTGCTGGTAAGAGGAAAAGTTATATGAAGAGATTCGAAGAGTTGGGAGCCACGGTTGGTCTCAGCGAATACGATTTGAGAGCATAGTCTCCTAGTCTCTGTATTGGATCAATACCTGAGGAAAATAACTAGTCTCTTTTGACGCAAGAGAATGATCCACAAGGTAATCCATTGAGGGCTTTTCTTTAGACTCCAACGACCTATACTACCGCGAATGTAATCATGTCAGTCTTAAAACTGACATCTACAATGTCTCAATCTTGTATAATCAACCTCATCTTTAATGTACAATGTTCCTAGACTCTAATGACGGATCAGAATGAAAACGTTCTCCTGCTTAAGCGAAGAAAGAGATCTGTAACCGCCCTCCAAACACATCAGCAACCCTCCAAATGAAACATACACACTTATCTTATCATCAGATCCCTCCTCAAACTTATATACGGTTCCGTGCATGACATAATCGTAATCGTCCGCAAGGGTTCTGTCTCCAGCTCTTGGAGGTCTCCATGAACCCCCAGCAGTGTTGTATTCAGAAGCATCGTCTTCATCCACAGCCAGCGACTTGGCCAGTGTTATGGTCAGAGAATCGTTATTTTGCACAGGGAACAGCTCGCTGTTCACATCCAGAGTGATTTTGGTGTCCTGGGTTGTCGTCGACTGTCCAACCAAACGGGACACTCTGTCGTATCTTTCGGTTTCCACCGACAACACCGTAAATATATCGTCAAAGAGTGTGGCAGACATGGCTTCAACTGAGAATATGCTCGAGCGGATTTTTCGAACCTTAATTCCTCGGTTGGATCTTACTGCAAATACAACACCCTCTTCATTTCAATCTCAGCCGAACCTCCAAAATTTTAACGCTATCCAAGTTGACCCGTTACTCAAATGACAGATGCCCCCCCAACCTCTTTCAAGCATTCCCCTCAAAAGACTTACGTGGACCTTTTTAGCCAGTTTGAAGATTTGTTTGGATTCCGAGCTTATTGGTTCAGGTTTGAAGTGGCTATATTTGCAGCAGTGCCGTAATTCTGTGTTGTGATCCAGAAACGTTCTAGGTTTCAGCCGAGGTTCTTTGACATACTAATTCGGAACTCACGATAAGCGTCTTAACCCGAGACGAGGCGTCGTTTTTTTCATCTCAGAACTTGCACTCCATTTTTTTGTGAAAGTTGGGATAGTTGGACTTTCTTCGATTTTATTTTTGTGCTTGCTGTGAGTTTCCAAATTTTCAATTCAATCACCCACCATGTTTGGAGGCAACAGATCTAGACAAAAGAGTAGACCCGGTTCCTCTCAAAACTTGTTTGACCAAGATATAGAGCTCCAGGATGCTGAAAGATTTCACTCCAGCAGCGGGGAAAGGTCTCCGTCTTCGATTGCGCTGGAGAACGCAAATGAATACGCGGACAGACAGGCCCGCGATTTCGTGATTGATGACGAGGAAGATGACGATATCATATACAGTGGACCACGCGACGGCGATGCCAGGGAAAATGTCGGTCTTACGAATAGATCTGGCTCGCCAAACAAGAGCCAAAATGGGATCTTTGGAGGGAACGTAATGCGAAGGTTCACCACCAAAAGTGGAAAGCGTCAGTGTTGGGTCATCTTCTTTGTGTGTTTTATAGTGTGGGCAGTTTTTCTGGCCAATTATGCCATGGACAACAAGCTTTCCAATTCTGATGCTCCCACTAGAAAATCTTCACCCCCGACTGGTCACAGCTCTAACCCCGCTAAGTATGGTGGCAGCCAAAAGATGACACTGGACGACGAGAGACTGGGCAAGTTTTATGTCTTCTCAGAGGACATCAACCTCGTGAAGAACTCACAGCTTCCAGACGAGGGGTATTACCTCCAGCGTATGGGTGCGGAGTTCACCCTTAGGAAAGTGGCTGATTCCAAGTTTTCCAAAAGGATTCTCAAGAATCAGGACTTCAAATACAACGGAGCCAAATACTCGGTATCAGACATCGTTCTTGGTCCTTTACTGGAGACAGCCTTGGTGGTGGCTAATCACGAATCTCAGTGGAGGCACTCCGGAATTGCCCATTACTTTCTGTACGATATTGCCAAGAACGTGTATACTGCTCTATTGGAGGTTGAGTTGGAAGACGGCACGGTTTATGTGCCTAAGCTTAGTTTTGCGGAATTTTCTCCTAAGGGAAACTACATCACCTACGTTTTCGAGAACAACGTGTATCTGTGTGATCTGAATGATAATATGGAGACTTTACAGCTTACTGACGATGGAAGCAACACTATCTACAACGGTAAACCTGATTGGGTTTACGAGGAAGAGGTTCTCGGCTCAGATAGGGCTCTTTGGTGGGCCCCTGATGAATCCTCGTTCACATTTCTGAGGCTTGACGATTCGGATGTGCCTGTTTTTTTCTTGGACCCGTACGCCAATACCGGTTCCACGGATGGGTATCCAGAAGCAGGAAAAGTCAGATATCCCACTCCAGGCACGGCAAATCCAATCGCGAGTCTGGTCAACTTCTCTATTAAGAACAGTACCATGAATGCGATTCCAAGAGAAGGAAGTGAACTGGGAGACGACTTCATTGTCTACTACTGTAAATGGATCAGTCCAACGTCGATGATTATCAAAGAGTCAGACAGAACCAGCAGTGTCATGAACGTTAGGGTGTTCGACTCGACCACCGTTACTTCGCAGATAATCAGGAAGGTGGATGCTGTTAAGGAATACAATGGCTGGATAAACGTGAAGACAGAAATCGAAATCGTTCCTCCAACTGAGGGCCACAAGGATTACGGCTACATCGACATAGTGGTCAATGAAGGGTACGACCACCTGGGCTATTTCAGCTCGGTTTATGCCTCAGATCCTCAGATGTTGACACAGGGAAACTGGCAGGTGCTTGACTCTCAGTTCAAATACAGCCCAGAACAGGATGTTGTGTACTATTTGTCTGGCGGTGATTATGGAATCGATTCTTTGCTTCACTCCGTTTCTCTTAACGGGAGCGTTTCTACACAGATTACCCCTTCGAACGATGATGGCAGAGCCTACTTTTCTGTGGAATTTTCTCAGGACTCCAAATATGCCATGATTAACTACCAAGGACCAGACGTTCCCACACAGAAACTAGTCAGTCTCTCTGATTTCGATTATGAGACTTATCTTGCCATGCACTCGTTGAGCACAACATCGTCTACTACCACAAACTTAAAGGACTACGCTTTGCCCACCAAGGAGTTCTATACATACAACCTGGGAAAGAACTCCAAGGGCAATAGCCTTGATCTCAATGTGATGGAGGTCAAACCTCCGTTCTTCAACGAGACCGAGAAATACCCTCTGTTGGTGAGTGTGTATGGTGGACCCGGATCTCAGAAGGTGAGCAGCGCCTACGGATACGGCTTTGAAGAAGTTTTTGCTGCTTCTCTGAGTGCCATAGTATTGTACATAGACCCCAGAGGAACAGGTGGAAAGGGTTGGGAGTTCCAATCAGAAGCCAGAGACAAGATTGGATACTGGGAACCACGGGACTTGACGGCGTCGGTCAGGGGCTTGATCCAAGAGAAGGGGTATATTGATGGGGATAGAACAGCCATTTGGGGCTGGAGTTACGGCGGATTCACCACCTTGAAGACACTGGAGTATGACGGTGGTGATGTGTTCAAGTACGGGATGGCAGTTGCTCCGGTTACAAACTGGAAACTGTACGATTCTATCTACACCGAACGTTATATGGACATGCCAGAAGACAATAAAGAGGGTTACGATGAATATTCGGTGATAAAGGACTATGATAGGTTTAAAAACGTCCAGAGATTCTTGGTCATGCACGGAACAGCTGACGATAATGTCCACTTTGGCAACACTCTGGGGCTGCTGGATGGCTTTGATCTCCACGGGATAGAGAACTATGATTTGCATGTTTTTCCACACAGCAATCACAATATTGCGTACCACAATGCGAACACGATAGTTTATGATAAGCTCTTCAACTGGTTGAAGACGGCCTTTAGGGTATGAGAGCTGATAGGCCTCATAATGTAACACCATAATAGATAAGAGAAAAAATTATCTGATCTTAAGTTGTTCACAAAGTAATATCTCTGAAACCCGAATTTACTCCTGATATTTCTTTTTTCCTTTATTGAGGCTTGGAGTAGTTCAACGTCCCACACTTCTTACAGGTTCTGGCAGCCAGGTCGGCATCGAATGCAAGGATTGCTTCCTTGACCTGCGTTCCCAAATCATAGCAATAAAATTCAACTTCGTGAACAATTTCCTTGCAGCCACTACAATACCATCTGAGCTTATCATTAACTCCTTCGGGTCTATCCTGTTCCACGACAAGTCCAATAGTGTTAGCATATCTCACTGGACTGTGAGGAGTGTTTGGAGGCAGCAGGAAAGAATCACCCTCATTGATGGTTATGTCCTTGAAATCGCCTTCGTCTACCACTTTTAAGGTCATGAAACCTTTTTTCATGAGAAAGTACTCGGGGGTTTGATTCACATGGTAGTCTGTTCTCTCGTTGGGTCCACCAACAATCTAAAGAACAAGTTAGTCATTTGACTGGGGTAATGAAAAATCGCTCTTTGCTTACCATCACGGTGAACCCCTTCCTGTGGACACAATAGTTATTTACCGGGGGAGCTAGGAGGTGTTCATTGTCTTTAATCCAATCGTCTAGATTTATTGGATTTGGGAGCATTTTGGTACAGTTATAGGCAAGAATATGGGAAGAAATGGGTAATGCATATCTAAAATCATGCGATGCATCAGGCCCATCGCCAGAAAATTAGTCATGCCTTTGGGCTGCGAACGCCACATAACAATTATAGAAAGATTTCAACAGTCTCTAATACTCATTTTTATATACAAGAATAACCTCATTTTCATGGAAATAAGATCTTTCCAAAGGAACCAAAATAATGGTATAACACAACGTTTCTAAGAGTGTCCCCGCCCTGCAAAATCACCTGTTCTAGAGGAACGTCAATCTGCTTCACTTTTACCATACACAGCTTCCTGCCCTCTTCGTCACCAATAGCACCATACATCGTGCTCAAATTAGTGAAACCACTTTTGGCGATCTTTGCGGCATTGAAACTTTCCCTGCTCTTAGTAGAGGCCACATAGGCACTCTGTTTCGCCAACTCAATTGCGTCTTTCCTCAAACCCTTGAACCACAAAATTTCAGCCACATGAGACTTCAAAAGGGGTATCGTCTCAAACTGAAGCTCTTCGAGCCTTTTTTGATTCTGTTTCTCGGCTCTGGTCTTTGCAGTGGGCGAAAACGCAGACTGTGTGTGGCCAGCAACAGCTTGAGCTTTCTCTAACTGCTTATGCTCTGTCTCTGCACATCTCAAAACAGATAAGAGGATTGACAGCGACTTGTTGACATGAGTCTTATCCTTAAGGGAGGTATAATATGCACACAAGTCCAGTATAGACGTGGTGAGCCCGTTGTTCACAATGACTGTTTCTGGTAAGATGGCCATATCCGCACTTAGATCGTTAGATTGTCCAGCCAATGCAGGAAACTCGTTTCGAATTAGCAAATCAAGAGCAACTAGCAGATAGTTCTCAATCACAAACTTCTCGTTTTCCTTCTCTTTCGGGCTCCGAGAATCTTCGAGCTTATCCTGTCTGATTTGAGCCAGAGTCCTGAGGGCATTGTTCTTTAACATGTAGGAACCAATATTTGCAGACTTGCCAAGTAGAGATTCGTAATGATCCGAGATCTCAAATGCCTTCTGCAGAATTTTCTCAATGTTCACCAAATTCTCGTCGGTAAGGGCATATCTGAACAACAAGTCGGCATATGCAGAGACATACTCCAGGTTCCCATTGTTGACCCAAGTATCGAGTTTGGAATAGCTCAAAAGCTCGAAATCCTTGGCATCTTCATCGTAATCAGCCATGTGATTTTCAGCTGCTATGTTCTTCAAAGTTCTGAGGTATTCCGCATGTGCAAGTCTTTCCTTCTTGTTCACTTCTTCCTTCACCAGGCCCTCTCGGAACTTGTACTTGGTCCAGATTCCAAATCCAGAAGGCAACTGCTGAATAGTTCCCAGGTATCTTAAAGTTAGCACATATAACATGAGGTTGAACACGAAGGTGGCTACCATGTAGATTGCAAATATAATAAGTAGCCTCTTTCTAAGTGTTCCTCCTCGCTGGTTCTTCAGCATCTTCCCCAACGCCTTCACATTAGTTCCCACTTTCCAAAAGGCAGCACCACGGTGTTGGGTTGCCATTCTAAATTTCAAAAGCTCACAACTGGCGGGTCTTCTGCTGAATGTGTGTATCTGCTGGGACTTCACAGTGGTCATTGGAAACGCAGTCACCCTCAATAGGTCATGTTTCAAGCTTGGAAAGACTTGCCTAAAAGTCTGTGGTCTGGCCAGTCTAACAGTAGACCTGCCAATCCCCAGATTCAAGATACCTCCAATCATCCTGAAGAGCACAATGAAATGGAGGTTGTCGCCTTGTTCAGACAAGAGACCTTGATGCTTCATCACTGTCTTTCCATCAGATTAAAGTAGTGCACAGATTAATATCACGCCGCAATCACATAGTTGTGCGCTTGAATTTGTCAGAAGGCTGGATAACAGAAGCAAAACACATCTCGTTTGTGGTCACTTCATTACTTCGCGTTTGGTTGTTTGCAAAGTGGTGATGAATTTTTGGTAAGTGTGAGCAATGGCAATACCGAATAAGCCTTCTGGCCAGAGCTGGCTCTCCAGAATCAAAACCTGGCTGGTTACCAACCCAAACAACCCCGGTCTGGAAACAAAATACAACTACCAGGCTTTCCACTCATCGCGCTATCTCTTCTTTTTTGGCGGGAGAATACGAACTGTCAAAAGGAACCCTGCACAGACAGTTTCTATTCTATTGAGGAACCTGAAGCCCCTTTTTCCAGTCGGAGTTGGGATCCTCATAGTCCTTCCTCTGGTGCTATTTCTCGTCTACGAGGCAAAGTGGCTCTGGCACCACATTTCTGGATCGGTGGTGATACTGTTTGTGTATGGCTGGATCCACTGTTTTGTGGGACTTTTGCGAGCTTCTTACATGGATCCTGGGGTTTTACCGAGAAACATCCACATCACAGACAACGCAGAAAGAGTGGGGCTCCCAGCCGAATACAACTCCTCTGTCACCATGCCTGGTTACAAAAGGGCTCATGGAGATATGACTGGATCTTACAAACCGCAGTCTGAACCTGAGGTGCAAATCAAATACTGCCCTACTTGTAAGATCTGGCGTCCCCCAAGAGCATCCCATTGTTCTTACTGTAATGTGTGCATCATGAACATGGACCACCATTGCAGATGGTTGAACACCTGTGTTGGTCAGAGAAACAAACGGTTCTTCTTATCCTTTCTATTTGGAACGGTCACGTCCTGTATTTGGATAATAGTGCTATCGTTCGTCCATATATTTGCCTATAGACGAGAACACCCGGACATATCACTAGCACACAGTCTCAGAGATGTTGGAGCTTCTTTGTTCCTGGTGATATACTGTTTGCTAGGAGTGATCTTCCCAGGTCTCTTGCTGTTCTACCATTTTATGCTGGGTATCACTGGAATAACCACACGCGAATATTACCAAATTCCACGTGGAATGGATAGTTTCGAGTTTTTGAGAAACATATGGGCTAGCACTTTCAATACGCATTCGTATTGGAAGAACTTGATGGTCCAGTGGTGCCAGCCTCGAGGAACATCTACAGTCAGGATGAGAGATCGTTACCAACAGGGCGACATGAGATTCGAGTCTGTTGAGTTTGGCGCAATAATTTAGTCACCCGGAAAGTAACGAAATGAAATGAAATGAAAAATAAAATGGAAAATGAAAAATGAAAAATGAAAAATACAAGAAATTTTAATAGCCAATTAGCGAAAGATCCCAAAACCGATATCATCGATACTTAGATCGCGGAAGATAAATCAAGTTTAGGACCGATTGATGCGTGACAGACTCCACACAAAAACGAGTGTGAACGCGAATATATAATTTTCCTTCTTTGAACATGTCTTTTTTCTGGCTGGTGGTTTGCAATACTCGTCGGTTCGCTTTTGTTAATTTGTTTCGCGGAAAAGAAGCCACTTTTCACCAGCTAGTTGGTCCCCCAGCATGTTAGACACTCTTCCTGTGGAGATACAGCAACACATAGCAGACCGTCTGCCCCAAGCAGATTGTCTACACATGGCATTGTGCAACAAGTCGCTTTATGCGGCTTGTATTCACAGGTTGTACCGGGCGATTGCTATAGACTCATCTTTGACTTATTTTCATCAAGAATTGGCAGAATACTCGGATACCAGAAGCGAGTACTGGTCTTTGGCAAATGGCTCCATTAGCCTGACGGAAAATCAGTTCAGGGTAACCATTATAAGAACCTCTCATGGGTTGAGAACGTTCTTCCGCACAATCGAAAGAAATCCTCGGTTAGCCGAGCTGATCTTGTACTTGGAAGTTTCCAAGAAATTGCCTGAGCATTTTGTGGAGCTGGATCTGGCCCGAAGTCTACAGAAAGTGCTTTTTCCCCGTCTGAAAAATTTGAAGTTCATCAACTTCTGGTACACTTCTCCTTTGATCAACTTGGAGATTCTGTTACAATGCATTCCCAGTAATAGTCTTGTTGCAATTAACGGAGATTTCGGGGCTTCGAAGACCAAGGCTTCAGCCGCACGCGATTCACTCAGGCATCTGTTGAATGATAGCGAGACGGTCTCGAGTGTTTCACAGCTGGTCATCCACAATTTCCAAAAAACGTCTAGACTGGAAGGGTTTGCTTCTGCTCGTTGTAATGGGCTATTATCGAACCTCAGGATATTGGAGATTGCCAAATCTGCACCTACAAGTTTCCCCGTCAACTACAATATCATCAACTCGCTGGGTATCGACTTCAACTATCTGCAGGATAGTTTCAACAAATATTTCTACAACGGAATGACGAATAACCCCACGAATGACTTTGGCTCCATTTTCAGAAACACTACGCCTGCAACCAATGGGGGTAATGTGAGTTCTATCAATGGAGTCGGTCATAACCACGAGAGCAATAACTCTGACTCGACCGACGGGAATGTCATTCCTACTCTTTTCAAATCGCCAATCAGATCCAAAATAAGTTTACTGAAGCTTACCATTGATGGAATAGTGCTGAACTCGTCTGACTCAAGCTTGCTCATCCGTTGTTTGAACTTAGGTGAGCTCCAAACTCTCAGTCTGCTGGATGTATCTGAAGTCATGAAAGAAGCCCGTTTTGAGACCGGGTTGCCTCAACTCTCAGCCGAAACACAAATCGAAATGTTTGACGGAATAGACCCCGAAGAGGCGGAAAATATCAGAATGGAGAGCCTGGTACCACACAGAATATACGAGAAAGACTCCTTTTTTCTCGTGAAGATAGCTCCATACCTCACCAGTTTGAAAGAGCTAAACATTGACCACTACAACGATCATTGCGACTTTACACCCCATTTGATATCAGAGGTATCCGGCCTCCAGAAATTGTATTGTCGTCTAAGATGGAATAGAACCAAAGAGGTGTTTGGCAATGAGGGATGGAACCATTTGACACTCAAATACATGCAAGCAATTGGTGGTCATAATGAAAGTTTACAACACTTGATCATTGACACTCTGAATGAGTCCAATGGAAATGTGTCTCCTATTTTCCAAAACGGTCACGAGACCAAACTGGATGATGGAGAGGTCAAGGCTATTCCTAGTTTTGCATTCAGGCAATATTTGCCTCAAATGCGTCAACTCAGAAGTCTGAGACTGCCCGTTTCGCAAAAACATATTCTCTCCCTGATGGAGTCCGTTGCCGAGCTCACCCAGTTGGAGTATCTTGAGGTGATTCTCGTTGAGTATAGCACCATGCAGGACAATTTCAACCGAGGAACTGGTCAATACGGAGGAGCCAGAACAGGGCCTGGTCCTCATTTGGGGACACTACTATCACCATCTACTTCATCGCAGTGTCTACAATTGACCGATTCAGAAACAGTCAACCTCAGAGACGCCAAGAAAATACTCGACCCTCAAAATCTCATGCCCCAAAACATCAGTCTAAACAAGGTTCTCCAAATTGCGAAATTGTTCAAGATGTATATTGGAGAGAGGTCGCACAACGAAGGTCCTCTAGGCACGTCCAAGAATCAGCTCAGATACATCAAATGCTTCAACATCATAGTGGATGTCTGGGATATCCACAATCTCCAGGTGAAAGAGAGGGGCTTAGATGATTGGTTCAGCGATAAACTTAGAGGACTGTGATTACGAATTGCATTTGCTTTACATAAATTACAAAAGTTTACCCCCGTCGGATTTTTCTTTTTGCAGTTGTGTGCCGTGGGGTTCTGACGGAAGGGGTGACACCACGCTATTGAATTGGATAAGCTGGCTGCACTCAATTATGAATAACTTACAGTACACCCCACCAAGAATATCCAAAAATATAACAGAAAAATCTAAAAAAATTAAAAAAAATGGGTAGTTACTGTGATATCGGAAAACACAAATGTGGAGCCGCACGTGATGCTAATTGAAAAGTTGTGGGGAGGATAAAAAGTTGGAGAGGAGCAGCAAGTGGCACCGAGGGACCACCGCCTACAACTCAATACCGAAACCTAATTCAGCTGTCAACCCTGTTTTCTTTCTTTACGAGCGGAGTTAGAGGTTCAGCGACACCTTTTAGTCTTTTGACCGACCCGCGTATAATTTGTGCTTGCTAGACACTTTATTCTGCTGCTGTTCTCTAGTGACTCGATTATTCTCATATCGAGATTTGTTGTTGGCTTAACTGTCTAGCTAAGTACTGGGGAACAAAGAGGCCACCAATGCCACAATACAGGAGAGAACACAAAAAGGTGAGAACGGGATGTTCCACCTGCAAAAGTCGGCGTATCAAGGCAAGTTTTTTTTTAAAGAATCGGAGCATTTGTTTACCCCTTCAAATCTCAAATTTTTTAGCCGGTCGAACTAACTCAAGACCCTTCAGTGTGACGAGGCGAGACCCATTTGCGAAAAATGTGCAAAGGGTAAACACGAGTGTGTCTATGAGCCCGTAATTCCTAGAAAGGCAGCCAAGAGGGTCAAGATAGAATCAGAGGAACCGCTCAATGTCAGGCCGCCTGTTTTTGGTATTCCGCAGGCCTTGGTCTCTGCTATAACAGATGATCCGACACTGAGTGACACCTGCAGCGAAAGTATGCTGCCATATGGGTTCCATTCATCTTTGACTTTCAAGCTGAACAACTACATGAAAAGCGAGTTCTACACCCATTTTGCTACCAGCAAGCAATGCCAGGAGGTGTATCTGGAGGCCTTCAATAAGTCACACGAGTACGAGTACTTGTACCACATATTCATGGCTGTCCTATTGATGGACCTGTATCACAAGGTTGAGATGACCGGTTCGGATGATGTGCTGAATTTGTCGCAGAGTGCCTACGTCTCCATGGCCGAGTTCCACCACAGTCGAAGTCTCAGTTTGATGAGGCAGAACCTACGACCCCAGAAACCGTACGATGCACTTGCGCTTTTACTTGCATCGTCGCTCCAGATGTTCTATGCAACAGCTTCGCCGAACCACAGGATCGCTGACATCGCATACATAGGCGTGGCCAAGGGGATCTATTTGTTCTTCAACGATATTCTTCCTTTTGTCGGCCAGTTCCAGCTGCTGGAGGACACCTACAAGAGATATTGTCTGGGATCTTTTTCCACCGATGCAAGTGTGTATTTTCCGGAATTCCTATACGGGATACTAGATTTGCAATACTTTGAACAGGATCCTTTGACTCCGCGTACTCTGAGTTCCGATAGCGACCCCAGTCCTGCGAACTCAGTTTCCAGTGGTGGGCCTAGTTCACCGGAGCAGCAATCAGTCACGCCCAGTACTTTCAGTTCATCGAGTGAGAGATCGAACTCAGGTTATAGTGCTGGTTCTCCTTCTTTCGAGGCAAATAGGGACATATACAAAAAAGTACTGGATAGACTCAAGATGGAGTTTAGAGCGCACGCGTACAAAGAACCAGATGACAATACTCCTGGAATGCAGATTGAGAATGAGCTGATAAGCACCCTTTCTCGATACGTTATCGATGTTCCAGAACAGTTCACGGAGCTCATAGGCATCAATGATCCTAGGGCGCTGATTATCATGGGATATCACGTGATGATTCTGGCTGCAAGACGCTACCCTTTCTGGTCCCAGACTCTGTATATGTACGAAATCGATCACATTTATGATACCCTTGGAAAACTTCCATATGGTCATGAATGGAAAAGCTGGTTGACCGCAGCCAGAGAATCGATCTACAGACTGAGCTAGGCTAAGACCCAACTCTTTGAGGTTTTTGTTTGTGTTGGAAAAATGGTACGATATATTATATTACTTATGGGAAGTTTTTTGTTTAATGTTCAATAAAATTCATTGTGTGTTTCAAGTTTTTTGTAAGAGATAGAATTTTCAGGAAATCACTAAACTTCAGAAGGGACCACCCATTGATTGCTGACACCAATGTCAAACTCGCAGAAATTTAGCCAAAAACCTACAAAACGTCCATACTATGATAACTCTTAAATAAACTTTACAAAAGAAGTAACATAAACAAATATTTGCTCTCGTGGAAGCGAATAAAACATTTGGAATCTATGTAAATCGTTCAGCCGCACCTAGATGTGTACGCACCAATTGAGAATTTGTCGCCTATTTAAAAGCGAAGGATTTTCTTCCACTTAGTCTTCCTCTTTCTTCTCTTCTCTCAATAAGTACTGAACTTCTCGTTACTGAAGTTTATTATGACAATTAATTTGGAAATGGTATGTTATCAATAATTCTTGAGGCTCCATCCTTGTTGCCGAATTTCTTTGACTGTTTCTCTGGTTGGCTACCGATTTGTATGATGATTCCACTTTATATGCATAGTTCAACTGATTTACTAGATCATGAAGAGAACAATAACCATCATGTCTTTCACCCCTATCTGACTCAAAATGTGTTTTCCTGAGAAACTTCAAGACAAAGAAAACACCAACAACCTGCATAGTGACATTTAACTAACAATGAACCTAGTTTGTGAACACACACATATCCGATTGCTTGTCTAAATAGATTCTGTTAATGAAATCGGTTTTTCTTTAATGTACAAATCACTTGTAGAGTTCTATGTCCATGCAAATGTGGGCCTGTATGGTGGGTTCTCAAGAGTACCTCTAGTTTTCAGGTTTCAATGCATACATTCTAATTGGATACAGCTCTTTGGGAACACCCTTCTGTCTTTCAGTTGCTATCAACTTCCAACCTGCCTGCTTGAAAAGCCTTCTGAAGTTTTTGTCCGATCTAGTCTTGGAGGAATCTTCCTCGTCGAACACATCGTCATCTGAGCTGGTGTTGTTCTCCTTGACCACCAATAATCCGTTTTCCTGTAGTCCTTTCTTGCAGTTGTCCAGCCAGATAAGGAAAGCATCATCTGGCAAATGTCCACAGCACCATTGGCACCAAATTAGATAGTATTTGTTTGGTTCAGAGGGCTCCCAATCCTGCATTGGGATTTGGTATATCTCACCTATCTTCCCCTTTTCCTTTAACGACTTCAATTCAACTTCCATCTGGTCAACAAAAGACTTCACAGGCTCAAGCAAATCCACCTTGTCACACTGCTTGTGTAAGAAGTCTCTGGTAACCCTTCCTATACCAGCACCGAAATCTAGTCCGTACTTGATCTTGCCTTCTTCGACCGATAGTCTTGGGGTTAATTTCCTCATGAAAGTTGCGGAACCAACCACATCCGCTTTTGGCACCGAGGTGGTCTCACCGTAACCTCCTAGAACACCATTGACAGTGGGCTCCACACCAGACCAGTATTCTATAGCCTTGTTGTAATCGATCATGGAATCGAGCTGTCCCACAGGGGCAACTGTGGGTTGAGCTTGATCTTTAGCAGGCATGATCAAGAGGAGTACTATTGGCACAAGAAACAGCTTCTATGACGAAATAATCGCTGTAAGTGTTGGCCTTCAGATCAGTATTTGAGAAAGTTTCGAGATAAATAAATTATCAAATCACTCTGGGCCATTGCTCAGAACCAAAAATTTGAAATATTGCACGTGCGGCTGAACATTGTACGTTCTACACTACCAACGAGGAGACGGGCGCGCTATTTTCATGATCTCAGCGAGAACGGAAACCGCATTGAAGTAGAGAAATCGCAGATATCCAAAAAAGATGTGTTTTTATACATAAGGTAGTCAAATAATGTTTATCGGTGGGGAGGTGGTGCAGAGGCGTCGTACTTCACTCACAGCTGAACAGAGTTGTAGACCAAAACCCCTACTACTGTTACCAACAGACCACTTCGACAGAGGACTAGAAAACTTCAAAATGCCTTTGTAGCCGCAGATCTTTCCGAGGAGCCAAAACTACGCGGGCGTTTCTTTTTTGCATTCGCCTATTGTCATTTCATCGGCAATACGTCCCGGCACAATATGGCTGTGCTCGATGGCTTTCGAATATGGAGGGGCAGGTTACGAAATCGCTGTGGCTAGGCACGGGGACTTGCAAGAGCAGAATACGAGAAATTCAGTCGCAAAATTTTGCATTGTTATGATTGGAGCGTGTAGCTTTCCATTGAATCGAAGAAGATTTTGGACATTTAACGCAGGACCCTGAACCATACAATCGGCACTTAATAGCGAACTTCTTGCGCCTAACATTTCACTCATCACGTATAATTACTAATTGGACTCCCTCCTATAAAAAGGTTCCTGATTCCGCATACCACTATTTCTGCCCCAAACAACAATTTGTTCGGGCAATTGTTGGGTGCACGGGTCTTCTGACTGACTATATATTATTACTGCAGAAGAAACGGCCCAGATACTCGCTGATCTGTTTACCGCGCGGTTTAGCTGCAGAGTCCGTTAGAATAAGCTGTTTTTCACCATAAAGCAGAACATACCACATTTCCCCCTCTGCTGCACTTGAAAAGTCAAAAATTTGCGGCTGAAATATTAGATCCAATACCTTGGAAGTTATATTCTCCGCTCCCTTAAAAAGCGTACGGGGTTTGAAAGCCATCACCTTCTCATTAGGCATCTGCAAGTAAGGCCATATAAGCCGGGTCCAAATTTTTTCCTTGCCTCCCAAATTTCCAGCTCTCCTGCCTTTGTTCATTTACACCGCTCTGGAGGATTTGAAGTCTACAGCCTTGGGTTCGTGCAAACTTCGATTATTTATTTAGTTCAACAATTTTGTTGCATATAGAGGGTTTTTTGTTTTCTGTTGGTTTTGCTGCTCCACCTGCTTTCTTGTTGCTAGTTGTTTGAGAGCTCAGATAGGGCCCACATTCCATTTCTAAAGTCCACTCTCCACTCCAGTTATTCAGGCCTGAAACATGGGGCTTTTATCACTAGGAACTCCGCTGCACTGGCTTGAGTCCAGAAACCACTGTGAACATGTCAGGGATAACGGATTGGAGCAATTGATCAAGATGTTCGAGGCTGCCTCAGCAAGATCAGACGACCCATTTCTCTGGGGTGATGAAATAGAGTACATGTTGTTGAAAGTTAACGACAAAGACCATAGCATCAAATTAGCCATTGACGAAGACGATATGTTGGAAAGATTGGCTGAAGACGGAGTCTCCTACCGTAAGGCTGCTGACAACGACGTCTCGTTTCATCCCGAATACGGTAGATACATGATTGAAGCAACGCCTGCCACACCGTACGATGGAGCCTCGTTAAAAAGTTATGCCTATGTTGAACGCAATATGGAGGCCAGGAGGAAGATTGTGGTTGGTGAGGTCAAGGACAAGAGTGTGGTTCCAATGACTTACACTTCCTTTCCCAGAATGGGTGTTGGTCTCTTCACTGATCCTCCAGCAAAGGCCAACGGTGCTGCTTCGATGTCGCTTTTTTTGCCTGACGAGATCATCAACAGACACGTGAGATTCCCCACCTTGACCGCAAACATTAGACGGAGAAGAGGGTCCAAGGTGGCTATCAATATCCCGTTGTTCAAAGACTCGAAGACCAGGTCAGACTCCGAGGTTGATCTCACTATACCGCATCGCCAGCTGTATGCAGGCCATGACGACGAGGCCTTCCAAGGGGCAGCCCAGCCCGGATCCATATATATGGACTCTATGGGGTTTGGTATGGGCTCTTCGTGTTTGCAGGTGACGATGCAAGCCCCCGATGTGAGGAGGGCCAGATATCTATATGACTCTCTGGTAAACATAGCGCCGTTGACATTAGCATTGACTGCCGCCGCACCCATCTTTAGAGGGTTTTTGGCGGACCAGGACGTGAGATGGAACGTGATTTCAGGTGCGGTTGATGATCGTACTCCGTTTGAGAGAAGCGAGCCTCCACTGCCTGGCCATTCCGAGAGAGGTAATACCCGTCCGGATGCCAATTTGCAGAGGATTCCCAAGTCGCGGTACGATTCGGTAGACCAGTATCTGGGTGATATCGATGTCTCTGGGGAACATTATGGATTTTTCAAGGAGGACTACAACGATATCGAGTCACCTATCAATGATAAAGTGTACAGCAAGCTGCAGTCACAGGGATTCGACCCAATACTGGCACACCATTTTGCGCACTTGTACATTCGTGATCCGATTGTTATTTTCAACGAGAGAATAGACCAAAACAACGACGAGGAGACGGACCATTTTGAAAACATCCAGTCCACGAATTGGCAATCTCTGAGGTTCAAACCCCCCACCCAAAAGGCCACTCCTGACAACCACTCGACCCCAGGCTGGAGAGTAGAGCTAAGACCAATGGAAATCTCGATAACTGACTTTGAAAACGCAGCTTTCGCCGTGTTTGCCGTTTTGCTGGCCAGTGCCATATTGAAGAACAATCCCAACTTGTACATCCCGATCTCGTTGGTTGATGAGAACATGAAGTCTGCCCATAGAGTGAATGCCTATACCGAACAGAAGTTCCACATGAGGACCAACATTTTCGAGAAGGGATCTGCCATAGTAGAGGAATTGACTCTGGGACAAATATTCAACGGCACGGATTCCTTTGCCGGGTTGATTCCGTTGGTGGAAACATTCGTGGATGATACTTTTGGAAAAACTGAAAATGTCGATGAGCTGGCCCAGATCAAAACCTATCTCAAATTCATCTCATTCAGGTCTGCTGGAAAGATCCCATCCACTGCGGCATTCATTAGAAATTTTGTCGTTTCTCATGAAGATTACAAACACGATAGTGTGGTTAGCGATTTGATCACCTACGATTTGACAAAGAAGCTCTATCTTTTGGGACAGTACGACCATGATACTGTCAAAGAGTTCTTTGGCGAAGAGCTTGGTCAAGATTTGATTGAAAGCCACCATTAATTTTGTGCAAACAAACTGTATCCTAAGATTGTGAGTTTTCACGGTACCATGTTCAAGTGGTACACAACGTAATGCATACACCTATTGTAGACGAGAAGCAGCAAGCGAAACACGTGGTGATACACAGTTCAGGGCTCTGAAAACAGTTTCCTCGGAGCTCGCTGCAGCAAACATCATCTTCACCGTATAGCGAGCACCAATACTCGTGACATTCACTCTCTTCCCTCCTGTACCGTCCATGCTCGGCCACATACTTTGTCTGCTCCTCTTCTCTCTGCCGTTGATTTTCTGTTTTCGTTTTTTGGAACTCTTCCTCTTTGATCTGTTCGTAGGTTGGTTGTTTGCGGATCGTTGGCTGAGATTCGATGGTTGCTTGAGGCGTCAGGCTCAAGTTGTCTCCCTCTCTCGCGGACTCAAGAGGTCCCACGGTGATGTCTCCCTCCTCAGACTCCGTCACAACCGGAGGTTCAGAACTTGCAACTTGTGTTGGTTGTGGGTCTTCAGATTCAGCAGCCTGTATCGATAGGTCGTCGCTGAAATGGGTATGTGCATCCTCGAAATCGGAGGTCCTCGAGGACGTGGCTGAGGATGTGGCTATGGAGTCGGATCGCTGTAGCTCAACCGAATGCAGTGACATGCTGATTGCAAAAATTTCAATCGAAGAAAAAAAACTATTTCAAAAATGAACCAGATCAAAAAGAGAGGAGAAGTGGTGGCTTGAGTGGGATGAATCTGTGGTGATACTATTCTGGATTCACTGGAGTATGCATCGCGCGATGACCAGATTTAACCGTCTTTGCTCTCTAAGATAAAGCCATGGGCTTCCACCAGCAATTGTTCAGCGAAAAACACACGACAAAAAGAGATTTGTGAAATTTAAGATATCCAATTACACAGGGGTTCAAATATGTATTTTTTTTGGTGTTCAGAACTGTTTTTTTCAATGAATCACTGTAATTTTCAGTCAAAGATATCCTTGCTATTGACCCCAGAGTTCACCCAAAACTGTAAACACATCACAAAGTATGATGCCACCACTAACGAATAACAAACACACGACACAAATATAATTTCCTACTTTTCCAGGTCTCATTCAATGCTTGCCTACTCGTTTAAATACCAACAGATCTGTTCTTCGTACCCAACCCAAATTCCGAATCGGGTAATTGTATCGATACAGACCGCAACGTTCCTCAAATACACCAAGGCTTATCTTTCGCAGTATATCTCACCGGGGGTAGTGAAAATGGCAGTCTAATTGGAACACTATTGTTCTTATTGCTTGTGTTGCTAACGTATTCTGGAACAAGGGGCAAGCCGCCAAATTGACCAGAATGTAGCAACACACCAGCCTCAAACGACTGGATCTTGTACTTCTGGACTCGAGAGTCTGGCGACAGATTTTTCCCAGGACATCCCCACGCTTGCTTCGAAAGATTGGAACTCGTCATCAGAACCCATTTAAGGGTTGCGTAATCATCATCGGTAGCACAGTAAGTCTTGCAATGCGGGGGAAATTTCTCTCTACCAGTCTCCACTTTGGATATCCATCTGTGGAATGCTCTCTTCAGAGCCTTTCTATGACCCTCCAAGTTAGGGTTGTAATATTTTGGATAGGGCTGATACAGGATTGCTGCACCTGCCAATTCTCCAGAAGCACAGTTCTTGACTTCTTCGTCGGTTGGGAAGACAACGATTGCATCGTAGTTGTCCTGTTTACCGGAATCAAACACGGCAAGAGCACCATCACTCAGTGGAAACGTCGAGCCATTCACCATGGGTGCAAGTAAATGAAGAAATATGTTTCTAGAAAGCTCATATGGACTTGCTATCGTGGATATTTGGGCAACCACCTTGAGATGTTTCTGATGATCTTGCGGAATCAGGTTATTCGCATTCAACACCTGATACAGTTTTCCATAACCTGAAAGAGTCTCGCCTGGATGATCCAGATCCAGCACATAGTCCCCTGGAGACGAGCTTATAAACTCTGCAGAAATCTCGCTGAAATCATATTCTGCAAGTATCTCGCTGAGCTCATCCATTTTCTCAAGATGATAACTGCGCAGATACCTAGTCAAATCAGCTTTGAAATTGGTACTTCGAGTCTCAGAGCGTTTTTTCAAAATCGGGCTTTTCCAGAGGGTTTGAGCATTGTAGTTGAACTGGGCATACGTGAGATTTGCGGTATGAATAACGATCTGTAGCGTTCCGTCTCTGAAGAAATTGATCATCATTTTTGTATGATGAGTTCCGTACCTTGCCATTTTCACATCGCACGTTGTGACTTTCAACTGAGTGAAGAGTTCGGCATCCATTACTAAACTCTTCAAGCTAGTAACCAAGCAAACTTCGCACTTCCCCAGGTTTCGCCCAAGAGACTCGAACAGAAATTCAATATCTATCATGAAGTTGAACTGGTAGGTTTTAACCAGATCAGGATGGGCAACAAAGTCTTTGAAGTCCAGGCAATCTCGGTTGTCCTGGCGATTGGATAATTCTGTTGAAAACAGAGATATAGGGGATGTGATAGTTTCTGTTTTGACATTGGTTTCCGGTAGCCGTTGTTTCTTGTGTGGTGGTGAGACAGATCGCGTTTTGATCTCTTGGATATCATCATTCGCATCTGCATCAGCTATCTCATCATCCTCTATCACTATAAGCTCTGGTTTGGACCTTAAAGATGCCCAATGAGCACCTGTAACCCTTGCAGCTTCCGATTTTTCCATATGAACAGGTCAGCGGAAGAGACAAAAAATGAGGGTGGTAGGGTGGTAAATCAGGTAGGTAACCTTACGAGATGTGGGTTGCCATTTTGCATGATAACTACACATAGCTATGGCTCATCTCCCTATTACCAAATGCGGTTCGTCCTACTTATTTCTTTGAGACCAATGAAACATATTTAGGTTAGGATACTATACATAACTATTTTTTCTGCAACACCGGACTCCAAACTTACCAGCAATAGTTAAATTGTTTAGTAGAGTCTGTAGGCTGGACCCATGGTGGACTTGATGACCAAAGATCCGACGTTTTGCCAGTTCTTCTTCAACAAAGAGACCAAGAAGTTAGCAGCCATCATGATCTGGTTGGTCAAGACATCCTCGGTCATGTCAACGTGACCGACGGCAACAGCCAAACAAAGAACCTTCTTCAATTGGAACTTGATGGTGGACTTGACGTCGGTAACCTTGGAGTACAAGTCATCGTTGTGGGAGACTGGGGTTGGGAACTTACCAGCCTTCGACAGTTGAGGACCCAAAAGTCTTGGAACTTGCTTGATCAAGACATCGGAAGCGACAAAGGCGTTGTACTTCTTGGCCAACTTCTTGATCAACTTCTTGTTCTTGTTCAACTTCTTCAAGTCATCGACGGACATGGCGTCAATACCAAGGGACTTAGCTCTGTCGACATCGAAAGCATCACCAAAGATACAGATGGTCATGTTTGGTCTTGGGACTTGAGGAAGCTTCAAGGAACCAGAGAAACGCTTGTCTCTCTGGGGGTCGTAGTTCTTCAAACCAACTTGCAACTCGACGGTCTCCAAGAAGTTTCTCTTCTTGGTCTCGAGAGCGTTCTTGAGAAGCTCTTGAACGTGCTCACGGACTCCGGATGTAGTAATCTTAGACATTTTTGATTAAAGTTCGTCTCCCTAGCAAAGATTTGTAGGTAATACCGTAATTGGTCTGATTCGACGTGGATGGAGAAAGAAGAATGTGAACTTGTTACGAGAGAATCGTTTGAAATTTTTCATAGGGCATCCCTTTCCCCTCTCATCACGTGATATATTCCAGGGCTTCTGGACCTGCGGCGTGTATTTGAGTATCACACATAAATAATTTAAACCTCTCTTATCTAAGGGCATTACCGTAATATATATAATCTGATAAGAACCAAACACCGTTTATCTTCTGCATGTTCATGAGAACTACTGTGGGGATTACCCCCATGGTTTTATCCCAGCATAAATTTGGAGTCCTCCGAATATTCAGCAGATCATACGCGAAATCTAAATCTTCGAAGTTATGGTTGGACAGGAGTAAGAAAGACCCATATACGCGTGAGGCTAAGATGCAGAATCTGAAAAGTCGAGCTGCGTTCAAACTACTGCAATTGGATGTGAAGTTCAAACTGTTTGAAAAGGGCCAGAATGTTGTCGACCTCGGTTACGCTCCCGGTGCATGGTCTCAGGTTGCTTATGAAAGGTCCAAAGGTACGGTACTAGGAGTTGATATTCTTCCCTGTGTACCTCCACCTGGAGTCTCCTCAATTCAAGGGAATATCCTCTCCAAAGCAACACAAGATAGAATCAGGCAACATTTTAATGCAGAACGGAGAAAATCTGACAAAGGCATCCTCGTTGAAAGCTCGGAGATGTCTAGCCAAGCACTGGTATCCACGGAATCCTACCTCGAGAGAGAGATGACATCACAAGAAGGTAACGTTGGTAACAAGTTCCCCATTGACCTTGTGCTGAGTGATATGTGCGCGCCATTTACCCTATTTAGCGGATTTTCGAGTATGACTACTAACATGCCGTATTTTAGGATGGCGAACACATCGGGCTTAGTGGTGAAGGATCACCAGATGAGTTTGGATTTGTGTGATGCCGCTTTGATTCTGGCTATAGATATGCTTCGTCCTGGAGGGGCATTTGTCTGCAAATTCTTCACTGGGGCAGAGGACAAGTTACTTGAAAAACGGTTGGAAAAGACGTTCGACAAAGTATGGAGGTTCAAACCACCAGCTTCCCGGGATAAGTCGAGAGAGTGCTACTTCATATGCAAGGGAAAGCGTGAAAATATCGACAAGCTGGAGGTGTTTCAGACAACTTGAAAGGCTTTGGTGATACAAAGGCAAACGTGCTAATGTCAAGAAGCTCAAAGTGTTGACAATAGTTAACATTTCTCATGATTTACGATAGAATATAGACAATGACTTACACCAAATGGACGCTCTAATGATTTTGTTCGCTTTCTTTTAAGAACTTGACACCTATGAAGTAGGCTAGAAGTAAAATTCCTCCTTGTTTATCCTTCTTCTTCTTCTTCTTCGTCTTCTTCTTCCTCCTGTTCCCCATCTTCTTTTTCCTCTTCAGGTTCGGCTTCAGGTTCAGCCTCAACCTCTGGAGCGGTCTCAATGGCTGCTGCTTCCTTACCGTTCTCTCCAATGTCAATCAAATCACCAAGTTGTGGAAAAAGAGCGGAATCCTCTGATGGACTACATATTCTGTCGCTCAAACTCTTGTTTCCATCAGCTGCAAGGCTCTCTTTCCACAGACTCACTGCTTTGTCCACCACGCTCTGTTCGCCATTATAGGTTAGGGCGAAGATCGCAGATTCTGGGAATCGTTTCGATAACTGCAACAACTCGATGCAACCGGCAATGTCCTTAGCAGCCCATAACGCACTGAAGGCAACATTGTATTTACCTTGGCTTTTGGCAACATTACCGAGCTTCTGCAATTCCTCAGCTTGATTCAGCGAAGTGTACAGCAAGAGCAGCGATTCGAGATCCTTTGCTTTCTCAAATGACTCAATGGCCAGCTTCAAGTTCCAGTTGGCAAGAGATGTATCACCGAGTTGCTTCCACTTGTGTTCAGTTTCAGAAACAGTTGCAATTTCGTATGCTTTTTGTAGGTCTAAAGTCTCAATGGCAAGCTCAAACTTCTGTTCATTATCATTAGTGATTTCCAAAGCCAGATCTTTGTATCCTTGCTTCTCCAGGAATCTTGCAACCTTAGTCCTTTCGGACTCTTCAATGCTGTCCAACAACTCAGCTGCTTGCTCCATGTCGCCTCTCAGCACAACTGTCTGGTATTCCAAAACATTTTGCGAGATATGGTATGAGATGACATTGAGGTCCTTGTCCGTGACATAAACCTTGTTGTCCCTGGAAAGATAACCGAGCAGATACATTGGCTTGTCAAAGTGAGCAATATTGTTGATAGATCCACCCACCAGGTAGTTGAGTCTATTCGTGGTAGAGGTATAGATGAAAACATCTCCCACCCATTTACCGCTGGTGATGGTTTCGCTAACGTCATACAAAACGTCAAAGGCACCTTCACACCCATCTTCATCGTCAACAGTACCGTTCTCTAAACTTGAAGCAAAAACGTCCTTATTGAATCTCAAAGCATAAGCGGTCTCAGACGAGATTATGAGAACCAATTCGCCTGAATCTGACCAAACGACATCTTGTGCTTCAACGTCAACTCTCTGCACCAAAGCACCAGATTCCCAGTCGTAGAACGAGACAAATCCTTCAGACTTGACAGCCAAAAGAGAACCACCAAAAATCTTATCAGCCGAGTAGAGGAGATCAACAGTTCCCGAAGTTTTTTCTTTGAAATTCTTGAAGATCTTAACTGCAGTGGTAGATTCTCTAACAGCAAACAAGTTGGAGTCCTGGGCCCACACAAAGTCAAGAGCGCTACCGTAAGACTTGTTTCTCCAGGCTAAAGCAGTGTAGATAATGTACTCACCATCACCAGTGACAGTGACGAATCTTCCGTTTGGAGAGTGGCTCAAGGTGCTTGGGAAAATCTCAACAGATCCAAGTTCCTTCTGAGACAATGGAAGCACCTCACCATCATCTGTCACGGCATCAGACAGCTTTATCACAGAAGTGTATACATCAGACTGCTTGGCCCAGATGATCTTTCCGAGAGGATCCATTGAAAGAGCAGGCTTGTCATCACCAAGTTTCAGGACGACATGACCGGAATCGAAACCAACTGCTATCAGATTGGTGCCCTTCTTTGCGGCAACACACCAGGCTCTTTCCATAGAGTAGTGCAGAGTCTTCTCGAGCTTGTAAGTGTTGGCATTCCATATGTTAATGGAAGCATCTTCAGATCCCGATATGATCAAAGGCAATTCGGGGTGGAAAATGGCAAATGAAACATTGGAAAGATGTCCTTCCAACGTGGCAACACATGCCTTTGTTTGGTAATCCCAGATCTTAATAGTGCGATCATCAGATGCAGTAATCAAATATGGTTTATCGCTTTGAGGATAATATTCCACGTAATTGACACCTTTGCTCTCATGGGCCATCAAGGTGAAGTTTGGAACAGGCGAACCAAGAGACCAGATCTTGACGGTTCTATCTAAACACGCAGATGCAAAAGTGTTGAGATCTTTTGGATTAAATGCCAGAGACATGATGTAATGTTGGTGTCCCTCAAAGATTTGTTCCATCTTCCAGTTGTTTTCCCAGTTCCAAAGCTTGATGGTCATGTCATCTGAGGATGTCAACACATATGGTCTGGTGGGATGAACAGCAATGGATCTAATGTAGTCAGGATGGGCTTCAAACTGACCAACTTTCTCGCCTGTGTTGTAGTTGTAGACCCTTACCTGGAAATCATCAGATCCAACGATGATCCAGTTCTTTCTGGCAATGAATTTACCTGCTCTCACTGGCACGTTCGTCACGTCAATGGTCTTGACCTTGGTGGAAGTTTCGTAAGACCATATCTCTACCTTTCCACTATACAAAGTGGTAAGAACCCATGGTTCTGTTGGATGGAAATCAATCCCTTTAACACGATCCGAACGGGTGCTGAATTGTTTCTACAGTAACATGTTAGTGTTTGAGATCATCCTATTTGCCAGGGGCCAGGTATCCAAGCTCCCGTAAGACGATCAAGGCCTCAATCGCCAATTGTGCCCTCAATCGTTAATTGAAATAATCACTCACCTTAATGTCCAATCTCATTTTGAAATATAGATCTGTATCGATAGATCTGATCAAATACAGTCCGTGCTTTCACGTACTCGTGTCCTGTTTTGATCAGCGATTTCCATTCCAGGATATACACACGCCTGGCTCATGCCGTATGGGGCCCCTGCGTAAACATCAGCACCGGCTGAGGCAACGTCTGGATCTGTGGAATCGGTCCCTTCAGATGTTGAATCTAGTTTTAGTTATAGATATACCTTACTTCAACTAAACATGTGGATTTTTGAGTGGTGTAAGTAAAAAGCGAGATGTTGGCTTTGATCTGTTCAACGATTGATGTATAATCTTCGATCGAAATCAAAGGCTTAACGAAGGCGCAATGGTTACCACAGATGGCTAGCGTCAGGATCAGCTCACTAACAAGACCAAACAGTTCAAGACGTTCTGGCCTCTTTGGGCTTGTGGAACAAACATGCCAAGCTATTGTTCCTTGGTTTGGATAATGCCGGTAAAACAACTTTGTTGCATATGTTGAAGAACGACAGATTGGCAACTCTCCAACCAACCTTGCATCCTACATCAGAAGAGCTTGCGATTGGCTCTGTTCGTTTCACAACCTTTGACTTGGGTGGTCACCAACAGGCCAGGAGACTATGGAGAGACTATTTCCCAGAAGTGCACGGAATTGTGTTTTTGGTTGACGCTGCTGATTCTGAGAGATTCGAAGAGTCCAAGGCTGAATTGGATGCCCTCTTTGCTATCGAAGAGCTTGCCCATGTGCCATTCTTGATCTTGGGTAACAAGATCGACTCTCCAAGAGCTGTTTCTGAGAATGAGATGAGAAATGTCCTGGGATTGTTTGGTACCACCGGAAAGGGCAAAGTGGCCTTGGAAAAGGGAATCAGACCTGTTGAGGTTTTCATGTGTTCGGTCGTCATGAGACAGGGATATGGAGAAGGTTTCAGATGGTTGTCTCAATATGTTTAAGCCATGATTATTGTTAGTCCGATGAAGAATCGGCGAATTAAGTGATTTGAAGTTAATATTCGTGTAGTTTGTTCGAATCAAAATCTGTCTGTTGACGAAGCTCAATCTGTCTTCCATTATTCTATGTATATCTATCATGATCTTCTCTTTTTGGCTGAACCAAATGCATCACCATTAGAGGCACTAGCACCCATGCCTCTCTTCTGACCTTGCTTTGCAAAATATTCCTTCTTGCGTTCACGTTCCTTCTCCTGCCTGAATTCATTTTGCTTCGATATCTTCTTGATCCTCTCCTGGTTCTTTTCGTGCTTCTTCTCGCGGTTCTTCTTTTCTTTGGCATTCTTGATCGTGGAAATTGTCTGGATGACTCTTCTGGCATCCTTCTCTTCTCCATTCAGTATGACTGCTCTCTTCTGCATATAAGTCTTCTTATTCTGAGGCTTCATGGCTGAGATCTGGGACTTGAATGGCAGTTCTGACTGGATAGACTTGGGCACTCTGAGGGCGTTGAACCTTCTCTCAACTCTTTCGATCTTCTTGTAGGCACTGTCCGGGTTCATTGGAGTGGAAACGTTGTTCTCTGCACGGATCTGGCCCGTGAGTCTCATACCCTTCCATTCAGTCTTGGCCTCCATCAACAGAGAGGTGACTGGATTGTAAAACTTTCTCACCTGGACAGGGTACCACGTCCTCATGATGATCACATCGGACATCAAGATCTTGTCCTCAAAGGTTGCACGGAAATGACCTTCTGGCTTGGACAGAGCACGTTTGATCTCTCCCCTAATCCCTGAAACGGTTTTGATAGAAGCACCTTCGAACTTAGCAACTTCTAATGCAGAATTGAACATGTCCTTGATGAAGGCTGTGTTTCTAAATACCTTGTACGGATGTCCGACCAATTTGAGCTTCTTGACAATCTCTGCGTTTGCATCGAGATCTTCAACAATACCTGTGGCAGCTATTCTGAAGCCGTTGGTAGTTTGACTGTTAGCCACGTTCTGAACAGCACAGAAAGTCGTATTTGGAGCAACAAGAGGGCCATAGAAGGACGCAAAACAATAAGCGTGTTCTGGAGTGTATTTCAGCATTCTGTTTCTCGTACGAGAGTCCGTAGTGGTGTATACTGGAAGGGTCTGGAATCTCCTCCAGCCCAGAGAAAGAACCAAAGGATCGTTGGACTTGAGGATCTTCTTATGCCATCTGTGTCTGCGTATCCTCACGTTCAAGAATCCAAAACGCTCCTCTGTTTGAAGCAAACCACCAATCACAATGGGGAAGTGTGGATCAAAGTTTTCCATGAACTCCATGGGCAGTTTCGAGAAGGTGATTCTGACATATGAACCGGACCTGAAACCTTCAATTCTGGTACGTTCTTTCTCGTCTAAACCATCATACTCAGCCTTATTGATCTCGTTTTGCTTGGCCATCTTAGCCTTTTGAAGCTCATACCAAGTATCTTCTTCACCTTCTGGATCTTGCTTACCCAATCCACCTTCCTCTTCTTCAAATTGCTGTCTCAGCTTTTCCTTCTTTTTGGCATTCAACTCGCGTAGCTCTTCAACAGTGTAGTCATCTTCTTTGGGAGGCTTGGAACCTTCTTCTTCGTCAAAATCGGCAAAGTCATCCCCAGATTCGTTCTCATCTTCATCTTCATTTCCACTAGCATCAGAGCCGTTTTCAGAATCTGTGTTAGTTCCATTCTCAGTCGCAGACTCAGTTTCATCTTCCAAATCCTCAAAGTCGCCATAAACATTTCCATCATCGTCCTCTTCGGCCTCATCCTCCAATCTTTGTCTTGGAGTCTTCATGAAACGGGATCTAATAGACTTGATATGATCCGTTGACCATTTTTCCTGTAACTTGTCCAGAGTTTCCAAATCATGTTTCCTCTCAGTCTCAGCCTGAACTTTGTGATCATCCTTCTTCTGGAAGAAATCCTCTTCAATATCTTCAATGTCTTCAGACTCAGAATCCTCCTCCTCCTGTCTCCACCTCTTGATCACATCAGCAGGATCAATATTGTTGAGGTAGATTAACTTGTTGATGTCCCAGACTTTCTTTGCCGTGTTCTTGGTGAGCTTTGCACCAATACTCTGCCATTTAGTCTCACCAAAATCGTCTGCATCGCCGATCTCCGATTCAGATGCATACTGCAGTTCTTCATCTCCGATGTTGTAGTTATCATTGAAGTTGAAATCAATGACCTTACGTTTCTCATAGCCACTTTCTTCTTCGTCAAACCCATCCTCACCATCTTCATCTTCATCGTCATCGCCAAGATCTGTAATTTTGCTGTGGACATCCTCGTGAACTTTTGCATGTCTCAGCGAAGTCCGACCACGATCTCCATTATCTTCTTCTTCTTCTTCGTCTTCCTCTTCTTCAGACTCCACATCATTCAAAGCTTTGGAGCTACTGAACAACTGGAGACCAGAGCTTGAGACAAGATTCTCTTCCATTGATTGGGCAGCAACTTGGAGATCAGTGACCATTTTCTCACCCAGACCCAGAGGCTCACCATCGACTTTGAAAGATTCTTTGTCTCCAATGTCGATATAAACAGCATCCTTGTCAATCAAAAGACCATGAGCATCAGACATTGGTGCATAAATAATCTTTTGTTTATCCTCAAGTCTCTTTCTGCGACCACGTCTTGAAGGTGCAATTTCACCGTTAGCAGCAGCAGTCTTCTCAGCCTCTCTTTCGATCTCTTCGAGTCTCTGTTCGAAGTATGGAGTAGGACATGGATCTGGAAGCTTCTCAACAGCAGCTATTTCATAATCACCAACACCAGCAATGTGGACTTTGGAGTTGGCTGAGAGAGGTGTTCCATGGAGATATCCGTAAATGGCGATCTTTCTGTCGACCTTGGGGTTCTGTTCAATCAGGAGTGGATGTGTCAGATCAACAACTCTGTCCGCAAGCATATAAGGATGCTCGTTTCTCCATTTGAGAGGCCTGAACTTCATGACTGAAATGAACCTCGTCAGGTTAAGTATCTCTCTGTCAGGATATCTACCGTTAATGACTCCAGATAGATAGAAGAGTTTGGCACCTGCGTAGACCTCGGTCCAAAATCTCTGCTTAAGTCTCTTCTTGGAAGCTCTCAACGTGGATTGAGACTTGAAAAGATCAAGATGTGTGGTAACTCCTAGCACACGGGGCATACCGTGATGCTGTAGAATATTTAGAAACTCCATGGTCTCCATTTCAAAACCAAAATTTCCATCCATGAGCATAAGAACAAGATCCGCAATCTTGGCTATGTCAATCATTGAGTTCAAGTCATTGCTAACCTCGATGAACGTCAGCCTTCTCCTTTTACCACTGACAACCGTGACCGGACCTTTGATCTCTGATAGCGTAGTCTTGGTCAAACGTCTCACCAGAGACTTGATCAGTGTGGACTTACCTGTTCCGGGTGGACCAACAACAGCAATGATAACTGGTGGAGGATCATCATCTGGTGTCCTGTCCACCATGGGAACATGCAGTTTCTTCTCGTTCATCTCTGAGGTCCTCTTTGCCATTCTCTCGAGCTTGCGAGGAGCAGCGACCGCAAACGCCTTCGCATTGTGGCCTTGTGAGTGGAGCTTTTTCTTGGCCCCCTGTCTGGTGGTGCCACCTCTATGGGCTTTATTGCTCTGTTGCGTCTCCATAGTCGCGAGAGTGTGAAGCGGGAGGGGTAAAGCAGTAAGTGTCTTGTTACGATTCACTGTAAAATTTAAATTTTTTTAGAGAGCCTCATCTGGTCGTGCTCCAACAAAGTTGAAAATTCAAGATTACCCGGCTCAATAGGGTAGCCTAGAGTCCAGCCCCGAATTTGAGCAAGGGAATAAGATTTGAAATATTTATATAAGTGTATGTTTGGAAAAGTGTTGCCGGCATAAAATGACCGTGATTTAGGCCGATTTTGAGGTTTGGGAGGTTTCGTGTCTCGAGGCTTCGTTTCCGAAGCTTCCATGATTAGCCGCAGACACTGCCTACAGAAGTGCATACAGGCTTCGCGTAAGAGGAACTGAAGAAAATACACCCCAAACAATCAAAACATTATGTTGCTGAAACCAGCTCGTGGACCCTGAGAAACTATCCCATAACTATCACCATTCTCCTGGTCTTCGCTGATATCATAAATCCAAAGCTTTTTCCATCCAAATCGCAAACTTCAAATTCTCGGTTTCGTGCCGCACCAAGTCTTATCTGGGGTTCTGCTCATCCTTTTGTTTGTGAGTTGGAATTTCCATCAATACACTGACATCAGTTTTTTCTTTTATACGCGATACTTTTTGCTACTGCTTACGATTTTGCTTTTAGAAGATACTCTTTTGAGACGTTTGGTTGATTTCCATTTTTGTTGATACACCGTTGCTTTCAGTTTTTGCTACTCTCGCTGCTGATCGTTCTCGCCCAACACAGTCCACTACATAGTTTGCCCACACATGTCAGTCTCAGGAATACCGTTGAATCCACAACAGGCAACATTTTCGGCCGATAATGCCCCGAGAAATACAAAGGTTCAAGAGAGAATACGAAGTGTTAATTTGGACGCGGTTTTCGATCGAATCAGTCTTGATATGGACATAAACGAGATCTCACCCATCGAGGCACTTGCTTTATTGTTCAAATCGATACAGAATCTCCAAAGACTGTATAGTCTCATAAAACAGGGGAATCTTGGTGAAGCCTTCGATGTGAAACGTGCGGTTTTTGGAGACGATGTCTCAATGGGCCGTGAGCTCAACCCCAAGAGAAGAAGATCTTCGCAATCTGCAGAGATGTTGAGAAATTTGTCAAGCGAGCTCGAATTACCGATCAGAAAGTCCTCAAGGATCGAGTCAAATTTCGAAGACTTGGAGGAAGAAACTTTTGCGGACGATTCATCGGTACTCACAACGAGCTCTTTCAATTCTCGCATTCCCTCATATTGCCGTTCCGACGTGGACTTTGACTTGAGTTGTAAACTCATCAAACGGTTTTATTTGAAAACGCCCCCGTCTTTGTCACTAGAGGCTTATATGGAGCGTATCAATCATTACTCAAAACCTGGAACTGCAGTGTACCTCTCATCGTCTCTATACCTATTCAACGTGGCATTCGGACTGAAGACTACGTTTGTGGGATTGGAGGAGAATACAAATACGAACGGTAAAGGACTTGCCGAGGTGAGGAAGGTATTACCGGCTGCTCCATATGGAACGATTCAGATGATACCGTTTGAGGATCTGAATGCATTCCGATTGGTTCTGACGGTAATTAGAACTGCATCCAAACTTGTGGAGGACAAGAACTACAAACAGAGCTACTATTGTAAGATCTGTGGATTACAAGACCAGGATGAACTGTTCAGACTAGAAATGGGGTTTTTATTTTTGATCAACTTCAACTTGATGGTCAATGAGAACATTCTTTTGAGACATTTAGTCCGTATGAAAAGTTTCAATGAGAACATGAAGAGGTATACCTGAAAAGTTGGCATTATGACTAGCCAATAATGAAGAATTGACGGGAAAGAACTGATAAATATCTCCTATTTCGAATAAAAAATTGGTTTCTTTGAGACTAGTATACATTTAACGAAAATAACACAACTAACACGGGGAAGAACAGAAGAGCCAACAAGTTTCACAAAACTCGACTACTCAAATGTAAGTGTACTTGCTTTTGGAACCCTGGCTGTTCAAAGAGTCTGGATAACTTTCAGAGCTGGTTATTCCGGGTACGTGGGAAGAATACACTTCACCTGGTATCACAGGCCTGGCATTGCTCACGTTAGCAGCGTAGTCATCATCCAGAGAATGTTCCTGCGTTCCCCCGATCATTGGGGTTGCAGACTCGGTCCTTTCATGGTTCTTAAGCGAGACACCTCTCATGAGCTTTCCAGAAGACAGTGGCTCAACCACTTCGATGTCATCGTACTTTTCATTGGTACTATCAGTGGTAGAGGAGATATCAGCCTGAGATTTTTTCATCTTCCAAGACTTACCACGCGAAAGCTTGTGGAAAAGCTTAGCACCAAAAGACTCTTCGCCAGGCTCAAGATAAACAGGCTGGTCCTGGTCCTGACCAGCTTCCTTTTCTGGTTCGTCAACCAGCTCTTTGAGACGAAGCATTTCGCCTTCCCAGTTATCCTGGTGGTCTTTGGCAACTGCTCCCAGCTCAAAGAGCTCAGCGGCACCTTCTGGCACTGGCTGGGAAGCCTCGGTCTTGTTCTTGTTCCAGAAGTTTCTCTGGAACGAGGTTCTGTCATCTTTTGCTGGTGCAAATCTGGCATCGGGGTTCTTCGAGAAGACCGCAATGCACGAGTACACAATGATAAACAGTAGAACAACCAACGAGAAGATAGCGTTGAGGATGAAAAACACAAGTCCCATCACTGCGGCAACGGCTGGTGGCTGGCCAAACAGGTTCGAGAAGAAAAGGAAAAAGAAGGAGTTCAAGGTCATCACCACAACCATCAGGATTGAGAGGATGTTGATTGGTCTGTCAAGGTAAGGTCTTTCATAGATGACATAGATGGTGTAGGCGAGGTCCAGAATAAAAATGGCCAAAGCCTGAGTCATACCTGAGCCCTGTGCAAGACCCACAAAAAGAGCCTTCAAGAAGTTGTGCAATATGGCAACAGCACCAAACCAGTACTTTTTAGCAGAGTACATGGTGTAGAACCAACCGTAACGGTTGAGAACACGAGGATCACCATAAAGGATAGCGGCTGGGTTTCTGAATTCCTTGATGGACTTTCTACCAAATTGCAAGGTACGGTAGCAGGCCCAGCCCAAAACACCGAGACACAGAATCAAAAACAATACAGCCAAGACGATCACAGCTGGAGAGTCGTTCACGGTGAATTCCCACAAAGACAGAATCGTGAGCTGAGTGAAACCGATGTAGATGTATCTTTGGAGAACACCCTTCAGAATCAGCTTCCAGTTCTTGGAAAACTCGAGCCCACGCTCTGGCTTCACCCACTTCATTTTGCGGGCCAGAGCGAGCGAAGTCTTCACGGTCACGAAGAAACCCACCACAACGTATCCAAAGATAACAAAGAAAGTGAAACCAGTACAAGCGATACTTGTGGGCTCAATATGGGCTTTGTAACCAATACGGTCGATACCTCTGATAATCTTGAGGGAAGAGGATCCCTGCAGCGAGTTCAAGCCCACGTCTCTCTTGTTCTGAGCACGATAGTTCAAGATATCTGGAGTTTCGTAATCATCGTAATATTCAGAATCATAGTCCAGAATAGTGTGGAAGAACTGTGGAAACAGATTTGCAACACGCCCGATCAGGAATGTGTTCTTCACGGTGTACTTCAGTTGGTCAAACGATCTCTGCACCAGGATAGAGATAGTGTCAGATGACAAATACTGAGTTGGGCTTCCTCCAGTTGCCTGTACGTACCAGCGGAAAATCTTCTGCATAAAAGTGACACGAATCAGACCCATAGACCAGGCCAAATTTTCAGCCCATGCGGAAGCGATAGGGGGAACGCTCTGGACGTGGAGCATACAGATGATCACAACACTTTGGAAGTAGGTGAAGAGAGAGACAGCACTCGCTGAGATGTGGGAGGCTGAGTTGGAGTTACCAAAAGCCGAAAGAAGGGCGGAAACCAAGAGACCAATACCAGCAATACAGGCCGTTACCCATTTGACAGCAGTGTGGGAGACAGTCTTTCCGTTGGAAAAGCCGGCCTGAATACAAGCAAGCTCAGTGCCAGTGTGGTTCTTGACTATGACACGAACCTGTGCATCCAGGTCAGGAAACGTATAGGCGATACCTGGAAGCATGTTGATATAAGACTTCGAAATGTACGTGATCGAGTCGATCTCGATGGTACCTGGGTAGATTGGGCAAAACTGCTTCCAACCAATCGAACACATATTGACAGTTTCGGTGATGATTTTGAAACCATAAGCATAAACCTCAACATCAGCAATGATATTACCCGAAATCTCAGAGGTAAGTGACAAATCATACCTCAAAGCCCCCGAATCCGGATCCAGGTTGACGTTGAAATACTGGGGGATCAACTGCGAGTTGTCCATACATGTCACCAGCGACGAAGCAGAGAGCTTTCTGGAGTGAACCAGAGAGGCCCAGAATAGTAGCAGCAGTCCAAGCAAATTTGATCTCATCTTCCAAACACAATATTTCAGACAACAGCGAGAGATGTTGTATTGACTTCTATTAATAGGAGTCCTCTGAAAAGCCTAAAGCGAGCGAGACAAACAAAAAAAAAAGCGCGATTTTCAACAGAGGCGTGTTAGCGGCTGTAGAATATCGGCGTTTATTTAAAGAAACAGGCGTTGGGTATGGATGCGTGAAGTGTTTGTTTGTTGAAGAATCAGGGCCTCCAGTCTTTGATCTGTGTGATCCGTATTTTTAAGCGTGTCTGCCTAGAAAATCATCCCCTCTCAGCACGACGCCTAGCAAAACAGCCGAGAATTTTTACTGAGAATTGCACGACTTGTAGGGTAACGGAGGGTAGCGCGACAACGGTTTCTCCATGATTTTGAAGTCACGTGGGGCAGCTATCGACGTCATCCCAGCGCATAGCAATCAACTGTAGCAAACATGTGACGAAATAGTGACCTTGATGCAGATGTGCGTTGAGGGGTGGGAAGTTGGATCTAAGAGAGTGGTATATAAGGGGCATAAGATCCGCTCAGACTAGGGTCTTGTTCTGTTCTCATGCCTCATAACTAAGTATCATTTCACCATGTCACCTATCACAGATTTTATCAACAAGCACTCAGGCAACGAGCCCACTCAACAGGATGAAACCCTTCAAAACGACAGTTCGCAATTTTCCGGACCTCGTAGGGATAAGAACAGATTTTCCGATAGCAAGGAGGACTTCAATAAGGATATGGACGAGAATGTGAGGAATGACATGAGTGGATCATATGACCCAGGTTTCAACAAACATGACGAGACCTCGCAATGGGGAAATAGAGATGTCTCTGGATTTGACAACACTGGTACGAAAAAGTGAATTGGGAGAGATTTTGTTCTGCTAGGCTGAAGTAGGTCAGAGTATTGCTTGAGCTGACTTGACGATCTGCGTATTTACGAGTCATGATATCCACTACTTTGCTTCTCTTCGCTCACAATTTTACGCTTTATGGTTAGTTGGTTTCAGGTTTATTATAAAATTATATTTTCTATAGTGCTTTCAATATATCCATATCTATGGGTTACCAGAGAACTGCCGTTTCCACCCCAATTGCAAAAGGAAACCCCAGACTATGTGCGGCAACAGATTGGGTGCACACTACTGTCACCACACTACCCGATGACTCTTCAAACCGACCTTTTCTTTCAATCTTACGAGGAGAACTAGTTTGTTCTGGTACATAGAATCCCGCGGACAATAGCCAGGACAAGCCTGAAATGACAAAGACGGTAGAAACGACACAGGTAGAGGTCAAAGTGCTACATGTGGACTCTGAAATTCAGATTGAGTCCCTGTATGAACTACTGCTCGAGCTGTACTATGAACTGGTCGAAATATTCACCTTCCGGGTAAAGTCCAACCTGCTACTTGGATGCATAGACCAATTGCAGCGGTTGAACTCGAGGAGAGTTAGCGATTCCCACAAGAATAACGAGGTTCTCCAGAAGTCCATGCTTATAATATCAGAGATCAACCATGCTGTGAATTGTCTGCCGAGGATGAGCAGCTTGAAAAGCCTGAGGCTAGAAGCTGTTCTCGACTGTTTGGCACTGGAACGTCGCCAGTTGAATTTGGTTAATATCACGGATATTCACAACCAAATTCTAGCCAATTCCTTGAGCTACAAACATTATACCTCACTAAAAGAGTCTCAAAAGACGTTAGAAGACCTTGTCGCACAATCGGTGTGTCTGACCAAAGAAAACCGGCCTTACCCTGCGTCTACCTCGGGGTCTGCGATAAGCAATTTGTTAATGGACCCTGGATTCATAAGGTTCCACCAAGTTCGAAAAGAGAGGCTTTTACTCTCAAGCCGAAGGGTGTTCTAGACAATTCCACACACAATATATACGTGGCGTCGGAGTTGTCAAGGAGCACATGCAGATAACGGCCGGTTGGCCGACCTTATGGTCCCTGTACTACTCACACTCTACATTCGATTATTTTGGAGAGTAATCTCTCTATGACGCATAAAATGTTAATTAAGTCCGATATTATGATTCATACAAGTTACCGAACAAATTAGTCAACCGTAATAATAATCGCGCGCGGCAGTGCATTAGTCAACCATGCCCCAGCCCCAACGCCGCGTGAATACGTGGCAAGGTGCGGCCCAAACGATAAGTAGATGATGAGTCAATGTGCATGAATCGAGTTTCGGGCCGATAGTGAAGCCAACAATTAATTTTTTGAGGTACAAATTTTTTGGGATTCAGCGGAGATGATATTGGTCTCACATTAAACACAGCCAGGCCTCATGCATATTCTCTGAGTATAAAAATCTGACGCGGCAGTGGCAAACTATATAACTAGAACCTCAACTCTTTTCAATTGAGATCCAAGAATTGGTTTATTGCTTTGAAAGATTACTTTGCAAGTGTCTTATTACTATTATCTATAAACCAACTCAATGTGTATGTATTTATGTTTCGGTCCATCTCGGCTTATCTGCCGAAACTTGTCTGTGATGTTTCTGAATCTGAGCATATAGCACCCACCACCGATCCCTCTTTCTTTACTAATTTATTTTCGGATTTTAGCTTCCCCAGATGCAAATGCAATTGAGGACATACTACCACCTTTCGATGTTCACAATTGGCTAGTTACGGGGGGAAATGTGGATCCCAGTGAAAGACCGCCTGGGTACACGGAGTCCATAGCTTCTGAGTCTCCCACCGAGACCTCTGAAGCCACAACTCAGACCCAAACTATGCCCAATAATTTGGACAGCGCTGCTACATCGGTAATATCGTCTCATCCAACATTGTCCACCCCAGCTGGGTCCAGTGTATGGCCCATTCTGCACAAACTGCCCAAGGTCAAGGCCCCGATCTCGGTCTCTATTCGGATAACCAAAAAGTTTCCAAGACACCATCGGCCTTTGGATCTTGAATCGCCGCTCAGAGAGTATACCAGTGGTGAGTACATATTCGGGTCTGTGGTTGTGAGAAATGACTCCGATCAACCGATCAAGTTTGACTCGTTTTATGTCACGTTCGAGGGTAACAGTATCGTTGGTAGGAGGCAGCTGACGTTTCTCAGAATCTTTGATGCTCGGGCATCATGGCACGAGGAGGGTGCATTGGATGATGGTGCAGAAGTTTGTTGTCAGACAAAGGATAAACTAGATCAAACGCAGTATGGATTTACAGATGACAGAATCCTGCAACCTTTCGAGGGCCATAAGAAGTTCTTTGCTTTCCGTTTCCCCAAATTTCTGCTTGTTGAAGGAGGAAATTCAGATGACGTCGATGAGCATATGTTTCCTCCGCCCACCATTGGTTTTCCCTCCTATGAGGAGGTTGAAATCAACCGAGCCCTCGGTTACGGTAGGCTTCCCAAGATTGGATCCCCATTCAAGTTTACAGATTTTGCGCCAGATGGTGCTTCTATTTCCTACACCATTAATGCTCGTATGTTTGGACGCACGGCCAACAATGGAAATTCTGGCTTCAATATTCTGGGCGAAAACTCTTTTCATCTAAAGTTTGTGCCTACTGCGCCGATGGTCGAGATCGGGGACTCACTCGGTACCAGGAAAGTGTTGGACCATGAGCGACTCTGGCACGTAGATTCATGGCACCAGTACAAACGGGTGGAATCTGAAATCAAGAAAGAAGTAATGGAGGTCCAGGAAAAATATGAGTTGTGGAAATTGGGAGTAGATGATGACGACAAGCAAGAGGTTGGTACCATGAATCAGTCTCGCATTGACGACAAAAAACAACTACAGCTATATGTTCCCAAGGATGAGTCTGTCAGCTGTTCCTCTTCAACTGAAGCATCGTCAACTGATTTTTCAAGGATATATGCTGCTTTGGTTCCTTCGAAGTTCAAAGCAAAGCTCTTGGGTGGGTCAGCTTCTAATAAGTCAAGCAAGGCAGTGATAACGGTAGCTCCCAGCATTCCTAGCTCAGAGTACAATCCTCCAGATCATCTTTTCTTCAAGTACCGTGCCCCCAAGAACTTCGTGATTGAGTTATTGAACTTCCAAGGCTCAGATGGAATGCCGAGTCTTGGGAATATCCCTTTCGATTTTGAATTCACACAGCTTGGCGATGGTGTCAAACCTCCTAAGATTGAGAAGCTGACAGTCAACCTTAAGATTTTGAATTCCATGGTCGAGTATCCAGCTCCTATGGAATTTGACGCTCGGTTTGCTAACATGCCTAAAGAGAATCTGTCAGAGATCAATCGGAAATATCGTGACATCCGCAATCATCTTTGCAAAATAGAGTCCGATATCGCTGGCGAATGCCCTGAACTGCAGAAAAAACTCAGACCGTCATCCAGGCTGAAGGGCAAATGTGAATCCTTGTCTTCACTGAAGTTCTCATCCAGATCTTTCCAACTATACTCTACAAAGAATATAGAGATCAATTGGAAAAACCTGCACGACAATGGCCGCTATGGTGCTGTTCTTGAAATCCCTCCGATCTTGCAACCTTTAAGGGACCTTCACCAGAAGATAGCTGGTCTTAACTTGGTTCCTGCTTTTCAAAGCTTTTTCCTGTCAAGATCGTACGCGATAGAAGTAAAATTCAAGTTCAGTGGGTATGGAAATGAGGAGTCATTGATGATTCCGGCTGACTTCTTGCGTTGAATCAGATGGTGCCAATCACTGAATGTTCTGTTTTACTTATTTTAAAATATTCATCAATAAACTTTATTTATATATATAAAGATCCATCATTTATTGATTTGGCTTCGTGCTCCTTAGCTTTTCACAGCGCAAGCAATCGATCTACCGAGACAAAAATTCGAATCTACGTTTGAACCAATTGGCATGATCTATTCATGAGTAAGCTAACTAACCAAATGAAAAAGCCAAAAAATGCAAAAAAAACCAAGAATCAAGCGAGACTCTTGAAAAAAAAACCCAAGCACACAAAGGGCAATACCAGCGATCTCAAGAAATTATACCTGAAAATCGTCTCTTTCGAGTTCGGGTGGTGATCGGAGTTAAAAGCTCTAAACAGCTTGAACACACCCTATTGATTCCCTTGCTAACTCATACTTTTATGGCCTCTCACGTTTTTGCCGTGCACCTCATGGCTTAAAGCCTACCTTTTGCGGAATCAGGTAAGCTCATTCTTCGTGATATAATTAGTCATCCTTGACAGAAGGATCTCTTTGGTCTTTGGGCAGAATCCAATTCTCCCATGACTCCTTTCTTCTCACTTTCTTTTCTTTACCAGTTCCAACCAACTCAAGTTGGGGATTTTGCCTGATTGCCTGCACAACCAGATTGTGGTCTCCATTGGCAAGGTGCCTTACTCTAGCAAAGTCTTCAATGAATTGAACAGCAACAAATCCATTGGAGTTCATGTGTTTGCGCAAGTACAGATCCTTCAGCAAGTTTTCGATGGAGAAGTAGTAGTTGATCTGTTGTCCCAGCTGGGAAACTCGGTCATCCAGGTATGGCTGCGAGGCTGGATACATTTGGACATATGGATTACCACCGTATGGATTCATGTAAACGGAAGGATCAACGTAGTTCATGGGTGGCATTCCATAGGGCTGCTGCTGAGCTATTCCAACAGCTTCAGAAATCGGAGATCCAGCCGAAGATGCTGATGATGTGGATTCGTTGTTCGACTTAGATCCCTTCTTTGTTTCTGGGATTGGGAAAGGGGGCACGAACTGTGGGTATTGGAACCCCCCTCCACCCATGTATGGGTTCATTGGAATGAATGGACTACCCGACATCATGCCACCAATATATGGCTGAGGAATTATAGGCATACCGTAGTTTGGAGACTGGGAATTTCTTCTGAAGTTTCCGTTGCTGTGTCTGAAACCGTGATGGCGCTGGTTTCCGTAGGAGGCATTGCCATCATTTGGATTACGGAAAGAGCGGCGCGATCCGTTTCTTTGTAGAAACACAGCATTTGGGTCATTAGACTCTGAAAACTGCTCCGGTAAAGGTGTCTGAGGATGGGATTGAGGTAGCGGGGCCTCCGGACCAGATTCGGATGATCTGTCTTGACCGGAATTGACTTCTTTCTCTTGTTCCTGCTGTAGCGATTGTCCGACTTTCCCGTCAGCTTCAACGACTTCCTCCGCAGCCACGGCTATATCTTTAATAGCGCTGGTTATGCTTGCACCATCCTCAGCTTTTTGAACAGAAACGACGTCAGGAACTTCAGCTGTAGGTTCGGACTTCTCGCCTACAGCCTCTTCCTTGGGTTTGCCACTTTTGCTCTTGCTCTTGGACTTCTTTTTTTGCTCACCATTGGTAGCGGATTTAGCCCCATTATTGTTTCCGTTGCCTTCAACGTTGTTTTGATTGGCTGGTCCGTTGGAGACTGCGCTCCCATTTCCAGATTTTTTGCTCTTGTTAGCCTTGCTTTTGCTATTCTTGGAAGGAGCTGCAATGGCTATATTGGCCTTCAAAGGAACCCACTTCTCCTTGCCGCGTTTAACAACAGCCGGTGAGACGTTTGAGTCCTTTGCAATTTCCTTGATGTTCTCCTTTGACGATTGATCTGGGGCCGGCCACTGCTCTTTTTTGGTAGGGGCCTGAGCAACTGGCTTTACAACAGGGCGCTGAGACCAAGGGTTGACATCTGGTGGGGGTGCTGGTAACAATGTGGTCAACTTGTTTAGTGGGGTGGTAGCTTCAGACATGGTCAATCAGATGCTGAGCTTGGTAAGGAGGTGAGGTATGGAACAGAAAAAGACCAGTAAAACTGATGCGCGAATAAAAATATAACCTTAAAAATTCAAATTCCAGTAGGAAAGCAGTCTGCTTGGGTCACAAACTGTTTTATGCCGGATATGAACAAAAAAGTATCCAATCGTACTTTGCGAGTTTGTAAGGGGTGGCTAAAATATCACGACCGCCGTTGACAAGGATGAGTAACAAGAAATGGAAAAGAAAACACGGAATAGAATGAACCAAACGTTCGATGAGAATGGTGTCTGCTGATAAACCACTCTTAGAAGGCTCTTAGATGACGTTTGTAAGAAATCGAATGTTTGAGCCTTGTCTTGATGAACTGATTAAGTCTGTATTCTGCGACAGAATAACTCTGAATCTTTCAACAAGGACAAATGACAAAATAAGGGTTTTTTTTTCTGTTAAAAACCCGAGTAGCACAACCAAGATTGAACAAATCCTAGTTATATATCTCAATAAAGTTCGGGTTCGCGATGTTGCTCCAGACGGAGAAAAGTATCAAGTTGATCTATAACAAGGGTTGGAAGACTGGTAGCGACTAGGATTATTTCCCGACGACCACCCAAAAGGCGCCCCGGAGTTGAGGAACCGGCGCCCGTAACGCATCCTCCCCCAATGGGCTCCCATTCAAAAAGATCCCATTCTGCGCTTACATTCGTGGGATACTTGAGATCCGGGCATTAACCGAGGTGGTATCGGGTCGGAATGCCTTGGACCATGCTGAAGCATTAAGAAGTATGCACGACCTTCAAATTGCACGCGTTTCGCGTAAGAGATGATGGCATTGTCAGCATTCCTACTTGTCTAACAAGACTCATTTTGTTTTCAATTTCTTCTGATCTTTGGCAAGGACTTCATGTCTGTACTCCCGGATGCCTTCGAGGTGTTTGAGGTGGGCGTGGCCAATCCCTCAGTGATCCGAATCACACCCACATCTTTTATCGGTTCGGGCCTGAACTTGAGCCGACTTGTTGAAAGCGAGTCTGCTACTGTCACTCCATTCACAACCGTCTGTAAGCAATTGGATTCAGAGCTTGGAACGGTGCCGTTCTCTTTGCCCTGTGTGTCGTTCTATGCAAAGGTCATAAACACAGGGGTGGAGTACACGGCTGCTATCTTGGGTCTGACTGATAAATCAGGCGTTGCTATTGGTATTGACGAAATTCCAGAAGACGAACTTCCCCTTGATGATGATGCTAGGTTTATAAGCAAAGATTTCGAAAGAATATCACCTGGCGAGGATATCTCCAGTAATGAGTTCCTGGCCTCATCTTTGTCTCTCAGACCAGCACCTATCACAGACCAGAATGACGCCAAATCTTTCCTGTTGGAAAGGTATTTTTCTGCACTCTACAGAAGGTCGATCCCGCTTCAAGTGTTTGCGAAGACAGCTATACCGAGAATACGAACGCTATGCAACGACGAAAAGCCGGTTCTACAGGCCACTCTCTCCGCGTTGATCATCAAGAACATAGCGGAATTCGATGTGCGACACCAGATGTCAGGCTCCAAAAATGGACTTTTAAGTGCATCCTTTATGACTCCTGAGGAGGAGGGTTACAGAAAAGACTTCATCAACGGAGGTATTGATGTGGCCGACGACGATGGTAAGACCGAAGATGTGAAAGAGACTGAGCGGAGACTCGAAGAGAAGAAAGATCCAGTCGAAAGGCTCCATGATTTACTTCTTGCACTCAAAGAACGTGAAGCCCGGCTGCAGGTGATGTTATTAATTGAATTACTTTCTGCCCTTCCAGATTCGAAATCTGGATCTCCATCTCCATCACCCCAGCTGGATGTTGAAGCAAAGAAACTTCCCAAGAAAAGATTAGTCAGTCGCAAAAACAGGCTTATTGTGTCCACTTTGGGTGGAATAGTCAGACCCCAAGCAGCGTCATTATCGGAGGAGAAGCTCAACGTTGTTCATGCGTGGACCAATGAGTCCATCAAAGCCATGTTGTTTGCACTTCTGGACAGGCTGTGTGTTTGGGATGCACTAGTTGGCCGAGGATCGACACATGATGAATCCGCATTCAAGTTTATGATGAGTTGTGTTGTTCCATATGTGCGGAAGACTCACAACAAGTTAGTCAAAGACATTCTTCTTCGTATCAAAGGACCATCTTTAAATTCTGTTGAGAAGAAAGCGTCCAAGAAAAAGACCAGGAAACAAGTTGTTCCCGTGACTTTGGACTCTTCTTTCAATGCTGGAGATTTTGAAAGACCTGTGATGCTGAAACGAACGACGTCAAACTTGACTTCCACGAAAGAGCTAGCCAAGAAATCTTTTGACATGACCATCAAAACATCTTTCACATCGAAGGCACCCCCATCTCTACAAAACGCAGCTCCTCTTCTGCCGTCAAATCAGTCAACCATATTTAGCACTAATGGGAACTCAAAAAAGCGGAAACTGGGTATATCGAAAAGTACCAGCTTCGCGCAGCCTGCTCCAACCATGCCTTCGCTTACGCAGGTGATGGCTACCCCTTCCAAACAGGACAGAGTCAAGAATGTACTGCCTGAAATGCAGGCCACACCGATTTCAAAACGCGATGTTATCCAGATTGAAGCAACTCCCGTAAGGAGCGGTGATGAGCCTGCGTATTCCTCGCCATATGGCCCATTGAGGTCAATTCTGTCATCTCCAATCACCATGGCTAGTCGTGAAAGTAATATCAATGAGAAATCAAGTTCGACTCGGCGCAAACCTGGTGAACCTGTTCTTCCATCAGATTCTCCGTTTTATGAACATCATGTACAGGACGATGATGATGACGACATAGAGAACTCTCCTAAAAGACTCATGAAAAAGGAACTTCTCAACGGATCTCCTGTTCGGTACAAGTCCATGTATCTACGAAAAATTTAATGACCTCAAAAGAATAATACACACCAGCTTATGATTCGCCAAAAAATATGCCTTTGTAGATTGCGACTGAATCATCCTGTTTGGAGATTTCCGTGGCTAAAATATCGCCAACTCTTTCAGTCAGTTTTGCAGACATCTCTTCCGTCAACGTCTCTGACTCGCCATCCATATCGACATCCTGATCAGTATCTACCCTCAAACGCTTGGTAGAAGGCTCGGTAAGCTCACCGTCGGATTTGAGTATGCGAAGACAATCGATAACATTGGAAATCAAAAGTTCACGGTTTGCCGTATCCGCAGAAAAACTCTCTCCACTGAGAACATTTTTACTCCAATTTTTCAGGTTTCCGATCATCACAACCCTTATAACTTCTGGTCCCAAACACTTGATTCCTTTGATGGTACCGTATTGCGTTCCAACAGAGGTTATAGTGCTGGAGCTCAAAAACGCGCGCAGCAAGGTTCTCGTTATACGAGGCTTGAGCGTGGAGTAGCTCGACCCGTAATTGTTGATAATTCTCTCCAGTAGCGAGGCTGCGAGATCACGCAGCTGGAAGTGTTGCTTGGCCTCTTCTTCGTTTTCAGAAGTTCCTTGAGGACCAATCTTTTTGGCCAGCAGTAATGTCAGAATACAGGGCATCAACGCGTGAATGTATGGATCCAGGAATATGGATTTGTTCATGAGAAGCGAGTAGATCACAAGCAGCATTGTCGTCAAGAGATTGATGTTTTTCAGGTTGTGAGTCAAGGTCTCGGCGACAAATTGAATGAAATAAGGCACAAGCTGGTGGAGACCAGGATCCGATCTAATAGAGTCCAGTGCTGCATTCTTGAGGCTTTCGTCGGTATCATCCAGAAGAGCCGTAATCGCCTTATCGAAGTATAACTGGAGCTCCTTGGACAACATGTGTTTCACTAATGGCTTGATTTCCATGTCTTTTTTAGCACTAGAAGCTCTCGCAGTTGGATCACTACCACTAGCACCTCCGTCTATTGCAAGAATATTGTCTGTGGAGGCTTTCTGCAGAGCAGGTACGGACCTGACCTCGGCTGGCGTTGGGTTCTGTGGAATGGTTGGCTGGACGCCCTCTATGGCCAGCCAATGAGCTGTGAATGTGGTGTAACGTGGAACTTTAGGCAGCGGCTGATTTATGAGCTTTTCAAAATCCACCTCGTCATCATGAACGTAATATAAGTTCTGGCCAGGACCAACGATGGCTTCTTTGAACACCAGCGGTCTTGAGACGTCATATCCATACAGCGGTTCTAGGTTTAGCACTTTCATCGCACGATCAACGTCCGAAACAGTCAGTGTTCTTCTCTTTCCGTGGCGCATGAATTTGATGGCCTGGTCCAGAATTTCGTGGACTCGATACTCAACATCCATGGCTAGGTTCTTGGCAACCTCATCTCCAAGAGTGGTGATACCCAACGATTCAGCAGCATCTCGTACGGTATCAGCAGGAGACCATAATGTGTGAGACATCGGCAGCTTTGCCTGCTGATTAGCGCCGTTCATGTTGGGAAAATCTGATTAATTGAATGACCGGTTGGGTAAGGTCTTATTGTGTATCTCGTATCCGTTGAGTGATTCCATTTGCGATCCGCATTGGATTGTGGCCAGTGCGCCTAACCCATCAAAAATGGTGTTACTTCTCCGGGAATCTGTCACTCGGTTTTTGTTGTATATGTATATAAGCGAGATCTCACCGAATTTTTCTTTTTTTTGAAAGCATTGCTAGCTTATCTTTTTGCTAATTTGTTGCTGAATCACATTTTAGTCATGTTCAGGATATTAGCACAAAACTCAGTCAAACAGGGCCAGAGAGCTTCTTCGAAGGCGCTCCAGCATAACCATACCACCCAACCTGCGAGATTATTCAACACTTCTACCTCAGCTAATGCTCTGCAAGAAGCTGCTCCAGAATACTACAAAAAACCATACCATGGTGGAAATCCCGGATTCAATAAGCCCCAAAGAAAATATGACTCTCGGCGCCGTGTGAATCGCTTCCAGAACAACTATATTCCAGCCATTCCTGAAGACTCGCCATTCAAGGCTGAGCTGCAAGCCTTCGAAGAGTGTATTGCTCATAATGCGTCTTACGATTTGGCTTCTGGTGCACTTGTTGGCGGATCTTCGGAATTCTGGAATGCCGTTTACGCTGTCATGCCACTCTACAAAAGTCTTGTGGCCAAAGGCGGCTTAGACAAATATCGCTCCGCGCAGCTAGTCGCGCTTCTAAGAAACGGGCTTCGGGTTTATCGAATGGAGGTTTCTCATTTCGACAAGAATTTTGATTTTGACTCTGACACCCCGATCAGGAACATTCATGACTTTTTGATGAGCTCAATCAGAGAGGTTACCAATGACTTGTTGGATGGAAAGTTCATGCTGACATCATCCGGACTATGTCATTTGTTCAAGGCCTACAAAGATCTGGGACTTATCGAAGAGGCTTCTTATGTGTGGAAAACTGGAAAGTCAACGCCTCATTTGTCGGGTCTGTTTGCAGCCGAAACCGTCCTGGGTGCTGTGTTCCCATTCTTGATCGAGAGTGGTGACTTTGATTTCGATGAGTTGTTGCAGATGTACAACGAAATCAGAAACAGCAAGAAGGAAGACCAACACATTCACAATGAGCTTCAAGTGGGAATGATCCGTGCTTGTCTCGTCAAAGGCTACAATGACTCTGCGGTTGCCATTCTAAGAGAGTTGTCTACCTCCATTTACAACGATGCTCAACTCCGTGGTCAGACCCCACCCACCAGTTCAATCAGTTACATTACTGTTGGACATCTGTCTTTTATCGGATTCTGCAAGAATTTGTCAACTGCAGATATGTTTTTCGAAAGTGCCATCAAAAACGAAATGCCATACCCAACACCTTTGCAGCTGAACTTCGTGAGGAAGTACCTTTCCAATGTGTGGGAGGTCTCCAAGGACTATGCCAGGGTCAGAGCTATCTGGCTGAGAACTTGGCAGAATTATGAAGAGAAGAATGTCTCGAACTCATCAATCTCATCGTCGTTGAATGCCGCGTTTCTGTCAATTTTCTTCGAGAAGTACAGCGCTTTCTCGCCTGAGGCCTTTGCGGAACTTAAAAAGCTGATCGTTGATTACAACTCGGTGAGGCCTGTTGACGAACCTTTTTTGAACATCCTAATGTCCAAGTCAGGCCAATGGGGTAGCCTTGATGTGTTGAACGTTATCGAAGAGGCTTTTGAGCACTTCAACGTTCGCAAAACAAACGTCTCCATGAGATGCTACTTGAAGAACTGTGGTCACGTTGACGTTCCAAACGTGATGATTCTGCGCTGCTGGCGTGAGCTCATCGCTTGGAATGAAACCCACAAATACTCTTTCATTGCGCATGCCGATTGGACTGCTCTGAGAGATGCAACTGTCAACTCGCCTCTCGTTTCCAAGAAGGTCAACGGAAGCCAAAGAGCAGACCTTTACTTCAAACTTTGGAAGCTATACTCACCTTATTTCAACAGGCTGGAGAACTTCAAAACCTACGTGGACAAAGATGTTTCGCTTAATCCCAACTACATGCGCATCTTCCAAAACATGAAGGATGTTGATACCTCAGACATTCCAGCCCCAATGCTCTACTCCATCAAGAGGAATCCGGCCATAGAGAGATATATCGGATACACCTATTGAGAGTTCTGCAAATGATTTACTGATTTTTATGCCCTGTTTTTCTCTCTGACGTTCTTTTTTATATATATTCCAGCTACGGTTTAATGATTCAACTAATGATGATGCCACAATGCCATTCCCCTTTATATATATAATATACATGTCAACTGATACGATATACTGATATCGTACAAGGTCGTTCCAAGCTCAAGAAGACCACCCTTTTGGAGACGCGCTCTCCACCTTGCATTCTCACTACGCGATGGCCACATTTCAGCCTTGACAAGGAGGTCTGAAACAACTTTGGGTCTGAAAGATATTTTTGTTTTATATTTTACACTTGCTCTTACATATATACACGCCACAGATCGCTGGTCGAATCTAGGTCAGGTATTTGCTTTCCCAGACTCATGTTGTATCTTCTTTGCTGATGCCCATTTCAATGACATCTGATCCAGAGAAAGCGCCCTCCAGGTTCCACCTACGGGAGTTCAAGACTCTGAAAACACTTGGTGAAGGGCGATATGCCAAAGTGGTGTTGGCTGTTACCTCCCTTGATCATCATTGGGGTGTTCAGCCAACAGAGCTGGACAACGAGCAAAGGTTCTTGTATGCTATCAAGATCATCAATACCAAATTTGACAAGCCCGCATTGAACTTCAAAAATGCAAACAGTCTTGCAAAAATCAAAAACGAGGTGCGAATTATGAGCATTCTCAGTAAGAGCAACCACAAGAATGTGCTGAAGCTATATTCCATTGTGAATAATGACACAGACAAACAGAAGGACGGTAGCAAGGGCAAGCTGACCACGGACGATATCACCAGCCAAAAACACTATAGAATATATCTCATCATGGACTATTGCTCAATAGGAGAGCTTACGTTGCAGAATTTTCAGGATTCAAGGCCTTCTTTGCGAGGTGTTGCACAGAAACTACGGGATATCGTGCTTGGTCTAGAGTTTCTACATACCCAAGGTATAGTACATCGTGACATCAAACCGAGTAACCTGCTGGTTGATCCCAATGGAACGGTAAAACTGTCCGATTTTGGTATTTCGTACAAACTCACTGGTGATGAGAAGTCGGATAACTTTGAGCTCGGGACTCCATGTGGAACACCTCTTTTCCTATCCCCGGAGCTTTGTGGATATGGTGCTCATGATCGTCAGAATAGGCAAGGAACAGCCCTGCAAGGCAAGAAGATTGATGTTTGGGCTCTGGGGGTGACTTTATTCTATCTTTTTTTCGGAATATTTCCTTTTTTCGACGAGAACAAGTTCAAGCTGTTCCAGGACATCTCGAAGGCATCGTTAGAATTTCCTTCCTTCGAAAACGGGCATTTATTCAGGAACTTCATTGCTGGTGGAGCTAACGAGCGGGAAATGCAGAGCCTGTACTCCCAGGTTAAAAACTTGTTAAGCTGCATGTTGGTCAAGGATCTGTCGAAGAGATACAGTATCTCACAAGTGAAGAAACACAAACTGTTCTTGACCGAAATATCGAAGGGTGAATACGAGAAAGAATACCTCCAGTACAATGATACCATTTTGGAACAACAGGATTCTGGTTTTTCGGGAATGAAGAGGTCTGGAAATGCCTTCAAAGACACATTTTCCAAGCTGTTTGTGTCCAGAAAGACGGGTAAAGAGAAATCACAAATGGATCCTTTAGTGATCTCGAGTCCCGTCTCCGGTTCTTTCAAGCACGTAATCTCTCAAAACTCGATTTCATCTGATTTAGCGACAACCACAAGCACCTTCGATTTGACATCATCTTCAATGGCAGACGATGATTATTCAGAAGCTCAGGAAATGTTCAAAATTCCTGACTCTGGGTTTTTCCAACAACCATTGCCCAAGTTGCTCTCCAGGGGTAACCATTCTTCAACGTCTCTTCCAATTGCTCAGGGAAGGCCCAGCTTCTCCACTATTGAAGACGCTACTGTATATTCAAAACCTTGGAGAGTCTTCGACGCAGAAGGTGGTTCTACCCAAAATAAGTCTGCGCAGGCCATGCAAAGAAATAACTCCACTCACAAAAGAGAGTCTGTCAACACGTTGCCATCACAATTCAGCGATATCACACCCAACCTGTCTTCAGCACCAGGTCAATTCGAGTCGCCCGAAAGCATACAATCATCCTCCTCCTCTGTTAGGCAGGGCCTGGTGAGATCCCGTCCCAACAGAAATCTCTCTGATCTGGCACTTGTAAAACCTTTCAATGCCAGTGAATTGATCCAAAACGAAGATTCGCAAGCTCAAGACTATAATTTCATGTCAATGGGCGCCTACCTTGATAATTTAGCATAATCTCTAATAACCTCCGTCATAGTGCTCATCCCAAATCTGGCCCCTTGGGTATAATCTCTCAGGCGGTATCTACTGGTTTGAAGAAAGTCTTGAAGAATAAGTGTTTTCATCAAAGCATTCTGCTCTGTTATTTTAGAATTTGAATATTCTCACTAAGACAATTGGGCTTTTTCTGGTCGATATATAAAAATGGGACTATGCGCATCCAAAGACGTTGAGGTGTCTGCCCCACCAAATCAGTCACAGATACGGAGAACGACCCAAACTCAGGGAGTCAGGATAGATCAAAACTCAAGAAATCCCGCAAAAGCTCAATCTGCTCGCAACGGTGCTGGTAAGACTCTAGGAGGAAATAACGGACCTACGGCGGAAACCAACGCGCTTACGCCTAAAGAGGCCGCAGCCAAAGCTGCCGAAGACAGACTACGCAAGATAGAGGAGGAAAGCTACAAGGGAAAATTGAGCCAGAAACTATATCAGGATAAAAAGAAGTCGGTCAATGCGCATTTGCGAGAGCAATCTGAGCAGAATCGCGAGAAAGCGATACCTGTTGTTTACGACTGATGCAAGTGATCGATCTGAGGATCACCGGTTATTCATTTAGTGCTCAAATTTGCGCTCTACATATCGCCATTATTTCGACAAAAAGTGGATCGTTACCTAATCATAGTAGTACACAACAATTGTGAAGATGTTCGACAGGTCCATTGGGGCCGTTCTTTGTAGTTCCAACACCCCAGTGCGCCCGTTTTGAAAACTGTCAGCTAATTCAGCTCTGATTTTGCAAAAGATCTCTAGTTATAGTTAGTAACCACGTTTCGGCACAAACTTCAATACATTCCACTTACCTTAGCTTCTGTGTGAAATCATCTCCGTCCTCGTCGTCATCCCAGCTTTCGTCCCATAGATGTTCCTGTCTTTGGTTTGCCACGGTATCTTCATCTTTCCAATCTTCGGCAGGTTAGTAAAACATTTTTTCAAATATTCGTTTGAGACTCCTCAAACAAGATCGAGGAGCACATGGATAAACTGAACATACCGTCTGCTGGAAAGTCTTCAAATTCGTCGTCTTCTTCCAATGTCTTGAAGGAGGGGGTGACCTCAGCCTGGCTTGGCACAGCTGACTCTGTTTCGGTTGGTTTTGCACTCATATTGTCGTAAATCTAAAAGTGTGGATAAGATTAGTGTGCATCTTGCCACTGCAAGAATCACGTAGGTATCCAAATCGGTAGTCGTCAAAGTGTCGTTTTGGCCCGCACACGCAAATCGAGGTTCATTCGTGAGGAGGCCATCTTAAGATGGTTTCTTTATCAAAGAGATCATGTAAAACCGTCGGTGGAAGGGAAAAGGTTTCTCGAAATTTTTGTATTCTTTTTGTGAGAAGTTTAGACATCAATTGCAAAAAATGTCTACAGAACTGACGGAGATATCATCAACTTGAATACTGTCTGGCCCTCACCTTCAGGCGGTAGATCAAAATGTTAAAAGTCTCAATCAAACAAGAATCTCCAAAAAACTTTAGAAAAAAAGAAAATGAAATTTTTTTTTGGTCATGCTAGGATCAATCGTTTGGAAACTTCCCGGTGGCCATTTTTCTCTTCCTATTGCGGAGTTTGAAGTTCACCGGCAGTCTGTTATCATGCCACAGAAAGATACCAGGGTCGGCTATACCATGGCTAAGTAAGATAGTGCATGCGAAGTTCACGTGAACTCCAGTTCCGCGGTGCAAACCATCGGTAAAGACCCTGTGGGGTTGCTCAATTATCAGGGTAAAATACCAATATCGCTGATATGCTTCGATAAAGCCGTCATGCACGATTTCTTAATTGGGAAGGTCTATCACGTGGCGGACTTCGATTGCCGCCTTGATAACGAAGAGGTTGGAAAGAAGAACTGACCAGAGACAAGGAGTTCAAAAAAATATAAGAATAAAGTAGATCTTGGCTGTATCATGGTTTACCGCCGTTAAAGTCAGTTCTGGTAACCAGCTGGATTGAGCTGCAAACCGTTAGACACTCTGAAAGCACGAACACATCTAGATCATGACTTCTATAGCACCCGCTAAGACCCAAGATGAAATCGCTGCTGAGGTTGACCAAGAATGGATCCCAGGCACGGTACATCTAGTAGATGTGACCAATTCTCTGAACGTCAAACACAATGGTGAATCTGATGTGGTTCTCATTCCTCAACCATCGGACGATCCAAATGATCCACTGAGATGGTCAAAGAAGAAGAAGTACTTTCAATTTGGAATCTTGTGGTTTTGGGCTTTCTTCACAGCTGTGGCTACAAACTGGTCGGGTCCAGCATGGACTGACTGGACGGTCACATTCAATACCACTTACACAAAGTTGAACGACACATCAGCCGTTGGGTGGTGTTTCCTGGGCATCGGGTGTTTGGTGCTCCAGCCATTGGCAATGAAATACGGCAGAAGAGGTGTGTATATTTTTGCTAGTTTATGCCAGTTGTTTGGAAATGTTGTTGGTGGAAAAGCATCAAGCTTAGCCAATATGTATGGTTGCAACATCATGACCTGTTTTGCAGGAGCACCTTGTGATTCTTTGGTTCAGATCTCGACCACAGATGTATTTTTTCAACACGAGAGAGCAAATATAATCTCTCTGTTCACATTTGCACTCTATTCAGGAAGTTATTTGGGTCCAATCTGCGCTGGTTACATAGTCGAGTCCCAAGGCTGGAGATGGTGCTTTTGGTGGTTGGTGATCTTCTTCGGCATTATTTTTGGAATTCAAGTTTTTTTCATGGAAGACTCTACCTTTGTTAGACATGAGACCAAAAAGCAGGAGGAAGCTATCATGACTCAGATCAGATCAAGGGATTCGGGAGTAATCATCAACACGGAGAAGGACATCAACGTTGCTGTTGAGGAGAAGTCAGAGTTTCTTCCTCAGAAAAGATCTTACAAACAAAAACTGACGGTCATTGAACGAGAGTACAATGACAAACGCCCATTATATATCATATTTCTGAGACCGCTTTTGGCTCTTAGATTGCCTGCATTTGTCTGGGGAGGTCTAGTTTATGGAGTTCAGGTCATGTGGCTTTCATTGATCGCTACTACTCAATCGGAGTTTTTTTCGTACGCACCATACAACTTCAGCTCTGCTGCTACTGGAGACACTTATTTTGCCTCATTGATTGGAACCTTCATTGGAACATTCTGGGGTGGAAGTCTATCAGATAAATTCGTTGCCTGGAAAGCAAGGCGAAATGGCGGTATTCTGGAACCAGAGTTCAGACTCTGGTTCATTCTCTTGCCTGCAGTGATAAACTCTGCCGGACTACTGATGTATGGACTGGGAATAAATGCTGGAGTACATTGGATCCTTCCTGGAGGATTTGGAATGGCATTTATGGGATTTGGAATTGGTTCTGCAGGTGCATTGACTATAACCTATGCTCTAGACTGCTATCCCGATATGCAGAGCGAGGGTTTGGTTCTGATGTTATTCCTCAGAAACATGATTGGCATGGGTTTCACGTTTGCCATACAGCCATGGCTTGACCGCGACGGAATGGCTACAACCACATGGTTGATGTTCATGCTCTCCATGGTCTTCAACTTCAGCTCTTTGATATTTGTTAGGTGGGGCAAGGACTTCAGAAAAGTGACGAAGCAATTTTATGTGAAATACTCCGACAAAGACATATTGTTTTGAAGGTGTAATCCCCATATTTTTTATTACTATATAGTCTAAGAGACGTAACTGTGCTTTTTATATGATGCAGGTGGACACGGACACTGCAGTAGATTCAATGTACGGGGACGACCAGTTCTGCGAGCAACTCTATTGTGTAACAAAGAATAAAAGAAGATATTTCAAGATCTCAAAATATGCAGTCGGAGTAAGTCAGTTCTAGCCCCCATAAAAAAATGTCCTACTCACTGAAATTAAATCAGAGAGAATGTGAATGGTTGAAGTCATCAGATGCTCTTTCTTGCACATGCAGGGGTGTGCTTTAATAGGGTGTTAAACCCGCTGAGCTCCCTGTGTAAATGGGAGGCTACGCTTATTGATAATCTCCACTAAGCAAGGCTCATTGATTCCTTTCTGCTTGTTCATTTAGCAACTGTCGATCTTTATCTTTGGACACATTTGAAGAACTGGAACAAAATACACAATACAGAAGGTGAATTGTGCTCTTTGCTGATTCTACGATCTATCAACTTTCACGAACTACTGATCTTGTCAACTACTGCACGCTTGTCTCTAGGCTCCACATGCAAGCAGACTTAACACAGTGACCAACGTGCTTTACAAACACGAAAATGAGCAACTTCCAGGATATTCAACCAGGTACAACGTATAGAAGTATACATGCTGCCTTTACCTCGCGATCCATAGCCGATGCGAGCAGCAAAGGACCTTCGTTGATCCAATCGACTTCCCCCATAATAACTAGTGCATTGAGCTCTGCCTTCCCATATTTGTTGATGATCGATAAACTACTGGCAGCAATCACGTGGACAAATGAAGATAGTTATCAGGGTTTTTTATTGATTGTTATCTACGGAGCGGCTGTTCGATACTGGGACAATCTAGGTAGTGCCATAGTGCCCGTCGCAGCAAGCATGGCATTCTGCTGTGTTTCGTGGACCATCACCACTGTATCAAATGAGTCTTCGGATCCACCAACACTTGAAGAGGTGGTTGCCTTGTTGTCGAATATTTGCACCAGATGCGAGATTTTACGGGAGCCACTGAAAGTTTTGGATTCTTTCACCTTGGTGGACTTTGGAAAGTTACTCCTAAGTAGTGTCTTGCTATGGCCGTTCTATGTTTTTGTCCTGCAGAGGATATACAACACGAAATGGTTTTCATTGATCTTTGGTATACTTGCATTGACCTATTACTCGCCCTGGGCCACCGCTTCCAGATGTCTGCTTTGGCGCAGCTCGTATGTCAGAACTGCTGCGAAAGCTGTTACGGGACTAGATGTCCTGCTTACTAGTCGTCATAGCAAGAATCCTATTGCCACTGACCACAAGGTCATATACACATCAAAAACAAATGATTCTGAGAAGCAGACGGTTGAGTTTCAGATATTCGAGAATCAAAGGAGATGGATAGGAATGGGCTGGTCGGGACATCTTCTGCCTAACGAGCGTGCCCCTTTCACGAACGAGAAGTTTGCAGCTTGCTCTGGCTTCGAAGGCTTTCATTTCCCTGAGATGCCAGAAGTCACAGGAAAGAGCTTCAAATGGGAGTGGTTGGACCCCAAATGGCAGATAGATGTCTCTTTCAATAAAGGTAATGATAAGGAAGGATGGATCTACTACGATAACTACTGGGACACTCCTGGGTTTGTTGATTCCATATCAAAATACACGAGATCGCGGAAATGGAGACGTCGGGCTACTTTGGTTATTGAGGCTAAGAAATGAAAAAGTATTACGGTGTCGTTTGCGAGGGAGTACTCTCCAAAAATATAAAATGTAGCTTCCATAGCCATGATCCTCCTGCATCACGGTGTGTACCTACAGACTTTCATCCTGAAAAAATTACATCGAAGCCCATCTTCAAGCGGCCGGTAAATAACAGCCAAACCACAGACACAGTGTTAACAGTCTTCTCAGCACTCGAAATATACTGGCCCAAGAGGGCGTTGAATCATATCATATTGGCCTCACAATATAAAGGACTTTCACCAACTGCATTGGATTGATTGTTAGTGTATTCTGATTGGCTGACCATCCACCCCCGACCTCCAAGTAACTGCACGACTACCAACAACGATCTGGGTATTGAGATTGAATTTTCAGTCCACGGGTTTGCCAAAAAAAACAGCACTTGTTTGAGCAATAATATCGTTCTTGACGCTTGCTTTGGGAAATTCCCTTTGATACCCGATATGTCGTCGGGCCAAAACATATCCATAGACAGGATACGTCTAGAGTCCATCGAACACAGGCGCCAGACATGCAATCAAGTGATAAAATCTAGGAAGAGAAAGCTCGGCGAGCTTTATTGCATCTCCAGATCGCCTTTGCTGCCCATTTCTGATGACCAGGTTTTACAGATGGAGGACAAGCTGATGGCTTTTTTGGAAAAGAATGAACTGGAGAATGGCCATGAGTTCGATATCGTGACGCTTACGGAAAAACAGAATGCCGCTATGGCTCAACAGCAGAAGGCTCAGGCGATTGTTTCTGGTCAAGCACAGAGAAATGAAGGAGCCCGTACGGATATTGAGCGACTTTCGAGTGAACCGTCTCTCACGGAGGGTGTTTTGAAAGACGACCAGCCCTTGGTGGAACCTCCTCAAAAGCTCACCAAATCCGACGACTTGTCTGTTTCTTTGCAAGCCATGGAGTCATCCAAGGAAGAAAGCGAAGCTGACAAACCCGACTCTCTCGTGATAACGGAAAGACATATAGAGAACTCACCCGATGAAGCACCCACACTCTCTTCACTTATACGGAAGCGTGCTGAAAAAGAGTCCTTCAAGAGGGCTGACCAAAAAACAAGCAGGGATCTGGATATCTCCCAGGTGGAAATGAACGATCTTCTTGTTTTGTTGATGCCTGAGAAACTGCCACACAAGGTGCTCGAGGCAACCTCTTTGACTGAGCTCTACTACCATTCACAAACTCTGCCCATTATCAACTTGATTTTGAGAACTCACAAGTCATTGTCTACCGATGCTTATGAAACTGCTCTGCTAGAGGGAAAACTTGCCGTTTTGTATTCCAGAATTGAAGAACTCAAGAGGCAGAAGAAGTGGTCATTAAGACAGCCCAAGAAATACTTTGATCCTTTTAAGAAAACGCAAACGTCTCACTGGGATCATCTGCTGTCGGAGATGAAATGGCTTTCCACTGATTTCAGAGAAGAAAGGAAGTACAAGATGGTGCAATGTTACTACATTTCACAGGCTGTCACTGACTACTGGAATTACGGAAAGGTAATGTGTGTGAAGCGGAAGCCAATTAAGCACCTCGAGCCCGAAGAGGAAGGTTCTCGTGAAGACAGTGGTGATGTTGATATGGAAAAACCTGAGGGTGTAGATGACAGAGTGGAGGAGGACGCACAGATCGAGGAAGATACCATCGATGTATCCTTGCTACTACAGAGACCCGATGCAAATAACGAGATTATACCAAAAGATCTTCCATCATACACTGAAGACGAGGTCAAGCAGCTGTTGACTGACGATTCCGCCACACTACCGTTCAAGTTGTATGCCAATATGGAGCAACTGAACGGAGTGAGTGCCTCAATTCTGGAGAAATTGCCTGTTTACGAACCATTAAAGGAGTCTTCTGTTTCGCCAGATACTTTCAGTGGTATGCCTATAGACCCTATATCGTCTTTGGTCTCACCGCTAGATCAAGATGAAGAGGAATGGTACAAGCTTCTTTTCAAGAAGACCGAGGAACATGAGAAGAACCACCCCGATTATCAGAAGGGATTGTTCGGAGTGGCTACTCACAGACGTTTCACGTTGTTACGTCCACCACCTCCTCCTTCTATTAAGAATCTTGAATTACGCATTCCAACGATATGGCTTCCTCAGGATGATAAGCTTCTCATTCGGTATGTGACGGAATACTCATTCAACTGGGGTGTTATATCTGCCCATCTATCGCCAAAGCCAACGAGAAACTACACTTCTAACATAGAGAGACGCACTCCATGGCAATGTTTTGAGAGGTACATACAGCTCAACGACAAGTTTCAGTTCACTGACATGCGTGGTGTGTATGCAGCAGCAGCCAAGGAATGGCTAGAAGCCGCACACAAAGCCCAAACAACCACCAAAAGGCGCATTTCTCCTTTGGGTGTTGGTCCGGAATCAATCCAGAGGGGTCATCGTCGTCTCAGGTGGGGTTCAATGTTCGATGCAATCAGAAAACTGATGAAGAAGAGGGAAAACGCTCCTAAGCCAAACACTCAGCCACGGCGTTCGACCAGCGACGAGAAAAGAATGGATACTCCAACTCCTGCTGCTCTTTCGCGGCTCAAATATGAGCGCGACAAGGCTATTCAAGAGGCCTATATGCATCAGACCAATGCGAACGGCGCTTTCCCAAGAGCCCGTGTCGCGGGTGCTGCTGTTGCTCCGGTTGCCAGAGCTGCCCAGCCAGGTGTTGCAGGTCAATCTGCTATACAAGGAGTTGCTGGTGCGAGACCAGCAACTCAAGATGGGGCCCAGAGGACTGCAGCTGTAGCCAGAGCTCCGAGTGCGGTAAGCGTGACACCTGCAAATGCGGCTGCGGCGGCTGCTAATATTGCTCAAAGGCGTTTGAATGGCCAAGGTGGCCCTCTTACAGGTCCTAATGGAATCCCGTACACAAACGAGCAGTTGCAGCAGTTGATGCAACTACAGAAACAGAGGCAATTGCTTCAAAAATCTGGAGCAACACCACCCCCAGGAGCTGGTACCTCTGCAGCCACCCATCCTATTGCCGGCGGAGTTGTGAAGGCTTCTCCTATCAAAACAGATGGCCGGGTTCTGAACTTTTCAGCTCAACAGGTGTCTGCTATAATCAATCAGATTCAATCGCAAAACCCGAATATGACCAAAGAGCAGGTGACAAAACTGGCTGCTGCCTATATCGCGTCGTTACAGCAACAAAGCCAGAATCGCAACGCAGCAAACCAAGCAAAGATTGCACAGGGCTCGGCATCTGGAGATGCGAAGAGTGATGGTACTCCTACCGGCTCGCCTTCTCCAGTTGATCCTTCTTCTCTCACTGCCCAACAGAGGTCGCAATTGGCTCTGGCAAGGTCACAGCTACAAAGAAGACAGATGATGCTTCAGCAACAGCAGCAATCTGCGCAGATTCCATCTGTAGCTTCGTCCCAAGTGGGGTCTCCTGTCAATGTTCATTCACCCATCCAGTTGAAGAACACAGCTGATGGCACCAATTCGTCCACACAATCATCTCGCTCACCTGTAAATGGAAGCACGGGAACTCGAACCAGGAGTGCAGGGAACCACGAGAAGTGAAATCTAGGTTGCTTCAACTTAAACGATGTTGGCTGATGTTCATGTAATTTAAATTATGCAAGGTTTCTACGAAACGATATTACTTCAGTTGTAGTACATATACATTTTGCAGTGGTATCATAGTATTCCCGTGAATTCTTCATTCACGACCCCATTATCCGTCCGTCGCCATTTTCTATTCTCTTCTGTATCGTTTGCTGAAACTTTTGAGAATACAAATGCTCTTCTTCTGCGATAAGATCACTCTCACCAGATTCAATACTTGGCTCCTCAGCACCCGATCCAAGAGACGGATAAAACAATGCTTTCCAAGTATCCGTCTTGAAAATACTTTGTATATTCGAACGATATCCCTTGTCGAATACCCGGTCTCTTTCGCGCAACTCCACTATCACTCTGACATCTTCCAAAGTTGGATGAGCGACATTAACAAAATCGGGCTCCACTGTCCTGTTCATTTTGCGCTCTCGTGACCTTCTTCTGCGGTGTAGCACATCAATCGAAGTATCATTATCCATGAATAAGGATATTTGACCGAAAAACATGAATGTCATCATTAGCAGCCAGAAAATATCACCAATATAGCAGGCAATGATGTTTGGCTCAATGATCTTCATACCAGAGGCTGAAGTATAATCCCTGATCGAAGATGCAAAAACAGTAATTGTGATAAATCCAAACAAAAAAAATAGCCAAAAATAAAATACTGCGCCAAAAAAGCACAGAAGGTTGTTCTCCCCAATTACCACCCCTAGAAACATACACTTATGATCGAATCGAGGAACACAACGTCCAAGGCTTTTCACATGATGGCTTCTTCGGATCTTGAGAGTCTTACATTCGGAACACCAGAATGGAAACCCTTCCGAATTGCACAAAAACATATCGGGGATTCTCTCGAGTTTGCTTGTCGTAGGAAACGAGGCTTTGTCGTTAGCATATACAGTCTGTCCTCGCTGTATGTAGGGTCCTAAGTCGAACGGCTTCAATTGTTGGTTCAGCTTACCAGGACCTTTCAGAGCCGTTATTATCCATAATAACAAAGCTTCTCCCAACAGGAGGTTGAACTCAACGATAAATCCAATTGCACAAGCACGTCTGTTCTTCTTAACATACAGTTGATCATAACAGAAGACCTTTGAGTAGCCATAATCCAAATATCCCAACAGACCTAATAGCACAACCGGTACCGCAAAAGTTATGACTGGCTGCACCCTATTCCTTGCCATTTCAGTTCACTTGCTTTCGTAAGTGGCAAGAACTGAAGAAACTAAACTAAACCTAGCTATGTTTCACCTCATCAAGAATTATAGATTAATGTGGGGCGCCATATTGGCCGAGCACACTACCTTCAAGCTTATAAACTATCCAGCCTCCACTACATTCAAACCTATCTTCAGACCTGAGCATACTGAAACATCTGAACGATTTCAAAAATGAGCAAGAATGACATGTGCCCTGTTTGTAAGACAGACAGGTATCTGTCGCCGTCACTGAAATTTCTCATCAATCCTGAGTGTTACCATAAGATCTGTGATTCATGTGTCGATAGAATCTTCTCTCTGGGTCCCACAAAATGTCCATACGCTAATTGCAATAAGGTTCTGAGAAAGAACAAGTTCAAGACCCAGACTTTCGAAGACCTTGGAATCGAGCGGGAGACTGATTTGCGAAGGAAGGTGTTATCGGTGTACAACAAGAAGGAGGAGGACTTTCGGGGTGATCTAGAAGGCTACAACAAATATCTAGAGGAAATCGAGCAAATGGTTGACAATCTGATTAACGGTGTTGATGTTGAAGAAACGGAGAACAAATTGAAACAATATGAGGTGCTGAACAAACAGCAAATCAGCGCAAATAACACAAGAAAGGATCAAGAGTATGAGAACTTTATACGACTTCAGAATATGGAGAAACAGTTCAAGCTGGAGAAGCTGAGACTGGACAAACAGATGAAACAGGAAGAAGATAAAATGGTACAGTTGTCGCGGATGGAGATGATAGACGAACTGCAGAACTCCTCAGTGGAAGCCAACACAGCCATAGACAACATGAGGCAGTCCATACTAAAGAAGTCGTCTGCGCGTCGCAAACAACGTGACGATCTGGAAAAGAAGTTCCTCCTGGAGAAACAAGCGATGATGAACGATCTGGCAGCCAAGGAGGCCAATGACGAAACCACGACGATACCATTCACGCCATTCAACGGCGACAGAGAGCTGGAACCAAGGTTCAACCTGCTGCCCACTTATTACGATCCGATCTACAACAAACTGGTCCAAGAAGACTCCATATTCAATGCAAGTGGATACAAGATCGAGAAGTTTTTCGCCAGGTCCATAAACGAAGCGTTTACTGGTCTGGACTGCATAATAGAAGAAGAGAAAGCGTTTTAATGATTATTTATGTTCCTTTCAACTGCGTAAGTCCAACCAAGATCCTTGTGAGCTCTTCAACGTCCTCTGTGGATATGTTGGTGAGTTTGTAGTTCTTCTTGAGCTGTGCGAAGTTGGTGAATCTGCTTAGGTTCGCTTGGTCAAAATGCACGACGGACCCTTTGACTCTCTGCTTGAGGTTATCAACGTAAGTGGCCACATTGTCAATTTGACTATCTGAAAGAACTTTGAGGGCGATTATGTTTGTTGAAGTAGACGATATTCCAAATTTGTTCAAGGATTCAACGATCTGGTAGAGTTAGTGATCTATATAAGCAACAGAATCTGGAGAGCATGCATAGAGCCAACTTACATTCTTCAACGGGGAAAGGTCGAATATTATTTCTGAGTGCAAAGTTTTCGATTTTGTTTGGCCAAGTAAATCGTCCAGTAAAGCTTTGTATAATGCTGAATATACCTGCTCCTGCGAGGCTATGTTATCGCAATTGACAAACGCATAATCGTAATCTCTGTTTCCCTTTAGCAGCTCCGACTTTATCTCTGCATTATTCTGGACGCCTTCAAACAGAATAATCAGCACTTTATTACTAAATTGGGGACATGAAAATATTTCGTAATCGGCCATTGTTACCGGTGTAGCAGCACAGTATTATTGATCAGGCCCACAAAACGGCTTCAAATGGCATAAATTGAATATTTTCCAAATTTCCAATTTCCTCATCGGTCTCCTTCCCTATTGAAACGATGGGCCGTGGCATCAGGATCCACACATTCGCAAGTTCAGCACACTATCAAGTCAATAGGTATTCTTCATCATTGGGAAGAATTACACAAAACTGCCATGTCGGTTACTTTGATTAGCTTGCAGAGACAATGTAAGTGATATCTTGTTTGTGTTGAGTGTTATGGCTCGTTCTTATTCGAAGTGAAGATCCACTGTCCATGCCTTCGTTTAAATGATACTAACCAGATCAACAGACCTGCTGACGCAGTTTACCTCTGTCGGTTCCAGGACGAAGTACCTGGTTTTGGACGAGAGAGCCAATGAACTCATTGACATTTTGTTCAAGAGAGAGGAGCTTTTGGACTACTTTTTCAGCGTACAAACAATCGATTCCAAGAGCAGAAACAAGGAGCAGGCTCAGGAAGCGTTCTATCTCCTCGACCCATCTACTTATAGCATCAATTGTTTGCTTGCTGACTTTACCATTAAGCCCAGTCGGTATTCCAGAGTTTTTTTATATTTTTTCCCGGGGCTTACAGATGCACACAAGGATAGGTTGAGTCGCAGTAGCTCACTCCAGAGAAGCATAGGCAAGCTAGAGGTGCTCAAACTCGGTATGTTTCCGGTGGGAAACAATGTCTTTACTACCAAGTTTTACGATTCATTGCAGTCGTATTACAACAGGTCCTGTGTTGAACTGGTGCAATCGCAAATCAACCAGGCTGTGGAGAGTCTGCTAAACCTGATTGTGGTCTCTGAGGAGTATCCTGTGATACGATACTATAGACCCGACGATAACAAATCGAGAACATCACCTCTCCCGAATCTGATAGCGCAGCAATTGAAACAGAAACTGGAAGATTATATCCGCGAGCACGAGGAGTATCGTACAGACAGCAGACCCAGGCCGGTGTTGCTTATCACTGACAGAACCATGGATCTCTACACACCGATCTTCCATTCATTCAACTACGAGGCTCTGGTGTTTGACACTGTTGAGTTTCCGGAAAACAAGGAGGGCAAGTATATCAACGAGTTCACCTACAATGCTGTCCTGATGAACGGTGAGAAAGAGCGCAAACGTACTAGGCTGAACGATACCGATAAGTACTGGACTCAGCTCAGAAAACTGCATTTCATTGAAGCAGGAAAAGTTATTCAGCAAACAATACACACACTGAGAGCTGAAGATAACAGGATGAAAAATTCCCGCTATGTGGCGGATTTGCATCATACCCTGGCGACCAAGGACGAGCATATGGAAGACAAACGTTTGATCTATGCTCACGACCAACTGGAGAACAGACTGTTGCAGATATTCCAGGATAGACAGTTAATGGACTTGGCTTTGTTTGAACAGTGTTGTGCTGCCAATGGTATTGAAGAGGATGGGACACACAACAAACATCTCACCAACTCATTGCTCGATCTACTTGTGAAGAAGGAGATAAGCCGTAAAGATAAAATTCGGATCATCACCTCCTACGCAATTTACCGAGGCGGGATTATCGAAGCAGACCTCAAGAAACTTTGTACTTTTGCCGGGTTTGAAGATTATTTTGATGTCTATCGGGTTCTCTACAAGAACTTTGGGCTGATGGGATTTCCACTTCTAAAGGCGGACCTGAGACAGAAGAAGATCAACAAGTCGCCCACTTACTACATTCAATCGTATGAAGAGATGGGCGACCGTGCAACCAGATTCAGACCTGCTGTTGAAGTGATCCTTCAATCCATAATCCAGGGAAACCTTTCTGAGAGCATGTATCCATACATAGATGGTGTCGCTCCTAGTACCGAGTCTACAAAAGTTAAGGGTCCACTTGTGCATAGTTCGCGTAATGCGGAATGGTCAACTTCGCAAAAGGGAAGGGAAAAGATTTTCCTATTTGTTGCTGGGGGCCTCACACACGCAGAAATCGAGTCTGCCTACTCCTTCAGTGAAAAATATAGAAAGGACATCTTCTTGGGAGGTGATGAGATTCACACACCCGAAGGGTTCTTGAACCAGGTGCTACATTTATCCAATGACAGGGCCGACCTGAGAATGCCATTTGATATAAAGCAAGAGAATATACCTGCTCCCAAGCATCTGACGGTTCAGCCTACAGCTGTACAGTCGAAACCAGTTGCTCAGGCCGTACCAAATGGACCCTCACCGAAGAGTTCCATCTCAAGCTCGACCTCAGAAATTGTGTCTTCAGCCTCGACCGAGAAGAAATCTCTAAGGAAAAAGCTTTTCGGTAGGAAAAAATAAATAATTCCGAGCTTGTTGGATTCAGCAATATTAGACTAGAATATTCATTACCGTATCGTCGTAGCTTACTGAAAGTGTCGTTCTCCAGCCGCATCTAATTAAGCCCTTTCGGGTAAAACGTAAACATGAGGTGATCAGTAGGTGAAAAAGATGGAATTGCAAGGAGCTCGCGCGATCAGAATGGAATTATCTGACAAAAATTAAATACTTCGGGCAAATCCTCTCAGGCTGATATCTGTATTTGCATAACCATGGATAATTACACAAGAATGGGCAACACCCTGTCTCAGAAAACTCAGAACCCAATCAGCTCAAAGATCTTCTCAAACCAAAGGTGAGTCAGTATCCGGAACACGAACCTGCAATAGTTTATTAACCCGTTTGAAGTACAAATCTATCTTCCCCTACAGACAAGTTTATGTCGCCCATAACTAAGCGTTTGGCGGAACACAGAGCTCATTTGATGAAGTCTAGCTACAAACCAACAAGGCTGCAGTTTGACCAGAGTGAATGAAGGCAGTGAGCCCCACTAGAATACACCATGAACGGACACCAACGTCTGGGGAATACAGTTCTCAAATTAAATACCAATTAGGCCTACTGCTGAAATAAAAGTGATGTTGTTTTTGATTCTATGGACAAGTAGTTTGATAGGGTTATCCGAGGACTTTCACTCATTGAGGTGGTGCATACAAGGTCACCGGCCACTTGAGAATTCACGTGCATCTGAAACAGTGTTCAGCAACAAAGCCTCATTGTCAAGAATGATCTTGTTAGGAGAACGAGACAGGATAGTAGCAATCTCCTTGGCTGTGTCCAATCTCTTCAGCTCAACATAGTCTTTAGACTTCTTGATGGCCTCACCAATCAGCTGGGCAGACTTGGCCTCACCCTGCGCCTTTACAACCATACTTTGCTTCTCTTGTCTAGCTTTGTCGACCACAAAGGCGGCTCTTTGAGCATCCTGCTGGGCAATCTGCTTAGATTCAACAGCAGTGGAGAACTCTGGAGAGAAGGTCATGGCAGTCAACGAAACATCATCAAGCAAAATGTTGAACTTAGAAGCCCTCTTGACAAGGTTCTCTCTCACCAGTCTGGAGACTTTTTCTCTTTGGGTAATCAACTGAGATGCGTTGAACTGAGCAATCACAGACTTCAAGACTTCGTTAACAATGGAAGGCAGCACTCTCTCGTCGTAGTCCTGACCCAAAGTGCGGAAAATGGTTGGCAACGCTGCAATTTCAGGCTTATACAGCACTCTGCAAGTGATGTTCACCATTTGCAAATCCTTAGTTCCAGTCAACGAGGCAACATTTCTTGGCTTGGCTCTGACATCGTAGATAATAGCACGCTCCAACCAAGGGAAAACAAGGTGTGTACCCTCGTTGAAAATCTGAGGCTTCACACCGCCAACTCTGGAGTAAACAATGGCACGTTGACCACCATCGACGTTGTATAACGAGTTGTTCAGCAGTACAGCACCCGCACCGAGGAGAATCAACCCACCAGCCCCGGCAAAAATTCCCAGAGGCGAGCCTCCAGCGGCTCCCTTAGAGGATTGACTAGCACGCCTTTGCAGGTCTCTCACCATTTTATCCCAATTCTGATTGTTCATTTTGCGGTATATTGATTGAAACTTAGAAATAAGATTGTTTAAGAATGTGGGCATTTTGGAAGGCAAATGGCATGAGTTGAAGCTTCGAGAGGTGGGCATTGGGCGTACACGACTTTTCATCAGGGGAAGTCAATTCATACATGGTGCGGCTCAAAGGGAGAATGGTGTCGTAAATAATACTCTTGCTATATTTCATTATATAAACACTTCACTGGTGGAAACTTTTCTGGAAGACGACCTTATTGGTGGAGGAATCTTCTTCGGTTTGACAATCACCTTGACAGGAATACTTGGCACCGGAGTGACTGGCCGCCTGGCAGTACTTGTACTGCTAGATGTGGAATCATTGCTGATGTTAGCGGGAAGTCGCCTTTTTGGACCCTTGGACCTGGCTTTCGTCACATGGTTCAGTTTTTGAGGAGCGTCGGTTTTTGATATGACGCGTTGGGTGGGAGCGGCGGTGTTATGGATAATAGGAGGTGCCGCATTAGGGTCCATGAAGGGCAATCTCACCATATGTGGGAACGAAGCAGGAAACGTTGAAGCAGAGACTGGGGGTTTTCTTTCGGGAAGATCCGGTTGTGTTGTCTGTGACCTTCTTAAACCAGCGAGCGAATTCTTGAGAAGAGTTTCGTTATTTTTTTCGAAGTCGTTACGCTTCACAGGCTCGTAACTTCCAGTAGACTTCTTCATGATGCTGTTTGCTTTAGCCACGGCATCTGGCAACACCAGATCAGGTTTTTTTACCGGAACAGCAGGTCTCAGCTTTGAACGGAGGGCCTCGGGGACTTCTTCTGAAGCCTTCCTAATCGGAGAAGACCGGTTGAGGTTTTGTAAACGATTCAGTGCTTCTGGTTGTTGCGTCTCTTTTTTAAGGATTGGAGATGGTGATCTAAGTTTGGCTGCAGCTTTCAATGCTTCCGGGATTTCAGCACTGCTTTTTGTAAAAGCTTTGTGAGCAATAGCAGGTGATTTTGCCCTGATATCTATCTCGGGTTTCTTCGGAACAATTGGTCTTGCCTTCGCACTAGTTATAGAGCTTGCTGGGACGTGAGAAGTGTGGGAAACACTTGGCACTTCGCCTGGCTTCTCCCCAGGTTGTGCAAAAAACTTAGCAGTATAATCCAGACCACGAGCACGTTCCCCAACAGACTTGTCAGTGGTTCTCATTAGTGCAGGGGCCTTGGCCGCAGCCGTTGCAGACATGGCTGCAATAGAACTGGGCATGGGGATGTAGTTGGAGGAGCTCGAGACCTTAGCAGTCGAGGAAATATCTGGATCATCACTTGTTCTCATCAGAGCCGGTGCCTTTGCCGCAGCTGTAGCTGAAATAGCTGCAATTGAGTTAGGCAATGGAATGTAAGTTGAATTCAGAGTTCTGGTGGGAAGAGATGGTTTGTGAGGAGTGAAAGACGATGTCGACTGACTTGACTCCTTTGATGATGGTGTTGTTATCGGGGTGTTTCTCTTAGGAATTTCCTTCTCTGGGTGGTGAATTGGAGTGTACGATTTGTTGAACCTGATGTCTGTTCGCTTTGGTTCATTCAACACATCCTCCAGCTTGACAGGCTGAGGGCCATTCGACCCCGATTTTGAGGAGACAACAGGATCTTTGACGGTTTTCTCAAATCTTTGAACTGGCTGCTCAAAAGCCTCGCGATTGTTTTCATCTCCATCTTCTCTGGCTCTCAGATTGATCAACTGTATATCTGATTTGGGTGCAGTGTTTGTGTGTGAAATATTCAACTTCGCTAAATGAACGGACTTCGCAGGTACAAATGGCACCTTCTTCAATCCTTGGTCTCCTAATTTCTTCTTCTTGAGTGCAATATCCTGCTCTAGCTTCTGCCGACGCAACGTATCCTCTCGCACTCTATCAATGTCCAGCTCTTTCACCCTGGAAAGAAAGTCGTCTATTTGCGGATTAGCAGCGGACATAGCAAATCAGTGAAAAAGTATTTCAGAAATATTCGCTGGCTGTGAAATTAATCTGCTTGACCAATCCCAGGATCTCACCAAGTAAATAGATAGGAAATGTGGTTCTATCAGTCTCTCAGATCGCTAAGGAAGAATGTGACATGTTACTGGCGACGATCAAGAGCGCATCTCACATTGCCTATTTCGGAATGTGTGCTTGCATTCTACTAATAGCCTGAATTTGTTTTAACTGTACACTACAGGATACTACCAAAAAACGTATATGGTTAAAAGTAACTATATTTGAAATCCTAATCCAGATCAACCTTTAACCTAAGTGAAATCCAAATGATAACCAAGTGACAGCCTACCAGCCAACCAAACGTCACTCCCAAGACCTTCCTCACCACCGCCAAACCCATAACCGCACTGAATGATATAAAAATAACTATAAAATAATAAGACCCATAGCCAAAAACCGCTCACAAAGAGCCGAAGAATTTCACCAACAACAGATAAACTGACTCCCAATGCAAGCTCTGCCAAATATCAGAACCCCACATGAATAGCCTCAATGAAACACTATCACAGACATCGACGCTTCAGTCCAACGAGCATATCGTGTTCACCTCCAGAATATACTTGCCTTCCTTGAATTTCATGTCTTTTTCATTGCTCTTGAGATACTTCCAGCCAACAACACTATGGCACTGGTGGCAGAGGATATCACACACTGTATATGCTCCCGTAGTCATTTGTCTAAACTCCTTCTTTCCGTTGATGACATTTACGCTAGAATAAACAATTAGTATGATGCAACACAAAGAGAGGCAGTTCCCCAAAAAATTACTCACACATTATGAACCAAGAAAGCATCGCCAGTCTTGCCGCGATATTGGTCACTCAAGACCATTCCAGAAACTGTCAGATGAGTCAAACAGTACTGACATGCGTAGGTAACTGCAGTTTCAGGCTTGCTGAACCGACCATGAGACCTATAGGAGTGAGAACTCTCCAGGAGGGGAGCAGTGTGGACATCCACATTTTCGAGATTGACAGAATACCGGAGGCCCATGAGACTAAGGATATATTGAACCCCCCAGACGGAGCAAGTACACTCAAAAAAAAGTCCACCAAAAGACTCAACTGAATGCTTTCAGTTCCTTATTATAGATTGGCTAAAACTCTTCAAGAATCTCTCAAGGAATCCTCAAAAGAATGTCTCGTTCCATAAAGAAACGGAGTAAGGGGTGGTGGTCTTCTATCTCAGCCTATATAAATTAGATAACGATGGGGCTTCCCCAAACGGGAGAGCTGTTTGGGACACTAACTTGCCTCTGATTACTTCTTTTTTAGATGTCAAGTATTGATCTTTGCATTTCAACAGACGCCAGGGGATCTCTAATCCCGGAAACGGAAATGGATTATATTAAGATTGCAAAGGTAGGTTTTTGGTCCTTGTTAAGATCATTAGTTGGGGTTACAAAATACCACCGCCTAGCGCCGTTTACTAACCCATTCGCAACTTGCAGGTGTCCAACATCACTCTCCACAGACGGGCTCAGTCCGTGGATGGAACTCTCCATCTGACGACCCATCATCTGATTTTTACGCTGCCATCAAGCTCAGCTGCGTCTAAGGGCTCCAGGGAGTTCTGGTTGTGCTACCCCATGATAGAGAAGGTAGAGTTCAAGCTAGGCTCGTCCTTGTTGTATCTGGAAGGCGCGGTAAACGCGAGTGGTGCTAGCCAAGTGAATCCTTCTGCAATCGGTGATGCTAGTCCCCAGGGCTCATTTTCTCCTCCTTTAGAGGGTGGTATTGCTTCTGCTATAAGCAATTTCACCGCCTCCCATATCATGTCACAGTCGTTTGTTTCGACGTCGCCTACACCCTCGTCTTCTCACGCAGAATACAATGCGACAAATAAGGTTCTTTGCAAAGGAGCTTGTCTGAGAATACGCTGCAGGGATTTCACATTTCTGGCGTTTGACTTCCAGAATCCAAAAGTCTGTAACGAGGTGTTCGAAAGCATCATGAGACTGACCTGTCTTGACTCGATAGAAAAGGTATATGCCTTCATTTACAAGCCTGTGCGGATAGAACAGGCTTATAATGGCTGGAAGGACTATGATTTGGAAACCGAGTTCAAAAGGCAGGGATTGAGGATCCAGATCGAAGACATGGAACATGGGGAAGGTGATTTAGAACAAGTTGACGAGGATGATAGCATGGGCAGCACAAGATGGAGAATATCTACTGTCAATCAGAACTATCGACTTTGTAAGTCGTACCCCTCACTTTTGGTGACCCCAGCATCGATATCGGACTCTGTGTTAAGTCATGCTGCCAGGTTCAGGTCCAAGAACAGAATACCTGCTTTGTCATATTATTACAAATACAACGGTTGTTCTATTGTGAGATGCTCACAACCTTTGGTGGGAATTAAGCAAGCACGATCCTTCCAAGATGAAAGGCTACTTTCCGAGGTCTTCCGAACCAATGATGGTCATTTAAAGCAAAACCTCATAGTGGATGCAAGACCATTGGCCAACGCAATGGCTCAAACTGCCCTTGGAGCAGGCACTGAGATAATGGATAACTACCAGAATTGCAAGAAGATCTTTCTCAACATAGACAATATCCATGTGATGCGCGAGAGTCTTGGAAAGGTTGTGGAAGGCTTGAAAAATGGTGACATCACCACTGCCCCAGTCAATCGAGAATTGCTAGTGAAGAGTGGATGGTTAAAACACATATCGAATATGCTTTCTGGTGTGGATGTGCTAGTGAAACTAATTCACTTGAATGCGAGTCATCTGCTGATTCACTGTTCTGACGGATGGGACAGGACATCGCAGATCTGTTCTCTGGTGCAATTGTGCATAGACCCATACTATAGAACGATAGACGGATTTTGTGTTCTTGTGGAGAAAGATTGGCTCTCTTTTGGACATCGGTTCAACGAGAGATCAGGTCATTTGCAGAGTGAAACTAAGTTTGTCAATAACTCAGATTTTTCATCCTCGAATCAGGCCCAACAGGCGATCAAATCAGTTTCAAACCACTTCAAACACAAAAAGCATGTCAAATACACTTCTCCTGTGTTTCACCAGTTCTTGGATTGTATATACCAGATTATGAGACAGCATCCAAAGGCATTTGAGTTCAACGAGAGGTTCCTGAGAAGACTCATCTACCACCTATACTCCTGTCAATACGGAACGTTTTTGTACGATTCCGAAGCAGAGAGAAAGCTTGCAAAAGTCGAGGAAAGAACAACTTCGGTATGGAACTATTTCAAGGCAAGACGTCCTGAGTTCACCAACACAGCGTATGAGCAGTTTGAAGAGGTCATATACCCTAACTTCAAGGATGTGAGATGGTGGTTTCAGCTGTTTGGAAGACCTGATGAAGAGATGAACGACTATTTGATACACACCCCTGCAGAGCTTTCCAGAAAAAAAGAGTCTTCCACAGCAGATTCAAAGCTCGTCGTTCCGGCTGCTGTGGAATCACCAAGCTCTTCAACCGTGTCATTGGACGCTACAAAGCTACCGCTCAGTCTAAGGGATACTGACGATCCTCTCAGCGAAGACGGAGATGAAGAAGAGCACAATCCCGGTTCAGATCCTCTAGGTGCTTCTCTAGATGTTTCTGCTTACATAGCTGATTCCAGAAGCATGTTTCATACAAGGACCAAAGAGCTCTTGCACAGTTTGACTAAGGAAGACAATGAGATAGAGATGTCTGAGACGGGGTTGGAAACACCAATGAAAGGAATTAGTCTGAATAGTGGCTCGGTGCAATAGGAAATAGATTATGTAATATTAGGAACTGAAAAATATGATTATGAGTGTCTAACAATTTTCTTTCAGAGTTTAGCTGAGCTCTTGAACTTTGTAGTCTAAGAAGTTTCATAGCTTAGCAACCTCCGACTTCCAGGTAATCCCACACCAGGAGGATATTTCCATTGCTAACTGTCTAGCATCTCGGACCTCTTCAAGAGTACATCCATTGTTCAAAGCACCTTTAAGATGACCTTTTAGCTGGGGATTCACATCCTGCGGTATTAAACAGGATATCACAACCAGACTCGACTCTTCTGCACTCATACAGCCAGTGAAACTTAGTAAAGGAGAATAAACATTTTCGATCGTATACGACCACAAATCAGGATATGCCGTGGACATTTGCTTAATTACTCGATTTGAAATTTTGCCATAAACCTTTTCCCAGAATTTGATTCCTCGTTGTTTCTCCAACAGGTACTCGTCCCAATTGGTGATTCTCTTTCTATTTTCCTTCAGGTCCCTCAAAGATTTCGGAGTGGTTTCTTTGAGTGTCATGAGCGAGTTGATGCACTTTGGAAGTCCACTGAGAGCTGCAGTCTTTAATATGGCTTCCCGCATCTTGGTTCCCACCACCCTTAGTTTAGCTTGGTACTCCTGGGAGTACTCATTCTCGGGCACCTGTTCTCCCCTCGATACTGCATCTGCAAACTTGGTGCAGACTTGAATGGCTTTGTCCGCTGTGGCCTCATTTCTTGGTTTGCTCAGTCCTTGAGTCTGCATGGCGTAATGATATAGAAGGGGAAGCTCTTGTGGCTGATTGCACACTGTCAGAGTTGCAGCAGCGATGAAATACCATGATTGGGAGAGGTGTGGCGAAGTGGTAGAAAGATGAATCAATCGCGTTGTAGTCAAAATTGTCATTGCTATTAGTTATATGTGTCAGCTTAAGAGAAATGGAAGAGGATAGCAGGGTATCTTATACTATTGTGTAATCTTCGACTTTCGTTGGGATGATGGGGTAAAGCGATGAGATCCCGTGGGGCTCTCTCTACGAGGAATCAGACTCAACACTTCGGACGAACTTGATGGTCCGGGTTTACGCGCTGAATAAACTCAACATGGCCTGTTATTCGCAATCTTTAAGGTTATTAGACAATGAGTCTCGATAATGGCACAAAGCCTTACTAAACTCGCTCAAGATTCAATTTCAATTTCAATTCACGCTCCAAATTTCATGGTATGAGCTTGGTTCCAAACAGAAAAAATAAGCAGACTCAATAGTTTAAAAATTGATAAAAAAAAAGGTTAATAAAAGGTGCCAACAGTGGGAGGGGATGATACAACGTTTGGAAATATATATGTATAGAAAATGGAAGACACAAGATGCAACTCAGATTCGATTCAGATCACGGAAAAAAGGAGTAGGACCCCCAGTTTAGAGGATCAAACACTTCTTCTTACGCTCTCTCTTTTCCTTGGTCATCAACGAGGCCCTGGTGGCATTCTCGAAAACTTCTCTAACACCTCTGTTCTGTCTAGCAGAACACTCCAAATAACTGATGGCGCCAATCTTCTCTGCAACGGCTTGGCCCTGGGCAGATGAGACTGGAGACTGATTGATGCTGGAGAGATGCTCAATAGTCTTTGGGTCATCCCTAAGATCCAACTTGCAGCCAACAAGGATGATTGGAACACCTTGGCAGAAATGCAAGACTTCAGAAATCCACTTCTCTTGGACGTTGTCCAACGTGTCAGGAGAGTTGATGGCGAAACAGATAAGAATGACGTTGGAGTCAGGGTATGACAGAGGTCTCAATCTGTCGTAATCTTCCTGACCGGCGGTATCCCAGAGGGCCAACTCGACTCTTCTGCTGTCGACCTCAACGTCGGCAACGTAGTTCTCAAAGACAGTTGGAACGTACACCTCTGGGAAAGCACCCTTGGAGAAGACAATCAACAAACATGTCTTACCACAGGCACCGTCACCAACGATGACGAGCTTCTTTCTGATATCGGCAACTGGATGCATAACTATAGGGAAAAACTTGTGTGAATCTCAAAGTACCTTTTGGTGACTTCTGTTGGTTTTGATCTGGAATTGATCTGAGTATCAGCGGCTAAAATCTGAAGAAATTATCCGCGGTCAAACAAATAGAATTGAAAGACTGTGTTTAACAATATAGGAATAACCTTGAGTATGAATCTGGGATTCTGTTAGGGAAATCAATCAAACAAAAACAACAATAGACGGGGAGGCAAGGGGTTTTGTTGGGGATGATGACAAAGTTCGAATAAATGCCAAATGCCTTTTGCAGAAGGGCTGTCGGCAATGAACGAAGTGAAGAAAGTGAATAGATTCTGTTGATCAAATAATTGAAATCTCAGGATGAATAACAAGAGAGAAACAACAGAATGGAGTTGGTAGATTAAGCGGAATGTTACCCAAAACGAGGCATCAGACAATGCGTGTGAGAACCCAGGCCAAAAAAATAACCAGCCAAAACTTGTCACCGCGATGAAGCTGGAATTTTGGAAAGGCGCTGGGTGAACACAGAGGCTAATAATAGCTCGTGGGCAGTGACGTGTACAAAACAAAAAATCGGAATACGGTGCGTGCACTCCTCCCCTAACGTTTTGCCCGAAAACCACAACATCAGGACAAGGGCAACAACATATAAGGGGAATGAGTAGTGGCACTTGTATAATCAACTTTCTCTTTAAATTTCTTCAAATTTTGTACCTGCAACGCTTTCAAGAGTCTGAGGCCCCGTTTGCTGAGTCCAACCACGTAATTTTCTTCCCTGGATTCTGAATTTCAAGTGAGATCCTTCGTACACTCGCACTTTGCAAGACCACGCGCGCACAGTCATTATAAGTTTTTCTGCATCTCCTTTATTTCAAAACTTTGAAAAAAGAATATCGAAAGCTTACCAATGACGGCACACAGCCGTGTAGTCAGGCACCGTTTGGCGGAATCTTTCTCATTCATGATTCGTTTCATTTCAACATTCAAATCAACGATCCCCAACCCGACCAGTCGGTGAAAAAAAACTGCTGAATACATACCAGAAGTGGATTCCAAGACGTCGGCTTATTAAATCTGAATTCAAATTCAGATGAATTAGACGAGAAGTGCAGAACAAGGAGTTGGAGAAAGAGTGAGCGAGAGAGAGAGATCACACAAATCACATTAGTGAAGACGAAGAGACACCACGGCACACACGCCCACAACACCGCCACGCGAAGAGGCTTGCACTAAATTCAGTTTGGCAGTTGGTTAATACACTAAATGGAGCACTGCCGTTAATTAAAAGTTTTGATCATTTAAAAATAGTTGCTTTGATCTTCATAAATAGTGCTTTGTTTTATTCACCTTCCCTGGTTTATTTAGCCTGTAGAAATTCAGCAAATTTTGACGTCACGTGGATGCCACACTCCGTCTTAGCCTGACCCTTCCATCTTCCTGCTCTCTCGTCTTCACCTTCATTCACCGGCTGAGTAGAATGCCAGTCACCAATGGACTTGTATCCTAAGTCCAAAAGATCGTTATATGGAACATCGTTGGCCTTCACGTAATCGCGAACCTCTTTGAAGTCCCATGACGCCAAAGGGTTGATCTTTATGACCTGGGAGACCTTGTCTATCTCAACCACTGGGAGGGAGCCTCTGGCTCCACCCTGGGATCTCCTCCTTCCTGTGAAAACAGCGTCAATTCCGAGTGTCTTATAAGCGGTCTGTGTGGGCTCAACTTTGGCAAGATAGTCATACTTCATGTCGTCTTTGACCCATAGCTCGTCGCCGTACTTCTGCTTGAAGTCTGATTCTGTCTCACATCCAGCAGGTTTGAAAATATGCAGTTTCACGGAAGGGTACTTCTGCCTCACTTTGTCGACAAGATCCAGTGTCTGAGGGAAATGGTATAAAGTATCCACGAAAACAAGATCCACTGGATGGCTTGGGTTGTCCAAACCCTCCATTGGATCCAGTTTGCTTAGCATATCAAGGATCACTAATCCAGTAAGACCAAACGCAGTTGTCTGGAACAAATTTGGGAAGGTAACGATAGACCATTTCAGCACCTCTTGTGGGGTCAAATATGATAACACCTTATTCCAGTGGTCTACCTGAGACTGGCTAATAGTATTGCTGAGCTTGTGCTCAACTGCAGAAGGCATGGCGGCTGGTTTCTCCAACAGTATGTTTTTGTTTTGCGTAATTTCCGGGGGACTAACGCTTGCAATTTATACCCAATCACCTTTATCAAGCTTCCTCTTAGAAATACAAAATCCTGAAAAAAATAGAGATTATCAAGCAAAGGCGGTTTGACAAATGCGGCTCTCGTCATTGCACGTGACCAAAACCCGCCTACATGTAGGTACACGACTTCTAGAGATACGCTCGGTTACTTTAGTCTCTGATAGATTGAGTGATAACAGATTGACTTGGCCAATATTCGCAGTTTCTGTTGAGATGACAACAGACACGCCCATTGAAGACAAAACCACGTCGCTGGGTCGTGCTCAGGATGAATTGGCGAATCTGATTGAGACTCTGATCCATCTTGGTGTTCAGGTTCATGATTTCACAGGAACCAACGAGGCCAAAGCTGGATTGGCAAATAACATGTGCGTATTTGAATGAAAAGAGTAATGATTTGGAGTGTTAAACTAACCTTGTATTTCCTAGAAACAAAGTCATTGGCCAGTTACAGGAAATCTCTACCAGCCATGATCTGAAAGAATACTCCATACCTATGGAGGTTCTCAACTATGTGGAAGATGGCAGGAATCCTGACGTCTATACGAGGGAATTTGTTGAGGTGGTTCGGAAAGTGAATCAGTTTTTGAATGGAAAAGCGGTTGGTTTTGGAAGGTTCAGAGATGTTTTGGGTGACAAGATCATCCAGGAATTTCCGGAGTTGACGGATTCAGTTCACGATATCAAGACGCGAACTAGCTAGTAGGAGATGGCACCCAAAATGGATAATGAGTAAATGAAGTAATCTAGAACGAAAAAAATCACAATTGTCATAAATTAAACTGTTATAAATCACATAATCATACACTCTCTTCAGGTTTAAAACAAATATTCTGAATATACAATGTTGTATTTTTTTGCTATTCTTCTAACATTCCATGGCCTTAGTAGGAAAGCCCAATATGCATGCATGCGATGGGGACTCAGAAATTTTTTTGGGCCTCACTCTATAAGCAGTTTCCACATTTCCTTCCAGTCAACACGACACCCTCCACTAAAAGACACATAAAGGTTGAAACATTACCAATACCAAATCAAGAATGGGCAAAAAATCGGCAAAAAGCGCAAAAATTGCGGCTACACAGGCAATGGCATCCACCTGTCAACCTCTCCTAGAGCTCAAGCATGAAGACCCGGTCTTTTCACTGGCTGCCCATCCTACTAGACCACTCATAGTAACAGGTTCTGCCTCCGGAAGGGTGAAATTACTCAGTTACGATGCCGAATTACTAGCTGACAAACTAAAAGCCAACTCCAAAACTGGCAAGACTATTTCATCTGGCGAATCAACTAAGAAGAAGCCATGGTTGGTCTCTAAGCTAGGCGAAAAGGACGAAATTCTTGGTGCGCAAGATTCGGGTTTCGCAGTCCAGTGGAAGACCAAGAGACACAAAGGAAGTTGTAGATCAATTTCTTTCGACAAATCGGGGGACCATGTGTATACTGTTGGTTTGGACAAAATCATCAAGTGTGCATCCACTGAGACGGGTCAGGTGGTGAAAAAGTCAGATGAAATGAAAGACTGGAGTTCGAATGTCACACAACTGCTTAAGGCACCTAACAAAGATATGCTTCTTGTAGGAACTGAGTCAGGAAATCTGTTTGTGTATGATTCAAGAACATTCAAGCAGGTTTACATGATTCCCAATCTGCATGATGATGCAATCAACAAAATGACACACATGGCAGGTTCCAGTGATTACAAATACATTTCAGTTGGATCTACCACGGTGACAGAGTTTGACATACGCAAAGGAATAGTGAGACAGAGTGAAGACCAAGAGGACGAGATTCTGGCTGTGGACTATGTTGATAGAGAGAACTTCAAGACCCTTTCGTGTGGAATGGGAGACGGTGTTGTGACGATATGGAAACCAGAGAAAAACAATCTTTCTGATCAAATTTCAAGAGTGAGGGTTTCCAAAGAAAGTGTTGAGACCATTGTCTCCACTATGGATGATACTGGAGACTCCGTTTGGGCTGGAACTGCTGATGGACTCATCAAAAAGGTGAACACCAGGATGGGGAAAGTGACGGAAGCCAGGATACACAGCATGAACGATGACGTGAGTTTCTTGGATATAGATTTTGACTATAGGCTAATCTCCTGTGGTATGGATAAGTTGAAGATCTGGAGTGCGGATGCTGAGTCTGATGAAGAGGAGAGTGATTTTTCTAGAAACTCAAGTGATTCTGAAGAGGACGACAATAGCGAGGATGATATTCAGGGAGGTCATGATGGAGAGGCCAAGGAAGTCAGTGACGTTGATTCTTTTGAATCATTTGGTTCTGACGACTGGGAGGATATGCTTGATGATAGTGGTGAAGGTGAAGAAGATGCAGACGATGCAGAAGGCGCAGAAGGTGCAGAGGAGAGTGAGGGCGAAGATGAAAACGAAGACGAATCTGAGTTAGCAGTCCTCACCAAATTGGCTGTAAAGAGAAGATTTGCTCCTGCTAAAGCCGATCAGACTCCAATAGAAACAATCAGCAATGCTCCAGCCGAGGAAGATAAGCCTGCAGCTGAAAAGCCAAAGAAAAAGCAGAAGAAGTTGACAGGGAAGCAACTAAAAAACATGCAGACTCACGAACATGGCATTAGGAAATTTGATGATTTGTAATTTTTGTTGAAAAAAAGCAAGAAGGCAATTAATTCATTCATATCACAGTTTCGTAATGATTGTATCCCATGCCTTTAAAATTCGACCTGATTTCCCCTTTCGGCATATCGATGACTCGGATACGCAGCCTAGGTTGCAGAATCCTTTTGTCTCCCATTGGCATTGATCTCTTATTGTTTCTTCGTTCATCTTCTTTCTTACTGTCTAACTTTTCTTCTATCGGTTTTGGTGTTTCAATTGAGTACTCTTGATTTTTTGTTGCTCATCTCAGTTTTCTGGCTACCTCATTCTTACCATGACCTTAACCAGTCCATATTTGGAAAACTACCCCGATGAAAAGGGGTTCTATGGAAAGTTCGGTGGTTCGTTTGTTCCTCCTCCTATCCAGGAGCAGATGGACAAAATTAGTGCTCGCTATAATGAGATCAAGAACTCTCCCGAGTATCTCAAAGAATTGGACAAAATTCGCAAGGAGTACCAAGGTCGTCCTACTCCAATCTCGTATGCTAAGAGATTATCAGAACACGTTGGTGGTGCAAAGATTTACCTCAAACGAGAAGACTTGAATCACATGGGTGCTCATAAGATGAACCATTGTATGGCTGAGTGCCTTCTTGCAAAGTCCATGGGATTCAAGAAAGTCATTGCCGAAACTGGTGCTGGTCAACATGGTGTCGCTCTGGCTTCAGCAGCGGCCTACCTCGGCCTTGAATGTGATATCTACATGGGAGAAGTAGATATGCTCAAGGAAGAACCTAATGTAACTAGAATGAGAATTCTAGGTACCAAAGTGATCCCGGCCACCACTGGACTCAAGACCTTGAAAGAGGCCGTCGATATGGCCTTCATGGCCTATATGGAAGATCCCGAGAACATCATGTATTGTATTGGATCTGTGGTTGGGCCACATCCTTTTCCCATGATGGTGAGAGACTTTCAGAGTGTGGTTGGGAAAGAGGCCAAAGGGCAGTTCCTGGATATGGAGGGTACACTTCCGGATCATGTGGTCGCCTGTTGCGGTGGTGGCTCCAATGCTGCAGGAATATTTTCCGCATTTATCGAGGACAAAGACGTGAAATTGTATGCTGTTGAGCCTCGTGGCAAGGGAACAGGTGTTATGGGTGAACATGCTGCTTCAATCCAGTATGGTCATGAAGGTGTTCTCCATGGCTTCAACTCCATTACACTAACTGATTCCAACGGCGAACCTGCTCCAGTACACTCCATTGCTTCTGGTTTGGATTATCCATCCGTTGGTCCTGAACATGCATTTTGGCACGATATTGGAAGGACTGAGTCGGACGTAGGTGCGACCGATCTGGAAGCCGTTGAGGCGTTTTTCATGCTTTCCAAGCTAGAAGGCATAATTCCAGCCTTGGAGTCATCTCATGCTGTAGCTTATGCCATCAAAATTGCACCAAAGCTGAAGGGTCAGACTATCCTGGTCAATCTCTCCGGAAGGGGTGATAAGGATTTGGACTATGTGGTTGAGAATTACCCAGAGTTTGTGGATAAAAAGTTCTGATACCAAGAGCTTAGATTCTCTGCGTTGTTTCAGTAAGCTGCCTTTGTGTTTTCTTTTTTGATATGTGATTTAGATGAACGATAGTCTTGTAGGATCGACCAATCAATTTATTGAAAGCCCCAAACTACAACATAGTTCCATGTTGTGTTCGCTGCACGACTCCACGCATCTAATCGCCTGCATATCAATTCTTTGCTTTGCAGAATCCCTCCTAACCACCAAAAGGTTGACTAAATCTCAACGTCTCAACGAGATACTACTATTGTCGTGAATCTTTTGGGATCTATAGTTAGCCCTCTTTTGATAATATACCAGCTGTTCGTCATGACAGACGATATGCAATATGCTTACATGCGCCGGGTAGCATACAATCTCAAACTGCCCAAGCTAAAGGTGGTGAGGAGAGCACGGACGGAGGGCGAGATGGCGGGTGCAAAGAGCAAGTTCGACATCGCAAAATTGGCACGTGAGCGTGTTGAGAAAGCCCGTATGGAAATGAAGGTGGAAGATATCGATCCGGTGTCGCCAACTCCAGTTGCAGTGCCGACGGTTGCAGAATCACGTCAATACCGCACTCCAAAACCGGGCCAAAACCATGGACAAAATCAAAACCAAAATCAAATTCAGGATACCAATCAGAATGAGGATCGAAATTTTGAAAAGAATCCGGTGATGTCATTAAAGGTCTCCTTCCCAATCCCCACCGTCAAAGATACCAGTTCGGCTGCAAAATCGCCTTTACCGTTGGCCCTACAGGCGCCAAGGCGGCGAGGGCGGCCTACAGACAAAGAAAGGGAGGAACGAAGAAGACTGGAGCTGGAATATCAAGTGCAAAAACCCAAAAGGGAAAAGCTGATGGAGCGAAAAAGAGCGGAGGAAATAAAGCAAATCCCTGATCTACTGACCGATATGGATTTCGTCAGCACTAGCCTTGGAAGGAGTCTTAGTGAGATGAAGAACTACAGAATCACTGAATCTAAAGCCGGGTTATATGTGAACAGACTGCGAACCAAAAGAGGTGCTGAGGAAGTGGATCGGTTCACGGTTCTTGCCGACGAGCCAGTTAGATCAGATCAGGCTTGGTTGGCTAATGCTGCTACAGTCAGTGATCATCTCGCTGCATATCGAACTGTGTGGAAGCTCCTTGACGCTAAGCAGAAGGGGGAGAAATTCTCAAGAGTTACGAGTTCAAGCGATGAAGATCCAAATAAAAAGGCTCGCTTACGATGAAATTTGGTTGGGGCATACGTTGTATTCATATATAATCTGTGCGTAAATCATGCCTCAGCTGGCCATTGCTTTGGATGAGATCTCGGACGGTTCAAAAAGGGTGTAATTGTATTTGGTATATATCCCTTGGGGTGTGCTTCTGGCATTTATCTAGGCATAGGCTACATTCTGATTGAAGAAAAACGGTTTTAATTATTTTTTGTAGTTTTTAACAATAAATAGAAGAAAATCAAACTGATATCGAAACACAAACGCAAACACAAAACTGAGAAATAATCAGGGACATTTCACTGATGAAGCAAAAGACGCAGCCTAGCAACTTCAGCCTCAAGAGCTGAGTTGCGAGCAACAAGTTCTTCGCACTTGTCTTCCAGCTGCGACATACGCTCCATTTTACGCGCACGAGAACGACGAGCGGCTTCAGTGTTTCTCGCCCTCTTAACAGCAACGCTGTCGCCGCAATCAGTTTCCAAAGTCTCCAAAGGAGTGGATCTACGCTTACGGTTGTATGTAACACAACCCAAGCTATCGACCCCTTCCGCAGGAGAACTACTTCTCTTGGAGTAGTCGGAGATTGACACAGAAACAGGCTTTGGCGTTGGCAAAGGAGAGACAGTCTCATGCTTGATTTCAGTCACGATTTCGGGTTTTTCATCAACCTCAACTGGTCCAGGTTCAAGGTGTTCAGTTCCGAACAAACTTTCCCAAGAATCAGCATCAGGCTCAGAGCTGGCAAACATTGGAGCCTCGTCCGGCATCAACGCAGAGTCAAAGACTGAGTCGATGGTCGAAGCATGAATCTCCAATGGCGAGACAGTAGCGGCAGACGAATCTGCAACTCCCGATTCCAATCCCAGATCAAGACCAAAATCGGTCATTGAGCTGAAAAATTCATCAGCATCTTCTAGCTTAACCTTAGCATCTCTTGGCTGAGACCCGGCGAACGCCGCAAAAACGGACTCGCCCAGAACAATCCGTTCTCTTGACCCAGCGGTCAAGGAACGGCTCATAGTTTGATCAAATAATTCGGACATAACAACGATATTGATTTGATTTGGTGGTAGGGTGTTCTCAATAATTCCTCAAGTGGATATGGGTGGATGGTAAAACCAGTCATTTTGACGGTGACATTTTTTCTTATAATAACATTTTGACAAAAGCTTTTTTGAGTTAACAAAATAAAGGGCTCAAGTAGTTTTTTCGGTGTGAAAACAACAACTCAACATAGTAGACTTTATTCCCGCATGGTTAATAGTAACAAACAGAAAGATTTCAATGGATGAATTCTTAGTAATAGATTTAGCAACACATTTTTGATGACAATGATAATGATCTCAACAAATAATAATTTTCAAATAATGTGTAAACGTGTGGTAAATCTAAGTTGTTTGTAATTTAGAGTCTGGTTGTAAGAAGAAGGCGAAAAATGGCAGGAGGGCGGATTCGATGAGGGTTTTAAACCTTGAAAAAATTATTCAGAATCCGCAGGCGGGAATAATATATTGTTTGGCCGGGTAACGCTGAAGCGAGACGCCTAATCCGCGAGTGTGTGTCATCGCACAAGGCTGTGATTGGCCAGTTTGCGTTGGTCGGATTACATTTCCGGCTATCGCGTTCTGAGGCTTACGCTTGTCTTTGGGGTACCCCCCTCATGCGGCGCGTCAGAATGTAGATTGCAGTGGGGTTTTGAGTTTTTCATTTGAAATAGAATTTACAAGAGTGTTATAGAAGAAAAGCGGTCTATGGATATTGAGTTGTGGCTGATGTCATACTCCGGGCTAGTGTAAATGCGTCTGAACCAATCCTCCAACATTGACCGATCCAAAAACTCAGTGTTTTTCAAGAAAACTGTTGGCACCATATGCTAAGCAGCAAGTAGTATCCCCCGGAACAGTGTGACCTCAAACGCTTCGTATGGATGATAAAATAATGCCTTCTGAGCCACATTACTGTACCGTGTCTTGATTGGTTGAACGCACTTAAAATAATTTAGGGATCTGCTTACTTAGCAGCACGATTACGTCAACCCAGATACAGGAACAGGATTTTAGATCTTGTGTGACCGAACAGTGTTCACAAATGCGGTTTAGTTAAAGAAAAATAGAATAAACAAATGATGATGACAATGCCGTGGTACTTTTACCTCCATCTCCCCCCAGAATGATCCGATATCCAAACAGGCGCATGGCGCAGTCACCATGCCAGCTAACTAGTCCACTCCAGCCATCTGCGTCGCTGCAAATACACCAGAGATATCAATGCCAATAATGCCAGCAGAATTAACACTTCCATGGACACCCTTTCCCAAAGTTGGCTCCTCTTGAGTCGTTCCCTTCTTCTGTGGTTTGCATCTGTACGAGTGTGATTTTCTTGTATGATGAGCTCATCTTCAGCCTGATTCACGTTGAGGTTTCCATTCATGACTAGAAGGTCTTTTTCGTCTACTTCTCCCACGTAGCATGGAGTTAGCATACTAAAAGCGTAGTCTGAGTGAGAAACATCATCAAATGCTGAAGTGGCATCTACTCCAGCACACCCAAACAGAACCTCGGATCCTCCTCTGTGAAATTTGTTAGTAAGCTTAGGAGACGAGTACCAAGAGGTTGAAATAATCCTAAAAGCACCACTTACGGATGTTTGTCTATTAACGACGTGATATCATACACTTTCCCACGTATCACCATCCAGAGATCCTCTCTCGTTGTGTGTAAGGAAACTTCTGCCAGCGTATACGTTCGGCTAGCCGGTTTCTTTCTGGTGTGCCCTCCGTATATTATTATCATCTTGTCATAGGCTGTGGTATGTGGTATGTGGTATGTGTATATGTATACTGTCCAAGCCTTCCAGTGCAACTGTTGGTGGTTGACGGGACTGCAGAATTGAACTAAATGCAAATTCAGCGATAGTTGGGGTTTCCCAATAAGCGTATGAGATGGTTGATGACACTTTCGTACGTCAACTGCCTCACAATGTGGAGCTAAAACTTCTTCAATCTTGTTCCCCCCCTCTCTGTTGGGCTGATACATAAAGACGGCAGGATCCGATAGACGCAATAGTAGTTCACCGAGCTAAACCTAACATTTGTGTTTGGCACTACTATTTGTTATTGCGAGCTTCCTTTGCTAGAGTCGAGATCAACGGATGGAACTCCTTGAACGACGTATTCAATTAGCAAATCTCCTTTAATCGGCAGGAACTAAAGAGCAGAGTTTTTTGGTTGATTTTTGCTTGCATCACGCATATCGGTGGTAGTCTTTGGCTCATATTATAAAACTACAGAAAAAGCACATCTTTCAACCTCACGATGAGTCGTTATGGAGTGTCAACATCTTCTGCAGCGGGGAGGAAGACGCACAACGAAAAGAACCAGCAAATTCTAAAGGCCCTTCTGAAAGAGCCGGCTAACAGGTTTTGCTCGGATTGCAAAAATGCCAGTCATCCCAGATGGGCGAGTTGGAATTTGGGGATCTTCATCTGTATTAGGTGCTCGGGTATCCATCGCAGCATGGGCACTCATATCTCTAGGGTGAAATCGGTGGACCTAGACTCATGGACCGATGAGCAGGTGGCATCAATGGTCAAGTGGGGAAACGACAGGGCAAATGCTTATTGGGAGGCTAAACTTCCCTCAGGTCACGTTCCTGATGACTCCAAGATCGAGAATTTCATCCGCACGAAATACGACTTGAAGAAATGGGCGGCTTCACCCACCGTCCCTGATCCTTCCTCAATCAATGTTGGAGCCTCTTCTCAACCACAGGCTCAAGTCCAGCGTCAACAGGCTCCAATTGCCGCGTCCGTGCCGGCACCACCAGTTCAACAGCCTCAACAGGGATCACTGTTGGACCTCGACTTCATATCTGCCCCAGCCAAAGATGCTCCTCCACAACAGCCTCTAGTGTCACAACAAACCTCTTCTTCTGCATCCTCGTTCCTGGATACTCCAGTTGAGAACAAAAACACGAGGCCAGACCTGAAGAAGTCCATCCTTTCGCTGTACTCCACACCAACAGCATCGCAGTCCAGCTTCAACACCGCAATACCTCAAACCAATTACACCACCACCCCGGCAGCCACTACGGCAAACACATGGGCCCAGCCTCAACCACAACAGTCGAACGTGTGGGCCTCGTCTACAAGTGCGCAGCCAAAGACCAACCCATTGGACGACGATCTGTTCAAGAACGTATGGAACTAGCTGATCACATGAGGGTACCAACTGATCTACACTTGGGACTACTGAGAAAAGCCAGAAGGATCATCACCGATGTTGCTTGTGAGCATTTTACATAGAATAATAATGCCAGCCTCATCACTTCTGTAGCGCTTGAACTTTATAGTGCGTTCGATATACCTCGTTAAACAGAATTCGTTGCTTAATGACCACCAGTCGTTGGAAGGCCTATGTAGATCTTGAACGAATCGTAGATCAACCACTGGAATCCAGTCAACGTACCAATCATAAAAATACGTGTTGGCAATCCGTTCCACAAACCCTTGAAGCCAATTTGCTTGTAGATTCTTCCCACAGCCTTACCCGTTGACTCGTCTGGCTTCTTGTTGGCATTGACCAAACTGACGAGCACATCAGCTGGGTGGGAAACCGTAGCACATAAAATACCGGCAATGTAACCACCAGTAAATGAAACACCCGTCTGTTGCAAAGCTGTGTATTCCTCCTTCTTCTTTGGCAATGTCTCGTAAATTTTCTCGACAATCTTCTCAAATGAGGCAAACTTCACCATAGTGTAGGGGATCTGTCTGAACCACAAAGGAACGATTCCACTGTAGAGGGAGGCGAAATTCCCAAAAACTGGAACCTTGGGTGGAATTGTCGTCTGTTTCTTCACCTTGATAGCCTCCAGAGGACATAAAAAGATATCAGCGATAAACTCGGCAGATGCTGAGGCAGCGGCATACACTGCAGTGTTGTATTTGGCAACGAACTCCGGTCCAACAGCATCACTGTACTTCTTCTTGAAGAATTCATAAAACCCGTACTTTCCGGCTCCTTGCAGTCCATAACCAAAAAATGTGGGCACAACTCCTGTGAAAATGGCTCCAGCACCCTCCGTCTTGATGATGGTCTTCCATCCCTGCAGGTTGCTCTTATAGAGAGAAGAATTAACCTGTCTGCGGCACTTCACCAAGTCCAATGGTGTCACCATTGAGTGAGTAGGAGCACATGCTATAAACGTGTTAGTATCAGAACGAAGACACTCAAGTTCAATTCCAGCTGTATATATGCTTACCCACAGCACCACCTATAGCACAGGCGATGAAGTACTCATTGGAGAAGACCTCAATCTTTTTACTCTCCACAGCACTGTTAATCCAATACTTTGTCACTGATCTATCTGAATCACTCATTTAATAAATATCAACAATAATGTTTACGCTCAATTGGAACTTCTAGAAAGAAGAACAGGGAGAAACGGCCTCTACTTATACACCTGGAATGGCCCCCATGTAGGCCGCACAGCAAGACAGATAACAAAAGAAAGGGGCGCATTGCATTCTCCCCGAAGCTTCCGTCGGCCGGAGGCTCCGTTGCTGCCGAGGTCTGGGTCAGCGCACGACCCGGGCTGTTAGTTATGCGTCTGCCGAGGAGTGATAAGCGGGATGGAAAAAATGAAGCATAAGGTAAGACGGGTCTGCGGCACAAGGTGAGGCTTTTTATCCGTGGTGTTTTGTCCATGACCAAAGTAGTCTACTTCGGAGTTGATTCCTTCAGCGTGCGATGTCTGCGCCGTATACTTGGGTGTGGCGGCATGGAGTCTCTGGACATAGTCACCAAGAGTGCCAAACCTGCAGGCAGGTATAGAAAAGCACTCCAAGAGACGCCAATTGCAGAGTTTGCCCTCGACAAGCAGTTGCCATTGCATAGGGCCGATACGGGAGATGATATAGTAGGATTGCTGGCCAAAACCCCTTTTGATCTTTGCATCGCCGTTTCCTATGGAAAGCTGATACCTGGAAAATTTCTTGACCAATTGCGGTACGGAGGAATAAACGTTCATCCTTCGTTATTGCCGCGATACTCAGGACCTGCTCCCCTTCACCGGGCGTTGTTGAATGGAGATAATGTTACTGGTTGTACAATTCAAACACTGCATCCAACCGAGTTCGATAGAGGCCATCTGATAGCGCAGCAGAAATATACTCTTGCACCTTCGGAGACCGTGCCCAGTCTTTCCGATAAGTTGGCAGATCTGGGTGGCGATATGTTAAAGAACTTGCTGGAAAGTGGGATATACAAGGATCCGTCCCAATGGCTGGGGAAATCCGGCTACGAGTTCTCCCACGCACCTAAGGTGGAGCCTTTCGAGAAGGAGATATTATGGACCGAATTGTCTTCTGATGAGATCCTTAGAAAGTTTCACATTCTGGGTGCTTTGTACTCATACAAGAGGATCTATGATAAAAAAAAGAAGGAGTTTGGGTTTAGGAGAGTCGTTTTAACTGGTCTGGCCAAGCCTGCTGTTGAACTCAACGCCTTCACCGACTCTGACAGTCCAGGCACCTTTAAGTATGTTGAGAGCAAACTTCACGTTAAGACACTTGACTCGAGTCTGGAAGTGTTACATCTGACTTTTCAAGGTGAGCCAAATGAGATGCCTGGAAAGTTTATGACTAGTCTGGCGAAGCGGACTCGTGATGCAGACCATAATGTTTTTGAGCATGACCCTACGGAACGTTCAAAAAACAAAATTTAATCGTAATGCAATTCATGATAATCTGTACATAAAGCAAAATTTATTAGCCAATCACAAAAACACTTGGCAGTGTTTATTGTATTCTCCCACACCAGTAGCGATCTTCTGGTAGATGTACCTCTTCGAGTTGTTTTCTGGAATGGGTATGAACTTTTCGAACATGCCATTCACACCGGGTCTGTTTTTGATTCTGAACATTATACCAGACTTTTCCAGTGAGATGTTGGCAATCTTCTCGTAGGGGGTCATCCACTCCATGGTCATGCGCACAATGGAAACAATCATGATATGTTTCAATGATATGATCAGACATAGTTCTCCACCGGGCAATACCACATGTGCAAGATAGGTGTCGTCGAAGTATTTTCCACCATCGGCAGACTTGAGCCAGAATTGACCTTGAGCCTCTCTTTCTGAATACGGAACAACAGCTCCCGTTATCGGGACGTACCGCGGAAGTCTGACTTTGCTCAATGCCTCTCCATCAAACGCAGTGGTCGTATTCCTGATGCCTTCACTGATGGAAGATGCAAAGTCAAACAAGCCAGTAGCGGTTTTTGTGGGGAGACCAATGAGACCCTTACCAACACCCTTGAAAAATCCAGCGGCTCCTTCCTTTTCAGCACCCTCAGCAGGAGCAGTGGCCATTCCTGTGATTCCACTGGTCAGGCCATCGATTAACGAAGAAGCACCATAGGAAAAGCCATAAAGCGCATGATTGGGCTTATTTCGTTGTTTCATTACCCTTCTTCTTTCCTGGAAATCTTTGTCAAGAGTAGCAACTGTTAGGCCCTTGGCAACCGAACCGGTGATTCTTGCAAAACTATCACTGAAACCGAACACTGACTTCTTCAGGAAACTAAGTCCACCTTTTGCTAATCCGATACCCAATTCCTGTGGACGATCTGTCATGATGAAACCATGATATGGTTCGTAAAATATGTCAAACACACCAGAACTGACCGTGTTGAAAAGACCAACAGGGTTTCCCAGTACATCCGCAGATCCCAAGACCTTGTAAAGCTGGTACAAGAAAGCCTGGGTGTAATGCTCCTGTATATTCTGAAGCAAGTATGGCAGAGGAACACGAACATTGTTCATCAGCAATGCTGAGAGACGAATGGGTGCGTCGTTAATGTTTCCAATAGCCATAGTCAACACATTCAAAATTAAGACAAGTGCATCTTGACTTCCCGCAGTGTCTTCGGCATTGATGTGCTCTGTCCTTACAAACGAAAGGTTGATCTCCAAAGGCTGTAGATTGAGCCATTCGAAGTAAAGATCATTGGACGATCTAATCTCAGGAGGTTCTGGAATCTCAAGGTTCTCGTCCCATAACTTATGGGAAATCTGCTTATTCCATGGTGCCCCTGGGATTTTCGAAAAGTCAATGAGTGCAAAGAGGAAGTCTTCATCAATCTCCACAGAAAGCTCCTGCAGAAGAAGAGAAGCTTGCTTGATGTACAAAACACCATGAGTATCGTCTTTGACTCTCGAAACAGAAGCCGAAAACGTCGGATGTTCGTTCATCTCTTTACTCGATTTGGCAACCACACTTGGATACAAAACAATTGGATAAACGCTTCCGTAGAGCTGGTTGTCAATTTGTATCCACTTCAGTTTGATACTAAGGTTCTGGTAAATCTCTGATTCGTTGTAATGAAACTCAATACCTCTGACATTAACGTAGACGAGCTCTTGGCCTCTTTGGTTGATGAGAGAGATACCGATGCCCTCAAATTTGAGTATAACCTTGTGGAAATAGTTGCTGTCGTTCTCCAATGCCTCGAATTTGTCAGATTCTATAGAAGATGTGGAGTTTTGGATAGTCTTCCTTTGATACAAACTCGTAGAAGAATCATAGTTCGAAATCACCAGACATTGAGTGGGACCATCGGCAATCACCTTCAGATCCACGCTAGGTCTCTGTCTTGAATTGACAGGAGTTGGTAGCAACATAGGCTCCAGTTCACCTATTTCGGCAAGTTGTATGTGCCTTTCTTTTGTTCCTACCTTCAAAACCAGATCTTTGACCAACCCAGCTGGGAAATCCCACGCATAGGGCATTGAGCTCTTTGGTGGGATTCGATAGTATACTCTTTTGAATGGAACGGCACTCGAAACGCGAACTCCATCATCGTTGATATCTGGGTCTGACTGAAAGAGCAAGAACTCTTGGTCGCTAAAGTTTCTGATTGAAAAGGGCCAATGGTCCGATGCGTCATTGATGTTGATGTATAACCCGGCCTCTGATGTAGCTGTAGATATACGCAGCAGCTTGTGCGATCTCAATCCCTGTTTCAGCACGCGCAAATACACCTCCCCAACATCGTTGATGGGGAATGGAGCCGACCATTCTGATTTACTACCCAGAAAGCAAATTCGCAACTGTTTGTCTTCCACCCTTGGTAGCTCGTATACTGGAAGGTACTGTCCTGGTTCGATATTCAGCGTCTTCGTCAGCCCAACGAGAGTGATCTGGATTGTATCCTCCAAATTATTCCTGACAATATACTTTGGAATCACATTGATGACCTTGGTGAGATTGTACTTTCCTTCGCCTTCAGAGATGTGTATAGCCAATATGGTTTCCAACTGTCTCTCCTTCAAAGGTATTCTCAATTCGAAGCTTTGACCTATCTTGTCAATGCTGATGGGATTACTTGCAAGAGAATCTCCGATTTTGATCACAGCAGTGTTATCTCTAAGATTGCCGCCCATCAGCAATCCAAATGTATCCCGTGTTTTACTGTCATGTTCAAACGAGAACATATCAGGTCGTCTGATTTTTCCATCTAAGTCGCTGACCTTTGAAGTCATGACGTTGTACCTCTCGCTCATATACAGAGTCTTTCCGGTACGGTTGAGAACGAGATATGGCACATAAACTGTAAGCTTGACTCCTCCATGTTTCCTGTTGTAATGAATTTTCAAGAACAACGAGTGGCCGTCGTTGCTCTCTGTCTTGAGATTCGTCGAAATTGAGTTTGGACTGCCTTCGGGAACATTGATTATGCTTGAGGCAGATTGCCTGTATTGCGAACCCACAGGGGTCACTCTTAAGGTCAAGAGGTTCTTGAGGTCGACTGAGTGGATCAAAGCCTGGCATCCTTTCTCGATATACCTGGACCACTGTCCTTTCGACTTCGACTCGCTAACCACCGCACTCAGATCAAAGGGTAACAAATTTTCAATCACCAGCGGAGAAGAGATGGTCACAGTCATATGAGGATAAATCTTTGCAAGTGGCTCCAACTCATCATATTCTGCAGTAGCTTGCAAAAAATACTTATCGCCTTTTTTGCTTCCCACTCCAGGGCATTCCAATACCATCTCGTGGTCCAAAAGATCCTTCCAGAACAATGAAACCTTTTTATTCACATTTTTGGATGTACAACTGGACCATCCGTAGAGTTCATCATCCAAGAGTGGTCTCACCGCAAACTGAGCTGAATAAACATAATCTATAGGAACCGACTTTTCATCTCCTGGAGGAATTACAACGCCATGTTCAGCTTCCAATGTTTCTTGGTTGACACCATTTCCAATGTAGATTGGAGTCTGCGTGGTATTCTTAATCTTCAGGGTCGATCTCAGAGTAACATACTTGACTTTGTCTTCTCCTAGCTTTATTGTGCAAGCAAGACGGTTATGGATGCCGTCTTTACGCGGATTAAGCACAAACAGTTCTTCGCCTTCAGCCTTCAGCGATATGGACTCAATGGGATTGTAACTGGAATCCAATAGTTCACAACCAATGAAGCCACTCTCGGATTCAGATCTAAGAGTCTCTCTGACTTTCCTCCAATCTTGGAAATGCCACATCACATTCTCGCCGTTCTTGACGTGGGTCAAATTCCGACGCGACTTGTCCTCGTCTATCCAAATATTGATGTCAAATCCAGTTTCGTTCAAAATTCTGAAGGGACTATCCTGATCTCTAGGTTTTAGTTCCGTACTATCATGCAACAGGGTACTGATATGAGACATCAGGGCAACAGAACGAGAAGAGAATGTGAGCTCCGCGGTGTCCCTTGAAAATATCTCAACAATCATGGACTCCTTTGGCTCAATCGCCTTTGAAACATGGATACCAAATGACCAAGGTTCCAGTAATGGTTCCCAGGTCGATGTTGAATAGTTGAAGATGTTTACCAAAGAGGTGATGTTGGTGTGGGCTTCCAAGTCTGTACTCCAGTTCCGAGCAGTTGCAGAGAATGGCTTGACTTCCATATCCAACACTGGAAGTTCATGAACATCACCAATTAGTACCAGTCTTAATCCCTCAAAACTGGCTTCTAAACTCTCCCCATGTATAACAACCTGAGGTTCCTTGACAGATACAGCAGACTTCTTTGACCGTCCTGAGGCACTTGATAAGATGCTCGGAGCATACTTTGATAGTTTCCGTTTGAAATCCTCTGAAAAGTTGGACACCTGCTTTTTCTGCCCTTCTTGGGGAGCATTTTTGATCCCTTCAAGTTCCTTGTACATCTCCGAAGCCCTGTTGAAAATGGTCAATGCAAGTCTGATATCACGTAAAGAGACCCTGACCAATAGCGGATCAAGCTTGATGTCAATGCTGGTCAGCAACCTGGTAGGAGTCGAGTTTCTCGAGTCAATTGTCATAGATGCAGAAAAGTCATCAATAACACGAAGCCTGTTCTCATCAAATGAACTCATCCTGCACAAAAATATGCCGACACCAACTGCCGAAAGAGATTGGATGTTCTGGCTTGTCATCAGAACTTGGCCAATCTTGAACACGATTGCTTCACTGTTTTCGTTGCTTGGATCCGCAAGTAGAATCAAAGATGAATCTACGACATTCAGCGAAAAACCATAGGTTGTAGCCCCATCGGGACTTTCTGGTTCCTCCACCCTACGGCTTTGAACAGTAACAGCTCGTTCAGCCTCGTCACTTACGACTGACTCCTCTTCTGCAATGGAAGGCAGACCCCTCGTGGATCCAATGCTGACCTCTTGTGTGTTTAATGCCACATCCACAAACGACTTCAGGGAGAACAAGTAGTCCAAAGCCAGGATTACTCTTGGACTATCAATTTCAAGCATAGAGTAGATATGACGCTTTTTCTCGGAGCCCTCAGAGTATGCAGAAGCTTTGAACTGATAGTTGTCATGAATGACCTCTGGAATAAGTTCTGTGAACCTGTTGTCCTTCTTTTTTCTGATGTCTTCAACCGTGAATGACTTTATATGTAAATCGACCTTGAAGTTCCCGTCTTCTCTCAATTCGCACGTAACTCCTGTGTCGTTCAGTGAGAACCTGGACAGTGTCTTGTCGTTTATGTTACTCACCACCTCCTTCGTATCGTTGTAGAGAGTCATACCCAACTTCGGTATATTGAAATCAAGTTCAAGTTTCACGTGATCCGCTGGTAGCTGTTCTGACGGATCCTCAGGACTAGAAACCACTGATTCTGGTGTTTTTCCTCTATTGTCAATGAGTAGGTTGGCATTTTCAGCATCTTCCTCCAAATCAGTCAAAGACTCATCAGCTTCCATTCCGTTTAGAACACTCGGTATGGTCTGAGCAACCTTCATGAGATGGAACACTTGGAGTTCAGTCAGAGCGATTTCTTTTCCAGTAACATCACCAGTCACTATCATTGTAGGCCTGTGGACAGATGGCACGTCACAATAGTTGATATTGAACCCAATGTCGAGACCATCGATGATTTCCAAAGACTGCTTAGTGTAATTCTCGAAGTGTAATTCAGATGACATCTTTGTGGACCTCATACCCATTGAGATCATATTGAGCAGGTCCTCCCCAGTTTTTTCAAACTTGTTGTTCAGGTAAATCTCACCCAAATTGAACGTGATTCTATCGAATATATCTTTTCTGGGGTCAACTATCCGTGGAAACACAATAATAGGGGTCTTTATCAAAATATCAAAGCGCATTCTTCCAGCGCCATCAATGTTGCCGGCCTGGTTCAATGCCGCCTCTCTAGCCCTGTCATAAATGTACTTCATCCTCTGGAATTGGCTCAAAAATGCAAGTATTCTGTTGAAAGGATGCTCAACGTAATTGATCTTGATTGACCCGGTGTGAAACGATATGAGACTATTGTAATCTTCCTTATTGATGGCAACGTCAAAGGTTTCATAATGGAGCTCTGCAAGTTCCTCACCTTCGATGCTGATAAGGTTACGCATGATTGAATCTCTTGAAGAGCCCTCATTCACCTCATCATGAAGGGAAAGACCTCCAAGCTTTGCCAATACTTTCATCTTTTCGGGAAGCAGGTATACCTCCACATCTGCCTGACTCAATTTCATTGTTGCAAGCTTGATTCCGTCATCATTAAGAACCAAAATCACACTCTCGAGGTTAATCTTGACGTTAATCTTCTGCGGCGACATCTCTTCTTGCTCATCATTGTGTCTCAGCTGGTCAGCTGGAGTCTCTGGGGCATTAGGGTCGGTGAATGTATTCAGAGCAAAATTGAGAAGCGTGAGCAGAGACTTCCTGGTCACCACTAATTTGACGTCTGCAATAGACATCGTTACATCCTGATCAAACACCTCGATCTCAGATCCATTGTATGGAACTAAACGCTGGCTCCTTTGGTACTCAACACTGAAGATATCATCCTTCTTAACAACGCCATCATAGTCTTCAAAGTTGTTAGAGGATATCAGCTTCTTGAACTCCTCGGGGCCAGATTGCTCTATGTGATCATCAATCGATATGTCGGCCAACAGCAGATCCAAATGCATTTCAGTGGCAGTCTTGTAGAAGTCCAGTTTGAGTCTGTCGCCTACCAGATCAATAAGCAAATCGGACTGAAAAGTGGAAGTGTCCACGCACCTAGACAGAGACAACACGATTGAGTCAACACTGAAATCAAACTCAATTTGATGCTGTTTTGAAGCAGCATCTGATGGAGCAGTGGTAGGCTGTTTGGTGACTGATTGTACGTCTGAGCCGACATCTTCATTCTCATCAATTCCAAGTAAATGGTCATGTGCACCAAAGCTGCCGAAAGTCAGAGTTTGCGAGTTCTCAGTCTCATCCAGGAGATCAAAGTTGGGGATTATGGCATCAATCAGTTTCATGATAACCTTATACTGGACATCACTCAACGATGCTCTGAACCTAGGCACTTTTCCACCAATCTTCATTCTTGGGAGGTTGTAAGCACTGGGGACAATGGAAAGCTGCAGTAAAAAGTCCATGCTAAAGTTGTCAAGAATCAATGTGGATTTGCCCTGTGTGGCATGAAGTTGCTCAATGGTTGATTTCACGTCCGGACCTATCAATATTTGAGCGTCTTCCAGCTTGAGATCAAATCTGTCGTACATCAACGAGTTGAGCTTTTCCAAGTTCTCTGAGCCACTTTGAGTGGTTAGAGCCTCGATTTCTTCGATTGTCTTGGGATCAGCAAGGTCACTTGCGACCTTGATATGACCAGCATCTAGAATAGCAACCGGTGAGCTCCAGTTGGTCGGGTCCAGTGGAACAATGATCAGAGGAGCCTGAAGGTCCATCTTACAATTAATGGTCTTATGTTCCTCAATGGCGTACTGTAATCCCAATCTAGTTTGCTGGGTGAATCCTTCAATCGTGCTCTCTGCAGCATTCATGATCATCCCAATGGTATCACTGTGTATTCTCGGTGGGCGGAAGAAGAGAAATACCTCTTCTATGAACTTGGGGTTGTGAAAAATGGTAGTACTGGTCAGACTCACGTTGAGGGCAGAATCTGCAGAGCCATCAAGAGGGTTCTTCTCGAAGGTCAGGTCAAAAAATGGCTTATCCTCTTCTGAGTTACCAGATTGTTGCGAGTCACCATGCATGTTGTAGTGCAGAGGCTTTACGCTCACTGTGTGCTTGTACAAAGTGTTCTCGGTACCATCCTCGACTCTGAACTCGTGAAGCTGGAAACTCGCAACAAAAGAATCTGGTCTTTCTAGGAACTTGGCCTCACATCCTTCAAACACAATTTCACCCAGGTTGCTGTCGCCCTTATGCTTGCGTATCGCGAGAGCACCGCGCTTCAAGTTGCACCTTACCTCGGTCTTGACTCGATCTTTGGGGATATCGATGGACTCCTGAAATACCTTTTCCTCATTGTACTCAATTGCTTCATACAGCTCTTTCTTCTGTTCATCTGTCATGGTCAGGTCTTCGTGTGTGGAATCGTCGGTAGCAGGTTTTGCACCACTCCACCATCCAAACCATCCTGCAGGCTGTTGAGGCTTAGCTTCAGACTCAGTCTTCTTTTCAGCAGGCGATAACGCGATTGCACTCTTTCGGTTCAACCTTCTTGCCAGTGCTCTGTAGAGCGAAATCTGTTCAAAGGTAAGTGCATTCTCCAGTGACTCAAGCTCAGACTTCTCTGCAACAGAGAGCACCTTCGATTTCGATATATTCGACCTCCACAAAGCGATATACCTGGTTCGCAATTCACATTGCTCCTTGATATAGTTCCAGGTCCATAGCTTGTTCTTCTCATGGACATCTTCTTGGATGCATTTTGCAACAAATGTCATCCATGCAGATGGGTCATCTGAAACCGAGACCTGCGGTCTGAACTTCCTATATCTGTGATTTCTGGTGTATTGATGCAATCTAGAGGCGGTGGTGAGTACATCCCGGTACTGGTCGCTGTTCAGGTCAACACTGAACTCGTCAAAATAAAGCTCAGAGTGTATATGGGGAGCAGCCTCTGTGGCACCTTGTTTGTTAACTGTCAGATGACCCGTTCCTGAGACGGGCTTCAGTATAAACTGGGTTTCACTTGTGCTGCTCGAGTTCTTTTCAATCAGATCTTGGAAGACTTGGAGCAGCTCGACAGGATCCTCTCTGAAGATCGTCCCCGTGTTGCTGTCCAGGTAGCATGTGAGCGAGTTCAGAGTCATGAGCTTTCTTGCAAACACTGAAAATCCTGAGATGAAATTGGGAATCCATGACTCGTCAGCTGATACAGCGGATAGTTCACCAAGAGTCATACCAACAGCATATGGGCTGTCCGTGAAGGCGTGGTCGTCCTCGTATCTAACATGTATGTTCTTGATGGTGAACTGTAAGTTATCCACGATCTTGGTGACCAAACTCTCTGTGAAACTTTCATTCTTCAAAGACTCTTCATCTGTTAGTTCTGGATCGGCAGCTGGAGTCGATTGCTGGATGAGCTCCAATTCCTCAAGTTTTTGCCTCTTCAGCCTCTGCTCTCTGAGTTGCTCCGCATCAGGGTCGAACTTGCTTCCGGTGGCGGGAACGCAGAGAAGATAAACATTCTCCACTATTATCTTGACTGGCTTGGATTTCAAGTTTGACCAAGGAATCTGTAAGGTCAATTCACCCATATGGCCAAACTTGATATCCAAAGGTATCTCAAACTTATCGAAAGACTGTGGGTACAAAGGTTAGAAGACACTCGGCATTCATTTCGAACAAAACAAAAACACATACCTCTTTTTTAAGTCTTAGATCGCGCAATTTGACATCTCCACCCCATATACCAATGTTTAACTGTTTAGGATCGAAGTTCTCAACATACGACCCTAGAGTCCGGTTAAGTAGGGAAGCCACTAACGACTCAAGCATTGTTTTGTATCCTTGGATAAACTCTCGTTCTTTGTGTATTCAAGAACGCCTATCAATATCCAGGTGCCTTGGAATATGAATTGAGTTTTTTTCTTGCAAATTTTGAGGGAAGCAATTGGTGCGATACAGGTGTAACAAAGGAGGATCTGCTTTATGCGCAGATATGGCCCATGTTTAAGTTGCTAAAATGGGTCCTTCACTACGGTGCGGCTCACCCAGAATTATATTAAGCCGTTCATGAGGGGAAAAGGTAATAGTGTTGAGTTAATATTATTTTTGTTGGATCCGAAATATATATTTTGAGTCTGGTAAGATTAAAATATGATTGAAGGATTTTAAGAATAGTCACCAGTAAAATATATCGGGATTTTCAAAAAATCTAAGTTTTCTCAGTTAATTATCCAAACCTGTCATGCACAAAGATGCAAGCAAAATGCCATCACATGCTAGCAGAGTCCGCTCTTCCATTCTATTTCTGATCGAATTACCATAATAAATTGATTAAAATATTTCAAGTCCGCGTCTTGGTTATTTGTTTTTAGTTTTTGTATCCTTCAAAGATTTTAGCAAGCCAATTTTAGGTGTTGCCTACTTTGGCCATGGTCTCACCAAGGTCCGGTTAACCTACTCAAACTCATCGTCTAAGGTCCTGGAAAACATTTGAATAGAATAAATAATCAAATAAACGTCTTCTTATTCGAATTACCGTAATAGTCTATCAGAGACAACATTATCATGACTTAACATGTGTTTCTCCCTCCTTGACGTTCTGTGCCTGGAGTCTCGCCAGGTAAACTTGATCACGTCTTGCTTGTTCCAAATCCATACGAGCATTGGCCCACTTTCTCAGCTTCTGTCCATACTTCAGCATGAACAATGGGAAAGGAATACCCAGACCAAGCCCAATGAAGGCAAACAGTGTATTACCCCAACCGTAGCCCAAAGCATTGAACATATACGAAGCGAATAGCGGAAACGCAAATCCGAAACATGAGCGATAAGTTGCAGCCGCTGCAGCAGAACTTGCCGCAAACCGTGGGTTCATGTCAATGAGGTAATTCTGGATGGCCTGGAAGACGACGATCAGATGGAATGCAAAGATAGCGGCACCAATGGCAGGCATTATCCAGTGAATATGGTGCTGAGCGGACCATCCGTACCAGAACAGACCAATAGGGCACCCCAAACCAGCGAATATAAGAGTGGGTAGTCTGAATTCAGGTTCGGCAACGCCTCCATTTTTGGCCTTGAGCTTGACATAGAAATAACTCACGGCCCAAGTCCAAACCACAATTCCAATTGCAAAACCAACTCCCATTGACATGTACATAAGTCCTGATATTCCCTTGTTGAACCCGTAGACGGTGCCCCACACTTTGGGGAAAGTGGTGATCATGAGATACATCATACCATACACGAACGCCTGGAAGGCTCCAAGCCCGATGATGACTGGATTCGTGCAAAGAAGCTTGACTGGCCTGGCAACATTAACGAGAATCTTCTCTGTGGTGGTGGAGCCATCCGCAATATCATATATCGTCTTTAAATTTGGGTTACCAGTGGCTTTTCTAAGTTTTTTGGCTTTGTCCCTCAGTAAAGTAGGCGAGTAAGTTTCCTGGTAGAACAGCAAACCAGTGATTGCAACTGATCCGTTGAGGATGCAAAGAACCCAGAATATCCAGCGCCAGCCGCAATTCTCAACGATAAAGCCAGCAACCACGGGACCAAAGACAGGACCAAATGTAGGGCCAATAGAATAGAATGCCATAGCAAAGTTTCTCTCTTTGTCGTCCCACAGATCACCAAGTACTCCAGCTCCAATCGAAAGTGGAGCGGCACCTGAACAACCCGCAAAAAAACGGAGGATGATCATCTGAGCCGTATTCTGCGAAAAGCTGCATCCCAGATTGAACGCGAACAGACAAATGATGGAGACTGTCAGCACCAATTTCCTTCCAAACATCTCGGAGAAGGGTGCCAATGCGAGTGGGGTGATTGCCCATGCTAGAATAAATATACTGACCACAAGCGATTGCAATGCTGGGTTGGTGATGTTGAAGTCTTTGGCAATGGCGGACATTCCTGGCGATAGCATGGAAGAAGACACTGGTGAAACGAATGTGTAAACAGACACAATCAGCGTGGAGATCCATTTCCTTGGTCTTGACCAATTTCTTGGGAACGCCGGATCATCAGGACCATCCCAGGTGACTAACTCGGGATCCACGTTGGAAAACTCAGCTCCATAGCCTTTGACAGCCATAACGTTCTCTGGTACTTGTTCAGGGTACTCGAATGATTTTGCTTCTGGAGCTTCCTCGTCCGAATCATGAGCACTAGTCTCGACATCCGAAGGAGTATTCGACTCCATCACACGCTGGGCAGTTTTCTCACGCTCAGATGCCCTATGCGATAGTGTAGTCAAGATAGTATTCACTGTTCTAGTCCGTTGAAGCTGTATATCGTCATTGTCCATGTCTCCATATATATCCTTTACAGACAAACCACGAGAAGCCATGGAGTCACCTGAAACCACAGAAGTTCCACTTCGTTGAGATACCCCAGTGAGGATACGTTCAAGCCCGAAACGGCCACTGGCAGAACTAGACATTCTTTGACCAGAATGCAAACTGGAAGATCTCCTTGAACCCGTGTATTTGTGAGACTCCAAAGCTTGAGGAGTTGAAACACCGGGATCTTCGATGGCCTCTACCGAGGAACTCAGCGAAGCAGAGCCGGGGGTATATGTTGGGTCAACATCCCTGCCTGACATTTTCAGAATGTTTTGGTGCTTGTAGCAAGTAGATCCGGGTATTTGAAAACGACAACCGCCAGTCTGACTATGAGTCTGATTACTGGTTTGTTTATTCGACCAACTGGAAAAGAAGGCTATAACAACTTAAAAATTTGAACAACCTGTAAGACCTGGTTATAACAGCTTGTACAACCAGAAAGGACGTTGTCTTCGAATGGACTGGCGAGGCTGAGGGATTAAAATGTGGAGTACTCAAAAATTATTTTTTGAAAGTATGTGTGATGCACGCCAAGGCCCCTATTACAGCGGAGTTTCAACGGCGGTCCAAGTTTTGATAGCTGTGAACTTTTCGTTGATATATCTAGGTTTCCCAACAATTTGAGGAGAGCATCAAAAGGAGTAGTTAGCAAGTCTAGTCATTTGCCAGGATTTGCTGGGGTGGGCAATGGAGATAAGTGTAGCCGTTTAGATGCATGTGGACCATTTCGATCTCCGCCTTCGGCAAATGGCTTCGGGTATCGGGAACTCAAACGATTGCCGATGCCAAAGCAAAGGTTCTACCCCAGCGATGGCAATGCCAAGACTAGTGCTTAAAATTAACGAGAGATAATATTACAGTGGAGAACCACGTATAGGACCCGTTTCGGACCGTGGCTCCGGCTTAATTCGTTTCACTAACGGTGTGTTTCGGGTAAGATTTGATGTTGTTAGCATTTGCGTTTCGGGCATGAAATTCTCGAGACTAAGAGAGTATTAACTTCCTAATATCCCGCAGTTATCCGTAATTATCCGACCTTACCCGACTGACAGAACTACTGGCAATGAGCCGCACAGTTGAGACTGGAGCATTGGCTGGTGGGAGCACAGCTGACCTTGAGGCCAAAAGATTCTTTATGTGAAGAAGAATCTTGCAATAGCACAACTCCATGCTTAATGCCTCTGCGAATCAATTCCCTCTCTATCGATGAGAGTGAATTTCACTTATGCGTCACCCTCCCCTCTTTTTTACCTAAAGGCGTTGGGATTAGGGACGGTCACGTGAAATGAAATCGCCCTGGCCTCTTCACACGAGATGATTTGGCAGCCAGCGTCGTTTGAGTGGTTGTAACTAAGCAACTGTTTAAACGCACCAAAACAAAAACAAAAACGCCCCGAAAGAAACATAAATTACCCTTTATAACCATATTCTCAAAATAGATAACTCACTGCTTTCAACAAATTCTTAAATCCCTATAAAATCCATCCCTTTCACACTTTTTCCATCCGCAGCATTGTCACGTGACTATTTTGTTTTGCGTGCGTGCCCACAAAAGATTTTCTTAGTCTTGTGAGGAGTTTGGAGAGAGACGCTCGTATCCCTTCAACCTTTGGAAGCGCTATTTCCTGTCTGGTCATTCTCCACTGTTCGTGAACCGTTTGTCACAGCTATTGGGTGATTTGCCTCTAGGTATTTCTCCGTGAACGTGTTCCACCACCTTTTTTCCCGCATTGGAGCCCGAACCTCGATTTTTCAGAACCCTTCATTTGCTACAAGATCCATTTAAGATGACGAATCTATAGCCCGGATCAGCTAACCCAGACTACACCATTGAATCTTGAATACCTTTCACCAAAAGCCTGTGAAAGTCAAGCCGATAGCATCTTCTAGAAGATATCCAAATCGAAAGCACTCATGACTATGGAGGCATCGAATTTTGCGCTGGCGTCGCCATCACTGGAATCTCCTGTGAAGAAGCCCTCAACGTCATCATCAACTTCATCTTCCATCAAACTGGGTCTTTCATCCAGGTCGCACGCCAAGTTGGCCGTTACGGATACCCCAGAGCTGGTGAGATTGTGCAATCATTACCTACAGACCAAGAATGTGGGAGGTTTGGCCATGATTGCCAGACAGCGAGGTTTGCCTCCAGCGCTCCGTGCCAAGGCATGGCCTGTTTTGTTGCGGTACCATCCTTTTGTGATTAACCCCTATATCACACCCGACTTTGAGGTGGAGCTTGATGAGAACGACGAGACGCCAGTATCTGAAGATACGTCTGTGGCCAAGATCAAGAGTGATTTACGCAAGTACCTGAAGTCTTCCAGAGCCACTCTCGAACCAAAAAACCTCACACCTGAGCTGAGAGAGCTTTTCTCCACTCAGGATGAGATCTTCCAGACTATCGAAAGGGCCATCGTGAAGTTCATGAAGAAATGGGGTTCTATTATAAATTACGACTCTGGTCTGGCTTGGGTTGCACTAGGGCTCGCCGAGTGGATTCCGCCTTTGCCAGATTCAAACTATGTGCTCTGTGGAAGAAACGACATCGCTAAGAATGGAACGAAGCTAAGAAATCTCCTCGACGACTTTTTCGAGAGACTGCCTGAAGACCAATTGAATAGCGTGATATCAACCCACTCTGTATCCAGTTCACCCAAATCTTCGGATGGATCTGTGGACGACCCCTCCTTTTTACTTCCTGAAACTGCCACCGACTACACGGTAAACGGCTCTAGTGGGTTGCGTTCTCCCTTCAGAGAATACCCTTACAAGGTGATGACTTTTGCAGAGATATACGAAAGACTGGTGTTGGTCATTCTTCACTCACCAGAGCCACGTGAAGAAGAGACGACTGCTGGCCAGAACAAGGGCTCTCAGACCACGGAGGAGTCGTTGATGAACACTCTGCCAATGAAGGGAGGATCTCCAAATGATCGTATCGCGTTTTTCCTCTACTGTCTGCGAAAGTGTCTCCCCGAGTTAAACCAGTTTTTAAGCGAGGAGGACATTCTGAACACGAACAGTCAGAAGGATGACTGGATTATCTGGTGGCTCAAATGGTGTGGTGCAAAAGCCTGGTCGCGTTATGACCGTGGACGCGTCTGGGATATGCTTCTTGGTTGGAGGGATTCTAAATCTTTCTCGCAGGAAGACGTATCCCGACTAGGACTCACTCCTCAAACATCGGAGTTACTTGGTCCCGACTTCTTCTGGAATCCTCTCTCTTTGAACAACACTTGCAGACCGTCGCTAAAGCCTCTTATCTCGTCTCTATCATCTACAAACTTGTTGAGTATGGGGTCCGGAGGGTCTCGATCCTCTAGTGCAGACACTGAATTGGTCCCTCCGGTTTCAGTGCTGGATCCTCATTTTGAACTCATATTCATATCTGTTGCGTTTCTGAAGTCGAAGGAGTTTGCACTTTTGGAACTTGAACAGAGCGAAATACGAGAATTTCTCAACAAAGCTTCATCACAGACCGGTCCAAACTTTCAACACATTCTGGAGTCCGAGTACAAAGCCAAGATCAACGCCAAACTGGATGCTATGAATGGAGTCGACCCTTCCACTGCGACACCTTCGCTGAACGAATCGGTAGACACATCGCAGCATCCTCACTCAATGACATCCACAAACTTCAAACACAGAAAATCTTCAAGAGACATAGAGAACGTTATATACGAGGCCGGCGAGATATGGCGCAAATGGCTATGGCAGGAAACAGTTGACGAAAACAACTAAAATGATCAAAACATACAGTTATTAGAATACGCAAAAAACACAAAAACGAATCCACAAATGAAGGTCACATTGTCTGCAATTATTTTTATTATATCGTTATTCAGACTGCATGCACTCAATCGTAATATTTAACAGAACGCTTTCTCATATCTTGCGTCTTCGACTGAAAAATTAGGTGTAATGATGACACCTTTTTCGAGATTGCTTTCCATCCTCTACTTCTCCTGAGGATCTTTCAGCTTCTCAATTTCCCTTCTCGACATCTCCTTATCGATTGCTATCTGATTCAACCTCTTCATCTCCTCATCCTCTTTCCGCTTCTTCTCTTTCTGCCTTTCAAGTTTCTCGGCACGTCTCTTAGCGGCCTGCTCCTTCATCTTGGCCATCTCAGCCTCTTCGAACTTCTTCTTGGCATCTTCTTGCTCTTTCAAGACTTTGGCCTGCTCTTCCTCCTCCTTGAGCTTCTGTTTCCTGGCCATCTCGGCTTCTTTCTCCTTTTCTGCCTTCAATGCGTTCTCCTCCTCAATCTTTTTGGCATTCTCTTCCTCCTTCAGCATGCGTGCTTCGCTCAACGCGAGCTCCATCTCGGCTGACTCCTTCTTGCGCTCTTCATCGTTGGTCTGACTGTTGACGATATCGTCGCCATTACCCTTCCTGAATTTCACAAATTGATAGTTCTTGCCGTTTTTACCACTGACGTAAGGGTTCAGTGGGAAAGAATTGAAGACTTCCTCGTGAGGGTTGTCTGTCTTCTTCGATTTCTCCAACTTGTCCTTGAAGTCGTCATCATATTTCTCAAACAAGCTCATTGGATCCTGGTTTTCTTCCTCATCATACCACTCAGTACTGGCACCCGAATTATACTCGTCATCCATCTCCAACAGATATTCATCCACTTCGGACCAGTCCACCTCGATCTTTCTCCCGGTCTTGCGGAGATCTGTGTTCTTGAACACATTGAACTTGAGCCTCTTCCAGTCCTCGTCAACTTCTTCAAAAGCAAGTTTCCATGCTTTATCATAGAACTTTTGGATCTTGGCCCTTTCCAGTCTTCTCTTTTCTTCCTGTGCCATCCATTCCATGTGCCTCAAGTCGTCGGAAGATGGCTCGTAGATATGCCAGATAGTATAATGGGGCAAACCAATAACACTATATCCCATGCGCTTGCACAGCTTGCCAAATCCCTCAGTCTCAGCATGTTTCTGGAACGAGAATGCTGGGAAATTCGACCCGCTCTTGAAAACGTTGGCTTTGGAGAGAATTGAAACACCTCCAATTCCATCCAACTCCATCTCCACCTCTGGATCCCCGTTGGCATCACGAAGATATGCCAGATGTGGCCTCCAGGTCGCATACTCAACGTAACCCTCTACGATGACGGCATCCTCATCCAGCCTGTCAGCCAGCTCGATTCCACCCTCACTTTCCTGCCATGAATTAAGATCGTATGGTTGCTCGTAACCAAGCCAATCGGGCAAAGGTCTCCAGATATTGGGCACAATAACATCTCTGTCGTGGTGCATCAGGTCTTCTATTATGGTCGCGGGAATTGTCTCCACATCAGCATCACGCCAATAGACCCAAGCATGGTCTGGTCTCAAAGCTGTAGATAATAACCAATTACGTGCAATAGCCATGAGCTTTCTTCTGGGGCCTTGGGCTTGAAATCCATGACGATCACTAAACGACTGACCTATGATCTGTCCAAAGTCCTTTTCGTAGATATTGATTCTACCAAAGTGGAAACTTGAATCGGGATCGGATTGTATCTCTGCAAGATGCTTCTTGAGATCCTTTATCGTTGAGTCAGAGGTATCCGAGATCAGGAACGCAAGATCAATCAGATTATGAGGATATGTCAAGTTTCTCATGTGGCCAAAGAACATGGGCAAATGCGCAGAGGCATCACGAAGTGGAACGCAGAACAACACACGTTCGTCTCTATTCCAGCCTTCTGGGGTGGACCTGTAGTCCTGCAAATCGTAGAACTCAATTCCGAAATCGTCAAAGTTGCCCGTTTTGGATGCATAACCAGAGGGCAAATCTGGATAGTACCCACTTCCTGAGTGGTTGGAGTGTCTGTAATCCACAGCATAACTTGCTAAAAAGTACCCCAATATACCCAGAGGCAATGTGGCATACAGAATCCAAAAAATTACCCTCAACAACGAACTGGCTCCTGCCTCAGCTTCTGCTTCAGCAAAACCTGCGGCCGTCGGACTAATGCTAAGAGAAGCGTTTCTTTGGTGTCTTTTTCTCGGCTGTAAAAACTGTTGTTCCTGCGATCCAACAGGTGATATCTCCCCCGCATCAGACGGGAGATGGTGTATGACTGAAGAAGGAGAGGAGTATGGGGAGTTCGAATCGGAATTCCTCCCTGGCGACGAGCTAATCCCACTCTCCAGATCTGGAGGAAGGGACACCTCCTTCTCGCTGAGGTCGAAGCTTTTTTCCATTTTTGGGAGAGCTATAGATTGCGAATACCCAGATTTGATGCTCCCAAAAGCTTCTTATTTTTTTTGCGTGGCAAGAACGCTCCTATTGTTGGAGTGACTTTGAGATCTAGATCAGGCTAATTCCAAGGAGAGACACCGACAGCAAATAGATCAAACGCCACGTCTGTGTCACGTGAATGGTCAACCGAAAGCTAGAACAATTAGAATATGGACAGCAATCTTTTGAGCTAATCCTTGTTCTATTTAAAACTTCGAGCCACCGTTAAACAGCGAGTATTCTCTGAGACAAAGTCCCTGCCTCCACCCATTTGGGGAGTGCTGATCTTGAAAGCATCACCAGGAACGGATGTTTTGGTATGCACACGCTCATCTTAGAAATTTTCGAACTACAACATCACTAGATTGCAGAACCCCAAACAAACTACCGGATAAACATTCCTTGAACGTATATTATCGAACATCTTTTCTGAAGATGATTTGCTCTCTTTCAGGAGAATTGGCCAAAGAGCCCGTGGTATCTCCTAAAAGTGGAAAGGTCTTTGAAAGACGCCTTATCGAGACTTACGTCAACGCCAATGGAACAGACCCAATTAACGACGAGCCACTGTCTGTTGAGGACTTGATCGCAATCGATGAAAAGCCTACGTTGTTTGTGAAACCCACGAGTCTTACTTCAATTCCAACCCTACTATCTACATTCCAAAACGAATGGGATGCTCTTTCACTAGAGGTGTTCCAGCTGCGCAAAGAGCTCAATGTTGCAAAAGAGGAATTGAGTGTTGCGTTATACTATCGTGATGCTGCAGCCAGAGTAGCTGCCAAATTCATGAAAGAGAGAGATGATGCCAGAAATGCTCTTCAGGAGCTTGCTGGCAGTATTGCTAAGGGACAAGATTTGAACGGTATGGAGGTGGATGAAGAGTCCCAGCAGCCATCGGCCGGGGAGATCAGCTCCAGCGTACCAAAGTCATACTCAAAACTCATAATAGAAGCCCAAGGTGAGCTGTTTTTGGCTCACAAGAAGGATAGAAAGAAGTTTGCTGCTCCCGAAGGAACTTTAGAGGAGCATGAGATTGTCAAGTCGATCCAGGATCACAAGAAGGCCCCTAAATCAAGAGGAAACGTGACATCCGCAGCCTTCAGCGAAAACTCACAATCTATATTAGTGGGTGATGCCAGTGGCAATGTACTTATATTCGGAGCTACTTCTGGCGAATTGGAAGACGTCGCTCTTGACCAAGAGTCAAGTGCCGTGACAGCAACTTCATTTGCCCTGGACTCCTCAGCGATCGTTGGTCTAGCAAATGGCGCCATATATGCCCATGGAAGGACTATAGCGAATCTTGATGAACCACAAAAGGCCGTATTTGGCCACCCTGGTATCAACGCACATGTAATATCTGTGGGCAGTGAGACGGGATCCATCACATACATCGATAGCGACCAGAAGCAGCCGGCTTACCAGATCAAAAACGACTTCAGATGCATAGGAGCCTCTCTCCATTTGGATGGAGTTCTGCTGGCCTTAGGTGATGCTACTTCCAATACAGTGCAAGTTTATGATTTAAGCACCGGTGCTGTCGGTGTTACCTGCGAGCCAGTTGAAGACAGCGTTCCATCGGCTGTCGAGTTTGCCCCGAATGGATACTGGTTAGCAGTGGGATATTCAACAGGTAAAACGGGTCTTGTGTTGATATACGACCTCAGAACCTCCGCTGTGGTGCATAGATGGGCTTTACCCAGTTCTCCTCTTTCTCTCGCATTCGATAGATCTGCTAGCATACTGATCTCCAATCTGGGCAAGTCAATTGTATACAACAGGTATACCAAGAAAGAGAAGAAGTGGAGTGAATCATTACAGTCATCTGTGAAAGTTTCAGGGACTGCAGTTGACGTATTTTTCACCTCAAAAGAAAACAATGCCGTTTCCGTGATCTATGACACCGGGAAGCTGCAAAACTGTGTATTTAATTAGATGTAACACTACGAAACGATTGCAATGGTAGCACTAGTAGATCTGTTATCGGTTTTAGGTTTCCTTCACTGGGTGGGTGCTTGCAAGGATCTATAAACTACCTATCATCAATCAATCAGTCTCCAGAAGCCTTGGTTAATGACGAAAGCGTGCATTAACTAGTACTGTCGAAACGCCTTGCAGAAATTTAAACCGGCACCCTGCGTGGATAATCTTTGGAAATAGACTCTGACACAACCGGAAATGAATATCTCACAAAAAATTGCATAAATGTTATGAAAACGTTCGTTGTTACTGGTAGTGTTTGAACCACTAAACTCGTACATCATCTGTCTCAGGATTCCAATGCGTTGAGAACTATCCTTATTAGCTCAGTTGGTAGAGCGTTCGGCTTTTAAGGATCTCGTTTCGTCAAGAAGTCGACCGAAATGTCCAGGGTTCGAGCCCCTGATGAGGAGTTCTCTTTTCATTTTTTTTTTTTTGGCTCGTGATGCTGATGTAGATATCGGACCTCTTGAATGTTGACGATTACTTGCTTTTTTGAACATTAAGATTTCTTCAATGTCTTTTTTTACAATATACAGCTCCCATTATCTAGATAACCTCTAAAACCGATGCCATGCCATATTCCGCGAAAAAAGTGCGGCTAAACCTCGTATTACCTACCAAAACGGGAGATATCCCATCCCGATGGGGGCGTTGAAAAAAAATAAAAATTTATCCTCACGGTCTGATGATGCCGCTGATGTCTTGTCTTTTTCCTCCTTTTTGCTTCTAAGGACAAACCATTTTTAGAACTTTTCGAAAAGGTAAATCTATCAAAATGCCTCCGAAGTTCAACGTGAATGCTCCATCCTTCCGGAGCAATGGTAGCGCGAAGGCTCCAAAGAATATGTCTCTGGACGCCTACCTCAAGTCCCAAGAGCCTCAACCAAGAAGCTCCCCAAGTCCTGTCCCAAACCTCTACAGTTCCCAAGCATCTTCCGCATTTACAAGTGGTACCGCCACACCAATGACCGCCACCGAGTCGACTGCCTCGTTGACCTCTCTCAATTCCGCTTTAGAGAGACTCCAAGTTTCGCCGATTTCCGACAACCTGACCAACATCCAGATCGCTAAACAGCTGTCGGAAGTGCGTACCCAGTGTGATGCCATTGCTGACAAGGTGCTGGCTAACGGTGCCAGATCGATCGTTGAATGGGACATTGCTGGAGTCTTGAAGTCGCTGAGTAAGCAGAAAAACCCAGCTTTGGCAAGAGAAGGAAGCATGCTTCTGCTCCATAGCTTGAGCAGAAAATTTGCAGGTATTACTCCTTTCGAAATCTACTTCGTCGACTTGTTGCCATTTGCCTTCGATATGCTCTCAGACAAGGATAACAACGTCAAGAGATCTGCACAAATTGCACTCGATGCTGTGTATGGTATGTTTCCTAAAGAGGCACTTTCATCCGTGGTTCTGTCTTCTCTGTTGAAGTACATGAAGTCCTCTGCTAAGTGGAACAGTAAGATCTCCGCTCTGAAGTTTGTTGACAAGATCGTTTTGACGTCTCCTGCTGATTTGTTGGAGATGAGATTCATAGATGCCATCCCAGTCTTGACTGACATGGCCACCGATTTCAAGCCTGAACTGGCCAAGATTGGTCTCAAGACATTGAAGGATTTCGTGCAGGTGCTTGACAATCTTGATCTGGCGTCCAGATACGATTTGATCGTCGAAACCTTGGCCGATCCATCCAAGGTCCCAGCCTGTATGAAGACTCTTTCTTCCGTCACCTTTGTGGCGGAGGTAACTGAGCCTGCATTATCTATTCTTGTTCCAACTTTGGACAAGTCCCTCAAGATGTCCTCTTCCACACAGGAACAGCTTAGACAAACCGTTATTGTTACCGAGAATTTGACCAGATTGGTCAACAACAAGCGTGAAATTGAGAGGTTCATCCCAATTTTGTTGCCCGGTATCAAGAAGGTGGTGAACAACGCTTCTCTTCCTGAGGTCCGTGAGCTCGCAGCCAAGGCTCTCAAGGTCTTGGAAGACGCTGAAGCCGAACACTCTGATGGTAAGTTCCATGGAAGAATATTTGAGGAGTCATCTGGGAAATACCTGGAGGCATTCAAGGCTCATGTTGAGGATCCATTGGTTCTCGAATATTTGACTGCCATTTTGGTTGCCGATTCCAACGTCAACGACTGGAATGCTTTGCAAGAGTATCTTGAAATGGCCGCAAACTCTATCATCTCTAACGAGGACGAGAGAGCCGCTGCTGTTGCAAGCACCGTGAAGACTGTGAAGGACCTCTTCACCCCAGAAGCAATCCAAGAAAACAATGAGGATGGTGTCATCATTGTGGATGCTTTCTTCTCCCTGGCCTACGGTTCTAGAATGCTTTTGAACAAGACTACTTTGAGATTGATAAAGGGTCACAGATACGGTCTGTGTGGTCGTAATGGTGCTGGTAAGTCCACCCTAATGAGGTCCATTGCCAATGGTCAGTTGGAAGGATTTCCTTCTCCTGATGAGCTGAAGACCTGTTTTGTCGAGCACAAGCTCCAAGGATCTGAGGCAGACATGGATTTGGTTGCTTTCATTGCATCTGACCCAGATCTGAGCCATGTTTCCCGTGACGACGTTGCTGATGCTTTGGCAAGTGTTGGTTTCGACGAAGAGAGAAGAGCTCAACATGTTGGCTCTCTTTCTGGTGGTTGGAAGATGAAGCTGGAGCTGGCCAGAGCCATGCTGATGAAAGCTGATATTCTCCTTCTTGACGAACCTACTAATCATTTGGATGTTGCCAACGTTGCCTGGTTGCAAGACTATTTGGTCGAACATACCGATATCACCTCTTTGATCGTTTCGCATGATTCTGGATTTTTGGATGCCGTTTGCACTGATATCATTCATTATGAAAATAAGAAGCTCGCATATTACAAAGGAAACCTGTCCAAGTTTGTGGAGGTCAAGCCAGAGGGTAAGTCCTATTACACCTTGACCGATTCCAATGTCCAGATGGCCTTCCCACCTCCTGGTATCCTCACTGGTGTGAAGTCGGCCACCAGGGCCGTGGCAAAGATGTCTGATGTGACCTTTGCGTACCCAGGAGCCGCGAAGCCTTCTTTGAGTCACGTTTCGTGCTCGCTTTCCCTCAACTCGAGGGTTGCCATTTTGGGTCCAAATGGTGCCGGTAAGTCTACTTTGATCAAGCTGCTTACTGGTGAACTGGTGCCCAATTCAGGTAAGGTTGAGAAGCATCCAAATCTGCGTATTGGTTATATCGCCCAACATGCCTTGCAGCACGTTGAGATGCACAAGGAGAAGACTGCCAACCAATATTTGCAATGGCGTTATCAGTTTGGTGACGATCGTGAAGTGCTGTTGAAGGAATCGCGTAAGATTTCCGAGGACGAGAAGGAGATGATGTCCAAGGAAATGGATATCAAGGATGGAAGAGGCCCAAGACAAGTTGAGGCCATCACCGGTAGACAAAAGCTCAAGAAATCGTTTCAATACGAGATCAAATGGAAATTCTGGTTGCCCAAATACAACTCATGGGTCCCAAGAGAGTATCTTATCGCTGAAGGTTTTGGTAAGCTGGTGCAAAAGTTCGATGATCACGAGGCCTCCAGAGAAGGTCTTGGTTACCGTGACTTGATTCCTTCTGTCATCCGTAAGCATTTCGAGGATGTTGGTCTTGATGGTGAAATCGCAGATCACACTCCTATGGGATCCTTGTCTGGTGGTCAACTGGTCAAGGTTGTCATTGCTGGTGCCATGTGGAATAACCCTCATTTGCTCGTGCTGGATGAGCCTACCAATTATCTGGATCGTGACTCTCTAGGAGGTCTCGCTGTTGCCATCCGTGACTGGGCTGGAGGTGTTGTAATGATTTCGCATAACAACGAGTTTGTGGGAGCGCTCTGTCCGGAGCAATGGGTTGTTGAGAATGGAACCATGGTTACCAAGGGTGTCATTGGTGTGGACCAGGCCAGATTCGAGGATGGTGGTGGAGACTCCGAGTCTGCCAAGGCTGCTGCCGCTGCCAAGCAAAAGGCTGACGATGACTCCCCAGCTAACATCAAGATCAGAATCAAGAAGAAGAAGATGACCAGAAACGACAAGAAGCTCAGAGATGAACGCAGAAGACTGCGTCACATCGAGTGGCTGAGTTCGCCAAAGGGCACTCCAAAGCCTGTCAACACCGATGATGAGGAGGACGACGAATGATCTCCGCCTTTTATAAATTTAAAATATTCCAACTCTCAGGTATCTAATAGAGGCTCGCCGTTTTATATATAAAATCCACATATGTATGCAAGTTTCTATGACCCCGGCTTTTATCAGGCGCGTGCGCAGTCCAAAAGAGGAAGTCGGATGCGTCCTATCTGCCTGCGATATGCAATTCCTCCTGATGGAAGCTTCCATTTTGCTTTCCGGTTATTATAGCAGGCTTCGATTGGTGTAATTGATAGCAATTGTTGGATATAGAAGTTGGCATTGGTCAGGATCATAGGTGGATATTGGCCTGGCGCTCGGTCCTTTTTTTATTTTTGCACGTCTTGCCGAGCCTCCACGAATCATGGCAAACAATCCAGGGTCAAGCGGCACGTTTGTCGCAATGAGGTCCCCAATCATTCTCATAGATACCGCTGGTGGTGGAACCATAAACACACCCAAGAGCTTCAAGGCTCAGTCTCCGACATTGGAAATCTCAGAAACGGAGTATGCCTCTCAGGTGGTTGAGCTTATCAAGGATGTGGAGGAGAAGAGATGGAGATACGGTCTGTTTCTGCTTGGAATCGTTGTTGTATTTTGGATCGCTTCTACCCAACTCATCAACAGTGTCACGAAGACTGGAGAATACGAACAGCCATTCTTTGTGAGCTATATCACCGGAGGATCGTTTGTGATTTATGCTATACCAGATGCCATAGACTTTGTGAGGAGACGGATCTTTCGTGAGTCTGGCTCAGACGAGGTCAAAAGCCCCACATTGGACGAAGAGACTCCGTTGATAGATTCTGCTTTCTCAGAAACTGTGATCCAGACACCGGATATCAAATTGACCCAAGGCGAGATCATCCTGTTGGCACTAGAGACTGCCACTATATACTTCATAGGAAACGCATGCGGAAGTGCAGCCTTGAAATTTACCAGCGCAACCAACCAGACCATTCTCATGACGGCAACTTCTCTGTTTACTTTGGTATTGGGAGTTGCTTTCAAGGTGGAAAGCTTTTCGTGGCCAAAGCTTGTGTCCATCATAGTCAGCATTACTGGGATTTTCTTGATCACCTTGAGCGACTCGCATTCCAAACACAACGATGCATTGAAGAATCCCATTCTTGGTGATTTCATTGCCTTGTGTGGATCTTTTGCGTATGCCTGCTACTTAATCATCATGAAGGTGAAGATGGGCGATTCCACCGACCCTCAGAATGACAGGATTGTGTTTGCCTGGGTTGGAGTGTTCACATTGGTTTTGTTCTGGCCTGTCATGTTGATTCTCCACATTACAAATGTTCAGCCGTTCTATTGGCCAGGTTCGGGAACCGTTTGGTTTATCGTGCTGGCCTCTGGAGTTTTGAACTGCATTTCCGATTACTGCTCCGTAATGGCATCTCTTCTGACATCTCCACTGCTTGCTGCCCTTTCCCTCTCTACTGCGATTCCACTCAGCATGATCTGCGACTCAATTTTCTACCATACAACAAACACCAGCTTGATTTACTATCTGGGAATCTTCTTTATCTTCAGCGCATTTTTGATCACTAATAAAGAGGATAATGAGACTGTCATCGACGAGGCTGTGGGAGATGCTATCGAGGAAGCCATAGCCAATGACGAACTGCTAAGTCCAATTTTGAGTCCTTTGCTTGGATCGAGTGGCTCTGAAAACTACATTCCTGGCTTATCTATTGATTCAGATACAGGTTCTTCACAAATCGTTATTTCAGGTGGTGTCAACCACAAGTACTTCATTAGAGAAGTGCGCCATGTGTAAGGCCTCGAAAAATTATTCTCAAATGACAAAATTGATGCTGTCAATTTACCAAATTAATAAGTGGAGTTTTATTTATGAGTAATAACAATTATTGCCTATTCGTGCAAGTATTCTATCAAAGTCCTTGTCAACTACCAGAGCTTTAGAAGGTCTCCCCAATCTTGTCTTTTTCTTCTGTTCCAGTAGCTTTTGTCGCCCTCAACAAAAGCCCAGAGAGGTTTATCATCGTTTCCTGGATCTCTGCTTCCTGGGATCTCCTTGAAGAATTTTGTCTCGTGCTTTTTGAAAGTGGCCTCGTTTTCCTTACGCCTGAGCCTTTGGGCTTCCTCCAAACTGAGCTTCAGTTGTTCAGCTTCATCTACATCACCATTCTCATATGCATTCTGGTCGGGTCTGAGTCGAGAATCTGTGGGTGCCAGCTTACCTTTTTCCAGCATGGTGATCTGATTCAGCCCTGCCGCAAATTCAGTAAATCCGAATTTTGAAGCATAGTTGGGCACGAGGTTTCCAGCTTTCCAAACCAACTCTCCCTGAGTCTCTTCTGTGTAGAAATGCAATTCCTCTGTCCACGAACCTCTCAGTTCGAGTGGTAAGTACTGGCCCTTATCCTGAACTCTAACGGACAGTGTCTCTGATCTTCCACTGAACATCCCACTCACTTTAAAATTCACAATAGCTCGTTGACCGTTAGAGCACGTAATTGTCATCGATGACGCAGGCTCCGAATATTTCTCACCCGCAATAAGGTTCTTCAGCATGGTGACTGGCTGAACCCATTGATACACTTCTCCTGTGGACCTTGCAGTCAGTGTGACTGTTCCTTTGACTGTGACCTCCGCAGTTTTTCCACGGATAGACTGGGATGGTGTAGGACAATGGTCAATTGTCCAATTAGCAGATTCTGCACGAGCAGCAATAACAAACGGACGATGCTCTACCTTCTCAGCAATCAATCTGAAACCCAGATCTTCTCTGACAAGTTCGAATGTCTCACCAAGAAGAGGATTAAACGGTTTTCTCTGGTTCCTTACTTTGGCGCGGTAGGCGGATAGAGAGCTAATCGCAAAAGCAGCGATCTTCAGAATTCTTTCGCCTGAAGAAACGTCCGACTTGAGTGATTCGTCAATCAAGTTTGTGTACTCGTAGGACTCGGCGTACTTTTGAAGAAAAGTCAGCGGTTCATTGGAAGACACAGGCATTGCGATCGTAGAGAGATCCTTACCCAAGTTCTTCCTAAAAAAAGCAATCAAACTGGGAGGATCCACCGTGCTTGGGCTGATGTCTTTCCTTCTAGCCACTGGCGGAAGAGGAAGTGGATAGAGGTCATCTGAGGTTATCTTTATTGGACTTTTCAGAGGCATAAACGAGTCAGCGTCCGAAGAAGATGAGCTTGAGATGTCAAAGTTCAAATTCGAATTGTCCGAAGAGTTGTTGTGCAAGCCATCTTCTGAGGCACCCTTCAAGAGAACCACCTTATCGCTCACCTCATGGAGATACTCTTGAGCATCATAGAACTCTTGTGAGAACAAAGAAGCAGCTGTGGTCGTGGTCCGAGAAAGCTTCGGAGAGCGAACCAGAGTCTCCAGCTCCAAAAGACCTGCATATAGTTCCTTGGCCAATCCAACAGCATCACTACCGTTGGGGCTCGTGTTAAGAGTGCCATTCACAGACGAGGAGTCATCGCTGTGGGAGTTGTTGTTTACAGTGTTGCTGTTCACGTTAGACGACGATCTGCTGTATCTTCTCCAGAAAGAAGGTCTTCTTTTTTCAAGACCATTCATCAGCTTATTGGCGGTCAACTTCAATGAATCAATTTTTTCACTCACCTCTTCTTCATCGTAGTCGATTCCCGAAACTCCACCAGCTTCATCAACAGAATAGCCAGCTCTGTTCTTCTTCTTGATGAAATTGAAGGCCTTTATCCACACTTGCCAGTCCTCAGCGTTATAGGCTTTCAAAACCCATAACTCTAGGCCGGAGTCGAGGTAAATAGTTAGACCCGGTTTATCAGCAGAAATGATCACATTTTTGATGTACATGTTTCCCCTCACATGGTTTGACCTATCGTTCACATAGTAGTTCAGAATGCCATACTTGAAATTCAGGACGAAAAATCTCTGGCTGAAATTCTTGGTTGATCTCTTTCTCTTCTTCTTGAGCAGCATTCCCTGAAGGTACTTTCCACCTTTGACAGTGAGGAAAGATGAACCAGGACCTGAACCATGGGTCTGTTTCGGTAGTTCAAACTTCACATTGCTCGGGACAGAAGCAACTTGTTCTGGCAGAGACTCGGTGGTGCTTTGTCTCCTTTCTTCCTCTATGTATTGGTTGAACAGAATTTTCTTCCCCGTTGTCTTACTGAAAGTATTGTCAAACACAAAGGCATAAAGGTGGCCCGTTTCCACATTCACAGTACCTTGGATCAGTTCGTTACCGTTGCACTTTCCAACCCATTCCACCTTTGTCAGACGGGACCCCAATCGCTCTTCCAGGCTAGAATTTGACGATATCGTAGTTACCGAGTTCGATCTCTGTCTGTCAAACTCATGGACTTGATTGAGATCAATCTCAAACTTCGAATTAGAGACATAGATGCCGAAATTCACGGATTTCTTCAATGGCTTCACCTCCCACTTTATCTTGGAGTTATCTGGAGCATTTATCCATTTGATTATGAAGGATTTGGGCCTCACCTCCAAATTCTCCATAGTGAGCTTCTCAGTTGCGCAGTTAGTCAACAAAGGCTTGGGTATTCACAATGAAAGGCCAGGTGTCAACAACTATAGAAAAAATGCAACTCTCGGTCAAAAATTGACTTGGAAAAGGTATAAAATCTGCAAACAGAGCTGGTTTTGTACAGGGTTCGAAAGAACAAACTGGCAGATCGCAAGACAAGAGAGCGTTGTTATGTTTTGGGGGATCGCATCTCGGCCCATCGTGGGCTCGCTTTGATTCTGCACTACCTTCTAGATTTTCCAAATACGGGGTCCAACGGCTTTTTCGTATACAGAAGTAGATTCGTGGGTATTGTTATTATATAGGAACATAGTGAAAGCTTCAAATGCTGCTGACGTTCAACAGCTGTGACAAAGATGGAAAGGAATCAACCACACCAGATACGCCACTTTCGACGGATTTATCTCATCTTTCCAGTAGTGGGACTCCTACCGCCTTTCCCGTCTTCCGTCAACACGAAGCAGGCCTGAAGAAGTCAGCCGTGTTGAAAAAACGGTCAAAGGGATGTATCACGTGTAAAGTGAGAAAGAAGGGCTGTGATCAGATGAGACCTGTGTGTGGCTCGTGTGCTCGTTTGAACAGGGTCTGTAAATACCGGGAGGATGGGATGACTGAGGAGGACGTGAGGAGAACAAAGGAAAAGTTGCGGTTGCTTGAGGAAGACGCAAAAAAATCCAAGAGAAGAAAGCCTAATGCGAGCCCTTCAGCCAGAGAAAATCCAGTCAAATCCGAGCAAAAGCCGAAGAAGGTACAGCAGATAGATGCCATCAGCCAGGAGTCGAGGGTAGTTTTCAATCCCTTAAGTCCCTCCTTCATCAACTACTTTTCCAGAGACGATACGCCGACGAGTTTCAATCTGATGGACACCCCAAGCGGAGCGAGTTCTCTCAGTCATTTGCCGATCAATCACTACGGCGAAAACTTCAACAGTCGCGAGTACAACAATACCGATCCCTCTGGGAGCACGCATGCACCGAAAAGCCAAATCCACATGGATGGTGTTAAGACGATAGCATCGCCATCTCAGGACTATCTTAGTCTGGAGGAAAGTCTGACGCCTGACTTTTCCATTTTTCGCGAAATGGCTCCCGAATTTGCGAAAGCTTTCCAGAACGCACTGATCTATGAGCCGGTTTTGAGTCATCAAAACTCTCCCCAGATAGAGGAGGTTTCCGAGGTTCCAGTCCATGATATCTATCCTACAAACCCAGAGCCAAAGATATACCATGCTCCATCGATGGTTCAGTCGACAACCCTTTCCACCTTGGGTCCTCTTGGGCGTCGGCTGTTTGCCTATTATCGAGATCATCTTGCGGTGCAGATTTCTACTGTGCCTAACGAAGAGAACCTCTTTTTAACTTCGTTTTTGCCTATGGCCCATTGCGATTTTGGTGTGTTATACGGTATATTGGGATGGAGTGCTTTCCGCATTGGCGGAGAGTCAATGGAGAAGAAAGGAACGTTCTTCATCTCCAAGGCCTTGGATTATATGAGGGCCAGTCCTATATTGGTTGACGATGAAAAAGACCCAAACTACCTGGCTGATGTTAAGCAGACAATTGACCTGAACGAGGAGGAGGAGCAGGAGTTGGCGAACGAGTCAAACGAAAAACGTGCGCTTGAACTATCGAAAACTGCAGAAAAGTTTGCTCTTAGGGATAGGATAGATATGAGGTTTGCCTCGTATCTCATTATGATTGGAGCCGAGGTATGTCGTGGTGATGTGACCAACTGGTTCAAGTACCTTGAGTATGGAGCTAAACTCATTAAACATTCGGGTGGGGTATACGAGTACGGTCGCGAATCGCGAGACAGACACTTTTTGGTGAGTTCATATGCTTACCATGATATGCAGTCATCATCCGTGAACGAAAGATCTCTTCATTTCAGCATCGAAGATTACGACTCAGTGTGGGATTTTTTCGATTTCGGAATAGATGCTCTACATGGGCTCTCCAAGCCCCTATACGGTTTGATCGCTAAGATCAACGAATTATCGATGAAATCAAGAATAATGATGAAGAAAGTCACCAGTTCGATACAAAAAAAGTCTCAGAGTCCAACGGCAACCTCACCCTTGGATGATAAGTCCTCTTCTTCTAGCGTGGATTTTTACGCAAACCAACTATCCCAGTTCGATGAGGCAGAACAGGCGCTTTTTCAAACCAGGTACGAGGTATTGAAGTGGGTCCACGATAAATCCAGGGAACTGGACAAAAGTTTAGAGGAAGCAAAACCGAACCTGAATAACATCATGGGTCTTTCGAGCAAAGAGCTTGAGTTACAGCTGACGTTATTCGAGATATTCCAACTCACTGCCAAGATTCACCTGAATCAATCTGTTAACAAGGTGAACCAATCATGTCTGGAAATCCAGTACTTGAACACGCAATTGATTGAACGTCTGGACGTCGTCTTAGGCACTCCGGTGGAGTGCTGTCTGTGTTTCCCTCTGTTCATTGCTGGTATGAACTGTATTACAGAGAGAGACAGAGACTTAATGAGGTCCAGATTCGAGAACTTGAAAAGGAGGTATTCCTGGAAGAACGTTGATCGTGCAGAGATCATCATGCTGAAGTTCTGGGAGCTGAACCCTACTGGTGAAAGATTTGTAGACTGGTATGGGATAGTCAAGGACTTAGGCTGGGACTTATCGTTTGCGTAAAGCGATTTCGATGTTTCAGTAGGCCTAAGGCCAGAAATAATATGTACGACATGACTGATTAATGAGATAAAAATATGCAAAAAGACGACGATGGTGTGAAACTGGAGAACTGGCGAAGGGTCGTAACTGCGAACAGTTTCTGTAAAATGAATCACTTGATCGGTCTTATGTGTCCAAAACCTGGCCTTTCGTGACTCTCATTCTGATCTCGCTCATTACGAACTTGAGCCCGAGTCTGCTCCTCTTCAAGTTATCACTAAACCTCTGGAAGGACCAGTTTTCAATTCTGTCTTTGACCCCCCAGGCTTTGAAACCCGATGAGAACTTCACTTTGCTCTGAGAAGATGTCACATTGTCCACAGGATTGTATTTGAAACTTGTAAACTCCTCGATCTGAAGAATCTTTGTGTGATCAAGGTTTCTCGTGTAGGTCATCATAGTGCGCTCCAAAGGATTCACAACCGTATGCTCAATGATACAGGATGACGTTATTCTGGATCCCAAAAACGGCGCGATCCATTTGGGAAGTCTCCCTGTTTTGACTATCAACTTTGTCTGGTGCAAATTGCCCTGGGTGTCGATTCTCTTGGAGATCGTATCACATGACAGAACATGAGTGGAAAATGGGTTTGGATAACGGTTGAAGTATGCCAGCGTCACCGTTGGAAAATCGAATTCAAAATTATGCTCGGACTTCGATACCAACACCATTGCGAGTATGCGACAATTTCACCCGATTTTCGTAAGTGAGGGAAAGTGTTGGTGCGCCTCTTTTTTGCCTCTTTTTGCTTGCATTATTCTTTCGAGAGAAGGGATTGGTCATCATTTGGATGGTTAGGAGCGATGCGGTTTCTCCGCAAATGATCTCGTGATTAGCTAGAAAAGAGCCGGCATTAAGCCTATCCATTCAGCCGGGTCTATTATATTTCCTTGTTGTTCATTCAAAAATGGATCATCGCTGAATATCTGCACTAATAAATGACATTTCTGGCTACTGGTGAAAGGGGTATGATATGCATCGATTGAGGAAACCCCGGTAGCCAGGTTCCGCTGTTTCTTTTAAGCCAAGCCAAACAACTAGATATGAGCAAAATATAACACCACCCCGAATGAGTATTTGTACCTGGTTTCAGTATCAACATGCTCCGTCGTGGAGTCTAAGAGGGTGGATCTCACTGTAAATCGATATGGCCGATCCGACCCTCCAGATCTACGCGTTCCGGTCAGACATTAAAAGCGTAGCTGACGTGATTGTATGAGTCAACGCGCGCGTACCCATAAAAGGTCCGATTTATGCGATAAAACGCGCTTTTCTGTCGTTAATTTGACACCGAAACGCACCGCTCGCCACATCAAATGCAATGTGGGGCTCAAACCTCACGGACTGGACCATACTTAACAGGCAGATGCCCCATACTAACTAGGCAGATTTTCTGTGTGGCCTGTCTTCGGAAATATCGACCTCGGAGCACGCAACTCGCTCTGCTGCGGCTCAGACCTGTTTTGGGGAGCGGTTATATAGTTTGATGCAAATCCACCATTTCCCCTCTTCATGAACTGTCGCTAGCCACAAAAACCGATAACTGGATTTATTTGTTTTTACTACCTTCAAGCACACTATGAAAGCTTCTTCTGCTAGAATTACCCAGAGCGAGGTATTGCCCCTCAAGTCTGACCTTGGAGCTTTGGCCAACAGAATTAACAAGAGGACCCAGACTGCTCACAACAGCATCAACAAGTTGATGGTGCTCAAGTTTTCGCTTGCGCTCAGAGATGCAAAAATCTACAGACAGGGCATCCAGATGTACTACCACGTTTTCAAGTCCATCGAGAAATCCTTACAACGCGAAATGGCCAGAGATACGCAATATGCAGAGATCCTCAAGGCGATATACAGACCTGCCATCCTCAGAACCGAAAGATTACACCAGGACTTGATGTTTTTCTACGGAGATGAAAAGAAGTTCGCGACTCCAATTTTGGAGAAGCAAATCGAATTCTGTGAACACATCGAGAAGGTGACACAGGAAAAGCCATACTTGTTGCTTGCCTATATGCACGTGTTGTACTTGGCTCTCTTTGCTGGTGGAAAGATCTTCAGCTCGAAGCTGGCACAGACCTTGGGTATGTTCCCTCACGTTGAGGGGAAGACCGCCGAGGAGGTGATGCTTGGAGCAACCACATTCTTCAAGTTCGACGTGGAGGATGACGAGAGCCTGAGAATCGAGTACAAGAGAGACTATGAACTGGCCACTAGAAACTCTCTGACCGAGCACGAGAAGCAGGAGATTATTGAGGAGTCGCAGTACGTGTTTGTGACCAACTCTGAGTGTGTCAAGGAGATTGAGACTCATAACTTAAAAAGATTGCAGGGCAAGTTGGCATACCAGGTTGCTACCAAGGGCTATTACGTCATGTGGGTCCTTGCAGTGTTGTGTATGATGTACTATGTGAGGAGCTTCATTTAAACTGGAATGGATTTGCCAGAGTTCCAGTTTATTGGTGAACTGGGTTGGCTCTCTGTTTGACGTATCGATCCCTTTTTGTACACACTTTGGTTCCCTCTTTATAACTAGATAATACGGTGGCGCATACAACAAACCAAATTGTAGTCAAACATAATTTTGATTATATATACAGATATGTCACTATTTCCCTCATTTGTTCAACCTGATTCTCAAAGCACGTTGGGCCTTTCTTCTCTTTCTCAACTTGTGCTTCTTCATCTTCAATTTTCTCTTTCTCTTGACTGAGTCTAGCGACATCCCCACAATATCTTCTGATTCTGGTTCAACGAACTTTTCTCTTATTATGTTCTTGTACATCATAGGTGGTGTGAGCATGCTGGAGAACGTCGGCTGGATGTAGGTGGACGCGAGCTTGATGCAGATGTTGGACCTCACCCCAGTCACAACCGACCGAAGCGGAGTCATGGACACCCTCGTGAGTGACCTGAAGAACATGCTGGAGTGGTGTTCAAATAAGGTGGATCTAAGACCAGGTTAAAAGACTTGGTTTCGGACTCTAGCCTTTTTCATTTCAGCCGACGATTTTATGATTGTTTTACACACTACCTTCAGTCTGTCAAGGCCCATGGACTGTGGTGGAATCGTTTGTCGAATCATTTGTCAACTAAATTGATGTCATTAAATAAGCTATGTTACATAGTTACATTATGGACTGGTAGAACAGTACAAACTCCTTTCTCACGCTCTCCCAAGTGTGTGGGTCGAAGAAGATGTAGACACCTCTCTCGCTCTGGGGAGTATTCTGAATGGGTTCAACCTGTGAGTCCTTAGTCAGCCATACCTGCAAATCTTTATGGTATCTCCAATTTCTGTTGAACAGCTCCCTTGCCGCTAATTCCTGCATGATGTCTCTGGTCTTGGTGTAGAAGATAAAAAATAGTGTCTCGTCGTTGAACTTCCTCATCTGCTCCTCCGGCTGAGATAAGTCAGAGAGCTCAAAGGAAGCCGGCTTCACAAAATCTGGCTCCACCTCACTACGACTCGTTTCTACCCACGGTGAGGCGAAAAACCTGGAAATTTTCCCCTTGGTATGCTTTGGATCCATGTCCAGCCCAATCATGCTCAGGTCAGTGCCGTTAGCAATCATTGTTTGGTCGTTATTCTCCATTTTGATCATTCCAAGTAACCCCTTCAACCCGTATTTGTCCATATCATCAACAGATTCATTCTGTGAGGCTGGTAAGGTTGAAGCGGCTGCGGGGTGTGTCTGTTGTGTGGTGGTGGTGGTGTTGTTGTTGTGTAAATTGCTTATGCTGGTGGAATTTAAGGTGCTGCCAATGAAACCCGTGTTGTTATTCAAGCTGGGAATACTCTGGCCCAAAACAGGAAACTGGAAATCGTTCGCCGAACTTCTGGGATGCGACTGGACCCCGAAGTCGCTCGTCTGAACGTGTCCCCAACCAGGAGTCGTTGCTGAGAAGAAGTTAGTAGCTGAGCAAAAAATGGTTCAAACAGAGAGTTGAAAGCCCCTGCTCTGAGATATACCTACCCATGATTTCTCTATTATTTGAAATTCAAGATGGTAATGAACATGAATTAAATGGCTAATCACTTTAAGAAAGACCTCCAATTGAAAGTGGGAGCCTTCAAAGGACGGGGCTGCAAACCATTTTACCTACAGATACTGCATAGTGAAATTTTCGATAGATAACTCTCTGGTTGAACTCTTGAACAACAGAGTTTTTTCAAGCGTGTTAAAGATGAGCAGAAGATTTTTGCCTAATATAATCATAACAGGTACACCTGTATGTTCTACCGTCGTCGGATTTTGCGATTTCACTGACCTTTACTAACCAGGTGTAGGGTTGTGGTAAGACCACACATTCTCGTCTTCTGGCTGAGGAGTTCGACAAGATGAAGCTTCTTTCGATCAGTGACGTGGCAAAAGAAAGAGATTGTATAGAGTCGTATGACGAAGCGAGAGACTCGTCGGTTGTGGACGAAGATAAGCTACTGGACTCCTTGGAGACTGATCTGAGATCGGGTGGGGTAATTGTGGATTGGCATGTGTGTGATATCTTTCCTGAAAGACTAATCGATTTAGTTGTTGTGCTGAGATGTTCCAACTCAACTCTCTATGAAAGACTCGAAAAGAGAGGCTACAAAAAGAGCAAGATCTCAGAAAACGTGGAGGCAGAAATCATGCAGGTGATACTGGAGGAGGCTCAAGACTCTTACGATGAGCACATCGTCATAGAGTTGAACAGTGACTCCAAAAAGGAGTCTACTGCCAACGTGAAAAGACTGGTGAGCTGGTTAAAGAAATGGATCGACGATCACCCCCAAGGTGTTAGCAATGAACTCCAGGTAACTGATAGTGAAAGCGATGCCAATGATGACGATGATGATGAAAAATAAGACTTAAGCCCATAATATATACACCTAATTCTGTAGTAAATACTCCCTGAGCTTCTCCAATGCCTTGTACCTGTGACTGATAGTGTTTTTGGTCTTCCCATCCATCTCCGCATATGTTGTGTCGAATCCCTTTGGCTGGAATATGGGATCCCATCCAAAGTTGGTTGGCCCTCTCGCCGAAACGATTTCGCCCTCTGTTATCCCTTGAAACAGTATTGGCTCTGAGTCTGGAGAAAGACAGAGACCGAAAGTGCAAGTAGCATACGCGGTCTTGTCATCGAACTTATAGAGCATCTTGTTGAGGCCATCTAGTCCAAGGGACTTCAGAAACCATTTGATGTAAGGGCCTGGGAGATTGTTCATCGCCCTGAATCCCAGCGCAGTGTCTTCAACGAGAACAGCACGATTGAGCAGTTTGGCAGCGCTTTTGGCCTTGTGCAAGGTCACCTCCTCTATAGTTCCTTGGACTTCATCCAGGTCTATGCTTTCACTGACAATCTCAAAGTTGCCTACTTTGGATTCTTCGGAAGGGCCACCTTGAGACAGAATTGCCACCACCTCTTTCAGCTTGTTTTTATTTCCGGTGACGAAGGTTATTTTAGTCATGATGTGAGATAATTGTTGGAAACTGATCAGTTCACCAAGATCTTTCCCTCACTGAAATATATGGAGCTGCCATTTTTCAGTGTGTCATCTACCATTGGCATAAAATAAGTGGAAAAAAATCTCAATTTTAAACCCTCTAAGAATCTTTCTTCTTCACATATTTTAAAACACACTTCTGGAGTACCAGCTTGGAAAGTTTTCCTCTGTCTTTTAAACAAGCAAAAATGGCCGGAAGGAGATAAAAAAGAAACCCTTTATAATCCATTGTTGCTGATAACTCTACAGCTTTACATGGTTCGCTTTAGGGTAACATTACTATAAGTCAAAATAAATAAGGACTCCAAGACCACTTTCTCTCGGGCCTCCGATCTACTCTGGAATCTCCAACGCCAGCTTTCCGGTGGTTTTCCTGCCCTCAAGTTTCTCGGCTGCTAACTTGAAATTCTTCAATGGGAACACTTCGGTGATGTCCAGTTTGAGCTTGCCGCTCTTAAGCAGCCCAACCAGCTTGGATGAGTAGTACAGCCATTCTTCCTTGGTTGCGGTGTATCCAAAAACCTGTGGTCTCACTAGTTTGAGGTTCTTGGGAGACAATCTGTTGATGGATAATGGGGGAACCGTGCCACTGGCATTACCAAAGGAAACCAAACTGCCCTTTCTGGCCAATGACTCGTAAGAAATCTCAAAGGTGGCTTTTCCAACTCCGTCGAAAGAGGCTTCGACACCTTTACCGCCTGTAGCTTCCTTGATACGTGCCACAACGTCTTCAGTCTCGGAATTGATTACAACCGAAGCACCTGCCTTCTTGGCCAACTCCAACTTGTCAGCAGTAGAGGCCACAGCAATGACTCTTGCCCCAATTCCCGAAATCAATTGGTCAAGCAAAAGACCAACACCACCAGCGGCTGCTGTGACTAAGATGTCATCGCCCTTCTTAACAGGGTAGCTATCCTCAATAATAGTCAATGCCGTCAAACCCTGAACCAGAGCAGACCCATAGAGGAGCAACTCCTTGTCAGTGGTTGCAGGGTCAAGCTTCAAGTAACGGTGATTCGTGGCCGTGTCAAAAAGGGTGTACTGGGCAAACGTTTTTCCTGACAAATACGCAACCTTGTCACCAACAGAAAGGTCTTTGACTTCCGAGCCAATTGCGGCAACGGTACCCGAGGCCTCACGTCCCAGAACATATGGAAGCTCGGTCACAGGGTAAATGCCCTTTCTGAAGTAGGCCTCGATAAAATTGATACCGGCATATCTGTTTTTGATCAGGACCTCGGTGGGAGATTGGATCTGTGGAGTGGCGTACTCCGGGTCAAACGTGAGAACGTCAAGACTCTCCGATTGCTCTTTGAAATAAACTGCAGCCGAGGTTTTTGGGATTGACATTTTGAAATGTGTAAACGAGGTTGAAAATGCTCTTTTGAAGGTGGAAAGCATAAGCTGTGGAGGTCAACGTGAAGGTGTACCAGGATCCAGATGGGCATCGCTCTGCTTTTATACTGCAGGCGTTGTGGTTATCACCTCATCGGACCCTCAGTCAGACTCATTGAAAAGATGGATAAACTATTAGTAATTAGTAATTCAGATAAATTGCGGGTTTTTATAGGCAACCACGTGAACACTGGTTTTTACAGCTCAATTGTTTCTCTAATGGGTTAACAGTAGATGTTGTATATTTATTGATAGATCAAATAAAAATAGTGCCTGAACCAGGATTTCCTGGAGAGAGAGAGAGAGAGAGAGAGAGAGAATGTGTGTTGTAGCCTTCAAGTCATTTCTCCGCGTTACTCCACGTTTCTCTTCTCTCCTCTTCTGCATGCTTTCCTCTTGCACGCTTCGCCACTCATCAGCATTATGACACAATCGGTAATTCCTTTGGAATCCAATCCCGAGATATTCACTGAATTTGCCCACTCGCTGGGTCTGGTGCCTTTGCTGTCATTTCACGATGTCTACTCTGTGACGGACATAGAGGTGCTGGAGTTTCTGCCTCAACCCATTTATGCCTTCGTGCTACTATTTCCCATCACTGATTCGTTCGAGCAATTTCGTCAACAGGAAGCTGCTTCAACGCCAGAATCAGATGGGGGTGTTGTTTGGTTGAAACAATCGGTGAAAAACGCATGTGGTCTATATGCCCTGCTGCACGTCTTGCTCAATGTGCCCAAATCGCTGGTAGTCAAGGACTCCAAGGCGGACAATTTCCGCAGAAAAATACAAAATAATTTGAAACAGGCTGATTTGGATGAACTCGTTGAAGATTGTTGCTCCATTCATGAAAGCTATGCTACGCAAGGTTCTACCGAGGCTCCTGATGCCGAAGACGACGTCAACCTACACTTCGTGACGTTCGTGGCCAAGAATGGCAGGGTGTATGAACTTGACGGTCGTCGAACCAAGCCAGTTGATGTCGGAAGCTTTGATTCGAACGATAAGTTTGGGAAAGAAAAGGTGATATTCGAGAGGGTGCAGTATTACATGGAGTTGACGCAGGATCCAAATTTTGCTCTGATTGCGTTGGCTTCAACCGGTTGAAAACATTCTCATATCTGTCCCTTGATGTCCACTCTGTTGTACAGCCTGCCTTTTGCGGTCTCCACGACGTGTTTGCACTTGAAACACTCCAGAGTCTCATTTGTCTGGAACTCTTTGATCTGCAATTTCTCCAGGTACTCCTCCAAGTCTTTCTGGCTGTCGAACCCCAATTGTGCACTCAAAAACTCTAGCGATATCATCCTGTATGCCTTGCAAATGGTAGCCAATGTTTTAATGCGCTCCTTGGAGACTATCATCTCAAGCAATTGCAAGTAAAACCAAAGAGGATGTTTCTTCAATTTCAGCCAGCTCTTAGAAGCGTGTATCGGTGGTGGATTCAGGCCTGAGGAGCTTGTGTTAACTGTATTCTTTAACATGGCATACAGTTTAAACAGTTCAAAGTAGTTATCTGCCAAACAGTAGTCCACAATCTTGTATGTCAAATCAAAGAAGAAGTTATTCTTCATGTGCTGATACTTCAGCTTCAGCATGAACACCTCCTGATAATTGCTGGTGATAACATGATAGAGGATCAAGTAGCTCATATACTCTGGCTGGCTGAAGTGTTCCTCTACTGAGGTGTCTGCGGTCTCGTACAACTGCTTGAGTTGAGATTCACATTGATTGAACTCACCAAGGTCTTTGAATTCAATGGCGAGTTTGGCATGAAATTCGTAGATCTCTATAGTGAACAGGGTTCTTATATGCTGTACAGTTAGATCTTGTCGTATAGACTTCAACTGATCACACAGGTATGGATAGGTGCCCGATCCCGAAAGGTATTTGTTAGTAAGCATTTTCAGGGTCTTTTCCAAGACCCCAATTGGTCGAACGTTTTCCGGCAAAGGCTGTGAGGTGAGTCTCAAATACTTTTTCTCTAGAGTCTGGTTAGTACCAATGATTGGTCTGGCCTGGTCAATCTCGTCTTTCTCGACTGTATCATCGCTAGGTCCAAACTGAGGTGGAGGTGTTGATAATTCTCTTTCAAACCTCTGAGCCCGCAGTTTCTTCCGGTCCTCAGAGAGCATCACGTCCGATTTCTTCTTTTTCACTTTTTCCATGGGCGCTATTCTGGCTTCTAGCGCTGGTCTTTTCGAGCTGTTCGTTGAACTGCTAGCTGAACTGCCGGTCGAACTGCCGGTCGAACCGATACTAGGGATTAACGCAGGGATCCTGCTTGTTTTCGTTGAATTCGGGGTTTTTGCAGAATACTCTGGAACATTGTTCTCCTCTGCGAAAACATTTTTGGCCCGTTTGTGCGTGTCTGTGGATTTCAACGAGAGGGTTACTCCGCTGCGTGTAGGCCTTAGGGAGTCGCATGCTAGTGTGGGTCTTTCAAACGGCTTTCCAGCAAATATCGGTAACGTCTGTTTCGACCAATCATTGCGTAAAATCTTGTTTTCAGATATAGCCTTGTTTATGAGGTCCTTGAGCTGCGCTTGAAACTGCTCCTTTTGAACTGTGTTGTAGTTTAATGATGTGGACTTCTGGAACGATGACGATATAAACTCGGTCATTGGCCGCGGCCAATTGCTGGGATTGGTGTAGTCCACTCTTTGGTCCAATGAGGTCTTCGTTTCCACCGCATTATACTTCTTCATGATATTGGTTGGAGAGAACGTTTTTAAAAAAAAGTGATACTCTGTCTGAGTTGAGTTTACACAGAGAGATACAGTTTTTGGTTGAGTGCACTTCCTCGAGATAAGCAGAATTTGGTTTTTCTTCAAGTGTCTTATCAATTGAACAAGACAACTTTTAACTCTTGCATGGAAATGGGATTGTGCTAAAGCCATTGCTTATATTTTATTCATTATATATTCCTCAGCTCTGTCTTATTCATGACTGAGATATTCAGCTTCGATGATGAGGAACTGGCCACCCATGTGCAGACTGGTCTCACACTTGAAGAGAAGGAAGAGTTGGAGGACAGTCCCAATCTGCTGAGCACCCTCAACTTCAGCACGAACCCGAAAAAGCGCTCAGATAGCGTGATATCTGTTGGGAGCATTAACAATCGACTGGGAACGTCCTACGAAGTGGGAATCCAGCAGCCGTACTTCGCCGTCAGTTCCAAGGAAAGTGAGCCCATACCAGCCGCAAAGAAGCTGAAACCAAAAGTGTCTGATTTCGAGCCCTTGAAGGTCTTGGGAAGAGGCGCATACGGGAAGGTGATATTGGTGCGTGAAACGCGTTCTGGAAAACTTTACGCGCAAAAACAGCTGAAAAAGGCCTCTATGGTCGTTGAGGCCAAAAATTATGAACGCACTGTTAATGAGAGGACGATTCTCGAGAGAGTCAACCATCCCAATATCGTCAAGCTGTTCTATGCCTTCCAGGACTTTGACAAAGTTTACTTAATCCTTGAGTACCTTGAAGGTGGTGAACTATTCACCCATTTGGCCGAGCAAAACATTCTTTCAGAGAGGATCGCGTCATTCTATGTTGCTGAAATCATATTGGCTTTAAGGCATCTTCACCTCAATGTTGGTGTTGTGTATCGTGATTTGAAGCCAGAGAATTGCATGCTGAACCGTAAAGGGTACTTGGTTCTCACGGACTTTGGATTATCCAAAGTTTCTACAAGAGACGGAAAATCCAATACTTTGACTGGAACTCCTCAGTATATGGCTCCTGAGATTCTTCAGGAACAACCTTACGATTACGCTGTTGACTGGTGGTCTTTGGGTGCAGTTTGCTATGATCTACTCACAGGATCGCCGCCTTTTACTGGATCAGGGAAGAAGCAAGTGCTGAACAAAATAGTCGCTACTAAGACTCTGAAGACTCCGCACTATGTTTCTCAAGATGCCAGAGACATTCTCGTCAAGCTGCTGAGGAAATCGCCCTTGAAAAGACTGAATTGTGACGAAAACTTTGAGACGATTAAAAACCACAGGTTCTTCAGACATCTCGACTGGGAAGCTTTGATTCGTCAAGACGACATTGCCCAGCCCCCTCCCATAATACCTGTTGTCACCAATCCAGAGCTAGCAGAAAACTTCGATGCTGATTTCACCAGCATGCCCATATCACCACCAGGCTCTCCATATGATGCTCCAGTATTCTCGAGAAGGGAGGAGAGCTCCTTCATTCCCATCACCAAAACCACGGATAAGACGAGTGTGGAGTCCGTGTACTTCAAAAACTTTTCCTATACCACTGAAGGCTACCTTGAATAGATTGCATGTACCATTATATCGCTAAACACACATATTTTCCATAGCAATCCGCATCCAACCAGGCTATCTTTTACTGCGACCTTTCTTTTTGCTCTTTGCTGACTCTTTCATCACAATCTGGCCTTCTTTCACGTCTTCGTCCGCATCTTTGAATGTTTCTTGGGCTTTCAAATAAAACATCACGTCATTAACCTGCTCCTGTAAATCTTCGTTACTCTTTTTGAGCTCCGTTTTCTCCTTCTCAAGAAAATCTATCTTCTCCGAGAGTGCTTTCGAAAGAACTTTTTCGTGAACATACTTGTTTCTGAACTCATTGGTAAGACTTTGATACTTCTCGAGCCTGGCTTTTGTTTTCGACAATTCCTCTTCGTAATCGGAGTGCCTTTGCTCCAGCTGTTCGATTTTGGCCTCCACAGTCTCGGTTCGCCTACTCAGCACCGATTCAAAGTACTCTCGTTGTGACTCCAGCTGAGATGTAAGCAATTTGGTATATTCCAGAGTTATCTTCTCATGCTTTGCATGATCGGAGGAGCCATTTGATGATCCTGCCACTGCTGAATCACCTTTCACCTTCTCGTCTCTGGAAGGTAATTCCACTAGCTTTCCGTCAGACATGTTTTGTAGTAGACGATGGACATAATTATCCCCTGCATAATCCCATACCCTTTGCGAATTGATGTCCAAAGCGAAACAGTGTGCCGTGCGGTCAAAATGATCAACAGCATGCGCAGAGTCATATCGGCTGCATCCGACATTACCACAAATTAGACACATCCACAGGTTCTCAGTGCTATGACACTCAGTACATTGCTCCTGTTCATCACCATCACCCTTAAACTTCTCAAATCGACTTGTATACCTACAGACAGGGCAACTGTCGTCGCGCCATTTGGATAGACACTGGCAATGGAATGTATGTTGACACGGAATAGTCAGTAGTCCTGTCACACTGGCATCCATGCGCTCCAAACATACCGGACATGTAGGAAGCTCTGTAAGAACAAGCTGTGGAGGTGGCAGAGGCTTTGAAAGAGCTTCAGTCTGTATGGGAGAAGGCGTCGTGAATGGATCCTGGAGAAGAAATGGCAGACTTGTGGAGCCTTTAGAGTCAGAAGCAGTATTCTTTGTGGATCCTGAGTGGCTTCTAAACAATACTCTGTTCACCTTAATCACACTGCAGGTTTCAGGCTCCATTGAATTGAAGTTTTTGCCATTATACTCTTCCAGAAACAAATTGGCGTTAGTCTCGTCCCTAAACTTCATCAACACCATGAACCTGTTTGGTGTCTGGGATCGGATGAGTCTAAAATGTGACACATTTTGCCTTGCATTCTCACCTACAAATCCCAAAAGGTCGGTTGCAGTGAAGTAGCTGGGCACTGCCACTAGCGAGACCATTGTGGTATCGCCATCCACAACTGAAGAGTCTGGATCCTCGTTCTCATCGTCATAATCAATAGTAGCCGAATCTGTGTTATTCCACTCTCGGTACAGTCTGATGACACCACTGCCGATCAACCTGGCTTTTATAGGTTCTGCCGATCTAGTACCGGCACTCGTCATATCCACAGGTGTGACCTCTATGTTAGCAAAGCGGTAGTCCTTATCAGTGTCTAAAACAACTTTTTGGTAACCTTCTCCAACACTTTCCTCGCTCACTAGAGATAATTCTGGTTCCTCTGATTGTAACTCTGTGAACAAATCGGAGCTTTCGATCACTTTTTGTACCCACTTATCCCGGTTACCTTCCTTAAGCTTCGGGTGGTTCAATTGATTCTTATACTGTAAAGTGTCTGCGTAGTAGTCTGCAACTGCGTTCCCTCTAAGCACCAATGACTCTGTGGGAAATATATCAAAGGCCAAGGTATAAAAACCAGTAGGGATCATAATACTTCCGCAATCCACATCAATTCGTTTTAAGTGCGGAGCAGAGCCTGATGCCTCTACCAGCTGTACAATCCATCTCATCTCATCACCTCACTTATTGACACTCAAGTCTGACATCCAGAGCCGGTAATATTAGCTATCAATAGTGTATTCAAAAACTATCTTTTGACACTGAGACCTCGAATGCAGAGCCCGTACTATTAGTCGGCGATGATATTCAAATAACCTCTTTGGCATCCGAGGCAGCTCTAATCTCTTGTAACTTCCGGGCATTGATCCAACCATATCCGGGAACAAAAACTCGCCTGTATGGTTTGCCATTTTGATCAACTGTCTGAACAGGACGTAGGTCGTATGCAGTGATCTCCCGTCTTTCTTCGACTCCTAACTTTTCCTTGATGGGACTCATATCCTCTGTATTAGCAGACTTTGATATTTCCGTCGTGTTCGCAGAAAATACAAGACCGTTCTCTTCATATGGTGACGAAGATTCATTTGCCATATCCTCTGCTAGGGTGGATGCAGATTTTGAGGAATCTTGATTCTCGTTCGCCGAGTTGTTGTTTTTTGATTCCATCTGAGTTTTCATGTAGTCGCGCCATTTATTTAACCCTGTTTCCGTCGAAATATCGAATGATTCAGAACCCACCTTGACCTTGACACCGGATGCTTTCTTCTGTGGGTGGGACCTGAACTTATCACGAGTGGGTGCAACTAAATCACTCACTGGGAGTTTTTGTGTTGAATTCACTTTGATGTTATTTCCCCATTTCAAGGGAGCAAGAGGAACTTTGACATGACCAAAGCTTGAGGATTGATATGGTTGGCCCAACAAACTTCTTTTGTGAACGAATTCCAAGTCTTCCCGAGCTTCAGCACCTTTTGTAGAACGACTAGCAAGATGGGCTATTTCCTTTCTCAACTCCAAAAGAGTCGCTGATGTTGAAGAATTCGAGGCTATCATTTCAGCTTTAATCTCGTCCGTTTTGACTGTGAGCAATGAACATTTTTTCTTTGTTTCCCCTATTTCCACAGATTCAGAGGTAAACTTTTCGTAGGCACCCAATGCTATGATCACTTGAAAGAATTCGAACGCAGCAAGCAACACACTTGCCAAAAAACTCCATTTAAGCCTTGTCCTTATCGTCGCCGTACTTTGTTCCAAGAGCTCCACTTGATGGAAACATGTCTGTATATTGAGAAGGAGAGATAAACCGTCGGCACTACGGGATCCCATTATGAGGCAGCTTTTTAATGTTAGTCAAATCATTGATCAGTGGAAAATAAATGAGTTCAAGTACCTTTCGAGTTGCTCCTGAGATATGGCGGAGAAACGGTATTGCGCTTCTTGAACCAGGCGAGGGCCAAGTTTTTCAAAACAACCAACACCCTCGCCACGAACTGCACAAGACACAATGGAAGAAAACGCAGGCGATTTGAACAATTCAAACCGGGATAGCTTTTTTCCAGGTCTGATTGAATCCCAAATCAGAGAAATGATGGACAGGATCTCCAACACAACCAGTGCAATCACAGATAGACCCACAATATCTCGCTTTGTCTTAACATTTTTCTTTATTTCGTGATAAGCGTCCTTCACGAGTGTTAATGTGTTTCCTTTCATTGTTCTGGGGGCTTTCACAGAATTTTGCTTCAAAAAAGAGGGTAGCCTCACTGGAAAGAAAGGGGAGGGAATGCAACAAAACTTGATGTTGTAGTCGGAGACCTAAATCTGTTTTGTAGGCACACTCCATACTTTAGTCAACACCCGATTCTGAAAACAATTCTACACTCAATCTAAAACAACATTCATATTTAATGTACAAGATCTAAAAAGAGTCATCTTTTCTACTCAAGGCTTCAATAAGCCTATTCACTGATTGTTTTGGGCATACTCAGCAGCCTTTGCCTTGACGTATTCTGCTCCCTTGTCATCACCCTTGTCCTCCTCCAAGTTTAGCCACTTGTTGAAAAAGAATTTGGCTTGTGTACGAGAAAGCTTGCGATTCAAAACTCTCTCGAACAACATCTCAGCTTTGGCCTTCTCGCCTCTCTTGATTTCTTGATCGATGTACACATTCCACAGGTCAATGCGCTTAGCTGCGTCCGTGATCAATCCCTCGAATAGGGAACGACCCTGCTCGGAGTCACCCTTGGAAAACTCCAATTGAGCGAATTTGCGGACAGTCTCGATATGAGAACGTTTGGGCAGAACTTGCAATGCTCTGGCCAAGACTTCACGAGCATCATCATGTCTTCCAGCGTCTAGCAGGAACGAAGCATAGGAAACCCACACGGAGACCTCAGAGCCAAACTTCTTGGTCATGGTCTTAAGGAGTTCCTCGGCTTTGTCGTTTCTTTCGGAAATCGAGAAGATACCCACGAGTTTTTGGTGGATCGTGAAAGAGTCCATGTACTGGCAGGCCCTCTTGAAAGTGTCTTCGAGGGTTTCATCAGAGCCAAAAGAGTTCTCCAAATTGAGCAAAGCGATCCAAATGTTCAGCTTCTCCTGCTCTTCACGATAGTTGATGGTGTTGAGAGCACGAGAGCCAATTTCACGGGCCTTTTCAATCTCACTCAGCTGAAGTTGGAAAGACATATAGTTCATCCACAAAATCGAGGAGTTGGGGTTACCGATCAACAATCTCTCGAAGTCAGAGACGGACTGAGGAGCACGAGTGTTCATCTCAGCCGTCTTGTCTTTCACAACACTGGCACGCCTCTTCTTCTTTTGTGGCTTTTCGTCATCCATATCCTCTTCGTCAGACGACTCGTCGTTGGCCATGGTCTGGTCAAGAATGGAAGCAGTCCAATCGAAACCATTAGTTGACAATCCGCCTTGGGATTTGACCTGGGCTTCGGGACCTGCAGACTCTTTAGAGACCTCCTTGTCGCTTTCAGAATCAGACTCTCCTGATTCCTGTTCAGCGTAAGCCTCCTCCATCAACTCGTCCTCGGAGTCGTTGTCACCAACCTTCTCCTCCTCAGATTGCTCTGACGATTCAACTGCATTGTCTTCCATCTCGATGTCTTCATCTGCGGCGACCTCATCAATGAAGTAAGATGCTTTCATACCTAAGGATAATTGCTTTTTAGCGTCATCCTTGGCCAGGAGTTTTACCTTGACTCTGTCTCCTTCACCGAAAACAGATTCTATACTGCTAATCTTCTTGTCGGAGATCTCAGAATGGTGGCACAATCCGGTGATATTCAGAGTACCGTCGAGCTTGACGAAAACTCCAAAGTCGGTGATACGTCTCACAGAACCTTCATAGATTTCTCCAACCTCCACATCTTCAAATCTCTTCAAGGTGTTGAGCTCACCGTTGACCTCACTGTCTTTGAGAGTCATTAGGATACGGCTCTCCTCTTTGGCTTCAATAATCTTACCTTGAACAGGATCATGAACATGGAAGGTCTTCTTCCATTCCTTGATATAGGAATCGGAAAGATCAGAAACCTTGACAAAGGCATGAATATTGCGACCAAGCGCTATCAGAACACCTTTGTCGGTGACGGCCTTGACAAATCCACGCAAAACATCACCACGCTTCACATCTTCAAGCGAAGTAATCAATTTGTCCTTGGTGTCTTGAGTTCTGACAGAAACATACACCTTAGAAGAGTCTGAGTCGATCTCCAACACCTTTGCGGCACAGATATCATTGGTAGAGAACACACTGTCAAGCTTCTCAGAGTAATCGTTCAAAGCATCGGTTATGAAGGATATAGCGTTGACTGTGTCACATAGTTGAATCAACAGGTATGATTCTCTGGTCTTCAACACCTTTGCAGGAACGACATCGCCAACAGAGATATCAGCGATGGAGTGAATTGGCTTAGATCTGGCAGAGAAAGTCACGGTTGCATTTTCCACTTCGATCTCTTTTATGGTAGCCATCAAAGCGCATCCAACAGGGAACTCCTCTTCCAAGTTCTCCAGAAGAGAAGCATCATCGCACAAATCCATCAACGAAAGCTTTCCCTTGATTACAGGAGAAATACCAGCCCACAGGAATCCTCTAGCGGAGTTGTTGATGAAAACCAGATGTTTCTCTCCTTCTTTCACGTTGCTCAGAGTCAGAGGCTTGACTGCTCCCAGACCCAAGTCCGATTTCTTAGCAGACAACTCCAACACGACCTGCTTCGTCTTCCTGTTCGTGACAGGCAGGAACTTGTGGTTACGAGTGTCATGAAACCCAATAATCTTCACGTCAATGACATCCCCCTTCTTGAACTGATCTGTGGGTCTCTTTGGGTTCTTGATGTCGTCATAGGAATCAAATAGCTGTGTAACATCGATGCGACCCTGTTGATTGTCAGCTAACTGAACGTTGAGCTGAGTGGCCTTAATCCCCTTGATTTGAGCCTTCGTGATCAAACCAGGAACAAATTCTGAGATCGTTTTAACCTTGGAGTCAACTGGGTTAATCGCTGGCTCCGAGTCCTTGTCCGTTTCTTTGCTCTTGAGTGAGAGCAAGAACCTCTTGTTTTCAATGTCCGTCCTGATGACATGACAGCTCACTGACTGAGAGACGTAGAAAAGAGAGTTGAGATTATCAACAAACTTGTCTGATGCATACTTTGGCAAAACCAAACCGGTCAGCTTATTAGCAAATGCAACAAAAACACCACTGTTGGTGATTCCGCTGACAAAACCGTGCAAAGTGGTGGGTGCAATTGAAATCTCTTCAAACGAAGCTGGAAGAAGTCCTTCTTTAGCAGCTTTCACTAACGATTCCTTAGCACTCAAAGTGAGGATTCTTGATTTGCGATCCTTCATCAACACCACGGCTTCCAATGTTGAGCCAATCTCGGTCTTCTTGAGCAAAGCGCGATTTTGTTCGTAATTCTTATCGGAAAGATGACCAAACGCAATGATTCCACGCAATCCGGAGTCTTCCATCTCAACGATGGCATTGTCCTTTTCCTTCTCAACAACGGACACCTTGATGACAGACTTACCGGGGATCATTTCCTCAATGGCACTAAGTTGTGTCTGAGATAACGAGTCCGAGATACGACAACTCACCACAGTTCTCTTGGCTTCGCTATCGGATGATATTATTCTGACTCGGATAGTCTGTCCAAGTCTCAGGTGGTCCTCGGGTCTCTTTACGAAGGTCTCACTGATTTCGGAGTTGGGCAAGAAAGCCTTCATCTGGCCAAACATGGCCACAATACAACCATTTGGTTGCATTCTCTCGACCGTTGCTGGAGTTCTCTTTCCAATCTGAGCATCCTCAAACGATGCAACAATGTCTTCATCCTCAGTTACAACCAACGACTTTTTGAGCGTGCACAAAATGCTGGCTTTTCCTCTTTTGTACATCAACTTCAAGACTCTGGCCTTGACCATCGAACCGATCTTGAACTTTCTCTCAGGGTAGATCAGCTTGATATCAGACATGTGCGATCTTGGGACAAAGGCCTCGAAGTCGTCGAATATCTTCAGAATGAGCCCGTTGTCTGTGATCAGTCTGACCACTTCACCAACAACAGCTTCACCAATAGGTATGTCTTGAACACGCAGATATTTCTGCTCGATCTGTTTCTTGTCCAGAGTCAGGGTCAAAGCATTGTCCGCCCAGGAGTATCCCAAGACTCTGGCCTTATGTTCGCTTCCGATCTTGAAGTCCATGTCTAGGTCAGCCTTGGCAGACACACGAGAGTAATGCACCTGTCCGAGAAGAGAGCCTTCCACTTGGGTATAGATGTAGGTTCCATCCTTACCAATGATGGTGACATCAACAACTTTGCCAATGGGGTAAGACTCCAGTGGGGCACTCTTGGTTTCTTTGTCCCATGACTCTTTGTTGAGGAACAACACATGAGGCAAAGTAGACAGAATCAGCTTGGCTTCACCGCGCAACACGAAAGAAGCAATTACTCTGGCCTTGATCTTGGAACCAATCTGGTGCTTTTCCTTGAGTTTGGAAAAGTCATACACGCCCAGATGGGTCATTCCAATAGAGGAGTCAGCAAGACCAAATACCTTGGCAACAATACCGTCTTTCTTCAAACCTGTGATCAGCGCATCCACCAGCATACCCGGGATTATAGATGTGATGGAGTCAATAGTAGAAACAGAGCCTTGTTTTTTCAACTGGCCATGAGGGATCTTGCAGGTGATAGTTCTGGAGTTGATGGATGCAATGGAAACCAGTATCACCGAGCCGGGGTGCAGATCTTGAATATTCACCAAACCAGCATCTAGCTCTTTCTTTGAAATGAACCCATTAGTTCCCTTTCCTGTATTCAAAATGACACCATGGTCCTCGACTGACTTGACAGAAACTTGGATTATAGCTCCTTGAGTAATATCGTCTTCCGCGACGTTGGAATTCACTATAGAGGGCTCAATACTCAACTCCAATCTCTTCTTAGACTTCTTCTTGGTCTTTGTTTCATTGGTTATAACAGTAGCCCTAAGCCATTGGCCCAATTGAAATATCTCGCTCAAATTTGGAAAGTTTTTCTTGTCTGGCTCTTCCTCCTCGTTGTCCTCCTCCTCCTCTGAGTCTTCGTCTGAACTTTCAACAGACTCTTGCAAGGCTTCTAGTTGTTCAGTGATTTCTTGACTGATAGATGTTATAGGCACAAATCCAACCAAGTTGTCAGCGATAGAGATCACGAGGTCCATCTTGTTGATCTGTACGATCTGACCAAGCACCTGACTGCCAGGAACCAATGTCTTGAAGTCCAAGTGATCAACAGTGACATCTTTCTCCTTTTCGACAGTGGCAACCTTGACTGCAGTACCTTTGGTACCCTTTCTTTTTTTAACAACACCAGCGGAAGCCTGATGCTGCTTCTTCGACTCAAACAGAACATCTCTAGTGGCCTCATTGGAGATTTCTTTGACCTCCAATGCAGTCAACACAGATCCACCACCTCTGGGAAATGAGATCTCAGTGGAGTCTATCGAGGTCTTAGACTCCGTTTGAGAATCAGATCTCTTTCTCTTTTGAGAAACAGACATGTTTGTGATATTGCGTAGAGAGAGGAAATAGTATGCAGAAGCTGGTTGAAACTTTTTTTTCTTGCGATAAAAAAATTTCAACTTTCCTCATCTCGTTTTGATTATGTAAGCTGGGTGTGGTTGCGTATGTAAGAATTATATGCCATTAAAGAGTCCGATTTTTGAGAAGAGTCTACATAGAGTGAGTGAGTTAAATAAAAATGAAACCATATTTCGTGTTATTAAATGTCATAAATAAAAGTTACCTGTTGCATCTGAAACTTACTTCAGCCCAAGCTGACCCCTCAGCGTGACGTACTCGCCATATGTTATGGAGGTCTTGATTCCCTGGTATCTTGTCAAAATTATATCCAGATTTCTCCAGTCACCTCTGCTTCCGGCTTTGCGCACCAAATGATCCAAGGTCTCATTTTTATCCCAGCCCTGTTCAACAGCAACATCAGGGAGAAAAGTGGCCGAGAACTGTTGATGACTAGAACTGAAGCTGATCCTTACTCCGTGTTTTCCCAATTCCCAGTCCAGTGGATTATCGGCCTTTTCAAAATGTTTAAGCAAAGTCACATCACACTCTAAAGAAGGTAGTTCTTCTGGAACAATCGGCTCAAACCTCGTATCTTCCAGTGCGGCTATCAGAGCATATTCTTTAATCCCCGATTCCAGCTCCAAATTGCCGAAGTTTCCTATGCATCCTCTCAGACTCTTGTCTTCTGCGTCATCGGTGATAGTGTTCCAAGTCACGAAAAGGGGGCAGTGTTGGTCTTGTTCCTCAACCCCACACAGTGCTTTCAGCCGGGATAGACCTATAGGCGATTTGTGTGTCAATCGCGCAAATAACGAATCAAATGCGTATGCCGCATATGGTGATATCATAGTGCAGATCTGTACCGTCTTTTTTGTGGCTTGGATATGAAATCTATGGATTGTACGTAAAAAGAACTGCAGAACATGTAGCAGCGTGCAGTGCAGGCTGAGTTGGGTAGGAGCCCATCACCGGGGTCATTGATAAGAGACCACTAAGATCTTAACTATGGGAGATGGTAAGATCAAGTAGGCTTAGATAACTTGATTTCTGCAGCTTCGAAAACCGTTAAAGACGTTGAAGTGCATTTAGCTTTAGATTTGAGCATTTCAGGTGTTAATTTTTGACCTATAAGTAGTCTGGTGTTTGCGTTTATTCAGTGTGGATTTTTCAAGAATCACACTAGACCCTACACTTTACTACTACTCCACGCAATGCACTCTCCGATCTCTTTGAAAAAACTTAGCCAAGTTTTCAACCTCAAATCCGAAAAATCAATGAGATCCCATCAAGAAACTTCTGATGATGCACTTCTCGGATCAGTTACCCAGAATGTTTACCTTCCGGACAATTCAACAGATAACATGAGACGTTCAGGAATGGATTATGTGGAGCCCATAATTAGTCCAGACACTACTATGGCTCCAAATGACGAAATGGCGATCATGGAAAACCAACAACCCTACTCTTCTCAAATGTCAGCCATGAGTTCTACAATTTCGAAGACAATAAAGCACGGAAGTGCTGATAAGTTTGTTGGGTTGGCTGCTGGTTGCTTTTGGGGCACGGAGCACATCTACCGTCGTAAGTTTGGCGATAAGATCACTGATTACAAAGTGGGTTATGCCAATGGAGTCACTGCCAACCCAGATTACAAAGCTGTGTGCAATGGTGACACCAACCACGCCGAGACACTTCAAATTTCGTACGATCCAGCAAAGGTTTCCTTCAAGGAACTGATTGAGTTTTTTTTCGTGATTCACGATCCCACCACTTTGAATTCTCAAGGACCAGACGTGGGTACCCAATACAGATCGGCCATCTTTACCCACTCTGAGTCAGATTTGAATGAAGCAAGGGAAATTAGAGATGCTATGCAATCCAAATGGTATCCTAAGCACAAAATTGTGACTCAAATCGAGCCAATCGAGTCTTTCTGGGACGCTGAAGAGTACCACCAGTTGTACCTGGACAAAAATCCAAACGGCTACCACTGTCCTTCTCACTTTATAAGAACGACTCCAAAGGAGTAATATTGTTCGTTTTATGCAATATCAATGTACATTTTTGGCTATATTTGTAAGCTTGTGCTACTTGCCATCCATTAAAAAACGGTTCTTTGAGCCCAAGCTGAGCCGCACACGCTCCTTTGAACCATACCCAGGTTTATTTCAGACTATGTACTGGTCGTCTGGACATGGAAGAGATCAAGCAATCAGTCCACAACAAACGTCACAAAACAATTGTCATCAAACATGGGAATATGTCTATCGTGTTTATATCCAGTGGAAGAAGAATATAATGAGGAGACGTCGCCTTTGCTGCCTTCTCAAGTCGACGACTCTGAGGATACAGTGAGGAGGAATAAGGAGCTCGAGACCATAGTAACCAACACAAATGAGCTGCTGATTGACATAACGAGCTTTTTGAACTCATCCAATGGTGATGGAAGAGATGTCTCGATATCCAGTTCAGGGCTGCTGAATGCTGGTGGAAAATTGCCGGTTTCCAGAGCAGCCGACGTTGGTGAGACGAACATTTACAACCCGCAATCGGTCTCCCAAGAGCAAAGAAGGAGCCTGGAAAAGATACATGCAAAGGCTAAGAGTCTAGTTATGGAGAGTGTGGCAATCAACTCGAGTAATGTGGGTGCTTTGATAGCGGATTTTTCATGAGGAGTTGGGCAGATGCCGGTGGATAACTGAAGTCTTGTGGTGATGGAGAGTCATTGAACGGTATAGAAAATATTTTAGTGGTGAAATCAGCCATCGCAAACCTAAAGCTGATATTGTACTTTCCCACATGAGCTGGTGCCTTGTATTGGCTACAATAGAATGACAGTTAAGACAATTCCTTCCATTAAAGACAGTGGTGTTTAATCTTGTATAAGTAATGACAGAAATCAGCTGGACAATATTTCTTTCAATGACTATATAAGCGATTTAAGGAATACTTTTCTACCAACAGTTGAGTTGAATAGTTTATCTTGATAATGACAATATGATACATTTTACACTCCCCTTCTCATTGCGCTACATTGATCCAGATCATTACCGTCTCGTTGATCATGTTCTCTGGATTCGTTGGATTAGTAGCTGACCTTGGAGGAAGCTTTCCATTTTCGTCCAATCCAACGACAGGAGGAACAGAGCATGTGAACTGAACCGAGTTCAGACCGGTTCCCAGCTTGACCTCAAACTTGGTTTTGAGAACCTCATCTGAGTCCGTGTAGGTCACTGAGGGCGAAGGCGTCACTTTCTCACCGTTTACCAGGAGAGTGGAGGTGTATTTGCGTTTCAGCAGTGACTCGTTCAGTGTGGTCAATATAGTCACAGTTCCAGCCATTGATGGGACATTGATGGAATAGTTCCTTGAGCCTAAAGAATCATCATTCTGTCCCAGCGATGGGAATAGAAACTCAAAGTATTGCGGAATCGTGTTTTCAGGCTGCTGTTGCTGGGAATTGTAGTATGGATTGGGAGTGATGAGGGTTTTCAGAGTTGAAATCGATAAGTCCTGAATATAGGTCTGGGAAGAGTTCTTGCTCTTGTGGTGTCTATAGGTGAACTGTTCCTTTTCAGGTTCTGGCTCTGGAGTAGGTTCTTGCTCTATGACCTCTTCAATCTCCACTTCCTCTTGCTGTTCTTCGAGTAGTCTCTTTGGCTTGCGACCTCTCTTCTTCTTTGGAGTAATTTCTGGCTCGACAGATTCCGACTCGTCCTTAATCTTTTTCAAATTGAGAGTGATCTTAGGCAATGCTGCACTGGGTTTTCTACCTGGCTTCAGCTTGATCTTGATGTGGCTTGGCTCATCTTCAGCTTCTTCCTCAATCTCGCTTTTGAATTCTCTCAAACTCTCCACAAAGTGCTCCTTTAGGATTGTCGCGTCCTGGAAAATCAGACTTTCTTCCTCGTTGTAGGTAAAGGAGTTCTGGAATATCAAGTTCACATCTCTCTCAAAAACATCCACTCCTTCCAATCCTTCGCTGTACTTCCCAGAATCCAGATTGTCCAACACGGTGTTGAAAGCCATGGCTTCCTCAATCACAGTGTAGTAATCTGGATATAACTCACCATCAACTTCTTCCATAAAAGGGCCCGCAATCTTTCCGCGCTTAGGAATTTTGAAGTCAATCAGCTCCTTTAAAATTTTCTCCAGTTTGGAGGAATAATCGTCTATCACTTTTACCGGTTTGGGCTTTCTTCCTCTCTTGGCTGGTGTCTTGACTGGCTCCTCGTCATCCTCCACAGTGTGGGACTCCCCTTCAAGAAGTTGTTTCACCTGATCATCCACAAACTCGAGAATCTTCTTCGCGTCCAGCGCAATATCACTTTCGGGATCATTGTAGAAGTTAGCATTATTCGCCATAAGCTCAACATCTTGTAAAAATTGGTTGGCATCAAGGTACTTTTTGGAAGCGATTTTGCTCCTGATCTCGTGAATTGAAATCGGATTTTCTATCAGTTGGTAATAGTCAGGATAAAGCTTGTTCGAGGGCAGCTTGTTGAAATCCTTGGAGATAAGGTTGTTGTTATCATCTCTCAGGTTCGCGATTAACTGCACCGTAGAATTTAAAAATTGTTGAAGCTGTTCTTTGTCTATTTCGGAGCGAACCCTTTTCACCGTTGGAGACGAGTTGGCACTCGATCCTTTCCGTTTTGATGGCATGATTCACCGAGACGAATTGCTGGAGCTAATTGTGTGATGTTTTAAAAGCCAAATCTTTGAATTCGCCAAAAGATGCGAACATCGAAGAAAGTGTGCAAAGTAGTGCGACAGCTACTGACACGTGACTTGGTGGCAGAATAAGGACCCTGTGTTGAGGACTATGTAGAAGGACATAATGGCTGCCGATAAATCTCACATGATAACTCCGCCGAGAGAAAAATCCGAGAGCATATCAAAGATAATAGCTACTAAGTGACACCTGTGAAAATCGCCATATAATGCCATAATTCCACTCAATTATCTGGGCAGAGGGATGTCCTCACGTTCTTTCAAAGCGCCTCACAAAGTCACTCGTAAATTCTCTTTCAACTAAGTTGAACCCACTATCCGAAAATCAAATGCCAGAGTACTCTCTCGTGAGCACAGGCCTCTCCAGCGGGATTGGAGCTTTTGCCAGAACCTACATCGACAAAAACAGCGAGAAATTTCATCACGTACTGGTTTGTCGCGATCCTGGCAAGGTAGTGAAGAAGGCCAACCTCACCACAGTGAAGTGTAATCTATCTTCCGTAGCAAGCACCAAACAGGCTCTTGAAGAAATCGAAAGATTGGTCCAAGAAGGAAAAATACCACCAATTAAAGTTGTTCTCTTCAATGCTGGTGTCTCTCATATGACTCGCACTACCAGCTCAAAGGATGGGTTCGAGGAAACGTTCCATGTGAACGTGATCTCACCTTATCTCTTTGCCAGGCAGCTGATTCCATCGCTGGAAAATTCCACAGAAGGCAGGTTTTCTGTCACCGGAAGTAACACCCATTTTGGCGACTAGGAGCATACCCGCATTATGGCCCCTAAACCTTATTGGGAGGACTCCAATTTAGACTGTTTGACGAAGCCAGGTGCCAACCCTGCAGACCAGAATCCAGAGTCCCGTGAAGCAGGATTGCGCGCTTATTCCACCAGTAAGCTGGCGCTAGTGTATCTGTTTCCTGAGGTAGCAAGAAGACATCCTCGGGTCAAGTTTTTGGTATACAGTCCCGGGTTTGTGCCTGGAACAGGACTAAGCAGAGATGCTGCCTCGATTCTCAGATTGTTAATAGTAGTCTTGTGTTCAGACTTTTAGGATGGAGCATTACTCCGGACAGAGCTGGTTTTCTAATGGCGAAAACGGTCTTTGATGATACACTCTATGAGCGGGTTGATAATGTGGCCTACTGCGATCTGGGGGAGATTATCAAGTCTTCTGATGAGTCGTACAACGTGAACAGAGAGAAGCAGCTATTTGATTTGTTGGAGAAGATTGTTTGAGTGAGGAAAGGTGGAGAGTTCTGGATGTTTGTATCTTACAGCTATCGTTTAGAGATTGTAATAAACTTAAGCGGTGTGAACTTGAAGTCTCTCAAAGTTACTGTAATAATATGATGGAACTACAAGCATAACGTTGGCCCTTTACTTTAGAATGTGGCCATCACTAATTAGAGACCCTCCAACTACGTAAGAAGGATCATGGTCCGTTAAATTTAAAAAGGCCCTGTTCTGAAATACTACATGCAGGGGCGCTAAGCACAACTTATTCAATTCTGCACCAATTGAAATAACAATCTGGGCAATATCGTGTTACAATGAAACGAAAATGTGCACGGATTTGCACATCTGTGCGATATTCGCTTGAGGCGTGTGCACTGCAGATAGCCGCACATACATTGTGGAGGCCTCGTTTCATTTCCGGGGTTGGGTGGTGAAATGAAATTCGGAGAAACCTAATATTTTTGGATACTGCGTTCATATTAGTCGAAAAATTAAAATCGAACCCCCTATAAAAATGTTCATTGCAGAAGTTAATATATCCGTATTCAGCCAAATAACACAATTCATTGGAAGTCCACTTTAGGCCTTATCGCATCACCTTGCAGCCTTAACCATATCGCATCAAATATTTCCCAAACTTAACACAGTTTGGTCCAAAAAGTACAAAGACGACCATTTGTCCACATTTATTTAATTAAAACTCATTTTAAATTTTGGCAAGTTTCTTCTTGGTTAATTCTGTCCCTTCCTAGCATTTACTCTCTTTCTTCAACCATCAGAGATCTGTATCTGCGTCAATATCAATCGAACTCCAGAACCAATCGCTTGGCCTTTATGAACCGTATCTAGAGATAGTTTATGGTTATTACAAGCGTGATAAATTTTGCTTGAGCACATTGTTTTGAGGGTTCATCTGCCGTTGTTGTTCTTATAGACATTTTGAACGGGAACGCTATCTTCAACCCTCCTCATGCAGGGACCTCCCACTTATGCCGAAGCACATAGGCCTTGGGTGAGCACTAAAGCGGAGAAGTTCTACCCGATAGGCAACAAGCGACATCCTTTCGTGAATAAGCTGGTACTTTTAAATTCGCCTTTTCCTCTGCTGGGGTTCAAAATAGCCCTTGCTGGGAGCACCTCTGAGAGACAGTTGAAGTCTCGGGATTTGTATATGAAGTGTTGGACTGGGAGAACTGAAAAGGTCTCTTCTGTCAATTTACTTCAGTATGATCAGGACCTGCGACTGTTTGAGTTTTGCCCTATGAGTCAGCGCGGTTCTGAAAGTATCGGCGAAGCTAATGCGCATAGCAAAGGCCAAGTGAACCAAGTCTCAGTTGACCAAAATTGGCGACTAAAGAGTGAAATACATGACGAGGCCAACGAGGTCTTCAAACAGGTCAACTGTCAAGCAATAACCAAGTATACAGCCAAATATCGCGATAGGGAATGCTTTTTTGGTTTGGATCCCGATCTCAATGTCTGGGCTCTGGATGTATGCAAGAACGACGAAGACAAACTGGTATGTGGGACTCTACGACAGATACCCGTGATACAAAAGACCCAAACTTCCACATTCAGACTCACCAAAAAAGCCAGAAGTCCCACTGGTCTGGTAAAATACGGCGCAATTGTGATTCCAGACTACGATACCAGAGAGGCTCGCATATACTTGTATGGTGGATACGATGCGGCTCAGCACAAATTCTGCAGCGAGATATGGCGATTTGACTGCACATCAGGAAAATGGAAAGAGCAAGCCTATAAAGACACAAAGCTGGGCTCTTTAATCAATCCAGTCTTGAATATATTCACACTTCAGACTGGTTCAAGAGTAATGACGATATTTGGTGGTGAGTACATGGACTCGAAGGAACACAAAGTGACCAACTCCAACCGAATAAGTTTTGTTAACCTCTCGACAATGAAGACTTATTTTCTTGATGGCTCCACGTTTGGAATGGCAAACCACATGAGTATGAAGAGGCTCAACCACGATATTGTCTTGCTTCCCAACTTCAAGTTCTTATATGTCTCGGGGGAGTTTGGTACTAGCGACGAAAATCCACCAAAATACGACGATCTCAAAAATTTCCCTATTGGATATTGCTACGAGCTGGATATCAACAAAGCGATCACCATAGACCCTCTTTTCAGGCAATTGACGCGGTAGATAGAGGAAAAGAGGAGATGTGAACATTTGGAAATTTTCCAAGAATTCGAAAAAATCTGGAAAACGAGAATTAGGTAGAAATTGATTTCTACATAAAACCTTTAACTATAATAATCCTAAATTAAAGCCATTACAAAGGAATATTGAAAGGTCGACAGAAATAGCATGGTAAATTGAATCACTTCTTATCGGAGTACTCTGGAGAAACCTCAACAACTTCCTCTTTTTCATCGGTCTGAGCAGTCTCAGCAGAGTTGTTGATCTGGCTGGCCAAAGAGCCATCTCCGAGCTGACTGATGTCAAAACCAGTGGAAGCAAGATACTCTAAGAATTTGACGTCTTCGGCAGCCATGGCATCCTGGTCCACAGCTGGAAGAAAGAAAAGAGCCAAGACACCGGCGAAAATGGCCAGGGTAGAGGCAGTCCAAAATGGAGCTTGCAAACCAGGAGTAGTATCAGCTCCACCAGCATCTGCTTCAATGATTGGGAACAGGTAAGTTCCAACGAAGGCACCGATCTTACCGGTGGCAGCAGCAATACCGTAGTATTGACCTCTGATGGGGGTAGCCGATGTCTTGGAAGCCAACAGTCCAATGTTGTCACCTGGACCGAACTCACCGAAGGTCAAGAAAATACCATAGACAACAACAAAACCAGCAATGTGTTTCTTGAGACTTTCAAGGCACCCAGCCATGATATACCCGATAATGGCCTGCAGGAAAACACCAACGGCTAGACACAGTCTGGGTCCGATGTAGTCAGCTGCCAGAGCACCCAAAAAGGCACCTGGAATGTAGAAAAGGTTGATAACCACGTTCCATCCAAAAGTCTTGTACAGATCACCATCTGGAATAATTTCAGCAAGAATGGTGGAAGAGTAGATACCAAAGGCATAGACGGAGAAATCATAGATCCACCAGATAACAGCAACGATGATGAGTCTAAACCAGTAGAACTTGATGATGGCTCCGTAAGGAACCCTGACTCCCTTGAAGTTAGTCTTAGTGAAAGCTTCACCTTCCTTGAATTTAAGACGCATCAAGAAAAGAGACAGTGGTGGAATGGCACCGAGACCAAGAGTGACTCTCCAGACGGGAGTCAGATGGTTGGGACCGCAGATCCACAGCATCACCATTGGAACGAACGCAGAAACCACGAATCCCATGTCAATCATGAAGTTAGTGAACCAAGCAAAATATCTGTTTCTGTGACCAGCTGGCAAGAGGGCAGATGCCTCGGCACAGGCAGCCGAACCAGTAGGGTACTCTGCTCCGATACCAACACCAAGGAAGAAACGGTAGGCAGTGAGGGCTGCAAACAATCCGCCGGCGGAACCACCGGCTCCCCAGGAACCTGAACATAGAATGGCGAATACAATCAAAATCGCCGAGGAAATGAGCATTCCCGTCTTACGCGACATGTAATCGGACAAAACACCGAAGGTGAGTTGGCCCAGCACGGTACCAGCAAAGGCGATAGAGCTGACATTGTTGATGGCTCTGGATTTCTTGTATTCGGCACCATATAGCAGGGACAGACAGGTTGAGGCTGTGGAAATCGAGTTATTAACATAACCATCAGAAAAAAGACCTGCACCAGCTGTGAAAATAGGCCACAGATTTTTGGCTTTGACTGACGACTCAGTCTCAACGATCTGAGTAGGGACGTATGGAGCACGGCCTGAAAGAGAACCCACCGAAGTCAGTTCCGGGTCAGTCTCATTTGTGGTTTTGGCCCAAGTGATTTCCTTCTTAGCACGAGGAACCCAGCCGATGACGGCGTCCGAGAAGGACTTTGGAAGATCTCTGGATGCCATCTGCTTTATGAGTAAATGTCAGAAATGGGAGTGGCTGGAACTGGTCTGAAAAGAGCAGAACAAGATGCTTTTAAACTGGACAATAAGCAAAAATATTTATCTCACAACCGAAAAAGAACTCAAAAGAAGCCCAAAAGAAGCCCAAAAGCGAAAACTTGCAATCGATACGCGGTGGGAAGAGGTATTTGACTCCGGTGCCGTGCAGAACTGATATGGGGGTGGGGAGCAAAAGATAAGAACTTTCTATCTGCCCTTAGTTGCTTCCAGATCGCGGTTCCCATGGACAAATAGGAAGGCAGAGAATTCTATATCTAAGATTGGTCCTGGTCGGAAAAATACACAGAATGGGTGTTCAAAAAAATTGTCTTTAGCAGTTAACCCAAGGTCTCATTTGAAACAGTCCAGTGGGACCCCTTTCACTGCGTCTTCTACATGCGTTTTTCCACACTAATAATTCTACAGACATTCAATGCCGCTCAACGTGCGAACAATAACCATTAAGGCCCACGTGAATGCGTTTAAACCGCAAAGCTTCTTCTTGAAACGTTTCTGTTTATGTAGTTAACGTGGTGATCAAAATTAACTTACACCCGTCAGGAACACGTTCCTGATAGCCGTATGTATTAGCCCACATGGCTCAGCAAACCAACGGTTAGCCAATAGCACCTCGAAAGCCTTGACTCTGTTGCAGTGCTTATTTTGTTGGCCAGAACCGGAAATGGCGCACAATAGGTTGAGCCTGCCAACAAGGATTTTTCCGGCACGCCGTTTTACAGTGGCTGCTAGTACGAAATTACAATTAGCGTTTTTCTGCTCCTGACGTTGTGTCAAAAGGCTCGCATCCTTTTTTTTCTTTATCACAAAACGTATCTACGAGCTTATCGCTCGATTAACTTAAACGGTAATCTATTCCATGATTAACCAAGGCCCCCAACTTGTTCCGTTGTGGGCCAAACTGTCGCAAAAAAGGCTGCAAAAAAGCCTTGACGATGGGCTCATGCCGTCCCAATTTGGCAACTAATTCCAGAGCCTCGGCGTTCGTGCATTGCAGCTGGAAAAACCTAAATTGTCAGATTGGGATCCGAGAAGATATGTGTGTGGTACACGCAAAGTTCAAGCCTCTCTCCCTTTTTTTGAGTTCCGTTTGCTGGGTTTGGCCTGTATTCTGTGCCATACATGGACAGACGCAGAAATGGAGCCTCCAAGAGCTTTGTGGACGAATTTTGTTGCTTCAGACTTATCAGCTTGAAAATTCTCGTAGTCTCTGACCAACCATGAACCACTAGTTTGTGCAGCTTTTTTAAGCGAAAGCCGCACGAAGGATACTCCTGATGTTTTGCACGACCTTTTGTTTTCATTCACAAAGGTGGTATTTTTCTTGGGTTTTCGAACCCGTGTAAGAGATATGACAGTTGTATTCTATAGAAAGATTTCTGTACATCTGGTTCATCGTGCATTCAATCCCTTTCCCAATCTCCAACACGAGGTGGCATTCACCATAGTCCCGCCTTTCTTCTATGTTCCGGCCTCGTAGTGATTGGGGATTTGACGGGCCAATCGACCCCGCTCGACTTATATCAGAAAGGATCAAACGCTATCTCCCTGATATCTTCAGAAAAAGAAGTACAGACGAAGTCTTCCTCGGTTCATTCTCAACCCTCAAGCCAGTGCTAACTTTAACAATTTCTATCCTTTAGCCCCCGCACTACCGAAGCTTCCCCACATCCGAGAAGGTCATCTTCACATGGTCACTACGGAAGATTCACCTGCTCCGTATATATGTGATGTGACCAGCAGGTTGCGAGTACCGAGGTTAAGTTCAAAATCAGATATAGTCTCCCATCATTCCTGTATCTCCGAAAAAGTTTTCTCATTGTTCATTCCTTAAAATCCATGATCAGGACACTTGCGAGAAGTCGCCTTTCCAAACCTCTCTTTGTGAAGATGCCTGTTATCGATCCCCCAAGACAACTGTCTTCAACCAGCACCCGAAAAGGTGATCTTTTCAAATATCAAGCTGAATTACCATCGTTGCCTGTTCCAGATTTGCAACACACGAAAGATCTTTATTTGCGCTCTATTGCCCCACTCTACCCCGGTGGTACTGAAGATGCTGCCTATGTGAAGTATGCCGAGAAGGTGAATGATTTCTTCAAACAAGACGGAGATGCCACTAATCTTCAGCTACGTTTACAAAATTTGGCCTCTGGAGAACGTAATTGGCTCTCCACATGGTGGAACAATTATGCCTACCTGGAATATCGCGACCCTGTCTCGCCCTTCGTTTCCTACTTCTTTAGTCATAGAGACGTGAATTCGGAGATTTGCAAGGACCAGCTGCTGAAAGCGGCTGCTTTGACCTCTGAAATCGTGAAGTTTAGAGAGAAGATCGAAACGGAAACCTTGGCTCCGGAATTAGTCAGGGGAAAGCCTTTTTGTATGGAGAGCTTCAAGTGGATGTTCAACAATTCGAGAATCCCACTTCCACAAAGAGACGGAAGCGTCAAATTTGACTCATCTGAGCACAGATATCTGACTGTTCTATGTCAGGACAGAATCTACAAGGTTTATCACCACGACGTTGAAGGAAATGTGCTCAGTCCAGCCGAGATTCACCATCAACTTTACGAGGTTCTGATCGATGCTAGATCCAAGCCAAAAGTTGTTTCTCCACTGGGAATTCTGACCTCTGCAAACAGAGACGTTTGGGCCACTGCATACGCTGAATTGCAGAAATCGCCTGTCAATTTAGCATCTTTAGAAACTATCCATGCTTCTTCGTTTGTGCTTTGCCTAGATGACAATGTTCCTGTCACCATTGTTGAAAAGTCTAGAAACGCCTGGCATGGAAATGGCACCAACAGATGGTTTGACAAACCTGTGGAGATTTTTGTTGCTCGGAACGGTAGCTCCGGTTTCTTGGGGGAGCATTCCCTCATGGATGGAACTCCTACTCTGAGTATGAACGACCATGTTGCTTCTACCGTCGCAAAGATGAAGCTTGAAGAGTTCGGCGGTGAATCCCAAGGCCGTGTGCAACACTGGGAGGAGTTGAACTTCGACATCACTCCAGCAACCCAGACATCTATTACAGCTCAAGTTTCTGAATTCCACAAAACCGTGAATGGACTGGACATCAACGTGTGGCAATATCCTGGGTTGGGAAAGAGTCTCATCAAACAGTTCAAATGCTCCCCCGATGCTTTCATCCAAATGTTGATTCAGTTGGCCTACTACAAGATGACGGGAATCTCAAGACCAACCTACGAAAGTGCTTCCACTCGCAGGTTCTTTGGGGGTAGAACCGAAGCATGTCGTTCTGTATCCCTGGAATCTCTTGAATTCGTCAGAGCATGGGAAGACCCTTCCATTCCCGCTTCGGTAAAGGTCGCTAAATTCAGAGCTGCTGTCGACAGTCACGTCTCGTATATCACCCAGGCTTCTAATGGTCAAGGTGTCGATCGTCATCTTTTTGGTCTGAAACAGCTCTACCAGCCGGGTGAGTCAATCCATGAGATATTCACTGATCCAATGTACTCCTACTCCTCCCATTGGTACCTCTCCACGTCCCAACTGTCTTCTGAGTGGTTCAACGGATACGGATGGTCTCCAGTTGTTCCGGACGGATTTGGTTTGGCTTACATGCTGAACAACGAGTGGATGCATGTGAACATCACCGTCTTCAAAGACAACAGCTTGGGGCTGAGAGCTGATGCTATGGCCTACTATCTGTCGCGCGCGGCGGATGAGCTTAAAGAGCTGTTGTCCAAGGAAATTCCAATCAAGGCCAAACTTTAGATCAAACAAAATATACTTTTGCGTATTATATTTCGCTCAAAAAAGATCATCAGATGTTTTAATCGTAATATAGCAACAGATTATGTCATCATTATCTTTTTTCTCTGAGCCGCACCCGAGGTCGTGTTCTTTCTAAGAGTAAGAGTCCAAGACCCGAAGGCCGATGCTTGAGACGCGTCGCATCACTTTATTTTGTTTCTTTGAAACAGCGCAATATATTACTTTCATTGCTGGTACCAAATGTCATTCGGAGGAAGTCGGATGAGTTCTCGGAAATCCTTGGCGATACGCGATCCTGCCACCCAGGAAAAGGTGGATCTTCTGAACAGGCTCAACATCGACACAGTGATACTGATGCGTGAAATCAACCAGGATCTCGTGGATATCAATAACATCATAAGAAAATCGCTGATGCCTGTGATCGAGAAATATGGCGAAAATTGTGAAAGCATACGGGATAGTGTTGAAATCTGGAAACATTTCTTTGAGGCCAGCGCAAATGTTGATCTTGAAGGTTTTGTGGATGATGAATCCCAGCGTATATTGGCAGATTCGAACACGCACGTGTTCGATGTTGGAAGAAAGAGCCTCGGAGCATCGACTCCTAATAGAATCGATACCAGTCCGTTGAAAGCGGAAACCACATTGTCTCCTGTGAAGAGAGCAACTGGTTTGGACATCACCACCGGAGACCTCTTCAACCTGTCGAAAGAAATGCACCGGGTTTCTCCAAACAAGGCTTTCAGGGTTCAGATAACACACGACAGATCTCTTCGTCAGATAAATGATACAAATACGCCTGCAAGAGCGCTGAAAAAGAGCAAGATCCACGATGATGACGCAGGTGATAACGATTTTGATGACTCGCCTTCCCTGCACCCACCAGTTCTTGAATCGGAAATGCAATACTCGCCGATAAGAAAAAAACCAGGCATTTACAACAAGTTCTCGGATCCCTTGACTTTGCCTAATCTCAAATTCGGAAATGGTAATCCTGATAACTCGGACTCCTACTCTACCTCTCTAACCCAGCAACCCGTGCTCAGCGAGTATGGAAGACTACAGACTCTACAGAATATCACTGACGGTCATAGCCAGTCAATCGACCCTATCGCACCTACTTTGACTGCGATAAGCATGAACGCACTGAGCGCAGTACCCGAAGAGACCTCCGAGTTGGCGCCTCCCAAGCTCGCGTTTGAAGATGAGGAAAATCCGTTTAAGGAATAACCTCACTGGAGGTTTGTTTATGTGGTGTTAACTTGGGTTATATATTTGCGCTGTCTGTTATTTCAATGTATATTAGTTCTTCAAATCTGTAAACCTGGCCATGCATGAGCCGCACCACTGGTGGTCCTTAGGATGTGGCACCGTCGTGGCACTGCGAAAAAAATTAAATTTCTTACACTTCTAAAAATTTCAAAGTGAAAAGTTAATCTTGAACTATACAGCGTATCACAAGCAAACGAAATGGTAAAGAAGGCTATTGACTCGAGAATCCCGGCACTGATCCGTAACGGGGTTCAGGAGAAACAGCGTAGTTTCTTTTTCATCGTCGGAGACAAGTCGAGGAACCAGCTGCCAAACTTGCACTATCTCATGATGAATGCTGACCTGAAGATGAATAAGAGCATACTTTGGGCTTACAAAAAGAAATTGTTGGGGTTCACATCTAATAGAAAGAAGAGAGAACAGAAGATTAAAAAAGACGTCAAGAGAGGCGTGAGGGAGGCTAATGACCAGGATCCATTTGAAGCGTTCATCTCAAACCAGCACATCAGATACACATACTATAAAGAAACTGAGAAGATTCTGGGTAACACCTACGGTATGTGCATATTGCAAGATTTTGAAGGTCTCACTCCAAACTTGCTTGCTAGAACTATCGAGACCGTCGAGGGTGGTGGAATCGTGGTGATTCTACTCAAGTCGTTGACCTCTCTGAAGCAGCTCTACACTATGACCATGGATGTACATTCGAGGTATAGAACTGAAGCCCACAACGATGTTGTTGCCAGATTTAACGAGAGATTTTTACTTTCGTTGGGCTCTTGTGAAAACTGTCTGGTTGTCGATGACGAATTGAACGTGCTGCCAATTTCTGGAGGTAAGAACGTCAAGCCGCTTCCTCCCATAGACGAGACTGAGCTTACCCCCAAGCAGCAGGAATTGGCTGATCTTAAGGAAAGTCTTGCGGACACCCAGCCTGCTGGATCGCTTGTGGCAATGGCAAAAACCGTTAACCAGGCCGAGGCCATTTTGAAATTCATCGACGTGATCTGTGAGAAGACCTTGAGAAACACTGTTGCCCTTACTGCAGGAAGAGGACGTGGTAAGTCTGCGGCACTAGGAATTGCCATAGCAGCAGCAGTGTCACAGGATTACTCCAACATATTCGTGACATCGCCTTCTCCAGAGAATTTGAAGACGCTGTTTGAGTTCATCTTCAAAGGGTTTGATGCTATGGGCTATGTGGAGCACCAAGACTATGACATTATCCAGTCCACCAATCCCGATTTCAACAAGGCAATTGTCAGAGTGGACATCAAGAGGGGACATCGTCAAACCATCCAATATATATCTCCCAACGATCACCATGTTCTTGGCCAAGCTGAACTGGTGATCATCGATGAGGCAGCCGCAATCCCATTGCCTGTGGTCAAGAAGCTGTTGGGACCATACCTCGTTTTCATGGCTTCTACAATCAACGGTTATGAAGGAACTGGAAGGTCTCTTTCGTTGAAACTGATCCAACAATTGAGAGAACAGTCCAATGGATTCTCGTCTGGTAATAGCCAGACCAAGCATGTCTCAAGAGACGAGTCCAAGGACCTTGACGTTGAAATTCGCTCCAGAAGCTTGACCGAGATCACTTTGGACGAACCAATCAGATACGCTCCTGGCGACCCAGTTGAAAAATGGCTTAACAAGCTGTTGTGTCTGGATGCCACGCTCACCAAGAACGCCAAATTCGCAACCAAAGGAACCCCACATCCTTCCCAATGCAACTTGTTCTATGTGAACAGGGATACTTTGTTCTCGTACCACCCTGTTTCGGAAGCCTTTTTGCAGAAGATGATGTCTCTCTACGTTGCCTCTCATTACAAGAATTCCCCCAACGATCTTCAGTTGATGTCTGATGCTCCAGCTCACCAGCTGTATGTGTTGCTTCCACCAATTGCCGAGAACGACAATCGAATCCCCGATCCTCTGTGTGTTGTCCAGGTCGCTCTTGAAGGAGAAATCTCCAAAGAAAGTGTCAAGCAGAGTCTGAACCGCGGAGTCAGAGCAGTGGGTGATCTCATTCCATGGCTAATCTCTCAGCAGTTCCAGGATGACGAGTTTCCCTCTTTGTCCGGAGCCAGAGTTGTGCGGATCGCAACCAACCCCGACTATGTGGGGATGGGTTACGGCTCAAGAGCCCTAGAACTGTTGGAAGACTATTTCGAAGGAAAGTTCACGGATGTTTCTGAGACCAACGACCTCACCGATGACAAGTTCTCTTTGAAGAGAATGAGCGATTCCGAATTGGAGAATGCCTCGTTGAAGGACGAGATCAAGGCCAGAGATGCCAAGTCATTACCGCCTCTTTTGCTCAAATTGAGTGAAAAACCTCCATATTACCTCGATTATATGGGAGTATCTTATGGGTTAACCAATCAGCTTCACAAGTTCTGGAAGAAATCGGGTTATGTTCCGGTATATTTACGCCAGACTGTCAATGACCTTACTGGTGAACATACGTGTGTGATGCTCAAAACTTTGGAAAACAGAAATGACGTGTGGCTCAAAGAGTTTGCTAAGGATTTCCGCAAGAGATTCATTTCTTTGCTTTCTTATAACTTTAGCAAATTCAGCGTGATCCAATCGTTGACCGTCATAGAAAGCACAAAAGCTGAGGCGGATGTCAATCCGTTCACCAAGGACGAATTGGACCAATCCTTGTCTCCATTTGATCTTAAGAGATTAGACTCATATGCAAACAACCTGGTTGATTACCATGTCATAGTGGATATGTTGCCATATATTGCACACTCTTTCTTCATGGGCAGAATTTCGTCTGATGTGACGCTTTCGTCTGTGCAAACTGCGGTTTTGCTTGGGATAGGGTTGCAGCACAAGGAGATTGGTGAGATTGCCAATGAGCTGAATCTGCCTTCTACCCAGGCCATGGCAATGTTTGGCAAGATTGTGCGCAAAATATCTACCTATTTCCGTTCTGTTTTGTCCAAGACTATTGAGCAGACCATGCCTGACATGGACGTCGACGATGCTGTGAAGGAGATGAATGGTGAGCTAGAAGATATCAAGGGCATTGAAGAGATCGAGGCCGAACTTGAAGAGGAGCTGAATCAAGGCGGATCTGAGGTTCTTCGTGAAATGAGAGAGAAGCAGAAGGAACTTATCAACTCGCTGAATCTCAACAGATATGCCATTGATGATAATGGTGATTGGGACAGCAACACGAAGTCTCTAGAGAAAGCGGCCAAGGGTAAAGGAACAGTGAGTTTGAAGAACGACAAAAAGAAGAGAAAGCAGGAGGATGCTACGAAGATTTACGAGGAGGAAATGAAGGCTGCGGACAACATGAAGAAGCACAAGAAGTCCAAAAAGTAGGTTGTATAAAGTTAAAGTCGTGATTTTACGATCGAAGCCTGTCTATCTGTTTAAGAAGCATATTATGCAATTTCTAAAGAGTAATGTGAGGTCGAGGAGCAGATCATATACTGTCCAAAGTGATGTCTCCAATCTTTCTCGTGATCGCTTTAATCACACTGGACACCAGCTGATCAACGTTAGTATCGTTCTCATTCTGAAATTGTTGAATTTCACTCGTTGCTATTACTCCTCCTGTTTCTTTCACATGGGTTTCTAAATCTGCGGTATCTTTCTTAAACAAATGCTTGTGGTTCAGAAAGTACTCCGCCCACACAAAGTTGTCGAAGTAATTTGGTGGATCCACCCAGAACCCGGCAATCGTATTATAACCATGACGAGCAGCTCTGCGATCTTTGAGTGTTTGGTATTTGGCGGTGAAAAAAAACTTTGCATCCAATAAATCAAGAACTTCCGTGTTGTTGAATAGCAGAAACCCATCCAAAATCACGATTCTGACATTGTCCAAACCGTTGGTCTTTTCCTGTTCAGAAACAAATGTTTTCATTGCTTCCACGAAATTCTCGTCCAGACTGAACTTTTTGTGGTCGTCTAGTTCCAGCGAATCAACGTGATACACGGTTTCCGGATCGGCCTTGATCTCCTTTAGAGTATGTATCAGCTTGGGGAAGTCCACGGCATCCGCAGAATCCCAATTGGACTCACCACGAGCCTCGTCATACGGAATCTTGTCGTCTGGATAATAGAAATCGTCTTGATGTATCAACACTGAGTTTGGTAGCAGCGAATTGACAAGTCTTGCAACAGTCTGTAGAACGGTTTGTTAGTCTTGTTATCGTAAAGAACTGGTGGACTCTCTGCTTACCGTCTTCCCTGAGCTCGAAGCACCACTTATTCCAACCAAAAACGTCCTTTTTGAAGTCATGAATCCTTTGGCCCTGTCTATACCATGCCAACTGGCTAGTGAAAATGCTGGTAAAAGTGCTTATCTACTGATATCGAAATGTAATCTTTCCCTAATGCTTAATCTTTCGGGTAGTGTCCTGGATCAAAGTCGATGAGTCGTGAGCGAAATCAAAAACGCTCAACTACCCATTCCTATCACAATAGCCTTTGACGATTTTTCAGCCGGTGTTTCTTTCAATCTAGATATCAATACTGTACACAATAACCATGTCCGGTGACATAATCAACGCAAATCCAACGGTGTTGGATGTGAGCCAGTTGCCAACAAGGAGAGAGAAATACACGAAGGAATCGGCCAAGGGTGGCCAATCTGATATCCTATTACTAAACAACCTGTTATCATTATCTCTTCTCACTCCCTCTGGTGATTTGAATGAGAACAAAGCCGGTCAAGTAACACCACCTGAGCTGACTGATGATGAGACTGAGGCTGAAGAAGAAGAAGCTGAGGATCCTATAGACGCACAAGAGATCTACGATCTGATCTCTTCGATATCGGATCCTGAACATCCTTTGACTCTGGGCCAGCTTGCTGTTGTGAATCTGAACGATATAACAGTGACAGACCCCAGAGATCCTACCAAGATCGGCGAGGTTCTCATAAAGATCACTCCAACCATCACGCATTGCTCTCTAGCCACACTGATTGGACTCGGGATACGAGTGAGATTGGAAAGGAGTTTGCCACCAAGACTGCGCATCAAGATTTTGCTCAAGGAGGGGTCTCATCAGAGTGAGAATCAGGTGAACAAGCAGCTGAACGACAAGGAAAGGGTGTGTGCGGCATGTGAGAACGAACAACTGTTGAAAGTGATAACCCATATGCTCAGCACGTGCATCTAAGAAAGGATATTGTCATGGTGGATAGGATGTACGATTACGCATAAGCTGATTTAGTTTAAACGCATTTTTTGGGATAAATATTGTAATATCGAGGTAGTTCTGTGGCCAGGTTCGAATGCTGCGGTCGCGTACGAGCAAAAGCAAGTAAAAGCGTGCGAATCCCATTCTGAAACATTATTGCCCGAGCACATGTCAGTTGATCCAACGTCTGTTGACGATTTGAAAACCCCTGTCAGCTACAAACCACAAAATGGGTGTGTTTATTCCGGGCGACAAGCTCTCTCATTTGAAGGAGTACAAGTAAGTTTCACAATTTACGAATTTTGAGTAGCAATGGTGCTTTGAACTTGCTTGTGAGCGTCTCCAGCAACTAACCAAAAGCCAAGATACAAGAGTGATGATCGATCTCTGTTGACCAAGTTCATTTTGAAGAAGTTTTGGGTGAAATTTGAGTGCATTTTCCCTCTGTGGATGGCTCCTAACATGGTGACACTTTCTGGGCTGTTTTTCATCATTGGTGCGGTATTACTGGTGTTCTACTACGATCCGCATCTGAATCAACCTTCTCCTTGGTGGACTTATTTGGTATACGCTGCGGCGATGTTTTTCTACCAAACTTTCGATGCTTGTGATGGAATTCACGCGCGTAAGACAGGCCAGAGTGGTCCGTTGGGCGAGTTGTTCGATCATTGTATCGATGCTATCAACACCACACTCTCTGTGATTGTGTTCGGCTCAGTCTACCAACTGGGCTGGGGCTGGAAACTGTGGTTGGCTCAATTTGCAACGCTCTGTAACTTCTACCTGTCTACATGGGAGGAGTTTCATACCCACCAATTATATCTCTCATATTTTAGTGGGCCTGTGGAGGGTATCTGGTTGCTGATCTTCTTCTATTGTCTAACGGCCTACCTGGGAGCAGAGACCTGGTCCTCGGAAGCGTTTGTCTTGGACCTGAGTGCAATTGACTTGTCCAGTGAATTCCCCGTTTCTATGACGGATACTTCGTTTGCTGGTGGAGCCGTCATGTTGATCTACAACATTTATTCTGCATGGAGCAACGCCATGGACTACCACAAGACCCAGGCTGGGAAGTTTGAGGCCTCCAAGGGTCTTTTGCCTTTCTTCGTTTTCTATGCTTCCAATTTCGCTCTTCTTTTGCTCGAGCCTACCATCATCCAGAAGATGGGATTTGCTGTGGTCATCACTATCGGATCAACAATTGCATTTGCCGTGGGTAGAATTATCATTGCTCACTTGACCAAGCAAAGCTTCCCATTAATCAACGCCCCGATGTTCATTCCTCTGATCCAATATGGCTTGATCAATGTCCTGACCAAGGTCTACGGATTGAGCTTTGACCTGGTGATTGGCCCTATCGTTTGGTGTGGTCTTGGTCTGGCTCTTGGTCTTCATGCATGGTTCGTGGTGGATATTGTGTACGACATCACCTCTTATCTGGACATCTGGGCCCTGACAATCAAGCACAAAAAGGTCGAGTGATGTAGACACAAAATATATGAAGGACTTGACATATTTCCGTTTATATTTAGCTTCACATTCAAGACATAGGTGGACTTTATACCATACCAATTTCGGAGATTCTACATCTCTACTAGGTGCAGAAAGCAGAGAGTTCAAGCTCTTTCTGTTATGTACATACTTCGTCGGCTAAAACATAAAAACTGTTGGCATTCTGCTCCTAATCATGGCACGTTCAGCTTTGGTCCAACATTCCAAGTGGTGGTGGGGTCGTAGAGGTTGCTGCAAGCTGTGGCTGTTTCAACTGATCAAGTGATTCTCCTTAGGCAGCCGCGGGCGCAAATGCAGAATCAGCTCCTGGAGCCAAAACATCGTTGGAAGACTGTTGGAGGCTCATTTCCTTCTCCATCTCAATGAGCTGTTGCTCAGAAGAAAGAGCAACGGCATATGGTAAACTCAGCAAAAGGACCGAGGACGAAACAATCCATAACAGGTTGCCTCCCTTGTGTAGCAAAGAAGAGGCCGTTGAAACGGCAGATGCAGCGAGATTTCTTTGCTCTTTTGGAAAGATTTGCTTCAAAGCAATGATTCTCTCATATAGGGTCTCCTCCTCATCGAAGTCATCCTCGTCATCCTCGGACTCGGATCCTTCATCAGCAGCAGCTTCGGGCTCCTTTGGGAAGACTTCCTCGTCTTCAGTTCCGTTTGGGAAAACGCCGACCTTTTCGTCTGTAACTTCTTCCAATTTAACCATTTTATTGCGTAGTTCGTGTATAGAAAGTACTATTCATTCGGAGCGAGTTATACAATTGCTGAAAAAAAGGTGCCGATGGAGACGGGTTACCCGTATCGCTAGTGCGATACTCATTTTCATTTTTGAGCATTACACGATTTTGCTTAGGAAGTTTCTGGCGAGTTCAACTCCAAGGAATGTGGCAGCATTGGCAGGGAAACTTCTCATTAGGGCTGGGCCGATTCCGGGGAAAAAGCCCTTTAATCCGGCCTCGGCATGGATCTGTCTTGTGACCTGTACGATTGAGGTCTTGACGCTGGAAGACTGTTGTCTGGACTTGATGGTGTCTATTGGGAACACACCCAGCCACATGGAAACACCTGCAAATCCACCAGCAATGGTGATTGCACCTAACGAGAGGTCCTTTCCGGGCGTAGAGAGTCTTTCTTTGAGCACCTCATAGGTAGCGAAGTATAGAGCACTGCCTGGCCCATCTCTGGCCATTGTCGCGAGAGATCCTTTGAACACAGACCTGAGTCCGCCCTCCTTGTAAATCTGCTTTACCATGCTAAGCATTCCCGTCTTGGACTGTTGTATTTGTAGCATCACCTTCACCCGCTCGAATGGTGCAGCAATGGCAGTGGTGGGAACAGCACTCAAGAACCCGGCTGCGCTGATCTGGGCCACCGAAAGCGGCACACTGGCATCCTGTTTTGAGGTGTATAAAACGATTCTTCTCCCAACGTCGTAACCCCAAAAGGAAACCGCAAACATGGGGGTTACTCCCAGCAATGGCGGCAGCACCCCTCGGTAGAAGCCTCTGGGACCATCCTTTTTCAGGGTATCTTTGAAGCACTCCAAGGTGGACTTATAAAGACCTGTCTGTAGTCTGACCTTTAACAAATCAAAAGGATGGCCAGTCAAAACGGCACAAATACCGCCAAATCCTCCAGCAATAAACGATTTGGCGTTGTCAACCAATGCGCTGTCGACCTCTTCCATAGTGTGGGGAAGTACCTAGAACTGAAAAGAGTGGGGAAACGAACTGCGTGTCTAAATGGATGAAATAAATCGCGACTATAATCAGAATATAATCGGATTATAATGTTTTCTATAACTTCAACGGATGTTTTCTAAAAACAATTGTCTTGAATCGACGGATTTTTTGCTACTTATACGGCTTCAAAGTCATCCACAATGATAATTTTGCCCTTCCCCCGATGCTAGTCATCGCCCCCATGTGATGCTGGAGATCTGTGGGGTGAAAAGCTCAAAAACTCCGAGAAGCCTTGCCTTGACCGGAGTACTTTGTTACGATATTTAATGTGAAAATATTTTATGGGTTTATAAAACGTTTTCAACACCATTGTGGGTTTTTTGGTGTAATTTGTTTGCGGTTGTTAAGTCCTGGATGGCTGGAAGTTAACGCTCCTCGGCTCCTCCACATCATGCAAGTCCCGATTACCTGGGCCCACCTAGCAGGTCTTGGGTTTTAGGAAAGCACAAACGAAGGCACTGGAATTTTAATCATTATAGAAAAGCCGGGTAGGTAATCAGCTTTGTTTGATTGAGTGAAATTTTGGTCTTCTTCGAAGATTCCAATAAAGATTTGTGCCATATGAGAAAACGTTCGGAATACGCAATTGGATCACTAAAGTTTGGAAGTTTTCTTGATGATGCTGATGGATAGACAGATTGAGTTATATTCCAAAATCATATGCCCTCGACCAAACTAGATAGTTGAGTTGTCATAGGCAGATCTTTTTGTTCAAAAACTCTTCATATGCCGTAAATTAGTTGTCCCGTTTCTCGCTTGGCGAAGCGGGTGGAGCGTCAATTCGTGTGTTAACCATTTTGGTTTTACTCAGTATTACTGGCACATAATTATTCTTTTTCAACAAGGCAACGTGGCCGAGTGGTTAAGGCGAAAGATTAGAAATCTTTTGGGTTTACCCGCGCAGGTTCGAGTCCTGCCGTTGTCGTTATCTTTTTTTTTTTGGATCTCGAAAGCTCATATTTTACCAGCAAGAAAACAGATCTATTTTTTGCATCTGCTATTGAGATCATCCATCTATCGTGATTCTTGTTACTGAGAATCGACACTTCCCAGAATATTCACCCAGGCTTAGAGAGCGGATAGTTTCAAGGATTGGCCGTTTCAAGACAGGTGTTCTGCTATATCTACGTTACAATTGATAATGTCGCAACCAGAAGAAATTGTTTCAGCGAAACATCAAAATAAAGACTCGAGCAAAGCACTGGACTCAGAGAATACTGACAGCAATGCCAACAGAGAGTTGCTGATCAAAGAAGCCCTGGAATTGACCGACGATTTAAGACTGATACTCCAGTTCTTGAAGGTGGAAAAACGGTCTGTCCAAACTATGGAGAACGAAAACAAGTACTTGCAGGAGTACGTGGGCAATTTGATGGCAAGCGGCAAGATTGAGAGTTAGATGGGTTTAATCCAGGACGGCTGGTTCGGGGTCCTATGGTGATAATTACGATGAAAATGGAGTCTGAAGGATATTATGACGGTGTATAATAGGCGGTATTAAAATTGATTGGTTTGGAAACTCTGTCTTGTTAGTATTGAGACTATCCTAGTAGATTTGAAATGTAAGAGAATTTCTGGGGAAAAAGTACAACTTTAAGCGCGCTCAAACTATCACTCTCTCCCATATTTCTTCTTTCTCGTTCTTCTTTCCAAACAAGACAAACTTTTTCTATATTCCAGAAAACTCCAAACATACCAAAAAATGAACCATAAGAAAGAGTTTGCAAACTATATGGAAGATGAGAACACCATAATAACGCCTAACAAGAGGTTTGAGACACCTGGGTCATTGAACTTCACACCCAAAAAACAGAAGAACAACTATCTCGATGAGTTTGGAGACAAAGAAGGGCGCATGCCTTGTAAGTTTCGCTTCAAAAAGCAATGCTAATACCTTGTGCTAACCGATAAAGTCGTTATGCTGAACAAAGACCTCAACAAGCCGGCGGAAAACCAATCTCGTTTCGATGAGACAAACACAAGCAAACGGGTTCCTTCTTCTAACAAGCAAACTTCGCACAGTATTCATCCATATGGCGAACAAATCATTATTTCTTCTTTGAATGACCAAGGCCTTGATTCAAGGACGTTTTCTGAGAAATGGAGTCTTATCGAGAAGAACAAATCATACACTTATGCAAGAACTCTCCAGCCAGTTCCCCGCCATTTGAAATACGTCAAAGTCGATTTTGCTCCGATGGGGCTACCACTGAGTGATTCGTCAGCTCCTCTAGATCTCACAAACCAGCCGATGCCTCCAACGCAAAAAGGCATGCTGTTCTATGATGCCCTGGAGTACAACCCGGAAGGACCCACAGACGAAGCTATTTTGCTCTCCGTTTTGAACGAGGAAATTGAAAAGGAAGATGATTCTCAGGATCAGGGTTTCTTCTATAACATTTGGCTGTTCATATGTATTGCGATCTTGGGGCTAAGCCAAGACCAGTACGTCCTTCGCTATCCTTGGTTCACCTTCACATCTGCCAATGGCAGAAACCTGGACGCCAATAGGCGTCATGAAGCATATCAATCTGGAGGCAAGTACAATCTGGATATACTGGGATCAGGTGTTGCTGAGAAGTCGGTAAAAAGAGTCACAAAACGCTATCACAAGGGCAAAACCGCGCGTCCCTTTGTGCAAAGTTCCCTGGGAGCAGCTGATTCGAGCACAGATGGCTTTGAGATGCAAAATTTCATTCCTGACTTCCATTAGTCATAGCCTCCTTTTAATGCTTCTCTATCGCCGACCTGTATATCTGACTGGTCCAGTCAGTTGCGTTTGCTTTTCCATCCAGATACTCGTTTCTGCGCAGTTCGCCGCTCCTGACCAGATTTTTGCCTCTCAGCAGATTATCAGAATAGATGCTTCCCCCACTCCAAGACCCGAGACTAAACACCTCTTTATAATCCAAACCAAGCTGCTCAATTATCTTCTTCTTCAGCCCTGGAACTTGAGATAGGCCGCCAGTAATGATCACATTTTGCTGAAGAGGTTTCTTCAAATCAAAAGGTAAAAGGCCAATCATGTTCTCCACTAGCTGGACAACAGACATCTCATTGGAGTCCAAACTTTTCCATGTGTTTCTTGCAGGAAAGAGGTATCGGTCAATGAGATCATCAATGTGGGGCCCTTCCATTGCACTAGATGTTCTGTTGATCACAATGTCCTCTACCATCTGAAAAACTTGATGGCAGCTCATACTGGTCAGTATCTCTCTAGTTAGGTGTTTCCCTTGAAGAATACTGGACAAAATCTCATAATGGAGACCTTTGGCAGATCTGCCAGATGATATCCCAAGGTCTTGGATGACACGCAGATCATAAACAGGCACCACAGTGACGTATTCCCAGCCAAAATCAATAACCACGCCACTTTTCACACCAGCACCCAGACATGTGAGAATACTGCTCGGTAATGAGGTAACTGATTGTACATGTAGATGGTTCAGCAGCACATAGGTGTACCTCTTCTTCACATGTTCGGGAAGAAAATGGGGCTCTAGGATGATGACCTTGGTGGATTTCGCATCAATGAGCAGCTCGTATAGAAACAGGGCGTATAGTGATCTCTCCAGATGAGTTTCTTCCAGGTATTGATCGGTGTGAATAATCGAACCATCTGCACCCAGTCTTGGTCGCAGTTTATCATAGTTCCAAAGCCATTGTAACGATTGCAGGTCCCCAGCGTATATTCTTGCTAGATCGTGTGAATCTGTTTTCAGAGTCTTCAGATATTCATTTGCTTCCTGTTTCGTCATTTTGACTTCGCTAAACTGCAATTCCCGTCGCTGTATATCCAGGTCCCTATATGCCATGGTGCCAGTAGGTGTAGGTTCTCCGGCGAATCCATACGTAACATTCCGGCTGCCCAAATCCAGGATTACGGGGTGATATTGTTGTGAGTAATCAGTCATATGAAGAACATTATAATGGGTAAATATAAACGGGAAAACTTGAATAAAAGTTTAAGAATAGCTAAAGGAAACATTACACATAGTCCATGATTTCGCGTCTCCGAGGCTCATCTCAAGCTCATCGGTAGTGCCTGATCCAACCCCATTGAATTTTTCAACCTGCATTAGCCACTTAAGGGCCTCTTTACTATGGAAATTCCTGAATGTATCTGGTGTTTCCTGGCTTTAATATGAGTTTTCATTCAAAAAGATCATTCAGCACTGCGCTGCTGTGCTGCGAGATTAAAGCACCTTTTAAAACTAATGTGAATTCAAAGGGACCCGTTAGGTTCGACAAGAACTTTCCCGTCTACGAGAGAACAAAGGCATGGGATCGGGAAGGCATGGACAAAGATACTTTCTTCAGAAAAAAATACGCGCACATACATGTGAAGCAAAAGGCTATTAGAGACGAAAGACGTATGGTGAGGGAAGCCAAATTGGAGGGGAAGATGGACTCTAGACCTACGAGGTTCCAAGAGCAGCCTAGAAGGATAGTGACTGATTCGATGTACGATTATGTGTACGGAACTTCGCCTGTGATCGCTGCTTTGAAGGCAAACAAGAGAACGCATTTTGGAACATTGTATGTGTACAACCCCAAGGACAAGCACGAGGAAATCTTGGAGCTGCTTCAGGCGAGAGGAGGAAAGCACAAGTTGGTGGACTCTAGGGGAGAGTTGTTCCAACTGGCTCAAAATAAAGCCCATAACGGTTATGTTCTCATGTGCAATCCCCTGATGCCTTTGGAGATTAGAGCTTTGGGAAAATCTTCGGCAGAGACCTACTCTATCGTGAAGCAGGAGGTTGGAGAGAGTGTCACCGAAGAGTGCCCGGTTTCAAGAGAAACTGCTAAACATCCTCTTGGTATATATCTCGATGAAATTTCAGATCCGCACAATTTGGGGGCAATCCTGAGATCTGCATATTTCCTTGGTGCGGATTTTGTCGTGCTTTCGGATAAAAATTGCGCACCATTGTCGCCAGTCGTCTCCAAGATCAGTGCTGGTGCCATGGAATTCATGCCAATCTACACGTCTCCCAAACCGGTCGATTTTTTCGAAAGGAGTCAGGAAAATGGCTGGAATATCGTTTCTACCGTGGCGCCACATGCTGCTAACAAAAATTACGGAAATATGATAAAACCTGCCCATTTGCATCATCTGGTTGCGGATGCACCAACCCTGCTGGTGGTGGGATCGGAAGGTGAAGGAATCCGCACGAACCTGAAATCCAGAAGTACCCATCTGGTCGAGTTGCGGAGTCCCAGAACTGATCTTGACGAGTCAGTTGACTCGTTGAATGTGAGCGTAGCCACTGCTTTGTTGTTGCAAAATTTGTTGCAGTAATGGCAAGCATTGGGGTGTCCAGGAGATGTCAAAGGATTGGAATTGTAAAGAATTTCCTGTATATATATATATTTACATGCTTAGAGCCACCTGAACTATTTATCCTGAGGTGAGTCTTTCTTTGGTCTGGCAGTCTGTAGTAAAGACATGATTGAGACAATGGAGTTTGCTTCCGAGTCGGACTTTGGCCCGGTGGACTTGCCAAAGGGATGGAACGTAGATGTAGTGCTGCTCGCTTTTAGTGGGTCAACTTCCAGAGTCAGCTTGTTTCTGTTTGCCCTGTCGAAGGTGGCTCTTGTCACATTGAGAGCCAGCTTGGTCTCCCTGATGTGTCTCGCTGGGTCCATGTCGGCTGTCTTAGCATAAGCAGCACCATGCGCTCTAGAAGAAGCATTGCCCACGAAACCACCCACTGCCATTGGTCTGTAGATGCTCGAGGCCTCCAAAAACCTACCTGGAACAGCCTTGGCTGTCTGTATTCCATCTGGAGAGTTGGTGAGTCTTCCCTTGAGCTTATAACTGAGTCCACCGGTTCCGGCCAGTCTCAATGAGCCTTTAGCGGGATCCGTTGCGTACTTCCTGAGAGGCAACTCAGGAACTTCCAAAAGTTGAGGGTGCAACTTCAAGAACTCTATCACCTCATTCAACAGGTCTTGGTTGGCAACTTTGTCGGGGTGAGCCTTGGCCAGCCACTTGAAAAACGGCCTTCTCAAAGTGGACAGCTTGTTCTGCACTTGCGCGAACTTCTTTTCGGGCGTTCCAGGCAGAATATTCAGCAATTTTGATATTTCGTTGGTCTGCACAATTCCTAGGGCATCGTTTGGATCCAACGGATGTAAAGTCTTGTCGAAGAACAAAGGGTTCTTGCCTCCAGCAGACGAAATTGGGATGTTCATCTCCTGGAAACGCAGCTTCTTCCAATAAAACCCACTCAAGTTCTCAAACTCGGGCAAACCATCTTCATTATCAACGCTTTCCACGACAATGTATCTTGATTTTAATTTTTCAGGCAAGTTGTACTTGAGTCCAAAGTTCCTTCTGTGGAACGAGGATGGAGGAGCTTCTATAATCTGATGTGTTGGATGTGCTTTCTGGGTGTCTTCCAAAAGTCGACCTTTGGAAGGCACCAGTTGTGCAAACTTCGAAGAACGCAAAAGCTTCCCCAAATCCTTTGAAGCCATTGTGATCAATGTGTTACCGTATAGCAACGCTCTTGATCGTGCTCACATCTTGAACAAGGGCTTTTTCGATGTCGACGCAAAACTCGGGTTTTTGAGTCTGGTGCACTACTAAAATTAATTCGAGACTTCGCACTACCTCACGGCCTTTAGAGTGTATCGTACTGACAAACCACGTCTATCTCTATATACATATGCTGAATATTCAATTTCCCGATTTTTTGGCTTCCTCAATCTCGTCAAGCTCTTCTTCAGTGGAGTCTTTGCCCTCATTCTTGCTCAGCAGCTTATTTAACTCGCTTTGAGGATCCGCATACATCTCCTTGAATGCACCTTGCTCCACAATCTCACCTTTATGGTTGAACACTACAATTCTATCGCTCATTCTGATTGTGCTCAGTCTGTGTGCAATACTGATTGTGGTCTGTCCCTTCTGCTGTCTCTGGATGAGCGTCTTTTGAATGGCCTTCTCGGATCGCGTGTCCAGGGCAGAGGTGGCTTCGTCAAGAATGAGGATCTTAGGGTTGGTGATAAGAGTCCTTGCCAGAGCAACTCTTTGTTTCTGACCACCGGATAACGACGCTCCTTTCGAACCTACCACGGTCTGGTATTTATCAGCAAACTGTTCAATGAACTCCTGGCAACTTGCCAGCTGACAGGCTTTGATCACCTCTTCCTGCGTAGCGTCTTTCTTTCCGTAGGTGAGATTTTCTAAGATTGTTCCCGAAAAAAGCGTCGGTTCCTGTTGAACTATTCCCACTTGTCTGCGGTAGTAGCTGAGACTCATGTCTTTGAGGTTGTGACCATTGAGAAGAATCTCACCTTCCAGCGGGTCGTAGAATCTGAGCAATAACTGACTGATAGTAGATTTACCACATCCACTAGGTCCCACAAGGCAAACATGTTCTCCCCTTTTGATCTTCAAGTTCAGATTGCTGAAAACAGTGTGGTGGGGCCTGGTGGGGTACTTGAAGTGAATGTCTTTGAAGACAATGTCCCCATCTATGTCGTTGATCTTCTTTCCTGTAACAGGGTTGATCAAAGGTGTAATGTTGGTCAGTTCAAAAACCCTAGAGGAAGCTCCAACTCCTTTCATCAGCTCCGTATAGAAATTGGACAATGAAAACACACTGGAGCCACTGTAGATCGTGTACATCATGAAACTGGAGAGATCACCAACAGAAAGCTCGCCAGCCTTAACCATGTACGTGCCCATAGATAAAAGCGCGATGATGGCGATATTTCCCACAAAGCCCGTGCCTCCGTAGAAGTACCCATTCAGCTGGCCCTCTTTAATAGAAAGGTCGTACAATTTCTTGACCTCGGTCTTGAATTTCCCCACCTCATGAGCCTCGTTGTTAAACGTCTGGATAGTTTTCACAAACCCAAACTGCTCCTCTGAGACTCGCGTAAGACTTCCCAGCTGTTGTTGTATCAGCTTGGAAAGAGCCTTTATTCTTCTACCAAAAACCAAAGAGAGAAATATCAGAGGCGGGAACATGAGACACATGTATGCTGTAAGTTTGGAGGAGATGAAGAACATCATTGATATTCCAACCAATCCACTGATACCTGCTCTCAACCCATCACTGACGTTCTGAGTCAAAGAACGAGTCACAACGGTAGAGTCGTTTATGAGTCTTGATATTAGATCTCCACTTTTCTGCTTATCCCAGAATGTCGCATCCTGGTAGAACAACTTCTTCAACGTTCTCAGTCTGATCCTAGCCATCAGCCTTTCACCGACTCTTCTTAGGGTCACCACTCTTCCGAAATTGGCCAGAGCCCCAACCATGAATGTTATGGTTATACACACATAGAAGTTAACAAGCGGAATTTCCCGGTTGAATATCTTGATGCAATCCGTACTGTCGTCTTTGGTCATATCTATAACCTTTCCAATTATGGAAGGAAATAGCATGCTCACCGTTGAAGATACACACAAAAACAGCATCGCTAGGCCCATAAGCTTGGTTTCAGGTTTTGCTAGTTTCAGCATCTGCATGATCTCAGAAAAACTGCTTTTCGAGGAGGTTTCAGAGTCTTTTTCTTGTCCACTTTCGCTCTTCTCCGCCTTGGTCGCTCTTGTCGGAGATGAACTGAATTGTCTTAAACCACGCAATGAACCCACTTCCCAGCCAATTTTTCCCGACCAATGAGCTTGAGAGATCATACACGGTATTTTTGCGTTTTCCGATCCGAAGCCATTGTGAGAAAGATGCACAAAACGTTTGGAAAGAACGTTCTCCATTGGAGAACGCAGGCTGCCCCTGCACCCCGAATGAAGTCGTATCAAAGACCTCTGTAGGCCAGGTCGTATTATGTTGAACATATTTATGTGCTCAGATCTCGATTACACGAGTTGCAAAGCCTCAATGCTAGTCCTTGAGATAGCTTACCAATGTTTTTGTGTCGCAGAGATTGCAAGGCCGAGTCCGGCCTTTCTGGCCATTTTGAAAGAGGCAAATTGATTCATGCACTCTGGCAGATGTATTTTTGAGTGGCGCACTAAATGCCTTTGCCGTCGCCGCACTTAAAAAGCTGAGAAATCAACATTTTACTTAAGTTTTCCTTTAGACCTGGTAGGTATATATGGATCCGATCGGGAAGTTTTTGACTGCCAGCTAACGCTAGTATTGGTTACCTTGGCAATTAGACATGTGTTTTTGCATACACTGGCCCATGCCAAGCATTGAACACATGCAATGGCAGATATGCTATTGAAAGGATTCTTGGTAGTTTTGTGACTCTTATCATCGTATTTGTGTTTTGTCAGAAATTTGTATGACTAAAGTTATATTTTGAGGAAAGCTCTGCGTTTCATCATTCTATTCGCAAGAAATCACAGAAATTTCAATAATTTCAAAATTATTCCCAATTCTGAGTATCAATGAAAGCAAATATCAAATTTGACATCAATCAGTATTATTCGAAATCGGAATTCCAAAAGAACATAGTAACGATCCAACCCAGGACCAACCACAATCTCGATATCAAGCTTTATATCAGTTGCATCTGATGCATACGAATTAGCAGAGGCCTGCTTCAAAAATGAAATTACACCCCGTAGAAGAAAACTCTAACTAATCTGAATGCTCAAAAGTTTTTCAGACTAGCTGAAATCAATGAAGCAATTTAAATTACAACCTGAAGGTAAAACAGAAGATTAATTTGTTTTCCAAATACCAATCCGAAAGCACCTCAACACTAGCCGAAAGATTCAGGAACGGCTGCCATGGGTGTTTATGATTTACCCAATGCGGCCCAAAGTGATGTAATCTGCAATAAATGTGGTAGTGCACAATCCAAATCTCATCTTATGCGTCCCTTGGCGATACGGACTTTTTTCATCACAATTCGTCCGTTATTTATATATAGATCTTTAAGCAGACCCAAAAATTCCTTTGTTTGAAACCCCTGGATGCTGGCCTAATTTCCCATAGTTAGCTCTGTCATATTTCTTTGTCGATTTTCATAGCTAGACCGGATCTGCCACAATCACCCGTTTCAGGCATCTTGCATTTATTTCAAGAGGAAGGCCGAGACATACTCCAATTCCAACTCTGTTGAGGGTCTTTCCACTTTTCGACAACTCATTGTGAGATCCACCTGGCTTGTTTCATTAATAGAGCTTGGGAACTTACTATATCATACATTGTCTGTGCATGGGCTATACATCTATATTCATCTTTTAATATCCCATAGTACTGGAGAGTGGCTCGCCAGCACGTTTCACCAATCGACCCCTGCATTGCTTTATTCAACAGCATTCCCCTACAACCATGACTGTGCCTCCACCCAACTACGATCTTATACTCCTGAGAGAACATTTATACCAGGATTTGAGAAGTCCAGAATTGGTTTTACCATCTAATGTTGATGACACAGGGTTTAAGCCCCTGCATGAACGTGGACTCGGGGTGTTCGATTACCATTTGGCTAGTTCGGATGAACCATCAACAGACACTTATCTTTATGTGATTGCTGCCTTCTGCTCTTTGGTGATTATCTACAACATGCGTTATTTCATAGCTGACAGGTCGAGGAAGATGTCACAGACTCTCAGACGGAAATCGTCAAATTTCATAAACGAGCATCTCTATGACATAGAGGCTGGATCTCCAGAGCTAGACGCAACCCCAGAGGGCTTGCCTTCGCTCTCAGAGTCGCCTTTTACGCCAATGGACTACAGTCCGGTTTACTTAAGAAACTCGGAGGTGAAACTGATGGAGTTTGATTCCAAGTTCGGAATCTCAAGGGACAAGTTGAGATGAGGAGATTCCAACCAAAAAAAAAAGCCTTCGCATCTCACTTGAAAATCAGGCATTTTTCAATAAAGTGATCCAGCCAAGATATTTATTCTTGGTTGCAAAATCTTCTACATCTCGCCATTCATTTAGAAGCTCCTTTATACCTTCCCAGCTCCTGGGTCTTCATTTGCATTTTTTACATAGCCTGATTACCTTCAATCACTGCTTCATACCAACTAGGCTTAATAAATTGTTTGCATGAAATTGAGGGTGCCTCAAATCAAAATCGTGCTGAGCAGGATTTGTCTGTCATGCGGCTCTTGCATATGTGAGATCACGTGAAAGTATGTGGCTTCGATATTGGCACAATGCTTCGGACAGATTATTGCTTTGGTCTGGGTAGGATCGTTCAGTTTGAAGGAGACAGGAAGAATTTTTGTGTTTAAAATTGTCATTGGTCTTTTTCACCTTCCCTCCAATTCGTCTCAAATATGGTTTCCCCCAAATATGCTAAATCTCATATCTTGAAGATTGGAAACCCTACCAACCCCATCTCGGTGCAACTCTATCTCGATTACGCATGTCCATTCTCTGCAAAAATCTTCAAGAAGATTGACACGGAATTGATCCCCAAGTTGGAGTCAAAACACCGAGATGCTATTCAGTTCGAGTTTTTGAACGTTATCCAACCATGGCATCCAACCTCAGCGATCATCCATGAGGTTGCCATTGGCTACGCTAAGGTATACCCCGAAAATTTCTGGAAATACTCAGCTGTTTTATTCGATAACACTCCAAACTTCTATGACGTCCCAATGTACGACTTGTCACGGAAAGAGATCACCCAGAAGTTGATTAATTTGGCCGTGGACAAATTGGGTGCTGACGAGGCTAAACTATGGGAGGTCCTTAAGATACACGAGGATAATTCGGGTACTGATGTCACCAAAGATCTCAAGTACTTTACCAGATATCACAGAACCACTGGTGTTCATGTCACTCCTACGGTTTTTGTGGATGGAATCGTCGTTCCTAACTTGGAGAGTTCCACCCCTGTCGATAAGATGGTTGAGATCCTCGAGACGTTTCTTTGAACGAGATTCTACTGAATGACCAGTCCAGTCCAGGTCTTTTTCTTGCTACAACTGTTTTTTTTTTCAAATTGAAATTTATGAGTCTATTGAACTGCATGATATTTTGAGTATGACTTGATGAGCTTCTTTTGACCTGGAATGTCCTCACCAGGCAAGAACAGCTTCATCGCAGGTAGACTTACAGTAGACATCCAATTCCAAAGAGTCAACGTTCTGGACTATTTTTGAGGCATCAATTTGAGTTTTCGCTCCTGACTCAAGTTCATAATGAGATTTTGACAACTGAGCGATAGTTACGCTCAAGGCTTGGTCGGGATCGGATCCACATTTTGTAAAATCTGTGACTGCGGATTCGTCAGGAGATGCTCCTCCCTTAACGTACAACTCGTAGATCACAGTCACATCAGAGTCGGTTATCGGGTTCAACCTCCTAGAAATCCACTGAGTTTCCCCAAAACTAAAGTAGGAGATGGGGAATGTTGATAATGAAGAGGCTTTCTTCGCTTTTTTCCCAAACCAGCCTGCAGACTGAGATGTCGATTGGGCGATAGCCCATTTTTTGAAATCAGCTCCAGATGAAGCATGTCCCCCATCCTCTGCACTTATAGCCAGTTCTTTCCAGTTTTTGTGGATATTCTCACTCCACGTTTTTACGAATTTGAAGTCGTTCAAATCACCAACTCTCAAATCCTTGAACCAAACATCTCCACTGACTCTGGAATCAGTCTGATCTAAGTTCACAAACACCAAACCTTCGGAGCTAGTCCATGTGGGGATCCTGAACAAACCATTAGGCTCCATCTTGAAATCAGGAAATTTGTCGAATTTGGGTGCCTTTTTCAAGTTACCCTCAGTATCGTAAGTCCACCCGTGATATTTGCATCCCAAAACAATAGTGGATCCCTTCTCTTTGGTCACCACAGGGTATGCTCTATGGCGACAGACGTTGTGGAACGCGTTGATCTCACCTGTGATCTTTGACTTTACCAGAAAAATCTTGAACTGGAGCAGCTGGAAGCTGATGTAGTCACCTGCCTTCAAAAATCTTGAGGCATGTGTAATAAAAATCCATGTCTTGTTCAAAATAGCTCTTCTTTCCAATGGGAGATATTCTGGCTTTGTTGTAGCTGTTTCGGTTTTGGATGTGATCTCTCTCATGAAGTTCTATACTACTTGTAGTGAGTTGAATATGCCTTTTTTTTAATTGGTTTCACCAATCAATGATGAATATTGTTCTTGGTATTTGTTTGTTTATCAAGAACTATATTCGGTACCAGTTGACCCTTTATAGGCTTTCATGTTGATAGGCAATCTGCTGTAGATAGTGCGCAACTCTGATCCGCAAAGGGCAATAGGCCGATGCGCGATAAGAGCCGTTACCGCACTGCCATATTCCTTCCACCACTGCTCTTAACACCCAAACGGCATTTTCGCACTATTTATGGAAGAAATTTGAAGGTGGGAAGCACATCCAAATTTCTCCGTTGCATAGGAATATGCGGTCAAAAATGTCTTCGGGGTGGAGTAAACCATTGTGAGAAAGAGGATATGCAGAGTAGCTCTGTGCGCAATCTGGCGTATCTACGATTTGCGATCTTGCGTGGACTCCTCGTTTTTCCCGATGATTCTTCCAGTCGCTTTATGAGGGATTTTGCTTCCTAACAGAGAGACTCTGGTTGCAAAGGATTCCAGTATTTCAGCAAGGCATATGAGGCCGGAATGTTTATTCACCAGCTATGCTCGTGATGTCTACCTTTGATACGAGGTGATAACGGATTGCAGTTCAGTCGTAGTTCTTTATAAAACAATTAAAAAAAAAATCAACGGTGAAGTATCAGCTTGGAAACAAACGCTAAAACATGATTGAGATTCAGCACTCAAGCGACAGTAATTCTATCCTTTATCAACTGCTGATAGTAGACGACACCCCTTTCGTTTTCTGGGTTCAATGTACCGACTTGGTACATTCCACACTCCAAGTTGGTCTGGCATGATTCACACAACTCAATATCTTCAACGGCAACCTGCCTTGCAAAGTTGAAGTATTTTTCAAAGTCTTCGTCAGAGCCATCGAAGAAGTAGTCAAATTCCATGCGGCATTTAGAACCAGTCAATGGGCAACACCTGAAAATCCCCATACCACCTGCATAGCAGTTCAGAGAACAGGTTGGGAAGAAGTAGAGAAAAAGACCGGGCTCGGTTACCGAAGGATCTCCGTTCGTTGTTTCTGCCAGATGACGACAGAAATTTGTGTAAGTTTCGACTTTGTAGAAGTCCATCGCAAAAGCTTTGGCAAGACCTGGATGAGTGTAGGTGCAGTGCAAGCATTCTTGGTAACCATCAATAAAGGTCATGAAACCGTAGTCACATTCGTACACCAATTTGCGGCGAATTGGTCTTGCCCGAAAGTCCTTGTCACCAATGAATTGCTCGAGTTGGTTTCCATAGTATTCATTGAAATCCGGAGGAGTGGTTTGATGAGAAGCAAACAACAATCCCGAAGGGGTGACATGGGTGTTAACTTTCTTTAAGGTTTGCAAGACATGATGAAGTTGCTCTTCAGTTTCCGCACCGGTGAGATAATCCTCGTACTTGCCGTAGTACGCGTCAATCTTTGTGACTTTGTAGACATCTTCAATGTCGTCAACGACAAAGAAGGGGTTTCCCAGTAAGTTGAACTGACAATACTTTTCCCCGTCTTCTTGGTCTTTGACGAATCTGGTTATTGGAGAAATGAACTGCCAACCTTTGTCAAAAATCTTCTCTTGTGCGACTTTCAAAAACTGATCTGAAGTGTACCATGATGCTGGCAAAGTGACAGGTAAACCCATGTTTAGGAACTTAGTATTCTACCGAGAATGAAGCGTTGTATAGTAGATCATGCAGCTGTCCAGTCCTTCTTATAGCTTTGGGAAAGACTTGTACTCAAGTAAACTGCGGAGCCCAGCGGAAATCGCAATAGGGGTAAAAATCATGATATACTTGAGATCGCAATACTTAAAGTACATACAAACATAGCGCAGCTTGTCAGGACTATCGCAAATCGAGTTTACGCAAGATCGAAATGTGCAGCCGCATTCGGAAAAACAATAATGGGGCTTTCTCAAGCCCTTATCATGCGATCGCGCAGCTGATGGAGACACACCCGAGACTGTTAAGCCCCCTTCAGATTTCATTCGGATCTTCAACTAAATAGTTTCTTGAATGCGCAACGTCGTACCTAATTGACTAACCAGGTGAAAAATAGTCTTTTTAGATTTTATACTTAAAAGGGTGGAATAGTTTTCGCACAAGGCACAAACCTCAGAGGCGCTGTGGCTTGAAGAACGGATAAGAATTTGATGCAAAATCTACAGAGATTGATGACGAATACTACTAGGGTATGACCCTGGCATCAGCAGGATTTATCATAAATCGAACAGCCGTTTTTGAAGAGCTAAAGTTCATCACATGCGATAAATAGCTAATCAGCACCTGGTAGCACACAAACGCATGAGTGATCTGTTGCGGCTATTTGGACGACTACTCTTACCCGGCTTTGTTCCTGACTCGGACTTAATTTCTCCAAACCCATGAAAAAAATAAGTGTGGGGTAACGCAGGGCCATCACGCAGCATGCAATCCATGTTTAAGTCCGCATAATCAGTGAGCGTTATTTTGAGCTTTATTTAAGAGTATTCATTTCAAGCAGACCTGAAGATCTATAACCATAGACAAGGTTGTAAGACATATAGCTGGGCACTATTAACAGATCCAAACCCCGGGGAGCATCTTCCTGTCACACCATTAGTAAACTTCTCCAGTTCCGAAGAAGTTGATGGAATTCTTGGCAATACTGAACTTCTCTTCAACAGAAGAATAAGGAAGAGAAGCAACACCAAACTTCTGCAGCAGTAATTCTACATTTTTAAGCTGGTAGGCTGTAGAGTCGTAATCCTCTACCTCATCAGTGTCGACCCTAGGTATCAAGTATTTCTGTTTGAGAACTCTCAGAAGAGAAAAGTCTATATCCTCAGAGTGATCACGGTAGTTTTTCTCAAAGTCCTCGATAGCACCCTTCAGAAGTTGCTCCTCCTGGAAGGCGACATATGCCTCTGGAACACCTATCTTGATCTTGCCCTTAGTCATGATAATGTAGCCCCTGAATCGAAGATAATCGAGGAGTTGTTCATGTGACAGGGCAAAGAAGATAGGCTTGGATGCCTTAACACTAACAATTGGTACATCCTTGCTTGTCAAAACCAATTGAACCAAGTCATTTTTAGAGATGCCAACAGGTGTATTCAATCCTCTTACAGAGAGGAATAACGCAAGTCTTTCAGGCGACCATCTGAGGCTGTCAGTATTTTAGTAAAACAAAACCACATCTCCCCTGCGATCGGCATCCACTTACTGTCTCAGGATGGATTCTAGTTCTGTGTCTGTCATATTCTAGTGTCCAGCGGCTGAAAGCAACAGGAAAGCGACTCATGACTAAAGTGCGATATTCTTCGTATAAATAACCCAACAAATTCTGATTGATATAGATATCGAGGAAAAAGAGGAGTCAGTTTCGGTTGATTAATTTTCCGTGATCCATGATTATTTGCCTTCATGTGCACCCCGGACCTGACGGGGCAATGCATTTGGAAGAAACATGGGGTGTTTCTCAAATTCCCAGAGCACATTTGTCAGACTTGCCATTTTTTTGCCATATAAGTAGAGATATGAACCCTTTCTTCAGAATAATGAGTTTATCAGCTGCTGATCAAATATCTTTTTGATTTCGTTTCAACTATGGCAGAAACATCTTTCGCCCAATCAGTGTTGCAGGCCACCCCCAATGAGGGACCATGGGAGACATACAAAATCTCTCCCGCTTCCAGAACCGTTTATCCCACCAAGGTATACTCTACCGAAGGTGTGACCGAGGATGCCGAAAATCTTGTTGGAAACACAGATACCGTGACATATCTCAAAGGCCAAGGGGCGGCCATTACCTTGGACTTTGGTTTCAACACCTGCGGATTCTTCTCTGTGGAATTTGGTGATGATTCGGACGAGGGCCAGTCTGTTCACCTAGCTTTTGCCGAGTCAAACTATTTCATTGACAAGGATAATGCCGACAGAAGTATGGACTTTATCATTGAGGACAAGACGATCGAGGTTCCCGTTAGCAAGGGCGTTTATGTTTGCCCCTTTGCTCAACAAAGAGGTGCTTTCAAGTATATGACCATCTCCACCAGAAAGCCCGGAAAAGTTTCACTCAAAAAAGTCTCCACCAAAATGAACAACATGCCATCTTTGGGTGACAACTTGAGAAACTATAAGGGTTATTTCTACTCGAGTGACGATTTTGCTAACACCATCTGGTACGCTGGAGCTTACACTGTCCAGCTGTCAATCATCCCAACCGATACCGGCAGAAGAATGGACATTGTTTCTCCAGCTACCGGCTGGTCCAATGACGTTCAGTGTGGATTTGGTCCTGAAGTGCTTGTCGATGGTGCCAGAAGAGATAGAACCATCTGGTCAGGTGACAGAGGTATCTCTCAATTGACTGAGTTCCTTTCTTTCAATAGTGAAAGCAGTATCGACTCCACCAACTGGATTTTGGCTCACCAGACTCCAGAAGGTCGATTCCCATATGCCTGTGAGCCAATCAACAGATACAACTCGGACACCTATCATTTGTGGACTTTAAAATGTATCCATTCCACGGTTTATTACAACAGTGGTTCACTGTCTTGGTTGAAGCGGGTCTGGCCTCGCTACACTCTTGCCATTGAGATGATCTGGAAACAGGTTGATGAGACTGGCACTCTTAAGATTAAAGGTCCTCTTGATTGGGGTCGTGATGTCTTGGTTGGCCATTCCACGCCCTGCAACTGTTTGCTTTACATGGCTCTTGCTGATGGCGCTGAATTGGCTGTTCTTCTTGGCGACAAGGAACATGCGGAAGAGTACGCGACAAAGGCTAATAGCTTGAAGGAGGCAATAAACTCTTATTTGTGGGACGAAGAAGAGGGACTTTTTATGGATGATGATGTTTCCAATATTCACTCCCACGATGGTAATGCTCTATCTCTTTTCTACAAAGTGGCCACAGAAGAGAAGCTCGAAAGAATCTCTAAGAATCTGACAAAGAGATGGACAAAGTACGGAGCTCTAGCACCGGAAATGCAACACGCGATTTCTCCCTTTATTGGGTCATTGGAGTTGATGTCTCATACATTGGTCGGTCATCCAGAGAGATCTTACGAGTTATTTAGGACTATGTGGGGCTACATCTGGAATGCGCCATACGGAGTCAAATCGTCTTTGATCGAAGGGTATAATGGAGATGGTACTTGTAAATATCCTTTCATCGGATACGATCCAGCGTACATCTCCCACTGTCATCCTTGGGCCAGTGGTCCAACGATCTGGCTGAGTAACCAGATCGTTGGTGTCAACTTCTTGGGAAATGAACACAAAGAGTGGTCGTTCGCCCCAGAGGGTGTCTTCGCTGAAAACTCTGTTGAGTTCGCCCAGACTGGATTCGTCTCGAAGTCTTCAGGCTACATTACTGCTGGTTGGAAGAAGCACACTTCCTCTCTAGTACAACTTGTAATTAAGGCTCCTGTTGGTACTTCCGGCGTTATAGGTGTTCCTGTTAAGTCCGACTCCAAAATTTTTGAAATCACCCTCGACGGCAAAACAGTTGCTGCGGGTAAAATCTCAGAAAATGGCAGGCATTATTTGGTAGAAAACATCGATTCTGGAGACCACGTTGTTATAGCCAAGTATGATTAGCCCGGTTTTCATATATTTAGTTGGAATTTTTAACCCCCCTTCAAAAAACCCCTCAGATCAAGTCTACTGAGAATTGCATTGTAAAAATTCACAAGCCACACCAAAACCATACCATTCATAATTCATAGGGGAGGCAAGATTATCCGAGGAGACCAAAAGTAAAGAGGGGTTTTGGGTGCTGGCTCGGGCGATAAATCTTGAAATATGTCCTAATGGATGGAGGGGGAAAACGTACATATTAGACAAATGATGTACCCCGGATTTTAAGTCATCTATCGATGCTCCCCACATATTTCTCGGGGTTAGTGAGACGAACTCGGCTCAATAAAACAGCGAAACGTGCAACCATATATGATTAAGAGGCAGTATATATATATTACGTTCAATCTCTGACTATTCGAAACCAAAGTTAGACTTTTATCAGCAACAAAACTTGAAAACAAACACTTATGGTATCCCTTAAGACTTTTTTCGCAGGAAAAGTAGATCCTGAAAAGGCACCCAACCTGAATGCGGCTTCGGAACAGACAGAAGATTTGAATCCAGCTGTGTCTGCAGACAGCGATTTCAATGCACTTGAAATTGCTGCCCATGCCCAACAAAAAATCGAGCACGAATTAACCAAATGGCAAGCCATGAAAACCTACCCAAAGGCCACAATGTGGGTTGTTTTCATGGTTTGGATGATGGTTCTTACTGGTTACGAAAACCAAGCTAGTGGAATTGTTTTGTCCATTCCGCAGTTCAGACAAGATTTCGGCCACAAATACGAAAATGAATACGTTCTTGACGCTACCTGGCAATCCGCGATATCTGGTGTTCCTACTGCTGTCATGTCGATTTCTGGTTTTGGAGTCTCATACTTTTGTGACAAGTTTGGAAGAAAGAAGATCATGATTGCTGCTCTTCTGTTTACAATTCCTGCCATCGCTGTGGAATTTGTCTCCACCACCATTGGAGTGTTTCTTGCGGGAAAGACAATGAATGCATTGTCTCTGGGCTGTTTTAACACTTTGTGTATCAGTTACGTTTCTGAAATTGCTCCAATGGCACTTAGAGGTTGGTCAGCTGCTGCCTGCTCTCTGTCTTTATGCATAGGACCTTTCATTTGCTATCTGATTAACAACACCACTGCAACATACACCTCAAGAATGGCCTACAGAGGAGTCTTTATTCCACAATGGATTTTCTCGGTTACCTGTCTTATCATAGCTCCTTTCATGCCAGAGTCCCCATATTATTACATTACCAAAAACAAAGACGCAGAGGCACAGAAGAGCTTGAGTAAGCTGTACAACCCAACCCAGGCTCAACAACAATATGCGATTATGAAGGTCACGTACGAGGAGCTGAGACTCATTACTCAATCAACTACCTATCTCGACTGTTTCAAGAAGAAGGAGATTAAAAGAACTCTTTTGGTTATGTTTGCCCAATGGATGCAGGCAATGTGTGGTGTTACCTTCATAGGTTCCTATTCCACGTATTACTACCAGTTGGCTGGATTTTCTACGCAACACTCTTACCAGCTGAGTTGTGGCGCTCAGGCCCTTTCTGTTTCTGGTGTTATCGCCTCTTGGTTTATCATCGATCGATTTGGGAGAAGACCGTTGATGTTTTTCGGAATGTCGAGCTTGACAATCTTGAACTTGATCGTTGCTGCATCTGGTACTGCCACTCACAACCCAACCGCTATGACGGTCGCTTCAGCATTTATTGCCATGTACAACTTCTTTTACAACATTGCCATTGGCCCATTACCATATATCATGGGTGCAGAAATCTCCTCTGTCAGCTTGAGAGCGAAAACCTTATCTTTTGGTATGATCACTAACAATTCTTTTCAATGCATGTGGTCGTTTGTTTTGCCATACATGTTCAACCCAGATCAAGCAAACATGGGATCAAAAATCAACTTTATCTTCACGGGCATGTCGTTCATGTCTTTGTTTGTATTTTACTTCTTCCAGCCAGAAACTGCTGGAAGATCGTTTGAGGAAATTGACGAGTTGTACAACTCAAAGGTTCCTCTAAGAAAGTGGAAGAACCACAAGACTGAAAAGCAGCACGCCAGTGAGGCTTCATACGGCCAACTCAAGCAAGAAGTCTCTCACGTTGAGTTTGCTGACGAAGATGACCTCGCTTGAGAATTTTGAAGACTATCTCGTTTTTTTTGTATCTTTTTTAATTGAAATCAACGTTGTTTCCTACTTCGAACTAACACTTAACTTTTCCTTTCGTCTGCAATGAATCCTTCAATGATTCTCCATTTGGGGAGGGACCTTTATTTCCGGAGGATCGGTCGTGATTTTGTGGGGCGCCCAAACTCACCGATGCATGTCATCACTGCCCCAGAGCACAGCCACGCTCATCTGCACTCTAGCTATATTTACTTTTTTAGATTATGACTTGTAATCACCCGGGCTTATAAACTTATTGTGGCTACATTGAATAATAATAGAGAGCTCCGAGAAACAAGAAACATACAACTTTCTGAACATGCTAGCCATCCCACAGCAGCCTGCACCAAAAGAAGTAGACTTTCCGGGAAAATTGTGCCAAGCCAATGTTTTTGGCTTGGCCTTTGAAAGTACGTCACATATTTGCCCAGTGGGTGATCTAAAAAAAATAAACGATCGACACAGCCACCCACTAATAGCGTGTATGGTGCTGCGAAATAGTACCTAGGGTGTTTCTGCTTCGCTTCTGATTATTAATGAGGGGATGGAACGTTCGGCGATTTTTCTAGTGTGGACAACAGCGATTAAAGCTTTTTTATGAGAGTCTGTAGTACGCAAATGCATAAAGAAACTGGGGCCTCGAGATAGGTTTAGGCAGAATGAAATTCATCCGAAATCTTTTAAAGTCGTTTTGAGCAAGGTACCCTCAGGGTTGGAGGCGAGATACGCCGAGATGATACCCCGCGAATACGAGTTTCATGCAGACGCATGCGGCTTGTGCAGCGCTCAATCAAAAGTTCATATTGGGGCAGAAAGCACAATATGTCCATTTTCCTTGGGGGTATATATATTGCAGACAGATCCTGCTTTAGAGCATCTGTATCCTTGCACCTTTTCAAATCACAATTCGATTTTGGAAACGCATCATGGCTACCACTGAGACCCCAAAAAACGAAGGTCCTATTGAGGACGTTATTGTGCAACAAAATGAGGATCAGCAGCTTGCATCTGTCAACTCACTTGAATTCGATCAACTGGAAACGGCAGCTCATGCTCAACAAAAAATTGAACACGAACTGACGAGATGGCAAGCGATAAAAACTTATCCAAAAGCGGCGACTTGGATCCTGTTTATGGTTTGGATGATGGTTCTGGTTGGTTACGAGAACCAAGCCGGAAGTATTGTCGTTTCCATTCCGCAGTTCAGAGAAGACTTCGGCTACTATTATGAAGGTGAA